GTAATCTATCTTGTTGGTCTTGTCTCACGTCTCGCGCCTAGGCTGACTACCTTTCCGTCGCTTGCTGGCGGATGAGACAAACTTACCCTTCCCATGCCTTGCTGCTGAATGCTGTCCCACCCCTTTTCTCGAGGGGGGGCGTGGGGGTGTCTTTCCTTCCCACCGCCAAAAGCAAGGGCCAAGCAGAAGCAAACACGGGGGCCCGGGTCGGCTGGTGGTGTGTGTGGCGTTGTGTGGTGTGGTGTTGTCGACTGGGCACAACGAGATACAAACCAAAGCCCAGGCAGCCAAGGCAGGGCTGACCAACCGGCCAACCGAACAGACCAGACTTGAGAGACGCTACCTCACTGCACCCGCAGGCACCATTCCCACGGGGCCAGCCTGTCAGAATCTCGGGTTCCTGCGCAGCTGATCACGATTGTCGTACCCGGGCGGTCGGTCGCCCAATGCAATGATGCAAGCATCAGTCCGCGCCGGGCCAGTCTGTGTGTTCGAAAACCCTCTTTGGGGTCGACTCATGACAATCCGGGCCACCGCCCTCCATCCCCGAAAGGGCATGGGGGGGAGAGGAAGGGAGCTAAGGGGGCCCGACAAGGTGGGAGGGCCTGGTTCTTAGGATTGGCAGTCACTCGCACACCGTCGCCACTCATTGGTGGAGGTTATAGACTATGACATCCTGCGAAAGGGCGCACACGGTAGATCGATCGGCCTGGGTAGCGTGCTGCGTACCCGATCAGCTGGACCGATGGTGGTGCTATCGTGGCCCCTTCTGGGTTGAGCGAGAGGGAGTAGTTGGACGAGGAAACAAGATTTCTGGGGGCGTGCGCTACGGCTGGGTCCCCAACCCAAAGGGCCGCGGCCGTGGACGGTGAGCTGTCACGTCGAGCGACCCGGCTGGTGCGAAGGGAGGAGAAGCTTGTGTCGGTGATGCGGAAAAGTCAGATGAGGTGAGATGATGTGAGACGGCATCAGCCTTCTCGTCGGTCCGCTGGCCGGACGATCGCGGGTGTGTATCTTCACATGGACATGTGTTCGGCTTCGCCCTGGTTTTCTGCCTGGCGTTTTGTTCTCATGGGCCCAGCGGCAGTGGCTTTCCCCTCGAGTTCTACCCGTCTACTGCGAACATCGCATTTACATTACATGCACATCTCAGCCTGATTCATGAGTATCTTTGCCCAGTTACTCGTTATCATGTTTCACATAAGGATCCAACGTCCACCGTTGATAGCTATCAGAACATCTATTGAAGTTGTTGGGTGCCCCTACGGTACTCAATGCCTACCGCACAAAAGCCCTGCACACCCTGAACAGCCCGGCCCCGTCGCCCACGTGTCACTCCCCCGGTGGCTTCGGTTTCCCCTGACTTGTGAGCACTCCACTCGCCCATGAAAGCCGCCGCTTACCGCTACATTGGAGCCTCTTTTCTCCTTGTCTTTGTTCTGTTTCCATGCCGGAAGCCTTCCCCTAGTAGGGCCGAGAAGAAATCGTCTCCGGTTCCACTGGACCCTTGGGAGCCTAGATGGTAGGGCATTGAGGCACTGTCTTGCGGTCACTGGTTTCCCTTGTTCCGGCCGGGCGTGGAGACCTCGTTACTTGCACAGAAGGGGAAAAAAGGAAGACTTCTCATGTCCAGCGTGCCGTTTGGCTGTTTGGCAAAACGGTGCAGAGATTTCAACAAATTCACATCCACCCCGGATGTCTCGGGATTGATCAAGCCACCACTTCTTGGGTCGGACCAGTAGGGGAATAGATATTCGTGGAAAATAGCTGAAGACAGGCCTGAGGAGATAGTCTAGGAACGCGAACGGTTCGTCACAGTGAGGACAAATCCGTGTCACCTTGTAGAAAGTGGCCTGCTCCCCCGCGCATCTGCATGCGTCTCGCAGGGCTTAAGCGATCGATCTCTGAGGCATGACAGGCAGTCAGACCTGCGCAGTTTGCAGAAGGGGTTGCATTACAGGCAGAATGTCATCTCATCAGAGGGAACAGCTGGGCGCTGCCAGGCTGCCACGTTTCGAGGCTGGGCTGTTGTGTTTCTCCAAACCCCAGGCGGGTGAGACGGTTCGCTAGGTTCCTTGGGACACACTCGGCACCGTTCCAGCCTGCCAGCTGCTTGTTGGCGCTGCTGGAGTCTAGAAATAGTCCCCTGGCGGGCTGTGCTTATGGGGTTGTCGTTGCCCCGGCAGTGCTGACGGTGGGGAGGAGGGTGTTATTTTGGGGCCCCAGCGCGCGCACACTGCATTGTTCCTGGCCACTGCGAGGTGTCAGGCAGGCTGGCAGGTACAGCACCTGTTGATCCTCCGGCAGACGGAATGGCAGCCATTACTTTGCAACTTTGCTGTTCACACACAGCGGAGGGATTCTGAGTGTGGATATCGTCATGGTCACCATGGGCGTCGTGCCGCCCTGCAAGAGGTTGACGGGGATGAGCCTTAGGCGAGTTGTAATTTCCGCTTGGGTATCAAACAGAACCGACAGACACCTTCTGGTGCGCTACGATTTCAAATCAGGAGGATTTGGGCACGAAATGGTGTGGAGCGCTGGAGGGCTGGCGCGCAGAAGCACAATGGAAGGGAGATGGAAGCGGTAGACGGCCAGGGGTTCACAAGCCGCTGGTGTGGGAGGAAAACGTCCGGCAGCTGTGTCCGGGAAAAGAGAGCCAGCAAGCCGGCCAACCAAAGGAACATGGTGCAGTTGGCTGGGTACCAGGTGAGTACCGAACAGGCACATGAGACGGCGCCCAAGCCGCGGGTCAGCGCAATGTTTATGCCGGTGGCGGTTTTGTATCAGTGTCAGTGCTCTCCGTTTCGATTTGTTGTTGGTCCCAGCGGCAAGCCAACTCTGTCTTCGAGAGAAAGCAAGAGAAGGAGACGGAGTCGGACGCAGAATAGCTACAGTGGACACCCTCCTCGGGTCATCCATCTCAGCCACTTTGGCTCGTAGGATCGAAAACCAAACCGACCATGCTGCCATTGCCGTGTGCTGTAGGATCTGGACCAGCGTTGCATTGCAGACTGACTGCGTGCCTCACTGCCTGCCTATCTGCCTGCCTGCCATGCACGGTAAGTATAGCAAATACAGTGCAGCACAGCACAGTACGTAGACTGCTGCGAAGCGAGGTCAGGACCCAGATCGATTTGTCGGGCTGAAGCAGCTGATGGATGATGACCATTCTTTCGCTGTGCATCCACTCTGTTCGATGCCATGCCAGACCATGCCAGACCACCCGGGCAGGCCACGGAATCACTCAGTGGCTCGCCCTCCAAGCGGTCGTCGTTGATACGAAGGGACCCTGTGTCCGACTGCCCAACAGCCCTGCTTTTCTGACACAGTGCCTCGATTGTCAAGGCGAGAGAGACAAGGAAGAGCTTTCGGAGTCCGTGGACCGTGGCCGTGGGTCACGGCAACAGGGAAATGTCGGCGCCTGGTCTCCATGGGTTGTGGGCTCTGAATAGAGTTCGTCGTGTTTGGTGGGAAGTTTTTTGGCTTGCAGCCGACAGCACGCGACAGCAACCTCACCAAGTCATGCCAACTCAAAAGAAAAGGGACTGTGTGCAGGCCGTCTGGCCGTCTGGCTTCAGAAAACCTGGGCAGCCTGGCCGTCTGGCACTCTGACAGTTTAGGCAGTCTCTGTGACCGTTTTCGTCATTCACTGTTTCCAAAGTCACCGGGGGACACAAGGAAGAAAGTCCAGAAGCAGAGAAAGGCGGCCCCTGTCATACCCTACATTTCCGTAGGTGCAGCACAGGAGGTACCTTGGTATATCCTCGGCAACAGAGAGGGAAAAAAGCAACCTGGACCATTTAGTCTACTTACTGTAGGTACGGTCAGTCGGGCGCTAGGGCACTGCCAAGGTACATGCCCACCAGGACAGCGGAAGGCCCAACCGGTCGCCTTCTAGCGTTGACACCCAGGTACAGGCCCGTACCCCTGCCGTACCCAAGCTTGTACTCCACCGTACCGTAGCCCGTAGCCCGTAACCCCCGGCAGGGCAGAAGAAACGGCCGCCTTCCCCCTGCAAGGCGAGTACTTGCGGATAGACTACGTGTAGACTACTGCACCATGTAACAGCCAGCGAGACCCAGGTGCCAGTGTGCCATCGACATCATCTCTGGACGGGCCCCAGTCTGCCAGCCCGTCCATCCCCCATCCCCCATTCTCCCCCCATCCCACCCTACCGTACAGTAGTCCGCCCTCTCACGGTACTTACTACTGCACAGTCCCTCGCAACGACCACAACAGCACTTCACCAGATCCCATCCCCTTTTTTGACTTTGTTTTACGCATACACAAGAAACAACGACACACAAAGAGCACCGGCTGGGTCCTCCATACCCTTTTGTCACCTGCTACTGCACCACGCTGCGCATCACATCGCAGTGCATCGCATCGCATCGCACCGCATCGTGCTCCCATCCCTACTCTCCAACATTCCCCAATTTCCTTGACCACAGCAGCGGTAGCTTTGGATCTAGGCCAAAGGGTGACCTCACCACCCGCCACCTCGCGGGCTCGACCACGGCCGCTACCACCACCACCAGCACCACCTCCACTTGCCAAACCTGTGGCCTGCTTGGCTGCCTGCAAAGCGGGCAATCCTCTTGCAGACTCTTTTCCCACCTTCAAACGTGGAATTCTGGATATCTGGATATCTGGGTATCCAATCTGGGTCCTCTGGCACCTGTCCAGCACTACTTCATTGGCCCAGAGCAGCAGGCATTGTCGCAAGCAAACTGGGTACGGCACGGCACGATCGACGCGAGACACGCTGGTCTACGACGAGGAATCAGGATCGGCCACGATACATGCGCCCCGGCCACTCACAGCTGCAGTCAATCATGATTGATCCGCCTCGACACATCATAACCTATCCAGCAAGTTGAGACACAGCGACAGCTCTATACCAGCCTGCATTCCTCACCTCTACTTCCACCAGCCCATCCCTCCAGGGCCCTCCCTCGGATGCTATATCGCACCCACCAACCAGCACTGTCGTCAAGATGGACACGACAGCCAACAGTGCGGCTGAACCTGCGGCTGCCAATGCCCATGTGCCAATTCGCTTCAACCGCGAGTCGTCGAGCGCCTCCACAGTAAAAGGCGACACCAGCAGCCCTACATCTCAGCCAGCAACACAGACGTCGACTTCCAAGTCCTCGCCGCTAGCCTCCCGCGAAACCTCTCCCGGCCGCCCGCCTATGCGCTCTGGAGCTCCCAGGGCTGCCTCTGCAGCTGGCAGCACGAGGTCACGCAAGAGCAGCTCGCAAGAAACCAGCCCCCAGCGAACATCATCAAAAACGACAGCTCCAAGTGCCTCGACTAGTGGCAAGATATCTTCTGCTACAACACCGAGCCTGGGTCCGGTTAACACTGATGCGACTGCCCGTGTTGCAGCTCCTCAGAGATCGCCAGTCACGGCCGAACACCTAAAAGAGTCACCACGTTGGCCAGTCTCTCCCCGGCTTCGCTCTCCACCCCCTACATCCATGTTGAATCGTCCTAATCTCCCGCCACCACGCAAGGGTGAACTGGAACCACCGGCAATTCAAGTCCAGCGCTCATCACCTCCCCCTCCACCGCAGCAACAACAACAGGACTCGAGCCAAAGCGACAACGACGGTGACGAGTCTCATCTGCAGCCTGGAATGAGGACGCCCGCACGCGGTGTGAGTGGCAGTAATAGTACGACTGCCTTGGAAACCGTGGAGGAGGTTAGCCCTCTGGCCTCGCCCCAGGAAGGCGGGGGCGTTATGGAAAAGGCGGATGATCTTACAGCGTCCGAGGCAGGGTCACAAGCCGACCATCTTGAGTTCTCAATTCATGGCGCAGAAAAATCACAGGCTCCGTCCACCACCAATGACAGCAGCAGCGAGAGCGGGAGCGTGAAGGGCAACAGGAGGCGCACATCCGCCAACGTGCCTCCAGTCTTGACGTCACGGCAATCCAGTGCCTCTACCAAGAAATCGAAACCGTCGGAAGGTTCTGTACAGCACATGACGGTGGAAACCGAGACGGTGACTTCGATACCGCAACATTCTCTCGCCCCTGTGGCTGTGAAAGAGGGCACGAGTGGCACTCTGAGGACAAAGCCAAGCTCCGAGACGATACGGCCCAAGAAGGAAAAGAAGAGGCCGAGCAGGAAACAGCCCAACATTGGGTCTGGCACGGGTGAGACACCATGTTCATCATCTACAGTCTCCGCTCCTCGACTTCGGCATCATCAGTCAATGCGATCAGTGTCTTCGGCCACGGATGCACTGATTTCACCGACAAAACCATGTGCTCAGAGCACATATGATGATGCAGTTGTCAAGTCCGAAGTCTCGAGTCCGCGGCGATCTTCCATGCCCGTTACTCGCAGCTACAGCATCAACAATATGAGCTCTCTGCTAACAAAATCTCGTATAGCGTCATCCAAAGCAGATATCTTCGAGGCGAAAATCGCCAGCGCTGTTGACGAGGCGGACTCTTCAGACTCTGAGGAGACCTTTGTCTATGACTCTAACCCCCCAGACAACAATGATCGGCCCCGGCGGTTCCACTCGAGAACTCCAAGTGCGACTTCGATGGTTAGCCAGGTCGACAGGAACGGCCTTCGCTCCATCACCAACATTATGGACAACGCCGCTGCTAACGCTGGGACGAAGAGGAACATGAAGTTTGTCAACACTTTCAATAGCAGTGGAAATGAAAGTGCGATGGCAGAAGACGACGGCAAGGGCACGGCTCGTAGCGCTGCGGGCTCGGCTCGAGGCACAGGTCGCGTTCATCACCATCATCTTGGCCGGTGGGGCCGCAACGGCACCAATGGTCACACATCCTTGTTCGACAACGAGGCCCCTTTTCACATTAGCAACACGACAACCCAGCGCTCTAAATTCTCAACGAACAGTAACAGCTCACGGCAGCCGTCTGGGCCGACAAGCCCAAGATTTCTGAACTCTGGACGTATAGCATCCGCTGGGAAGCGAGGCATGCACGCAGCCAGCTACGACCTAGACGACACCACTGGCACCGGAGCAGATGATGAGCGCACACCTCTACTTCACGGATCTGTGCGATCGTCCAGGTCAGGCAGAACACGTCGCGGCCAACCTGTAATGCTACGCTCACTCGAAGGTCAAACGTATCGGAGGAATCCTTCCGTGCTGAACAGGTTCGCCAGCTGCCTCGTGCTCACCGTCATGCTCTTGCTCGTAGTGTCTGGGGCTATCGGCTTTATGTTTGCAACCTCTCAGCCTCTGACAGACGTTGAGCTCATTGCCATCAAGAGTGTCGTCGCTGCCGAGCAGGAATTGATATTCGACATTGAAGTTAAAGCGCACAACCCCAATGTAGTGATCGTCTCAATCGACCAGGCAGATATCGAGGTGTTTGCCAAGTCACCGCATGCGGGCACCGATTCAGGATGGTGGCACAGGCCAGATGACCACCAGGGTTCCGATTCAAGGTGGTACTCGAACCATGGCGACATGCACGCCGGGGAAGAATTTGATGGCCCAGTAGACGAAAAGGCTCCCAACATGAGACTGGGTACGATTGGTCGACTCGACAGTGCTCTTTCATTTGAGGGGTCCTTCTTCAACCACGGATATTCCGATTCTACGGGCGAGGTTAGGCTACGCGCACCAGGCAATGGTACCATTGGTGGCACAGCGCGTTGGGAAAGAATCTTGCAGGATGAGTTCGATCTGATCGTCAAGGGCGTTTTGAAATACTCGTTGCCCCTCAGCCAGCACGTTAGGAGCGCAGCAATCTCCGGACGCACGACGATCAAGCCTAATGCTGCCAATGACCCCACTGGGAACGGGACGGAACCCATCACAAAGCCCAAGAAGCCGGAGTGACGAAGTAATCTTCGCTCAACGAGCGCAGGAGGGAGGAAGTAATGGATCACTGTACATGCCTGATGGTCTGAGGACATGGGCGGAGGAGAATCTCGGCATCATTGGACACCACTTACGTGGACTTGTTTCCTATGTCTCAAATACCCATCACCGACCGAGGCACTTTCGGCACTGTTTTATCTTGTTCTTTATTGTATTTTCAGCGTTGCATGGGCCGGCATTGCATTTCAAATTTGGGATTGATGGCGAGGCGTTCTGACATGACCAGACAAAGAAAATGGTTACTGAAAAGTTTTGCAAAGCAATTTAATGGCCGAGCATAAAAGCTTTGGAGGGCAAACTCAAAGCGATAGGGAGCCAACAGAACTTGAATCACTGCAAGGTTACATCATTCAGAAGTCAAGGGGTGGACTCAAAGCTGCAAAGTATGGACACTTTCCCCCTTTCTTCTCGTGATCAGGGTCACCGGAAGGCAATGGAACAATGTGAGATAGGTTGGGATAGAATTGGGAAGGCAATGGACGGGAAGGGACTGGCTGTATCACATCTTTGAGGAGCTATCACATCCACATCACACATCACATATGTGCATTCAATCCTTGAGTATCTCATCAGAGCCATCAATGATCATGGGGGATCAGGCACATTAGAATACAAGTGATACAATTCAAACTACCTGTAATCATCCGATACAACTAAATGCGCCGATGATGTGTAACAGTTAGGAGGAAAGGTGACGGGCCACAGAATGTAGATGCCCCGGAATTTCCTGGGAAATTGTAGGAAACACTCCTCCCCGGCAGCCAAACTCTACGGGATGCTGGAGTGATTTTGATTTATTTACGGTGAGTACCTCACCCGCTATCCCTTCTTACTGTGTAAATCCCGAGGTTTGCTCGCTTTTCCCCGGGTCGTGTTGCCCTGGCCACATCTCAGGATGGCGAGGATTCTAGAAAGGGTTGCTATGGGACCATGACAGCCTACCACGGTCTTCCCAGATGGCGTCATCTCCATTTTGAAAACAGCCTAGCTACATATATATACTGACGAACAAGACCCTCTTACGAGTAAGTTACTGAGTTCGATGGTGTCTCGGGCTGCCTCGGCTCAAGCCATAGTGTTTTCCGACTTTTTGAGTATACTTTCTTGAAAAATAATTCCTTGAATGGTCTTTAAATCTGGTAAAATGCATATAGAATATGGAAAACACCGTCCACTTGCCCTCTGAATACACCTAAGTGGTGCAAACTGGTGTCCAGCTGGCAGTTCTCTCTCTAAGAGCTGCGTCGGTTGAACCAAGAGGCTGTCTTTGGACCGTAAGATGATGTATTTAAGAGACTCTATCCCCCGACGACTACCAAAGTAATTGAAATGTTTGTTTGAAAAACTACCGCGTCAACGATTTCATAAGTAGGCGAAATTGTGTTGCGAAACGCAAAACCCGTCCCAAATCGGCCTCGACTTCGACTTCGTGGGCTCACAGACCCCTAGACTCCGCCACTTCTCTGATCTTCTGGATTCTAAGGGCAACGGAAACTTGATTGTCGCGTTTTGAGATTGGTGACAGCAGGCTCTCTCTCGTGCTGTCGCTCACCAAACGGTGCATCTGGCTCGCATCACGGCTTTGATCGACGTCTGAACAATCACAGCTAACACGAATTAGTCCAAATATAAAAATACCAAGCAAGACAATGCTAGTCGAGTGTGGTTCTCCACGAGAGGTTGTCCAATCTTGCTACAGCAGCTCACTCCGAACGAACAATTCATAGGGAAGCACACATTGGTCAAGATGCACTATTCCGACCTCGGAAATACCTGCAGAATGTAGTTGCAAGGGGTTGGATTGTGTCTGTCTGTTGGCTTCGATGCACATGTGTGTGGCTGTGACGCAAGCCATAACAACGATCAAACCAACAAAACCGTAGTGAAAAGCATTAGACGAAAATTTTTAGCTTCATAGAATCTCACTCTTGCACCCTCTTCCGTGCGAGTCACAGATTTCAAGTCTTAATCGACAATAGACCGCCTATGATAGTTCGTCTTCCCAGTGACTCGGTCTGCTAAAGTGCTCAAAAGTGCTTGTCCCTCCACCTCTCAAATCCTCCCTCGAACCAATTTTCTCTCCATAAATTTCCATGTAGCATAATTTTCACTCATTACTCGAAACCACTGATCGTAATCAGTTCTCAAAATGCTGGCGGTTCGTCCAGTGGAGCACACGGACGTGACCGAGTGCGTCAAAATTCGAATTGACAGTCTGGGGTCCCTCGTCATCGGACGGCTGCCTGAATACCCCGGATTTGCAGAAAATCAGGAAGCCACAATCCACAGAGACATCGACGACAGCCCTCACATACACCATCTCAAGGTGGTAGATCCCGAGAATGAGCTTGAGATCATAGCCTACGCCAAATGGGAGGTCTACAAGAATGGGCGACCGGATTTGTGGAAGCTCAGTCAACCCATGGAGGAGTCCGCGAAGGCGGTTGACGGGTTCGGGCCCCTGAGGGAGGTTGCACATAACTATTTCTGTACTCGGAACGGAGAGAAGGGGAAGCATCCGCACCTGCGTGAGTCAATGCATACTCTGACACGAGAATCTGAAGCTCACAATCTGGAACCAAGTCTTGGCCCTCCTTGTCACAGCACGCCAGCACAGGCAACGTGGTGCTGGCAGCATTTTGGTCCGATGGGGGATCGAGCTGTCGGACAAGACAGGTCTGCCGTGCTATGTGCAGGCTTCGGAACAAGGACGGCGCTTATACCAACAGCACGGCTTTGAGGAAATTGACACAGTTGAATTCAATTTGTCCGAATATGGACTGGAAGGGATCGAAAAGATGACAGAGATGACCAGGACACCATCGGCCAAAATTGCTCCTGAGCACGGGGATGGTGAACTACCTGGGTAGTACTCCGACAAGCTGAATAAGCACTTTTCCTGGCCATAAATCGAAGCTGGGAGTTAAGGTTTACAGTGAAGCCTCTTCATCCGAACATGGCCATATGGCCCGATTCAGACGTTCGCAAGCTCATATTCAAGCAAATCAGTTAGATTCAGGACCTCTTCTATGAGTCGACTGAAGCATGTTGATGCGCCGTCCTGTCCCGACTCAGCTGATCATATTAGACTCACCCTTGCCTCACTGTGATATCTAGTCGTAAAGTCGATCACACCAGGGTACACAAATTCCTAGTATGGTGGACTGATCCGTGGAGCAATGTGGCAGAAGAGCCTCACATTCAACCTTAAAATTCGTCAACAGGGATTGATACGCGTAAATGGCAAATCAAGCTCGCTTTTGCAAGTTTCATGCCGAGACGCAGGACATCACCCACTGCCAAGACAGTGCTTTCAAGAGAATGCTTGTGGAGAATCATTTACCAGACTACCACTGGGCTATTGCGGCAGGTTTCAATATCTGTCTTGCCTCGTCTGAAATCTCCTGCTGCAATCCAGCATCAGTCCTGACGAGGCTGGCATCGACCCAACCAATACTTGAAAATGACAGGTGCCATCCCATCATGTCCGGATTGGCGCCAATTTTCAGACTGGCTCTGGCACTCTATACAAAAGACAATTTCGACGCACCTAATCCATTTCCTTGTAACTAGCTTGCCCGAGCCCACAAGCAAAGAGCACGCTTTCCTGTTACACTATTACTTCGAAGACAACATGAAATTCACCTCACTGGCCTTCACCGTCGCCGCCATGCTGGCACTTGGCTCTGCCGCACCTGCAAGGAATGGGCCGAGCAAGGCCCAGATTCAAGATGACCTGCAGGCTATCGCAGACGTCGAAGGCACAGACGTTGACCCCAATTTGCCCAACGGGACCATACTTGTGGACAATGGCCAGGGACGGTGTGTGGCATCCAGTGGCAAAGCTGTTTGCTCGGGCATATCTGGTTGATGAACTTTGTAAGTCTGCCTCTACCAGTGGAGCCTAGTTGCTAAGATATCAAACTGACAACTGGGAAGATCTGATACCGCAGGTTTCGGCGAGATGAATTGATATGAGGCTGATTGGAGCTGAAAGGGGTTTCCAGAGGGCCATGAAACTTGGACCTGTAAAGCATATAACACAACAAATCTAGAAGAGTGCAGAAAAATATGGCAGCCAAGCCAAACTGAACTTGATCCTTATGAATCTACCTGAGCATTCGATTTCATTGAAGCTACAGTATATGCGAGTTTTTATGTAAAGTTTGGAAGGCTGCATACGTTCCCTACTTGAAGCTTATTACTAACTACACGTGCATTTCTATTCAGTTGGTCATTGGCCAAAAGCAGAAGTGCAGATTAGTGTGTTGGAAAATACATGACTTATTCAATGTGAGATATTGTCAAGAATTCACTGACCCTAAGACAAAGAATGCCGGGACATGCTTGAGCTTTCCGTTAGGTACTGTCTACTGGACGAATCCATCGTCTCGATTAACTTTAGTCAGCTTAGAAGCCTCGGCTGCCCAAAGTAACAGTGCTGGTGCAGAGCACTGTGACAAGCATAGAAGCACCAAGAGATGAGATCAACTTCTCAAGTCCAGTCGCAATTGATCTAATTTCGGCGCGGCCGAATCTTAGGCCAAGGAGAAATTCATGAAGGTGTTCATCTGTTTTGATAACTCAAGTCTATACGATCATGAGCTACGCTTAGCTAGGATGCTCGACCTTGGCATTGACTTGACGAAAAGTTAAGGGTGAGTTATTTCGGTTCACTGATACCCTGCCAGATTTGAGGCAGTACAATCCAGCTTTAACTTTTTCAGAACCAGCTTCTCTGAGTCTCTCCCTAACATCTGAATCAGTTGCATATGTGGACTTTTCGAGGAGATGACGCGTGTCTGGCGAGATGATCTGAGCGATCGTATGCCAGGTCTGTCCGTAGAATGAATACCTGGCTCGTCGAAGGAAAAGCCACGTTATTGTGGCCACACATGCCATATTGGACACTGTGATAGCCAATACTGCTATCAGTCCGGTGAAAGCTCGAGGGGCATTAACGGACTTTGAGAAAGTCAATGTAGTGTTGCCGCCGAAGTCGAATCCAGGCAAAGCATTGTAATACTGCGTCTGTGCCAGCCAGAACATTACATTTTGGAACGATGGTGCAACTGAATCCGTTTTCCTGAGGATAGCATGAAACAGTATCGACATCGTGAAATGCGGGTCGACCATGTTGCCTGCGAGTTGGCACTGCGAGCAGAAGTACACGGAGAAGTTCCAGGGCAATTGTGCAGTCAACACACCACCCTTGATATCCTTCATGAGGAAAAATCTGAATTGCTTAACAATTGAATGGCCGTTCGCTGCCTTGGTCTCGTTCAAGGGCTCAAATGATGTTGTGTTCTCCAGCATAATCTGAAGGTCAGCCTTAGTAAATGCCGAACTCCTTGACATTTCGAGAATTCCTCGATCATTATCTTCAACATTGTCGCCGACACCAGCAAGTTTCAGTATGTCGTCTGTGATCCATGTCTTTGCCGTTGCGTCGTAGTTCAGAATGGGCTCCCTAGAATTCCCGTGACTCGAGGCGGTGATATTTTCGAAATCGACGTTGATGTATGATTGGCAAGCCGTTGCCCTGAAGCTTAAGCTCTTGGAAAAGTCATAAACAGCCCATTCTCCAGAGTCGGTATCCCGATAGTTGGTCATTGCAGGTATTGCCGGTCCAGGGCTGCCCGTAAACCCTTCAGAAGTGATATTATGAGCGGTTGCAGTCTGGTTCAACAGTACCCAGTCATCGTAAGTAGAGTTTGTGTCTAAGACCAGAAAGAGATTGGAAAAGTCGTCGCGAAAGCCGCGTGAGGCCATATTTGCTGCCTGGTTCGTTTCATTGAAGAGACATAGTACAGTGGCCTGCTTTTCGAGTATTGATGGTATGTTGTCGGTGAAGTTGAATGGAAGGGCGCAGTTGAAAGGGATGTCGCCGCAGCCTTGGACACCGCCAGGGCACGAATGGTTTGCCAAGCCTCCTGTGGGCAAGCTGAGACTTCCGGAGATTCTAGGCCAAAGCTTGGTTGCTTCGCCAAAGAAGTATTGAATGGATCCAGTGAGTTGCGGACGGCTACAAACAACCCTCGACTCATAGAAAAAGGCCGGGCCATCATAGTAGCGAATTTGTTGTCTGGACTGACCATCGAACGGCAAGAATGCTCGTCTGATCAACCCAGTGTCTCGTACAAGCGGCGATATGATCGGTTGTTGGACAACACGTTCAGCGAACGGGGGATACGATTGGGGTGCCTGGCTCCAGGCCACGCTCAAGGAACCGTTCAGGGAAGGGAGGAGCATATCTGGTGTTGACTGAAAGACCGGCGTGTGGCCAGCGATAGAATAGTCCAGCAGACTCGTTTGCCGAAAGTCCGCCAAGAGTAGAGTTGAAGTGAGTTCGCTCGAGAAAGTTGCGACAAAGAGAAAGAAAACAAGAAACATGGGAGCAGATCGGATAATTTTTGAAGGGGAGAGAAGAAGAGGCCAGACAACATCCCCAGGGCCTCCACTGACGGCACGCAGGACAGAAAACAACGCAATGTCGGACATTTGTACGCTTCGAGCCTCGAGCATTAGTGCGGCCACCAATGCGGTGCAAATACTTGCTTGCAAGCCGACAGCTGTTCGCATGACCACCGCTGATACTGTCACTGCTTGAGACGCATAGCCTTTCAGCATGATCCATCGCCATAGCGATGATGCGTGCCCTCCACCAGGCTCTGACCCCTCTCCAGTCCACAGGTATAAAAGGAATGAAAGAATGAGGATTTCGAACGTCCACCCCAGTGTGATCACCGCAGACGCCCATTTCCCAAGACGAACAGTCCACTTCAACGTCTTTTCTTGGAAGCTTGGGACTGCGCCTCTATCGTCATTCAATATGCGCTGGTCAGGGCTTGAAGTAGAGCATCTGGAGTCAAACGGTGACTCGATTGCCATCGTAGGTTTGGTTTCGCTCTGAATATTTATCAAATCAGAAAGGTTTCTATTTTGTGCAGGCTGTTGGCGGTGTCGTCAGGTTGTGTTCGAAATTATGGCTTGTTCTTATATGAATGAGTTTTTTAGGCAGTTTTTGGGCTTAGAGAAGTTGATCAAAAGGAGACAAAATGCAGGTCAAGATCATGAAATTGGCAGTGCATTGCCTGGAGTTATCTGTTGAGCTCGAAAGCATGACAACCAGAGTCAAAACCATGCTGGCGGTTACGATACGCACCTAGACAGGTGGGCAGTCTGCCAACAATATTAGTTCAAGGCGATGGCCAATGAGAACTCAATGAGTGAATGTCAAAGGTGCTGATTATGGCCCTGTAGAAGGCAGGGCGAGAGCGGCAAGAACATAATCCTGAGTGGCTGTTGGTGAACGGACTCGACACCACATCATTGCAGGGGCTAGGGCGAAAGGCTGCACCTCGGGCTAGGGTGCTTGAAAGATGCATCATCCTTTCCAAAACATTCGCGAAATTCATTTGAAGTCTCCCAAATGTCCTTACATCTACCTGCGTAGGCAGAAATATAGCGAATACATGGAGCATCAACTGAAACTTCAAGCGTAAACCGTTTCACCCAACCACATCTCGTAAATTATCTTCTAGGTGTGTTACGGAATAGGATATCAGTGGAAGTAACTTGATTGGGTGTGCGTGATTTATTTCTTGGATAGGTCAAAGTCATGTACGTGAGAGTGTTTGCACCACAATGCGAGTGTGCCTTGTCTCGAAAGCCATCATTTGAACTTCATAATTCTCGATAACACTGTCATTCGTCCACCAATAGCTCACTGTATTCTCCAGGACAGGCGCCTTCGCAAGTGATAATTTCTGGAAATTTTGTCGCAGCAGGTTCTGATTGGCATAAGAAGACTTCAATGCCACTCGCGTTCTTCGTTGAGAAACAAATTCCTGACAAGCAGTCGGATCCAGACGTGCACAAACCACCAACAATCTGTGGATTGTTAAGAGCAACATTGCCTGCGCTCGTTCCAAACCCGGCCACAGAACTTTGTCCCAATTTCACAGGAGCAGGTCTTCCCGTGGACAAAGCGACAACTACAAGTGAATTGTTAATTAGAACAATGCAGTTGTCAGATGGCCGAATTTAAAAGATTGCTGAGGACTTACATAGGACAAGAACCAAAGTTCTTTGGGGAAACATGTTGTATGCTCGAGGTGACAGAATAGAAGCGTTCCAATTTTCAATTACTGGAAAAGAATAGAGGTGAAGAGTGGGCAATGGGTTGCAAGCTGTAGATCTGCATAACAGAGTCAATCTAAAACACCAGAGCCAGACATCGACTTAAATATGTGACTATGAGAGCTTGAGCTTCCAATACTCTCATAATTGTGTAGGATATGTATTGGAAAACCTGGCCAGATCTGAGACTGCATCAAGGGTGCAAGACATGGTCTATTGGGAATGGAGGACCTTGACAAGAAACATGGTGTGAAGTTGAGAACGAATAAAAGCACAAGCGGCAATATTAATTCGGAAAGTCCACCCTGGCTGGCTTCAACGTGATGACCACCATCTTCGATAATCCATGGCCTGGACGACGAGGATGGCCAAATTGCAGGATCATCGACCTCGAGGGACACAACTAGCCGCTATCAGTACAGACTGGCGCTTGAGAAGCATCTGCAATCAGCAAAGAGAGGCTCTCAGAGTAAGGAACCTCGGAATGAGCGAGTGCTCGGGCCGCGATCGTGTGTGAGCTCGGCTGCACAGCTGCTCCGCAGAGTCTCTTATGCGGCCCGGACGGCGGTCGCGTCCAACATCAAAGTCTGTAACGCTTTTAAAGTCTGTTATCCAATGATTTTGCAAGCCGCATAATCGTTCTGCAAGCCGCCCTAAGGAATTGATCTGTCACTAATAAGCGTGCATGGAGAACAAGGTGCTGGTGTCGTATTTGTCGACTCGTAGCCCTAGCCGCCAGCGACCTGGGCCCAGAAGCTGCGCCGCATGCAGGAGGACCAACACGTCGCCTCTATTCGTCATGCCATTCTAATCCAAATATTCGGGACTCACATGTACTCAACGCAAGTTCTCACTTGGAACGGGCGCTGCAGAAATACCAAGCGCTCAAAGTCTCCGCAGCTTTCGCCAGTCTTGTGACATCTTGGCGGTGCACAATCCAGCCTCCCGGTAACGAACAGCCAAATCAGTAACATGAATTCAAATGTTGGTCCCAGACATGAGAAGTTGCGTTGCTCATGCCGCTGCTGCTGAAAATCAGAACAACCATCCTGCTGTGAAACACACCTGCAGTCAGCACCCGACTATTCGACGAATAATTATCATTAAATTCGATCCGTTCTCGCGCGCCTAATTCCTATTTTCAGCTGACTACACTTCTGTCAAGCCTTGAAATAGTAGGAAGGCATACACAAAGGACAGATTTCGTCAGCCTAGCTTGACCCGGGGGAGGCGATGAGCTCTGAACAACCACGTCGTCAGAGGTTATCAAATCATTGTACAGCATTCCAAATGCACTGCATGTCGTCAACCGTCCTGAGCGGATCCATCAGTATCTTGGGTATTCAAAAGGGACAGAAGATAATTGAGGCTGAAATAATTAGATGTAAATATTTGAGATAACAAAATCAAGAGCACTCTGTCTATAGCTTGCTTTTCTCAGCAATAAGCCCATACGCCTTAGGCAAAGTCTCCAGCAAGCCTTTATCTATCTCGTCCACACTCCGGAGCCCCGCACAGTTCATCAAAATATCCAAGTCGCCCAAAAGTCCCTTCATGACATGCCTTACACCTGTCTCTCCCATAATAGATAACCCCCAGATCCAGAGTCGACCAACAAAGACAAATTTGGCGCCAAGAGCCAGCGCCTTGACCACGTCAGCGGCCCCTCGAACTCCACTATCAAAAGTGATCACGAAGTTCTCCCTGTTCCCGACCCTGTCCACAATCTTCTCCAGGGCGTCTAAACTACCAATAGCACCATCAACCTGTCTCCCTGCATGATTGCTCACCACAATACCCTCAAATCCCAAATCAGCCGCCTTCTCTGCATCATCTACCCGCTGAATCCCCTTGATGAGGAAAGGCTTCCCGCCACTAATCTCTTGCCACTTCTGTCTAGCCCAGACAGCCTTCTCCCACGACCACGCACGTCCATGCCAGACGTTGTCGATCCACATAGCACCGGCCTCCTCGGGCTGCTTTTGCGGGTCGATCCCGCGCTCCTTCAGCCGCTTCTGGAAGACTGGGTCCGTCAGGCCCAGGTCAGCGCCGATGCCACGGTAGAAGGCGTAATTGGACGTGGCAACATCATCGTGTCGCCACCCCAGCTGCCATGTATCCGTAGTGAGGATACATGCTGTGAATCCTGATTTGTGAGCCCGCGTCAACAGCGAGATGGTCAATTCGTCATCGTGTGGCATGTATAGTTGGAAGAATCGCGGCCCGGGCGGGATCTTCTTCGCCTGTGGGTCATTACTGTCTTGGATCTTTTTTCGGCCTTCATCATTCGACCTGGCAACGTCTTCGATGGGGTACGAGCCCGCAGTAGACAACGAGTACGGGATACCGAGCTCGCCTGCCACTTTCGCGACGGGAAGTTCGCCCTGGGGATGGTAGATCTTGTTGATGCCGATGGGGGCAATTCCAATTGGTGCAGAAACCTCATGCCCGAAAATCTTCGTCCGCATGGAACGCTCGTTGGTATCGCGCAGCTGGAAAGGCACGATCTTCCTTGAAAAGAATGCCTGCCTGTTGGCTAAGTGTGTATGGGAAAGGCCTGCATTTGACGACGCGTAATACCTGCGAGGCCATTAGATTCCTGAGTTCTTCGAGCATGATGTGACACAAGACCAACCATCCATTCTGTGTTAGTTTCTCTCGAGCGAGTTCTTCAAGCTTATCTGGGTCTGTACAAGACATCAGCATTGGCCCTTTACATCCCCAGTGGCATGTATACTGACGAGTGTTGAAAAGAGGGACCTCTCCGTCATTGAGCTTCCAAAAATTATCTCGTTGATATAGACCCCACGATGGGTCATTTCTGGTCTTGATATGGGGCGAGTTTGGGTCCGACATGATTAGAAGTTGTACGTCTGATTTAATGCAGAAATTCGGAAGTCAAACAACCTGTGCAATTGGTTTAAGGTCTTGGCAAGCTGGTTATAGAGTTCCTGATCTACTTAACAGACCGTTAAACCGGGTCAACGTTTTGGAAGAGGCGGATGACGGCAAGTTAACGGTACACCAATTTAGGCCCATTCCAGTCGTGACGTAACAGACGGCTCCTCTTTTCAACGTCATTCTTGTTCGGGAATTACTGGATGATGTTCCCAATAAATCACAATCCGTAGGCGTATCAACTGCCGTGATGCAGCTATCGTATTTCCGGTAGAGCGTATCAATGAATGCGTCAATGTTGTGAGCACCGATGCCGCCTTGCACCATTAATGCAGCTAAGCTGATAGCAACCTCCAACTCCACAGGAAGCTCGTACCCACGCGCAAATAGCTACGAAACCAGGAGATGATCTTGTGATTTGGCTCACGAGAAGCAGGCCTCAGGCACCTAGAGAATTGTTTCAACGGGTTCGTGGAATTATTTCGCAAGGAAGTGCACGTCGGTCTGCGATCCACCTTATCTCAGGATTCAGGTGTTGCGCGGCCGACCACAATTGAGGCAATGCTGCGCCATTGACCACTTGGACGTGGGACAACCGTGCATGAGAAATGCAGTGAGTATAATAGATTTATCGGATTAAGGAGTCAAAGACTGTTAAGAATTAAAAATAATCTGAGTGGGCCGTCATCGGCATTGCTCCTTTGATTTGGCGGAGAGATCTCGCAGTCAGTATGTATTTGAAATTAGATTAATTCTCCTCAATCACAATTGTTGAAAGTTGATTCCTGGGAATTGCATGGCGAAAGCAAATAGGAGTCGGAAAAGAAAAGATGAGAATGTGTCTGGGCTGTACAAGCTTTCTCGTAGTAGTTGAGTACGAAAAGCCCGCCAGCAAGGGTGAAGTCCCTCTGTTGAATGAAAGCCATCGTAAAATGTCTCATTACATATGGAAGGTAGACCGCAATTTGATGATGTGTCCCAATATGCTGTCGAGATTGAAATCGAGCCCACAGCGGTTACCACTGTGCCCGGCATTTCGGCAATCTTACGAGCGAGCACACTTGGGGCTTGGAACGAAGTATCTAACAGATTATACTAGTGAAAATTCTGTTCAATTTGTGGTGATGAGACCGCGTCCATATTTGCAGCCCGGGGCGGAGTCGGAGCAAGCCCGAGTCTCGTCGCGCCATGAATCTAACGTTCACGTAGATTGCTCCTCGGGTAGCAATCTATCGCCGAGAAACCTGCGGGGGAAAGCCGGTTAGCGGATCACATCGCCATTTTAACAGCTCCCTATATCAACAAATTTGCTTGGACTGGCTTTTGGCCCATGACCACTATATTTGTTATAAGAACTCAACTCTAGGATCCGAGAGCTGAACCAATTTGGAGAATGCTCAACATAAGGAATATTGCTACAAGAGTCTTTCCTCGATCGCGTGTGTCTACCCCGCCTACCATGGCCGTCATCCACATAGGTACTTTCCCCGGCGTTTAGTCTCCCGAGAATTTGTTTTGCAAATAGCTAAAGGGAGACTTAGTTCTATTCAAATTCCGACACGATGTTTCTCAACAACATAAGGATCAATTCGTGGCTGAATTGAGGAAACTGAAATCTCTTCCTTGCGTTCAAGACGCCCAACTCACTGTCGGCGGCCCTTCTATCACAGATCCCATCGAACGGAGCAAAGGTTTCGAGTTCGCCCTCGTCAGCCGACACAAGGACAAAGCTGCTTTAGCAGAGTACCAGGCGTCCAAAGAACACCACGAGTAAGAAATTATTACCTTCAAGCTCTGTCTCAAGATGAAGAAAGGTGACTGACAAGACGGTGTCAAAGTGTCACCAGCAAGTTGCTATGGCCGTTTCAAGAAGACGTGTGCCGCTTCGACTTTGAGACATCGGAGGAGGATTCAAGCAAGTCTTTAATCTAGCCAACCTGTTGATAAGTCTTTGGGTGTTTGATCTCAAAGTGTTGTTAACTAAGGGGAGCAAACATGCACATTATGTTCTGTGCTTTGCCAAGGAAACTGCGCTGGAATGTTTGGAAAGTAGCAAGTCTAATAAAGTGTGTCTTCCATGTGAAGATTGTAGCTCAAGCTCCCTGGGAGATGCCGTATAACGGACAAGCTTTATTTTGTATGACAAGGTGAAAGCACCAATGCCGTCTGTTCTAGACACCGTTCAGGGCCGCATGAATGAAATGTGCAAGAGCTCTACACTACGCCAGCAAATACTCATCCAAAACTCTTAGGGAAGTAATTCAAGCAGCCACCTCTTTGAAATCTATCTCTAGAGTTCTAGCCCTAACCCTATCACCGACGCTATTTGCCCACGACAGCCGAAGTCGCTGGGCCCTAAATCTTGCACTGTCGGCTTTGGTCCGAACCCGACGGTCTCAACCCGTTATTGAGCGTTCTATATTCCAACTCTAGATTATATATCCATCGTGCCTATCAGCGCGAAAAGGGCCTCGAATTCGCCAAGCCAGAATCAGGCATTTCAATTCAAAATTTTCGTATCTATTTGTGAGACGACTTCTTCCGTCATGTCATCTGCACAGTCCGATCTCATCAATGTCCCTTCAGATACAGCCCGGGCCTTCGCTCAGCGCTTGCTGGAAGCCCATGGCGTATCATCCCAGGACGCCGCCATAGTTGCAGACAACCTTGTCTCGGCCGATCTGCGAGGCGTCGATACTCATGGGATCAACCGACTACCATCCTACATCAAACGTGTGCAGCAAGGGGTTCTGGATCCCAAGGCACAGCCCACACTGGAGCAGACTACCCCCGTAGTCGCACAAGTCGACGGCAAAAATGCATTCGGAGCCATCGTGGCGAAGAAGGCAATGACTGCAGCAGTGGAGATGGCCAAAATCTACGGCATCGGCATGGTCTCATGCAAACACAGCAACCATTTCGGGATGTCGGCCTGGACAGTGCAGCAGGCCCTCGACGCGGGACTGATGTCGCTCGTCTTCACGAACAGCTCACCCGCGCTGCCAGCATGGGGCGCTAAGGAACAGCTGTTGGGCGTGAGCCCCATTGCATGTGGTGCGCCAGGCGAGCCGATACCGTTCATCCTGGACATGGCACCCTCTGTAGCTGCCAGGGGGAAGATCTACAAGGCTCTCAGAAGGGGCGAAACGATCCCGGATGACTGGGCACTGGACAAGGACGGCAACCGCACCACGGATCCGGCCAAGGCGCTTGATGGAGGCGTGATGCTGCCCATGGGGGGACCCAAGGGGTCGGCGCTGGCGATCATGATGGATGTTTTCTCGGGCGTGCTTTCGGGCTCGGCGTATGGTGGGAATGTCGCTGGGCCGTACGATCCGTCACGACCAGGAGATGTGGGACATTTCATCGTGGCTCTCAAGCCGGATCTGTTCATGAGTGCGGAGGATTTTAGGAGTCGCATGAAATATGTGTATGAGCGGGTGGTGGGATCTGAGAAGATGGCCGGTGTCGATCGTGTCTATTTCCCGGGAGAGGTTGAGATCGTCCGAAGTGAAGAAAGGTTGAGGTCAGGCATCCCGTATGCAAAGGCTGAGGTAGAAACTTTGAACAAGCAAGCAGAGGCAGCTGGAGTGCAGCCTCTGGTATAAAATATCATCCTGCGTGTACCTGATTTACCTCCGGTGTTCAACCTTGGTGACTAGTCAAAGACTTGGTGGTAATACACTGTCTTGTAAAACGTCTGAGAAGACAGTAATTCGACTTCAAACTAATGACAAACTCCTCAAGGAGACGTTGGTCACAAGTTTAGAACATTTTGGAATATTCCTAACTGTCGAGTGACTTTGCGGTGCCCAGTGACTATCACTCGGAGCCCGCCCGGTGCACCAACATTTGAGCGGACGGGAGATCCCCGGCAGCCCTCAAGCACGCAACCTTTGCGGCTTGACCAATCGTCGCTAGGGGAATTCAGCATGACCAAAACTTATACTCAGGACGGCCACAAGAACATGACCACGAACTTCTTCCCTGCACACATCTTTTAAATTCAATTCAATTCTAACACATTGTCCCTTACATCATGACAGACAACAGCCAAACAGGCACGTCTCGGACCAGTGTCAAAGATGTGAGGCTAAATGAGGGGAACGACACCATACCCGACCACCTTGCCGACTATAATCTCAACCGGCCCATCCAACCTGTCACGGGGATGAGACAAGGGCTGCCAAACTACGGAGATCCTCACTTCGCTCTCTTTCTCAGGAAGGTTTTCATAAAGGCACTCGGATATAGTGAAGATGCACTGTCACGGCCCATCGTGGGCATCATCAACACTTACTCCGCCTTCAACCCCTGCCATGCCAACGTGCCCCAGCTCATTGAGGCGGCAAAGAGAGGTGTTCAGTTGAGCGGAGGGCTTGCTCTGGAGTTCCCTACCATCTCCATTCATGAGAGCTTCTCGACACCGACGAGTATGTTTTTGAGGAATCTGATGAGCATGGACACCGAAGAGATGATCAAGGCGCAGCCTGTAGATGCGTGCATTGTCATAGGAGGTAAGATTACTCTGGAAGGCAATGAGCTCTTGAGTGCTGTGTCTAGGATGCGCGTCAAAAACTATTGCTCAATCCAAGCTAATCATGACTAGGATGCGACAAGACAGTTCCAGCCCAGATCATGGGAGGTATATCATCCGGGAAACCAGTCCTGCCCCTAATAACAGGCCCAATGTTAGCTGGCAGCTTCAGAGGCCAGCGTATCGGTGCTTGTACAGACTGTAGGAACAACTGGGCAGCCTACCGCGGGAGCGAGATCAACATCGAAGAGATCTCGGAGCTTAACGAGGAACTCGCACCGAGTGCAGGAACTTGCGGCGTGATGGGGACCGCGTCTACGATGGCATGCGTCACGGCCGCCCTAGGGCTGATCGACCCGAAAGGAGGCGCAACCGCGCCGGCAGTCTCGAGCGCCCGTCTGCGCATAGCAGAGCAGACAGGGAAGAACGCAGTGGCGGCGGCAGCGTCCAACAGCGAGGGCGCCGCGAAGCCGCTGACCCTGACCAACATCCTGAGCGAGGCGTCCTTCCACAACGCCATCACGGTCTTGCAAGCCATTGGCGGATCGACCAATGGGATAGTCCACCTCCTGGCCATCGCCAAACGACACCCCCACGTGGCGGGCAAGATCAACCTCCAGACAATCGACGACATAGGCCGCAAGACGCCGTTGCTAGTCGACCTGAAGCCGAGCGGCGACAACTACATGACCGACCTCCACAATGCAGGAGGCGTGTTGGCCTTATTACACACCTTGCGCCCACTTCTCAGGCTCGAGGCGTTGACAATCACAGGGCAAACACTAGGCGAGCTACTGGACTCGACTCCATTCAAGTCATTCCCCTTCTCACAGCAAATCGTGCGTCCGTTGGACAACCCCCTATATCCAGCATCATCACTCTGTGTTCTACATGGGAACCTCGCCCCAAACGGCGCAGTGATAAAAGCAAGCGCCAGCAAGTACCGGCATTTGCTGTCCCACCGCGGACGGGCCGTGGTCTTCGCCGGCCCCGCGGACCTGGCCGCGAGGATCGACGACCCGGACCTGGACGTCGACGAGGACAGCGTGCTGGTGCTGCAGGGGATCGGGCCCATCGGGTTCCTGAACCCGGGGATGCCGGAGGCCGGCCTGGTCCCCATCCCGCGCAAGCTTGGCGAGAAGGGTGTCAAGGACATGTTGCGTCTCAGCGATGGCCGCATGTCCGGGACTGCGGGCGGGAGTATTGTGCTGCACATCTCGCCGGAGGCTGCGTTGCCGGAGAGCGTACTAGGCATTGTGAGGAGCGGAGATGTTATCGTTTGTGATGTTGAGAACAGGAGGTTAGAGGTGGAGCTGAGTGACGAAGAGATACAAGCTAGAGTAGCGGAAAGGAAGGAGAGACTGGATGGGAGCAAAGAGAGTCGAGGGCCGGCTGATGTAAGGAGGAAGCCGACCAGAGGCTATAGAGGGCTGTATGAGCGTCACGTGAACCAGGCTGAGGAAGGCGTGGACTTCGATTTTCTCACGGTCGATGGAGCGGAGTGTAGTTTCTAAACGTTGGTAACCATACAAGGAAGATAGGAAGCACCGGCTGGCCGAAGGCATATTGGCACAGCTCAAGCTCGCATGACCTATCCAGCACTCTGCTCCTGGCTTTTCTGGGTTGGCACTCAACTTTTCTCTATTCACAGCCGACTGCGAGACTGGTTGGACGTTGCTGGCGATATACAGGAAGGGTAGAGTGATCCCGAGTCCTCAAAATGTCCGACACTCTGCGTGTCCTCGGGAGTCGCACCTTTCTCCCACCCAGACTCAATTGCATTCCAATAGGCGGCTTCGTTCTCCAAGACAAGTGAACAATGCCCCGCTCGGTGAAACCGCAAGATATCAGTCGTCATGCCCTTGGCAACTGCCTGGTTCCGATGCTCCTCGACATCCCGAGAGTCCACAATTTTGTCAGCCTCTGAGGTCAGATACAGCCTTGCAGCTTTGGCTGAGAAGATGTCTGGGTCGTTCAACTGCGAGCGCATCATTTTGGCACTCGGCTCCCTGAGCCCAATTGCTTCCATTCCTACCAAGCCGACGGCTAAGATATACATGACAACGCAGCCCAAAGGCCGCAGGAGACTGACGTCTGGCAAGGAATGAGCAGCAGCTTCATAGGTGCTATGGATGTCAGGGTTCCCAGGGCAACTGTCGAGAACAATTTGTCTCAGGGGCAGCGGTCCTTCATACCCCAGTGTCGCAAGGATGGCGTTTGTAGACTCAACCAACTGCATTGCTATGTTGCCTCCACCTTGTGAGAATATGTGAAGAAGGATTTTCCCGTCCTGCGGTACGCTCGAGGCTTTGTGTTCATGTTGAATTACTAGTCCTAGCCTCCTGATCTCGCGGTGCGCTGGGCGAAGCTTCCGACGGAGAGAAGTGGTGCTCCGGACGAGATATTCGCCGATGTTAGTACGGATCAGAAGAATGCTGGATTGGGGCCAAAGACCATGGTAACCCTTGGTATACCTTTCGATCCGTTTTGTTGTCGCCCCTCCCAGCCACGTGCACAGAATGATGAGAGCTGGGGGGTGTCCTCTACCGCTTTGGCGAGTTCGTTTAGCTCCTTGTGCCGAGCTGCTCTTGCCATTGTCTTCTTCGTTATCTCGAGGCTCATACAGCCAAACATCGTCCCCAAGATCTTTGAACTGGGAAAGTGACATAAGAAAGAGTTGCAATACGCGAAGTAGAATCTACGTCCTGTTTTTCGCGTCTTGGTGCGAAGAGTTTGGGCCGTGGAACATAGAGCATCTGAAATACGCAGCAAAGCCAACTCACCGCCCATCATCTCACCTTCTCTTATAATTACATACGGCAAGGGAGACGCCATACATCCCAGGCCTGGATCATGCCCCTGTCCCAGCATTTGGAGAAGCGGAGGGTATACCATATAGGAGAGAGATGGGTTGGCCATGCCAAGAGAAGGCGCGCAAGGGAGATCGAGCAAGCAATCGCTTGGCGAGCGTGGTGAAAGCTTGGGATCAGATCGCCAGCGACAAGCGTGCGGACATGTGGTAAAGGGAAGCAAAAGGGTCTGCAGTTGACGAATGATGAAGGGACTTGGCGACAGCCACATTCTCTTTGGAGGGCGGCCGCATACGTGGTGAGTGACACGACGCGGGCCGGTGAGGCGTGTCTCAGCTGTCATGGACTGTGAGTCTAGAGCAACAGCTCCATTTGGTTGCAACACAGACAGTCTTTCAAAGACCAAAGGGGTCCAAGAGTTGAGTAAGTAGGGAATATGTTGGGCACGAAGGCACATCCGTAGGGGCTCGATGAAGCCGTGTCACGACGAGGAGAGCAAAGCGAGAGTCAAAAACTATCCTTCAGCTAGCAGCTGTCCTCATTCTGCTGGGTTTATTGAGGTAATCCCAGCCATGGGAACTGAGCACGATACATATCTATTGCGTTGGGGATAGAAATGTGCGCGCAGGCATGTTGGGGCCGGATGAAGATCCGCGGTGGTGGGCTGGGAAAGATACAGAGACATCAATAGGGCAGAAGTCACCAATCAATGAATGCCCAGTGAACTGTGAACTGCCATTCGTCCAGAAAAGGACCCTTCATCATGTTGTGAGACCAAAGCAAAAGACAAAAAGAAACAAAATGTGACCGTGAACTGCGAGGTCCCTGCCGTTGTGGCGTCCGAGGTAGGATTGGATGTCGGCCATGTCAGCGAAGTCGGCAATCGGGAGACGAAGGAGTGAGACAAGATCTCGGGCCGAGTCTGGCGGTTGCTTCGGTACCGGATCGGCGAGCGCCACGCCTGGACCCTGATCGACGTCGCATCGCCCCTTCGCGGTGAAGAAACCGAACGAAGATGTCACGAGTCTGTCATAGCCGGGTGACGTCACTCCAATTGCCGACTTCCGCAAAATGGGACACTGAGAGGCCAGAGCGAGGCAGAACTGCCCAGTCGAGCCAGTCTTCTGCCGAAGAGGGAGAAAAAGAAACGGATTCGATGCAAAGCTCTGCACCGTCTCGGCCGGGGCAATCAGGAGAGGCGTCGAATAATTCATTCTGTTCTGTTTCGATAAAAAGAAAGATCGTCCCCACTGTGCCACTGGTTTACTTAGCTGATGGCTGTGAATTGAATCTATGGCCGCACGTCCTGTGTAAATCTAACGCCAACACCAAGCAAATCGTGTAACTTAATTATATCTGGTCCCTTGCATAGGTTGCTTTTGTTGCCAAGCAACTCTGAACTCAATGGAGAAACTCAATGTGCCTCGGTCCAACACCGGCACCAACACAAACACAAACATTGGCGCTCCCTCACCATCGACTTCTTTCTCAAGCTCAGGGGAGAAGCCAACACAATCGCCAGAGAGATCTAGTACAGATCCTCTGGCCAGTCCAAAACTGCAACAACACGAACAGGAACAACATCATGAGAAACATGACCGTCATGATCTACACTACTACCACCCACGTCCCGACGAGGACATCGAGTCGCGGCATCGCCTGTCAGGCTCGGAATCCAACAGTAGCCATGACTACTCAGATGACGAAGACTGCGATGACCCCGACGAGAAAGATCACCACCACGATGGCCACAGGCCCTGCAGGCTTGAGATGCGGCCAACCTGGTCACAACGGACCAGGAGCAGGCAAGGGAGTGTAGGCGCCAATGCCAGTGCCAGCGGTCTGTCTATCGAGCGGACTGTCTCCCGGAGAGACACTGTTCTCTCCAGGATTAGGTCCCGGCCAGCCATACCTGAGTTCACACACCCCCTGGTCCACCAGAAGACATCAGAGGCCGACCTCGTCGACTTTGATAGCCCAGAAGACCCGTACCGGCCCATGAATTGGCCCACTAAGAAGAAATGCACCACAACCCTCCTCTACGGTCTTGTAACAATGTCAGCGACGTGGGCATCTTCAGCGTACTCAGCGGGCACGTCTCAGATTGCGGAGGAATTCCGAGTCAGCTCCCAAGTCGCAACTCTAGGGACGACCATCTTCCTGCTCGGTTTCGGCATTGGGCCCTTGCTCTGGGCGCCTCTTTCCGAGGTCTTCGGACGACGAGCAGCGGTGCTTACGCCTATGTTCATCGCCACCTGCTTCTCCTTCGCGACGGCCACAGCCAAGGACCTACAGACTATCATGATCACACGCTTCTTTGGCGCCTTCTTCGCATCTGCCCCTGTGACGAACACTGGCGGTGTGCTGGGCGACCTCTTCTCACCAGCGCATAGGGGTATAGCCATGGCAGGTTACGCTCTCGCCGTGGTCGGCGGCCCTACGGTCGGACCAATAGTCTCTGCTGCTGTGGTTCAGGTCCCCTACCTGGGCTGGCGTTGGACAGAATACCTCACTGGGATACTACAAGCCTTTATACTTCTGAACGCTATCATCTTCATCGATGAGACCTACCCGCCCGTCCTCCTGGTTAAAAAGGCGCGACGTCTCCGACATGAGTCTGGAAACTGGGCTTTGCATGCCAAATTTGAAGAATGGGATGTCAACATTACCCAACTTGCAAAGAAGTTTCTCATCAGGCCCATCCAACTGCTCTGCACACCAATATGCTTCCTCATGGCCCTCTACGCGTCCTTCTGCTACGGTATCCTCTACATGCAACTGGGCGCCGTCCCCTATATCTTCGGCGAGATCAGGGGCTGGAATCTCCTCTCAAGCGAGCTGCCCTTCCTCGCCATAACCCTGGGCTCCATCACCGGCGCGGCGCTCAACACATTCAATCAGCTCGCTTACAACAAGGCCTACGAGGCAGCCGGTCAGAAGGCTGTCCCCGAGAAACGGCTACCGCCAATGATGCTGGGTAGCGTCCTGTTTGCGGGCGGCCAGTTCATTACCGCGTGGACCGCGGAGCCTCAGAACGCCCCCTGGATCGTGCCTGTCATTGGGCTGTACCTGATGGGCTGTGGCTTTAACACGATATTCCAAGCGGCACTGAACTATCTCGTCGATACGTTCCGACAGTATTCTGCGTCCGCCGTCGCTGCAAATACGTTCCTCCGAAGCGTGTTCGCCGCTGGCTTCCCGCTGGCAATCAGCCCTCTATACCACCAGCTCGGCGTGGGGCCGGGCCAGAGCATCTTTGCTGGGTTTGCGACTCTGTTGATCCCCGTGCCGTTCATCTTCTATGTGTTCGGTAAGAGGATTCGGGCAAAGAGCAAGTGGAGCAGGGCGAGCGTGTACTGAGATGTCGAGGCCGCTCATTGTACATACTCGACAAGGTGTAAATAGAAATGTGGGAGTATAATGTGTTCGCCGGTCCCTTTTGTTGCAATGCTGCGCAACAATGGATTCAATAGAAGCAAGAGAGACAGCATATACCAGAGCTCATCATGCACAACGAAAACAAATTGGAGAATTCGGAGTTTTAGGATACCCAAAAGATTTAGAATAGCACGATAGCAATTGATAAAAACCGAAACTAGAATACTTCGCGTATACATGTTTGCGTGTTTGCGTGTTTGTGTGTGGTATGTGAGTGTGTGTGACAATTGCCAATGGCGAGACACAGGCCATGAAACAGTTTTCAAGAAGATATACGTGAATATTGACTAAACTATAATATCCCGGCCAAAATATACAGACCGATTCCAGTCCAAGTCCTTGATGCCCAACGCCGAGCCTTGCGGCTATGATGAAAACAACCCGTAGATGCCATCCAAGGGTATCGCCCACTTATGCACACAGACACAAATAAGCACATATAAAGACCATCCCAGAAAGTTCCTCATAAATCCAGACCAACAGTGCAATACCAAGATGCAAAATTGTCCTGAACATTCCTCGTGGCGCGCACAAGGCCTTTCTATTACATTGTTGATCCCATAAACGCCGTCCATTCGACCCAAATTGTTCAAACGACGACCCGTCCAGGCTCGGAGACTTTAGGTGAAAGTTCAATTTCCCACGCTGGTGAGCAATCTACCCGTCCCTAGCCGTGGTTGCTCACCAAGCTAGCCTTGTCACTCTCATCGTCATCCTCATCGGGCTCGAGGTCGGCCTCGTCGAACTCAACGCTCTTCCTCTTCTCCTCCTCCTGGATCTCACGCCACGTGCTAACGCTCAGCATGAGGAAGGCGGCGATGATCAAGATGCCGCCCACGATGGCCGCAAAGCTGAGCGGCTCGCCGGTCAGGAACCAGTCGCTCAGCGCCACGATGAAGATGGTCAGCAGAGACGCGACCGAGCTCAACACCGGGGACGTCAGGCTAATGAGCACAAGGAACGACCCGGCAAAGGTCGCGTTCATGATTACTGACACGAAGAGCCAGAAGGCAGTCGCGCCGGTGGGCAGCGCAAATTTCTCAATGCCGAGAATGTGCAGGATGGGCAGTGGGATCCAGAGCACGAAGAGCGTAAAGCTGCCAATCAGACTCCCAGCGAGATTTGCGAAAACCATTCCCCTGCCAGGGCTGCAACCTTCGGGCGGACAGGCGAAGCGCTTGTACAGGACTTCGTAAAGTCCATAGAGGACCGAGCCGACGCCGATGATGATGTTACCGAGGAAGCGATTGTTGGCGTCGGACCCCTCGTCCGTGGGCTTGGAATCACCGTAGGCCACAATCAGCACGCCTATGATGGCGATTATAACAGCAAAGCTCTTGTCCCAGCGCAGTGGCTCCTTCAGCAGCGGGACGGAGAAGACATATGCGAAGAAGGCGGAGCAATTGTAGATGGCGGTGAGGTCCGATGGTGTGGTCATGTCCACGGCTATATACCAGCCAAGTCCGGCGATGGTGAGTGCGCTCGTGATGAGAGCCGTCGTGGTGAACATGTACCGCACGGGGCTTCGTGCTGTGTGGTGATGGGCAACTTCCAGCGTCTTACCCTCGACCATCTGCGCAGTGGTGCGGCAGAGCCAGACATGCTTGCTCCAGAACACGTTCCAGGGCATGTCGCGCTTCTGTAACCGCAATATAAGCAGCTGGGTAGGCCACAATATGATCCAACTCCCATGTGTCAGATACAGCATGCAGTATGCTTTGTTCCATCCCAATTCGTTCTGGACGTATGCGCCCAACTCGGTCTGCACGCAGAAGGATACGAGGGCGAGGATGAGGAAAATAGCGGCGTATGTATATTTCTTTCGAGCAGCGAGCCGGGCATTCGTGTTGGGGGATCGACTCCGTAGCGTGCTTCGTCTGGAAAGGGATGGATGGTGGGGAGTGGCAGAGCCGCCCGCGGATGACTGACTGTGTCTAGAGATCGGACGGGAGGACGCTGTCGAGAGACGAGGAGAGGATTGTCGATCGGGCAGCCCAGCATAGCCGTTGTGTTGGGGGCGCCCGCGGTCGAAGTTGTCGTGTTCGTAGTCATCGATTGAGGGCAGGTTGGAATCTCTGTGTTTGTGCTTGTGAAGAAGTGGCTTCCCAGAGGTAGTGCCCTCGCGCAAGGACGATTTCCGGGTATCAACCATGGCTAATGAATGAGTGTATGGTCGGAGAAGTGGTAAAAGAGAGAGACGGGACCAGCAGAATAGATGTGGTCAGCTCAGCATGGGAATGCGACCTCGGAACGGGCTGTCTGTTTGATGCTCGCAGGCAGCGGCTGACTGGGCTGCGCATAGATTCCTGTGCCGACGAGGCGCGGAAAGAATCCACGGTGCTGAGGACAGAAGCGTTGGTGGTCGAAGGCGGCCTTGAAGGTTATTGGCGACGAGGCTGTAGATGGGACTGTGGTATTGATTCTGGGTAGAACTGGAGACTCTGGTGAGCCATGTGGCCTCTTCTGCCACTGTTCTAAGGTCTTTCTCAGCGCAGGACGATGAAAGGGGAAAAGACGAGAATCTGCGACGACGCAGAGGCACCAATGATCAGTGGGACATAGGGAGGATAAAGATAGAATGGAACTAGGTAAGCACAGATAAGGAACTGTAGGAATGGTCGGCGCTGTGCTGATGATGGATGCCAGATGATGAACGGCGATAAGACGGGAGAAGGGGTTCGTTCTTTGAACCGTCCATCACATGGCAAACCTCAGAGCTACTGGGAGATCACGCACGATTGCCCTTCTGTCCTCAGGGCATTTGCAGAGTCCCGATGGAAAGGTCCAGCCAATCGTGGCCCCTGTGCCTGCGTGCGGTCCCCCACTACCAGGCGCTGGGCTGCAGAACGCTAAAGACGGGGAGGGGCCTGTCCCCTTCGTGACGGGGCAGTATGATCTAGAAATAGGGGTTCAGAATGTTCCACCCCACGCACTCCGTCCTGAATCTCTACCACCCCACCACCACTCACTACCACCATCCGAGTCTTCCGTCCAGAGTCATGAGGCAAAGATTGCCAAGATATTTCAGATCATTCAAGCTGTTGGCCACTCTACTTTCATAAGATACTTTGAGTTGCTGTCGACCCACCACTCTTCTGCTTGCCGCCCCGAGTCTATCATGTAGTGTGGGTATATAGACTACACATATACACACACCCTCTAGAGATAACGGGCTGACCACCACTATCAAGATCTCTCTGCCGCTCCTCATACGTGATGTGACATCCGTCACATGCAGCTGCTACAAGTAACGTGAACATGCCTCGTCGATGAACATTGTGGTCGCCGGCGTGTATGTACCCGGAGACGATTCGGGCCTATCCGGTTTGTATCACTACAGTTATTCACGCGTTTGTGCAGTTGTGTAGTATCAATGCTCATTATTATTACCAATAAACTCAAACAACACTCTTAGGACAAAGTCCCGACTCGCTTACGCGTTGCTAGCACAACTCCACGGCTCGTGTGTGCTGTTGCTCGCAAGGCTATCTATCACACTCCACAACCCCAACGCGCAGAGCATGAAGCCCACGACTACAAGTGTGACGTTGGAAACCAGTCCAACTGTCATCTTCCAGTTCTTTAAGTACTGGCCCCGGTTCAAGAACAGCCACATGATACCCGGAACTCCGTATGAGAACCAGCTCACGAACAGGGCACAGATCAGACTCAGAAGGCTGTTGAAGACGGGAATCGACTCCGAGATGACAAACGCAATCACCCAGATCGTCAACCCGAGGCACACCCACCCGGCGTCCCCGATCAGTGTCCGCCTGTGCATGTGTCGCGTCTTGCCAAGGATCCGGCCGAAGATGTACCTGGCCGCAACGTGGCCGTAGATGACACCGGCGATGACAATGGTGGGCAGCGCAATTCCCCAGATCACCTTCCTCACAACCACGGAGCCGGCCGCCGAGAGCGCAGGCGAGGGTACATCAGGGCCCACGTACACATAGATGACCACCGCGGCGACCAGGTACAGCGCCGTGTCAAGGAACTGCAGCATGCACAACGCCTTGGGCCAGTTCGTCTTGATGTCCAGCTCCGAGATGACGTTGAAGAAGCACGAGTGTGCGCAGAAGGCGATGGCAATGTTGGTTACCGACAGAAAGGCCCCCGTGAATCCGAGCTGGCGCGTGATTTCTATCGAGGTGGAGCCGATGGGCTTCTCGACCCCCACGTCGACGATGGTGATGATCACCGCGGAGAAGATGGACAACGAGGATGCGATCGACAGGTACGACGCAATGTTAAGGTTGCGTGGAATGTTGAAGAGCCAGAAGATGACGAGCCCGACTCCCGCCCACATGACGGTGCATTGTGAGCTGTTGGTCACTATCGAATCATTTTCAGTTAGCGACTTAATTCTCTATGGTTCCGAGAGGCTTCTTTAGGTATCTCTAGGGTGTAGAGACAGAAACGGGGAAAGTCTTGGACGCGAAGAAAAAGGAAAACACTGACATGTGTTCATGGCAATTGTGAAGGTAAGCAAATGGCTGCCCATTACGAAGATCTGAAAGATCGTCTGGCCCCATCCCAGGAACTCCTTGCAAAAGGCGCCCAAGGCAGGTCCGCCCACGCTCCGCCCGACGATCTCGCCCACGCCGCCGAAGGAGTCGACTTCCGGGTACAGCCTGCAGAACTCGCCGAAGACCAACCCTGAGTATCCCGAGAGAATGGCCATTACGACGATCAGGACGATACCGGGCACGATCCCCACGCTTGCAATGACCGATGGGAGCGAGAGGATACCGAGAGACACCGTTTCTGCGAAGAGGACGGTTCCAGCTTTCCTGTTGAAATTGTTAGAATCCCTGTTCGTCCTAGGAACATGTTGTTCTGGAAGCACTCACCACCAGGACAAGGGCGTCAGGTTGATCTCTGCGCCATCTTCTTGTGCCACACTGGATGTTGTCCTCGCGTCATCTGTCCGGTATGCTGGCGGGCTCGAATCCTTCTTTGAGACATCGCCTGATGTGTTCGAACCTGTCTCCGGATCGATAGGCATGGCGTTCTTTTCTTGCTCTTTGGGCGCCATTCTCTCAACCTGTTGAGTCTCCTTTCGGATCACCGTTTTCGAGGTTGGCTGCAACGGTCGGGAAGGGTTTTCAGTTCCAAGATCCGTTGGTGCTCAGCTCAGGCTAGCACTTTGGTTGAGAACCCGACAGGTGTAAGTGCGGCCCTTAGTAGTTCCACGAAGGCCGTCGAAGAAATGCGAGAAAAAGTTGGAAGGCTCATTGAGCTCAGCGCATCATCAGGCGACATATGCTGGATTTAAAGAAAAAGCCATCTAGCATTGGGTCATAGGCATGATTAATCCTGATTCGGGGCCGCAATCGGATACAGCAGCTGATGGCAAATCCAACCGAATGACTCTTTTAATCCGCCGCGTCGGCTCCATAGTATAGGCTGGGTCTGGCCCGGGCACGGCTGGGCACGGTGAATCCCGGCCGGGACAGCTGGCCCCGATCAGCCTGCTTCAGACAAGGTTTGTGAGGCTATCGACAGCTCCATTTTAGGCATGTCGGCACTTGAAACAGAGTTCGAACCAAAACAAGTCCATATCTCGTGGTGAAGCCGCCGATGAGATCGAGCAAGAACCCTTAAGCCGCGACTTTCCATCCCAAAGTCGAGTCCTCGAGATGTCGTGACCCTCTCTGCCATGGGAAAGAGCCGCTGCGTGGTCGGCTCATTGTGGAAAATTCTCGCACATTTGGTAAAATTTACGTGATGTGGTGGAAATTTTCTGGGGGGGAATGGAACCAGGACCCGCTTTTCGACTCTGGATTAGAACAATTCGCCCCCTCAGATTTCCGAGAGTCAAAGCAGCGCCGCCGCATGAGCTTTGTTCACCAGCATCAGCCGCCCAGACATCTGTGTGTGCGAGTTCGGTGACGGGAAAAAAACTGCCTCGAGACTGCCTCCTGTCGTGCTGGTGTATCCTTCTTCAGGGGCGATCAGTGGACACGGCTGCACGGCCGCCTCACGCGTAACGTGGTACTGCTGCAACCCAAGCGGTATGACCCTTGTCGCGTGACCCCACGGGGTTGGATTCTGTGCCTGTCATCTTTATGATAGCCTCTGTCATTGGTCAATTGAGACGACGAAAGAATGAAGCCTGGATTTCTGATATGCACATGTCGATCATTGACTGCTGAACCAACTCCGAAGCTCTTTGCCGCCACCTCGTGCTGCATGATACTTATGTCAGGGGGCTTGGCAGAAGACTACATGACTCCACCGTCGAAATTATTGAAGAATCACTGGAAGTCCGCATTGACTAAGGGAAAGGATCGCAAGACAGCTTCAAAAGTATCGAGTTCTCGTGTAAATCCTAAGAGAATTCCTGGCACAATCTCATCATAGGCACATCCTGATGTCCAATAGGTCGACTTCAATGTTCTGAAGCTGTTGGATTCAGGGCGACAAGTTTGAAGTGATATACGAGGTCCGGAATTGTGACCGAACCATAAGCTTCGATGTAATCCCTAGGCAAGGGGAAGATATCTACTGAGAAGGTTTGGACCAATTATGATACACGATGCGTGAATGCAAACTCTCCGATCATACACACGTTGGGAATAGCTTGTCTCAACGTAGCATCAGGTGACCTTGTCATACTTTATCAGCTCTCCTACTCTTAGCAGGACGCAGAGATGTCAGTCCATTGCAAACGTACCAAAGTCCCTGAAGCCAAGTAGACCGCCTTCCAGCACGTCCGTCCTCAAACGACCGCAACAAGTCAGGTTCCGACCACCCAAGTCCGTACTTAATTATCGATTTTCGTTCGGACACTAATCATCATTGCCATGAAAAACCCGGCGGTCACTTAGGAAGCGATCCATCCAAGCCACCTCATCAGCCGCCAGAGCCTGCAGCAGCAGGTCCGACACGGTAAACTCCACCTAAGGATCCGTGTGTTGAAGGTAAAGCCACACGCTACTTAGGGGTAGAGTAGTGACGCCCGCGAAGGCAAATCGACGGAGGGATCCTTGGCTGTGGAGGCGGAGTTTGAAAGATTAGCAACTATTCATTGTTGTTGCAGGGTGTAGTCACTGCTCGGAAAGAGGAGTGTAAGTAAAGATGTCTGGCTATGACCTCGCAAGGTTGAGAAGGGGCCAACTCGATTGCTGGCTGTCTTAGAGGTAGTAGAGGTAGTCGAGGATAATTCCAGCACCGCTAAGAAGAAGGGTTGGCTGGGAGATTCACGAACAAGAAGTAATTTACAGAGTGGCAACACGGAAATGGGAACGAGGGGGAAAACTTACAAAAATGCAGGACCGTCTGCGTCATCATCGCTGCTAAATCCCGCCTCCATCTCTTCATTGTCTCCATCATTTTCAGTCTCTCCTGGCTGCCGCTTCACAAAAACGCCCTCTCTTTCCACCCTCCATTCTGCACCGAAGTGTCTCACATACTCAACCGCCATGTCCCAGCTCTCACGATCTGCAGCATCGCCTGATTCGAAAACCTGAAGATGGCGCCAATTTCCCGCGGAGCTGGAACTATCGAACAACTTGGGCATGATCTTGCTACTGTATGAATGGTTAGCATTTTCATGCCGATCGCAGCGTACGTGACGTGTACTGTAGGTTCTTCGGACAAATTGTCCTAGGCCCATGCCTGTGAACATGTCTCGGAGTTACAGCGCATGTAAACGCCAAGTTACGTGTAAGGGATTCATTTTTGAGGAAACATACTAGCTCGTATTACGCTCAGCCCACAAATCGTCCACTGTGAAACCCAGAGTCAGCTTCCAACCCGGAAAGGAACAGCACTGCTCGAGAAAAATACGAAGTGAAATCAAAAATTTCTATAGCGTCCCTAGCAAGCTTCTGAAAAAAGCAGGAATCAAGACACGTAGTGAGGTAATTTCAGATTACGAGAGATGCAGGTGAAGATGCCTCCTGGGCTACTTACTGTCCAGGTGTTCCATCTCCTTTTTATCTTTTAGGATGTCATTTCGTGGCACGAGCTGCACAAAGAGGCGGTCGATACGCGGAAGATTTTGCACCAAGGTATTAAAGTGTGTTGACAAGGGGAAGATACCGACATAACTAAGATCGCGGATGGTAGGAGTAATCAGAGGCTCATCGTTGGGAAACTCCTCTGCCCCAAGAAGAGCGCCAAGCATGGATGGTGGACGTCTGTGGTAGTACTCGTATGTCTTGTAGACGCGGGTGGAGGAACCCTCATTGAGGAGGAGGGATGTCCAGGGGCGGATGGCGAAGAGAGCGCAGGGGACGCGTTTGGCCGGGGGAGTGGCAGAAGACGCTGCCGTAGAAGGCTGCGCCGTGATTTCGGAAGAGGCTGGAGAGGACGACCCTGCCTCCTTATACGGAGCACCAGGCTCGTCGTTCTCCTTGTCGGAGCTTGCAGCAGTGTTTTGACTCCGAGACAATGACAGCACATGATGTGACTGGTGAAAGCTCCACGCGTCGCCGAGGAAGAGCATTCTGGCCAGCAGTGATGCCAACGTCCGAGGTGAGGCGATGATGGTAAAACGGAGGGGGTCAAGCAGGTCGAAAATCAGGTTCCAAAGCCAATTCGAGTCCTCGTTGAAAACCATATCCCTCTCCCGGCCAACGCGGTTCCATGGGCCGAACGGGTCTGGGCTGTACCCATTGTCTCCTGAGCGGCTTAATTCGGCATCACCGCCGTTAGATCTCACTCGTGTGCTCTTGACAACTACGAGAGTTAATGTCTTTACATATGATGTCAGGTTGTTGTCTCGCACGAAGGACAGCAGGGGTATCATCGAGTGAGGACCAGTGGACAGCTCTAGATCGACCAGGCTCAGGTCCGAGTGATCTAAATACCAGACGGCGTTCCGGAAGAGAAGAGGAAGCACGGTGGCACGCCATTGCTTGTTAACGAGCGAGAGGTTCTTGAGGTTCTGGGACGAGAGGTCGGGGTCTTTAAGCATATGCGCATGGGGCTGGTCGTGCAGGCGTCGGTCGGACGGGGCCTCAGCGTCAAGGAAGCTGAAGATGTGAGACAGCATCTCCGTAGGGAGTGCGCTGATGTCGATGGTAGTCATTATCACGGAAGTTGCCGGGATGTCAGGCTAAACAAATGCAGGTACTTGAGAGGTTCGTAGGTATCATGGGGGATCATCATACGGCATTGTGGGATGCGGTGAGTGGTGGTTGTGAGTGAGACAAAGACGGATGGGTTGACGTCAAGCCATGGCCATCGATAAGAGACCCTGAGACGTTATCGCGGCCCCTGATCCTTGTCCATGTGGCCCTGGTTTGGCGGGGTTCAGCGGCCCCCACCTCTCACACACAGCCGCCTTGAAGCGCGTCCGACTTCCTGCCAATGTGCAATGGCAACGTCCCACCGAGGATTGTATCGCAAAGGAAAGCATCTTTCACGAAGTCTGCATCAGGATACCTAGGTACCGAGGTACTGTGCAGGCGTCCATTATAAGGGCTCGGCAGCTGCAACAAGCCGCTGCATGTCATCCACACGCCACTCTTTGCATGCTGCGCAGCCAATTCCACCTCTCTGTCTTCTTCCTGCTACCAGCACAGCTCGGTTTGTGGCTGGCGCATCTATCCCTCGCTCATCTGCAAAGCCATCTAGCTCATCGTACCACCTGCTTATGTAGGTCTCATAGGCAAGAGCGCGGCATGCGATGACACACACATGCAGCACTCGTAGGGACCTCTATTTTCCGAACTTCCTTCGTGTGATATAGTCATGCCTTACCAATTGCATTGCAGTTCAGTCATGGTGCAGCCAAGAGGCGCAATATTTGGAGCCTCCCGCTTCTCCTCCCCAAACCCCGCTGACATGTCACCAATTAACACTGTCTCCAAATTCATTTGGCCAAACAATGGCGGGGGACCTTGGTCCGCAAGCATAGGCTACCGACAAACCGGGGAGATCTGCCTTCCGGCAATACCAAGGATGCGACTATGGTGATGGGGTTCGCAGGGATCTATCGGCAAAACTCCTGACGTTTGGTATAGTTTGAACTCCAGGGCGGGGGAGGCGACGTAAGAACCAGGAGATGGCGACGACATTTCTAGCAATATAAACCTCAGCTCGTCGTCTAACAAACGAATTTTATAAGCCAGACTTTCACCTCCCCGTAAATACCCGCTTGCTTGTACACAACCTCACTGAACTACACAATGGTCGCTAAGAAGAACCATCAGCGTCCCCCCTTCCGGGCTGAGCACCTTGGCTCGCTCCTCCGACCACAAAGTCTGGTGGACAAGCGTATCGCTCTGGACGGCGAGAAGGCTGTAGTCATCGCCAATGACAAAGAGCTTCACAGCATTGAAGACGAGGCTATCAACGACATCGTGAAGGTCCAGCTAGACTTGGGGTTCCACGCTGTGAATGACGGCGAGTACCGTCGTCACCAGTTCTGGGGCACATTCTTCCCTGCTCTTGAGGGAATGGAGGAAATTGAGAACCCACCCCTGGAAATATTCCGGCTTTATGTTCCTGACTTAGCTGCCTTCAGTATGTCGTTTACTCCTTATGCTCGACTACTGGGCAAGAAACTGACAACGTCCCAGCCGAGGCTGGTCACAAACCTGGCGAGTCTGTGATTTGTACGGGCAAGATTAAGCATGTCGGCAGCACTTATGTCGACCAGTGGAATTACTTGAAGAAGCGCCTCCCAGCCGAGTACGTCAAAGAGGCGAAGCTGACCCTGCCGGCACCTGAGTGGTATCACCTTCGCTACCAGCCCGGCAAGGCATATCCGAAAGAGGTATACGCCAATGACGAAGAATATTTCGCCGATATTGCAAAGGCGTACAGAGCCGAGCTGCAGGTCCTGTACGATGCTGGCTGCCGCAATGTCACCATCGACGACCCCAATTTGGCCTGTAAGTCCAACTTCTTGAACACAGTCGCATACAAGTTCGGTCAGCCGCTGACAGTGCACTAAGACTTTTGCTCGGAGAAAATGCTTCAAGGCTTCAAGGACGCTGGAGAGGACTCAGAGGCCCTGCTAGATAGCTACATCAAGCTTTACAACGATTGCATCTCGCAGCGTCCCGACGACCTTCACTTGGGTATCCACCTCTGCCGCGGCAACTTCGCCTACAGTCGACACTTCAGTGAGGGCGGCTATGACCGGATCGCTTCTAAGCTCTTCAACGAGATCGAGGCCGATACTTATTTCCTCGAGTATGATACCGATCGCGCCGGCGGCTTCGAACCTCTAAAGGAGCTACCGCCGTACAAGAACGTGATCCTGGGCGTGATCACTAGCAAGTTCCCCGAGCTGGAAGACTTGGAAAAGCTCAAGGACAGGGTATACCAGGCAGCAGATTTTGTGGCAAAGGGCGCGGGCCAGAGCCGCGAGGATGCGCTGAAGCGGATCGGGGTGAGCCCTCAGTGTGGATTTGCGAGTCATCACCTAGGGAACAGCGTCACTCGGGAAGACATGATTAATAAGCTCAAGCTGGTGAGGAAGTTGGCGGATACCATCTGGCCGAATGAACCATAAGGCTTCAAGTCAGATTGAAGCTCCCTGCTTCTCGGGAAAACCCTGTTGAGAGCGGGGGATGCTTGTTATCCATCAAGGATATGTGCTTTGTACCAAACGCTTTGTTCAGAGGCCTTTCTTTGCCAATGTTAGTACAATTTCAACAATTCATAGTAAAAGCGCCAATATAGTCCTTTACTACCTAGGCATCGATGTATCCCATCGGGATTGAATGCCCAATGCGATCTTACACATTCAAACACAGCAGAAACGAAGGCAATTTCCTGCCATCTCAAATGGAGATGAGATGCGTGTCTGCTGTATGCGTACAAGATCCACCAAGACATCAGCATCGTTCACCACAGTCTGCTTTCTCGCTCGTAAGAGATGTTTACAGATTCAATTTACATGATCAGAGCCTAATACAGTCTGAAGGCGTTGGTAGCCTCTTAAGCTTTCTCCCGAGCCACTCATATGCTCAAAATGCAGTCTTCTAATAGCAACATTCTCGCACTGAACCCATTCTTCGATTCTCAAATATGCCGTACATGCGCAGATCGTTCCCGCGCTTGCTGATCCCGTACTCTCAACTCCGCCGTTGTCCAAGTGGGCATGTCACCTTAACCTCGTAATGGATTGCTGTCGGAACCATCGTCGTGTCCCTTGATGTAACAGTTGACTAGACTGTCCTTGCAGGGACGTCTGTCACACCTGTAGTGGAAAAGTCTCTCCCTCTCGGAGAATGACATAGTCAGACATTCTGCTCCGTAAGGGTATCTCACGTACTATCATGTCCATAGTCAGTCCAGGTACCAGGGAATAGAAGACGCACTACAAGATAGGCACACAGAATTCTGCGTACACATCGCCTGTCTCACAAGCAAAGGCCAAGTAAATGCCTTTTGAGGCAAGCCAGCCAGCGAATGTGGCAGGGTTCGACTGTCAAAAGGGTGCAAATAATGTATGGGTGCTGCTTACCGATTTTTGGCTGAGTGTTCCACGTCGCACTTCGTCGCGGAGCAGTTCCACCACATCAGCCCAGGTTCCACTTAGCAAGTAGACATACCAGAGGCCGAGGACTACCTGATCACTGTTTAGATGATCGAACAAGCCTTGGAGGTCTCTCAGGTGAAGGGAGCAGTTCTTCAGGTGAATGTTCTGGAGCTCAGGCGAGGGGAGTGAGATGACGAGGGGCCCGATGCTGGTGCGGTCTGGATCATGCATTCGGTTGTCTTCAAGGCAGTATCTCTCCTGGAAAGCAAAGTCCAATGCCATCGAATCCAGCTTTGGTGATCTCATGAAAGCGGTCAAGAATTTCGAAAGATCCGTGTTTTCTTCATGGCCCCTAGAGGGCCTCCAGACGTGTTTCGGTTCGGCTCTGACGCTAAATTTGAACGACTGCAAGCTCTGGGCGAAAGACTCGAGTTGTGACTTACGGTCGCTATCGAGGTTCAGCTCGAAGATGTGAGCGGGTGTCAGGTCGAATTTGAGATGAGCCAGTGAAGAACCCGCTTGGTGGATTGCCAAGGGGATTTCATAGAGAAGTTGGGTGGGTGGGTTTTCCACTCCCATGACCCTCGCTTTTTGCCAGCAGACTGTGTGTAACATCATGTCTTCGACTAAGGGAATGGGATCCGTGGCCAGATTCTCCAGTCTGTGGCGAAATCTTGCACTGCTGAGCTCACTGTCGTCACAGCTACGTGATCTGTCCTTGATCACCAGGTCGTTGAGGCGGTTCATCCTGCCAATCGCTGAAGCAATGGCCTGTGGAAAACTGTCTCCGCGGAAGACAGCCTGCTGCTCTTGAAATAGATTATGATATCGTAGGTAGCCGTTGTATAAGGCGTTTACGTGGTGGACATTGATATGGGTCCCATCGTCGTAGTCTTCCGTGAGTGACTCCGTGAATGCGACCCAAGAGCGTCGAATCTCCGCGAATTCCCTGAGACGAGGATTGTCTCGAGGCATCATCTCACTCAAACGGTCCAGCTCCTGCATGCAAGCTATGGTGAAAGAGCCCACGCTGCGAGCAATGTCGGCATTGTAGGAGTCGACTGAGACGATGAGACGGCGAATGCCTTTTGAGATGGCCGGATGGCGGGACATTTCATCGAGGCGTTCGAGCGATTTTGGGTTCGGGCTGACATAGATGGTATGCAACAGAAGATGAGAGCTGGATTTGTTGAGGCGTCGCGAGGACAAACGCAGATGTTTAATGTCAGAGGGGTTGCGGAGCTGAAGGAAAGTCGCCATGAGAAGCTCGTCGGGCAGATCATAGATCGTGAGAGGGCGCAACAGTGGCCGGGCAAGTGAGTCAAAGACTTCTCGCAGTGCGCTCTGAGCCTCTGTCAGCTTCAGCGACACAAATCGGAGCTTGCCGATGGATACTTCGAGGCTACCACCCTCCAAAGTCTCAATCTGGGCCTTCACAATTTGTTGCGTTGAGTCGAGGTTGTCCAATTGTTTGCGAATGTCGTACAAGTGAGTTCGCCGACTCTCCGGTGTAAGGTCGACCGAGTCCATGATTGCGACGTAAAGCAATCTTTTCTTCTTGAGGGAGGTTTTCAAAGCTGCTTGAGTATGTGAATAAGCTCCAGTGGTGCACAGGCATTGGAGCAGCTTACCTGCAAACAGGAGTTTTGAAGTCTTGTTCAGCCAGTGCTGTTTGTAAAACAGCTGGATGACCTTCCACGGATAGTTTTTTCTTAACTAAAAGGTCCTGAGCTTGAACTAGCTCCAGAAAACTGTAGGTATGGGGAGGTCAGAAGGGCCCAAATGTCAAGGGACGCTCGAGCTGGTGACTGGAGAAGCTTTGCGCAAGTGATCGTTTGGCCAAACGATGCGTCGTTGAGTAGATGAGTGAAGGTGTTGATCTTTGCATCTGGGATGATTCAAGTAGCACGGTCAAAGTGAAAACCCATTTGAGGCTTTCAAATGGCTTGAACTGGGTTGTTTCTAGGTATTGGGAGTTGGGGCCAAAACTCGTGCGTAGTCTGGCTCGTGGTAGGAGCTTCAGCCCTGGAGGTTACTTCGCCGAAGTGAAGAAGCCTAACGTTATCTAGCCAGAGCAATGACAGCTTCTCTACTGCGACCATGTAAAAGACGGACTGCTGTCAAATACCTGTAGTGGTCAGATGAAAAGTTCGTTTGAATGGATCTAGAGCACAACATCGGATGAGAACTCCTTTTGCATCAATTCCAGTGTAGGGGCCTTTTTCATGATTGGACTCAATTCTCTTATCTCTGTATCATCCTCAGGAAGACCTGACCGGATATTCTCACTGTTAGAGCCTTGAGTGAGCCGCGTTCACCCTACTAAAGCTGCATTCAACTTCCGTAGACGTTTGGGTGTTGAAGAGACCATTGCTTCACCCTTCAGCTGTGCTTTGATCATCCTGCCTGCTATGGTAAGGCTTACCCCCAAGATGGCCCCTTGGAACTGTGTTCGCCAGTCCCTTTCATCGTCATTCGACCATGAATACCGCCGAAAAGGCCAGGCTAGAGGTTTTCTTCCTTGCAAACTCCATCCATGCTAGCCGCTTCATTGTCTCAGGTTGAGTCGGTATTCATTCCATTGCCTGCTGCTTCATCCTGTGTCACCAAGAACGGGTTGCGGATTGATGCACCTTGAACGTATCGACTGACCAAACTCTCACGTCCACCGTAAAACATGCGGAAAGTTTGTTCATCAGAGGTAGAAATGGACCCTTGGTCTGTGAGATAGGTCAACTCGGAGGTGGAATGTGCTATGGCACAGAGCACATCCAGCCCTTCAGCCCAAGTTCCGCTGAGGAGGTGGACATGGTCGAATTTGAAGACAACTCCAGGTCGAAGACCACTGATGAAAATCTTCAGATCGCTGAGGTGCATTGAGGCACTGACCAGGTTGACTTTTCGGAGACGAGGCCAACGAAGCGAGGTCAGTAGTGGTCCAACATGTGCAGATTCGTGCCGACCAGTTTGTAGCACCTGTGGAATTACGAATTCAAGCGTAAGTACCTCTATGCTTCCCGATCCCAAGACAGCGCTCAGGTACCTTGGGACACTCGAAATCCTTTGTGAAAGGTCTAAGGGCCCCATAAGATGTCGGAAAGTGAAGACTTTGAGGCTCCTAGCTGCGGCCTCGAGACTGAGCAGCTGATCCTGATCATGAATCCACCTAGTCATCTGCGTAGAAAGGAATTCAATTCCTACCTCGACTGTGGAAGAACATGCTGTGTGGACTGCCGATTGGATCTGAGCTACAAGCTTTGATGGTGCGACCTTTGACCTTTTGTAGTGCCAATTGATTGACTGGGTGATCCACTCATCGAACAGATCAGAGGCACCGGGTTGATCTGTCCACAGCGTCGTGTAAAATCCTTGAACACTCGCTCGGTATCTAAAATCATCTTTAAAGCGAAGACTGGTGACGGTGGGCATCTGTCCTGCTGCGGCCGCTATGGCCTGCACGAAGGTCCCGTCCTGTAGAGTGCGCTGTTGCTACTCGCACGTTAGTCTGTACTTCTCATAGCCTCGGTGCAGGAATTCGACGTCAAGTATTTGCTGGTTTGTCAAAAATTGTTGTCTCGTCCTGGACTTCAACCAAGACCACCAGAGACGCAGTCTCTCCTCAAAAATTGGCAGAAACTCAGCCCAGGAAGAGAATCCTCCCTTCTCCAAGATTTCGCGGCGTCTTTCGTCGGAGCTCACTGCTCGAATGTTGTTTTTGAAAACCACTACCGTTAAATTTCGGAATGCCGAGAAATCAAGATCGTCGTAGGACCGTAGACAGATGTGAATGGCACGGATGCCTTTGGATATGGCAGGATGGCTAGAAATCTCCTGAGCACGGGCGATTGATGCTGGTGTCGCGCAAATTTGGAGGCAGTCAAGCAAGAAATGCGAACTTGTGCTGCAAAATCGACGGCAGGTGAGACGAATGTTTCTGATATTAGCATGGCCCCTCGTATGGCCGAAAATACTCATCAGAAGCTCATCTGGAAGGTCCAACATGGCGAGGTGGCCAACTGATGATCGAGCATCGAAGTCTTTTTGCAATGAAGCCTGAAGTCGGTCCAGTCTGGGCAGCTCGCTCTGTAGCTTGTTGATCCACTCCAGAGGGCCCGATTGCTGTCTCATCTCTGACAACAGTGACGTCAAGTTCTGTTGCATTTCGCCTATCTCATCGATCCTGGACGATTTCGAGTCGCTTGGAGCCTCAACCATATGTTTGTTGGCATCTGAGATGCTACTGGAAGGTAGGAGCATGTTGTGGTTTATCGGCCTCACTGCCCCCTCCTTTCTGTATTCAACCATTTTGCTGGGTAGTGATCCCACAGGATGTCCTTACGCGGAAGGTTATCCCACTGTGAGGATATGTGTTGAATTCGACGCTTGTTATATCGAAGCGAAAGATAAGTGACGAAAAGAGGCTGTGCTTCTGAAGACTGGTTTTTCGATTGAATTGGGAGAAAAACAACTATCGCAATCGTTTGTCGAGTTGGCAGTGTTGATGGGGACGGAACTTTTTCCTCGTCAAAGAGACGCAGGTGTCACTGGCCTTGTGCAGAGGGCTACGACGAGGTAGCTGGTTTTCTGCTTGGAGGTGAGTTTAAGTTAGGATTCAGGGTTGTAAACTCGGCAAGCACCTCGGGGTACTGTTGAGAGAGCAGAAAGGTAGCCAACGTAGACCTGCGCTGAGACCGCCCTGCTAGCTACATATCATCTGCTGGATGCTTGTTGATCAGCTTCAGATAGTGATCAAAAACCAGTCACTGCGTGCATGTGGAGGATGGATCGCAACATCTAAAGCAAGTCAGACTCCTCTGTCTGAAGATAAATGATGTTTGACAATTTTCTTGCCTTGAGCATTCTCGTCCTATATCGACTGGGTTTGAAGAAACTGAGCAAAACCTCCCTGTTTGGTCATTTCTATTAGCCCCAAAAAGAATGCACCGTTTTCCCAATGGCAGCCGGCGGAAAAATCATGGGGCCCTTGTCAATGGCCTTGGTACGCAGTGCTAGATGCATCAAAATGCTGATATTATCCACAAGCAATTCTCAAGTGCTGTGTGTGAACCCAGACTTGATTCGAGGGGGCCGCAATGGATGGCATACTCTAGAACAGAGGAAAATGGATGCACCCATGCCCTCTGAGCATGGTTTGAGCCCCATAAGGCTTCCTGGATTTAACACATACCGGCATTTTTGGGCAGAAATTACGGTTCCATCCTTGTGATATGATGGAACAGCACGCCATCCTACTTTTTGGTTCATTTTGTAAGCTTTGTCAGCTCTTTCTGAACAACGGCATTCAATGGGAGAACTTCATTACGGTCTTCCCAGTGATAGACCTCGAGTGCTCTTACATCAGAATAATGGAAGCCAGGTAACAGTTGCTACAGTACCGACCAAGATTGCCGGGCATAAAACCCTTCCCTGCTCACGCTCCTAGTAAATGGGTGCGCCCAAATTCCTGACGTCTGTTTTGTGGTTTCACACCCGGGCGGCTTGGCTTGACACGTTTGTTTAGCAGGCAGTGCTTGGTTTCTTATCACATGCTTCAGTAAGCTCAAGCAAGCCTCAAAAGTTATTTCGAATCGAAGCTCATATACTCTGATACCGAAGCCGTAGATTACAATTTTTGTATACTGCTTTTCGTCAGCCTATCTAAGAAGATGGCATATACATCATAGGGGATTTTGTCGTCCGGGTCCATGTGTCCTAGAGCCTCATGGAATGGCATGATTGTATTCTCTGAGGCTTGAAATGGCTGTGGAATTTGTGCTAGTGTTACATGAGACTCCGCTGCTGAGGGCTGTTGTGTTGTCATTGTCGTGTTAAGTGCTGGTTCATGCTGTCGTGGGTCTCCATCAGAGATGGGCCGGCGTCTGTTCTTGGGCGCTTGGCCGTATGAGAAACTATGTCCGGTGCCATCGATCCCAAGAAATGGCTTGTAATGAGCTGTGAATTTCTCTTATATGATGCACAAGGTGCAGTCGCAGTCAAATGGGGCTGTCTGCAAACTCACTTTCTCAAATCTGCGCGGTACTTACAGTACTTGACTGCACGGGCCACAATGTATCTTTCATCCTCTGTGTGGCCCGTGCGCAGATGGAAGCTGCCCTGCTTAATAAGAATCGAGGACGAAGACCAACTTCCTACATCATTGACTTTGTGTAAATTTCGTCGGTGATGTTTCTAATTTAGCATGTGCTATACCAGATGACATCGGAAATATACATTCACATCCCTTCTGAGCTTTTTCTTTAATACAGCGCAACAAGAACCGTCCAGTTATGGCGGCTAGTCCCAGCAAGCCTCTACATTTCCTCATCACAGGCGCGGGCCGCGGCATTGGTCGAGGCCTATCCCGCCAGCTCATCCAAAGGGGCCACCGCGTCTTTCTAGTAGACAATAATCAAGAGGAGCTTCGCCACACGTGCGACACGCTCACAAGTTCAGTGTCAGCATCATCTCATACCCCAAAAGCGCCCAAAGTCTTCGACGCCCTGCATTGCAACCTACGCCAACCGAGCGACATCGAGAGGGTCGCAAAGGCAGCCTCAGACTTCTTCGCAGATCACCTCGATGTTCTCGTGAACAATGCTGCATTTACAGCTGGCGTTGGCGGTCCGAGTATCCTCGACTCTGAGGACGGCCAGTTCATGGCTTCATGGACCGCCAGCTTGGAGACGAACCTGACAGCCCCGGTTCTTCTGAGCAAGGCATGTCTGCCTATGCTGAAGAAACAGCCAGATAGTGGACGCGAGAACGGCGGCAGTATTATTCACATGTCCTCTACGCGTGCCTACCAGAGCGAGCCAGATTCGGAAGGCTATGCCGCCACTAAGGCCGGCCTCATCGGCTTGACGCACAGTATGGCCGTCAGCCTTGCACCCGCGGGCGTCCGAGTGAATGCCATCCTCCCTGGTTGGATCCACGTGGGCAACGAGTGCAAGGAAGCCGATGAGAAAGGCACGAAGTGGGAAGAGGGGCTGTCGAAGGACGATCAGAAGTGGCACTTGAATGGGAGGGTTGGCAAGGTCGACGACATCCTCGTGGCCGTCGAATATCTCACCAACGCAGAGTTTGTCACAGGCACGGAGATGGTTGTTGACGGTGGTGTGACAAGAAAGATGGTCTATCCCGAATAACTACAAAAAAAAACTAAAAAAACTTGCACCGCCGTGGAATAGATGCATGCGATAGGCGTTGTCCCCGTCGAGGTTCGTGAGGCTTGCTGCGCCAATCTGTTCAGTGCATGCCGATCGGCATGGCAGGGGGCAGAGCCTACAGAAAATTCATGCAGGTATAGCTTACTTTTCCCCTGGTGAGACTGCGGCATGATAAGCAGCGAACCCCGCCATGCTTTATATTAGCCTGCGGCCGGGTTGACGAGTGACAGATGGTGTAGTCCTGGCTCAAACTGCGTGTGGGTGGTGGTTGCAGGTCGCATTCTGCATGCGGACAATGGCATAAGGCAGGGGCAGGATTGGTCTGCACATGCAGCCTGGCCAACGAAACGTCTTTTTGGTGCCGGGGCGGTCGATGTAATTCGTAGTGTCGCCGGATCATCATCTGATAGTGAGAAGGCAGACTGGCAGGCTGTGTCCACAGGGCAACACTGCAGATGCGCCGTTACCAAACTGGTCGGTGGTCTTGCCCCTCTACTTGAACGATGTTTGCAAGGTAATTAATTGTGAGGGGGGTGAAAGCACCGCCCTCCAAGCTGCCTTGGTTTACGTGATGGAAACACATGGAATTGCTGCTGGGCGTTGGGCGAGATTTACCGTGCCAGAGCCTTGTGATATAAAAATCGGAAATGTCGATGATGCCCGCGGGTGTTCCACCGTCACCAACTACCGCGTCTTTATGCTTCCAGCGTTCGCAATTCGCTAGACAAGGCTCTATGGCAGAGGCCGTGGGACTTGTGGCCAGCATTGCTGCCATTGCTGGCCTCACGGACGCAGTATTCAAACTTGTCAGAGAAACGAACCACATCGTGAGAGGTATGAGAAGTCTTGCTGAGGAGACAAAACGATCCACTGGTCAGATTCAGCTCACTGCCGGAACTATCCATACGGCTCAGGCCACGCTTTCAACATATAGCACAGCAATTGAAACAGCAACACAATCGCATGTCATTCAATTTATAGAGAACAACACTACTGCCTCCGTCTTAAAGTTGGAGTCGCAGTACCTCAGCCTTCACGTTGACCGACTCAGACAAGGGATCTGTGTTCTGCAAAATAAACAGATTTTTGTGGCCACCATTCTTTGGCGCTATTCGATCAAACAACATGTCAAAGATTTGAGAGAGGACATGCAATTCATCGAAAGCAATTTGACACTGCTGTTGGGTTGCGTGCAACTGGAAATAGCTGTGAAAAGAAAGACAAGAGATGAGGCTGAGATGCAAGTCAAGCTTTTTGCACGACCATTATGACACAGACTGATCAGACCCGTCCAGTAATCACTACAAAAGCGCACTCAAACGAAAGGAAAAAGAAATCAGGAGGCTAAGAAAGAATCATCTCTGCTTGTGCGCTATGGCCGGAATATTGGGCCAAGAATACTCGACAGAATCTCTACAGCAGTATGATATCGAAGTCAATCTGCACCTCCTCCTGAAGCTTTCCGGAACACTCAGGAGGAGAGAAGAGGTTCCAAGATCCAGTCGAACAAGTCCAAGTCTGCGTACGTCGTTATCAAGCAGCAGAGGAACATCGAAAACCGAGACCAACAGAAGCGAGCAATCCATTTCTCGGCCGGGAGAGCATCTACAGCGTCCCAGACTGCCCTCCCTGTCGTCTCAACATGGGCCCGGTCCGTCTGAGGTGTCGTCGAGAACAAATTCGCGCGTAAATGATGACCCAGGTCCTGCGGAAAGCACAAACCCGGACGAGGCGGTGGCGGAGGCAGGACCATCACAAGCTACCGCTGTCACACAGAGGAAATTCTCAAGCGACCGCAGCGAGGATGACTCCATCGGTGTCCGCCCCTCGGAAGGGACCCTTAGGATAATGACATCCCCGGACAATCAGATAACGCAAGGTGAAATCAGATACGAGGAAATCTCCAAGCCCGTCATTGCCATCGTTGAGCCAGAACAGGGCTTCAATTTCCTGACGACTTTCCGGGCTAGTGAGCTAGGTTTACGGAAATTTGTCCACCCACATGAAGATGATAGTGAAGAATCGTGGATCGTCGCCCCAGATGGAACGAGAATAAGACCAGATGGTTACATCGAGCTCGAATGGTGCCTGCCCCAGTCAAAACCCATCAGGCTCCAATTCTTCGTGTTGCCGTGTTGGTGCGAACGGGGAATAGTACTTGGGGCGCCTTATGTTGAAAGGAAGAGGCACTACAGAGAACGCGGAAGAGATCGCAAATAATAGTCACAATGGCAGGGGAAGGAAGTAGAGAAGTCTTGAGCAGATTGAGAAACGCAAGGCCAATGGAAGGGTTTTGTACCTGCTTTTCATGAACACATAGCCACTAATTTTAAGTCTGTAACATATTCTGTCTTTTTCTGAGGTTTAGCAGCGTGCAATTCTGTCTCAGCTGCAAGGAAATATGCTGTATATTCCGATAGCTTGGATAGGATGGCTCCGGCCTCGCCTTGAAAGGTACCTGTGAATCGCTCAGATGCTCCCTCGTAGCTTTCTCCGGCCTTGGCGTGCGGATGTTCCACAAGGCAGAGCTTTGCTCGACGCTGTTTGAGCGGATCAAAGAACCACCTGAGTCCAGGCCTAGGACTTATTACACGGCTCCAAGGCATCCCTCGCAGTATGATTGTAGTGGCCCATTGTCTAGATCTCGCTGCGGCAGGATGCCTGGGGGAAGTGGTTGTTTCGAGTCGGCGCAAGCGCAACAGCCTTTTCGGCGTTCCATGGTCCGACCCAATATGAATAGCCTTGTCATAGGGCCAGCCCCGCCAGAGACCTGTTATAGCTTACCGATCATTTGGCGTAAATCGATTCGTCTGCCCCTGTGCTCCTCATGTTGGTAGCGGTTGTGGGTTGTTCCCAACGGTCTTGTAGAGCTCCCTGAGCTCGAACTGCTCCTGGCCGCCCTCGGGGATCTCGCCGATGACCCTAGCAGGCTGGCCCGCGACGATGCTGAAGCTCGGTATGACCATGTTGGGCGGGACCACGGAGCCGTCGAGGATGCGCACGTAGTCCTTGATGATCGCAAATTCGCCAACAACCGCGTTGTTTCCTATGTATACGTGGGAGCCGACGCTGGCGGCCTGGACGACGGTGCTCTGCCCGACGAAGACGTGGTCGCCCATGCGGAGGGGCATGTAGGTGAAGATACTGCGGTGCGAGGCACGGTCAGTCTCAGTCGGTAGAAATGTAATGATAAGCAGGAGGGAACAGGGTCGTGGCCTACCCCTTGTACATTCGTCCGGGTGGTCGCAGGCAGCTGCCCCTGCTGAGGAAGCAGTACCTGCCGATGGCGACGGCAGTGTTGTTTGCTGGGGCGCCCCCGCTGGAGCTGGAGACAGCAGTTCGAGCAAGATCGCCTCTGATCATGACCTCTTGCTGGATCACGGTCTTGCCGCCGAGCATGATGTTCTGGGTGCCGACCAGGGTAGCTTTGCGAGCTACCTTGTTGCCGGTGTCCTAGATGGGAGCTCAGAGTTAGGAGAGACGGCTTTGGAGATGGGAAAATGAGAGTCAAGGTAAACGAACGGTCTCGATGTATTCTCCTCTGGGCGCGCGCCTCGACATTTTGGGCGATTTGGCAGTTTTGACTTTGGCAGTGACTGCCTGCGATGTGCAGTGCTGCTGGCTTGCCGGTAACCCTCCTGGAGGGATACCTAGGCCGACGCGGTCCCGGTGCGGCGACAGACCTGGACGCGGCGCATCTCGCGTCTGGAGTTGATGGCCAACATTTAGTCCTAACCCTGGTTTTTGTCTCGAAAATCAGTCTCCCCCACGGCCAACTAATACTTCACAATCACCTCTCGAGCATCTTGTCTTTAAATAGCTACAGCTCTACCCAATCCCAATTACATATTATACTAAATTATTGGTAAGAATTGAAACACGACACAATATAATACACCCAAAATGCCTCAAGAGCCTTCTTTTGCGATGGTCATTTAACACCCAGATGTTTGAGTTCTCCTTTGCTCAATGTCCCCCCTCCCGCAGCAATCCTCAGTAATGTCTCCACGGCCAAGTCCTCCTTCGCCCCATAACCAAACAATCTCCACTGCGCCGCGCTAGGAATCCCAAACCACACAGCATTCAATACCTTAAATGACCGCCATGGATGCCCGCTCGTAACGACCCTTCCCAAGCACTTCCCGAACGACGGCACTGCCCCCAGTGGCTCCAGCAACTCATCATTGTACGGGACAGCGTGCGTAACCAAGGCATGGCGTTCTGAGCCCACGAAGTTCTTCTCCTGCCATGCTTGGAATTTTGTCACCTCTTCCCTCATCTTGGGTTTGGTGGGGAGGGCGATCCGTCCGGAGAGCACCGAGCACGCCCAACGCGCTTGTGCCTCAAACGTTGGCGCAGCAGGCCCTACCAGCTCAACGAGGCCCATCACGAAAAGGTTGTCGTAGCGGGGGGAGACGATGAACTTGTACAAGTCGACACGGTTGGTAGGCGTCTCCGGTGAGCGAAGCACATCGCTGGGTAGAAATGGGTAGTCGAACTGGTTGTAACCCGTGCAAGCGATGATGGCGTCCACCTTGAGCTCCTCGGTGAATGCTTCCTCGCCCTTCACGGTGGAGATGACAAGACCTTCTTTGTTCAGACTCTCCACGCTTCCTCTGTGGATGTCGATCCTTTGCGTCCGGACCTTCTCGACGAAGTCACCGCGGACGGTTGGGCTCTGCTCGAGGAGCTTGTGTGATGGTCTCATGATCTCTGGCTGTTTCCCTTCAACAATTTGCAGAAGCTTCGTCTGCAGCCATTGTGCTGGCCCTGTTGGCATCCAGACCTGGGTCGCACGATCTGCAAGGTGGTAAGCGTCGGTCTCTGGGCTCGAGGCCCCCTGATGTCCACTCACTGTCAAATGCTTCACACGGCTTGCCCAACACATAGCGCGGAAGAACCCACCCGCCCCGTCGTGTGATGACATGCACTTCCTCTGCGCCAGGTGCCACCTCGCAGGCAATGTCGACGGCGGAGCTGCCGAACCCTATTATCGCAACCTTCTTGCGATCGAAAGGGCCGGGCCGACGGTAGAAGTGACTGTGCATGAATTGCCCCTGGAAGTCGTCGCGCCCCTTGAATTCCGGGATGGAAGGCGTGGACAAATGTCCAACGCAGACAAAGACCGCATCGAAAATGAGCTCTTCCACCCCGTCCTTGCCCTTCTCCTGAATACGTACAGTCCACGAGCCATCCTCTCTAGGCTCAGAAGCCAGCACACGTGTACTCAGCCGTATATGCTTCTTCAGCCCGAAATGCTCAGCGTACTCGCACATGTACTTCAGCTGCTGCCTGTGCCCGAAGTAATCGCCGTACCTCGCTGGGTCCAGTGGGAAGTCAGTCACGGCCGAGGTATCCCGGCACGAGTTGAGCACGACGCCATCGTAGATGGATGACTGCACGCTCTCGGGAGAGTCGGAGGGCGAAACGTCTGGCTGGTGAGCCCACTGCCCGCCAATCTCGGGGCGGGCCTCGAAGCATTGCACCTCAAATCCCTCCGCGAGACATTCTTTGAGTGTGGTGATGCCAGAAAGTCCTATGCATCCGCAGGGTCAGAGGTCGAGCAAGACACCAGCGCGCGCGAGCAAAACATACCGGAGCCAATTACGCAAACCTTGGGCATGTCGGCGGCTGTTAGGGCAGGGACCAAATGCGACTTCGCTGGGCTGAGACAAGACGGCGTTACTCAAGATGCTTGGGGTGAGCAAGTGCAGATCAGATCGAGGTACTGAGACCTTGGCACAACTTCAACGTGAGGCCGCAGCTGCTGATTGGCGTTGTGGGTTGGAAGAGCTGCAGGTTAGACAAGCTCAGGCAGTGCCCACACTGCGGACGAAATGACCATGAGCTGAAGGAGACTTTCATTTCGACTGCGCCGCACGCGATGAGGCATCTCACGTCAGCAAAAGAAAGCATGGGTTTGGATTAAACTTCCAGCCTTTATTGACCGTACTCAATTTCGATGTGTGTATCCAGATATCAGCAAAACGATCACTAAGTATTTCTCTAGGTTTACACCCCTCCTTCTTTGACACTGGAACGTTGTCTCTAATGCATGTCATCGCGCTCACCGTATGCATGTGACACAGCTCACAGGGGTACATCGCGCAGATGCACAAGAGTACGGAATTGACCATGCAGGAACTGAGTATACATACATGCGCGCCTACGCACATATATCTTGCAGCAGGCTATCACAAAGTTAGGTGACAAAAAAGGTCATAAGATGAGAGATTGCCCCGGAAGAAGGACGATTTCTAGAACAGTACGGCGACAAGTACCTAGCTCCGAAAATGCAGCTCGGTGAAACCTTCCTGTTTTACACAATTCAGAATGCCGAGCGAGCGTGAAGAAGACAGGGGCGGTGTTCTGAAGATATCATGGCAATGGGATATGAACAAGAAGGCTGCATGAGGAAGAGCATCAGGGTTCCAGTCGAGCTGTCGTGGACGTCACCGATCTCCCCGCCGCAAGTCAAGTTTCTCCAGATGCCCCAAGTCCCTATCCGAACTAAGAATATCAACATAAATATATAGCCTCAGAACTGTCTCAAGAAAACAACTTTCCCTGTTCATTACACTCTGTCTGCCATACCCAGTCAATCAAGATGCCCTTCCCCCACAAGACAGTCCTCATCACCGGCGCAACAGCCGGCATAGGCCGGGCGCTAGCGGAGCGCATGATAGAGAACGGCGTCTTCGTCATCGCCGTGGGCCGGCGCAAGGACCGGCTGCAGGAGCTCGAGGCCAAGCACGGCAAGGACAAGGTCGTGGCGGAGGAGTTCGACATGACCAAGACCGCCGAGATCCCGGCCTGGGCTCAACGGTAAGGCCGGAGGGTTATCATGAGAAGACGACCAGGAAGCCCTCCCAAAGCAGGCCAGCTAACTCGCCTCAAGCATCACCAGGCAGTACCCGGCCCTCTCCTGCATAATCCTCAACGCCGGCATCCAGCGCACGCTGGACTTCACCAACCCGTCGTATGAGGAGCTGTCGTCTAAGATCACCAGCGAGATCGACACCAACTACACCTCCCCGCTGCTGACCATAACCGCCTTCCTGCCGCACCTCATCTCGCTGGGCACATCTTCCCCCTCCTCCTCCTCCTCACCCCCGGCCGCCGCCTCCGTGATCCTGGTCACCAGCGGCCTGGCCCTCGTCCCGATCGCCCGCTGCGCAAACTACTGCTCCACAAAGTCCGCCCTGCACCACTTCGGCCTGTCGCTCCGGTCGCAGATGCAGTCCAGCCCGGCCACCCGGCACGTCCGCGTCATCGTGGGTTTTCTTTTCTTTCCCCTCCTCCCCCCCTCTCACCTGGCGGATCAGCTGACGCTGAGGATCTTGTTCAAGGATATTCTCCCTCCCGCCGTGCAGACTGAGCTACACGAGCTCCAGCCTGAGCTGGTGGCGGCAGGCCAGGCCCAGATAGGAATGCCCCTAAAGGCCTTCATCGACGAGACCTGGGCTGCCCTCGACCGGTGGGACGAGAACGAGAATGAGATCATGGTGAACGAGGTGAAGCAGAGGTTTGGGCATATCGATGATGAGAAGAAAGCGGCCTTCAAGCGCCTGGAGGCCTTGATGAAGGGCATGAAAGGTTGAGGTGACGACCACCACTGTTGACGTTGCATTTCACAACATTACTTCGCGTTTGACTTGGGATTGGCTCAAGATTTGGCTTGAATTCTGTGTTTCTACCTAAATACAACATCGCACATGATGTGGTGCGGGCAAAGTGAGGAACAAGTCGGGCCCGACGAGTCACCACTCTGCGACTTAGGAGCACCCTCAATCATCCATCCCTATTCCAGTCTGGATATGAATACTGAGCCCCAGCCTGAATACTCTCAGAGAAATCAGCATACTCGCCGTTTCTCGCACTCAGTCTTGATAGTCTTGACCGTCCCCTCCTCCATTGCGTGCATCACTCAACGTGTATGATTCCTCCTCCACAGTAGCCATGTGCGAAAATGATTGAATAGAATGGGATCAAAAGTTGGCCACTTCCACTGCTCTGGAATTGGCCAACTGCCTTGCCAAGGTAAACACCAGCAAAACGTGAACATGCAACCCCCACCAACAACCTCACAAGGAGGTGGAGGCCACAGGGCCAATCTTGGTATGCTCAGTCGTGCAAAAGTCCTGAGCCAGAAAAAAAAGATCAAGGAAAAAAGAAGGAAAAATCGTAGCTGCCATCCATGTCCACCCTTTCATTTTCATGATAAGTCCGCATCCGGGCATCTCAACAGCGAGGATCGACCTCGGGACTCTCTGCCGGAGCGAATGTTGTTTTGAGTGGAAGAGGAAGTGGTGCCATAATCGTCATTACGTAAATGTGAGAGAGTGTGTCGAAGATAAAGTTATCGTGGCCTCAAAGTCGGTTTGGGAATCAGGAGACAATGACACCGTTCTTGCGCTTCTCTGCGCACGTCAAAACCATCATGGCAGACTTCCTCTGACTAGGACTGTCGGATCTCCCATTCCTTCCTGTCCGCTTGAATACGCTGGCAAAGCTGCCGTTGCTAGCGGTCTCGTCACCAGAACCGCTGCTGACGCTGTCAGCGCTCTTTCGAGCCTTCTGGCGTGAGCTCGGCCGGTCCGATCCTATCGCGCCCCAGCTGCCAGTGCTCGTCCGGGAGCTGGGCACACTAGGCTCCACCTCCTCGCCATTTAGGCTGCCAGATCCAGACCGACCAGACTCCGACTCGTTGTCCGTGAGAAGGCCCTGAGCCTCCTCGGCCGTCTCCGAGATGGGGCTGATGGATCCGCTGCTGCCAGTGCTGCTAACCTTGCGGCGCTCGAGACCAGCCCGCATCAGGTTGTTGAGGGCCGATCGGCGGGTGTGAGCCGCGAAGTTCTTGGAAGCCTCATGCTTGGCCGATGGCTTGGCCTTGAGCTCCTCAATCGAAGGTGGGCCCCGTGGCTGGCGGATCGGGTGTTCACCGGCTCGTGCCTGACCAGGCCCGTAGCCTCCGGTCAAGGGAGTGAGGGGGAAGTTGGCAGTCTTTGGGCCAGCGGACTTGGGGGGTTCCTGGGAAGCAGCAGCAGCAAGGTTGGCATTTTGGATACCGGACAGCATCAGAGACGACGACTTCTTATGACCTCGTCGGAAAGCGTTGGCTGACGGTGGAGGAAGAGGGGCCGGATTCTCGATGAGGGGCGACTCGTTGCGGCGGGGAGGCGTGTTCCTGCGGAAGACTGGCTGCGCGGCCTCTCTAGGGGGAGAGACCTGCACTCGTGGAGTCGCGCTGTTTTGCTGACGCTGCTGTTGCTGGTACATGTTCAACTGAGACTGTTCCGCGAATTGAGCGTTCAGCTGCGCACCCTGGTCAATGTAATAAGCCTGCTGACCAGTGGCTGGGTCGATGTAGGTGTAGATGGTCGGTTGCTGGCCAGCCATGGTGTTGTTGAGCATGCTCTGCATCTGAAGGGCTTGCTGCTGCAGTTGATGTTGCTGGTACAGATTCTGGTAGCTCTGCTGCCCGTTGATGTTCATGGCGCTGAGCTGCTGCTGGGCTTGAGTCAGATCGTACAGCTGCTGCTGCAACATCTGGCGCTGTTGAGCCAGCTGCAAGTTCTGCTGAACCAGCTTGGCGTACAGATCCGGATCCAGTTGCTCGTCCACAGCCTGTTCGTCGATGTGAATCTCCGGAGGGGCCAGGATTTGCTCAGGAGTGAACTGTTGTCGCCCATATCCCATGTTGCTGTTGTTCTGGTAACCCGCCTGGGCAGTAGCGCCAAAGTTGGGCAGGGACGTCTTCGGTCCGTTGTTCAGCATGCTCTCCTGGACGCCATACAGGGAAGTGTTGTTCCTAGCCTTGTTCGTCGGGGAAGTGTTGGCACCGGAGGCAGCGAAGGTAGACGCAGCGGCAGACTTGGGTGCGGTCCGGAGACCGGCGAGGAGGTGCCCGCGAGCTGTTCGGGGCGTGGGAATAGCATTTTCCTTGGAATCAACAGGAGACTTGAGAGCCTCAACTGAGAGGGGCTTGATGGACTGCCCGCCTCGCCTAGAAGCGAGACCCGAGGACTGCATGGCGAAGCCGTTGGGAGTGGAAAATGTTTGTTGAGCCATTTGAGCAAAGACCTCCAGTGTCTTGTACTCGAATGATGGTTGTGTGACTTTTGTCTCGGTTCGAGGGAATGGTCAAGAACGCGATCGAGGCGTGTTCAAGCAGAAGAGCCGACGAAACGCGAAGAATTAATCGACGATCGAGTGAATGTTGTCTTCCGATCCGAGGCGGTGAGTTGCAAATAAATACAATCAAACAGCTGACTGATGAATGGTATTGTGCCAAAGTCGGACGGGCGGTCGGAGGGTGTCGATTAATCCAATCTGTGCTGGGAGGAAAGGAAGCACTACTAAAGTCTTGGAAACCCGTCTATCGGTTGTTGACTGTCGCGAGATGATGCAAATTTTCGAAGTTGCCGAACCCAAAAAAGACCAGATCCAAGACGGACTGCTAAAATTGAGAAGAGAAGAAATGCTGAGGTGTTTGTTGCCGTTTGTTTGTTTCCGAGTGGCGATGATGTGAGTATTAAAGGCCGTGTTTTTTTGTCCCCTGTGGATGGTCTATCGGGGGGTGTCGAGAGCAAGAACGACGTAAAGGACAGGCCGATGATATTAAAGTGAGGTAGTTGGTCTTGCTGAAAAAGAATGGCAAATGACGCAGTCGCGATGCTAAAATCCTCCCAGGTGGAAGAGAGTCAAGGAAAAAGGGTGGTGGTTGCGATGCGAAGTGCGAAAAAAAACCAGGCAGGAGGGCTTTGCTGGCAGACACGAGAAGGGCGGGCCTTTTTGTGGTTTCTGCGTGCAAGGTGGTGCACAAGCGGCAGGCGCGCAAGGTTTGCAGCGCAGGTGGGCGGGTGGGCGAGCAGAAAAAAAGACCGGGAGGACCTTGCAACTCAGGCGAGCAAGGCAGGCAGGCAGGCAGGACAGGCCTGGAGGCTAGTTCAATGCTGAGAACGGAAAGGCCGAGAGGTCTTTGTCGAAAGGACCCGAACCGCGATCTCACACTCTCTTTCTTGGGTCACCACAGGCAAGCTGGAAAGGTGAGACGAGGGGAGAGGGAGCACGAGACGAGACGAAATGAAGAACGACGAGCAAAAAAAAAAAAGAGGCGCTGGGGGAGGAATTTTTGGCGTGGTGAAATCGAGGTGGTTTGTGCCTGCGGAATGGCTAATGGCTCCAGCCCAAGCGGGTCCGTCGGCTGTTGGCGATTGCTCGATTTGGACAGGGGACAATACGATTCGATGCCCGAGTACCCCGTACGATGGTACCACTGTAAAGTCAAATCCACTCTGTTGGACCGATGCGAGTGGTAAAGCCGGCCTCTTGAGTAGTCTTTCGCTCTCGTTTCGCAGTGACGGTCTGAGAGTGTCGTCCGGAAACACTTGCTGGGGGCCTGGAGGGACTGGAGACTCCGAAGATTGATGTTGATCGAGATGGATCAGATGATTTGATGTGACGGGCAGGAACAATATAGCAAGACGGCAGCCAGGTAGGGGCCGGAGAAATGAAGACGGTGCCGAGCGTAGAATATACAGTGATTAAAACAGTTGATATAGAGTCTGGGTGTTGAGAGACGGGACTTCTTCAAGATAGCCCGGGCGCGCGCAATCGAACAGTGTGGTTTGGATGCCGGAGAGCCGAGTTGTGCTGAGGTGATTTTGAGATGAGACGACTTGATGATGATGTTTTTTGGGGGTTGAACTTTGGGGGCAGGGGGTATCTTTGGTTGTTTTCTGGGGCGATTGTTCTCAAAGCAAAAAGGTGGAATTCAATTGTACAGGGGGGGAGGAAATGAATGAAGATGTGTCGAGATTGTCTTGACGAACAACGGGAACCACGAGGACGAGGACGAGAGAGCAGCAGGAAGCAGCAACGGCGACGCGACAAGACGACGTCGAAAGAAGAAGGGGTGAGAGAAGGGGTGGTGGTAGGCAAAAGGCAAGGTTGTAAGGGTAAGTAGGGACGATGGAGGAACGAGAGGAAAAGGTTAAAAGGCCGACACACAGACACACACACACACACACACGCTCCCGTACCAGGCAGAGACAGACAGACAGACAGACAGACGGAAAGACAGGCACACAGGCGCGGGAAGGCGTGAGATGCGCAGATGGCCAGAGTGCCAGAGTGCTTGCAGGGCTGGATTGAGCAGGGACAGGGGGCCCAGCAGGGTGGGCTCCTGCAGTTGCGCAGAAACAGACAGTCGCGGACAGGCCTGACGGGGTGCTGTGACTGGCCGAGCGAAGGGGGGTCCAGAACATGGTGCCTGTGCAACAGCTTGGGAGCACTGGCTCTGCGCCTGTGTACGAGTCCTCCCCCGTTGCCCCCGTTGCCCCCCTCCACGCCCTCCTGGGGGAATGCGCAGGCTTGATCGACAGTGGATTAGACTGAACCCAGTAAACCCAGCAACCAACCTGGAGCCAACCCACCGCCAACCAACCAACCTTCCAAAGTTGGAATCAGGAGCTGCTGTCCTGATACCTTCCCCACACTTTTTGCCGTGCCGTGCAGTCCCTGCAACTCATGTACCTGACTTGCCTCATGTACAATGCAGCTTGTACCTTGGTATCTGTCGCATCGCAAGCAGGAATTGACACGGGCGCAACAACACAAACAGGATAGAACACGAGCATTGGAAATCAAGCCTTGGAAATCAAAAGCATCAACAGCAGTCAGCAATCGAGGATTCGACTTGGCAGTGGCCAGCCTGCTGTGGGCCACCTTGAAGAGTCTCCTGTCAATCTGTCTCCTTGTTTGTTGGCCAGCACAGCATGTCCACACCCACACCCACACACACACACACACACACGCAATACTCACACTCACCCACAGTACTTACTGTACAGTATCTGCAAATGGCCATCCGAAAAACGTCGCCCTCGATCTCGCCATCGCCCGCCCGCCCGCCCGCCTGCTCGCAAGCCCATGCAGCCTCAAGCAGCCAGCTGCATTGGCCGTGTCCCAAGTGCGCCTCTTGAGCGGGTAGCCGGAGGCATTGATTGATCGGATAGTCGAGTCGAGCCCTCAATCTGCACGAAATAGCGCCAAATTCTGATGATTTGGCCAGCCCTAATGCAGCATGTATGCGAGATGCTCTCGCCCAACTCTGCTCCGTAGCCAATCGCTTCGTCTCAGCGACAACTGCACCCATAGCTACCACACGCCACTACTGTATGTGTAAAGTGCACTCTGCATACCGCAACTCACTCTCCCTCACGCTCACAGGCCATCACTCCATCCCTCTCGTGACCAGCTCTCAATTTTTATTAACTCACCAGGCTCTCGGGTCGACCAGGCTACCCGCCCTTCCCTGGCCCTGTCCTGCCCTACCCTCGAGTCCCTGACACCGCTTTGACAGCATTGCATCGTACCCGACACGTTGACATTTTCTCCCACGCTGTGCTGCCAATTATTATTAACAAAAGCGTAACCTTATATAAACGCATTCTTTTTTAGGCGACCCGTGGCGAGGGACACCCTGGTGCACGCTGTCCCCGTCGGGGATCCAGCACACCCTCCCGCCCTCAAAGCGGCTTGGATCGCCGTGACACCAGATGCTCATTTCAATGCTGCTAGCCCAATCAGGAGACCCAATCAATTACAGACGCAAGGGGGGGGGCCACCGCCAGAGGATGCAGTGGGATGTGACCGCCTGGGCATTGACCAGTGATCACTTCACCGAGCGAGTGAAGTGAGTGGGGGGAGCAAAGGGAGGCATGAGCATCTATACTCGACATCACTGCGACCACTATACACGCGGCCAGGAGCGCGACACGATCAACCAACTCCATCCTCATCCTCAATCTCAATCCTCAATCCACCAACTGCCAACCCTGTCGCTCATTCCCAATCCCCAATCCCCCATCCCGTAGGCCTCCCTCTACCACAGTATATCCCTCCATTCCTCCCTCAGTCCCTGCCTATAGTCTACTCCTGCTCGCAGGCCTCGTCAGACCCCATCGTGTTCCGATGCCTCCGCCGCGCTAGAACATCGCCCGCCATGGAAATTGAAAGGACGCGGTTCAGCTCCACGCCTACCCCACTCCGGCACGTGGCGTGCGAGACAGTGGCCCAGGTCCCAGTTCTGACTCTTTGAGGCCGGCTCACTAAGTTGCTCATCTCACAATGCCCGTGAAATTGCCCCGGTGGCGCGCCCAAATCCTTCCGTCAGCACAAGCAGGCAAAAAACATCCGAAATGAGGTGCGATCTATCCGTTCGATATCGCCTACAGATTGCATCGACCAAAAAGTAAGGTTGGCGACATGATTTCCCGATTTCCTGGGTTGGTCAAAGTCCGTGTCATGTCAATGCAGCGCGCGCATGGTGGGCATAATATTCCGATCATTTGTCCTCAGCCACCACCACTACCACACTCATGTCAAGTTATATTGGAGACTATGCCCTGTCACACCAGGCTGGCTGCTGGATGATGAGCAAGCTTTGATTGTGGCACGACAAGCGACAGACAGACAGATCGAGGCTCTCCAGGTGGGACACGGCACCAGCCACCATGCCTCGGGCCTGTCCCGGGTTACGCTTGCGCGTTCACAACGGCAGAGCGACCAGGACGCAAGCAAACAGGGCCTCGTGTGTGCGTGTGTGTCGTGTGCCTTGCCGTGTGCCTTGTCGTGTCGTATTGCGTTGCGCCGCGTTGCGTTGCGTCCGCGATTTTGTCCTTCCCCACGAGCAGCTGCCAAAGCTGCAACGCAGCCGCACCCGCACTCGCTACCCTCTGCTGCTGCGCCAGTACAACCAACCACTTGACATCTGTGCTCGCCCTGACCCCCTGCGTCTGCCCCGGGTTTCAAGGGTTCACAAGCGGGGGCGCGCTGCTGCGGAACCGTGGTAGGACGGTACCTCGTCGTTGTGCATCTGAAACATGCCACGAATAGGTTGCTGTTCATCTGTGCGAACCGCGCTTGCAGGGCTGCATGAGAATCGCTTGTTTCGAGTGCTTGCCCTTGCCTCGCTCGCTCGCCCGCTCGGCCCCCCCTCAGCCCAGCCCAGCCCAGCTCAACCCAACTCAGCTCAGGGGAGCGGAGGGAGGGGAGGGCGGTGGGCCGCCGGACCGTTGTCGCTGTTCTCAAGCAGCGGTTGACGAGCCGCGACTCACCATAGAGTTTCCGGTGGGCCACAAGGTTTAACTGCGGTAGTCGTGAGCAATTAACTCTCCTCACCTGTGGCCTGGCCGGGCTTGCTGGCTGAATCTTGAGGCATAGCATGCGCAATCTGCGCGGGTAGGTTGTCTTGGCCTCGGCCTGCAGAACAGGACGAACAACATATCAGACGGCGCATGTGTTTCTGTTGCCTGTGGTCTCCTACTCTGGGGTCCCGAACCCGAGCTCCGGGCGGGCGACCTAACGACGTCGGCCGCCAGCCTGGGAAGTTCGGTTTGATAGGCAAGTTCCGGTTCGCTCATCACTCAAGATGAAGATTGACATCGGGAGAAATTCGATGCGAGGGGTCCGACGTCATTAAACTTCGGGCGGCCTCGTACTCTTCTTCGTCCGTCATCACGGCTGCATCCGTCTAATGTCCACCATCAGATATTGAAGTCATAACTTGCGGGCTCTCATTTCCCATGCCCGGCAGCCCGGCAGCAGTGAGTGCCATTGGTGTCGCGAACTCCATGCACAATTGACCCTGGGGATCGGCGCTGGGAAGCACACCCGCAGTTCGGCCTGCTCGGCTCACTTTTGACAAGTCTGTTCCGATTCGCCTGCCAGATCATGTCTCAGTGTGGGAAGATATTGTCATATTATTTGATTAATCGCTTCCTGTTTCAGAAAACGCCAAAGACACCATGTACAAGTCCGTAACGCTGATGTGCACCCTCGCAACTGCCGAACTCAACTGCTCTCGTAGTCACCGGTGCTCTTCCTAAATTCGCCGCCCGACTCGTCCCTCCAGCAGTACGTATCAATGACCTTCTGCACTCTGGGTACGCAGCTCGGCTTCAAAAAACTTTGGCCATGGTCTAGGCCATCCATGTATATCAGCTCAATCTCCCACTGACCCGTCCAGAGGTTCGGCGTGTTCTTCCATTCGTCGATCCGCTGCTCCGTGAAGTCATGGATATCCACATCTCCATAGTAGACATAGCTCGCCACCGCCATGGGGTTCGTGACGCAGTCCCGACTTCCTAGGATGACGGTGGCGCGCCGGCCCTTGAGTTCATCACGCCATAGGATCGCGTCCTTGAAATCGAACCTCCGCGCCAGCGTGTGCGCCACCATGGGGTCCGTCGAAGCGCCGTAGAATATCTCCCACTCTGGCCCCGTGCGCGGCCGCCGCCGCGTGAAGTTCCAGGCCACGTCGGGGAGGTGCAGCAGCAGCGAGACCGGGTCGACCAGGACGACGGATGAGATCTTGGCCGCGAGGCCCGGCCGCTTCAGCATCGGCGAGAGGAGCAGCGTTCCGTACGAGTTGCCCACGAAGACGAAGCTGTCGTACTCGAGGCCGTGCTGCGCCAGGATCCTGCTGATGGAGTCTACGAGGTCCGCTGAGGACGGCATCGGCGGGCAGATCTTGTTCGACACCGGGAGGAGCTCGATGGCGATTATGCCGACGTCTCTGGGGACCGAGTTCACCCACAGCAGGTAGGGTGCCACTTGCGCTTGGTCAGTACAATGGTCTACCACCATAAGACGGGTTTGCTGTTCATATCACTAGGGGGAGGAACAGTCTTTTGGACCACTTACTGCCGATACCAATGCCGTGGATAAAGAAAATAGGCCGGTGTGTTTTTGACTTGTGTGGGCGGTAGAAATAGGACATCGCGGGCGCCGCGGATTCGTTCCGGGAGATCAAGGTCATTGGTCGAAAGGGGAACACGCTGAAGAAAGTATTGTGCGGTTGGCGGTAGAAGCTGAAACCTTTCGCGAAGAGGAAGAGCGTCGTGAAGAAGTCGGCGAAGCCAGTGAGCTAGGTGAAGTCAGTCAAGGTTATGTTCTCGAGCTCCTGAAGGGCATGCCGTCTTCAACTTACTGAATAAAACAACAGACTCCGGTGTGTCATCTCGATGGGATCAAAGGTCAACCTCATGGGCTTCGCATCACCCCGTCCTCTCTTGAACGTCATCCCCATCCGCTCTTCCAGCTCCACGATGTATTCCTCCAGCTCGTCTGCGTCCTCCCCGTACCTCCCCTCCCGGCCAAACAGACTCCAGAGCAGCCAGTCTTTGATATTATCTCTTCGGATGTCCTCCATGTGCGCCTTGTTGAACCATCCACGCACATAGATTTCCAGGTCTGGCACAAGGTTTATGCCCTGTGTGAACAGCGCCTTCCTCTCCTCCCTCGTCATCTGTGACGGCGCCATGCCGGGCTTCTGGAGCCGGTGCTTGTACGGTAGGTACCAGGCAAAATACCACAGGATCTCAATGAGCCCATAAACCTCAATAAAAATGGAGAACGGGTGGGCAATGGCCGGGACGCCGCCTGCCAGGGCGGCCAGCACGAAGTAGGCGAAGCATAATAGGCCTGTGTATATCAATAGCACTGCGGTGACTCTCACGAAGATGAGTTCGGGCTTGGACAGCCCGACGAGCATTTTTGCGGTCCAATATTCGTATTCCTTGCATTACAAAGGAATGGGAAATGTGAGGGGGCGCACACCTCGCCCGCAGGAAAGGGACACATCCGGTGTTATAGCCACCTCGGTGCATTGGTCGTGATCGGATTCCGTAGTCGATTTCGTCTCAAGGAAATCCTCAATATGTCAAATCTTTCGGGGTACAGGCTGTCACACCAGAGCGACTCGGTCCAGGGATGTTTGATCCCATCTTTCCGATCCGCCCTTCGTTCGATATATCCCCACGCTACATCCGAAGATCCACCTGTGGCCATATGCTTGCGTCAAGAGCAGTGGTGTGCCAGGGAAAAGCCTCTCATCAAGTTTCCTAATCAGGCGTAGATTGGCTTAAGACAGGCGGGAGTAGCCACGCCACACCATTGGGCTGTGCATGGGGGGCCGATCTGGCAAACACTGGATGTGATGAAACGAGTGCACTTTTCAGACGGAACCGAGGCAGGCCGACGAGGCATACTTCTGACTGTGGTTTCCTGAGCCGCCCAGGACAAAGATGATTCGAATAATAATTGGTTGAAATAAGCTCACTGGGACACATTCGTGGCCAATGCCTCATGGCTTACAAATACCCAGCGCATAGACAGGCCGTAGGTATTCGAATGAAAACTCCCATGTTTGTTCAGTATACTTACACCATTTATTCACGCCATCTTCGTAAGTCTCCTCAATGGTGATACTAGGCTTGATCTGCCCTATTCGTCAACCATCTATCTTTTTCTTTCGAATGCAATGAAGACAAGAACCAGAAATCAAGGCACAGCCGTAGAAGCTATGGCAAACGGCAAGACATTCCGCATTGTGATACCGAGGAGTTTTCCCAACTTTACGATGCCGACCACGCTGTGATTCTTTCTCAGAAGCAAGAGGGCTGGATAGATTCAACATAATTGGATACTAGACTGCTCCGGCATTCTACGGACCGGCCAGCTAGCAATGCCTCCGACGGGAACCACCAGTCTGATAGGCCTCCTAAAACGTACGATCAGACGATTCAAGAGCAGGTATCTAATTAATAGGACTCCTACGCACGAATGGTGTTGATGCTCGGTCAACGTCCTTGGCCAGAGTTCAAATTTTATACTTCGCGGATATCCGGAAGAACGTGTCAGAGTTGCCAAGGAAAGATATCATCAAATGCCGAATATCAAATACGGCATCCCCAAATCACACACTGCGGTCGTACTCTTCAGTCCGACTTCAGCAGATACAGCATGGTGATATTCACATATGGCGTAATGAACTTCGAGCTCGCGGCGCCGACTTGTCGGTTCATACGAACCACCACCGCTTTTAAGCATCCTGGTAGAGAAACAGCCTATGAATAGTCGAAATATCAAGAGATAGGGGAGATTTGAAAATTTCGGCTACTCGGATGCCTACGCGACTAATTGCGGATGAGAAGTCATCCGACCCTTTCCGCAATTTCATTGGGTACCACGAGGATCGTCAGACTTTGGATTGCCATCAAAAGATGATCTCAGAGGATAGAGCTATGAGAAGAGACGGGTTTTCCAAAGCCGAGAACGTTCCCTGAGAAGATGCGTGTGATTCGACAATTTCTCGTAAAGCAGAAGGGATGAGATAAATGTGTGATTTCACCATGAGGCACAACAGAGCAGGGAGATATTAGGTTCAAATTGCTACGCTATAACCAATGCTGACGGTATGGATCCTGATTCCCAACCACTTCATCCAGTCCTGTACAGCCATGGAAGTTAGCTGTCAGTGTTGTGATCTTTCTTGCCTCTTTAAATCCTTCTTGGTTTTTCTTGCTGCCTTTTCATACCTCGGAGGCAAAGAAGGGGGCACTGGCTCGAATTCTTGGTTAAGCATCTCCCTCCTGCCCCTTTCCGCCGTTTCCTCCTCGATCTTCTGGGTCGACTCATCTCCAGCAAGAGTTGCGATGCTAGCGTTGAATTTGCCGCGGATGACCTCACCAGCACCGTGTGCCCAAGCAAAGAAGCCCACGACCTTTTGCGCCAAGCTTCGATCAAGATCAGGACCGGGTTCCCTCTTCTAGTGCTCAACCTGTGACGCCTGAGCCTTGTCGAAGGTGCCATCTGTGAATTCCCTCTGGCCTTTCCTTACGATATCCTCGTTCTTAGCCTGCTTGGCCGTATCTCCCGTGAAGCTGTCGGCTGCGGCGGCGAGGTTGCCCCGAAGTACCTCTCCAGCACCCTTTCCGGTGTTTTAGTCGAGTATTGCCTGAGCATGTAGGCAGGGGAATAACCCATCACTTACATGAATCTTAGCAAAAGGAGCCTTGGCCTTTTGTCCAAGGCTTGGGCCAGGAATCATCCCAGGCCCACTAGTGGAAGGTGTGTTATGACCGTCGTTGCCCAGGTCGGGAGGCACCTCTGTCGCGGGAGTGACAGGCTCGTGAGCCAGCAGAGACGGACGATGCTCGTCGGCGTTGTAGGATTTGTGCCTGACTGCGTCGGCAGCACCCTCGTAGCCAGGGGCGTAGTTGCTGTTTCGATGGCCACGCTGTGATGTCGAAACGCTAGCGGCTGTGTCTTCCAAGTGGGCACCAGGTGCACTTTGGCCAATGCCAGAACGCCTACCTGGCAGCTCGTCCTGCTTAGTAGTGGCCAGATCGCTTTGGGCAGCGTTCAGCTCGTCGTGGGTGTCCTGGGCTGTTGGGATGCGGCCATTTGGGTCGCCCATCTCGGTTGCCCCAGCAGTATTGGCCTTTGCCTCATGAGCCGGGCTGCGGCATGATGACGAGGCAGCAGTGCCTGGGTTGTGGACAAAGTCACGGGTGCCTATGTCTGCGTGTGACGCTGAGCCTGATCCTAGCGTGTTGTGAGTTATATCTTGGGGTTGTAGAGATGTTTGGTTGGATGTAGGGGTGTTATCTCCGACCCCAAGTATTTCATGGCGGTTTGTGAAATTGGGGTTCGCCATTATGTTGATTCCGCTGGCTTAACGGGAAGAGCTTTGGCAGGGAGGCAGGTAGATCCAAGTGAAATATGAGAGCCTGAAGGTTTCCAAAGTTTTATTGTTTTAGGCGAATGTTGTATATGTTTGTTTGCATTTATGTAGGGGTTTTGAAGTCGAGGTCAGCTCTCACGTCGATGGTGGGACCCATGTGTGTCGTAGCCCAGGACCCTCACATATATACTTGACCCCATTGCCATTACACTGGGGGCTTCAAAGCCGGAGGATTCCTTCCGCCCATGGCAGAATATGGACGCGGTCCTCAATTCCTTCTTTCTCGCTCAACGTCAGAGGCTGGCTGGGCCCCAGGTACGCGCAGCATCCCCAGCTTTAATCGCCAACATGACCTTGGGTTGACGTCACCCACAGGAAGGTGCACATGTGCCACTGCATGATATATGATGATTTCCGGCCGACGACCGCTTGCCAGGTAGTTAAGTGCTTATGTACCCACTGGGAATGACAGATCGTATCAGATACTTTGGGGCCGACAGTCAACGGACAGAGACAATCTACCCGCATTAGCGGGGGGCTCTCCATGCTATGGCCTCGTGTCTGGCAGGTCTGGCATGCCTGCAGGGGTCGAAACGTCTGCGGCAGCCCACGCATGTATGTGTCTCTTGTATTATCTGCAAACTGATGACGCTGGCACGATGATCGGCTTGGGGCCACCCAACAAAAAGAGAGGTACCAGGGGGCGATCTCGTTCGACGTCGACGAGTAGCGAAGCGCGGCAACGACGAACCCATGTCTGGTCTATCGTGGCACAAAGCTGCAGGAAAATGCAGGTATCCCAGATGGATGGACTGTGACGAAGTGTCTTGGGCCCGAATATTATAGGTCACGTAGCGCAAGGCCCATCGAGCCAATTCGTGAGCTGGTCGACTGCACCTGTATAAGGCAGATATACTGTGCCTTGCTAACGTGAATCAGACATGTTGTGGTTGATCTCTTGTTTAACATGGTCGAGTGATGAAGGGTAAGGGTTTCTGTGGCTTGGCCCCATCTCTTCCAAGCCCACAGTTCTCCTCGTTTCGTCCATCCGCGAATGACCTCCTTCCCAGCTAGAGGTGGAGCCCTAAGTGCCTAGCACGCCTAGATGCTGTGCACTATGATCTGCATGCCCTGAACCTGAGCCGTGATGACTCCCCACCGGCGCATGTTCAGAGCGGAAGGCTAACTTCCTTGTGTGGCAACAATCTCGGCGCGGTCGACACTCGAGCACGCTGAACAAGTCCGTCGGAAGGATCCAGCGGCTGACAGATCCGGGGCACCACTCATAGTCAGCTCGCACTCGCTTTACTAGTCCGGCCCGTCGCTGTTTGATCTTTGGAGTCTAGCCCAGCCTGGACCGTCATGGCCTTATCTAAGCAACTGCAAACACCGTCGGCGTAACATCTTCACCCTCCCTCCTTTGCTTTCACCCGCTGAGCCTCCCATCCGCCGTCCGGGCTTCCAAGCTCCAACGTGTGGCCGACGCCGTGCGGCAGATTGGGTCTCCCCGTTCGATCTAGTGTAATGATCATACTCTTAACAGTGCTGCCGCGATACACTCAAGCTAAATGTAAATGATATATAGCGCGTTCTACCTGGCTGACTGTTGATGGCTGACCTCCCTGTCACCATCATCGTCACCCAATTCCTAGAGCCTCTGTATTCCGAAGCGCCCCTGTAAGCCGCAACACAAGTGATAAGCGTTCGCCACATCAGAAGCACGATCCTGTGCAGACCCCGTGACGTATCCTGATTAAATCCCTGATTTTCCCCACTGAGCCCCATCTTCATCGTTTGACAAGACAGCATCATGGGCATCATCTTCAGCGCTATATCGCAGGCCTTTCCGCCCAAGCCCGCCTTCACCGAGAAGGATATCGGAAATCTAAGCGGCAAGGTAATTCTTCTTCAATAGGCCAGCTGAAATGGCTTCGCGAGCGCAAGGCAAATACTAACTCGATGTCAGGTCTACGTCGTTACCGGAGCCAACACAGGCCTGGGGAAGGAGATCGCCCAGATCCTCTACTCCAAAGATGCCAAAGTCTACTGCGCAGCCCGCTCCAGGGAGAAAGCCGAAGGCGCAATAGAATCCATCAAAGCAGCCTGGCCCAACTCTCGCGGCCAGCTCATCTTCCTGCCGCTGGACCTGGCCGACCTGAGCACTATCAAAGCTTCAGCAGACGAGTTTCTCTCCAAGGAAGACAAGCTGCACGTGCTCTTCAACAACGCCGGCGTCATGGTGCCCCCCAACGGCTCCAAGACAGCCCAAGGTTACGAGCTGCAGCTGGGCGTAAACAACCTGGGCACATTTTTCTTCACGAAGCTTCTGACGCCCACGCTCATCCGCACAGCCAGGGCCGAGGACCCGTCCTCGGTGCGTGTCATCTGGGTGGCTTCGTCGGCCGCCGAGTCGATCCAGGTGCCGAATGGGGGCGTCGACATCTCGAACCTCGATTACCACGTCGACAAGAGCCCCTTTGACAAGTACTGCGTGTCAAAGGCTGGGAACTACCTCCAGGGCACCGAATTTGCCCGGCGGCACAAGGAGGATGGCATCGTCAGTGTGCCACTGAACCCAGGGAACCTCAGCTCGGATCTGTGGCGGTCGTTCGGTAGCGGGGCGCAGGGTTTCTTGAGGAGTTTCGTGCTTCATCCACCTATTCTTGGAGCGTACACGCAGCTCTTCGCTGCGTTCTCGCCCGAGGTCTCGATTGACAGGTCTGGTGAATGGGGTAAGTCGTCGCATGGGCTTCTTGATTGATGCAACTTCCAGCTGACCATTACATCTGTTCAGTGGTCCCTTGGGGCCGATTCATGAAAATCAGACAGCACCTTCTGGATGGAAGCAAGCCGGTCTCTGAAGGTGGCAAAGGTACTGCAGAAAAGTTCTGGGAATGGAACGAGGAGCAGGTAAAGCCTTTCCTGTAGGCAAAAAGCGACGGCTCCTAGAGTCCAGTATTTTCAGATTTTCCTTTGCTTGGATTTTTAGATCGAAACGAGCGGGTTGTTTTTCTGGGAAATGGCGGGAATAAGATGAGGAGACATAATAGATTTCAGACTTATCACATTTCAATACTTATCAGGCCAGCGCGTTCTCTCTCTTACAGCGCGCAAATTGACCAGCAGAACCTGCATTTAGGATACTGCCTGAGGCGTAGACTTCATGAAACAGTCATTCAAGATAGAAGCCTGCGAGACATTATCAGATAGAACACGTGCCTGTGCAATATCCCGGTCTTTCCTCCGTATCATAAAGCACCTGCGCAAAGCTCTGGGACCATCGCAGGTTCTGGGTAGAAGTACGGCAGATTTATGATACTGAGCCGTTCAGAAAGCTGCTTGACGGAGGGTTTACAAGACGAGAAACATGGGAGTAGCACAGGGATTTTCAAAGGGAACACGTATGTAATGACGAGATGGTTCCGTAGCGCGCACGACTTAGAATAACAGCACCGCCAGTGAAGCATTAAATGGGTATCTAAAGGATAAGAGTGGCTTCGGGATGATCACTTTACCTCCAACCGTGATAAATCTTCCCCCTGGTGTTGACCTATGGTGAAGAGTAACGGACGTTGGGTGAAGCATACGCTCTCGCCCTTGTCGCTAATGCGATAACGCATAGTCGGCCAAAAAGTCCTCATCAGGTCGGCTTGCTCGAATAAATACCTGGTCTCTCGTAATTTCCGCCCTTCTCTGCCGCTGGGCCCCGAAGAATCCGACGTGGTACCGAGCAATCCAGAGACAACGGTACGGTGGCATTCAAGTCCTTGACCTCCTCAACTGGGATCATCGTTTCGACCTGTCCAAAAAGGTCTGCTGAATAAGGAGCTGCGCGGAAAGTGATGGCTGGGGTCTTCCGCGGTCAGCGATGGCCTAAATCCTGACAGCACGACAAATGCAGAGACTGACGCCCCTACAAAATCGCGGAATGATTTTAAAGAAAGAATAAAGGGCTCCCTAAACACCCTCAGGGATCTTTTAGGTGAAAGACGTGGCGCTCGAGAGCCGGTGAAGGATGCGAATGGGAACACGGCAGCCTAGATAGGTGGTCGACTGGCTTGGTCCTCGATGACCTTGTGAGGCTCTTCACGTACTCGTCGGCAGGAAGAAGGCTTATTTCTCGGGTTTGGATTGTCCTTCACCACGATATTCTCGAGCCATATTCGCCTGTTTGATGGGTTAGTAACAAAGTGTTTGTGTCTGCCGTCGGCAGTGAGCCGACTGCCACGGGATGCCTACCCGGTTGACCTTCGCGGCCTGGATTGACGACCTCGTCCAGACAAAAAGGACGGATGCCATCGTAAAAGCAGCCAGCGGTGCCATGATGGTCTGCTCGTTGAGATGTCAGCGCGACCTCGGGGCAGAACGGACGGTGCAGAGCATGTACCCTTGGATTGAGGTTGCCCCTCTGTGGTGCCATGTTGACTGGAGGCAGAAGACCAATTAAAGCTGGTGTAAAGTTGTCACCAGAACGGTCCTTCGTTGTTGCAGACGATGAGCTACAGCCAAAAGAAGGAAGAAGGAAGCATGAATCGACGTCGGAGACGTTGTTTATGGTCAGGCCACAAACCGGGGTTTAACCCCCCTGGCGAGCATTCTGCAGTCAGCCGTGGAGGTGGGCGCCGAGGGGGGGGGGCGATCCGTCAATGTACCTGCATTCGGTAACTAGTAAAGGCTGACGTTCAAATTGTAAAGTCAACCATGGTCTGCATTGATTTTGTGAGCAGTACAGGACTACATGCAGCTAAATGGAGGAAGGTTGAGGCCCTCAGAAGTGCACGCCGGTACAGGCGGGCCCCACGCACTTGCGCAGCGCGCAATGTGCCGGCCTCCTCTCACAGGGTGCGCATGAGGAGAAGCCTCCAACGACACCGGAGCTCCAAGACCGAATAAAGTTCCCATTTCATTCCGCACCAGATATGGCAGCCCGCTTGAACGCCATATCAAGAACACTCCTAGCACGACCGTCAACTTCTCTTGTAGCATCTCAAGCTCGTCTCGGAACAACACAATTCAGAATGTCTTCTTCGACGCCTAGGACGTACGAGTGGTTGGTTGTGGTCCCTGACAAGCCGGGCGCTCTGGCGAAGCGACTTGAAGTTCGACCGTGAGTTCTTGACAACCCTCCCACACTTATTTATACGTATATGTTTACATGCGGATGCCAATCCTAACGTGCTCCAGCCAACACTTCGAGGGCCTGACCAAGCTGAAGGAGTCTGGAGCCTTCAAGATGGGAGGTAAACTGCCCCGCTCTCCTCCCCGCTACTGAGAAGACAACCCAGATGCTGATGCCATTTCAGGTGCCGTGCTGGAGGAGATGCCACCGGATGATGAGGTCTCCAGCATGAAGTTCAGCGGGTCCACCCTCATGGTTGTGGCAGAAAGCAAGCAGGCCGTCATCGACCTGATCAAGGACGATATCTACGTCAAGTCTGGAGTTTGGGACCTGGAGAAGGTCATGATTTGGCCTGCGAAGATCGCTTTCAGGTTCCCTTAAAGCTGCACATTACTTCCGGCGTCTTGGGATTTCCGGACGAGGATAGACTCAATGTTTAGTAGGTTCGATTACGTGAAATAAAAAGATAGCACCCATGAGGTCCCTACTTCATAAGGGTCCAAGTGAATCAGCACACGGTGTGTCCCCCAGTCAAATTGCAGAGCTCCCACAACAGGTTGTCCTACAGTGTGGATCCCACCATCCTGAGTGCATACGGAACAGTTCTTCACTTGTGACAACTCCTGTGATTGCAACCAGCCTCTTGGTTTGGTGCCCCGGTCTAATCTCGCGACACTTCTGCCATATGAACACCTGGACGAACTGGCAAACCCACAATCATACTGTGGGACCTATAGCCTCCTGTTTTCAGCGCCAGCAAACCTTGTGACAGCTGTTTCACAATCCGCCGTTGCGGTCAACCCAAGGCCCAGGGGCCGTCCCACCATACTCCGTACTTGAACTGCCTGTCAGGAAAACAAAGACAACGCCGCAGATAGTTTCAAAGTCGCTTGGGTCGTTCTCGCCACCGCCAAAAGCGTGAGAAACTGCAGAAGAAGTTGTGACTGCGATATGAGAGCTCCTGGTTTGCGTCGCTGTGTTGTGAAAGGGCGCTGTGGTTTCGTCTGTCGTCTCCTGTGTCTTTATTTTGTCACGACGTCTGCGATACGAGTTTGTTTCCCATCCCACAGCCCAGCTACCGAACCTTCATTGTCCAACACCCACAGTCCTGCATTCTGTGCATCATGCACATAAGCCCCACCCCCTGCTTGCAGGCCCCGCGATTTATGGCTCAGTGTTCTCAGTTGCTTCGGCGCGCGATTCTGCATCCACTCGCAATTCATAGTTGAGCTCGAAGCACTCCGCAAGAAGGTCGGCCACTGCTGCTTGTCCTTCTGGGATGTCGCCATTGATCTCGAACTTCCCGTCGGTGCGCATGTTGTCAATGGAATTAAGCTAGAAGTATTCATTAATTTTAGCCGGGAATCGCAATTTCTTGAGGACGCATTTCCATCTCACCTTCATGCTGTAGGGGTACAACTCTCGCACTGAGCTTCCGCCTCCCGAGTTCTTGACTTCAAGCAGACACCGCTTCAGGGTCGACAATTGGTTGTAAACTGGTAGCAATGCTTCTGACACTGGCTCCGAAAGTACCATGAGGTGGTAGATGTAGCCGTAGCTTCGCCGAATCAAATACAACAACGTCTGCATTTGTCGTCAGCTGCCAATGGATTCAAGTTGGTGGAAAGAATGGCACGCACCCTCTGCACATAGAGCTCCGCCGGCTTGCCTTCGTCGTCCAGCCAGTTGCCGTCTACTCTGGCCTCGTCAATTTTGTCGAGTTGCCGCTGGTAGTCGTAGAGATCTGTTTCTCTCAGCGACCACGCTGGTGTGATGGAAAATTTGTCGAGATCATTGCGAATGCCGATTAAGACATCGTAGACACTCCTCCACTGCTCCGGCATGACGCCTTTCCTCTCCAGCACGATGTCGGACCACAAGAGAACTCGCCTCAGGAGCTCAGAAACCTCATCGCTACCCTTGGCAACTTGGCCGTCTGCGCCGAGGAACTTCCCGTCCTGCCGCTGTGCATCAATATCTTTCAGTTGAGCCTGAAGCTTTGTAACTTCAGAAGTGTTGAACTGTGAGGGTGTCAGCAGGTCGTCTCGATCATCCGAACCACCCGGGGACTCACTTTGGCCTTGGTATTTGCCAATGATAGGGACCTAAGGATCGAGATGATCTTCTCGTGCACAGCAAGCAACGTGTCGTCCAGGTCGTCCAATTTCTTCTGCAATGTCGCAAGCGATGTCTGGCACAGCTCGACCCTCTTTGACAGCAATTTGAGTAGGTACGGGGAGTGCCTCGCGTCCGCATCGTTGACAGTCCTCGAAAGCTGTTCTAGCGTCTTGGCCATGCTGTCCAGATCCTTCGCAGAGAACAGGTTCGCTTCCGTGAGGTGCTTTAGTAGGCGCTTGATGGTCGAGGTCAGGGAGTATGCCGCGGGTGCCTCATTCGTCCTCCCTATCGTCATGAAGAAGAGCGACACGAGCTGGAAGCAGCTCTCGATGATCTTGTCGAGGCGGTTCTCGCCCTCCTGGTCCTTGGCGTCCCCACGGATCTCATTGACCTTGCGGATTTCCTCGATGGTTTTCTCGTATAATCCAATGACATCCTGGGACCTGATGTATTTTGTCCGGTCCTGTTTGAGGAGAAGAAGCTGGTCACGGATGGCCGCGAGGCGCTCCATGACCTCCTGCTCCCGTGCATCCTGAGGTAAGGGGATGATAGGCGTGTCCATGTTGGACTGGGTGACAGACTCCGCCGGTAAGCTGACCTGAAGCAGTGGAACGAGGCAGGCTCTAAAACCCTAGTTTGAATTCGCAGGAGTGAGACTGTAGCGAGTGGGCCGAAGCTCTATGTGCAAGGAAAGAATGTGAAGTCCAACAAAATGAAATGCTGCGTCTACAGTTCGGCGCCGTTGGTAGAGAGGATGAGGGTCTCGCGTGCTCCGTGTCCCTTGGCTCAAAGTTGACAGCAGCTCAAGGTTGCGCGAGAGGAGGTGTCCAGGTACGCGGAACGCACGGGGGTATGACAAAGGAAGTGCAGGATGGCAAGGCAAGTTCCCGGTAGTCTGGGGCCAGTGGCACTGAATCTCACTCAGATCTGCACCGGCACTTAACACGTGAAATGGTCGTCTCGTAGAGTTGCTTTCACGATGATCTTGCAAAAGTAAAATGGGGGTTGCAGCTGCATTGACTGATGATGGACGAACTCAGTTCAACGTTTCCAACATCCCCTCGGAAGCACCTCAGACGTCAGTATAGTGGGGTGCGTCGCCTGGGCTGCACAGTACATGTACGGTACGTGGAGGGGGTCCCCAGGTGGCAGCTGGCAGGTGCTGAGCTCAGGGTGGGGTTGCCAAATGGGCTAATCGATAAGCGCCTGGGCGAGCTCGGCTATCCCTGCCAGCGCGATACTCTACAACCCAGCCGGCCGACCGAGCACTGACTGAGGTACGTACCGGGCCACTCGGCGGAGAAAAGATTTTCAGACCACCGAGAGCCCACGGAGAGCGCAAAAAATTGGAGGAGTACTACCACCTCTTACACCGTCGACCAACCGACATCGACGACAGTCAAAACCACCCTGCGAGATACCCTCGATCGTTTCCTTGCAACCTGCAGCCCACACACAAATCGACACTCACAATGTCTTCCCCTGAGCTGGTTTCTGCCTACGCCGCCCTCATCCTCGCTGATGAGGGTGTTGAGATCACCGTACGAGAAGAACCCCCGACCCGACCCACCACAATTCCTGCGACATTGGCGCAAACCACCATGAAGTCACCAGGATTGCTAACATTGATCCCATAACAGGCCGACAAGCTGCAGACCATCATCAAGGCTAGCGGTAACGAGACCGAGCCCATCTGGACCTCTCTGTTCGCCAAGGTACGACGACCAAATCCACCGACCGACATATGACGGAGACCCACCTGCAAACATTGGAGTCGCATGACTGCTTGGGAATCTGGGAATAGGATCGAATGCTGACGAGGACATGCGCACAGGCTCTTGAGGGCAAGGACGTCAAGGAGCTCCTGACCAACGTCGGCTCTGGTGGTGGTGCCGCACCCGCTGCCGGTGGCGCCCCTGCCGCCGGTGGTGCTGCCGCCGCTGAGGAGACCAAGGAGGAGGCCAAGGCTGAGGGTGCGTATATCCTATACCCGGGCGACAAAGCCGGCGAGTGCGAACTGATGACTGACATCCGGAACAGAGAAGGAGGAGTCCGACGACGACATGGGATTCGGTCTTTTCGACTAAGCGGTTTCTACCACAATTCCAACTGCCGAAACGACGATCACCACTGCTATCTCTGCGACGACTTCCTCGCTGTACTTCCTTTGAACTCTCTCTGCATTGGGTTGCGGGTCTTTAAAATACCATCCTTCACGACTACGGGATGGAGGCCACGATATATGGTCGCAGGGAACTGGAGTAGCGCGAACTGGACGGAACCGGGTTTTGATGATCAGATGCAAATCAAAAGAGAAATTTGCGCCCTCACGTGTTGGTCCCAGTCATGACTAGCCTTGCAGGATCGTGAGGTTCGGCAAGACGTTTCGCAAGGTGTATCTGGCTGTTCGAGGTCGCCAGCGATGTGGAGTTTCGACCTCGAAACTGCGACGCAGATCTACGTCCTGTCCGCCCTCAGTGCATGCCAACTCGAGACTCTTGCTACTATTTCTGGAAATATCCCGACCGTGAAATTTTGAACGAAAGGCAAATAGCCATCCTGAGGTGAATCTTCGTAGAGCTTGAGAGATGATCGCCTGGCTCTCCACCAAGGAAGATGCGCGATGAAGCTGGTTCCAGCGAGAACCTCTTGAAGCCTTTCTAAGTCTCGGCAAGTCTGAGGGGCGCCCAAATAGAGTAAATGACGGAACTGCAGCCTGCCCTGGCGAGTGACAACCTCTGAACTGCGTGTGTTATGATATCTAAGCCCAGCTGCTCTAAACATGTCCGGTCGACTTGGTACTCAAGGTAGTCTGTGCATATGGTAAACGGGCGACAGGACTCAATTTAGTCTCATCATCCTTGGGAGACAGATGTTCACGTGCTTGTACTGGAGACTTGTTCATGTCAATATCTCATGGCTGTGGAATGGATCCGCATGGGACAGTCACATGTCACAGGATAATCGGAAGCACGCCAGAAGACCAGGCATTCTCTTGCATGCGTCTTGCTATTTTCTTGTCATTAACTGTGCCCCTTGGCCACATTCCAGTTATAAAGATGTCTATCATCTCTGCAGTGGCAACCGTCAACTTCCGCTGCACGGAATGCCCGGAGAACGCTTCAGCTGGGCTTCCTAACAAAGGTGTGAAGGGACTCGACACATGATCATCATTCCTACTTCCCTCAATGCAGTAGCTATTCCCAGAAGCTCGGTTATGGCTCTGGCATAGATCGCCCTCTCTTATTTTGCGAAGGTATCATGAGATCGGGCTCTTTTGGCCTTCATTGGGTTCCATGAAATCCCATGTTCTGTAGCATCTCATCTATGCCAACTCTCCGGCTGTCCCCACTCTCATGACTCTTCTGAGGACGTTTGCCCGGGCACAGCAGGAAGTCCTCCCTAGTCAGTTCCGACCGCAGCACCTACTTGACGATGAGTACACCGCTGGGGACGAGACCAACCTCTCGGAGCGTCTGGCCGAAGTCAACACCCGCCTCGAAGGTCTTGCGTGGGAAAGTAATCGTAAAGTTGGCCACAGTCGTCCCCTGCTCAGCCTCGATGGCCTGCGCCACTTCGAATAGGGTCGTCTCGGCGGGAAAGTTCTTCTGCAGCACTCCACCAGGTGTCTGCAACCTCAGCCTGGCCTCGGTATAACTTGCGCTGGACTTGGGCTGTACCGGAGCGGCAGGAGCAGCCGGAGCGGCAGCAGCGGCGGGTGCCTTGCCCTCCCTGGCGGCCTTGGCCTCCTCAGCCTTGCGTCTTCGCTCCTCCTTGTCCGCCTCGATCTTTGCCTTGATGCGCTTCTTGGCCTCCAAGTCATCGAGCTTCTCTTGACGCTTTTTCGCGGCCTCCTTGATCTGCTCCTTGCGCTGGAGCTCCTCCTTGGCGTCCTGGGTCTCCCTGGTGGCCTTCTGCTTGATCTTTTCGTTCCGCTTCTGCTCCTCCTTATCGGTGACGGATTGCCTCGCTCTCTTCGCGGCAAGAGCAGCGCGCATCTCTTCCAGCTTCTGTTTCTTCTCCTCCTCGGTTAGGGGCTTGAGCTCCTCGGTTGACTCGGAGAAGTTCTCGTGGCCGGTCTTGGAGGCATGGAACTCAGCGAGGGCGGTGGTCCTGAACTTCTTGCCACAGTCGTCGCAGGCGAGGGATTTTGCAAGCTGGCCCTCTTCCAAGCCCTTGATAGCTGCCTGGGTGGCCTCTTCATCGTCATCTTGGGGAGCTTGAAGCTCATCAATGGGAGTGTCTTGGTTCTTCTCGAGCCACTCTAGCGCGCCTTGAAGACCACCGGATTTCTTGATGGCTAATTCGGCGCGAGCCTTTTCGAAGCCCATCTCCAGAAGAGCGTCAAGGTCTGATTGTGCCATGTTGTCGAACAGAATGATGACACGGGGCAAGGGTGAAAGGTGGTGTAGGAGTAAGATGTAGGGGCGGGGACAAAATGGCGTGTCCCCAAGAGAAGGCGATGTCGGTGCAGCCTATTTCTAGACGCTTATTAGATGTGCGAGTCTATATGCAGAGAATAAGCATTACCCACTCTTCGCTGGTCTAGATGGTGGTTTTAAATAAACCTGATGGCTAAGTCAAAAATCTTATGGAGGCCTAAGTGTGTAGTTTGGTTTGGACAACACTTTACGTTGTGGACGGTGGTCCTTGGTGTCTGTTTGGCAAGGCACCCAGAGGTAACGTCAGAGGGGTAGCTAGTGTGGGGCAAGCTTTGGTATGTACCTATGTACTTCCCGAGCGAACACGTTGAGCACGGGCTGGCTGTACTTGCTATTATAAGCAGGTTCATGTGAAAGGCGTCTGGACGAGGTGAGACATTCATTGCCTAGATCGTCTTCATCTGACCCGCAGTCTGGTTCTTTTTCTAAGATGAAGTGACTCTATAATTCTAAGAAACACCTTGTCGAACTCTACCGAAATACTACACAGCCTTGTTCAAATATCATGTCCTCGCTACCACACAGAATCGTGCAGATCTGCCGTCAATTATGTAGTTTTCGTACATAGTCGAGGGAGGCATTCCTTGGTGGTGATCCCGAGGGAAATGGGGGTGCTGAAAGGAGATTGCCGAGATACGCTAGAGTCACAGGCATGGGCCACTTCACTCTGCCCAGGTGGGAGGTCCGAGTTCATCAGAAGGAGGTGGGAAGGGTGCAAATTGAAACTTGGCCTCCAACTGCTGGCCAGGCCTGCCTCCAGCTGCCCACCCGTGCACTCGTGGACGGACGGTACACACACCTGCAGATTACAGATTTGTCCCCGTTGGCCTCCCAAACCAGTTCTTGCTACAGATTGCCTCTAGTACCAATCTCGTAAGACCTGTGCCGTCATCCACCCTTTTCTGGCACCTTGCGCACCCCATCCTGCATTTCTTCAGCTTCAACGTCGATCTTGCATTGTGCTGTTCACCATCCAGAGTAACAATCTGATTACCCGTCACACGTCAAAGACGACCTTGGAACCCCTGGAGTCATTATTTGCCCGAGTCGGATCTACTACCCTTTCTTCTCTATCTGGCCGTATCAACTTGGTCCCCGAGCCTCCGCCCGTTGATCAATCTCCCCATCCACAACTCCGACCCGCTTCGATCATTGAACGGCCACGCGACCGCATCCGCAAACCCGCCATCCGCTGCTGTGCCCAACATCACCACCATGTCTGTTGAGATTGATCCCCAGGAACTTGGCTTCCGCCGTACGTTGCCCGAGCTCTTTTCAAAGCTCTCCATTCTTCGCAGCTAGGATGGCGCCCTGCTGACCAATTCCTCCATCCAGGGCCCTTCACCGTCGAGGTCTCCCAGCTCCTGAAACTCAAGAACCCGAACAAGTCCCCGGTGGCTTTCAAGGTGAGCTCACCATGGAATACCTTGTCGCATCGGCATCTTGCTGACGTTTCCAGGTCAAAACAACCGCCCCCAAGCAGTACGGCCCGTCCATATGCTCCTGAAATACATTGCAGAAGAGGAGGCTCACAAGACATCTAGGTACTGCGTGCGACCGAACTCTGGTCGCATCGAGCCCGGTCATGAAGTCGAGGTCACTGGTCTGTCACCCACCCAGAGCTTCTCAAGCATGTCACATGTCAAGGACCAAGCTGACATGCGATATCTACAGTCCTCCTCCAGGCCATGAAGCAGGACCCTCCTGCGGATACCAAGTGCCGAGACAAGTTCCTGGTCCAGTCTGTCCCCATTTCTGGAGATCTGGAATTCAGCAATGTGCAAACGATCGTGGGTCGCCCCTGAACACGAATTCCTCGGCTTGCCCACGTGCAGATACTAATTGTGCGCAACCACAGTGGGAGTCTGTTGAGAAGTCGCAGGTTCAAGAGAAGAAAATAAGGGTCGTCTTCTTGCCTGCTGCTGGTGCAGGTTCCGCTGGAGGCGTTGCTGCTACTCCTGTCAAGCAGCCGCACTTGACAAACGGCGTAAGTTTCCATGTCTTACATATCGCAAAGACCACATTCTCATCAGATTCTCCCACAGGCCGAGCAAACTCCGGATACCGTCCCTCCTCCTGCCTACGCCTCACCGGAAGAGCACCGACCCGCCAGCAGCAATGCTCCCCCATCCGAGGGGGTCTCTGAATACAGGGATGATCCTGATGTCACCGCACCGATTGCTGCCTCTCCCCAAGCGCCGAGCGAGATCTCCAAGGAAGAGTTGAAGCGTGATCTCGCGAGCTCAGAGAGCAAGGAACAGGAAGGTCTGCGGCAGCGCAAGGGGCTTACCGCCGCTGCCGAGGTCCCTAAAGTTGGCCAAATCGCTACCGCTGCAAGACCACAGGGTACGGAAGGCGTCCCGATCCAGATTGTCGCAGGTCTGTGTCTCGTCAGCTTCCTCTTGGCATACTTCTTCTTCTAAGCGTGGGTCTCATACCGCGCGACTGTCGTTTTGATTGCAAAGTCACGTCTCAGTCGGAGGACAAATAGCGAAGACACTCTGGAATGAGATTTTATAACGTCACGGACACACTGGCTTGAGTTGCGTTCAGGCTGGAGATACCATGGAAGCGAGATCCGTCTCATCGGGCCTCTTAAGGCTTCATGAAGGCGGACAAGCAGTATTATCTTGGGTTAAGCGGCGGCCATCGAAACAAAGTGATGGCAAGCGAGACAGATACCGGGGCAGGATCGATTGCTTTGACAGCCAACGATGTTGAGACAGGTAGTCTATTATGTATTTATGTTGCGGCCTTGGCCGAGGCGCCTTGAGCAGTTTAGGGTGTTCACTTTTTAATGATTGTCTTCTTTGGGTTCAATTATTCCGAAAGTAGTTCGACGTGTAAATGACGACTCCTGTGATGACGAGCAAACAAGATCCTGGTTAGAGAGTTTCGGGCCTCGCCGATGTATATTTAATTCACGAGATCACAATGCGCGAGCCTGAGTTCTGGCCTCAACAGACCCAAAGAAACACAAGCCCACTATCATCAATGCACCAGACACCGTTTGGCTAGCGGTGACAGGGAAAGTGTTCATCTACGAGGAAGTGTAAGAAGTCACACTACATAGATGCACCTGATTGATTTCTGGACACGGACGAAATCCGGCATGGCTATAGATTAGCATGTATCGCTCTAAATATACGAGGACGTTGTATCTTCTATGATCATCTTCTGGAAAAGATGCACTTTCCTCCGCATATCGTATCATAATTTTGCCTCTTTGTTCGTTGCGCTTCGCGTTGCAAGATTACGCGCTGCTGGTAGGATCATGCACACATGGTGACTGAGGGCCACGATATCACCAGCCTCGTCCAAGACGACGATTTCGAGATCGTAGCGACCGTTCCGGATCTGCTTGGCCCTCGTCCGCACAAACAGCCAGTCGACGCCCTCCTCCGGCAGGGCCTTCTTCACGTCCAGGTTGAGCAGCAAGGTCGGGTACCAGAACTTGGCTGAGCCCTTCTTCGCCGCCGCCGCTTGTGCGCTGTCGCCTTTGTCTTTGGCGGGACCGACGGCGTACGGATCAGCGCCCGCCCTGTACGCCTCGGCGATCTGTGGGAACATGTCGGCCACCAGGCCTAAGCTGGCGTTGATGAACCGTTCGCCGTTCTTGAAGGCCATCCACTGGTCGGCGACGCTGCGCTCCGGTTGTCCCTTTTTGGGAAAAAAGAAACGAACATTCTTGGACGCTTTCCTAAAGTCGGCGAAGGGCATCGCCTTCTGCTCCTGCCATTCTGCGTCTGACCCGTCGCCGAGGGCGGCAAGGCTGACCGGTCGCCGGGGCGGCTCGAGGCGCCACCGCGTGTCGAAAGACGGCCCCTGTTCCTGCGGGATGTTCGAGTTCGTGAGGTACCCTATGACCTCCTCCCGGCCCTTCTGGAAGAGCGAGATGTGGACCGTCGAGGTCAGCCGGCCGAGCTTGACGTCGCGGACCTTGAACGTCGCGGGGCCGACCTCGGTCCTCCTGACAAACTCCAGGTGCAAGGTGATTGTGTGTGGCTGATTTTGTCTCGATAACGTCTTCGAGAAGTGCGTCTTTGCTACCTGCAGGAAACAACTCGTGATGTATCCTCCGTGCGGGACTACAGAATCGAGGTCAGCAACGCTGCTCATGCTTGTGCCTCGGCACTTCTACTGACCTGAGCCGATGCACCAATTGTCGTGGAAATAGGCTTCATATTCATGAGATGATTTCTGTTTTACGGCGATGCCGTCTTGGAAGGATACCATGGCTGAAACTAAGAAGTCAATCTCAATAGGCTTTGTGTGAATCGTAAACTGGAACTGAGAAATGCGCGGTTAGGAGGTGAGCGTCATGTGAATACTAGGAATTTGGAGATCGTCCACCATGTGGCGGCATGTACTACGGTTTCAAAGCTAGGCCAGGACAGCACACGATCCATGTAAATGAATGTTCATTAGCAGATTGGCGTTTATTGTCCGCAAGTTTTCGGTTCCTGCATCAGCGAAGATGCTTTTCAACAACATCTAGATAATAACTTCCGTCTTTGTCTATCGTGTTCACATAACTCCTCACAGAGCAAATCCGCAGCCGTGGCCATAGAGGCGTATGTACGGGCGATAAAATCCATTTACAGTCCATCATGATCACATCGAATCCAATCCACCGTAAACTTTTGGTGTTCCTTTCCTTAAGCCTCGATTTCCTGCGGTGTCCAATCCGCTACCTTGGCGACCCTCTCTGACTTGCCACCGACCTTGCGTCCGCCGTTCTTCCTCTTCACCCGGCTCGTGATACCGACATTCTCGTCCCAAAGGAACCGCCAGAGCACCATTACCCAGCTATCATGTTGCGGCAGTGGCGCATAGAACTCGTCCGCGATCTCCCTCAGCTTGGGCAGCTTGGTCCACGCAACAGCAGGGAAGTCGTGGTGCTCATTGTGGTATCCCACGTTGTAAGTAAGTATGTTGAGCGGGCCGTAGTAGCTGTACGTCTCCGGCACTGGGATGTTGTTGTCAGGGTTCCTGGCCTCAGGGGTAACCGACTCGTAGACGTAGTGCTCTGAAATAAAGTGACCGGCTGTGGGATGCCACGATCCAGCCAGGAATGAGCTGAGCAGGAGGTACAAGATAGGCTTGTAGCTGTCCAGGGACGTAATCACGATGTAGTCAAATGCAAGTTGCACAACTAGGTTGAGGAGGTGGACCCAGGTGAAGGTGATCTGGAAGACACACATAGGCCGGATGGCGTAGAAGAAGATCTGAAAGGTGCAGAAGAAAGCCTTGCCTAAGATCGAGTCGAGGACCACAGCCTCGAGGGCGGTGGGAAGGTCGGTATCCAGGCCATCCACGCCCAGACTCTTGTGGTGCGTTAGGTGGTAGGGTCTGAAGCTTGCGCTGTAGGGCAGCCCGATGGGCAGGTTGGCGAAGATTGCGAACATCCTGTTTGCCAGTGGTGATCTAAAGGCCAGGTTGTGGCTGATTTCGTGGATCGCGAGGAAGAGGTTCTGGTTGGCGGTTGCGCCGACAACGTACGCAAGCGCCCAGAACTTCCATGACCAGAACGAGGTATCTTTCAGTATGTAGCCGCAGAGGAACTGCAGTCCGACGACGAAGGCGACGACATATTTGGTCAATGGCTCAGGGCCGCAGAGCTTGGTGACCTGTTGAGAAGCTCCGGCATTAGCATTGAATCGAGGACGGCAACAGCGACAGACGACCTACCTCTGGGTGAGCCTTGATAATGGCAAGCCGTCTTGTCCGGTGCGGCTCCTCCGTGTAAGTCCAAAAGAAGTCATGCTCCTTCTGGTCTGTCTCTTCCTGTGCTCTGTCGGCCGCAGCGGCGCCATTGAGCCTGATCTCCCCATTTGGGGCGGCCTTCCTCCGTTCGGCGCCGGCACTTGTCGTTGTGGTCGATGCGTTTGCCATCGTGTCTGGCCTTGTGGTATGTTCAGAATGTGGTCAAGTTGTCCAGCTTCTGAAATTTTCCAGCGGCTCTAGTAGGCGGTTCGCTGCCCTAGGAATGGGCTGAGACTTCGGGAAGACGCGTTCCAGATCATGCGATTTGGAGACTGGTTGGGATGACTCTGGTCCGGCGGGCGGTGAGTTGTTTCGACGTTCTGCGTCACAGCCCAAGACACATCGAAGTCGTCAGTGTCTTTTTGGTTGGGATTTGCCCTCAACCCGAACCAATGAACAAAAATATGGACACTATAGCCAGCTGCAACTGCTGTCAATGGGAAAGCAGAATAATGGTGGTGGATTGTGTGAAGCTCAACAAGAGCGAGGGAACCAAGCTAGCTATCTGATAGCGTAGCGACGGATGTCTGTACTTTCGCCCATTAATTTGCCTTCTTGGCGGGGCAGACCCTTAAAAGTCTAGAACCAATCACTGCTATAGGCCAGCGCCACATGTTGATGCTCGTACAGGGGTTCAGGCGTGCATGAACAGTAATCGAGAGCTTCCGAGGAGCTGGAAAAGGGGGGCTGCACTGCATTGCGAGGTGGTGGGTGGCAAACTACGCGCGACGCAGACACATCAGACAACGGTTGCTCTAATGTAGTCTGAGATGCGCCTCTACGCTCGATTATATTGAGAGAGGCTGCACTCAAACTACGAACCTGTCAAACATCTCATGATCGATCATTCAGGCGCAAGTCTCTCGCTCTACTTGACTAGTACGTAGCCAACGTGATGAGACTCCCATAAGACTTCTGAGGAAGCTACTGCGGTGCATTGGGTGTCAGGCTTCTTGTGGGAATATTTAACATGACTTATCTCCACACGGTGTCGCAACTTGAAGCGTACTTAGAGACCGTAGGATATTTGAACATCTGGAATGCAGAAAAACCCCCCGGCAACATGGTAAATTTGATGGACATACCCGTAGAAAACCTTCAGACTTTGGCCTTTGCTGTGTGAGTGATCGACCCTCCCGCTCTACTCATGCTTCCATTCGAGAATACGTACAACGAACTGGGCAGATGGGAACACTCAGTAGGAAGGATCCCGTCCCTAAAAGGAATGATTCTTGTGCGGCTAGCAAGGCCCAAGAATTGGTGTTCAAGAGGTTGATCATGTACCCAGGGAGGAGATGATCAGACCGTTCGGTTGAGGGCCACTTGGGTCCTGCCCATCACCTCTGCTTCTTATCAAACGGGCTTTCCAAGCAATCACATAAGGGAAACCATCTGAGGCACGCCCACATATGCTTACGAGAGCTTTAGAAGGGCAAATAACATGCCTCGGCTGCTCGAAGACCACCCTTTGTCACTTGGTCACCCCCTTGTCGAGATGCCCTCTGCCAACAACTCCTGGGCTTTCCAGAGCTCTCGGGCAGCTCAATGTCCTGACTGGGCACTGAAAATGTTTGTATATATGGTCTCAAATAAGTTCCTTTAGTTGAGAGGTGACAAATGTCAGTCAGGATCTTGCAATTGATGAGATCGATGGTGATGTGCTTCATGGGCTCGAGCATTCGGTTTGGACGGATCTCAGAAATATGATCAGATGGGGCCTCGTCTTTCGAGGTTGTTTTTGAAGTTATGTTCTCGCCCCTGTTACGGTATTTACAGTCCTGTGGTTCTCTCTGTGTGCGGACTGCATGTGTGTCCTGCGTGTCGAAGGATATGCTCAGATAGCCTTCTTTCAGAATACTGAGCCTCTTGAAGCCCTTCCGGGCAACACCATCTTCAAAGCTTGTCTGGAACTTGTAAGTCTCAGGTGCCAATGACTTCCCAAGGGTTCTGCGTGGGTATTGCCTTCCCTTTTGTGACCTTGTGGTGCCCAGTCCCCCCTTCCAGCGCAGGTCAACTTCGTCCCAGCTGTGCCTTCTTCGTCCTTGAAACTTCTTCAGGCAACCAAAGTCGTTGTGAGATTCTTTGAGACCAGCTTTCACAGTCCGATCTTTCATTTTATCTGAATCTAACAGATTAGCAGGAGCGCCTTCATCCGTATCAGCTCCCAACTCCCAGCTCCCAACTCCCAGCTCCCAGTTCCCAGCTTCGACCTTCCAACTTCCAACGTCGACTTTCGACCTTTCACCTCCCACCTCGAACTTGACAACACCGACAGAAGTCGCGTCTTCCCTTCTTTTTCGCGCTGTCTCCCTCTCAAAGCCAAAACAAGTAAGTCTTCAGTCGTTTAGCAACTCACTTTTGTCCTACACCACCAACTTATCGAGCCTTTCCACCTCAACTATCAGCTTGTCCACTCGTTCTCATCACTTCTTTTTCACTTCCCCTCTAATTGCAGTCCATCGGCTGACCTTTGTCACCCTCAGCAGGTTTCGAAACGCTGCATACCCATTCTTGGTATCGTGCATACAATCTCTCAATCTGGTAAGCAGCCTCCTCTTCTCTGTGTCTGCCTGGCCCCCTTTCCTTGCCTTTCCCACCTCACCTGCTTGCCTGCCCTACCTTTTCTTGCCTTCACGACCAGCCCCTCCAAGGTGTTTTTGAGAAAAAGACCTGCTGCCAATCTCATCTTCGCCTCAAGCACTGCCTCCCAGCACTGCCTGACTTCTTGACATTCATCTTGCCTGCCTCCATTCTTCGATTTTGCACCACTTGACCCAGCCCCAAAACCACACCAACCCCAATCGTCAACTTGACGCGTTGAGCTGCAAAGTCAACGCGTATCTCTTCTCTGCATCATTGACCCAGCATTTTCGAAACTGTCAAGTTGGTAAGCACGTCAACACCGTTATCCCCCGAGGCATCACGGCTTTCCCCATTCCCTTCGGAACTTTCTTGCTCCACAGACCAATGTCCTCTTGCTCCATCCCCCTTTTCCACTGCCTTCCAAGCCTTTGAGGCCTTTGCAAAAGTCTGCAATTCCCACACCCGCAGCCTGCGGGCAGCCAGAAGCCTTGTCGTCCACAGGCTGTTGCCAGCAACACTGAGACTTTTCAAGCTTGAGATTGAGAAAGTCATTGCAGATGCCCATCGTTGGTACAAGTGGCCTCGATTTCGCTCCCAAAATCGCACTGGACTTCCGTTCCATCCAAGACTTTGTCTTCCACATTTGTTTTACATCCATCTCACTCTACCCTCTGCACACAGCCTCGGAAGTTACGAACTTGCGGGCACGTGGCCAAGAGTCCGTCTTTACTTTTCTGACCCATCACTCCGCAGAATCTCTGACAGCATTCCAACCCTGCACCAGCAAGATGTCTTGGAACGACGGTGGTGATTTCGGCGGTGGTGCCGGTGGTGCCGACAACAACTTTGGCGGTGGTGGCACGCCTAGCGCCTTCGACGACGGCTACGGTGACAGCTACGGTGGTGCTGAGGGCGGTGGTGGAGGAGGCGGCGGCGACCGCGCCTGCTTTAACTGCGGCGAGGTTGGGTATGTTCGACCTAACCCACCCGCATGTGCTCATGGACATGAATTTTATCACTAACACCAGGGATATAGACACAACAAAGCTGACTGCCCGACCCCTGCCGCACCGGTTGAGTGCCGTTACTGCCACAAGGAGGGCCACTTCGCCAAGGAGTGCCCCGACAAGCCCCCTGCCCGCTGCGGCAACTGCAAGAAGGAGGGCCACTTCATCACTGAGTGCCACGACCCTCTGGTCTGCCCCCGCTGCAATGGATCTCACATGGTCCGCGAGTGCCCTGAGCCTATGAAGTGCTACCACTGCGAGGGTGAGCACATGGCCAAGGAGTGCCCCGTTTTTGTCGCCACTTGCCAGAACTGCGAGGAAGCTGGTGAGTTTGAAGCTGGACCCTATCTTTCTCAAGCCTCCCATCATCGGACTCACTGACATATGCTATAGGCCACACTGCCGTCGAGTGTCAGAACGCTCGCAAGGTTGACCGCGGCCATCTTCCTGAAATGACCGGCGAGGAGGCCTGGAAGCTGCTCGAGCAGGCAATCAATGACAGGGATATGGACGAGGTCAAGGAGAAAATACAGATCTATGCCAAGGCCCAGCCCACAACTACGTTTGTCGAGCTTGAGAAGGCGCTCCGTTCCCAGGGATACGGTCTTTATCTCATTCCCAAGGAGCGTGCGAACCTGTCTATCACCCTGACCAACATGGATCTTCAGGGCAATTTGAACAAGAAGTACACGGTGAACTACCGCTTCTCAGACAAACCCCTCCGCCAATCCGAGCGAGAGGGCTGGCCCGAGAGCCACGATGTCATCATGGAGCGACTTGCCGATGCTGGCGACGTTGTCCCCTGGGTTGGCAAGCCCAAGTGCGGCAACTGCGAGAAGCTCGGACACCTCCGCAAGGACTGCCCCGAGGAGAAGCTGGAGGCTGACAGGGCCGTCGTGAAATGCTACAACTGTGACGAGGAGGGTCACCGGGTCCGCGACTGTAAGTCAAGATTGCAGCAACATGGCCGTAAATCAATTGACTGACGCTCTCAGGCCCTACTCCTCGCGTTGACAAGTTCGCCTGCAAGAACTGCGGCAAAGGTGGCCACAAAGCCGCTGATTGTGAGCCCCCTCCATAAGCCACCGGCTGCCGTTCATTGACTGACAATACTAGGCACTGAGCCCCGTGACGCGTCCAATGTTGAGTGCCGCAAGTGCAACGAGAGTAAGGCATTCGAGGGTCTTGTACCAGACTGTTATGTGCTAACAACCGTCAGTGGGACATTTCTCCAAGGATTGCCCGACCGCCGGTGGCTCTCGTGGTTGTCGCAACTGTGGTGAGGAGGGCCACATGGCCAAGGAGTGTGATAAGCCTCGCGACATGTCAAAGTTTCAGTGCCGCAACTGCGATGAATACGGACACAGCGGCCGTGACTGCCCCAAGCCACGTGACTGTGAGTACTTGGTTCTCGTCTCTGCTTGAGTCCTATGTGCTGACTCTGCCCAAGATTCCCGTGTGCAGTGTCAGAACTGCCAGGAGTACGGCCACACCAAGGTCCGCTGCACTAAGCCTCACGTTGACGAGGACGGCGGTGCTGGCGCCAACGATGTTGGTTTCGATTCTGTCGATGCCTCTGTTGATGCTGGTGGCGGTGGTGACTGGAACAACCCATCCGGTGGTGAGGCGGTCTCTTCCGGTTGGTAAGATGGACGGCTCTTTCGGTGGATTCGACAGGCTCTAGCATCGACTGCGTGTTCACTGACTAGATGATGAGGGTTGGGTTTGCATCTCCTCAGTCTGGAATCTCGGGCATGAATTGATGACTCTTTGATCATTGTGGATTTCTGGCACCTTTCTCTCGACTCTTGTGTCGGAGGTCTAATGGAAAATTTGGCGAGTGAGGCCGAGAGATAGCAAATGATCAAGTACGATCCACGGAGATCGAGTCTTTCGACGATAAGAAAATCCATTTTTCATAATGCTGATGCTCGTCTCCTGCTGCCTAATTCGTACTCTGGCGAGACCCGACTGTGGCATCCTTGCCATGTCCTGGATTCGGCCCGCACGTGAGACAAACACTCAACAAAGGCCGGCTCATCTTCTTTTCAGTGGCTAAGACGTCTCTGAGTCCCTGGCTCCACGTTATGTACTGATCACATTTGGGCTGCTACCGCCTGGAGAGACGTGTGCTCGAGTTCTTTTCCACACTTAATTATTCGAGATTTTTGAACTTCGGAACTGGCATGGAGTGTGTTCGGTCATGAGACAATGCCTTGTCAGACGGCTTGCGGATTTGGCATCTATCATGGTGCTGCTGAGGACCCCAAAGATTGCACGACGGTGATCATTCTGCAGTGATAGCGGATGGTTGGAGGAGCATATCGTCTCTTCCGCGGTGATATCCTATATCTGGGAATAAGCTCTCCTTGTGCCCAAGCACAGCCCTGGAGGACTTTTGGTCAATTTTCCTCCTTCGCCCCATAGTGTTTGGTAGAAGGCTATGAAACAAGTGCACAGCGCACTCTAAGTCCCAGAGCGGGGGGGGGGGGGGTTGGTCCGAAGCTGGAAAGTCTTTGCAAAGCTGTGCATGAAACGCAGTTCGTCCTGGCCATTGATTGTCGCCCTTCAGTGGGCCAGTCACTGAGACTCGGTTCTGGCATAGCAAAGATTCAAGCAGGCGGTAACTATTTCCCGGCCGCCGAAAATGCTCACTTCGTCAGGACGCCGAGAACATGAGGTACCGGATGGTACCATGGCTCGCCAGCGGCCTGCTCGAGGTCGAACTTTGTCCACGGGCCGGCCTCTCTGAGCATCCTGGGCGTATTCCGGCATAGCTGGCAGCCGCCGATTAGACGTGGCCAGAAGATGTTGACGAATGCTATCAAAATTTAGCATACTGATCACACGAATGGGCGAAGACGACCAGTGTAGCTGGGGATGTGCAAGAGGCGAAATGCAAAGACTACACCACCAAAGAGAAAGGAATTCTGAAGCGAATTCTGGATGATTCACAGCATAAGAAACACGACGTACCCTGGTACACCCGCATGAATAAACCGCTCTCTCTCATTCTCTCACTCTCACAGCGAACGTGCTCATACACGTACCACCGTCCACCCGGCTTCAGGTAACCATAAAGCTCCTTGATGTTGAAGTCCGGGTCAGGAATACCGCACAGGCACAGGATCGACACGATGCAGTCGACGCTCTCCTTAGGCACGGATCCCAACTTGGCCAGATCCTCGACGCCGTGGGGCACGATCTGGTACGTATCCTGGAGGCCAGCCGCGGCGACGTTCTTCCGCAGCGCGGCGTGGACATCCGGATTGGGCTCGACGCCGTAGATCCTGGTGATGCCCTTGCCCGAGGTGTGCAGCTTCGAGAACACCGACACCCACATCCCGGTACCGGGCCCGGTCTCGATAACAGTGCCGCTGATGCTCTCTTGCTGTCGTTCCTTCACGACGTTGCCGCCGGCCACGAAGCCCTCGAGCAGAGGGATGACGCGCGCCTCGCCCGTCTCCCGGACGCCCGGGCCGGCTGTCGCCCAGAAGGTGCCGAACCAGGCTGATTGGAGCTTGGACGGAGACAGCAGCGTGGCGAACTGGCCCTGGAGGAGTAGCCGCAGTATCGTGGGTGGGAGCCGCAGGAGAGCCTGGAACATGAAGAGCCATGGGTCGAGGAGGAACCAGAAGATTTCTGTGAGAGGTGCCATGGTGGGATGGCGGGTGATGGCGGCTGGATGCGAGAATACCGCAAATTTACTCCGGGTATTCACTATGAGCTTTGGAGGTCCTATTGAAATTGTAACACCTAGTGTTTTTAAGGAGTGAGAGGTAATGAGGATCTTGAACGATTTATTGTTCTGGAAGGGTGAATATTAGATACGGTGGGGACGTGGGCGGAGGTATTTTGACCAGAGCTAGGGTCTGTGTGGATTGAAAGGGGTTGGAAACATGTACTCAATGTTGACCGGGTCTCAATTACAAGATACACTGCGCAACTCATTCCAAAGTATTATACAATAATAGTATACACGATAGATCAGAGCAGCACTCATCTACGTAGATTCATTTGATACATGTTCAATAGGTCGTTCAGTGGAGCCAGGGTTTCATCTTCCAATGCATTCTCTCATGCTTCTATAGTGTGATACGGGAATCCAATCAAATTGAAGAAGGTTGCAGTGATGGGTTGCACAACATGCGTCCGGATGTGCCGTTTTCATATATTGAAAGTAAAGAGGTATGTATATAAAGACCCAGGCTTCTAAACCCATGTATGACTAACTTTCCAGTGTCTGGAAAGCTTGCTCGACTAAAAGGTAAGAGATAACATAGAGTCCTACAGGGCCGGAGTGCTTCTGTGAAGTTATCTTTTTTTGAATGTCTCGATCAATTTGTTCCACTTGAATTCGCCAGCGGAAGTGCTTGCTTTTCAAATGAATGTAGACATTCGAGATTCCCGCGAGCTGTAGGGAAGCTTTCTGTTTGTCGTTAAATAATTCACTCCCTCATAATTCACACACTTGAATACTCACACCGTGCAGGCAAACAAAATCCAAGTTTGCCCGTCATCTCCAAACCTGCCAACTTGCCCGTGTCAAAAAAAAACCCTCCTTTAGCCTTTTACACTCACGACACTTGCTTCTGTATCTTTGATACCGGTGCTCTCTCTAATCATCATGCCGCTGTCTCGCGCCCAAAAACCAGCTTCTGTCCCTGACGAGGAGACCATTGAACACTTGCTCGGTCGGCGGAACAACTTCGACAGGCGCACCAAATCCATCAAGACGATTAAAGAGCTGAGTGAGAAAGAGAGGAATCAGGTACACCTTGTCACTTTGGGCAAGCGGCAGACACGTATCGAAGGAGATCCATTCGGCATCTATCCGGCCTGGGCTGGAAATGTTGGCCATCCTCGAGATGATCGAATGGTAAGCAAGACACTGTTTCGAATATCTGTGCTTCGGTTCCTGATGGCCTTCATTAACAGTTTGATGTACTTTCTACTATATTCGACCAACTTGACAACCACCAGGTACGGCAGACCGACGAGGTCCGCAAGTTGTCGGCACTATTTGAAGCAGTGAGGAGAGAGTGTTGCGAGGCTCTAGTCCTACATTTCGCCGACAACGCGAAGGTTACGAGTCTGAGTGAAGACGAGAATGAATTGACATTCACCTTTAAGACTGGAGGCTTGTGCGTACGGGTGATGCAGGCTAAAGACCTCGAACAAGATGAGCAAGGCTCGTACCTGGCATCTCTGGAAAAGTCGAAGCGATGCATACAGGCCAGAGAGCACCTGGATGGGCTATTCAACGACGTCTCTTTGAATGTTCTTACGCAACAATATGTCATGGCCCAGGTTTTACTCGAGGATGGCAGACAGTGGCCGTCTGTCTCCAAAGACCAGACTGAGTTTCTGACACGGCTGAGAGCCGATGCAGACGGGAGGTACTGGATCGAAATGTCAGAAGATGAAAGGAAGCGCACAAATGCCGCCTCAGCCACTCCACACAGCAGTCTGGCTCTTCTCATGACCAGACTCCAACAGAACTGGCCGCGATCGTGGAATCTGGGTTACCACGATCCTGACATGTTTCGCCGGTACGCGCGGGATCAAGTCGCAATCGAACAGGTCTGGAAGCTCGTGGAAGAGGACGTCCTCATTGTTCTGGACCGCAGCAAGAAACTGGTCTTCTCCAACTTCGTGGGATTATCGCAGGTTCTGTTCAATCAGGAAGTCGTCGATCTTCTGGCACGTGGGCTAGACATGTGGTCTTTCTATACACCTCTTCCGGCACCGGAGTCAAAGAGACATTCGGTTGACCACTATATTCGCAAAATCCATCCTGAGTTGGACATGGAGAAAGCCGCTGTCACAGGCCTTCCCAATGCTAAGAAGGCAGTCGTGCACTATGGTACCTACGCGATGGCTGGCCACACGGATGGGCGGCGAATCTGCTTAACCCAGGATTCCAAGTTTTCCCGATCCTCAGACCAGGAGAATAATGAGGCATTGTTCCCGCAGCTCTATTCTTCCCTCTTTGGGAAAGCTGCCAACATCATCCGTTTTATGATGGAAAAGCTAGACCCGGAGCATTACCAAGAATGTCGTGACATCTTCCGAAAGCTCCCCAAATCCGTGAAGGTTTCGACGGGCGACCGGGACTTCCTGAGTCTCTTTGCTGTTGGGTTCAACCCATACACACAGAGACATCGAGACACGAATGACATGAGGGGTGGACTCGCTAGCTTGTTAACATTGGGCGATTACAAAGGTATGTCTCATCTATTTCATTTTGCTCTATCCCAAGACACGGCCGGTATTGCTTGAGAAGGTCACTAATATTAAAACTTGGTTCGCCATAGGCGGGGACCTCTGCCTCCCTCAACTCGGTCTGAAAGTCAGGTACACACCTGGGACATGTGCACTCATGCGTGGGGACAGCCTCGAGCACCTCACCAGCGATTTTACTGGATTCCGTGCCTTCATAGTCGGCGCGAACCACGAGACCACCAGACTTCACGTCCGCCTTCGTGAGCAGGGTGCAGCTGGCCTCCATCCTCCGCTGTCGACGGAGCGGCCTCGCGCAGGTGGCGGTAACGACGCTTCCGAGGATTCTGATTCTGAATCCGAAGGAGGTTCAGAAATTTTCACTACTACATGTGTCAACGATATGAATGACGAGGACGACGAGGATGTGACCTACACCAACAAGGAGCTGCACGGTGCTGGTGCGCTGGACAGCGAGTCATCATCGGGAGGCTGATTTGTCTAGGAGGGAATATGATTACTCTACAACTCTTGAGAAGAGATTGTGAGATTCGAGGCGACTAGTGTACCTATCTCTCACAGCATCCATCTTTGGAAGTGGCAGTCACACCCTTTGCGAGTCCGGGGAGCCTTACTCCGGCTTGCAGAAACCCTTCCTTGTGACCTGTAGCAGCGCAGTCCAGCCACTGAGCCAGTCACTCGGTACAATTCGCCTTACTTCGCACCGGGAGCAAGTCTGAGCTGCATGCAATGCCGTCAGAGGCAGTGAAGGTGTCAGAATCCATTACTGGCAGCTTCCCCGTTGAGTTGTGGTTAGTCGTAGGCAATCCCGCACTTTGACGCATCAACTGAGAGTATCACTTGGTGTGATGTCGAGACAGTGATCAAGATGACCAATAGATCCAGCTTGAAATCAACGTTCCCTTAATTATTTGAAGATCTTTGTGACAGGTTCAGAGATGGTATTCCGTGGAATTCGACCTGATTAATCCACGCTGGTTCCTGGCCCCGGACCCTTGACCCTGCATGGTGCTTGGCGTCGCACTGACTCGCAGTCTGAGTCGCGAGCGGTGCGGGCCGAAAGACCCCAACTCCATTGCAAGGATGGTTGGTTTTACGCCGTCGTCCCTCACAACATGCGCCTGTCGTGGTGGGGTCATGACGCTTCTTCTTCGCACCTCCTCCATTTCGAGGAGGCTTGATTTCGTCCCGGTCTCTTATAGACCATGCGTATCAGCTATCGGACTTTTTGACGGCCCTGCTCGTAGCGAGACAACGATCACTCGCCCATCATGGGCCCATCAGATACGGTCCTCGTCCAGCGACGGCAAAAGCAAAGGCGGGGACCCTGATCCGTACAAGGTCCTTCGCGTGCGTAGAGATGCGTCCCCTGAGGAAATCAAGACCGCTTGGCACGCCATGGTCAAGAAAGTTCACCCTGATACATCGAAGAAGGACGTTGAAGTATATCACAAGGTGGGTCAACTAGAACTGCACCAGCCTCCTCCCGCGGCAGGGAGGACCAGTCCCATTGACGAGCAGCCTTCCGTCACAGTATCGAATCGCTTGGGAGACAATCGGTAATCCTGTATCAAGAGAAAAGCATGATAATGAGGTACGCGAGCGCGAATGGGCTGCACGAAGAGCACAGGATGCAGCTGCTTCAATGACAAGGTCCGCCGAGCCGCAAGATCAGCCAAAAAAGAATAACACGGGTAGATTCATCAATCCGGAGGCCCAGGACTGGATGAAAAAGTACCAGAAATTGAAGGAGGAGACAGACGCCCAAAAGGAGAAAGACCGGGCGGCCCAAAAAGAGAAAGACCGGGTCGCCCAGAGAGAAAAGGAGATGGCCGCCCAGAAAAAGAAGGAGAAGGCCGTCCGGATGGCAAAGGAGCAGAGTGATCGTGAGGCAGCTCTCAGGGACGAGGCAAAGGCCAAATCCGCTCAAAATAAAGCTGCAAACGGCAACGCTGCGGCCCTTGAAAGTGACAGGTCCAAGGATCAGTCCAAGGAGCCCAAGAGAGAAGCTAAAAAGGAGTTCAACAAGGAATCGAAGAAGGAGTCCAGGTCGGGAGAGAAGACCAACCAGGAGCAGTGTGACGGGGACAGTAATGGTGCTGGCGGAGTGACATTTGCTCGGAATCCGCCATCCAAAGTCAACTCAGAGTCTTTAAGGGCTGTCTTCTTCCGCCTCCAACCAGGAACTTCAATCTCGGATGTGGTGAAGTCCCTCGCCTCGTCTGCAGTCGGAGCCGTGTCCGAGATCCACATAACCCCGTCGGGTTCGGCCAAGCTTGAGTTCTTCACTGCCGACGCTGCTCGAAAGTTTCACAGCCTGATCAACAGATCAGAATTCGCGGTCAACGGCAAAGAGATCAAGGAAGCCACCATGCAAGCTTCTGTAATGCGCCTCCCACAAGGCCCAACGGCATCCCGGGTCCTGATGCTCACCGACCCGCGTCGAACGATGCCCGACTCCGACTTAGTTGATTTGATACCCATTCTCCGCAAGAGAGGCCTCGACTGTTCATGGGTTTACCCTAATCGCCTATCATGGAGGCGCATTGAGGTTCACTTCGATTCATGGAGGAAGGCTGAAGCAGCCAGTCGGATTCTCAAGTCTTGTTACCCTGACATCCAAATCAGATACGCCCTTGATCCGGCATCGGGCAGTTCTGAACCTCCTCTATCCCTACCAGATTTCCTCTTCATAGGTGAAGGGCTGCCAGACACAAAAGCCTGGAATTGTGTACGTCTGGTTATTGAATTTCTCGTTGCATATGTATTATATTATGGTGTCATTAGACACCTTTTATTTTACTGGACATAGATATTATCTAGAATCAGCCTGCATGGTTTTCTTCTCCCTCCCTTCTCTTTCTTAATGATAAATGGTACTGATGAAGTGGAATTCAAAACTCCGTAGACAAATGCAAATAAATCAACCCCAATGGTTTTCTGCAGGGTAGAAATTCGTCTTGATCCCGGTGATATATGAGTTGCCAGGCTGCCAAATGAAACGTTTATTCTGGATCCCCATATGGCTTTTTGGCTCACATGCGCTTAGAATGTACTCGTGTGACTGCGGGTCGTGAATGAAGTCGGTCGATTCTTTCGACAACAAAACCCCATCGCCGGCAGCTTCGAGTGATATAGATGCAGGCCGGTATATAATGCTACTGTTATCCAAGCTAGTGGCCTCTTCCTCCATAAGTAAGAGCCAACCACGGACTAGGCTAACAACAAGTGATGACCTAGCTACGTGATCTCACTCGCAGTGCCTGGTAGAATTTGAATAGCTAGATTACATAGTGTGAGCTCTTACATTTTTGCAAGTGCTGAACTGGTCAACTCATCAGTAGTGAGACGGGACTGAGTGACTATATGCGAGAACGAGGCCATGAGGAAGTTTTGTAGACCGTGTCTTGGCTTATTTCATCATTGCGTCAGAAACTAGAAAGTAGAAGCAAAGTAAGGTTGTAATCCAGGGGAAGTATACTTGTGGAGAGGGTTGAATAGTGATAGAGAACTACGGCAATTTTTGGGGCTGGTCACTTTAGCCACCGGCCAAGTGCGTGTGAGCCCCTGATGGACTCCAACCACCAAGCTCCTTGTCTTCCTCTCTGACATTCCCAATGGGAACTATACAATTGATGTACCAGTATGCTTGCTCGAAAGGGCTATCTACTTCCTCGCCTTGGGCATCTTCTTGTCTTCTATGGCATCGATTTCGTGCTTCTTGTAGAAATGCGGCGCCAGTTCCCTCAACCAGCCCACCTCGATCGGGAGGCAACTCCTCATATACTCCTTGCTAGTCTGAACCAAATCGTGGTAAATAACCGTCTTTGGCGGCGGGTGCAGCTCTTTGAGCACACTGCTCGGGTGGACCCAGACAGTCGAGTTGTTTTTCATCGTCCTATATCCATCGCCCCTCCTGTCCATACGCGTTGCGTTACTGAAGAAGCCCGCCGTGAGCGCCCGCTGAATCGCGCGGATATTGTTGGCGCCGCAGCTGGACAGCTGCACCTCGACACGATCACACAGCTTAGCCAGTTGGTCGCGGACATCTCGTGCACGGGTCAAGCTTCGTTGTTGCAAAAAGTTCTCCCGCGACCAGATAGGACTGAAATCACTCTCGACCCACTGGTTCCAGATGTTGAGCAACGTCAGATGGTCCCCACCCTCCTTGACTGTGAATCGTCTGCGTGCAGAGTCTGCATGTATCTTCTTGTCTTTGGGCCGGAAAAAGAGCGCCGACGCCTCGTCGAGCATGGCAACGATGCTTAGGATCTCCTCAACTGCTCCCTCCTTGTCAGCTGCTATGACAGCTTTGGCGACTTCAGGTGCAGTTGGAAACTCGGCCATCTGCCGGCCAAGACGAGTCATTTCGCCCTTGTGGTTGAGGGCTTGTAGGGCGTAGAGATTGTCGAGAGCAGAGATGAGGGCTTCCGTGGGCGGTGGGTCGATGAAGTCGAAGTCGAGGAGCTTTTCGATGCCGAGGGATTTGAGTTGCAAAACGACGCTGTTCAGATTGGTCCGCTGGATTTCAGGCGTGGGAGACTCGTCCATTTCGTTCATATATGAGAATTTGGTGTACAGCCGGAAACATTTACCTGGTCCCACACGTCCAGCACGCCCACTCCTCTGGTTGGCGGCTGCTCTGGAGCAGGGTACGACGTTTAGAGACGACATACGAGTCGCAGGGTTGTAGTAGTTCTGTTTCTCGTATCCAGTATCTATAACATACACGATGTTGTCGATTGTCAGGGACGTTTCCGCAATATTCGTAGCCAGGACGAGCTTGCGCGCATTGTCAGGGGTCGGCTCAAAGATCTTGGCCTGGAGATCGCTGGGAAGGTTGGCATAGATAGGACATATGATCAGCTCCTTGATGCGGCTCCCCAGCTTCTTTGCGATGTCGCCGATCTGCTGCTCAGCAGCATCAATCTCATCTTGACCGGTTAGAAACACCAAGATGTCGCCCTTCCCTTGGGTCGTATGGATTTGAAACACGGTCGAGATCATTGCTGCAACGTAGTTGCTTTCGGGCTGGGGAGTGTAGTAGATGTCGACGGGGTACCTTCGTCCAGGTATGTTGAAAATCGGCGCATCGTCGAAATAGCTGGCAAACTTGGCTGCGTTCATAGTAGCCGACGAGATGAGCAACTTCAAGTCCGGTCGTTCTCGTGCCAAGTCCTTAAGCAAGGCCAGTAGGATGTCCGTGTTGACACTTCGCTCGTGAGCCTCGTCAATCATGATCGCAGAGAAGTCGTTGAGCATGGGATCCGTCATGAAGTGCCGAAGTAACATACCATCCGTCATGTATTCAAGAATTGTCTTGTCAGAGACGTTGTTCTCGAATCGGATGGAGTAGCCTACTTCGTTTCCTAGCTTGACTGCCATCTCCTCGGCCACACGAGCAGCGACGCTCATTGCAGCGACTCTTCGCGGCTGTGTGCAGCCAACCTTGGCACCGTCTTTCACGAACCCTCCCTCGAGAAGATACTGAGGTAGTTGAGTCGTCTTTCCACTACCTGTTTCTCCCACCACGACAAGGATCTGATATTCTTCCAATGCGGCCAGAAATTGGTCACGGTATGAGTATATGGGAAGAGTCTTCCTCGTCTCTTGTATGGAGAGCTGCTTCTTCTCGGCGGCATCGATCTGGGCGGCGAGATATGCCTGTTCTTGGGTCAAGCCTGGGTTGACACCATCCAACTTGGCGGCCTGGATCCATTGCACGTATTGTTCCTCGTCAAAGAGATGCTCATAGGAGCCGTCGTCCTCCAGTTCCGGCCTGAGGATCTGGGCCTTGGCCTTTTGAGCCTGTTCTCTCTCCCATTCCTCATGTTCTGTGACGAACTTTTCTTGCCCGTATTCGTCTCTTTCAACGTACCTCTTGTACAATGCCTCCTCTTTCTTCTTCCTGTCAATCTTGCCTTTCTGTGTGATATAGTCCTCGGGCATGTAATAGCCCTCCCTGTGATCATCGATACGTAACCTTTCCTCGGCAAGACGGAGCAGCTCCCGATTCCTGCGGAACTCCTGCCTTTCTCTTTCCGTCAGACGTGGATTCGACCGCTCCTCCTCAAGCTCGTCGGCCACCTGTTTTCTCAGGAGCGCGATCTTCTCAGTCTCTCGCTTTGCGACGTAGCTCTGCCGTGAGCGAATACGGAGGTCTTCGACATCCCTCAGCTCGTCCATCCTGCTCCTTGAAGCTTCAGCCTTCTTGCGCGAATCTCCCCTGTCCTTCTCACGAAGCCGCCTGTCGAGAGCATCACGCTCCTCCCTGTCGCGCTCCACAGAATCGCGGTTGCGGCGGTCGTCATCCTTCTGGTCGTCATCATCGCCGTGACTAATCTTGACGCGTTTGGATGCAGACTCTTTAAAGTCATTAGGTTCAACCTCTTCCTCTTCTTCGACTGGCGACTCGTCAGCCCATCTGTCCTCATCGCGGTGGCGGCGGTGGTGACGGGACGACCTCTTGCTCTTCTTTTCTTTCTTTTCCCGGGGCGCTTCGGCCGGGTCGTCCATGGGAAGGAAGGCGTATCTTTTGGAAGCCATGGTGCCTAAAGTGAATCGTGGGCGCCTGTCGCTGGGCAAGGTGGGCTGCGACGTTCGGTGCTTCAATGGGAAGGTCTGTGTCCTCCGGCCGACGAGGTACGTCCCAATCAAAACAAAATGGGTGCGATCCAAGGCGCCTTCGTAGACAGGCCGATGTGATGGTCTGGCCGATCCGGTCGTCGGCAGTCGAATGGTGATCGAGAAAGCATCACGACGCAGTGCAGGCTGCCGGGCAAATTATTGTGGGGCGGCCGACAAGGCTCATTCGGCCGGCACGTAGCATAGCTTCGCCTAGCTTTCGGCAAGGTACCAGCCAGTATTGAGAACAACAGCCACTCGGGCAGACACAGAAACAAGGTGAGTTGGAACTTGATTCTGCCAGGCCTGACAGCCGATATCATCATCTTGGGGTCCAGCAGTAAAGTTTGGGACTGAAGTTGTCTGTATCGAAGTACTGCCTGGGTCAACTTTTGGCAGTATAGCAGAGCTCTTTATCTGTTAAGGGGCTACCATATGTGTCGGCACAGAAGGTGCAAGGTCGAGGTCGCTGCTATCAGCGGAACTCTTATCTGTACCCCTGCCTGCCAGACTTACACCCATCTTTTTAACACGCTGGTGTTTTCCGACGTGTGGAAGCGCGGCCGTCTGCCGAATAAGAACACCTTCTATCCATCTATTTCCATTTTCTCCCTCGACTCGACTCGCCTCGACCTGACCCACCCATTGTCACTCCTTCGAACTCCAGCTCTCTATCATTAGTCTTTCCTCATACGCTGTCTCAACTTTATAGAGAAGACTGCTGTTATTTGGCTGGAGAGACAATAGAGCCGAGATGTTCATCAGAGGGGCAGCTTTGCTGCTCCTTTTTGCGCTCCTGCAGCTTGTTCTTTGCGCAGAGGACTTTTACAACGTACAACGCCTTGTCCCTGCTCGTCATCCACTGTCACTAACATTGAAAAGCTTCTTGGTATAAGCAGGCAAGCCTCCGACAAAGAAATCAAGTCGGCATACCGGAGGCTATCTAAGAAATACCACCCTGACAAGAACCCGTATGTTCAGCCAGGACATAGTCTCACCCATCGTCCAGGCCCAAGATGCTGACAACCTAACTCATACAGAGGCGACGATACTGCCAAGGATAAGTTCGTCGAAGTCTCCGAAGCCTACGAAGCCCTCATCGACCCACAGTCCCGGAAAATCTACGACCAGTACGGCCACGAGGGCCTCAAGCAACGACAGCAAGGCGGCGGCGGCGGCCACCACGACCCTTTTGATCTTTTCAGTAGGTTCTTCGGCGGAGGTGGTCACTTTGGCGGTCAGGGTGTGCGACGTGGCCCCAACGTCGAGGTCAAGATCGGTATCTCCCTGCGTGACTTCTACAATGGCCGGACGACCGAATTCCAGTGGGAGAAGCAGCACATTTGCGAGGAGTGCAGCGGCACGGGCTCAGCCGATGGCGTCGTTGATACGTGTGGACATTGCGGTGGCCACGGTGTGCGGATCACGAAGCACCAGCTTGCACCGGGCATGTTCCAGCAGGTCCAATCACAATGCGATCAGTGCGGCGGCAGGGGCAAGGTCATCAAGCACAAGTGTCCCGTGTGTCACGGCGCCCGTGTTGTGCGGAACCCCACGACGGTGCAGCTCAATGTCGCTCGTGGCGCGGCGAGAGACTCGCGACTGGTCTACGAGAACGAGGCGGACGCGAGTCCCGACTATGAGGCTGGCGACTTGATCGTCATGTTGACCGAGAAGGAGCCCGACCTGGAACATGAGAACCCCGACCGAGTTGATGGAGTATTCTTCAGGAGGAAGGACGACGATCTTTTCTGGAAGGAGGTCATCAGCCTACGGGAGGCGTGGATGGGCGACTGGGAGAGGAACATCACGCACCTTGACGGCCACGTCGTCAAGATTGGCCGCAAGAGAGGAGAGATCATCCAGCCCGGCCACGTAGAGAGGGTGCAGGGCGAAGGCATGCCAAAGTGGCACGAGGACGGCGACAGCGTCTACCACCAAACCGAGTTCGGCAACCTGTACGTCGAGTACGTGGTGGTCTTGCCCGACCAAATGGAGAGCGGGATGGAGAAGGAGTTCTGGTCGATCTGGGAGAAGTGGAGGAAGAAGCTCGGCGTGGATTTGCATGCTGACAGTGGAAGGCCAGACAAGGTCGTGGTACAAGAAGACGCGCATCCACATGAGGAGTTATAAACGGTAGATGGGATGTTTTGATGTCTAGATAGCGCTATCATAATTCAGTAGACCATTCGATCACAACGTGGCATGTCTGCCTGTAATGTTCACCAACCAGTGATGGTGTGTGAAGAAATGACATCCAACCAGCCGAATGATTCGGCCATGCGTTTCAACTAAACCAACAGATCACAATGGTAGGAGAGGAATGCTTATCTCCCACCTTTCTAGTCCTCAAGCCACGCCAAGGTGAGTGCTTCCACATAGACCATCTACGGGATACGGTGGCTCTGTGACTAGTACACAGGGCAAGATCCCTACTATATGAAACAACTCGAGAATTAAGTCTGAATTTCTTCATTCCAAGACAATCTGGCCCTTGCAAAGCAGATCTAATTAGTCCTGGTTTTAAGTGGCCGACTCCACCATCCTATCCGGAAGGCAAGGGGCCACCTAGTAGACTAGATTCAATGCAGACCTCAACACTCTCATGCTATCACTGTGATAATTCTCACCAGTCTCACGCTGGATATCGTTACTAGGACTCTGACCACGTTCTATATTGTCCTCGCCATCATGACTTGGCGTGGCAGCATCGGCATCGGAGGGCGAGGGACTACCAGAGATCACTTCCGCTCCGGGAGCTCATCGATCACGACATGCAGAAGATCGCGGAGTTCAGCGTTATCGTCCCGGAGGACCTCGATTTAGCCACAGCTTGATCAAGTCATGATGCTCGACTCTTCAGTATTGTCTATTGTACATGATATCTACTCCTGTTTCACTGCTCAGTAATCGCGTTGCTCGCCACTCTCGACATCCTCGCCACCCTCGGCAATCACATCAGTCAAATCCAAACCCTCAAGCATTCCCTCCAAGGGCATGGTGGAACTCTGGCTGTAATCAGTGCCACGAATACTCAGGGTGGTCTCGAGTTGGATGCTGTTGAGCAGACGCATCGCACTTCCTCTCGCCTTCGCTACCTCTTCTTCGAGTCTGGAATTACTTTCAAGAAGTCTGTCAATTTCGTTGTTCTTGGCTTCCATGGCTTCTTCGTGTTCCTCCTCCTCGGTCATATTTCGCTGCCGCGACTCGTTCAGCATGTTGCCATACAGAGTGACTGTCTCGGACAGATGGGTGACATCTGACGTTTTCTTGGTGACCTTGGTTTTCAGTCTCGCGATTTCGGCCAAAAGCTCCTCTCTTGTACACTCCCCATACAGAGCACCAGAGTTTTCAAGGTCATTTGCCTGGTTCTTCGCGGCTCTGCCGAAGGGACTATCCTTCTCCTGTAGCTGCTCTTTATTAGCAGTGCTAAACTCGGTCTGCTGGTCAGATTGCCTCCCCAGTGTACTCACCTTCCTTCGTTTGGCCGGGTCTGGGTTCTCAGGCGAGAATGATGCTGAATGTTTGGCCGTGCCTCCCCCATTGGGTTTTGTCGAGCCACTCGGCGACTGCGCGAGTTCCTTTGCAGCCTCGGCAACGTCGTAGGATTTCATGGCAAAGTTTGCCGTGGCGTAGGCCTCGCACAACTCGAATTTGAACCCATCACCCATTCCAAGGTGCTCCAGTTCTGCCACTACTTTCTTGCCCCAGGACGATAAAGGTTTCTTTGAACCACGCTTTGAACCTTCGCCTTGTTCTGTCCACATGGATGGCACGTTTCCACCAAGCATGCACCACGTCGCAATGATGAATGGCATTGTGGCATCCGTCACTTCCTGAACCTGGGTGAGATACTTTCGAACGCTTTTGCATTTCTCATTCGTTGAAGGCTGTGCTTTGAATCCGTAGGTTTTCTTAATGGCCTTGGCGATCTCGTCATTGGGGTCTATTAAGATGGCTCTCAGCAATGCCATGCCTTGCATTTTGGCCTCTTCAGTCGAGCTCGGGTTTTCGATGTACTTCTTGCGCGTGACATTGGTGCTTTCGTCAGGTTGGCCATTGATATCTGATGCGCTGAGGTCATCGCTCTCGTCGGCTTCAACCTCGACATCTAGTATGCTGGGATCGGCGCTATCGCCCTCGAGAAACATCGCCTCGTTGTCAAAGTCGGGTGCCATAGGCACGTCGTCACCATAATTGAGGGACATTTTGGGTTCGCAGTCGACAGTGGCTAGGCAGTCAGAGATTGGCATCGGTCACTTCCTGCCATTTCTGGGATTGACTGAAGGACTTCTTTTGTTTCTCTCGTACAGTGCAGACACTCGGTAAAAATTGAATGGCTAAGTTGAAAGGCTGTTTGTGGCGATGTACCAAGTCAACAGGGTTGGCGTGGCTGTTCGGTCGTCGCTGGCTCAAACCCCTCGTCGACTGGGAAACGTTTGTGGGAAAGTTTCGTTTGGACTCAAAAGACTGCGAGATTTTGTAGTCTGCATCAATTTTGGCGGCACCCTTGTGACTTCCGATCTGTCACTTTCAAACTCTTAAATCAGCTTTTAATAAGCCAGTTAAGTGCAAACGAAATTCTTGTAAAAGGTAAAAAGAAAACTAAACAATAAATCTTTTAAAACATCAAGTAATCACTGTTTATCACCAACCTGATAGTTTTCAGGTTATATATATATCTAGAGGGACAATATCTACCTAAACTGTATAATAATAAGAGTTATAAAGTGTAAATAATAATATAGAACACAAAAAAAGTTCAGAGTTTGCTTTACAAAGAGCTGAGAAGTGTCTTACAAAGCTACAGATTCAAGGACATTCAAGGATGTTTAAGAATTCGTTTTAGATCTTGAATGTATTGATGCTTGGCAAGATTAGACCACAACATTCTCTTACCCAGAAGTTTTGGGTATTCTTCAAGGTCTACCATGACCTCAGCAGAGTTGTGAGCTCACTCCACAAATCAACACAGACGCAGTGCCCTAGACAGGCGCCGCCATTTTCTTTTCTCATTGAAATTAAGGATCCGAAGTCAAAGCAAAGAAAGCAAAATTGAATTTTGGGTGGCATTGATTCATTAACTCGTAAAAGTCCTGAGCTTGCATTCCACCCCGCCGGTTCCAACTACGCACCGAATTTGCACATTTTGGGATCATCCTCTTGCTGTCGTATTCGCTGAGGGGCCAGAAGGTTTTATTACATTTTCTTTTCTCCATATGTAATCGATCGGGTTGCGTCGCTGACGACAGGTTCTGGCTGCTCGGTACTGTGCATAATACTCAGTGCCCATCGTAATGAGGTGATGAACCGTTCTTGCGGAGCGCCGATAACCTTGACACAGTGTGCGTCCTGGCTGAGGTCTCAGCGCCTCAATGTCTTGTCATCGGCCACCGATAGCAGGTATTTGCCACCAGGGCGGAAAACGAGCGCGTGTACCAATTATCATGGCCGATCTTCGTCTTGTGGCAGATTCCATGCACACCCCGTAGACGTATTGTTTTGTCTCGCGAATCCAGCCGCGCTGTCAGTCTGAGGAGGCCTCGTCCGGCCAGTCATTGGTGCAAGATACTGCTATGCAGCCGGAGGGGCGAAAGTACACATTCGATGTTGTGTTCATGCCCTGACATGGCTGCTCTGCTTTCTGTACTGTTGCCATCGGATACGTCCCACAAACATGCCCCATAGCGTCACCATCAGAGAGCAGATAGTGGCCGTGGGAAGATGGGAATACATCTCGAACCCAGCTGCTGTGCCCGTGTAGCGTCCTTACACGAATCCCTCTTGTGATGTCCCATATCTTCAAAGTCTTGTCCCTGCTGGCATTGACTAGCGAATTCACCGACACATATATAAACTGTACAGCGCTTACACTGTGATCATGGCCAGTCAATTTCCGAATTTTTTTTATAGTCCTCAGCCCGGTCCCATAATTTGATAGTCAGATCCGAGCTGCAGGATGCTAGGAGAATGCTGCCTTTTGGGCCACCGTAGTCGATATCCAGAACGGCTCTAGTATGACTCTTGATAGTGTTTTCCAGCTCTCCTACGTCCCAGTTCTATATTTTGATCGTATAGTCATCAGAGTCAGTGGCAAGCAAGGAGAAGACTGGGTGAAAAGCGATGCAGTTCATGGTGTTTCGGTGCGACTCAAGAGTGTACTGAAGGGGTAGGTTCGGCAACCAAGACGTCGGGTCTGTGTTGCGCTCGGTCAGTGAGGCAGGGGTCAAGTTGTCCAGCTCGAATTGCAGTGCGGCATTCCAGGATTCGAGCTTTAAAATTCAGGATGGGTAATCAGTCAGGCATTGCGCGTGAACGTGAAGAGACGGGACTTGGTGCATGGCTTCTTCTGCAATCACACAGTACTTGTCCATTTCCTCTCCAGCAGGTTCTCGTATTTCTTTTCTGTAGCAGCGTCGAACCCATTTACTTCCAGGTTCAGCTCTGTCCTGGGAGCAGCGGTCGTGCTTGGCAGATTGTTGGCAGCTAGGTAAGGAATCATGGACTTGTGCCTGATCAATACAAGTCAGCGTCTCTGGATTGAGAGGAAATAGAGGACTGGATTGGTGACGAGGGCATACAGTTCTTCGGCTTGGCGGCTTGTCAGAACGCTCATGGTGGACCACTCGTGACAGAGGGTGATGTCAGCGATTGAGTTGCTAGAAGTCTCCAATTGACACACACTCCCTGCCTACAGCTTCTGCCTGCAAATCGGCGAGCTCAGATAGTGGCCGTTGTCGGCACCTGCAGGTTGCGGGAGCTGAGCAAAGTATTGGGAGAGACAGCGTTTTATCGAGAGGTTGGCAAGGGCTAGTTTACAACTACAAGGCCCAATTGCTACGCCGCGATGGTCCGGGTCTTGGGTCACCTGCAGCTGCCAGACAACTGAGAAGCTGCCTGAATGAATGCGATGTTGCCACTCATTAGACCGTGGCCACCGCCCAAATGTGCTGCAAAAGGTCAGGGCTCTACATATGTCTTCTTCAGTGAGTGAGAGGACCAGCCCGCAGTACCTAGGTGTCTGGAATTTGCGGCGTGGACATGTTTCTGCCTACTCAAGCCGCAAAGAAGCCCCCCCCCACAGATTACAACGGAAGTGACTGTTAAGGCCGCGGCCGGTCATTGCAGGGCACCCTGACCGCAACGCAGCTCTATACTCCAGTCCTCAGATTCATCTGCAAGGACGCATCTTCCCTGCCACAGATCTAGTCGATCCGGTCGAGGTTTTCTTCGTGGATGCCTCTCCACGGGTGGGTTCCAGGAACGAGACGGATCCTTCGTCCGCTCAGACGAGCAAGAAGCGTCCCGAGGCACGGCTGAGATCGGCTACCACGATGCACGGGGAGTCATACTCAAGTATGCGAAATATTGATCATACAATTGGGCATCGTACTTTGACGGCTTTATGTTGCAAAACCTCATCACCCCAGACAAGGAAACTGGCCAGGTCTTGATTCTAACTTGTGGAAACACCCAGTACTATCTAAAGCCTAGATACCCTAGCCAGGGCACAGTCATTATCGACAGCCAGTTTCTTTTCTTACTCTAGGTTGCCAACTTTCAGCACGAAAGACTCCTCAGCACATGGGCTAAACTACAGCCATGTAACTCCTTCCGGAGACCACTTCAAACATGCGAATAGCAGATGATCCCGACATGACAAATAACGCACAAGACGAAGGAAATGGCAAGGGTTCATATCTCAAAAGTCATTCCTCGGGATAAAGCGTACATCGGTGTACAATCCTGTGAATATCAACGGAAACTCGTCAAATATAAGAGAAACCGGGACGCTCTCACGCCAGAGCAAGACCTTGGCCTTGATAGGAAAGCAAAAGTTTCACGATGCTAAGTGGATCGAGCTGGAGATGAGAAACAAGATGGTGCTTATTTTTGTCTTCGCATTTGATATCCATTCCATCTGCCCAATTTTCTTCTTCACCCAAAGCAGGGCAACCGAGAATTGGGTTGACGGCTGTACATTCTCCGTCGCAAGCTCGAACTGCTCTTCGAACCCGTGCGAGTGTAGGAACCTCGCTACAAACATAGTAAGGCGGCACAGGTCAGACGAAACCATTGCAAACTCGATCGCCGAAACCTGCAAGTAGCTGATGAGGTGTCAAAACAGGGTCAATGGCGAACTAAACTGCCTGCGAGATGGAAGTTCTCTTCGCGAGATTATCCGTCGCACATAGCCGCTGGATCTGCAGTGCCATTTGTCTATAATACTCCTATACCGTGCCAGCACCATTTGATTTATGAATACCACTTCAGCACAGCCTTGACATTTATGGCCGTATGTGATCGTAGTGACATGGTCGCAGCTTATACACATATCTAACTTGGTGTTTTCCCGGGCAGCATAACAGCGATTGGAGACTTTGGAACTTCGACCGAGGTGACCCAGCAGGGAAGACTCAGAGAACATGTTTTACCGTAACATAGAGACCAGGGCATTGTCACGGACGAACGGATCGTTCGAAGAAAGAATCACTGCCTTTATTCTCTCACAGAGGTATGAGATGGCGCAATCCCATCCCAACTTGACCTCCTTCCAGTCATGTTCATCTCAACTGCAGCTCCCGAGCTTCACAACCGGTCAAGGAGTGCGAGTTTCCGGATTGATTACCATCGCGGCACCACATTCCGTCAACCTGGAACCTAAGAAAGTTAAGCTTGTTTTTATGCGGGCCCGTGTCATGCCACATTCCGTGGACACCCTAAACTTAGCCGAGAAGCATCTCAGCCCTCTTGGGTCTGGTTCGTCTGCATGTGAAGCCGATCTAGGCCTTGAGCTGAGCCCAAAGCGGGTTGGTAGCCAGCCGTCAGGTCTTGGCCCCGCCGCTGTCCCTGACGATCGGGCTCGTCCGGACTCCGGTGTGGTCCCTGGGTCGCCCAGCTGCCCCCTTGGTCTGTACTGTGGCTCCTGTCAAGTCTGAGTGGTGGAATCCTTGGCGCGTCTGCCATCACCCTCGCTCATCAGGCTAAACCCATCCATAGGGACCCTGCCAAAGCAACCTTAATTTATAACACCCCAGACTTTGCGGCTCCTATACGTCCTCACTTATATTGACGTCGTTTCTACTTGAGCCAGCGTTGTCGATCACGACTCACAACCAGTTGCTAGCAGAAATAACTCCCACACGCCGGGCTCATTTGGTAGTGCCTGCTGAATTTTCACTGCTGACGCGGCTCTGCACCTCTTACCGGGTGTGGCTGCAGGCACCTCGCCTAGATGACAGACGCTTACTTCTGCAGACCCGAACACATGGCTGCCATCGCTCTCGGAGGTCTCTCCACCCCGTAGGACCGGTACGCCCTCTTCATTTTTGTTTCACCACCAAGAAAAGCATGACTCGACGCAGGCCCTCGTTGCTTTTTCGAGAACATGATCCTTAAATAGGTGATGACCAGTCAATTAGGTTCAGAAGCTGAATGGATCACAATATGCGAACAATACAAAGTCCTATGGGCCGAGGCCGCCAGGCTCTGTTGACCCTGGCTCGCTCGAGAACATCCTCGAGGATGATGTGCTCTCGCGTCACCCATCATTGCGAGTGCGGTGACCTATAGGTTACGACATGTGCTGGATTGTCACGGAGGCTCTGGCGTGTGTCCGGACATTTGGGTAGCACTGGTCCTTCAATAATCTGACGAGGTCAAATTGCACATCACCTCAAGCTTTGGACGAACGCGTCGCCTTGTCGATCCCTGGGTCTGAGCCTTGGGAGATCTACGAATCTTTCGCCATTGGACACTAGCCACTCCTTTCCCCTGCTTGGTTTCTTACGCCTAGCCAATGCTAGGCTCTGACGGATACCATGTTCTTTTGGACCCACCCGATCACTGTTTCATTCCGCTGTCCGTCAAGCTTGGTCTCGGTAGTCATGGACAGGGACGACGGCTTATACGTGCTTCATGTATTAATCAATCACGGGCCGCTACGCCTTTCTCCCAAAACCCCTTGCAAGGCTATTCCCTATGCCATCAAGTACATGTCACAGCTTGCAAGGCACCCTGGGCTAATAGGGCGCCGCGCGCCTTAGCCATTGATCACATCTTGGTCCGGATCACATCAGATGTATTAATTATTCACGGTGGAGAAAATTCCGCGGTTTCCCCCTGCTGTAGTCGCGGGGGAATTATTCTTGCGCTGTGGTCCCCTGGTTCAATTGACTGCAAGGTGGCAATCGTCAATCTAAATTAATATCTATGAGAGAGTGACTGCCGGCTAGATCGAGCTGCGTATAATCTGGTTGGGCGTATGTCCGGGTGAATTGTCTCCAGTCAGTACCGTAGCACGAGTGTTGTTGTCGCAAGGCTCACATATATAAGTGGCCGCAGTCGCCCTGCTACGTTTCGCTCGTTAACCATTCCCCAGTAGTCAAGGACTTCTCAGAGTAACTAGCTATTCTCCCTCTTTTACAACCACGTTTCGACAACGTCAACAAATCGTTTGACACGACATTCTCTTCATCGCCCAATCTGACCGCATATATCCAAAGACTACGATAGTCACATATAAACACTCACGCCGCCACCATGAAGTTCTCACTCGTCGCACTCTTCGCTGCCACTGCCCTCGCCGTCCCTCAATTCGGAAAGGGTAAGGGCAAGTCTACTGGCATCCCGACTGGCATCCCGACTGGTATGTTTTCAAAATCATCGCAAGACCACCATATAAAATTTCCTGCTAGATACTTGATAACTAACTCCAAGTTCTACAGGCTTCCCAACTGGCCCATTCCCAACTGGACCGTTCCCCACGGGCTTTCCTTCGGGTTTTCCTACTGGATTCCCCTCAGGCTTCCCGACTTCTGGATTCCCCTTCCCAACCGGGGGTTTCGGCGGTGGTGAGGCCCAGGATGGCTCTGTGCTGAACGCCGAGCTCGAAGACGGCGATGACAAGCGGTCTAAGCCAACCGGCAAGCCAACCGGCAAGGGCAAGGGCAAGAGCACCGGTAGGAAAAGCTCTCATTCAAATCGTTTCCTTGGTACCTTGATTGCTTACTATGAATCCCACAGGCGTGCCGACTGGTATCCCCACTGGCTTCCCCACTGGATTCCCCTCAGGCTTCCCGACTTCTGGATTCCCCTTCCCGACCGGGGCTCCTGGCGAAGACGACAACTAGATGATCAGACGTTGTGTAAGGGAGGCTGAGAACGAAGTACGTGGACGACCGCGAACATGAACGCGCAAGCCCGGTCAGCCCACTAAGCTGAATAAACAAGTGCGTACGTGTGCCAAAAATTCCGGTCGCACAAAATGACCCAGCCTACCCGGGTATTTGGTCGCCCGTCTCTCAGCTCGGGAGTTTCGATTAAGGACGCTCGCCAGAAAACTCTTTTAAAATGCTCGTTACATAAATCCCCTTCATCTATGGCTCGTGGCGTGGATCGGATATCAGACCGAGAACGCAGTGTCCCGGCCCACTGGTGTCTACCTTTTCTTCTGTATATATGAGCGCCTTAGCTAGTTCAATATCACCTATTACAAAACCTTTCAGAAGAACATGCATTTTGAACTAGGATACTATTAACTTGTCCCATGGGTAATCGACCCCTTCCAGGCTGTATTATATGGTATTGTCTATATTATGGATGTCCCACAGAAGGCCTACATAATGAGCGGAAGTAACAACAGTCTACAGCTAGCAAGCATCTCGAACGATCGCCCTAATCTGAGCAATATGCACCTTTCCGTAGCAGAAAGTACTATGCCTCGGTAGAATGATCTGTGGCGTAGATTTCTGTTGAGATTTCCTGTATTGGAACCCTCTGTGTTCAAATATCCAGGAGGACAACCTCCAGCAGGATAGTCTCCAGTGGGATAACCTCCTGTGGGATAACTTCCTGTGGGAAACCATGTGTTATGGCCTCGTATCCTGTACCTGCCACTGTCTATCTGCCCAGTCTATCTGCCCAGTTAAGGATCCGCGCAGAGCTTACAGCGTAATTGAAAGACCCTAGGGGTCCATGCCATTTATGACCAGGACATGGTTTTCCCCAAGGGGTTCAGATCTTTTCGAACGAATCACATCATGGTCAACCTGCGTGGACCGTCGTGATGGAGTGCCATACGAGCCAAGTCCATTCAGTGAAAGGAAAATGCAGCAGACCAAAGATGAGAAATGTTCACTTTGCGCAATTTTCGGTCTTGACTGATTGATCATCATCATCATCAACTGGCAAAGCTGGACTACGGCAAGCCCATCTGAGAATCTTGGGATTTAAGTTTACTCTTCGTCCCCCTGGCCTCAGGCCGACAGAGCCTATTTCACGACACATTCGTATAAAAAGTTTTGGACCACAAGTATGCTTGTCTTTAAGCTTGATATCTGCACTGACACGCCTCATGAGTCTAGGTCTTGGGGTGCTTAATCTTAGAACTAATTGAATTGTTTCTGCATGGAGGACTTCACAATACGAACAGCGCTTCAGCAATTAGTGTCTCTTTAAACCGACATTACCTATGCCAGACTCAAATAACGATGCGTACATTTAGTGTCAGGTCAAGACCCGCGTCTCAACAGCGACCGTGCCATTTCGGATGTCCCTAGCAAGGTCGCCCTGGTAGACCATCTTCTGATGCAGATACGCCTGCCCGACGAATAACCAGTCGTTCGCATCATACTGCAGACAATTATCCCTGCCGTCTGCGCAGCCTATTCTCCTCAAAACGATGGGAACCTGCATGCCAATTGCTACACAAACCTCGTCGCCAATCTGCAAGTCTGGAGGGCCGATTCCAAAGTGGCCGCTTGCCGTGACGAAGCTCGCCCTGTTGGCGCATGAGGCTTCACGGGCTTCGAGGTAAGTCTCATGCTCTATCACCGCTTTGGTCTCCAGGGGCTGAGACAATGCGTGGTCGATCTGCTGGCTGCCAGAGGAAGGCGTGGCCGAGAATTTTCCTCCAGTGATGCTAAGCTGAAATTCTTCCTCGAAAGCTGTCTGCCTTGGGTGAGGATCACGGCTCTTGTATGCCTCCAGTGCCATCCGTCGCCAGGTCGGCAACACAGAGTCCCATGCATTCCGGCCCTGGAACGAATTCACCATTGTTGAGGCCTGCCTGCTGATGACTTTCATAGTCGAGTTGACGAGGGCGTTGATCGACCCGCCCGCGACGGGCCCGGTTTCCACGATGGTGTCACACAAATGTGGCAAAATTTGAATATTTAACTTGTGCGGATATCCACCATAGTCCGCATAGCCATCCAGGTCAAGATGTTCCCAGTCTGGGGGCACTTGAAGAGAATCTGGTTCTGGCGGGAGTGCTTGTACCGGAATGTTCCCAGCCGAAGAGAAATTGTCGTCCCCCTCGCCCGGTAGTCCAGTCCAGAATGGCCGGAACCGAAGTCCCTCGTCCACTGCCTCAACATTCATAAAGGCTGGACACCAGCTAGGGAGATACACTGCCCTGTGATCGTTCATAGTATCGGGCATTGGCGGGTCTGTCTGTCTGGCACATTCCGCTAGAGCCACGACCGATAGGCTCTGTGTCCGCCGGATATGTCTTCGCGCTAGATCAATGCTCATGAGAGAGTGGCGACGTGAGTAGTCAGGCCGAACAAGCAGTGTCCCCAGGTCAATCGGCTGGCCTGCAGTCAAGGAAGGGCCATCAATAGCCTGCGCCAGGCCCTGGAAAGCGAAAACCTTGTCGTGAGGATCAGTGGCTCTCCTAGAGCGGAAGTCGTACATTAGGGACAAGAGATCTGTTGCACGAGTATTTCGCTGTCGCGTCCTATTCCCAGAATCTGTCACCTCATCAGGAGATGAAGCGATCCTGGCTTTCCAGTTGTCCCGTAGCGCCCGGAACTCGTCGATGTAGACATCAGTACTTGGGAATGAAGGCAGCACTGCACTGTTGTTCACCAACCAGCAGAAATGATCCCAACTCAGAGTCTGGGAGCCGCAGCAGACCGTGACATCGTGGGCCAAAACAAGCTCCTGTGTCACCCAGACTCGAGTCCACCATGGTCTTTGAAGAAGATTTGATACTACTTTGACAGCTCCGTAGTGTATGCACTTCTGTCTCTCGAGAGCATCATTTGCTGCCTCAGCTAGGTTCTTCAGACCCCAAGGCTCCACTTCACCTAGCCAAACAACCACTCGGGATGCCTTAGAATAGATGTGTTGCATAAGGAGGACTTGGTCGCTTCTCTCAGCAAGATCTGCTTGATTGATGCAGATGGCATCTATCCAGATCGCCCGTGGCTCTCTGCGGTGGCGAAGATGAAGGAGCGCCTGGAATAATGCGGTAGACACCGCAAAGGTATTGTGATTGACCTCGATTGTCTCAGCCAGATCTGGCGGGCCCCAGACGTATGAAAGGGCCTCATATTGGGCACCAGTCGGAGACGCTAAATCAATAACCTTCAGACGACAACGGATCGGTTGTTCGTTCGGGCCTGGCTCTATGACCAGAACTCTTACCAGAGCGCGGTGTTTCCCGCCATTCGAAGTGTCGTCATCTGACCCCTTCACAATCAGAGTGGCGTATATGCTAGCATTGCCTTGCTGCTTGTCCGAGTACTCTTGGGAGTCCAGGTCGGAAGCAGCACTCCTCAACTGGGTCACGAAGAACATCAGGAAGCCCAAAGGAGCCAGCCAGACCTGAAGCTGCAGTGAGAAGAAGGTAGGCACTGCGCCCGCCTGTTGAGGATCGGACCCAAAGTAGAATCCTGGGGCGATGAAAATGACAGCAATGAAGCTTTGCACCCAACGGAGCACATGGAGAGCCTTGTGTTTGAGGCTTATGCCATGCAAAACTAGGAAGTCAACGATTGCCGAGTTGACAGTGCGCCACAGAATGGTGGAATAGGCCGAGGATGTGCGACCGGTCAATCCTGAGTCGACGCCGAAGCAGGATCTGAATTTTGCGCCGGCTTGGGAGCCCAAATTCAGCAGAAAGCCTCTGAAAGAGCGGGCCTGCCATATCACCACCTTCTCGGTGGAATCCACGCGCTCCGCGTCCTTCTGTGAGCCGAAGCGCTTGGGAAGATCAAGCAAGGCATTGCGGACCAACCCCGGCAAGACAAAATAGCTCGGAAGCACGAACGTGAAGATCATAGACATCGGAAAGATGAGGCACAAATGGACCACCCCAGCCCAGCCTGTGATGCCCATCTGTACCAGCCCTTGAGCTCGGGCGAGCAGGCTAGCCAGTGGCCCTCCGAGCAAGCCATGCCTCGACAGCGGGCCGACGCGAATGAGGCTCTGCGCGATGAGGACCAGTGAGACGCAAAAGTTTGTCACCAGGAGGAAGGGCATGAGGAAGATGGCCCCGCCGCAGAACACAACGATGAAGAAGCTGATGTAGAAGCAGGCAGCAAAGAGGACGGTCCCGAGCCATGACTCTTTTTCTTTGTCTTCATCTTCGGCCATGTTGCGCGCGTTCTATCCGACAATACAGTCGGTGCACTGAGGTCTGCCGGCGTGCTTGAGAAGCTGATCAGCAGCTCTTGGAGGTTTGTGAAGGGAGTTCAGCTGAAGACGGTTGCACTGCTGCCTGCCGATGCGGGTCAGATCTGACCCCTGAAGGACAGCATATTGCATCCATCGCTAGTACGCGCGCTCTACACGTTGATCTGCGTATCATGAACATTGCCATAGAGATGGTTCAGAGCGCGAGAAAGAATACATAATCCAACAAAGCATTGGCAAAAATATCCGGAGCTCAGAAGACCCATAAATATAAGCAGAGATGTGCTCTTCCATACGTTGGAGTATTGGAAATATGTCCAGTTCGGGTCTCATTGACCCTTCACTTGTTTCGGGACTAAGAGAGCCTCATGAAAATAAGAGCATTAGGCGATGTTACCTAGATGCCGTGCTTTGACGGGAGGCTGCAGCAACAGCACCAAGCGCCCTTCCCGCCAGCCACTGTCCACCATACTTGGGCACAAACAAATTGGCGATGCTCCATCACGCGTCAAAGAGCTAGCCGCTGCACTCGCGACTCTTGAGCCTGGAAGAACCTTCGTCTCTAGGACACAAGCTCGACTGGATTTTTGGACATAAGAAGTACAGTCCGCGAGGAATGCGACAAGTCGGAAAAGGGTGACATTCGTGCGATGTTTTGGGACATCGAATGAGGTGATATCGGTTGCTAAGAGCTGGTGCTGGCTGTTGCTAGTAAACCCGGGATACGGCCTGCATTCCGTGAGCTCTCGTGTCTGCCGCTATAGAAGGCTGTGTTAAGAATGAGACAACCTTGGTCTGGAGCTCGCTGCCAGGTTCGTTCCATGACCCAAGCTCGGAGAGTATCGATAAGGTCCCACCTCGGCAACTACCCTTTGACGTCATCAAGTCAGACGAGGGAGTCTGGATCTCTTCCCCTGTTCTTGCTCATCAAAAACTCAAAAGTCATGCAGATTTGGGCGACTATGTGGTCAAGAGAGAGTATATGTTTCCAAGAAACTCGAGAAACTTCAAGAATGTGACAGCTCCTACGGCTTACGGCGGAGCCTGCCGGCAGAGGTCTCGTGGAGGGGTCCAGGAGGGACAACGAGAGGGGGCGGGGCAAGAAGCGGGTTGTGGATACATCTACATGCACATACAACAGCTCCGCTCGCTCTGCTCTGCCTCTCCATCTGAAGAGCGCGATCGATCTTGAATAGATCATGTCATCACGGCAGCACAGCCGACACAAGCACGCCCCGCGTCAGTGACTGGGAAAACCTTGAGTAGTCACAGGGCTATTGGGGGCTTATCTGCTGTCTGAGACGAGCCTTGGTGATTGGGCAGCGATGCTAACCCGTGGACTCACCTCACGAGAGAATAACTTCTCCCTCTTCCGACTCCGACACTGCCGCCGTAGCCCTATGCGCAGAGCAGGTCGGCTTAGCGGCCCAGTCAGAGACACCCAAAGGCGCTGCAGCAGGCTCACCGTGCCCCCTTCCCCGAGATCTTGCTTTCTGCAGCGCATCCGCCATGTCGGAGTCGTGTACAGGCAGAGGCTAGAGCAGAGGGACATGTAGGCTGTGTGGATTTCTGATCTGGTTTCTGCAAAGTGGTTGCATATGCCTGCAGCATGCCACCCCCTTGTCTTCGTTATGAGAGGTCCTCAGCCAAGGAGTAGGTAGATGGTGTGGAACTCTTGCCCGGTACTCTGCCTGGCTTCCATGTTTCCAAAAAAGCATGCTGGCATGCCGGGGCAGATCGTCGGAGGGGCATGTCGACGGGGAGGGCGGAAGAGGGGGATTTTGTGCTCGACACTTCAAACACACCTGGCCGCTTCTCTATTCCTTCTGGTTCTACAGACCAAAGTACAAGGCTTGATCAGTCAGACCAGCCCGCATGGCCAAGGAAGAGGAGGCCACCCCAAAAATAATGGGCCTGTGCCGTTCCAACACCCAAGTGCCAGGATTCGATTTGTCTCCGAGCTGGGGTCTAGACCTGAGGATTCATTGGGTCTTAGACTGCTGCAGGCTCAACACCTCTCAGACCTCTCAGTCTGCCATTCTGTTGTCTGTCAGTATGTCTGCGTGTGATGTCCAGCTGTACATGAAAAGACGCTAGACCACTTCCTGTGTGGAGTGCGTGCCCATGGCCACAGGTTCTACATGTTTCTGTTGATGTCGTCAGCTGTGTGCCTCGTCTTCCCATTGCATCCGCGGGTTCTCCCCCTGTGCGGTGCTGTGTTGTATCGCATTCTGTGCGCTGCGGATCCGTTCGAGCATCATACTACAGCAGTACCACATTGCAGTACAGTAGTAGCCAAGGCAGTGTGCAGTTAGAGCAGTGCCACCACCACCTGCAACTTGACTTGTGTCTGCATCCTTCTTTTTTTTGCTCGCGTTGCCTTGTCTGGCCTCGCTCGCTTTTCGTTCGCATTGTTCGCTTCGCCCCGGCCCAACCGCCCCTCTCCGTCTCGTGGCCCAGCAGGTGTCATCCTTACAGCACCACCGCACTAAGGAGACAATCGTCCTTGTTCAACCACATGGGCAACAAACAGTCACTTGGATCAATCATCTCCTTCCAGCCTTGTCTTGTGCTAGCCAGCGCTTCCCCTGCCACAGAGAAACCACATCCTGGGACGACAGGTGCCGTGTCTGCGACGGGGACTGGGACTCGACCGACGGTTGAGTCCGTCATCTCGCCCAAGGCCACCCAGCCATCCTAATTTTACACCCAACAGCGACTCCAACAACAACAACCGCCTGCCCACTACCATCCGCCCACCTGTTCTCCCGGGCTGACCTCATCCGGCCTTTTCAGCCCATCTTATTTTCTCCTAGCCTGGCTGTTCGTCTTTCGCACCCCGACTCATTCACCCACATCATCTCATACACACCCACAGCCTCATCCACAACATCGCCGCTTTTACTGTTTTGGCTGATCAACCCCCTCCTGGTCTCGACTACTCTCCTCTCCTCACTTCTGTCACCTCCTCACTCCGTGCACGCGCATCTGGCCCAAAGATGCCTGATACGGTCTACCGCGAGTCCCGCAGCTACGTGCGGGAGCGCGATGACCCGGAGTCGGACGACGATCGCTACCGAGGCGCCCCCACCGTGCGCCGCTACAAGGTCACCCAGACTCAACGCGTGCCGCCTCCACCACCTCCACCGGTCGAGCACGTAGAGCGCATCGAGCGCACGGAACGTGTTGTCGAGAACGACTACATCGAGGATGATCGGCGCTCCAGGTTCTCCACTCACTCTCACCATTTGCACCCAGGCCGCTCATCCGGCGACTTGGTCGAGGTCGACACTACGAGACGAGTAGATAGGACCTATCTGCCCGAGAGACCAAGATCTGCCTTCGACCCGCCCGCCCAGAGAAGTACCCATGTCGTGGAGAAAGTCACGGAAAGGGAACGAGGAAGATCGCCAACCCCTGAATTTTACGATATAAGCAAAAGGAGTGTCGTCCACGACGACGGTCGCAGTGCAGTTTACGAGAGGACCAGGGAGGTCGAACGCGAAGAACCGTGGCCAGCAGATCGCCAGCGTACTACTGTCGAGACGAAGCGTGTGGTCGAACGCGACGATGATCGCTGGTATGATGACCGAGACCGACAACGAACCACGGTTGAGAAAAAAGTTGTTGAGCGAGAAGGCGATCACTGGTGGGACGAGCGTGAGCGCCCCAGGGACCGTGAGCTTGTCGTACAGAAGACAAAGGAGGTTGAGCGAGAGCGCGGCCCGACCTCTCCGCGCGACTGGGATCGGCATTCGCATTCTCCATGGGACCGTGACAATGTCGATGTCCGGGTTGAGAGACGTGTCGAGAAGCGCGACGACGGTGTAGACGTCACCATGCAGCGCCGCGTGGAGGAGCGCCGCGACGAGACACCCTACGGTGAAGTGGAGCGGTACCGCAAGGAGACCGAGTACTACGAGCCGGCACCCCCAGACCCCGCCCCCATCATCATCCGCCAGCGTGCTCCGGAGCAGAGGATCATCGTGCAAGAAGCTCCTGAGCCAGCGCCGATCGTCGTTCCGTACAGGCAGCAACAGAACACAGTGGTCACCCGGCGGGAGGAACCTCGCGAGGATGAGTACTACTACAGGCGCAGGGAAACGGACAGGTATGGCGATCGTCGTGATGATTATGCTGTCGCTGAGTATCGCCGTACGCGCTCAAGAGACCGCTATTCTGACGGTTATAGATCTGACGACGACGACGTCTACGTCAGGAGGACAATCATTAGGCGTCAGCGGAGCAAGTCGCCGGAGCATCATCACAAGCTGCACCTGGCAGAGGGTGCAGTGGCCGGTGCTGGCCTGGCTGCTCTTGCGGCCTCTCGTCGCAATGGTGAAGGTGACCTTCAGTCAGGCCGAGGACGCAAGGTCCTGGCTGGAGCCGCCCTAGGTGCCCTGGGCACTGAAGTATTCAAACGCGCGCGCTCTGCTTACAATGACCGGTATGGCGATGAGGATGATCGCTACCGGGAAGATTACAGACGCGGCCGATCACGCTCACGTGGGGGTGACTATCGCGAATATCGTGACTATCGAGGTCGCGAAGACGACTACGACGAAGAACATGATAGGCACCACAAGATCAAGACCGGCCTCGGGCTCGCGGCTGCGGCACTGGCGGTGGCTGGAGCAGCTAAGTACTACCAATCCCAGAAGATAGAGAAGGAGGAATTGCGCCGCGGACGCAGTCTGCATCGCTACGACAGCGACTCGGGTGACAGCTACATCAGTCGCTCCCGCAGTAGACCAGGCGGAGGACGGTCCCCATCTCGCGGCTCAGGCGTCGCAAAAGCCGCAGCTGGAACCGCCGCCGTTGCCGGTCTAGTCCAGCACTTCCGGAGCAAATCCCGCGCCCGTCAAGGTGGATCCAAGTCGCGCTCGCGATCGCGGCTCCGGACTGGCGCTGAGATTGTAGCTGCTGGACTGGCCGGCGCAGCGGGCAAGAAGCTGTATGATCGTTCCAAGGACAAGAAGGAGGAGCGTGAGAGGGAATTGTCAGACGAGGAACACGAATATCGGGAGCGGGAGCGGTCCAGATCTCGGAGGGATAGGTCTAGATCGCGATCCCGCTCCAGATCACGTAGCAGGTCGCGCTCTAGACCCCCAATCCCGACCTCTGCCGCAGCCGCTGATCCTGAACTAGGTTTGGTTGAGTATGGCGGCCATCCCCTATACTCCGACCGAGACGCGGCCTATGGGGCACGAGCGGCCGAACCGGGCTATGAGTCGGCGGAGGATAGGAAGAGGCGACGGAGGGAGCGGCTGGCCAAGCGGAGGACTCAGTCGAGGGGCGTGGACACAGACGACGACAGCGTGTATGATGAGAAAGAGGAGAAGAAGGAAAAGAGGGCGAGGAGTAGAAGTCGCTTTAGGGATATGGCTGCTGGTGCTGCCGCTGCGGGTGCTGCTGCGATTGGGTTGAAGAAGTTTGACGATGCTAAAAAGGAGAAGAAGAGGGCCGAGTCGAGGTCGAGAGAACGGAGCAGAGAAAGATCACGAGAACGGTCGAGAGACCGGGAAGAGAGAGAACGAGACAGGGAGGCCAGAACAAGGGACCGTGCCGAGAGAGAAAGGGATCGTAGGGATAGAGAGAGAGATCGCAGAAGTGAGTGACACCAAGTCCCGCCCGCCCACTAACGGCACTGCAGCATCCAGCCTCGGTGGGCTCTGATTTCTGACCATGGTCAGCAGGTTACGAGGATTCCGTCGCCAACGCTACTCCTAACGCCTATGATCAGCAACGCCCTCCCTCTCCACCGCACGCGTCTGGCGGCTACTTTGACCCTCGCCCACCAGGTCCTCCTGCTCCTGGCACCGACACATTTCAACAGGGTTTCACACAGCATCCTAATATGGCCTCCACGAATCTACACGATACTTACACGCCGTACAACCCTCAAGAATACCAACCATTCCCTCCACCACCGCCAGGACCACCGCCAAATTCCGCATCGACCCCGACTGGGATGCCACCACCGCCAACAGGGGGTTACCGGCGAAACGATCCCGATCATGTGAGTAGCGAAATATCTGATTCTTCTGTCAACGCCGATGTCAACGTAAGGGATGGGGACCACGGCCACGACCGTGAACGGGGGCGACCCAACATTCGCCGCGGAGCTGAGGGTGCGTCTGGTCTTGGTAATATCTTTCCTCAAAGCACAACAACACATCAAACACAGGCACCACAGCCTTCTGAGCCTAGTCAGCGACCACCTTCGTCGGACTCCAGGAAGGATGGACAGGGGCCTGCGCCTACGGCCTAAGCGGGCTATCCATTTCTCAAAATGATACTTGCAATCAGAGCCATTCTGGCCATAATGGGATAACGATCCACGTGGAAACTAACATTGGTCTTTTCTCCTATGCAGATGGTGTAAACCAACAGCCGAATCGCTCTATGTCCCGCGAGCGTGCGCCATCAGCAGCATCCTCGGTTGTGTCTAAAGCTGGACAAGACACTCCCTCAAGAACACCATCTCCTCCCAGGACACCTTCTCACGTCCAATGGGTCCCACTATCACCACAATCCTCCCAGACACTCCTCCGCCACCGAGCCACCAAATCGCGCGAGAACGTGGACGACGACGGCGGTGTAGAAGACGACAACAATAGCGCCGTCGTACCAGTCCGCCGGCGGTTCCGCAAGCGCCGACGCAACTCAGACCCCAGCGCCAATCGCCCGGTGGTCGGGAGGCACCGAAACGAGCTGCCGGAATCCGACCGGTCCGACTCCGCAAGCGGGGACGAGGTCGAGGTCCTCCCCGACCGCTTCGACACCACAGGGCGGCCGATCGACCCCAACGCCCCGTCCAGCTCCAGGAACGCACGAGCCCGGGGTGGTTGGACAGAGCGTCACGGCGACTTCGAGTACCGCTCCCCGCGACCGGGAGGCACCCAAGCCCGTGGCATGTGGAGCGTGGGCGGGACGGACCCGGACCAGGTGGAGAGGATGATGCAGGATGTCACGGGAATCATCGGAGACGGCCCCCCGAAGGGCGTCGGTGGCTGGCTTGGACTGGCTGGACGGTTAATAGGCAGTGGAATCTTGGGGGCTCACGGGCTTCCCGGCTCTCATGACGACGAACACGATAGTGGTGAGGATAACAACGGCGGCGGCCGTCGGGGTGGCGGCGGGAAGAGTAGGGATGTGGGCAAAGTCGGATATGGGGGTAGCGGGAGCGAGATTAGCCGCGATGAGAGGGGCAAGGGTAGGCGGAGGGTGGACGACCATGAGTATAATGACCCGGACGAAGTCGACGAGGACGACGGGATGAGCAGGAGGAGGCGGCGGCGGAAGAGGCGTGAGGTAGAGTGACCGACCACCTACCCCATCTGGTGATGATCTGATGACCTATTTTGACGATATTTGTTTGATCTGCATTCTCTTTTCTGTTCCTTCTCTTCATTTTGGATATCCATCATGGCAATGGGTTGGGCCGTCCAATTCATCACATGATCGCAGGAGACGATATTTCATATTACGCACTAGATGTTACAAGGCTCACCAAAATGGAGGATCGGAGGCCAGGGAGCATGTGCCGGGCAACTTGTTGCCGGCTGTGGTGGTTAATCTGGTAACGATGGTTTACGACTTACGAACAACAAGACCTTGCAAGGGATTCTACATGATCAACGACAGCTATGTTTTGATATGGGATGGTTCATGAGATTATGAGATCTTTCCGCTCCATGTCCGAATACCTTCGCTCGAGTGATGTTTTGTGTTTGTGTTAGCCTAGTGAGGCAGGCTTCCTACCTCGACCTGATCGGTGTGTAACAAGTAGACATGGACCAGACCTCCAAGGCGAGCTTCTTAGCTATCCACGGTCGATTCCCTTTGTCGCGCCCAGCGCCTAACCTCTCGTTGAGAGAGAGAGACTTGTGCTCCTGATGCCATGTTCTATCTAGTGTCTGAATTCGTTGGTGATTTTGGTCATTTACTTGGAATTACTTTTCTCGGGCTGATTCAATTGTAATAGTTCCACGACGCCAGTCTTGCCTTTCATGTTCCATCAAATATAGCTTAAGATGTGTCACCTAAAATGGGTTCTCTTGACACCACTGTTTCACTGTTACGCTCAAGAATTGGCAGCTTGATGCGCCTACTTGTGTCTATTCTTGCCCATGGGTGCTAGACGCGACCGAGGTCTTGATTCTTTCTCGTGATTTTCATCTTTAGGCCAAGGCTCACAGCGGCCAGAATCGATACCGTCTGATCCACACCAGAGATATATTGGGCAAAGATTGGCGCGCCCATGCCTTCATACGATTCTCAAAGGGCGCTTATCCATCGCCGGACTTACATTGTTTAGCGCCGGACTAACATTGCTGTTCATGTTTGGTCAATGGACTTCTTGCCTGAGAACATCGCATATCGGCAACAAGTGCCTGAGTCGGCTGTCTGGGCTTGATTGATTGGCCCAGCCCGTGCTGAGCGAGAACGAGGACGCAGAAGATCTGGGCCTCCAGCAGCCCCAGGCTGTGCTTGGCCATCTGTCGATTGCAGCGCGGCCAGGACGTTGCATGATCCTCAGAAATAGGGGGCATATACCTGCGATTGGCCGTTATTTCTGAATGGACTTTGCCAACCATTACGGCTGCGGCCGGTGGGTCATGACACAAATGAGTCTTCGTCAGCTCGTCGCCAGTTGCCACCCAGCACCATGGCCACAGCCCCTGTGGATGGGCTAGATGGCTGTTTACTGGTATACCTGGCGGGTTTTGGGTGAGCGGAGCCTCACTATGCGGCCGGCGGTGCTGTTACATGACGGCGGGGGCTTCGCCGGGCCCCCATCCCCTGGGATGTAGTCCAGACCGACCAAGAGCTGGCCAGAGCAGCAGTGATATGGGTAGAACAAAATTCGATCCTGTACTTTCGGTTATTGAGTGTGATAAGAAGGCCGTTTCTCTTGGCATACATGGGCAAGTCGTTCAATTCTGGGTCCAGTGTAGGCAATCTGGGAAGACATCGAATGCAGCGCTTGGCCCGAACACAGGCGTGAACACCGACCACAGCTGGTGTCGGATGAGCCAAGTTCGTCCGAGTCAATGGCACGCATAGCATTGCCGACTAGTGGAAAGACTTCGAGAATAGCAACAGCAGCCTTTTGACAGGACGTTTTGACCTGGGCAGCGTTTCGATCTACGCTGCAGAGGAGATCATGTCTTGGAAAAATCTTGGTTCGATCTGAGATGTCGGAATGGTGAGGGAGGCATGAGGATGGCTAGGCACGGTTCGTCAGCTCGCTGGGATGGATCGTCACCAGGGTTGCCCGGGTCAGGGGGAGGGCCCAGGTAATGGACGGACTGTAGGGTCTGAGGGTACGGAAGAGGTTCTGACCGGGTCCGCCAGCTCGAAACACACGTGCAGGGAAGGCCTGGGTCGCTGCACGGACTGAGTGGGTGACGAGCTGGCGGAAACACATGCCTTTGTTGAGAGTGAGTGGGGCTGACGAGGTCGAGTTGACATGACAGCCTGCCTAGTGGTGAGCCACATCCCGTTCCGTCTTGTCCATGCAAACTGCCGGCCAGCTGCTCCCAAAACCTGTGTTGAAGACTGGATAAGTACCTGGGTGGATGCAACAGAAAATCCCACGCAGCACATGCCACACCAAGGAAAGATGAGGTGTGAACGCTTACTGTTGTTGTGGCTGTCAGAAGCTGCACCCCGCGACACCGTCGGGCTAGGAAATGTTCCGCAGGTGGTAGCCAACCAGCCAACACGTCTGCACGTGCGATGAGGACTGGAGGCTCTGTGTTCTGTCATCGGGGGACCCTGTAGCCTAACATAGTGTGGACAATGTACAGTACCACAGCAGGCCCTAATCCGCTTGTGAGGCTCTGGTTGGAGTGGGACTGCAGGTCCTGGCACCCGCTGGGGGGGCTGCTAGGGCCCGATGTTCTGCAAGTGTTTTGCTAACGTCTCTCCATACAGAGAGCAGCTCCAGCCTGATAGCGACCTACCCCTGCTGTCAGATCTTCCATCACGCAAGCCCGATCCCGGGATCGCGAATCCACAGCTGCCCTGTGCCCTGTGCAGTACCTAGGCAGGTGCTAGGTAGGAAGACGGAAAGTGGAAAACGGGTGGTGGATTTCTCAGCGTTCGGACACGGAGGGATTCCTTCTTTCTCGCATGCATTCTCGCATGCATGCACGCATGTGCAACACACCTGCACTTATGCACTTGGGGACAAGACCGAGCGGCCTTGCGAGGGCTAAACACCGACCGTCAGCCTTCTTTCCACTCTGGTTCGTGTCGGCCTCGACACCAGGCACAATCCGTGCTAGTCTCTCGCGAGGAACAAAGCACCAGCTCGGCTTCCGGGGCCCCCAGAGAAGGAGAGGGAAGCATCCGCGAAGATTCGATGATGGAAGACTAGAGCTTATTTTGAGAGCAAGCCTCGCTTCTCCCAGCAGAGTGGGTGGATGGTTTGTCAGCTCCCAATGGGCCCATGAACGGACCCAAGTAACTTCTCTTCTATCTACTTACTATACACGGCAAAGTCGTTTTCTGCACGGTCGTACCCGTCCACGAGCGGAACCTTGGAACATCATGATTCATTCAGATGCTTGCCCGACATGCCAGGTCAACGCTGCCACCGCGACGCGCGCCTCTCTCTCTCCTCCTATCACCGTGTTCCCTTCCCACCCCTCCACCACAGAGCATCGCCGTTGATATTTCGGCCGCCCTGGGGAGCCCAGCACAACAGGAGTCAGGCCGTCGATGACTGGGGCACGTCAACACGTCCAGCCAGATACTCTTAGATGCTACACCATCCAGCCTGCCAGCCCGTTCATCGACCTGTGCCGAGAAATCCGGCGGCCCTAGCAAGGGTCTTGCCTCCTAGCTTGGTCGTTGGTAGCTTTTGGGCCAGCGGTCCATATCACGCAAGAGCGACTACTTCCAAGGTTTTCCTGTGATAACGGAAGTACCTCTGGCACCCCCAGCCCCCTAGTGTTCCATCCGAGCACTGCATGCTATATGTGTGGTAACCTTCAAGTTAGCTGCAGGTAGCAGTCAAGTCAAGTCAGACAAGTCAGACAAGTCAGTCCACACCGTACCTGGGCAGTACATGATCCGCCGAGGAAAGTGTAGGGAAGGCCCAGTACCGCCGGTGGAACCCGGGCTTGTCGCTCAGGGTCCCGGCATCTATGAGCATTTATTCTCTCTGCACACAATTCCAGAGTGCGACGGAAACGACAGCACGACAAAACACAGGCCCACCGACATCCATGGCCTCGGCCTCCACTATCTCTCCATTCCGTCCCTCCTTTTTCGAACTCTATTCCGCATCGCGATCGGGGCTCCGCTGCTGTATGCTTCCTCTCGTCTCCTCTCTTTGCCCTGCCTGCAGCTGGACGGGGTCCTCCTCCTTCTCGTCTTTGTCCTGGGATCCTCAAACTTGACTCAAGACGCGAGCGAGACACGACCAGGCCAAAGACAATACGCCATCGATCTGACCTCCCAATCTGCCCCCCATCTCTCTCCGTAATCTCCACCGCTTTCTCCGGGCGCCAACCCATTCTCCCATCCAAGCCTATCCAAGCCCATCCAGCCCATCCTTCCATCGATCCCCTGGTCCCCTGGTCCCTTGCCCATTTCTGACAATCTCGACCCCCGACCGCCCTATGATTCATCAGCCCGTCCTCCCGCTATCTAAGTGTGACCTGACGCGGCAGAGGTCCAACATTTCCCGATATCAGATCTCCTACATGTAATATCTTTTCCCAAGCTCCACAACTACCTTGAGCATGGGGAGCTGAGAGACCATAACTACTTCTTCTGCTCACCTCGTGGATTCTCGGTCCCTCTTCTTGTGGCAACAAGACATTGTCATTCCTGCCTGATTCTATTCTTATTCTCCATTCAGCTATCGTCTGGGCATCGCGCCTGCGAACGAGCTGCGGATCATAGTGATACATCAAAGAAATTCCGGGCCCACCCACCTCTGGCGAGATATCACAACTTTGAACTGCCCTTGCCTCACGAGACTCACGGACCCAATTGAATCGAACCAGCAGAATTAGAAGCGCCAATTCGAAGCTGCTCAAAATGACGGGCCCTGTACACAACAGCGCCGTGTACATTCTTGGACACGAGCAACACGCACCCGTTGTTCCTCCCCTCTCACCACCGTCCCCGGTCACACCCAGCAACGGCCCCGAGCTATGTGGGCCGATCGAAGAGCTCAGCTTGGACAACGACGTCGTGGTCCCAGGTCCAGCATCTCCATCCCTCCCACAAACTCCATCCACTCCGAGAACCTCCGAATTCGACGATCAATCCACCTCTTCAGAGCTTTTCGATGACAGGCTCGCCAGCGCAATTCACGTGTTGAACACGGAAGCAACCTCTCTCGCCTCCCTCACGCACCTCTACTCCAGTGATCCTGTGGCACGGGTCGCCTTTAACTCCGCAGTCGACATCATCACCTCTAGGCAAAGAGACACGTCACGTGGCAAGCTCGTGATCATTGGTGTCGGCAAATCCGGTCACATTGCGCGCAAGTTGGTCGCAACATTCAACTCCTTGTCCATCCACGCCTCATTCTTGCATCCTACCGAGGCCCTCCATGGCGACCTCGGCCACATTGGTGCCGACGACACCCTCATGCTCATCACCTTCTCCGGCAAGACCCCCGAGCTGAGCCTGCTCATGCCGCACCTGGATGCACGGCTACCCCTGGTCGTCCTAACCGGCAAGACTCTTGATGCTCCTGTGGTGCTCGAGAGAGAGAAGCAGGCCTCCGGGGCAACAATTCTGCTACCCGCGCCCATCCATGAGAGTGAGACCGTGAGCTTCGGCGTGTCTGCCCCCACTACGAGCACCACCATGGCGCTGGCGGTCGGCGATGCGCTCGCTCTCACATGCGCTCGGGAGCTGAACCCCATGGCCGGCGGCGTGGCTGCTGTCTTTGGCACCAACCACCCCGGCGGCGCCATCGGCGCGACATACAAGAAGCCGCAGACCGTCAAGGACATCATGGTCCCCTTGGCAGACATCACCTGCCTGTCAGGGTCACGCGTTCAGGTCGGCGGCGACGTGCTGAAGGCGGCATATGTCTGCAAGACCGGCTGGCTGCGCGTGGGCGAGGACGCTGTCGTTAGCCCCAGCCGCATTCGCCGCATGAGCTCTGCCGAGCTGGCGACGGGCGTCGCACAGATGCCCTGGCTCGCCGTCCCGAGGGCAGCTTTCATCTCGCTTGGTGCGGCTACACAGCTGAAAGACGCTGGAGAGTGGCTTCGCGCCAATATGCAGAAGCCGCGCGACTTGGTTGAAGACGAGGACGTCTGCACTCCCGAGTCAATTGTTGCGGTGCTGGACAAGGGCGAGATCATCGGCGTGATGGAGGCAACTGCCATTCTGGAAGCGGCCTCGTAGACACGGAATTGGGTATCAATTCTTCTCAACGAACTAATGAGATTTTTGTTCTAAGAGCATGATTACTTACATGGGGGGGGGGGGCAAGGAGGCAGGCATTGGCATCATGAGCGCACAACACTCGCTCCATCATTCTATTTTTTCAAACAGGCTTGGGCGGCACATGGAAGTACACACGAAAATCATCAGCTTTGAGCCTGGGGGCTCTAGACTTCACTTCATTAGAATTGCGAGCGAACGTTTGGTTATCTATTTTTCCTTGGTGTGGGAGTTCTCTTTGGGCAGAGGCGGATTTGATTTGGGTTTATGAGCGGAAAATACCATAGCATGTAACGCGTCCTGAAGAAAGGACTGCAAAAAGACTCCATGTATTATTGGCTAGGCAAGATCTCTGAACGACGGATAGATTTCGCAGATTGAATCTCTGCGCGACTCACTTGTTTGGCTCTCGAAGAATCTCTCGCCCGTTCGTGAACATGTCTGCGCAAGAACTGTGCTAGCTGGAAACTGATTCCCACCACCCTGGTTGATTTGTGCAAAGCAGTTCACGCAACGAGAATTCTCAATTTGGCAACTACATGTCCGGTTCACGTCACGCGTATGCCGTCGCAAATACGTAGCGCTACGTGCACGAAGGAGTTTGTCACTCTGCATTACTCAATTCAAGAGTCTAAGCTTGTACAGTATATAGTCCAACATATGGAAGAAATCTGGGGCTTTCTCACAGTGCACGTAAACTTCCCAATCATACCAGAATGTAATTTCCTTGAATGCGGCATTCCTCACTGCAGAATACGTGTTGTGCACTAGCAGCACACCCAGACTGTTCACGAATACCGTCGTCTCGTGCATTTCTCCTGACTGGGTACACCTGCAAACACGCCTCTGTCGGACTCACAGGGAATCAGAACGACGGCCTTTTGCTCATGTTCAGCTCATGGCAATCAAAATCACACATTCAATCCACTTCTTGTAAAGGCGACTACTAGAATCTAGCATCACGTAGCTTCCGTTTGACTCTTACAATCATTTTCCTTGTCTCAGACCTATAGGCTTATACAGACTGTAAGCGTCAAATTGCCTCAGAGTATTGTTGCGACACATATATATGACTGTGTCCACTTGAACGTGACCATTCTTGAAAAGAGATATTGTAGCATAGTGTTCCAGACAGCAGCAACCTAATACGCATTCGACTTCAACATGAAAAGCGAATTCCTCGAAGCCCAATTATCATAATTAACACGGCTGACCACAGAGGAGGAGAGGAACGATATTGTTCAACGAGCTGCCGTCGTATACAACACAATTCGAACGTCGAACGCTCTGTGGTACTCCAAAAGGAAAAGGTAAAATTGATGCTGTCTGGTGGGGAGCCGGATCCGCTGTGGCACGAATATTGAAATCACCTCATCACCACGAATGGAAAACTCGCAATGAAGAAACCGAAATGGCTCAAAGTAGAGGGCTACGATTGGTTTCGATAACACTGTTGTATATGAAGATGAGCATAGCTGGAGATCCCGAGTCTGCCTATGAAGCTTCATATTAAGGAGCGATGAAACCACCAGGACAGAAGGTCTCTAAATGTTATGTATTTGTGCCTTTGACAACGAGAGGACGTCTAAGTGAGTAGAGCAGGTCAGCCTGTGTATCACATTCGCAGCAGACATAATCGTTCACAGTGGCGGGCACTCCTCAGTGTCCAGCATTTCCGACCTTACAATCTACATCGTATGCATGGACTGCCATGCAGATCTTCAAGGTAACGTTTAGAGTCTGAGTGGTCTCGACCAAGTTGTGAAGCGCCGTCATGTACAATGTGGCAGTGGTTTGACCTTTACACTGATTCTAAGTATCATGTGGATTACAGATCCCCTAATATTGGAGATTATACATGGTTTGCGAAAGCGTTAATCTTCTGGTTATTTCGGTAGGGTGGCTGTCATCATGCCTTCCAGGACTTATATCATGCTGTGGGTGTAAGTCACTTGAAAGCCCGAGCAACAACGCAGATGGACCATGACAGCGACGATCGCATAAGTCATGATATGACAGTAAGTGTCGTTGTTCAGTCTTACGATCATATAAATGCAGACCTCAACCTCTTTCGACACCGTCTCAGCAGAGCAGAACGAAATCGAGAGCGAGCAACAGCCAGAACAGTGACAAGAATCGCGATAAAGCCTGTACCATCACCAACACCCTCAATCTATCCAGACGAACCAGCTCTAGTCGACGGCATTCCTTCCAGCGCTTCCTATTCATCTCAGTATGTGGCCATCATTCTTGAGACTGCAGGTACCGCATGTTCAGGGGCTGACAATTCATCCACACACTAGATATGTGCACCTACACACGAATAGATACGATCTGCCCCAGGTGTAGGAGAGTTGTTCAGAGCGAAACAAAAGAAGGGAAGTGCAAAGCGGCCAAGAAGGGACCCATATCTTGTGGGATTCTTAATGAAACATACGAGAAAGTTGAAGCTAGAATTCAGTGTGCCAGATGCAAGAAGGAGGATGAGGAAGCCAGGAATCGTTCTCAACCATACTTTGATTATAGGAAAGGCTAAGACTGGGTCCAATATTAGCCTAGATTGACTGATCGGTTTTGTGAGAGCATATTGGTCGTCAAAGAAAGAGATATGAGAATTCATAGAGAACGAATCTGACTGGATGTACTGAAAATATTTACTTCGAGCCGTGAATGCAACACATTTCGGTTTTCATTTGCACCTTTATGCTTCTCCATGCCCTTCTGACCCAGCGCCCCACGTTGAACTTGAACCGTCAGAGAGCTTTTCTCTAGCAGTTGTTTCACTCCACCAGTCAAAACAAGGTAAGGTTACTTCAAGCACAATTGACAGTCCATTTTCATGTCGTCGAGGCAGCCAGGCTTAGCGGATCACGATAATGACTGCTGAAGCCCACTTCAAGTCAACATCGTATTGAAGCACTGTACTGTGATTCTGACAACATATAAGATCCAGATTAATACGGACATGTATCTTAGAGCTGAGAATGTTCGAATAGACTTCGTGAAATTTCGAGTGACCAGCATGGCTCAACGTTGCAGATGCTACGAAGGCGGCCATTATATGTATGCGTGTCATACATGGAAAAGAGACCAGGTGGGGGGAAGGGATGGGCAAGAGAAAGTCCAGAAAACAATGAGGAGGCAAGACAGCAGCGTCGAATATCTAGCAGAAAAGCAACGGAAGCCGATGTGCTGGGATCTGACCTGGTCTAGGTAGACTAAGTTGAACGTCACTTTTAAGAAGAAAGGATATTGTCATAAGAGCATTCAGCCATGGAGCCTCGGTCATCATGAGTCTGGTTGGCGCGGCTTTACTGGGGTGATAATGGCAGACGTCCAGGATAACGACATTCTGGCTGACATGGGAAGTCGATACGTCCCTAGATCTAATGAAAATGACTGCTATGTAATTAGACTTTCGATTAACACATCCTCAGCATGGCCTGAGAAGTACGCACTGCTTTTCACAAGTCCAAGAAATCGCATCACGGACATCATCTCAGACAGCCACGCTCAGCAATACACTATACCGACACTTCCAGTACTCAATAGGTCAGAATGCGTTGGACTGTGGGATTGGATGTGTCAGGCACACAAGATACAATAATTATTGCGATACGTTCAAATCTGCGCAAGGACCAGGGATTATCCGCAGGCTTTCGTGCTACTCTTGAGCTTGTGCGACTGATATATCAATCCTGATATGACATGAACATCATTGTCTGGCTATCGAGGAACCCATGCCCACTTGTCAGGTTACAAAGGATTGGGCAGGTCTTCCAGCCAGGAGTCATCCTCCTCAACCTAGTCTAGCCGATCGCCATGCCGTTCGCCGGACAGAACTGCAACGACTAGGATTACAACAAACAGGCAGACTTGGCCCCAAGAAACTGGAGACGTCTTGTCCTAGCCTGCTTCCGAAGCGTCATCGGTTCTGTGGTCCCCTACTTCATTGCTGTCAAACGCCCATGCGTTTGTCTGGGAATCTTGATCACCATTAATGGTGGTCGATTCGATCGATTCAGACTCAGAGTCTGATTCTGCATTCTGAGAGCAATCGTTCGCCCCAAGCCAATGATCTATCCTGGCGATTTCTCCCTCAATTGTAACATTCGAGTCTCGGTGCTTCCAAGGCTCACCCTCGGACGACCAAACAGACGCTCTCTAAGCGTCATCATCGCTGTCGCTGCTCTCACTGTCACCATCGCTGCCCGATGTATCGTCGTCCGTTGCAACGGCTGCTCCAGCGCTTGAGGCCGCCGAAGCATCCTCAGACTCCGACTCTGAAGAAGAGGAGCTGCTCGAGGACGAGCTTTCGGCATCGTCGTGACCATTGGCAACTTCCGACTCCTCATCCGAACTAGACTCCGAGGACGATGAACTACTATCACTGGCATCATCGACTTCAGCGTCGGAATCCCCAGAACTAGAGTCACTGTCTGAATCCGAAGATGACTCCGATTCAGAACTGCTGCTGTCGGTGTCGGCCGTTCGCAGCTTCTTTCTTCTCTTCGTCTTCTGTTTCGTGCCATCGGCGCCGTTTGCTTTTGCGTCAGCACCATTGCCGACAGGTATCCTGACCCTGGAAGACGCCGCGTTGGTAGTACTGGCTGAAGGTATTGCGGCATCGTTCTCGCTGTCTGAGGACTTGAGCGTGTCGATGACCATTTCTGCCCGCATGCGCTTCACAAGACGCTGCTGGACATCCTTATCGACCGTGCGCAAGGTGAATTCTACCTCGTCAAAACTTCTTTTTGGTGCTCCGTTAGAGCTGCCACCATCCTCCACCTCGGCCTTCGCCTTCAAGAGGTCGGCCAGCAGCTCCTCATATTGCCCTTGTTTCTCTTCCCCGCCCTTGGTACCCTCTGGAAATGCCTTAGGGCCAGCCTCCATATCCTTCTTTCTCACCTCCTCGGCTTGCTCTAGCAGTCTGGCCCTTGAGCCTCCTTTTATGTCGTTGATGTAGAGGTAAAACGCGTCAATGTCGGCAGCCGGCAGCGCCTCCGCCTTGTACATGTACTTCAACAACAAGGTCTGGTGGTTCTTGTTAAACTTCCAGGCCTCGCGGGCTTTGTGCCATGTCCTGAGGTACTCGAGGGAGGGTGTGAGGTCATGAGTTTGTGGTTCCGGCTGTGGTTTTGAAGCCTTCTTCTTCTTCTTGGCTGGCTTTGGCTTCTTGGGAGCGGCCTTTTTGGTATCCTGCGAGAAGGAGACAGACTTCTTGGAGGGCGTGAAATCGGAATCGTCCCACCTCGGGCGCTTGTTGTCTGATGCAGGATACGAGCCAGACGGGAACTGCTTCCTCTTATTGAAGGCCGGTGTTCCGTACTGGCCGGCTGCATTGAAGTTGGGACGCTGCTGGTGTGTGAAGCGACCTGCAGGAGGTGCAGAAGTGGTCGTGGTCGTGGGTTGCGAGACGGTGGCAGCAGGGCTTCCATCCGAGTTGGCTCCCTTGAGCTTCAGGCCCAATCGCTTCCAGGCTGGCACGGCCGACATGGTGGACAAGGTAGTAGGTAGAAAAGGGAGGGTGAGTTCAGGTCGTGCAACGGACTCGGGAAGGGGGGGTAGGGTGAACTGGCTCCAGTAGTGGGAGGACTGTAGGAGGCACCAAAGTCAAAACGGCCTAGCTATCGCACGCTCGACGAAGATCAAGGACGGCAGACTTCATGCGCAGAGTTGAGATTGCATGGGACAAAACGCGCTGAGTGGACGGAGAGCTCGGTAGGGCGTGCGTTGGGCTCAATGCGCGACAGCAGGCAGGGAGCGACCTCCTGTTTGGAGCAGGTCTAGGTCGTGTATGTGCGTTGTGTGTGTGCGTGCTTGTATGTGTTGAAGCCCAACCAAAGACAGACTTCTGCTGCTGCTTGGCCAGAGGACCGCGGGAAGGGGAAACAATTTGCTGCCTCGAACTTTTTCTCTGGCTCTTAGTGGGGCAGCTTTGATAGACAGGGTCCCAGCAATCGATAGGCATGGGTCAGATTCCCAGCAGACTAGACAGAGATCAGGTAGCTCGTACTGACTTACATAAGCTTGGGAGCTCGGGCCCGCGGCAGGCTAACGCTAGCTGGGGACGCTGACGGGTGCTCCAGGCAAGCTACAGCCAACGCGTTCCCAGCCCAGGCAAGAGCTTCATTGACGACAGCTCCCTCGAACCAGCCTGACCAGCGATCAACACTGCACACTGCTCCCGACGACGTATTTCCTTTCCTCTTTCATCTGGCGACAGTCTTTTGTTAAGCACGACGTCCTAAATCCTGCCTCAAATCAGCCCAATCCCCCAATCAAGCCCTCAAGATGGCGAGTATGTCATATCCCCAGCTGGAGCTGCTCTCCCGGTCTCCTCCTTCGTTCCACTGTGGCTGACACCAAACGCTTGAACAGGCACCGGCATCGACAGGCACATCACCATCTTCTCTGAACAGGGACGACTCTACCAAGTCGGTACGATCATCCTCCGCATACCTCCTTTCCGAGCCTCCAAGCGACCGACCAGGACAAAGGGATCAGCGCACTGTCCTGCCCGCAGAATTGAGGCTTGATGCTGTCACACGGGAGCTGACCTGTTGTCTTTGCTGTAGAATATGCCTTTAAGGCCATTACTGCCGCCAACATCATGGCGATAGGCGTCAGAGGCAAGGATTGTGGAGTCATCCTGTCGCAAAAGAAGGTCCCAGTACGTCACTCTGATTCTCGCTCTCGGCTCCTCCTCGACCGCGCCAGCCACCGCTAATCCGAGATACAGGACAAGTTGATCGACCCTGCTTCGGTGTCGCACATCTTCCAGATATCTCCCTCAGTTGGCTGCGTCATGACGGGCTCCATCGCCGACGCCAGAGCTTTCGCGCAACGCGCACAGGGCGAGGCTGCCGAATTCAGATACAAATACGGCTATGAAATGCCAAGCGATGTTCTTGCGAAGAGACTGGCCAATATCTCCCAAGTCTACACTCAGCGCGTAAGAGGGCGCCCGGCTCTTCAATATGTAAAATCCTTGGGGAGGTCATATTGCTGACTTGCATTCAACACAGGCCTACATGCGACCGTACGGCGTGGCGACGACACTAATATCACTTGACTCCGAGCTTGGCCCACAACTCTTCAAGTGTGACCCCGCAGGCTACTACATTGGCTACAAGGGAACTGCCGCTGGCCCCAAGCAGCAGGAGGCGCTGAACCACCTTGAGAAGAAGCTGAAGAACAAGGATCACGCAGAGGGCAACTGGGAGGAGGTCGTCGAGCTGGCCATCACCACCCTCAGCACAGTGCTCAGCATGGATTTCAAAAAGACGGAGATTGAGATCGGAATCGTTGGCGGCCCACGCGCAGACGGACAACCGGGCACGGATCCTGGCTTCCGGAAACTGACTGAGGAGGAGATCGACGAGCGTCTTCAGGCTATCGCTGAGAAGGATTGAGCTGAAAGATACCATTGACAATGAAACGCAGCCTGATAGGAGGCCATGAGGATGATCTAGTCGATGGCTGCGCGGGGGCCGCTGAAGGAAGACTCTCAGACACGCAAACATCCGCTGAGCTGAGACCCGACGTGGCTAAGAAGGGCCCTCTGTAACTTACTAGATATCGCAGAAATGCTTAGAAGAATCAAGACATGAACTGTACATCAGCCGGCGGGACCTCGCTGTTGCATCGGGGACGGACTCAGCTCGGTGCTGCATGAGCTGAAGATGACAGAATCTGTAGCTTGGCGAGACACGGCAATCGGCGGTCGCAGTTCAGGTAGAATCCACACCGCTTCCGAGGTGGCCTGAAGCGAGTAGGGTTCCGCCGAGCAGAAGTGACGGAGCGGAGGGTAGGGCAAGGCAAGATAAGGCAAGGCAAGGCAAGGCGAGACGAGGCTGGAAAAGTCGTGTGGGTGCACTAGATCGCTGTCTCACTCCATCTGGCGGCATTGTCAGCCGAACCAGGGCATGCGGCAGGATCTAAGACACGAGGTAAATCTTCTCCGTGGGAAACACCAAACACAAACCCTATTAGGAACCCCAGCTTTAGGTTAACTTCCCGAGGCGATGGAGCGGGATTGACGATGCGGCCGCCTCGGAGGCCTGCCCGTAACTCGGAATGGAAGAGCCTCAATTGTGGCTTGGTTCCCACAAACTCCACAACCCGACGCCCACCACATCATTACCGAATACGGAGATTCTGGGAGGTAATGATTGTCATCCGACTTGCTCCTGGGTGCAGCCGGGCTCATCCGTTTGCCCGTCTTTCGCGTGTTCGCCCTCACACCATCAGGTGCAGGTCTCCGCCATTTCCCGCCTGCCCGTCTATACTCGAGCGCTCGCTCCCGTCAACCAAGTTGCTTTTTTTGGCGGGATATGTCACGGCGCCGTCTCACTCCCCTTCGAGCGGCACCATCTGACAAAGCCTCCACCCGAGGGTTTTTCACCTGCATTAGGGTTCAGCTGGCCCCCCAAGGAGGCGTCGAGAAAAACGTGGCCGTGGATCACGGCAACCACCCTTCCGCGGGACTATGTCGACGGCCTAATGCACGAGGGGAAGCTTGCCGAGGTCAGCTTGAGGTTCTTGATGTCATCATTGGCCTCTGGGGCGCAAATGGCTGCCAGTCTTGTTCTTTTGTCCAGAGGTGAAAATTCTCCTATCAAGGCCGCTCCGACTGCAGACACCCCTGTCCTGGTCCAGAAGGGGCTTCTGTCGTGCCTTAGTGCGTGCGTGTGGACAGCTGAACCTCGTTTGCCATTCCGATTCGGGGGTTGATGGGTACACATCCGGCAGCAGCTTTCCCATGATGGGCCTGTATTTTCTCTTTTTTCTCCCTTCTGTCCCTCCTCCCTCTGACCCCTGATGGGTGGATATTGAGGTCATGACCCGCGGCTCAGGTACACTCGGGAGTCGACCTGAAATCTAGCACGCCCGTGCATATGTACATCGATCCCGGCGAAAGGCTCGTCACGCTCTCATATTCTCCGGTCGACCCGTATGTGCGCCCCATTCTTCTAATTTTGGAATGTAGCTCGACAGTCGGGATGTCCCCGGATCGCTTTGTGGGGAAGAGGGCGCCAAAATCGCTGCCTAGGTTACTGCGTCTGTCCAGGGCTCTGGATGCCACCCCCTGCTTGTGCATTCCGTCCCGCTGGGTGTGTGTTTCCGCCCAGCCCTCTCGGCTCTGCTCTCCGATTCGCCGGGAGGTATGAGAATCGACGAGGATATCGACATCTGAGTTCTCCCAGCTCCTTCCTCAATGACAGCTGATCGAAGCCACTAGTACCGTCGCAATGGTCCCCCCCTGATGATCGCTGCATGTTTTGCGGCCTGCCATGTGGCAGCCCACCTGTCACTGCCCTGGAGTGGGGGTGACGAGGAATACGGGCTGGTGTGCTTTCTCTGGTGTTGACTCAGGTTCGACGATTAGTCTTGTCCAACCCGGTACTCTTTACCCAGGTCGTCGATATCATGAACCTTTGATACTTTTTCGAAGCCGAGCTGCCGTTGGAGTCCTCAATTCAGACTTTTCCTTCGCGATGTCGACGGCATTGTTATATCAGGCATGGTTGTTGCCACTCTCAACTGAGGGGGCCCCGTCGCGATGCCGTCTAGACCACCGGCGCCAACGACCTGTCAATAGTGCTCCTGTCACAATTCAGCCTTACTTTCAGGTCTGCTGATCTAGGCCCTGCTCAATATTGTCACCTTTCTCTTCCTAATTTGGGCTCTGCTTGCGAATTTATTCTTGCCTTCATAATCGTGCCTTGCGGTCTCTTACATTGGCACTGCTCCATTTCTTTATGAGCATCATCCCTACCATTCACATATTTTCCCGTTCGTACCGGAGCTGTTAGGCTTATTTGTTAATAATGGACGGACGTAAGTGGCTTTCTCCTCACTCGTAACTACTTTATGGCGCGGGGCAGACGCATGCATGATGCGGCTCGGGACGCGAGAAGGCCATGTGTGTAGAATCGGAACCAATGCTAAACTGCTTGTAGTAAACGAATTTCGAACAATACGGGTTGCCGAGGTCCTCTCGGACTTCCAGAGCATACAGTACTTCATTGCGGCCGCACCCGTGGACCCTCCAAATATGAACGACTACTACACCGAGGGTTGGGCCGCACTCCGGCAATGTAACCTGGACGGCCAGCGGATTTTGAATTGTGGCGCAGACACAAGCGTTCCCGAGGCGAACGGTGGACCCGATGAGCAGGCAAAGGCCGAATTAAAACAGTCAGTGACCGCGCCTGATGGATGCTCTGCTTGGTGAGACGGAATGGCTAACGACGGAGATTTTTTTCACGCGGAGCAGATGTCTCCTCGATGCGTTCGCACGCCGGCACGAGGCGCAGAAGATATACCTCCGCCAAGCTGCTGCGCAGCGGTGGATCGAGTATCGGGAGCAGGTTCTCAAATCGCACTCTGGGAATCAGTCCCAACTGAGGCGGTGCGACCAACAGCTCAGAGCAGTACGCGCCACCGCTTAGATCGTCTTCGTTTTGAAAGTGAGGCTGACAGGAAATTATCGCAGGAGCTCCAGGTCATAACTGATGAGGCCATCTACGCGGAGTTGCAGTCGTCTGACATTACAAGTAAGCAGCTTCCGCAAACATTCTCGCTCTTTCCAGGCACGGACTTCTGCTCCAGCCGCAAGCCATGTCACAAGCTGTCTCTTAGAAATTTTTCTAGGCTGCAGCTGGTGACATAGGCCTTAGCAGAAGCTCTCACGTGCCGCTCTTGTCTCCCTAGCATCCCGTTTTTGTGACGCCTGATAGCTAACTTCAAGTGTCGTAGTGGGCCGCTGGACGGCTGAGGATCCCAGCCTGCGCAGTATACAGCGGTGGGTTCGCACTCGACGATAGAAGTCATAGATCGATTCTGGGGGCAACATTTCTCGACATTAATGATCACGGCCGACGTTTTGTCTCAAACATAGCGGATACCCCGATTCAAATTTGACGTGAGGATAGAAAATGACGTGAAGATTTCGACGGTTGCAGGATGGATGAGTGCATCATACTGGGTCTCATTTCATAGAGGGAGGGCTGGAAGCGACAGGACTCGTTCGCCAGGAGGAAGGCTGTCTGTTTTGTAAGATTTGGAGGATTTCTGGCTTTAATTTACTGCCCGGCGCAGTCCGGATTCGCTTGGGCCGGTAAGATTGGGTGTAAGGACTTGCAGAGCGAGGAACGCCAGTTTGTTTCATTATAGTTGAGCATGAATTGATTCATTCATCGAACTGCTGCAAGGCACACAACGCATAGAACGGGCAGCTTTAATCAAGAAGCCTCCGTTAATACCGAGCTGCCTTCTAGACCAAACCAGATAGATTCCTAAGGGCTTGGTAGGGACCTCAAATCTCCAGCCCTCTCGTTCCAGGCACCTAGAAATCTTGTCCCACTCAGGTCAAGCTAATGAGGCATAGTTCGGTTTCCTGGGCACAGGTGTGGGGCACAGACATGTGCCTGGTCCATGATACTTCCAAGGAGTAGGTGGTCCATCATCACCAATCACCGATAGGAGCAATTCCAGAATCGATCAACGGTCCACTACTTCTTTCCTAAAAATGTACAGGCACCTTGAAATACGAGAACCTGTACAGCAGTGAGATATGGTTGTCAGAAAATGGAAAAGAAAGCGAATCAATTGTGAGGACTAAGGCAGCAACGTCGATGAAGGCGACTGCTGGGAACCCGAGCCCCTGAGCACCCATCACCCCAACCAAGCCACCAACCCACGGACGTTAAAGTCTTACAACACAAGTCAATCTGGTTAGTTCAATTCACGCCATGATTCAAAAACGAAATTTTATATAGATTAATTCAGACGATCTCTTACTTCACATCATATCAGAAAAATGATTTGTCACGGGCCAATCAGGTAAGTCGGTATTCAATTCCTTGCCTCTTCATTTTTGTTCACAATTACTTGTATTTAATTTGGTGCTTTGTAGCTAGTATCACACTAAAACGCACAACACAAGCGCTTTAAGAGACCATATAGCCCGTCACAGTATCTCGAGGTCATTGAGACCGAGCCAATAATATGATAGAAGAGGGAAGATGCAGGCCATTTCTCAGCTTGCTTGTATAATAGGTGAAATTGCAAACTATCACTAGGGAAGTGACTCTAAGTAGCTATGGGAACTTGTTACTTAAGATCTTCGTGGCTGAGACGGAAGAATATATATTTAAACATATATGCCTTAGGTGTATTACCAGTATGCTGCTGTTTTACGAGATATACAGGTTAGATCCTTTCCAGATTGCCCTCAGGTTTTTCTCTCTATAATACCTAAAAAGAATCGGTGGCCTTTTTGGTAAGAGTGCGATAGTGTAGAAGGGCCCAGGCTGAAGTATCTTCTTCGGTAAAGACAAGATACCGCATGTTGTCCACGTGGACAACCAGTGTGCAGCCATCCAGGTCCTTTCTCAACCTGCTCAAAATATCATTAGTGCAGGACATCCTTCTTTGATGTAAGTTGAACACCTGAACCCAGGTATTTAAGAAACTTTCGATGGTTGTCCAACTCAGGAAATTATGATAGCACAAATTGCACAGCCCTTAAATTGCCTTCCTCGGGGATCAAGGCCATGGAGACAGTAGAGGAAGCTGCCTCAGGTCGCTGAAATGGACACCCACCCATAGCGGTACCCTAGATGCTATGTTTTTATCCAAATCGGGGTTTTCTATTTCCTTGAGCTCTGATTTTCACTGCCAATGTACCTTGATGTCGTAACTAGCTCCCTCCACGCCCACATCTGCAATTGATAACCGTGAGTTGTTCCATTGCTAGCAGGACCACTACTTCATAATCTAAAATTGTCCCAACAAACACCATCACATTGCGTGCCCTTCTATCTCGTACGACCTCATTGTCCAGCATGGTGATCCAACAAACTCTTAAGACCAGACCAAAATATCAACCAGTATCCTCATGATGCCTCCTCAACGAAACAGGCGCAATGGCGCAGGACGCAATAATGACCACGTCGTTCGACTTCTTCGGGAGTGCATGCATTATGTCTTTCACCCTTATTCTGTTCCTCTCCCAACTGGACTGCGCCCCAGCGACGTGATCCAACTGCTTCTTGACAACGTGGCCCAGTTCACGTTGGGAGAAGCGATCCACGCCAGAGCCGCAGCTCTGGAACCGGGGTACAGTGGGAAGATCACAGCGATGCTCCTAGATCGATCTTCTCACCATGAGCTTCTTCAGATGTGAGTAGAATAAATGCCCGGATCAGCGGAATTGAAGACTGACCTAGAGAAGACTGGACAATGATAGAGTTTTTCGAGCGCACGTCCAAGAAGCCAAGACCGTATATAAAGCACACATTCGGAGGCTCCGTGAAGAATCGGCCGAGATGGAGGAAGCGCCATTCACGCTGCCCGCCACGCCCGAACCAAGTCGGAACCACCAGTACGACCCCAGTGTCCAGATCCACACCTACAGGCGCCCCAGGCGATTTGCCACAGCCGACATCAACAACGGCAGGAGTTCTGCTAGTGATGAAGCTCGAGATAATGCGCGTGTCAACACCGCCCTCCTCCCACAGCATCACCGGCCCCGACCCCAGTACCAAATACAGCAGACTGCTCAGAACCGCAATCCTCACCGGGCTCTCCAGGCCGCTGGTAGGAACGCCAACGGTGTTCATCTTCAATTTCTGAACGGCTTGTTGATCTTCAGATGGGTTGGGACGGGCAACGAGCTCCAGATAGACATGGAGGGCGCCATGGTCAGTATTGTCAATCGACCCCGATTCCACCCCCCCCCCCCCTTTTCTTTTTGCTTCGAGGCAGATTCTGGGAGACACATAGCGGAGCCCAGATATCCTGACACCATATTCCACTCCCAAAATTGTCATCAATTCGCTGACAGAATCATAGGCCTGGTGTGCAGCCACTGTCCTCTTGTGCAAAAACCCATTTTGGGGTTGCCTTCTGTTGTGCTTCATTCTCGTTGTGAATCCGCAGCGCTTGGCTTGGGGAAGGTGAGCGGATTTGTGAATGGTCACATGTCAGAGGCAAGAATCTGTTGGACAGACAAGAGGTGAAAAGAAATAAGGCAATAAGCAAACAAAGAAGAGGAATAGAATTGGTGTCCTAGTATCAGCATAGGCTGGGTTATTTGGGTATGGCTGGATTTACTTCAGAAGTATCATTCATTCAGGCGAAAAGGATGCATCCAAGTTGAGAGAAGCCCCACGATTGATTGGGCCAGTTTTCATGCAGTTTCCAACCAAATCTATATGCTCAACCTCAAGTGCCAGACATGGCGACTGGTGGACAACATACATGAAAGTAGGAATATGTGCAGCAGCGGTAATGAAAATATGGGATGAGCTGCCAACATGTCTATTTGTTCTTGCTATGCACGCACAATGCAATACCTGTCAGGGAGAGAACCATGCTTTTATGTCGTTAGTAAATGTTGCTTCCTTAGAACGAGTAAGAAAGGAAAGGGGTGATAGGGGCCGAATATTGGGTGCTTAGCCGTCGCCATCTTGGAAGCCTTGAGGCAAGACCCTTGACCATAGACCGGAAAGCAAGACTGCTTAGGACTTTGAAGGCAGGAGCATACGTTGAACCACAAAGAAGAATAAGGAACCCCTGAGAGTGGACCAAGCAACGTGTAGGAGCGGAGTGAGGTGGAGAAGGGGAAGTAGTACCCAACCATTGTACTCCGACTAATAACCTTCCCATCGACCCACCAATCCCCAACGACAGTGAAGAGGAATGCCAATGTATTGACAATGGGCACAGTCAGGCTCAGCTCTGAGAAAGAAAAGCATTGTCAGTGCATCATGAACAACAAGACCCAACCACAGCCCAACGCCCCACAGCCGGAGACATATATGCAGGGCTGGATGACTCACCAGCCTTCCCAATCAGCAGGAAGAACCACACGCTGCCCGTCAGGTTCAGAAGCAGTGGCACTGCGTAGCGTGGGTTTCGCAGGAGGTCGAGGACGGCGAAAAAGGCCCCGTACACCCTGCTCTTGAGCCAGCTGGCCTTGACGGCGTCGGATTCGAGCAACGGGTGCGGCGCGGGATGGTGGTCCTTTGCGGCACGGCGGATGAAGGGCGTTGTGAGGCCCCAGGCGATGCCGACTAGCGTAAAGCCCACGATGTAGTTGAGCGGGCCTGGCTGGGGCTCGTTGGTGTCTGCCATGGTAGTGAACTGGTTCTTGCGCCCCAGGATCCCCAATGATGGTCGGGCACGGTCGGGCGCGATTGTGGCTCCGCTCTGCTGGGCTGGAGTGGAGACGAGCTGTGCGTGGGCGCTGGGCTGTCAGGTGAGGCTGGATGGTAGGCTGAACTAGTGGTATTGCTGAGATTCGATGGTGTGCCTCTGGCTTGATGTTCAGCCTCGCGGTGTTCGTGCCGTGTCGGTGCCGTGGGCAAAACGGCGCAGCTGGCCGGGTGACGTTGGGTGTGGGGCTGGGCGTGTCTTCGGCTCCGGGTCCGCTGCGACGTGGGGAAAGTCGGGCCCGCGCGCAGATCCTACGCGTATGACGGGGGCTTGATGGGCAGGGGTGTCTGCGAACATCTGCTTGCTTGCCCTGCTTGTCTTACCTTGGGTGAACTCGAGACCCTTGCACGCCTTGTAATGCTCGATAGGCATGCATAAGTCTGTCTGACAGTTCCTCGGACCTTGTTGTGGTAGTCCGCATCGACTAAGGCGGGACATCCCGACAGACTTCAGGTTTAGGCAGACTTTATTTAGTCTGCTGTTACGAAAAGCTTGGGGTTGCAGACGGACTTGTCCAGAATGATCATCTGCAAGCAGAATTCAATGCTTATGGTCCTCTGACCACACTATCTCCAGCCGCCTTCCCTCTCCATTTTCTATCAAGAGTCCTGCGACCCTGTCCCTGGGTCATCGTCAAACCATAGCTCTGGCTGTCGCTGCCAAGCGCGATGCCCGGAAAACTCTTCTGGAACTGAGCTGTTCCTAGACTTGAAGTCGGGACTGAGGTGCCGACGAGGCTCGCTTTCGGTGGGCGTTCGGGGTGATTCGGGGCATTTGTCAGATCATTGTGGCTTGGACAGAGGGGAAAGCTGTGTGTGTCTGGCTAATTAGCCCGTCAGCATAGTACATCGCTGGTAAACCTGCAGGTTTGTTCGGTAATAATGACCCGGAGACTCTTTCGACTCGCGCTGAGGCGTCGTCATCTGGGGATCAGTTTGCGGGCGCTAGAGCAGGCGTGTTCGACGAAAGGTTCTTCATAGGCTCACAGCCCAAGAACATCATGCTTGGCAGAGTCGTTTATATTACACTGCATCCCTCTCTCAGTCGTGTTCGTAAATCAAGTAGTTCTGGTCCGTGCAAGTAGAGCTGACGACGACGAGGGGTGGAATACGCGTGCTGAGCCTCACTGCTTCCCCAGTCTTTCGGGACGGCCCAACCTTGGAACGCTTCTAGAAGGTGGGAAACGTGACTCGAAACGGGTGGCAGTGTAGGCTTTGTTCTGTTTCAATTAACAACAAGACGGCACAGACGGCATGATGTCGCGCCGAGTCTCAGCAGGCTGACCTGAATTGAATTGAGCTGGGCCAGGTTGAATTGGTTGAGCTGCGACAAGCTTCGGGCGAGGTTGTTTTGGCTTTCGGGACAAGTATGGATGCCGCATCGTGCATATGCACAATATTGTGCAGCGCCCTATCGCAAAGAGCAAGCATTGCATCAAAGAGCAAGCATTGCAGGACCCGAGTCGGGTCGGCTAGTGGTTAGTTAGGTGGCGCGCGTCCCCAGCAGAGCCAATCTCGTGTGTGTAATCTTGAGTGGGTGGTCTGATTCAGGATCGATGATCGATGCCGTCGATGGATGTCATCGTAAAAATAAACACCAGCTGTGTGGGGCGTTGGGTGTTGGCTGTTGGGCCAGAACATTGATGATTGACACGGCAGTACAGATTTGAGTTTTCAGCCTACTTTGACGGCTGCAGCACTGCAAATCGAAGGGGTCACCCGATTCTGCACGGCAGATCGTGAACTGGCACGGGTCGTCCTGCACGTACGCATCAGAGGGTGCTCCGCAGCGTCATGGTGGATAGTTTGGTGGGGGGAATGGTGGGGACAAATGTCCGTCCATGTTGTGTCAATTCGCTGGCTCATCCATCATTTTCCGTCTGCCTGTCTGCAGTTTTTTACTGACTGATTGACTGACTGTTGTTCCCTATGCACTGGAAGCAGGTCATTCCCTCAGCCTTGCTTGGCAACTTCAGATTCAGCTGCGCAAGCATCCACATTGTCGGATCGGACCTCCAACCACTTCCCCCCAGTCCCTCCATAAGCGGCTGTTTCACATGCTACCGGCCAGGCCAGACACAGAGGTAGATTAGAGACCAAGACAGAGAGGAGGTGAGATAAGAGTAGAGAGAGACAGGTACTTGCTTTTCTGCTGCGCTAACTTAGCGGTTGCCCGTACCTGCCGCGCCTGGGCCAGATCTGACGCTTCCGGTCGATGCCAGCCTTCGCCTTGCCTGCTTGCCCCCCTGTAAGCAGGTTTTAGGTTTCGAGCCAGGCAGGCCAGGCTGTGTGCCAGGCTCGTGCCTCCAAGTTCCTCCAAGTGCCTTGCCTGGCTCGCCTGCTTGCTCACCCCAGCTCCCCCCTGGCTGCCCTGACGCCCTCGAGCTCATCCCTGTCGCCTTCCCGCAGAGTCGATGCAAACAGCGCCCTGTAATTGGGCCCAGCCTCCCCGTTTTCCGCACTAGACCACTGGTCCAGGTGTCCTAGGTAGCAGACGTAGCCAGGTACATACAGCCTCCGCACTGGCACACTCAATCCCGTGGTACCCCAGCCACCACTTAACCCACTTTCGCTGCGCCGGGCACATGTAGCTAGCTGCGTTGCGCTGTGCTGCTGCTGCATTGCGCAGCTTGCCCAAAAAAACATTGGGAACTCCCCATCCATCATCGCACCAGCAAAGCCTCGTCCTCCGTCAGCAAAATAGACCACCACGGCCAATCCAAAACCCAGTCTTCCCGCTCTCCTTCTCTTCTCACCTCTCCGCCTCGTCTTGTCTTGTCCTCACCTCACCTCACTTCACCTGACTTCACTTCTAACCTCCAAAGTCGTACAGTTTCCCCTCCCAAGGTTGGTCCGTTCGTTCTTGTTTGTTGTGTAACACGGACACCCCCCCACCGTCGACTTCATCTTTTTCTTGCTCCAAGTGTTGTTCAGTATTCTCATACTCTTTACGAGAGTTTCACTTGCACTTCATGTGGTAACGGCACGGCTGTATAATCATAAAACTGTCTGGCCTACATCTCGCAGATGAATTGCTAGCCTGGGGTACTTCACGGCCCAGGCAGCACGCAGCGCACCGTCGACAACATCTTCAGCTTCCCCTAGGATATTAGCAGGCACTGAACGCCAAAATGGTCAAGGCTGCTCATCCTCTCAATGCGCCTCATACGGCTGGTCTCTTCTGCGACATGAGTCTAGATGGCCCCGTAATTGGTACCCTGGTCATCATTGTCGACCGTGCAAAGAACCTGCCCAACAGGAAGACAATTGGGAAGCAGGACCCTTATTGTGCTGCAAGATTGGGCAAGGAGGCCAAGAAGACGACAACAGATATCCGAGGAGGCCAGACTCCTAGGTGGTAAGCCTCCAGTTTCACATGCAACTCAAATCAACACACAAGGGCCTCCTCTGACTGTTGCAAACATTAAGGGACCAAGAGATTCGTTTCACCGTTCACGACTCCCCAGACTACTACCAACTCAAGATCTCAGTCTTCAACGACGATAAGAAGACTGACTTGATAGGAGAGACATGGGTCGACCTGCGTGACATTGTCGTCCCTGGAGGCGGCCAGAACGACCTCTGGCATAACCTGACTTGCAAGGGAAAGTATGCTGGAGAGATCCGCATCGAACTCACCTACTACGACACTCGTCCGAAGCCTGAGAAGCCACTCGCCAAGCCCAAGCAACTAACCTCGGAGACGGATTCGCCTGCGGGCTCGATGAGAGCTGCACCACCTAAGAGACGCCCTCTCCCTTCGGATCCTTTTACCGGCCAGGCGCCCGCGCAGCCTCCGCCACCTGTACCAGGTCACCTTCCTGCCCCGCCAAGACAGCACACTGGGCCAAGAGATTATCCTACTCCAGACCATGTTCAGACTCCTCCTCACCGAGCACAGCAAAATCCGCCAGCATCCCATTCCCCGGACCAGACGCACTCAATTTCAGGCCACTACAGTAGCACTTCGTCTCTGCGTCATCGCCAGGCCGACCCCTATTCTTCAGCACCAAACAGCACGTATCACACCCCGTCAAACCACAACGATGCACGTCGTGCATCTCCAGACGCTTATCCACTCTATCCAGAAGATGGAATGGACTCGCCTGACCACCATGGGCACACCCCGGACAGGAGATATGGCCCGTCTGCTCCATACGGTGCGGCGTCGAACGAGCAGCTGTTCAACCTAGACATGGACAATGAGCGGCCGCCCCCGCCACCAGCCCATCGAAGCACGCCCAGTATGACGTCCGAGGCCAGGCACAGCCCTGGCCATGAGTCGATGCTTCAAAACCAGACACCGCCCGCAATGAGGATGGATGTGCTGCGGAACGAGGCTCATCGTCAATCCGCATCGTCAAGCGCATATCCTGGGCGACCGGTATACCGACCGTATGATTCCACCCCGTCTCCGCAGAGCAACGAGTCCAGTGTTGGCGGATCTCATCAAATTTCTCCGCCACGCCATCATTCATATGACACGGCCTATGACAGCCATCACAAATCCATGCAACCAACCGTGGAAGATGTTCCAGAGTCACCAAACTCAGGTCTGGATGACTTCAGGCGGAATGGATCCCGTGCACCTGACTTTAGTGAGCCCGAGTATCGCCAGGACCCTAGCCCTGCTCCCCTCAGCCTTCGCGGACGGGGTAGTGCACCTCCTGCCCATTATGCCGGCTCTCCAGCCTCGGGTGCCCGCCCACAGGTGGACCACGCGCAGTCTGATCCGTCTTTATCTTTGAGGGCTCATTCTTCCTACGGCGCGCCTCACTCGGCTTACGATCCTCAACCTCAGATGGGCTACGCGCCGTATCGTGGTGGCAGCGGACAAGAACTTGAAGACAGTCAAGTGCGAGGTCCTGATGGCTCTATGAGATTCGCCCTGCCCTCTATTCCAGCCTCGCTGGTCCCGGGAGTCGATCCTGGTCTCTCCATGGAAATATCTCAGAGGATCAATGAGGACAGGCGGCACGAAGGCCGATATAGTCAATATCCACCAGGAAGCCAGCCCACGGCTCTTGTTGCGGCCTCGGTCCGGGGTCGTCAGATGCATGAGCCACCACCAAGCTACGGTGCACCTCAGCCCAGGCACGGATCCCATGATGGTTACGAGCGTAGTCCTTCTGCGGAACCTGCGTCACAGCAAGTAATCGATAGGAGGCGTCTTTCACCCAACCCCAGCCCCAGTGGCCAGCATACTATTAGGAGGAAGTCGATCAGTCCGGCCCCCCCGCCAGAAGGTCGCCGCTTGTCTGGCATCCCATTTGGCCCTGACGATTACGATGCATTGAATCCAGTTCTAGCTTCATCGGCTCCTAAAGAACCAATCAGGCTGGAGTATGACGAGGTCGACGGCAAGATAATCACTCATGATGGAAAAGAGATTGACCCGTCTGATCATTTACCCATGGATACATGGGCACCCGAACCCGAGCCCAAAGGCAAAAAGCCATCAGAGTCTAGCACATCAAGGCCTGCCCTGTCAGGTCCACAGCCTGTCCCACCCTCCGGGAGGAAGCCACTGCGAGTCCGCGAAGTGCGGCCGGCATCCAATTCTGCTCTCCCACCAGCAACATACATATCTCCCGAATCGGGTCGACAATCGTTGCCGCCGCCTAACACTGGACGCAATCGGCTGCAAAAGAAAGCAAACCGCTCTTCTGCCATGCCTACCATGATGATGTCTGGTGCGAACGGGGCCGGCTCAGGCCCACTAGCGCCACTTCCGCAGGGCCAGGACAACTACGCTCCTCGGCCTCTTGCTCGTGCAAGCACATATGACTACGAGAATCACGCTCCACCGCCAATGTATGACATATCTTCCGGCTCATACTCACGAGATCACAGCGCTTCGGCCCCTCCGATTCCGGCCAAGATCCCCCTGGCTGCTGGCCCAGGATCCGTTATGCCAATGAATCGAGGTGGCTACGGTGATTTTGGAGGGGAGAACGCACTCATGGAAGAGATGAGTCGGATTGACATCGGCACTGGAAGGGCAAGGCGCCACCACCAAAGGATGGGATACTAGAGATATCCTGACCTACCGGAGCTGCCCGAAGAGAATGGCCGAGTGTCGATGAGGGAGCAAGGAGGAGATGCGGATCTCGAGCAGGGCAAAAGGAGTCGGTCGTAGGATGGACGGCCCTCACCTACGAAATTGCTCGGGCGAATGAGATTTCGCGAACGTGATGGAAATGCGTCGAACTAGGCGACGCAGGGAAAACTTTTTGAAAATGAGATTGGGTCCGAGGAGCAGGATTTGTTGAGAGATGGAAGGGAAGGGACTGGTGTTAATATGGCGGGCATGGCGAGGCTCCCGCCTGCCCTGGGCTCTATTCGTTTTCACGTCATTTTATGATATATGGGCGGACGATTCCTGTGTGCTGTGGACAAGACGATTCGAGGTGGCTCGTCTCCGTTCCAAGAGCTTTTCGCTCCGGCATTTTCAAGTCTTCAATTCGCGATCCAAAGTTGCATAGCATACACGAGTGCGACTTGGGCTCTTTGTATTATCCACACATACATACAACGGCATCTAGGTTTGAGATACCCAGCTGAGAAGGTTAGAAGTTATCATATGGTATTACTCTCACGTTCTCGTCCCGTGCAATCTTCGATTGTGAAGCTGTGAAGTTGTGACTTGTCGACTCTTGGAATTTATCCCAAAGCATCAGGTGAAATGTGAACGAGAATTGCTTGGTATCAAATCAAATCATTACACGAGTCTCTTCTTAAAACCAGTCACCGATCCCTCCATTTTGTACTTTTTATGTCCAATCTCGCGAACGCCAGGGCCATGCCAACCAATGGATCAATCCCACTACACAAAATATGCACAGACGACTTTATAACCAGCTTCGTCCGTCCACCATCTAAGCCTCCCCAGCGATCATCAGCGCCTCCAGCATGCCACCCGTCTGCGCGGCAACCTGCGCCTTCTCGACCTCCTGGCCGACCCTCTTCCTCAGGGTCTTGAACCCGGCGGCCAGCTCCTCGCTGCTGTCGACGTGCTCGGCGTACAGGTCGAGCAGGTGCAGGCCGACGTCGACGCAGGCGGCCCGGTACCGCGGGTCGATGATGTGGTTGCATATCCAGTGCAGCACGGGCTCGACCGTCTCCTCGTCGCGGCCCTCGAGCGCGGCGCGCAGGGCGCTCCGGTGGCGCAGGGCCACGAGCAGGGTCAGCACGTTGAGCTTGGAGTGGTCCGGGGCCGAGGCGTCGAGCACGCCGTCCAGCGCCGCGGCGTACCTGCCGTGGCGCAGGTCGGACTGCCAGGGCTGCTCCTTCTTGCGTTTGCCTGCGGCGTTGTCGTTGTCGATGAGGAAGTCGACGTTGTCCTGCACGGTGGAGAGCGATTTGTTCATTGCCTCCCTGCGCTTGCGCTTGGCGGACTTCGCGTCGTCGAGCTGGCTGAGGTCGGTGGCGGCCGCGAAGCGTGCGCGCTCGCGCTCCTTCTCTAAGTTCGAGCCCGTGAGCCGCGTCTTGAGGGACAGCACGCCTGATTGCATGCCCACTGCCAGGTGTCGGTCTGCGGCGTTGGCGCCCGCGGTAATGACGTTGAGAGAAAGAACAGGGGATGGGTATTTCATGCCTGAGACGACGTTCCACGACCCTGTCTCAAAGACCTTGACGTGTCCATCCAATCCTCCTGAGACTACCCTCTTGCCATTGGAGGCGAGGCAGAGAGATGTGACGGTCTTTTGGTGGTTGGTGATGACCCGTAGCGGCTTGGCGGCGACCAAGTCCAGTACGGAGATGGCATTGTCGGCGGCCGCGAGAACGGTGGTGCCGCCTGGCAGGGGAAGGACTTCCTCGACCGGGGCGGCGTGCTTGAAAGTCAGGACAGAGCCGGTTGGCACACGCGAGTCCCATATCCGCACGGTGGAGTCGTAGGACCCCGTGACGAGCATGTTGCTGCTTGCGCCCAGGCCGCCGGGCATGAATGTGCCGCTGCGCACATAGTCCTGGTGGCCGACGAACTGCCGCGTGGGCTCGGAGCTGGGCAGGTCCCACAGGCGCACCGTCTTGTCGTCGGAGGCGCTCATCAGCATGGTCAGGTCGGTTGGCGACCACTTTGTCACCCAGACGGGCTGCTTGTGGATGTGCCATGTCTTGAGGATGACAGCCCGCGAGCCGCCGGCGACGTCAAAGACCTGCATCTTGCCGCTGTCATCGCCGGCTACGAGGACGCGCGAGTCGGACCTGATCTCGCCGCTGCGGGCGACGCTGTCGAAGCGGCCGATGGTCTTGAGGGGCTCGCGCTTGCGGATGCTGTAGACATCGACACGGGGTCCGGCGGTGACTGCGAAGAGGTCATTGTTCTTGGCGGCAGTGGTCGAGGACGAAGATGTTGTGCTGTTGCTGTACGGGGAGGGGAAGCTGATGTGGGCGACGGGCCAGGAGGCGGTTGAGGTGTGTGATTTTTGGTTCTTGAAGGTCTTCCAGTAGCGCTGCTCAGCGGTGATGGGTGACGGGGCTGCGGGCAGCTTAAGCTGTTGGAGTGGCCTGACTTCTGCTGCCATCTTGTCTTTGCAAAACGGTGGGTTTGGCGGTAGACAAGACAAAGAGATGCTCGTTCCCAACCAGAGGCTGGCAGGTGAAGGTCGTTGGACGACAATGATCGTCCTGGCCCAGGAAACTTTTCGGTGCCCACTTGCTTATCGAAAGCCATATGATTGGCTAGTGTGGCAGATAAGAAAGATGTTGGCACCTGGGATTGAACCCACAAGTGGCACCGTACCACAATCCTCCTCTAACGGTCTACAGTCGAGTACCTAGACTATGTGCCCCCTTCATCCTAGACTCGGTTCCTGCCCATTTCACTGGACAGTTTTGGAGCGTTGAAGTATTGAATTTGCGATAAACTTGAGACTAATCGGCAAGGAATGTCTATACTGATCCAGGGACTCCTCCAACACTTGTCGCTGTGATAGCTCGCCCTGACTGACCAATCGTGGCTGTGGACGAACTGTACTGTGCCTTGTTCGTCCCTCACCGATTCATCAAAGAAGAAGGGCGATGTGATGGTGTCTGACGGGTGGGACGGCTCGTGCTGACACAACACATTTCGTTTGGTAGGAAGCAGCCATGTCTTTTTTCGCCGGACATGACCTGTCATTGTGAGACATGCGCCCTTCTGGAGCAATAGCAGACCAACCAACATAGAACTGCAGTTGGCCGCCTCTCTCTTGCAGCCAACAGCCAACAGCAGATGGAACATGGAAATAGCATTGATATATACCAAAATATCAAATAGTGCCCCACCCAAGGGTCCACGACAGCTGGACAGGTCGTGACAGGGACCTCGGGAAGTGCCTAGTCTATATGTCTATCACTCACAGTCTGAGTGATCGGCCGGCGCTGGCTTTCTCTTCTCTCCCGGTTTCCATGCATCCCTCCATCATCTCCGCCCCAAGCCCCGGCCCTGCGACGTAACCGCATATTGTAGTACGTGCTATGCCAGACTAGCTGGTCAATCGAGCGAATGCAACATCCGACCGACTTCTTCTCTCCTCCTTCCACCTCCTGTCCTGCCCTGTCCTTTGAATGCGCGCCTTGACCCTCTCTGTTTGTTGTCCAATCCTTACCTTTCGATCAGCCCAAACCGAGTGGAGCAGAGCAGAGCAGATGATCAAAGACAAGAGGGGAAGGGCAGGAGAGAGAATGACTGCTCCCAGCCGCCCAAGAACTCTCAAGCTGGGGCTGTGAACCTTTGCATTCGGTCGCACTGCAGCACCACTGCATTGCGAAGCACAGCAAAGCACAGCGCTGCACAAGACTCGCATAGCACTGCACTTCCTGGCTGACTCCCTACTGTGCTGCACCACGTCGCAGTTCACTGTACACATTGGCTGCATTCCAAGGGCTTTCAATCAGACCTCCGGCAGCCGACCCCAGCTCCCAGCTCCCAGCTCCCAGCACCCCGGGTCATACGTGCCTTCTTAATTCAACCTCTTCGAGCCTCTTCGAGCAGTTCCTGCCTCATAAAACCGAATCTAGATTTTGCAACTTCCTTCTTTTCCTTCTGCTGCTCCTGCTCGACTAGGTTGTCTCATACAACGGCCGCGATTTCCTCAAAGCTACCTCCTGCCGAAATACGGGCTCAACACCAAGTTGTCCAGGGTAGGTGCAGGTCGGCGGATCGCCACCTTCGCGCATCACCACCACCACCGCCACCATCAACAACTGCAAGGACATTTGAAATCTCTCGCTTTTAGGCATATTGGAGCATCTCTCGAGGGCAAGCTTTCCTTAGCTTTTGCGACTGGGCTCGTCTCCATGGTATGGTCTGTTTACTTTCCCCCCAATACGTCAAGATTGTCCCGTCGGAAAACCCGCGACTGAACCGCCCGCTTCTGCAACCGCAGCCTCAGTTAAGCACGCCCCGCAACGACGACGCACTCGGCTTCTGCATGAGCCCTCCAATATAACATGCCTGGTCCTCCTGCGCAGACCTCAGGCTCGGGTCAGCACAGCGCCTTCAGCGCCCAGGTCGTCCATGCCAACTCTACCCTCAACGCCTTCGTCGGAGGCAAGCAAAAACCATGGATGGCAAATGCTGCTCCTGTCCAGCCAAGCCCACGCCCTCAGCCTCACCCTCCCCGACCGCAGACACAACAAAACCAGCAGCAGCAGCCTTCAGTGCTCCCAAAGTAAGACACCCACCCGCATGCGACCCCGGTGAATCATGCCCGACGGCTGTGACTGAGTGTGAACCTTCAGTGGCGCGCTTGGAGATGAGACGATAGAAGCCCTCCATGATATCAATCTCTTTGGAACAGACTGCTAAAAGATGGGATGCCTACAGGACTCCTGCGAATGTAAATGTTCTTCCCTCGCCAGCCCCGAGCGATGAGCCGAGTCCCGCGCTGTCCAATCCCCTCGACAGCCCGAATCCTCGCACCCGGCCTGTGACAACCACTACCCAGCGACAAACAACCGGACAGCCTCAGGCTGTTCAATCCTCCTTGTCGCCCGGAGTACCCTGGCACTCCCGCCCTGCGAGCTCGACCGCCGCCACCGCTGGGTCAGGCGCCGTCGAACGGGCTGCTGCGTTGGAGCACGCGACAACCCAGGCACCTTCCGAGAGTGTGCGTTTCTCGCCAGCCATGGCACCTCCTGATCTTCCCCAGCCAAACCAAACAGATCAGGTTGCAAACAGTACAAATGGGTCGCCCATGGCCGAATCACAACGCCTGGCTGCGCAGTCGCCATCAGCTCCTGGCCAGGAGCGGCCCAACAAGAGGAGGCGTGTAGAGTACGTGAGCGAACAGTCCCTCGCCGATGTACCAGTATTGACTTTCTCTCACAGGCCGGCTGCGTCAAGTCTACAAGCAGGTGCGGCCAGTCTGACATTTGCAGACTTGGCCAATTTTATCGACAATCGCATAGATCAACAAGGCGGTGATCAGACTTTACAGCCTACTGTCGAGAAAGCTCGATTTCACATCCTACGAGATGCGTGCGTCAAGAAAGATTACTTTTATCTCATCTTGCATCAACTTTACTGTTTGTGGTCTATCAGCCCGCAGACGGTCTCGGGCTTGCTATTCAGCGACGCGGAAACCACTTCAATGGGTTTCGAGATTCTGGACACGGTTCTTAAGAAGAACTCTGGTTTCTCCAGGCCCAACCTCGAATGGTGTGCGAATTTCCCATGCCAGGCTCTCGAACTATCTCGCAGTCCGACAGTCCACAGTGTTGCAACCTTTCTCGTCTGTCTCGCAAACAACTGGACTGCGCTCCATGAAAGCTCCTTCAACCGAGTTTGTCCCTATCTCATGGATGAAATGATCGGAAAGCTTCAATGCTACTCTGTAGTCCTACAAAGTATTCTGTTCACAGCATCGCGACGGAGACTTGGCGTTCTGGATGGCCATTTTGGTGCAGAAATGGATCGCTGGTTTCACCAAGACCAACAAGAGCATATATTGGACGGTCAATTTCGAGTTCTCCTCTCTTCTCATGACCCCGGTGAGCTCGAACGGCGTAATTCCAGCCTTATTCAGCGATACCAACACATCATATCAGCAGCCAAGAAGCATGAGCAGGACAAACTTCAGCGGCAGCAACAGCTGGTGGCTCAGCAGCAAGGTTTGCACAGTCAGCAAATGCAAGCACAGTCACCGCAACAAGTTCATTTCCAGCAGTCCAGGTTTCAATCAAACCCCCAATACGAGCAGCGTCAAAATCAACTCGTCTTGGCAAATCAAGCCAGAAGAGCATCTCTTCAGACTGCACATCCTTCGAATTCGCCGTCGCAGCCGCCCGCGTTGTCGCCGATGATGGTGCCGACACATCACACTATGAACAGTCCGCCCATGCCGCAGAATATGTTCAATTCGCCGGCGACTGGACGACTCGGGAATGTCCCCTCAGCACTCGTTCTACAGAGTTCTTCAGCCGGAGCAATGCCTGCCTCGCCGATGGCGCAGTCAATGGCGAGCCCGCAAGGCTACTCGCAGGGCGGGCTCAACCAGCAACAGTACAACTATGGTAGTCATCTTGTTCCGACCCAAAATATGCAAAGCCTCCAGTATGCCAATCCTTACATGCACCACATGGCTTCCGTACATCACGCTGCGGCGCAGCAACAGTGGCCGAGGGAGAGGTCCTTGTTGCCCGGCCAGCAGGCATCGACAATACAGTTTACGGCCTCTCCTCAATTCGGTCACGGAGCTGGACCGATTCCACGGCCACCAATGCAACAACAAGTGATGGCGAATGTCCCACAAGTCGCAATGTGGTCTCAATATCCGGCAACGATCGTCCCACGGCGGGGCCAAATGATCGAGCGAAGTGACTGGCCACATTCCCATCAAGAGAAGAAGTCTCTCATAATGTCTTTGCATCAAGCTCACGCACGCAGCCCTGACCGAACGCGGCATGCTGACGACGAGGGAGAGCGGTACTACCAGGCTGTTAGCTCATTTGCTATTGAGCCGTTTCGTTTGGTCTACTTTCATGAGCTCGAACTCACGGTGCCGCCTTTAGCCCATGCGTCACTTTGCAAAGAGAAACAGTTACCGACCCTCAATGGCCGTCCATCAATGTCCACGGTTCGTGAATATACCAATGGCTCACTTCGGTACCGGCTTCGTTCTTGCCGGCTGGATACCGACAAGGCCGTCACGGCCTCGGATTGGGTCACAAGAGAGACTTCCTGGCCAGACTATATTTTCCCACATTTTAATCAAGCGAAACTCGTCGTCAGGCGAGGCACTCACCATGGAAAAGACCTTCCCGTGGAGTTGACCGACTTCGTGGTTCCAGGGACCAACAAGCTCAAAGTCGCAACCATGCGCGCCGGCCCGACCGCTGACAAGATAGTTAGGCGCTTCTACTTGGCGGTCGAGATTCTGGAGACTCTCAGCCACTCAGCAGTCCTAGAACACGTTTGGGCGACAGGTGTTTTGGATTCCGCGCAGACTTTGGAGAAGATCAGGAAGAGAATTGAGGCGGTTCCAGACGAAGATGGCATTGCTGTGATTGACCGAACTGGCATCACAGCGTCGGAATTGTCTATAGACTTGACCGATCCGTTCAGCGCGAGCATATTCTCAATACCAGCACGTGGCTCAGCATGCACTCATATGGAATGCTTCGACCTTGAGACGTGGCTGAATACTCGCCCGATCAAGCAAGCCATTAAATGTGGCCACCAAAACGTCTGTACATGCCCGAAACGCCTCGAGCCGTCAGAGCCCGATAAGTGGAAATGTCCCATCTGTTTCGCGGATGCCCGGCCAAGGAGTTTACGCATTGACAGATTCTTGCTTGGAGTGCGTAAAGAATTGGAGGAACGAAACAAGCTGGACACGAAGTCGATACTTGTTGCCGCTGATGGCACATGGCGACCCGTCATCGAGCCAGTTGACGACGATGATGCAGGGAGTGACGGCGACGGTCCGGTCTCGAGGGGACCAGGTGCTAACACACGCAAGCAACCAACCAAGTCAGCTTCTGTCGAGAGGGCAGCGGTAGAAATTATCGAGATCGATTGAGGCATGGGAATCTCGAGATATCTATGATTGATGAAGGACGACTAGTGATCGCGAATGCGTTGCGTTTGGGCGAGAGCAACCTGGTTAGCACACAATTACGACTTTGCTTCTGAGCATGGAGTTCTGGACCAAAAAGGGAGCATACTTCAACTAGGCGTTAAACATATGCACAGCATCTTTGATTTGCTTTATTGGAATGGGCGGCCGAGGCGTGATTCTTTGGCAATGTACAATGCACTAGAGGGCTTTTCACTAGCTCAATCACATATCAACACAATATCGTGTAATTAATAGTGACACCCTCGTAGGTGTCAGGGTTGCTATGTTCCATGCCTTTGGCTCACAATTTGATAACACAGCATTGCCCACAGCAAATGTGTGCCTGGCCACTCCCTATGACCTTGATCCTTTTTTGAACGTTGACTCCTCGCTGGTATTTGATTCAAGTCTTAACGGATTGGCCAGAGACATTGTGTCCCGTCGCTTGTTCCTCTTTGTGGTGGGATAGACACGTACGTCTCCAAGCATCATTGGTGTTAAGCTTGACTTGAGAGTCTGTAGCAGAGACACCACTGTTGCGTCCTCAGCATATATATGCCTTGAAGAGGATTTTCGGCACTAGTTCATACGGTCCAGATTCTGTTTTATTAGATTGAACCTTTAGCAAGTGAAGTATAAAGGGATGTGACGGTATAGCTATATAAAACTGCACTGCATTCCAGAAGGCTTTCTAAAATTCTGACCTTTTGTTCTTTGCTATAGTGCAGCGGTATAGAACGACGTCCCACGAAGGAGATTTACAGCAGTCAGGAATAACCAGTAGAAAGCATTCGTGTAAGATAGATGTAAAGAGTAACACAGACTCAACTAGCGATATGTAGAAGAAAACTCAGCCAACATATCAACAGCGGGGATAGCTCAGTTGGGAGAGCGCCAGACTGAAGTCAACTCAGTTAGATTATCTGGAGGTCTGCGGTTCAATCCCGCATCACCGCACATTAAAAACTTTTGTACTTCTCAATAGCACTTTTTTTTCTGATCTGGTGCCAACATAAATCTTCTTTATTTTAAAACACAATTTTTTGATTCTTACTCATCGCTTTGACATCTAGTTTATGTGGGCGGAATAGTGTACCAAACGAGACCGCACAAGAAGCTGGTCGCATCAGACCATCACTGTGAGAATTTCCACTATAGATTTTATGTTCTCTCCCTATCTATGAACCATGATCAACAGCTTTTCATCCCCATCCCCCCTTCTTGTACCCCTAACAATACACATCTTCCTCCCAAAATCCTTCGTCCTCCCCACTGCGTTGCGCCCAGCTCCAGCCCAAGCCCACCCCATCATCAACCAGCTCCCACCATTCACACTCCCGATCAACGCTCTCCCTCACTAACTCACTGCCCTCTCCCCCCAGCCTCCCCAGCCTTCCACCACTATCGCAAGCAGAAAAAAAGTTCATTAATAATATGAAATACCAGGTCACCAGACCGGCAGCCAGGAAGAGGTGGGCTCCAGTCCATCACGATGCCTTGGGTTTGTGGGAAGATGTATAGAGTAGATGTGGACAAGACGAACAGGCCGGAGGCTTGTGTCCCATCTCATATAGGTAAAGGTATGAACAGTAGAAGTGGCCATGCTAAGCCAAGTGATATGCTGTGCTGTGCCGTGCCCAGTAGGTAAGTCACAAACACAACACAACCACAGGGTGACCGATGGGTTCCTAGATTTTCAAAGCAACTTTGTGAATAAAAAAAGACAACTAAACAAAGCTTGACCAATTTTCCCTGTGCTGTCCTCTGCCTTGAGAGGCAGGAAGGATCACAAAGCTAGGATCAAATGGTCTGTGGTCTGTAGTCTATTGGGGGGCTACCAACGCCTACTGTCAGGTAATAACAGTGCTTATTATGAATATGAATAAGACGCGAGCGAGACAATACAAAAAAGGGGGGACCTCCCGAAAGGTATTGAAATGTAAGGAAAAAGGAAAAAGAGAGCAAACATTTTGGCTTGCACCGCAGAAGAAAAACAAAAAAGCAGCCAAAAAATTGGATCAGATCAAAAACAGGCAGAGATACAAAGGAAAACGTTGATCGTAGGTGTCCGTGTGGGGTGTGGGTAAGCGCGGTCTCAGAGATAGGCTTTCGGTCCCAGTATGAGTGGAACGCAGCACTCAGTTCCAGCCCAGCGAGTTCTCAGCCGCCATGAGCGCCGTTGGCGTTGGTGCTGCCGTTGGCGACGCCACCGTAGCTGCTCATGGAGCTGTTGCGGTGGTGGGCCTGCTTCTTGCACTTGTAGCGGCGTGCGATGAGATGAACATGGCGGCACCGTGGGCACCCGCGACCGCGACGGCGCCGGCGAAGGTGCCGACGGTGGCGCCGCGCTGGGAGGAGCTCTGGTTGTCCGTGTTGTAGTTGGTGAAGAATGAATGAGGCAACCGGCTTGAAGGATGGGCGTCAGTCAGGGTTTTAACGTCGGCTTTCAGGTGAAAAGCAGCCTCGGTTTGCCAAGTGTCCCTCCGACGGTACACATGTTGGTTGCCTGAAGTCCGCCTCATGTTCATGGTTCTCACGGTCAGTATGAATTCACATGCCGACACCCGCTCAATGATAGGTTCTGGTGTGATTTGGAGGTTTGTGAACGACGAAGCCGAACTGCGACTATGTTTCCAGAGCTGACCTTCTACCAAGTACTGGCATCTAGTGTTCGTCTATTGGCATCCAGTGTCCGTCTCCCGGCATCATCCGCACGGATCGAGGCCATCACATCTGTCCCGAGTGGCTACTTGTGCCTGTACCTGACCATCTTCACTGAATTCGCCACGCCTCTCCCGTATCGGCTGGTTGTTTGATTCAATCTGCAACTCTTTAGCTGGTTGAGGTAAATATCGACTTCTACGGTCGCTTCCAGCATGGCTATGGCTTGGGTCGTAGCTCATCGTTTGGACATGCCGCACATAACATTGAATCGTCCGTAACTTTGAAGGCTTCACGCCAATAAACGTAGACTTCTTCGTAATGCAATACGATATCTGGATTGATCGGTAAGTAGGTGCTCAAGAATGTAATGAGTCAGACTTACGCTGCATGAAATGCTCTTGGAGATCTACCATATAGTTGAATGGGTGAGCGATGTAACGGCATTCTGGCCTAGGACAGGAGAGCGCTGTAGGCTCTAATTGTTGTCAGAATGCCAGGCTGTCACGGTCCTTGCATTGTCCGTCTTCATCGTTATCATGGACAGCACCGCGATCCTCGCAGTGATTTGCGCATTTCTCGAGCTCGGCTCGGAAGAAATTCGCACGTAGCTTGGATATGTTAGGATGATATTTATCAGCGGGGATAGGACTATGGCCTCGGTATTTCTCTAGACGGCTTTGAAGCCCACCTTCGCCGTCAAACATCGCCGAGCAGGTACACCTCCGTGTGTTCATACTCGTTGTATCCTGCAAATGCTGTACCTGCTCTTTCCACTGCTCTTTTCGATGTTCCTTGCTGGTCAGAGACGTCGCCTCGCAGCTGATGAGGCTGGAAGATATCCATGGCCGTGCCCTGATCGAAAGCAAGTATTTCGTCCTCTGGCTTTCGGACATACAACCCACCTGGCAACGACCATTCGCTTTCACTCCCACAGGCACCAGGTTGACAGGGACTCATTTGTCACAATTCCAAGCGTGGCATATCGAATAGAGCAACTTGACTGGTTTCTATGCTATAGTAAAAAGAGCGTGGAACGCTCCCGTTGATATAGAAGTGAGCGGCACAATAGTGGAGCCCCTGATTCGAGCCCCTGATTCGTGACACAATTGTACCTGCCGGAGAAAACTAGGGTAATAACCTCAGTGCCATAAGCAGGGATCACAGTCCGAGTACCTCTTACAGCCATCACAGGCGCACTCCAACAATGTTACATCTATATTCAGCCAAAGAACACACGCACTGTCAACATGCGTGAGAACTTCTGTCAATCCAATGTTCATAATCTCCAGAATTGCTCTAAGTGCCGCAAGCGCTTGAGTGGACGGTCGCATATCTGCACATAATCAGTTCTCTCTGTCCAAGTCTCGTCCCGTTGGGGCGGTCAGATGCCTTGGAATTGGTATGAAGAAAGTGAAGTCCCACTGATCAAAGTCTGCCGGCTCCATGGTATTGTTTAGCCTTGAAAACTCATTTGAGCAAGTGGCTGAAACCTATATGGACTGACGTGTGCTGCCTGAGATATCACCAGCGGGGATAGCTCAGTTGGGAGAGCGCCAGACTGAAGTCAATTCAGTTAGATTATCTGGAGGTCTGCGGTTCAATCCCGCATCACCGCATTTTTCTTTTTCTCGAAAAATAGGAGCAATGTGACACGGAGCTTGACTACTGCTGCAAATCAACTCTATGTGTGCCGGCCAAAAGACCATAATAACCGATCGCCAGATTGGCTATTCAGCAGTATATAAGAGCCGTACCGTCACACATTGTCCCCAGTAGCTATAAGTTTATCTGTTTCACTATGCATAAATGATAGATAAGGCATATAAGAAGCGATGGAAAGGTACTTTAACTTTAAGCTTGCTAATGTGGCCGGTTCTGAGTGCATTTTTCTTCAGGAGCTTACCCATCGGAAAATCTACCTAAAACTTGCTCACGGCTCTTGATATTGGAATCTGCCATCCGAAAGACGGATCCCAACGAAACAAAATTGAGGACGCTCCTCTGTGTATCTTCCATTTACCAAAGGTTAGTACGTCTATGACGGATCCCAGCATGGTTCCGGGTCACGTCCATGTTGATTACAGTCCCAAGCCGTTGAAAAGGCCACAATTTTGGCCATGCTCATCAAATTCGAGAAAGTATGTACAAAGTTTTAGTGAAAAGCCATAGTAGTTTAGCATCATTAGATCTGGAAGCCAGGAGCGCAAGCCGAGATATTGCGAAAGTAATACCTATGGGCCGAAATATCGAACCCACCGGTGCCCCCATTACAATCCTCGTTGTCTATTCCCTCGCACAAGACCATGTTGTCCGAAGTCACTGAGGAAGGCGAAACATATTTTCCGTCATCAATAGTCAGCCAATACTCCGGACTGGTATGTCGATAGCCACCCCCAAAGCTTCCAAACAGCCCGCCAAATGGCTCATCGATCGGCGGGTTCCTGGGGACGGGATCGTCTGAGTGGGTCACACGGTACTCGCGCCCGTCCTGCGAGGCGATGAACTCGACAAAACCCTCGTCGCCAACTCTCGGGCTGCCGAATGTGTACAGGTCGCAGGGGTAGCCGGCTTCTCTCAAGTGTACCGCCGCGATCGTCCCGACAGCTGCCCCAAGAGAATGCCCGGTCACGACGAGGGTGTGGTTGGGATATGTCTGGAACGCGGACCAAATGGAGTCATAGATGTCATCTGAGATATCTTCCCAGGCGTCGTTGAAGCCGCTGTGCACTTCGCAGTCGGACACGGGCAGTCCCGAGTCGGAGCACTAAGACAACCAGAGTAAGTTTTCAAAGAGGTACTACGTAGGTGAATTGAGTGGAACATTTCAACCGGAAGACTTTTCTAAGACCTGAGGCGGGGCAAGGGGCACAGAGACATAACTGGCAAGATAGCCTCTTTTTGCAGAATTTTGGCCAGGAAGTCGGGAGCAGAAAGTGTGGGTCAATACTTACTGAAGTCTTGCTGAGTGTCAAATCTGCAATCCAGTTGCGGATCGATTCGCTGCCACGAATCGAGAGGACGATCTCCGACCGGACAGGGTCACGGCCAATGAAGCCCTCAAGACTGGTGAAAGTCTTGTCACTGATATGGATTGTCAGTTACCTCGGTGAAGACTTCCTTGCTGAACCAGATTCTCTCAGAGCAATGAAGGAGGGTCCATATGGAAGTCAAAATAAGCTTACCTGAAACTCGAGATTATTGTTGCGTTGTGGCTCTCCACGTCAGGGCAGACGTCGAGTGAACAGACGACGCTCTCGCCTGGCTGGGAGTCGTCATTGCAGTACGCCGAGCCAGCCCATTGTGCGTAGAATTTGAAGTTTTCGACTTCTTGGCTGGTAACTTGCCAGTCTAGGGACATCATGAACGCTGTCAGAATCTCACTCTTCCAAACTTAGATATTTCGACTTACCCCGTGGTCGAACGATCCTGCCGTGAGAGTGTTGGGCGGCCGTAACGAGGCCGGCCGTCGCAAGGAAATGAAAGTCAACGAGCCTCATTGCTATCGCATGATGGCTGATATGATATGAGTTGAACTACGATTTGCTCAGGGATCTCCCCCTGGAGTATTTAAGAGGCAGATAGGCCGATATAAGATCGAACAGGCTGCCCCAGGTATTGACTGGGAAGCGGTTCCATTTTGAAGCTGGCTGTAGCTCCGCCTGCACACACAGGACATGACTCGCCCGCTGCGGTAAGCGAACAGTGGAAATTGATCTTCTGCAGCTCGATCTCGGTATCGCACCTTGATGTGGCTTAGATGAGCGGGTCATGCGCAGAAGCCAGGGGAAAAGACGGCTGAGCCAACGATGAAGGACTGATGCCAAGGTAGATTACTTGGATTTACGTGAAAGGTTGCCGTGCACCCGGGAGTTTGGAACGATAAACAAAACGTGCGGATGGAAACATTTCAACCGAGTTAAGTGACTCGTCCTTTACACATGGTGGTTAAGGTTAGAACGCACGTGGCAGAGAGCACCCACCATAGCGAGGCTTCCACTTGACCACACATGGTCACCCCTATCTCGGGACAAATTATATAGGATTAAATCTTGTTCTAAGACCTGCGCTTCATCCGACTATCTGGAGTTTGGGTAGCAGTAGGTATATTGCAATAGTTGATCCAGAAGAAGAAAAATCCGCAAAAAAAAATGCGGTGATGCGGGATTGAACCGCAGACCTCCAGATAATCGAACTGAGTTGACTTCAGTCTGGCGCTCTCCCAACTGAGCTATCCCCGCTAATTGCATAAAATAAGCACGATTTTGATTCCTATATAAGCTTTTCAGCTCTAGTAGGCGAGCAATTAGTAAAACATTAGTATTCTTACTTGGTCATCTTTTAAATTTACGGCATGGCTTATATAGTCAATCACAAAAGCGGCAGCGTGGACTGCGTCACTGGCATTACAGGTTGTTTGCATTCTACCTGACTACAGCCGCGCCGGTTATGGCTCGCCAGAGCCCCATGCACTACCCGGTGTGACAGCCATTAGGCAGTTGCAGTCATGAGTCTTCCATTCTGCGGATGTGAAATATATGTATGGGTACCTGAGTCGAGTAGAATGGTGTCAAGGTTTCAAGTGGCCGGTCGTGGCGTATGAGAGTATCCTGCTGGTCCTTGACTGAGAATTCCGCCTCGTCCACCTGGAGTCTGGATCTGGCGCAGCCGTCTCGGAAGGCCATCAGAGTGTCAGCATTTCTCTGGGTGGCGGAAATAATGATCTCGGTGTCCGCATCAAGTTCCACAAGCTCTCTCAAGGTCGAGACCAGAAACGGAATAACCTTCTGGTCGTAAGTGACATCGGCGCCGATGACCAGATCGATCTTCCGGCCCCCGTTCCACTCCGGCTCCTCTGTTCCGACCAGCGCGTGGCCCCACTTGAGAAGCTTCGGGCTGAGGCGCGCCGAGCTGGCCACGCTGTAGTCCCATTCCAAGCCGTTCAGCGCAAAATTGTCAGCGAGTTTCTCCACGACCTCCTCTGACCCATCAGATGCTGTGACATGTGCTGCCCCCAGATTTTTCGCGGAAAGTATCGATAGGTAACCTGTGCCTGCGCCGAGTTCCAGCACCCGCTTGTTGGCAATGAGATGGTCGTTGATGGACAGATATTGCCCTAGGTGAAGGGCGGCTTCCCATGTCCGAAGGCCAGTGGTACCGCCAGCTGATAATAGGGAACGGTTCTCTAGAATATCGATGTGCGCGTGAGGCTGGACGAGGGACAGACGGTACGTCACAAGACACTTGCGCTGGGCCTCGTCGGCCTCAGACATCAGAGGTTGGAACATGAGCTCGCCCAGGCGGTCCATTATCTTGTCCGAAACCTCCTAACATGACCGTGTTAGACCCGACTCATGAAGAATTGTTTGCTGAAATCTTTTTCTCCAGTTCACGTACAAATTCGTCCGCTTCGTTGTCACTTATGCTGTCCTGAATTCTCTTTACTAACTCCTTCAAGACTCGCAACTGAAATCTGGCACTCATGGAAGAAAGCGAGCGGCCCGCAAATATGCGATTGAAGATCTCATCCTGGGCTTCTGCTGTCTTCAAGACTTTTCCGTCAGGGAAATCAAGCTGTGCCTCCAGCTGAAGGTATTGGCAGCAGAACCGGTTTATAGCCGCCTTGTTGAGCTCTGACAGGCCACTACATGGACTTGTTTGTGATTCCTCCATGATTGTCTCTGGATTCGTTGCTTTCCAAAAGGCGTTCAAGATGAATCGGATTCATCAATTGTGTAAGCGAGCGATGGAAACAGACATGGTGTTGTTGGTTGAATGGCGAATGCAGTTGAGGATCGAAGATTTTCATAGAGGTCGATGGGCTTAGTCATCAGGGTCGCCTATTCATGGACAATTTATAGAGCAATGTCTCATCCTCGTCGATACTCTCTTGGAGCAGTTGCCTCGTACTGCATGAGATCTCTCAGTCAAATCAAACATGAGCACTTGAGATATGGCAGAAATTTACCAAGAGAGAGATGTGAAAATCAAATGGCAAACACCATTTTATGCGAGACTTTGGGGCTGTGGCCTCAGTCTGTCCAATTCAAGAGCAAAAACAAATACAATATCAGGTTGCCTCAAAGCGAGGCGGGTATACTGACAGCTCCAGGCTCCCAAATGACCTGTACGAATCTAATACATGACTTCCCAGAATCTCCACGCATTGTACCTCCGGATCCTGTATTGAGAGGATCGGGTAACGACGTTCGTGCCATGTGGCAGAACACCCGAGCTTCCTCTAGCGACTCAGCGATTTCTCAACCGCACCTCACGCAAAAAGGTAGGTCGCAAAGCGGCTTCTACTGAGTCCCGTAGCTCAAACCACGACATATCTCCCATCTACCACATCACCAGGCTCCCAAGCACGACACTCAGCGTTGCAGCCAACGCCGCTCCCGCTAATCTTCCAACGTCACCATGGCGCCCACTAGCAGCGCTGCTGGCCTTGACAACAGGGACGTGCCACCCGCAGTGCGTGAGTGTCGCGTCCCTTGTCACGCAGGAGTAATAAGTAACCTGGCTGTAGCCCTGCTGCGCGAGGGCAGAGGCCACCTCGGGGTCATTCTTTGGCGGCGGGGGCGTTGTTTGCGCCTTCGCTACTGCCTGTGCTGGTGTTTGTGCGTTTGTAGCGGTCTCATCGGCGGAACTTGCGCTACTGTCTTCCTCGTCTGCTGACGAAGACGTGGATGAGGATGAGGAAGAAGATCCCGAGTCTGACGACGAGTCCGACGAGTCCGACGAGTCTGAGGACGTGGGCGCAAAGACGTTTTCCCTGAGTTCCAGCTCGGCCTCCTCAGGCCGCCCTGTTCTTCTTGGCCCCGAAGGTGCCAGGATGGTTGTTGGCGTCAAGGTCGCTGTGGTTGTTGCTGTCCGCGTTTGTGTGATGGTGAGGACCATGGGCCGACCATCTTGTGCCGTCAGGGTGACATGCCTCAGACTCGGCTGAGATGGGAATGTGAATGGGCCGGCCATGGCCAGGTCTGCCAGGGCCAGAAGGGCCGGGAGGAGAGAGATGGCCAGCATCTCGGCTGTTTATTACACAAGAGGTACAGGGGAGGATATCCGAAGGAGTTGAGTGGTGTGACGAGATCCAGCGGCCAGAAAATTGACTCCAGAAACCCAAATTTGTGGTTTGAGATTATTGCAGGTAGTTCCGGCTTTGGGCCTCTAATGTACCGACTTTGATTCCAAGAGTTTGAAAATATGGGAGAGCCTCAAGCCCGTCGAACAAAGAACAAGAGAATGAAGGAATACAAGAAATTCGTCAGGAACATTGTCCAGCAGTGACTCGGATACAGTCACTGGCGAAAGCTTATTAAAGAGCAAACATGTACGTATAATGAAGGGCAGTGCGACAGACAGCTCGACCCTCCCACCCGGCGCGTCTTGCAGTATCAATCCCAACTCGCACATTCGCCCCCTTCCCTTGCGTCGCCCAACCAAGGCCCAAACCCGTCAAGCACCACCCTCGATCGAAACCTCCAGCTCAACTGCCTAGCGCATGGGAGGGCAGCAGGGAATGCATCGCAGCCAGGCGATTGACGGACGTGCGTTTCAAGCTTCACCCACAACTTCCAAAGCCCACCTTCAGAAGGGGGATCCCCACCGATGTACCTGTCCCCTCCCTGCAGCTGGAAGCACCGTCACAACCATGCTGCCTGGAGGGTGCAAGACTGGACGACAAAGTTTTGTCACTTCAGAATTGTTTCAAGTTTTCTCTTTGGGATGGCACTTTAGCGGCGCGGGCGAACCCCTGCAGACACGCGCCTGTGTAAAACGATTGGCTGTCTGTTTCCCAAGCCCCTACAGACAGCTGCACGCCCTAGTGGGGAAGCAGGGGCTTTGATTGACTGAGCTCCTCCAGAACAAGTCACTCCCACCGAATCGACCGCACCTTACCGGCTGGATTTGGAAACCTGCTAGAGAAAATCCTGAACAAAGAAAATGTCCTCCAAAGCCCTATATACCAGGTGATAATATGCACTCGCCAAGCTTAGGACTCCAACTCACAGCTGGGATAAGCCTCGAACAAAATCGCGAGGCTCGGCACTTGTCATCAGTAAGAGCAGGCCTGGAGCCATGTGACATCCGAAGCAACTCAGAAGCACGTCTTGCCAACGAACCAGAAGCTTCTGATGCGGGCCATCCCCCATGTGAGATCTAATAGATCGCTACGCGCTGATGACAGACATGGAAGCATACCCATCAGACGAATGACGTTATTGATCGTATTGATATGAAGATATCCAGAGCTTGGTTGTGACATGCAGTGGAAGAGAAGGACAGACTTCGGTCGTCCTCATGTTTTCCGTCCTCACTATGAATACTTAGAAATCCAACAAGAGTTATCCAGCCTAATAAAAAGGTATCCAAACCACTCAAGTCATGTCGTCCGCCCACCACGGCCCTGGCTCTACTGGATCGGGCATGCATTCTCCTAGAACCTACTACCAGACCGACGGCCACCGATTCTCCCAGCGGACGCCTTTCCTCCACCCGGCCCTTGATATGTGCTCGGCACCCGGTCCCCATTCACACCGTCCTCGGCCTCATCTGTCTCCGCGACGGGCATGCTGGTACCCCTTGTCGCCCTCGACGATGTTGTCCTTCTTGCTGCCAGCTTATTGATAGTGCTGGGGACACTGCCGGCGGCCGGGTCATGGTGTTCCCCATCTGAGGAGTCGTCGGCGTGCCTCACCGCCGTGCTCTCCACGAACGGGTCTTCAGGATCGGAGTCAACCCGTGGCTTAAACCGTATCTTATCCTCTCCGCTTTCGCTCTCTGGTTCGGAGCTACTAGTCCAGCGCGGCCCGATCTGCGAGCCCGCTGATACTATGAGCGAGTTGGCCTTTCGTTTCCGACTCAAGCCATCGTTGGTCGATGTTTTCGAGCCTAATTTTGGCGACGAGGTGAACGGGCCCTTGTCTCCTTGTGTGCTTGAAGAGGGCCGGCCCGGCTGCTGGCGTAGTTTGGAGAGTGCTGGCGGAGAGACAGATGCATCGAAACTGGCGATGAATGACTTGGGCTTGCCATTAGGAGTAGGGGACCCCTTGCTACTGAGCTTCTTTCCTTTTCTCGTGCTTTCCGGCTTCGTTGCCACAGGAGGGCTAGAATTAGCATTTGTCAGGCGACTGCTCCGACGTGTCCGCTGAGAAACACTCTGCTCTTCGTTGACCTTTTGCGAACGTGTAGAGCGACCATTCCGGTGACTTCGCTGCGACGCTGGAGTACCATTAATACTATCATTCCTGCTGTTTCCCGGGGATATCGACCTTGCGCTTGCTGGAGAGAGTAATTCATGGATGTTAGGCAGCCCACTCGTCCCCTGGGTCCTTTGAGAGGCCTTTTCACCCTTGAAATTGATTTGCGAACTAGCGGTCTCTTCCTTGATCTGCTCCCTGAACTTGGTCGTGGCCGGCTGAGAGCCTAGGAGCTCGAAGTCAACGAAAATACTCGAAGAACCAGTTGAGGCTGAACCGGCCGAGGCCGGGGCATCGTTGCTTTCAGGATCAAGATGTATAGAGTCCAACGGCATGAGAGGCGTCATTGCATTCTCGGCATGCAGTAAACCGTCATTGTAAGCTTCCTGTGTAGGCGTCCGTCGTGTGTCCGCTGCATTCGAGCTTGCCAATGGGGCATCATCGTCATCAAAGCCATCCATCATGGCTGAATCATCAGGCAATCGTTCGCCTAAGTCGTCTGAATGTGAGATTAAGTTTGGATCGATTTGTCGTCCACTGCGAGCGCTTGTTTGACTTGTGAAGGAGATGTCCACTTTAGGATAGTCTACGTTTCCCATGAGAGAAGCAGGACCAAACGCGTTTTCATCCACAAGTGCATCGTCTGGGTTCGCACCCAGCTGACTAGGAGATTGAGGGGCCGAATGGAAGTTATCCAGAACAGGCACAACAGCAGGCATATGCGATTCTAGCTGCGAAGGATCTTTGGAGCCGTACTCAGACGGCGCATCCTCCGACGATGCTCGCTGTGGCGACTGCAACTGACGAGAAGGAAGCATCGAGGATGCTTCCTCCTCCAGTTGCCGGGATGGACTGCCAAACGCAAGGAATGCCAACTGGTCGATGGATGATCTTACACCTTGGCGAAATCCCCCCTCGTTGATGAGCTGGCTGATTTCATCTCGGCGTTCTTCACTTATGGTGACGTCTTGGGTTAAGGTCTCAGACTGTGCTCCAGCGGCGATTTCGTTGTCCGCGATCACCTCGTGGTTCGTTTCAGAAACGAAACTGTCTTCTGCTGTGATAAGGCCGCCGGTGCTGTCCAGATCCATCTCAGTGACCTCTTGGACTTGGCCATCCTGCTCCGTATCCATGCTCTTTGACTGGTCACCGTTGCTAGCTGACTTATTGCCATGCGAGATATCGCCGTTAAGGTTCTTCGTACCGACCCTGTGACTGGGCTGACTGTCCGCTACCTCGACATCTTGCTTCAGTGGCTGCGCAGTCTCGGTCTCGGTGACGGAGGAGGAAGACCGCTGGACGATGCGTGGATCTATCATCTCTGCGAATGATATGTCCCGAAAGCCCAGGTCTGCTTCATCGTTCTCCTCCTCCTCATCATCTGGAACTTCGAACTTCGCATAGATTCGTTCTCCTTCATTGTCGTACTCCTTCTCGTTCCTGTCGACATCTCTGTCTCGCTTTGCGAGCTGGACCTGGAAATATCCACCGTCTTCAGCCTCGGTAACAACAGCCGTCATAAAGTTGCTTAATTGTGGCTGCCAGTTGTTGGCCTTGTTGAGCAAAAGCTGCTTCCATGCAATGATCAACCCAGGCTGAACGTCATCTGAGCTGAGTTGGGGGAGTGCAGACATGTCCATCGGCAAAGATGGAAGATCGTCCTCGTCTGTCTCTGGAGTATGATCAGGATCAGCATTTTCAAGATGCTTTCTGCTTTCGTCTAGGTTGACAGGCTCGTCGTCATAGTTCAACGTTACATCTTGGTTCAAGGAGAATGTAAGCGCGTCTTCCCTATAGTCGTCCACGAGGCGTCTCGTTGATTGGTCACACTTCCGTTTCTTTGAACTGTGCTGGTTGCATCCGTTGTAGAATTGCGAGTCGTCTCGTGACTTTCTCTTGCCACGACGCTGTGATGAGTCCCAGCGCTGTACGAAGGGAAACGGAGGCTCGCTCAGTTCTACACCCTCATTGACGCACTCTACCGCACGGTACGAGATCTTCTGTCTCCAAGCATCTGGATCCTCTTGTTTCTTACTTAAATCCTCTGAGGGGTTGCCAGGAGACGTTCTAGGACTCTGGTCTGCAGCGGTCTCATCACCATTCTTTGAGACACTCAGAGAAACACCCAGTGACTGCAACAATGCGTGCTTCTTCGCCATCAAGTCGGTATCTTGTGATGCGGTTGTTTCCGGAGTCCCGACGCTCGCAGAAACTTTCTTTGCTGCCATTTGGACTCTCCTTCGCGCGTTGCGTCTTTGAGTTTTGGTCAAGCCTTGACCCGGAGGCACAGGTGTTTGCAGAGATGATTGAGCTGTAGCGGACAGGATGCCAAGTTTAGCAACAGATGCTGTTGCTGTAGTTCCCTTCTGTGACGAAGGTGTCGGTTTCCTGGTTTTGGATGGCGTGGCAACTTCAGCATCTGACTCCGACTCCGAGCTTGAGTCGCTGCTTGAGGACGAGTCTGAAGATGATTCCGAACTATCGACCTCGCCATTCTCGCTACTGTCGTCGTCGCTTTCGTTGTCGCTGTCTTCCTCGCTGTCGTCCTCACTGTTGTCCTCGCTATCACTATCCGATGATGAACTATCTGTCGAAGCTAGTGACGCAGTGCCTCTAGTGGGTAGTATGGTACCGCCATGCCCGGCAAGGGATTTTGTATTAGTAGCACGACTGCTTGTAGGCGAGGATTCGATGACACCTCGCGGTCGCCTGTTACTTCGACCGGAGCTGAGACGGGCTCTTGCACCGAATAAGCTTTGATGTTCACCACTGCTAGCCTGCTTTCCACCCTTGACGTTCTTCATGAGACCGGCAGCATGATTTTCAGTTTCACTCTCGTCATCGCTCGAGTCGCTGTCATCGCTGCTTGAATCGGTACTATCGGTGCCATTCGCTGCAGACGGAGGCGCTGGTGCGGTGTCGTCTTCGGCGCTCGTGTCGCTGTCGCTGTCACTGCTCTCGTCGTCGTCCTCACTTTCAGATGATGATACGTGTGCATTCGATTCGTCATCTTCCTCACCCTCATCCTCATCAGAGGAGGAAGGTTCATCTGTTGTGTCGTCCTCCTCGTTCCCAATGCGGCTGACTTCACCAGGCGCCTCAGCTGGCTTGCTGAGCGGCGACGAGATGACCATAATCTCGTCGGGCAGCTCTAATTGGGTATTCAATACCATTGTTTGTGCGAGATCGAGTCGCGGCTTGAGCTGCTGAGCCAATTTTTTCCATACGCTACCCACATCGTAGTTGTGCTTGATAAGGAGTTTCTCGCACACGTCGCCTGACACAGCCGGGAAAGCAGATCGAATTGCGATAACTCTGTCGGACGCGTCATGGACGGATCGTTTGCGAAAGCCAGTGCTTAGCTGCGTTAGGATCTCATGCTCAGAGTCTTCCTCAGCGAAGGGGCCAAAGTCGTTAACCTCACCCGGAACGGATGGCCTCTTATCAGCACCGCCCCTTAGAGTGTGAGAGCGTATGGTGCCTTCATGGTTCTCCTCAGCGGGTCGACTCCCAGATGCTTCCTCTACAAGACCCCTCAGCTCCTCACGTAGATCTTCTGAGTCTGGCTCAGACACATCTTCATCCTGGTCGTCTTCCGCCTCAGTGTCTTCATTCTCACTTGATTCGCCCTGGACATCTGTGTCTTCAAAGTCGGCACTCGCAAATACGCTGCGAGGGAAGTGCACGTGCCGGCTGTCCTTCCTTGTTTCTGGCTCGCCATGTTGTGTAAGTAGAAGCGGTTCGTCCTCTTCCTCTTGATCATGCCTCGAGTCAAAATGTTCGCCGTCCAATCCATCATCCCCATCCTCGTCCGGTTCGCCGTCGTCGGATTCGTCCTGTTCGAAATCTCCGTCGTAGGTCAATCTCCGCCGCTTTCTCGGGGCAATATGGATAGCGGGCCGGCCTCGAGGGGCTCTGAGCCGAGGGCGGCCGAATGGTACGCCATCGATCAGGTGTTGGCCACCGCTGGAGATCTGGTCTCTGCCACTGAGTCGGCGCCTCTTCAGGTCATTGGTCAGCAGCGGTCGAATGCTGCCGCCGCGAAAGTCAGTATTCGATCTCAATGCAAACATAGGGTGTTTGATAGGCAGTGGGGAACGTACAAGATTTCATCGTCCTTGTCTAGGATGCTGGCGACAGATTGGAAGTGTAAACACTCAAAGGCGTGACCGTCCTCGGCGCGAAGCTCAACAGTGTAGTCGTCAAGGCCCCAGTCATCGCTCTCGAGCGGGATGGACTCGTTGACAAGCTCGACGAGCTGCGCGATCGTCGGATCGTTGTCTAGGGGGACGTTGAAAAGGACTCTGGCTTCTGGTAAGCCATGCCGGCGAACAACAAGGCGGAGTCGCATATTCCTGTCCATTTTCTCGGTTCGCAAGCTGGAGCTGCGGAGGTGCAGCCTGCGAGGCGATCAGCAGGCGAAGTGTGACATTCAGCGACGAAGCCAGTTGGGGCTCAAATTGAATGCGGAAATTCCGAGCATTGCGTTGTGCTGGGAACACAGAGACCCGTTATTGTGTCTTCGTAGAGCTCAAATCTGTGCCTTGGCGGCTGTCAAGGCGATGAAATGTGATCTTGTCGACTGTCTATGCCGCTATTGCTGTCGCGTAAAATAAAGTTCGGCAGCAGCGCCGCGTCTGGTAGCCTAGCTCTCGATGGATTCGCGGGGTCACGCGGCAGCCAATTTAGATGGGTCCAGCACCAGTCAAGGACCCTAGCGTGCCTAGCTAGACTACCTGCTTGCTAGCTGCTCTACCTACTGTTGAATTGGAGCATTAAAAGGGTTAGGGCCATGTTCTCCCCACCATCCCCCCAGCCCAACCTGTAGACACAGGGGTTCTAGAAGGCTTCCAAATCTCGGGATACAATGCGTAATAGACTTTGTCTCTACCGACTCGCATCAGAGAGCGGACTCGGGAGGACGATGCACCGTCTGTGCTCCCTTCTGGCGATCAACCTCTCTCAGGCGAGCCTGCCATTCTGCCGGGAGCGAGCATCCCCGGTCAGCGGGCTCACCTCAAACAAGGCCCCTTACCTACCCTGCCAGCCTTGAGCAGAGCCTCACTTTGCCTAGGTCCATGACAATAGAGAAGAGTCACATCTATATCACCTCACTCAACGTCCATCCAATCTTCAACTGCCGTGCCTGGCCATCCGCGAACAGCACCCTCCCTGTCTCTTCTGTCTTAAAAGGACACCCATGGTTCGGTTCAGAGTTGCCGCGCCACGATTCCACGTCCTGTCAATCATGTCACTGCATGATCGCCATGGACTTAAGCGTGCTGGAGCGTGTTTCAGTCCTACCATCCTTACCACGCTCCGGTTCGTCGATGTCGGTACCGGTAAGGCGCGCCGTGATCTGCTCATCAACTCCTTACCGTTGAACCATACTGTTGAACCATAATCCAGGGAATCAAATTCCATATTCCTTCTATTGGGTCCTTCTGTGAAACACTACAAGATGTTGAGGCATCTTATGACCACCATGCCTTCAATGCACCACGCGTGCGTCTGCATCGTGACTCGGAGGCGTCCGATCAAGGTCGAGCCTTGCTCCCCAAAGTGTCACGGCCGAACCGTTCGTTGCAACAGAAAACAAAAAAAAGACAGCGTCGAGGCCGTCTTGTCTTGTCTTCGACTGCCAAATTCCGGTTCTGGGAGTTCATGTTCTGTCTATAGCCCTGAAGGGTAACTCAAGCTTACTTCATCTTCCCAATACTCCTCTCCCCTTAGATCTTGGTACATGTCTCACTAATGCACGACATCCCAAGTTGCATGCCCACTCTATTGGCGGCTGATATCTACCGAGAATTCTGGGTAGACTAGTTCTGAAGTGGCCCAGGTGCAATACGGTGGCAAGCCCAGCATTACCAACCCGGACAAGATCACACACTAGAGCCAGGGCCGCATCCCTCGCCGTGAACACATGAACCATGCAACACCGCGGCGAACAGGAGGGTGTCCTCGCTGAAACATAGCATATTTTATATGATTACCCGGCTGTCATCCTCTTTCAGTACGAGCTCCGAAGCCCACCTGTTCGCCGACCAACCGGACCTCTAGCCCTTGCACTGCTTCCACGGTAACATAGCCTTAAGGATCGCTGGATCTTTCCTAAACCTTTCCGGACATCCGTCTCACAATGGCAACCAAGATTCCCTCGGATGATAACCGTGGAGTGCACCTAGTAGTCGCATCAACGGCGTGGCCGAATTCAGATCCAGACCTTAAGACCCCCAGCCTCCCCTCCGGTCTACCCTGAGAAGTCTCTTTACGGATGTGTTTTCGACATTCCTACGAGTCGATGACAATCAAAACCTTTCTTTGTCTGCACCAATGACGGGGCGATGATATTCAGGATTCATATCACAGCTTTCTCGTGGCTGCTGTGCTTCTCGGCCCTTGTTAGTGGGCAGACAGTTGGCCAGCTTATACAGCAAACTCCGCAATGCGCTGTAAGTAGTACAGGAGACATGCCGTTTCTGCTCACTTTATTGCAGTGGACTGATGCAGATGACACTAGGTATCGTGCTTCCTCAATGTTCTCCCGGATGCTAGCTGCCTAGCCAGTGTCGAGCAGCTTAACTCATGCGTCTGTACCAATGCAACGCTGCTCACGACCCTATCGGGATGCACACGGCTGTCATGCGAAGTTCCCGACCAGATCCGTGAGTCTTTTGTGATTCTGTAGAGCCTTGTGAATCTGGCCGTCGCTGACTCTCATCATAGTTGGCGAGAATGCCTTGGAGCAGATCTGTCATGGTTCTCCTCTGTTTGTCGAGTCACAAGTGACCTTCCTCAAGGTCCTGGCTCTCCTGGCGATAGCTCTTGCAATCCCAAGTATTGGACTGCGGTGGTATGCGAGGTACAAGTCCTCCACGCTGGGCGTTGACGACTACCTCGCCCTCCTGGCCACGCTCGCCTTGATAGCGGTCGGCGCTGTTCAGCTCGCAAGTGAGTTCGGATCTTCCTCCTCCTCCCCACTCGCTGTCTTTCTTGCCCTCTCAGGCACATACATTTACAATTGCTCACTACTAAGACAGGTTCCTTCCTCGGCTTCGGTGTACACGTATGGGTTGTTGACCCCCGGAATGCCATCCCTCTCTTACGGTTATACTGGATCAGTCAGCAGCTCTACATCCTCGATCAGCTTTTGACTAAGATCTCGCTCCTCGCTTTGTACCTGCGAGTGTTCCCCAAACGATGGATCAACCTCACGGCTCGCTACGGCATAGTTGTGATGGTAGTGCAAGAGACCATCTTCTACTTCCTCATTTTGTTACGTTGTTCTCCGGTTTCTGCATCCTGGGATATACGCCAGAAAGGCCAGTGCCTAGACCTCAATGCCATCGGGTTTGCAGGCGCTATACTCGGGATAGCAGAGCACTTCGCCATTTTGGTCATGCCATTACCGGAGTTGTGGAAGCTGAAACTCTCAAAGAGGAAGAGAATCATGCTCGCATTTGTGTTCAGTCTTGGGTCTTTGTAAGCATCCCCTCTTTGAAGTTCCTTGCATCATCCCATCCTACGACCTCGAAACACAGCTTGTATTGCCACATTAGCAACGACTAATCATCTTGTTTCAGTTCACTTTTCACAAGCGTCATCCGAATAAGATACGTCCGGAAGTTTGCACCCACGGCCGACCTCTCATGGGATATAGCCCCTGCCATATCCTGGTCTCTCATCGAAATGCTCAGCGCGGTGATCTGCCTAAATCTACCCCCATGCCGACAGCTCATCAGCAAAATCATCCCACGTCAACTTGCCACGACCATCCACGGCGGGAAGAACGGCACAGGAGCGTATGGGGTTTATGGTGCAATGACTGATCGGGGCGCGCTTACCACAGAACGAAAGGGCAACCCTCCGCCCATGGGTGGCATCCTGCACACGACTACCATAGAGGTAACACATGAAGTCAATGCCGATGATGACTTCACCGCCAAAACGAGGCCATCGGTGTCATCCGCCGCATCAAGGAGGAGCCTGCAGACTCTTGACGAGGAATATGACGAGCCCAAAGAACGAGGCCGAACCAAGGTGAAGCGCCCGCCTGCAGCTACAGTGAGACGGACACCGAGTTTGGACGTGGTGGACATTGACCGGTCCAGGTTGGGCCTGTACGAGTATTTTCGACCCAAGGGTTGAGCGGAGTTTCCATTCTCCCACGAACCTCAGCTGCTGGGCACGGTTTCGCGGATCCCACGCAAGCGTCTGAACGAGGTGTGGATAATCTTCGAGTATGTACTTTTAGCATATTCGCGTACCACATCAATGGGATACGTACCTAGTGCTAGAGACTTGGATCGCTAATAGTAATCTTGATCACTCATTCTGGTGCCATATTGAATTGTCTAGTGACGAAAGTCTATAGCGCTTGAGTAGTTTGGGCTCTAGGAAGGAAGATAGTGCAATTCGTACATAGCAAGAGACTGATGTGTTGACTCTCGCATTTGCTATTTATAGTATGTCTTGACGGGACATATTTCAGCACAAATTGAGGCCTAGTCAATAGTCTGGGCGCGATCTTAATACCGACTGAGGCTCGTAATTGCTCAAGAGACAGGACTATTCAGAATTTTCACACAGACCCAAGAAAATACGAACGCGCTAATTGACTCAGACTATTTCATTGAAGAAGGGTCCCAGATTGATCCTCATGGACACATCTAAATCCAAGCTCAGTCGCCAGCTGAGGACCAAGGTGAGTGGGACGTAACTGCTCGCAATCGCAAAGAGAGCTGCCGGCGTAATTATTTGTCCTTTCAGTTCGATGTTGAAACTCGCACCAAGCCTGAGCGAAAGTGTAAATACAGCTCAGCCATTCCAACTCCTGATCTGAATCTGTAAGCCCACAAATGAAGACTTGCCCATCTCGATCCTCCGATTCGCGAATACACCTAGGTTTGAGTCTCACAATCACCTGATCGTCTCGTCACATTTAAACGAGAAAGCTTCCCGTCTTCGCCATCACCGAACGACCCGAGAGTTGCGTCCCATGTCGCAGTGAGAAATGTTTCATTCGAAGGTGAGGTACCTCAGCACAACACTTCGGGATCTCCGGGCCCGACGCCAAATACAAATTGCAAACTATCAGCAAAGGCAGCCTACCAGAGCCCCTGAAAGCCCAAGACTGGCACAGCAACCAACAACGCAACTCTCAGCATCCCACCCACGTCGGCGTTCCTTCCGGATGCACTACTCGGCGCGGACGACGACGCCCCCGGCGCACTGGCCGTGGCCGTGGCGCTACCGCTCTCGCCACTCGCACCAGTGGAGGATGAACCTGACGCGGTAGTCGAGCCCGACGCCGCAGTCGTCGTTGCCGACGCCGTAGCAGTCTCGCTCTCCGAGATGGTGGGCAGGCTGAAGTCGGCGCTGCTACTGCTGGTGCTCCCGAGGATTGGTGTCGGCGTCGGTGTCGCGTCGGCGGCGTTGACGGCGCAGTAGGCCTGTGGGCACTCGGTGCAATCGGCCGGGTCACTGATGAAGCACTCCTGGTTGGCGGGACAGACTGGGCATTCGGGGACCTGCTCTGTACACATCACGCAGCTGTTTTGCCGGGGCGAAACTGTAAGTGTGGGTGGGGTTGTCAGTCATGACAGAGTGCACCTGGTGGTTGTATATAATGCATTATAGTTGGCGGTGACGGGTGACTTACCATCGGCAAACGCCGATGCGCCGAAGATGGCAACAGATAGGGCAGCTTGGAAATGCATGGTTACACAGTATAATTGCTTGGATGAATATTTAGTTCTGAATGATGGCAAGAGGCCAAGGTTCAAAATATGTTTGTTGGCATAGCATCAAGCAAGAGAGGGGTAGAGTTGTTCCTCGGGATCTCGAGGCCAAGTCCAGTCGATCCCACATATATACACTTAGTAGAGATCACAACTTGTGCATGCAGATGTGCAGGGGGGCGTTCATAAGATTTCCCTCAAGACATCCCCAAGTGGAGTTGAGGTTGCAGCTGAACGTGGCCTGCATGTGCTTTGTGGCCAGGCTGCCGCCCGCGATGCTGACGGACTGTCTGGGCAAAGTCGCCCCTGTACGGCTCCGGCCAGTGGCGCGGCAGGATCCAGCGTCGCATCACTGGCTACCAGGGTCCTATTCCAGAATGTGATTTCTGACCTTCCTTTCCTAGCCACTGCCCAAGTCGCGTCGCATGAGGGACGTCACGCAACGCATACGGGGCTTGTTAAGACTGTGTCAAGTAGATATCACGGCACTTTGCACATGCCGATCGAGTAGAGGAGTAGAATTGGCACGCTCGTATGCCGAAATCCATCATTCGAAGGAAGGACAGAAGCCTCAGTACCGTCAAAACCGGTTTTATACCACCTGCGCGGGCGCACTATATCGACCGAATCTCAGAACAGCCTTCCACAAGTACAGTGAGACTCGTTGTCGGTAGCAAATACAGCTTCACGCCGTTCGAGGTGGAGCTAAGCGTATGGTTATCCTCACTCACTCTGCAAAATCAAGCTCATGTTATCCATCGCTGTCTCACATGAATATATGGGAGGGGTGCCGGCAACAGCCATCCTCTTCCGGGGGACCGGCGAAGTGTCAATTGTCTAATCTTTCCTGGGTATATGCTGAACAATAGTCGAGCTTCCCAAAGACAATGTGGGTTATGTACATTAATACATTTGAACATCTTCAACATCTCCGTTTTATTTGTCTTTATTTTGGCGTGTGTTTTACTGTGACCCCGAGTCCATATCGAGCATGTGTCCCATCTTCTCGATCTTGGATTTACAGTCAGCATGGAATTCCACGGGTTGAGGGAAGCATTACGTACCTTGGTCTTCAGATATCCCTCCACCTCCTTGCTCCTGAAGCCGCCCCGGCCCCTCCAGCTCAATGGTACCATCTCGACTCTCTCTCTGACCACTATCTCCCTGTTTGGCCCCTCCACCGCCCGGATCTTGTCCGGGTTGTTCGTCAACAGTTTGATGTCTTTCTGGCCGAGGTCTGCCAGCATAGCAGTAGCCAGACCGTAGCTTCTCGCATCCGCGGGGTGCCTCAGCAGTAGGTTCGCCTCGACGGTGTCCGACCCGAGATCCTGCAGGTTGTACGCCTTAAGCTTCTCCCCTAGACCGATACCCCGCCCCTCCTGCCTCAGATATATGATGATGCCGCCGGCTTTGTTCGAAGGCAGCGACATCAGCCTGGCCGCCTCGTCGAGCTGCTCGCCGCAGTCGCACCGTGCCGACCATGCCGTCTCGCCCGTGTAGCACTCGCTGTGTATGCGCACAAGGGGAATGTCGCTGCCGCTTTGTGACTTGGGTGCCTCGCTCTCTTCGGACTGGCCTTGTGGCATACCGCTGCTTGTGCGTCCAGGGTACAGCCTCCCAACGTAAGCCCCGCGCACCATCCGGTCGTTCTCCGTCTCTCCCGGCCGGGGAGCGTCCAAGCTCTTGCTCCGTATGTTCTCCCCGAACACAATGGCCAGATGCTCCTTATTGTCGACATCGTTTGAGTACAAGTGCAGGAACATCTCTGTGCCTGCGACAGTGGGTATGCGCGCCCGGACGATGCACTCGACCTGGGGCAAGCGCTCGACGAGGCGCGGGCGCTTGGTACCGCAGCCGGATGTGGAGTCGGGAAGGGTAGAATCGACAGGTACGGCGCGTGCTGGGCGCAGAGTGGTGGGTGGCTTCCCGACCGGTGCGCCAGTGACGGAAGAAACAGACGTAGGAGGCGTGGCAGTGCCTGGTGTTGAGGGAGGGGTGAATGACGGGCTGAGGAGAGATGGCGGTGGCTCAGCTATACGGGCCTCGTCTTGATTTGGGTTGGAGGTTGGGGGCTGTTGTGTCTGGGCTGCTGGCGCTTGGCCATCGAGCGCAGCGTCAGGGACGTCGGTGTCGACGTCACTGTCGCTATCGCGGGGAGTGGTCCTTGGGGAGTAGAAGGAGGGCAGCCTGGTGGTTGCGGTGTCGTCGCCTCGGTTCCGCCATTGACCCGCCAGGCCGGACTTCTCGGGCGGCTCGATGCCAGGCATACTCTGCAATGATGATACCGATTCTGTATGAACTGAGGGCAGCTCCTCTTGTACCTAGGAATCAGGATCGCTCCGTGCCGTCGTGTTCAAGTATGCGCCGTTGGACTTGCGCCGATCGGATTGTGCGGTTCGGTGGGGCGAGCACGCACCGGCTCAGGAGTCGTCGCAAGGCCGGCGAGGTTCACACGAGCCTGGTGGGCACGGCCCGACGTTTGCAGGTTGCAGAGCGCGGAAGCGTTGGAAGGAGTTCTTCATTCACAAAGGTGTTCGTCCATGAGGGTGTAGAGAATAATAGTCCGAGAGTCTAGAGTCTAGAGGCTAGTAATTGGCGAAGCAGTCGGGCGGCGGAAGACTTGTCCCCTCAGGCTGACTCGAAAGTAAGTATTATTACAGTATTAGTCAGGGCCACGGATGATGACGAACGGGCGCAGAATTACCCACCGGCTTCTATCCGCCGTGGTCGGTCAGGGCCCCAACCGCCGAGGCTATGGGTCCTCCGAGTCTCGCTCGACATTCGGGGTCCAGCATGGGCCCGCTTTTCCCGCTGGCTGACAGCCATACAACTCAATACAACACATACCCATCCTCGCAATAAGACCCTTAGTGGAAAATGGCCGACTCCCGATAATACTTAAATATGTCGGCTACGTGGAGGTATTCTGCGGGCATGAACAAAGAAAAACACCTAAGTTTATCTCCTCAGGCACATCGTCCCAAAATCAACTAGAAACTAGACCTCGTGCTCTGTTCAATTTAACCAAGGTCTCAAATCGTCACAACTCAACCTAACCACAATTATAGTTTATATAAGAATTCTCAAGTCAAGGCAACGCTTCTTATGCCACAACATGGTCGTAGTCCGGGGTGTGACATCACACAGACTTTGTGAAATGCCCGTTCTCTCCCACACTGCGATGGAAGTAAACCGTAAATGTCTAGAACGTAGTTCGAGCACCAACGGAGAACGGTCCGAAAACGACATGAAATAGTCCGCTTTGCGATGCACATAGTCAAGGCACTAATGCACACACATGGCTCTCATACAGTCATGGGTATATGAAACTCGGCATCTGAGTTTGCATCGAACCAGGCATGCCTTCGGCCGAGCCGGATGACACAGAGGTTCTTGGCAGGGTGGTCTTAAGATGCAAAATACCACATAAAAACTCAAATCTACGGCTGTACCGCTCATCAATCGTGCAGAAGATCATGTAGATCTAGAGCTCCTGATTCGCGGCAACTTGAACGAATGAGTGCGCAGAGATAGTCTTCTTTGCGCCGTGACATATTCGCGTAGTAGACTCCGGCAGCATCCGGACCAAAGTGCCCGGCTTGTAAGCTGTGCGACAGACTTGATGTGAGTAGCTGACCAAATCAAGAATCTGGACATTGTCGGCAAAGAAAATCGAGGAAAACGCCCAGAAAAACTCTTAGCATCTTGTTTGTGTGCCACTAGACCAGAAAAATTGCACGAAATTACAAACATTGCCCGTGCTTGTGAATTCAATAAGCGGCCAAGAACACCAATTATTCAACCAGCGCCGTCACTATCGAAGATGCCGAAAGCTGCCATACATAATATCCTTCCAGGTGTCCATAAGCTCAAGTGCTTTCAACAGCGCAAATGGACATTGATTGTCAATACTGGTTATGGGGCTAAATGATGTAAATTGAAAAAAATTGTGTGAATCTGTATAAATGAATCCAAAGACTTTGGAAGTAAGTTTGAAAAAAGAGAATTACGCGATGAATATTCAGGACTCCGTGTATATCATTTAGGTAAATGGGCATGGCCGTGACACCAAATCCGGATCATGCCTCGTCTTTCAAGATGGACAACCCGTCCAATACTGTACCTCACGTTGCACCGGAAATTAATCACAATCAACAACTCATCACAGAAGCACAATCGGAACATCATTCGACCTCGGTGCCGACACCCTCCGGAAACAACCTTGACACCCTTGCTATAGGGAAATTGGTGATAAAGGATCAAAGCGAGACCAGAGTCTCGAAGGACCATGTCAGCACCCGCTTCTTGATAATCAGCGACACGCACAGCAGCGATCGCATCAACGAAGCAACCCAAGGCCAGTCGGCCGACGTGTTGATACTCTGCGGCGACATTACCCGGCATTCTCTCATAGAGGAATACAAGTACGTTGGCCAAGTGCTCTGTGAGGTAGACGCGCCGCTGAAGCTGGTGATTCCGGGGAACCACGACGGCAGCCTCGACGAGAGCCGGTTCTGGGACGAAGGGGACACATCTTACAATAACTGGCCGGTCAGAAAAGGAGTCCAAGATGTTGATCAACTCACCGAGTTGTTTGGGAATCGCGGGGATGCAAGGAAGGCCCTCGAGAGATACGGCTTTGAAGTCCTCAACGAGGGGCATCATACCTTCAGTTTGAGAAGTGGGGCTGAGCTAAAGGTGTACGCAAGCCCATACACACCCAGTCGTGGAAAAGGCGAGAAGGGAAAGCGCGGTAGCCCGTACCGCGCTTTCCAGTACGGGCAAGAAAACGGGCATGAGTTCCTCATCGACGAGGACGTCGATCTAGTTATTACTCATGGGCCACCGGTAAGTAGTTTTCCCAGGCTATTTGTTCCTTTCTAAGGAAGTACATCTGCCGTGACGATGAGCTGCCTCAGCACTTGATATTCAAGTCTCTATGGTGGCACAGCTTATAGTCAAGGTTATGTACATGATTCATCTTGAATTTCTCTTGCTTGGGCACTTCCTTCATTAGGGGTTTATAAGCTGACTCCAAGTACTGCAGTTGGGCATCTCGGACCCGGGACCGGAGCGTTTTCGAGGCTGTGAGCTTCTCTTCAACGCGGTTGCGAGAGCCCGACCTCGCCTTCATTGTTTTGGTCACAACCACGGAGGGTGGGGAGCGACGTGGGTTGAATGGAGCCTCAAAAGTGAGGAGGACGAATGCATTCTTCAAGGAGACAATGGGAGTGCTAGTAAGCAGCCGAACGACGCGACCCAGGACACCAGGCTCTCGGCGATAACCAACAGAAAGGAGCTGATGTCGGTGAAAAACATCGCCACAGGGACCCAACAAAAGCAGGAAAACCAAGCTCTTTCAATGACACAAGACCTTGTAGAAACGCGCTGTGTCCCCACGAGCCATTGCGCTGGTGATGAGAACTTCGTGCAGAAAGGAAAGCAGACACTTTTTGTCAACGCGGCCTGGGCCATCTCAGTGAAGTGCTTGACCAAAAAGGATGGCGGTAAATTCCCTTGGATTCAATGGCCCTGGCTGGTGGATATCGAGCTTCTCAAGAAGGATGGTCATGATATGCGTTGGGCCATATCGAGCAACACACCTGAATCTCAAATTGACGACTGTGGCAATATCAACTCAGGGATAGAGGACCTGAGTATTTCAACAATTGGATCTCGAAACAACGCCGAAGAAGTTGAAGAACCAAAACCTGGATCTCCCCAGGAAGGTGTCGGCCGACCACAAAAGATGGGGGAATTTAACTCAATCCACCATTTCCGTGGAAAGGAAAGCCCCACGTCGTTCATGAAATCGCCAGCCTCAAGACAAGACGGAGGACAACATCATGTCGAAGAGACACAACACTTTGCCAAGCCTGAGTCAGGTATAGGTGTGTTGAACAGGCAAGCAGAGGTTGGGAGTGAAAACAGCACCTTTGTCTCGCTAGAACAAATGTCGTCCACCCATACAGGGGTTGACTCTGGCTCGATCACGAAAGTTGCCAGCGAGATTCCGAGAGACTCGCAACAAAGGCTGGGTGGCACGAAAGGTAGCAAAGGTGGCTACAATAGAGGCAGCTATCAATTCGATGGGGTTGAACGAGGCGATATGGACGTCTGGCGGCCGGGGAACCGACGGCCTCGAAGCGAGGAATGACGGATCCACCCCCAGACTTGCAAGTAGGGCAGGGCCCACAGTGGAGGCCCTTGGCTTCCCGACTTGCCCATCGGCTGCGTGTCCAAGCTTTTTTGGCAAATCTTGGTGTACTGGATATAGTTAGCAGATGGTGCATGCTGGAGGGAGGTGTAAAGCTTGGACATTGGGGCGATGGGTATAATGACGGAGCATAGCCAACAGTAGTAGCCATCTGTTTGTAGTAACAAGTTTCATACTCCAGTGGGGAGTGTTCATCTTGCTCAATGTGATGCAGGGACGCAACTGGGGAAAAGGCGAGGTGCCAAGGCGAGGTGCCAGGGCCCCGGGTGCAGGGATGGCGAAACTTGGAAGTGCGAAGCATAAACAGTCCAACGGCGCTTTGATTGGATTTGATTAGATAGCACCAGACGAATGACGCCGTCAGGAATGAGAGCAAGGTGGAGGGCAGGTCCTTGGGCGCTTGGGGAAATTCTCAGCCACCCAGCCTGCCAGCCAGTCACCTGTTCTCGGTCCCTGACCTTCCAGCCTTTCCTGGGAACGCTGGTTTCTTGTGGTCGTGCTGGGTGAGCGTCGGGTAGAGTGGCACCCAAAATAATAAGGTTAGTTACATCCGAGTGACCGTCCCGTAACGTAGTCATCACCCAGTCGTGCCAGTGTCTCTCGTTCCCCTTTCTCGTACTTGGCTGTCCAACTTTCCAAGCGTCAAATCTCCCTTCCCCCTTCCTCTCCCTCCGCCTCCGCCTCCCTCACAATTGACTCCACCGCGTCAACAACCTCACCAGGCCAGGCCATCACGGTTGTCATCGACCCACTATTTCGATCTCGGTCTCTGCTGCAACACTCCATATACTGCACTGCATTGCATTTGTCGACATTCAACATCGGCCGTCTCATGTGCACGATCTAGCACCGCCGTGCTGTTCTGACGAGGCGTTGGTGTTTAGCACTTACGACTAAGCGCACCACACGCAAATCCTCGTATTCGCCCCTGCCCCGGCACGCACAGCTGCCTCAAAACCTCCTCCTTACAACCCGACTCAGCGCTTTTACTATCGTCGCTCGTTTTCTGCCATCATCAACTCTGCTCAATATGTCGTCTTTCGCATTACGCGCCGCTCTGGCGCTCCCCGCCCTTGCTCCTGTCGCCCATGCGGCTTACTCCATTGACAGCAACGGTACGTCGTCCTCCCGCACATCGTCCCGCCTTGGCTACATTGGCGCCCAGCTCTTGGTCCTCCTTGGTATCGTGGCATCGTTCTGACAGCTCACCCGCAGATGCCATCAAGAGTGCTGCTTCATCACTTGCCCACGACACTATGAGCTATTACAAGGGAAACCTCTCAGGTCAAACTCCTGGTATTCTGCCCGGCCCTCCTCCTGCTGGTGACTACTACTGGTGGGAGGCGGGCGCCCTCTGGGGCGCAATGATAGACTACTGGCACTTCACCGGCGACACCACCTACAACGATGTCGTGACGGACGCCATGCTCTTCCAGGTCGGGCCAAACCGAGATTACATGCCTCCAAACGTCACTGCATCGCTTGGTAATGATGACCAGGCAAGTCCTGCCCTGGAATGCCTCGTCCCCGCCGAATCGTAATGCTAACCTTGCGTGTAGGGCTTCTGGGGCATGTCCGCCATGACCGCTGCTGAAAACAACTTCCCCAATCCGCCCTCCGACCAGCCTCAGTGGCTAGCCCTCGCTCAAGCCGTCTTCAACACACAAGCAGATCCTGTGAGGCACGACAACACCTGCAACGGTGGTCTGCGTTGGCAAATCCCTCTGTCCAACAACGGATACGATTACAAAAACAGTGAGTTGCCTTTCCGCGGCGGATATGGCTGTAGAAAGTGCTAAAAGTCTCTAGGCATCGCGAACGGCTGCTTCTTCAACCTCGGCGCACGACTGGCCCGCTATACTGGCAACAAGACCTACGCCGACTGGGCCGAGCAGACTTGGGACTGGGTCCGAGGTGTCGGATTTATGGACGCAGACTACAATATCTACGATGGTGCCCATGTTGGTACTAACTGCACCGACATAAACAAAGCCCAGTTCTCGTACAACAACGGCGTCTTCCTGCTCGGCGCCGCCCACATGTACAATTATGTACGCATATCCCCCCCATCCCCCCAAAAATTTAGGTGGTGCAAGTACAGACTGCTGACCTCCGTGTAGACGAATGGCGACGAGACCTGGAAGTCACGAGTACAAGGACTCCTGGACGCGACCATCAAAGTCTTCTTCCCCAACAATATAGCATACGAAGTGGCGTGTGAAGAGCACATGACTTGCACGACCGACATGCTCAGCTTCAAAGGCTACGTCCACCGATGGTTGGCCACCATGACACAGATTGCACCTTTTACGCACGATCAGATCATGAACGTCCTGGAGACTTCGACAAAGGCAGCCATAAGCCAGTGCACAGGAGGATCGTCGGGCACTCAGTGCGGGTTCCAATGGTCCAGCGGCACCTTTGATGGAAGCGTAGGCGCCGGGCAATCCATGAACGTGTTGGGCGCTGTGTCGTCGTTGATGGTCGGATCAGTTGCCGCACCCGTGACCAACTCCACGGGCGGCACAAGTGTTGGTAACAACAACGCCGGTTCTTCATCCGACACATTCACGGGAGACACGAGGCCACCAACCACGGGTGACAAGGCCGGTGCATCAATTCTCACCATCCTAGTCTTGGCCGCCGCTGCCGGCACCTTTGGATGGATGTCGACGGGCATTTAATTTACTCCCGATCTGCGCGACAAAGCAGTTTCTGGATTCGCTTCTTGGTCTATGCTCTTGGCGGCTGCTTGGGACTGATAATGTGTGATGAGGCAATGTTTGCAAGGATTGGGCCACGATGCTACAAGTGCTTCAAGCACAGCAGCTGTGTGATGAGCGGCTGGACAACGGCGTCACGGAAGGGATGCTGAATTACTACTGGGAAAGATCTCTACGAGAGAGGCGTTGATATCTTGCTTTTTGATGTGTTCATAACACAAGTTTTTGCTAAAGTGGCATATAATTGGCCTGTCTGCCCAAGGAGGAAGACGCAGAGGGTCCTACATAACCGCTGGCACTCGCGGGATGAGCTAGAGCATACAATAAATCGTATTGTTATACCTCCAAGGTAACGCAGCGAGACTCGATGATCCACTTCGCCGCGTGTCCGAAACCATCACGAACCATGAGGTCATTGACGCTCAAACATCAGATGATGGATTTGTGACAGCTGCTGACGACGTCGACGGGGGCTGTCACCTAGGGCCGTTTCAAGGCGGAAGGGCCGTCTGTGACGGGACATGGGTCCCACGATATCGGACTGGCTGCCGCACATGTATGCGACGCAGCCAGTCACCGACAATGCTCGGTACTTTATTATTGCAAATCTTCATTGGTGGCTCGATCACCCCGCTAGGAAGAGTGCGAGAAGTGCGAGAGACGTTGAAATAAACTATGGATTTTAGATCTGGCCCCAGAGCCACGAAAGGTGGATACTCATCGTGGGAGGGACGAGATGATCTACACCCATGGTCGTAAGCGCAGTGGAGTTTTGGGAGAGCGGACCCTCGGTGGTGTAGTTTGTAAGCAAGCCCTTTGTGGCCTTTCGCTCCCCCGGAAATTCATATATGTACTTGCTTATAGAATCTTTCAAGTGAAGACCGTTGTATTTGCGTCGGGAGTTAAAGTATACATTAGTTGGGCACTGGAAGAAAAAATCCGCCCCGGTGTGTGGACGTTGACATCGATCTTTGAGAGGTCGCTGATGGCCACTCAGGACTTCTAGTCGGTGAGAGCACGGGGCTGAACTCGGCGTTGATAATAAATTTTTTTACAAAGATTAGGAGAAATATAGATCAATTTGAGAACTTCCACCGGCGCTGAACCATGCCCTACATCCAATTTAAGAGAACAATGTAGGCGGTTGTGTTGCATGACTGTACATGTTTCTTGGTAGAGACTGATCTTGTGTAACAGCAGAGTGGACTTGGGGACGCCCCCTTGCCCCTGAACCCCACGTGTTCTTACCCGAGCATCTGCGGGTTGATCCGTCTCTAGAGGAACAAAACTCATAAAGATCATTCTGTCAACTCGTACGATTTGATTTGTCCTTTCGAATAAACATTTTGTACAGCCGTGTAGTCAACTCTGAGCAGAACTGGTTGAATTTCTGGGTGACTTACCAAGCGCTCGGATCTATCTTGTGCAAAACGTCGACGTCTCAGCACGAGCCTGTTTCAACCTCGACCTAGACCCCTGATCTGGGAGCATTGCATTTGCGCCAACAAATCTCAGAAATAATATCTTCCCCTTTTCTATTCTTCTTTACTATACCCTTAATTGATAAATCTTCTGCAACACTCAACATGTCGACTCCCTTACCAGACTTCACCGACATTGCCCTCTTCCCTACCTTCCTTACAATTCCAGAGCATGACCCAGCCGCACCGCCGTCGGTGGCAGCGCCCCCGCCGGGTCAAGGACCATGGTACCTCCTGGCCCAGATCAAGGACAACATGACCATCAACAAGCCCACCCTCGTCCTCACTGACCGGGGCGCCAACCCCTTTGCCCTCGTCTGGGAGGACCTCGGGCGGGACGACCTCGACCTCAAGGGGCTTGGGTTCAAGAAAGGCTGCACGGCCGTCATACCCAACGCCAGGCGCACGAAGCCCGCCGACGAGGGGAAGCGCGGCTTTGTGAAGGTAGAGAAAAGCGATGCGCGTGCCGTGAAGTCTGTACCCGGCCCCCTGGAGAGAGTACTGGCGCTGGGTGGAAAGGTGAAGGGGACAAAGTGTGAGACGTGCGGTAGGGAGGGGCAGGATGGCTTGAAAAGCTGTACTGGGTGTGAGAGGGTCGGATATTGCAGCAAGGTGAGTCGGCTGCCCTCATTTGGTGGATTTTGCGTGTACTAACGGTCTTGCAGGAATGCCAGCTGAAAGGGTGGAACGAAGGAGGTCACAAGGGCGACTGCAAGATCCTCAAGGCTCTGAATGTCATTTTCACATAACCACTAGATCTCTTTGGTGGCCTCCTCTTCCTTGTCTTCATCGTCCATCTGCTTGCGCCGAATCAGCTCATACATGATGTCAGTTCTCATCGTGTATTTGGTTCCCTCGACGACATCATCACCAGAGTGGAACAGGCGACGATGCTGGAAGATCAGCACCCTCCCTGCCTTTGGATTCACGTCGACCCTTCTCGACTCGTTACCCGACAGGAAAGACGTCGCCCCTCCGACCAGTTCAGCATCTTCCCCGGCTTCAGCTACGGAGTCATTGAGGTACAGATGGAGAGTAAAAAAGGTCTTGAAGATCTTTCCATCGACCTCCTCGCTAAACGCACCGTCGCAATGTGCTGCAACCTCGTTAGCTTCTTCACATGATAGATGACCTCTTACCAGCTCCTGTGCCTTGGTGTGTAGGGGGGGGGGGGTCTGTATGCCAGATGCTGGGTAGACTTACGCCTGAAGAATTGTCCCTCTCCATACTTCAGAAATCGCATCCTCTGATTCAGCCTCCTAAACTCCCACCTCTGGTTCTCGACGACCCAATTCCGACCCCTCAGCCTACAGGCGCCAACCTTTTCGTCGCCGTCCAGCACATCTAGCTTTTCCCTCAGCTTTTCAGCCGCCTCGCCCTGCAGGCACCGCCGCCAGATCCGGTCGACGACCTCCTGCTCGTCCCAGACCAGACGGTCCGAGTTTCGGTACCCGGTCTCGAGGACCTCGAAGCCGTTCCCGGCGTTGACCATTGCCGGCTTCCAGGGGTTGTGGTCGCCGGTCGAGTTCATCCGGAACACGTCGACGCTCGACTCGGCGAGCTGGAGGAGGGTCTGGCACTCGCTTGGCGAGAGAACGTTGTCCAGCACGACGGCGAAGAGGCCCTCGTACTCGGGGAGCGGGCTTGAGGCCCAATCGACTGGCGATATGGTCACGGGCTGGGCGTCGGGGGGAGGAGCTGTCATGGATAGGAAGTCTGCTGGGATGGCAACATCGCGCGATGCGTAGCTCATCCGGACTGGCTCGCCCTCCGGTATCCCGTGGGATCTGGCATTGTCGGACCGAGGGTCGGATTTTTTGGATACTTTTTCTTTGAGGAAGTCGAGCATCTTTGCGATTTAGTAGATACAGAAGCTGGAATTAGGTACCTAGGTAGACACTATTCAGTTTTACGTGGGCGAGGTTGAAGGTTGCACTGTAGATATATTCGACGACAGAATAGCATCAATGAGCCCCGTCTGGACAGATGATCTCAATTATATTCAGCCTCCCGACCGCTAGTTGGGAGAGCTTATTACGGGCAATGGAGGATTCAATGCGAAGCTGATGCCTGGAGCGCTGACAGTGTCTCAAGCGGGCGGGCGGTGGGGCAGTGCTCGCCACGTTGCCAGGCACTAGATTTAAGAAACGACAGAGTGTCAAGAGTCATAATATCAGACAGGAACCTCAATTGTAGGACCTGTCACAGAGTGCAGGGACGTTTCATGAGGCCAACGTACATATGTGTTAGTTTCCTCGTGCCTGATGTTGGTGGAGCACCAGAACCTGTCAACCTTGCAAGGCAGCAGGATTCTGTACCTTTAGTCAGTCAAGCACGGACACGAGAACCAGCGGGCAATCATCTTTGTGAGAGGGGAAATGGACATTATGAGTAATATGTTTACTTATTCTAGATAAAAGTCTGTAGAATGATCCCAAGCCGCTTAAGTTTGTTGTAATTGGCCATTGTGGGCCATGGCCACGCAGAATCCCGAACCTTCCCGCCTATCGTACGGTCCACGGAAACACTTCAATCCTCCCCCACATGACTTTACATCTAGCTTCGATTTGAAAAACAAAACCATGCTCGTTGTTCATGAATGTCAACATAGTGGGATGGTCACCTGGATATTGCAGCCGCACACAAAAGACTGTAGGTCTATGGGCAAATCGAGTCCAACTTTACCTGGCGGCCCCTGGTCCCCTGTGGGCTCTGCTGATACTGATAGCCAAAGACATTACTATCTTGTCCTCCCGGATCTCACTAGGCCTAGATTTGATCTCAATTATTTCGTTTCTCTGACCTGCTCTCATAGGATGACGTCCTGAGGCATAATCCCTTATCTACTGTAGATATGCAGGTAACACGGGACAGGTTCCTATATTTAAACAGACTCTCAAAGTTTTAATTCTTGAGGAACTTCTAGGACTTGTGCGTGCAGAATTAGCTCAGGACATCTATGAGTGCCAAGGCGGTATGAATACTTAACAAGATGTCGCAGGTTCTATGGAGGCAACGCTCACCTCTGGGAGATCCATTTCGGTTGTCTCGTCGTTTTGACACAGTATTTCCACCTCCAGCGATCCTCAATATTTCTCAAACGGTGATTTTCTGACAAATAATTCGGTTACCATAGGCGTCACGTTGATGATCCGCTCTTTTGAGCCAGCTTATTGGGGACAAGAGTATCCCGTTGGCTGGCGCGGAGTCTTCTCGAGCTCTAGAGACATTCTCGCGGGCGACATTGGCTTCGACTGCAAGTGATGTGCCAGGAGCTGTCACTCGGCACTCGACATGGGAAGCTAAGTCCTGACCATTGCAGATCTGGATGATTTGCAATTGCGATTAGTTTAGCGACTGGGCCTTGGTGCTCGTATTTTACTAATTTGAAGAAGACGGGACTCTTCAAAGAACTTCCGGCCATTAAAATAAGATCTGTGTCGAGAATGGCCTGGGAAAATACTGTCACACACATCCGTTGATCGGGATGTCGTTCGTCGAAAACTATCCTCGCTGTGTTTCTGCGACGCTTCTGGAGATGTGAACGTTCTCTGCAGCCGCCAGACCTGCCCCCCCCCCCGCCTCTATTGAATACTGATTCTCATTGTAAGGTCTGCATTCTCGACACCTTAAGACGCTTCTTGTACTAGTATGTATGTATCTACCTAGGTAGCAGGTAACGCCTACTGAATAGGTCCGTGGCACATTGGATGAAAACGAGCTTGGTGTTTTAGTGATACGTTTGCTCCGGGTTCTACTTGAGACACTTAGCAAAATCTAATTCTAACTTCAGAGATGCGGCCTTGGTTATACCTACGTAGTTGAAAGTTTCTAAGCCAGTGTCACAGGTGTGCTGCTTGTGGCCTCTTTGCATTATTGATAAACCACATTAAAGCCGGGATCTGTCTCGCTCGTTATTGCAATGATTCTAACCTCTATAGGAGCAGATGCCTACGAACTTTTGTTCTAGATGATGTGGGCTCTCCAAAGCAGCAGCCAGCAAGGCAAAAGAAATGTCCGTAGGCAATCATTATGGTGGACTTCCGCTTCCCGTGTCTCCTCTCCTCTCAAGTGATTCCGCCTTCTCTTTGAAGATATTGATGTATGACGTGGATTGATAAGCTTTTACATCAAATCCCAGCGTCCTCATACACATCAAATCAAATCAATTATTTTGCCTTTGTTCAAGCTATGTATGATCTCCTTGACAATTGTTTGATAGACATCAATCGGCATATATAACCTCACACTGGTTCTGCTGACCTGTGCCTCCCAACACGAATGCGCTTGTTGTAAGATCAACACGTCTGGGATGGAAAGCGTAGCCATTTCTATGATCTTGGGCTAGACTTCATCACAATTGTTGGATAGACCTAGCGGTTACACGAATGCATGTATGTGCGTCCCTGATGGTTCACCTCCGTAACGAATGGCAACATAGACATACTGGTCCAATAGAGCAAGTCGTCCAGGACAATTCGTGAGAAATGATGGGATGATGCTTGACTACGTGTTGATGGGTTTGGTCGTATTCACTTCTATATTCTATGAATTTGCCCGCGCGATTTTTTTGAGATCTCTGTAGAGCTTTTCTAGAGGCTCTGTCATGACATAGCTACCAAACTATAGAGGTGCAAGACCAGCGGGATGCCCAATCAGAGGATGATCATGTACGAGAGTTACCGAGTAGCAGGTCGAGAGATTTCGAAGTGCATGCTTGACTCATGGGATCAAGCCCTGGGCCTGTGGAACGCTGGTAGTTGGCCATGATAATGTCACTCATATCCCTGGCGGCACCGGCGAATTCCTTGTCGACAAAGCTACAAGGGGAGGGACAACCAAGGACCGTATAGGGCATGAATGTGCATCGTATATTCCAGTTGTACTTTGTGGCGGTGTACGTGAACTACGGAGAGCTTGTTATTGTGAGCAGCATCGATACGAGAGTCTTGACGCGTCAACTAGCAGGGAAACAGAAACACAGAGGCAGCCGATTCCATGCAATGCAGTGACAAACCGATGATGGGCCATCATCAGCCATTGGACGTGGGCTGAGGTCGGTCGAGGGGGGTGGTAGCTGCATGGTGGGCTGCGGGTCACTGCCGCCCTGCGATGCGTGTCAGCGATTCTGTCGGGAATTCTGTTGGCTGGCCGTCTAAGCTGCATAGGGTAATGAGCTTTTGACCGCCCTGGCGCCCTGGGCAAGCTCATGCCACGGGGCGATGCGAGCTCCCCCCTGTCTCAACGGATCTCCAACGTTGTTGAGAGAGCTTCACCTCACCTCCCTGTTTCCCCGATCCCCTTTTCATGCTGCCATGCTTCTCGTTCTCGGCTCCTGATGCTGTTGCATCCAGGTCAGGTACAGTTCGAGTGTGACTTGGCGCCATGGCCCCTGGCGAGATTGAAATCGAGGCTGACGGCCAGACGGGGCAACTGATCGTCCAGATGGCTGACAGTGTGTTCTGGTCTGGGAGTGAACGTTGTGGTGCTGCCCCAACTTCCTCACCAATTGGACAGTGTGTAGATCGTCCCAGCTGAGACAAAGAGAGGCACGGCAGCTCGTTGATCTAGACTCCCAAGATCTCCCTGACTATCTCCTTCCCTACCGCGCTGTGCACCCTACCTCGAGCCTACCCACTGCCAGCCTGCACCAACCAGCCATCCTCCCTCCCATACCAATGCGGATCTGACCTGATCTTGCCTGACTAGACGGTCCCCATCAAACCACGTCCAAGGCCCTCGGGGATTCCACATCAGCAAGCCAGGCAAGCTCGCTCTCGGACATCCGTCGAAGTCAAGTCCACATTAGCTCTCGTCCCATACCTAGATATATCTGTTTCTCGTCCTGAGACCTCTTAACAGCTCTGATCCTTTTCATCCTGTCCCGTTACTTGAACCTCCTTCATCACACCCAATTGTTGTCATCACTTGTCAGCCAATCCAATACAAGTTGCCCGTACACTTTGGCAACCTGCAAGCTGTATACACTCCACCTGCGTGCTCGCTCACATCACACCTGAGACCACCATGACCCGAGTAACAGCTCCCCGCGAGATCGCCAAGCTTGTGAGATCTCTAAGCACCACAGCTGCTGCCCCTCGGCCCAGCGGCATCATCGCCAACGCCTCAAAAACAGCGTCTGCTCGAGTCCGCAAGGAACTCGATGCTGCTGCACAAGCCGATGTTCCGGCCTCAGAGGTGAGTCGGCATTACCATTTGTCCTCGTCCACGTCTGACCTCCACACACCTTACCCAAACTGCCCCAACTCGGTCCCCGAAACCCCATCCTACACCATCCCTCACCCCATCCCATCCCAATCTGGGCCAATACCGACACCGAAGTATCACCGATCTGATCCCCGACTAACACAACCGTCACAGCGCACCCTGACAACCAACACGCGGCCCACGCCCAACCCGCACAGGGTGATCCCGCTGATGCAGGGCTTCCACACCACGCCCTCGCCGCGGTACGCCCAGGCCGACGTGTCGACCATCGACTTCGCGGTGCTGCCGACGCGGGAGCAGCTGTTCCCCAGCGCGCCCGACGACTCCTTCTCGCGCGTGCGCGTGCCCCTGCTGCCCGACAACTTCGCGCCCAACCGCGCCGCCGTCCCGGGCAGCTTCGCGCCCGAGGCCCTCGACGCCCCGCTGCGCGCCCCGGAGATCATCGTCATGGCCGCGGACCCGTCCAGCGTCAACGCCGTCTCCGCGCTGACCGAGGTCGAGGCCTTCTCCCCCGACGGCGTCGAGCTCAGCTTCGCGCACGACTTCCCGGGTGGAAGCAGTCGTGGCGGTGCCGCCCAGGAGGAGCGGTATGCTGGCGGCATGTTGAAGGACCTGTGGGCCGGGCTGAAGGAGGACATTCTCAGTCCTGGCGGCCAGGCTAAGCCTGCCCTGTAAAGTGTTGAAAGAATCTGTTTATGTGATCACGGGATGCCCAGCCTAGCGATGAGATTCCGGCTGAGGCGATGGCGAGGTGTATGACGGCGTTTTTACTGTCGACACAGGCCGGGACTAGCGTGGTCCGTCTGGCATGATTGTGTCTTGCGGGGGCTCATGTCTTTTCTGAGCTTTGCTTTCAGTCATTTTTATAGACATGGGGTGATGAAGTCCAAGGACGGACAGATTGATGATTTTGATGCAGTGGTCAGTCGTTAAGTTGTTTACGGGATCCTGCTTGCTATACTAAGATTGTAATTGAAAACCAAGAGCTGATGATGGTATCAGAGCTCACTCCTCCATGTGTTCAAGTCCCGCATCGACCGCTGTGAGACCTGATTGCACACGCCGCTCAGCATGTATCTGTGAGAGCAGTTCGGCAATTTGACCTTTTCTTTTTTTGGCGGTATTGTTTGTCCCCTATCTAGAGGCTATCTATCTCGCAGGCCGCAGCCCTTATCACCCCCAAAGTCAACAAAGGAGTCCGTCCTTGACTCCAGACGAGCAATTCGTTAGTTCCCGGCGGCCGCCCTCTCCCGGTCCTTCGGCCAAAAAGGTGCCCTCACTAAAGTATTCATAGGGGGCTCGAGCGAATCCTGTGACAATCTACTCCCGTTCGCCGTAGCGCTGCCAGGCAATAAATCCACATCGCGGAATTTGTCCATTTTGCGGCAGGTTGTCCTCCAGTCATGCGCAGATCAACACTGGACCTTCCAGCACTTCCTTCACCATTGCATTGCGGCCCAGTCTTTGGCGCAGATTCGTGGTCCAAATTTTGGGAGCTGTTTTCTTCCGTATCAATTCCTGTCCTAGGTCATCCTTTATCGCTTCTTCACACTTGGTCTTGGCTTGCACTCATCCGGCTGCACAGGGTGCAGCATGATCTTGATGGGCTGCGCCTGTGTGTTGGCCTGGTAGCCCTTGGACCAGTCGTAGCTAATGGCGTAGGCAAAAATGTTGCCGTTCTTGCTGAAGTCGGTCGCGGTAATGCTGCCGCCGACGTTGGGATAGCCTTTGAGTCTGTGCTTGGCGTCTTTGTCCCAGAAGTGGAACGTGCCGTCTGAGCCGGCCGTCGAGAAGGTGCCGTGTACGGGGTGGAAGGAGATGTCGTTGACAGCGTAGACATTGGTCACGTTTCCTTGGGGCGGGTCACGGTGGCACTTGAACGAGAAGTTGGAGCTGTTGAAAGTTAGCATTTGGCCATGAGACCGATTTGATACACGTTGAAGTGTCATAGCATGTGACGTACCCGGAATCCTTGTCCTCCACATATTGGATTGCACACCTTCCTTCGATACTGCCGATCGCAAAGCCTTGGGCGTCCGCAAAGCAGCTGACAACTCGTGTCTGCCACTTGAGGGGGCTCTGTAGAGTCTTGTAGAATTTGTCGGGGTTGGCGAGGTTGACGACGTTGATGTAGCGATCGGCGGTGCCCACGACAAGCAGGTTGTTTCGCACATCCATCGTATACACGCGTTCTTGACACTGTAAGGTGGCTGCCGGAGAGCTCTGCCTGCAATCCCAGTACTTGACGGTCTTGTCCCACGAGCCTGTCGCGATCATCGGCGTGCCGTTGGCCTCAAAGCAGCGCACCACACGGATTGGCTGTTCGTGCGCCGCCACCTGCATCGTTTGCTGCGTCGCAAGGTCACATAGCTTGACTTGTTTGTCGGCGGATGCGGAGACGATTTTTGAGCCGTCCTGTTTATTCATGGTCAGTCAAATTCGAGCATCACAGAACGCAGGCCACGAGAAGGAGAACTGCTTAGCAGATACACGTACCTTGAACCAGTCTACGCTGAAGACTGGACCTTCGTGATCGTAGGCATGTCGCGGTTGGGCCTGCCCCGTCTGCGTGATCTCGTAAAGGCGGACTTTCTTGTCCCAACTGGCAACTGTAAGGAAGTCCTGTTGGGCGTTTTGGTTCGGGTTGAAGGAGAGGTCTGTGATGCCATCGGTCGGTGGTTGCTGGACCTCGACGTCCCCCTTCAGGTCACCAACAGTATTGGAAGTTGCTGCTGCAGTGGACGGGCCACCAAAGAGACCAGACATTTTGAATGCTCTGCACAGTCCTTTCTGTGGTTGTGGGAAAGAAAAAAGAGGCTTGGGCGAAGCTGCACAAGCGATGAATGCGACAGCAGGCAATTTAACCCGGTGACTGTCGCCGTGCCTTTCAAGAGGTTCCCTCGAGTTGGACGCCTGGAGTGTAGGCAGCGGCTGCTGTGAAATTCGACGCGACCGGATTGCCAGCCCGAGCCAGAGGTCCAAGAACCCTGTCGGTTTTGGAGCTCGGCCCCACACGTAATCAAGCCTTGATTGGCTGATGTGGGGCCCCACTACCGAGCTCTTTACATCAAAAACTTCAGTTGCAGAGCCGCAACCCACACTTCCTCTCTCTTCCCTTTTCTTTCAAGTCCCCTCGCCCGACAAATCGCCATCGAAGCTTCAAACGGAGACGCTTTTCGGAGTGTCTCACATCACTTGCTTCGGGAGAAAGTCCCCGGACAGTCTTCCTTTTCACAAAGGAGAAATGCCGAAAGGCGCCGCCATAAAAGCACCACGCGGCTGATCTCTGCTCTCCTCCGTCCCCTAGTCTGGCTTGCCTGCCCTGCCTCGCCGCTACATCTTTCTGGTCTTGTGCCCATGGGGTCTCAGTTCCCGGTGTGCTTGGTTCGATGTGTCACATGGACGAAGATATGAGTCCGACGCGCAGGATCAGGCCCCGGCTGTTCTGGGCTTCTGGGTGTGGCCGTTCGATGGCGGGGCGGACGCGATGCGCGGCCTAGTGCTGGGGGCGCTCTGCGGGGAGGGCTTGAGAACGTTTTCGTCGAGATATCATAGGTATGCGATTGCCCCATGTCAAGCTCTGCCTGGCTGGGTTTACTCGATGGGGCTCATTCTCGGTGCGAGGGGACTTCACACCACACCAGCCCGTTTTGTGCATTTGTACCTTGCCTGTCTGGGATCAAGTCGACGAGCAAACTTCTGGGCCTCGTGGGAGGCTTTTTTCCTGTCGACGAGATCTTTGATAGACGGGGATCAAGCACAACACAGCTCAACTTCCGAGTTTCACATGATGAACACCATTTATAGAGTCAAGCACTGAGGCGGTACCTACCTAAAATGGAGGTGCTGCCGCTGACGATACAATAATGCGTTATGGTTTCTGACGAACTCGTTTCCTTTTCATTCCTTACCAACTTCCTCCACAGTCACTTTCTTACTACTGCAAATATAGTACATAAGAGTTAGAAGTTCATGATTAAAGATGCGCAGTCTCTTCGTTCACTAGTCACGTTGCGAAAGCACTTGATTTCTAAGATCTTGATTGTTGGGCGAGGCTATCAATGCTTTCACGCTCTAATCAGAGTGAGCCTTGATCGCCTGACCTCAAGATCTCACCGGCACCCATGCCGCTTGATTGGGCCTTGGGAATGTTCCCAAGACCTGGACATGCCCAAATAATGCTCCTTGTCCCCAAAATGACTCCGAACCAATGGATATCTCCCAGTGCCTCAAACCCAGCAACTATAACGGCCTGACGACGGAATAAGAAAATGGTATCATGTCACTGAGATGGCCGCAACAACATCGCTCACGTAATATGCCAGCTGCCCTGTCGAGCATCACATCAGTCCGCCAAGCACGATCTTCCCCACGTTGGCCACCTCTGTCTTGACCCCGTTCCTGCTGGTATCCTCAAACTCTTTGACGATGCCCTGGACGATGATCTTGCGTACCCTCGAGTCCGCCTTGGTAAATTGCTCGGCCACGGCGGCGTTGCACTCCCTCGGCGTCGGCAGCAGGCTCAGCAGCCGCGCGTAGGCATCGATCAGGACATCACATAGTGTCGCAAACGTCTCGAAGAAGTCCGGGTCGAACGGCAAGGACGGTGTAAGCAGGTGCACGTACTCCTCCCCGGGTAACAGGTCCGCCTCGCTCTGTCCGAAGCTCACCACGCTGGCCGAGCCCCCGAGGCCGTTCCCCACGGTCAATGCGCCATTTGATGCCGACTGGCCTGATATGGAGCCCCCGTTTGTGCTACTAATCCCGCCGTCGCCCGCCTCGTATAATATCTCGTTATTCGCACTGCTGCTCCGCCTTACTTTTGAGGATGGTGTGGCTCGCCTGAACATCTGCGGTATTCGCGCGCGGGAGAGGGAAGAGGAGGTTGAGCCTGTGTCGGAGTGTAGTTGTTGGAAGGAGTCGAACTCTGTTAGTAATACATTGAAGGCGCGAAGGAACTCCATGGGCGTGGAGGAGTTGAGGTCAATGACAGTCGGGAGAGAGAGGCCCAGGAGGAGGTAATTTGTGGCCCGGCGGGCGAGCCGCCGGGCATCGAAGTAGGGCATGCGTGCAAGATCGGGTTTATCGAATAGGAGAGTGTTGAACCAGTAGACACGGCCTTCGTGGCTGCATACGAGCAGGGTAGATCAGCAGCTGTAGGCTAGAAGATTGGAAAGAGAGCGTGGAAGGGGAGGAGGGGCTTACGCTTTCCGTAAGTATTCCAGTGTCGATATCCTCTTGTTGGCCATCTCGTGTATGTGTTGATGCACCATGTTGGACTCATTCTGCATCCCTCCGGCTGACTGCGGTGGCGGCATCATCCCCCCTCCCGAGGGAAACCCATTTACGGGGGTGGTGCCGGACCGGCTCAGCATCCTGGAGTTGGATGTCTGGATGTAACCGCCCGAGATATCCATGGAGGTCTTTGCGGCGGAGCTCGGAGAAGTGAAGACGTCGGTCTCGCGGCTCAGTTTGGCGGCCGCCGACAGCGCAAAGTCGGGCAGGGCGGGCGGGTTCCCTCTGTTGGTCAAGACGGGCTTTTGACCGGTTGCTACTACGCCCAGCGCAGCGCCGACGCCATCCCTGTCCCGGAGCGAGGAGCTCGAATTGGCGCGGCGGCGGAGGCCTCTGAAGATGGACTGCGACTGCTGCTGGGACGAGTACGAGACGAGGTTGTCGAAGGACTGTTTGCCGCGGAGCGAGTTCTTGCGCAAGAGGTTGGGGCCGGACGGTGCTGATGCTGCCTGGCCTTGGAACTGGTCGCCGTTGTTGGCGGTGGTGTTGGCGAATCCGCCTATGCCGGCTGAAATGGGAGGGGCGCCTGAGCTTGTGCCGGGTCGCGCTCGCGAAGAAGGGGCGATATTGTTACTGCTGGCGGGGTTGGGTGCGTAGTTGGGACCGGTGAAGAAGGAGAAGTTGAAGCCGGTGGGAGTTGGCGGGACGGTTGCGTTTGCGTTTACAGCGCCGGGTCCAGGTGCAGGCGCAGAGGCACTGGACCTTCTCCTGGCCCTCTGCATGGCGAGCGGTGCTAAAGTGGACGGTGCTGAGCTGAGCAGCACAGCCAGCGGGCGTCGCACGCAGCACCCCCACTACCCACGCACCTACTGTAGGTACGGGTGCCCAGAGTGCCAGATCAGCCCAATCTAAATTTGCAGGGCGTCCTCCACTGTGGCCCCCAGGGCTAGGCTATACGAAGCAGTTCAGCCCTATAAGTCGGGGACTCCAGAGTGGGATTCGGATTCGCGACAATGGCAGTAGGGGGACGGAGGCTGGCACTGGGGGTTTGAGGATTTCGATGCTTTAGCCATGGTGTAGGACATTTGACAGAGGACGACATCGGACAGAAACGGAGGTAGAGACAGAAACAGAAACAGAAACAGAGGCAGAGGCAGAGAAAAATACTGCTCAAGCTTCCGCTCAGACTCATGCAGCGGCAGCAGGATTGATTGATTGATTGTATGGTAGAGGCGGATATAGCCTACCATTCATCCACTCATACACCCATCCATCCATGAACCCATCCATCCATCCATCCACCCAAGTCCGGCTCAGATGTCCGGATCATGCCAGCCTTGGGACCGTGGACTGCTGATGCTGGGCGAGGAGCCCTGGCCCGGGTCTCGTCCTCGCGCCTTGCCGACGGCCATTGGTGTGGCCATGTTTGGAACTGCACCCTCGGTATCAAAGCGCACGACCTTGGTTTGTTTATCGTGGCATGATCGACCGTCAGGACATGGAGACAAGCACGACAAGCCAGCACCACGCACCGCGAACCCCTCGCACGATGTAGCTCTCGTGCGACCCTATCCCACAAGAGAATGCCTGTCTGGCAGGCTGTCCTGTCTGAAACGGCCCGTGGTGTGTGGTGTTCCAGAGCCGAGCTGAATACCCGAATAGAACCACACTGCACACACAGTCTGTGGGCAGCGAGCACCGAGATGGAGATGGAATTGTCGTAGCATTTGCCCCGATCCCGTCTCCGCGCAGACACCCTGCATTTGCGATTGGCCACAAGGTTCATGCGTCCCCAGGGTTGTACTATGTCAATCTGCTGCTCGGACGGCGAGGGGGAAAACCCATCAGATTGGATTTGTCGGAAACGTGGTAGTCCCCATGCAAACCTTGGAAGTTTATGTTGTCGCCGCTTTTCTCCCTCAGCGCTCCAGATCTGGAGCAGATGCAGATGGGGAGTCGCATTTTCAGGGGCACAAGGGTCGTGCATCCCCTGGCGATTGATTGCCCACTGAGGGGCCCGGGTCTCCTCTGCTGGAATTAATCTAATTGACAGCTCCCGGGAGATCAAACACTCATCCAGTTGATCCCACCCAGACAATGCAGCAGTCTGGCCACTCTGCTACACAGTAGACCGACGACCACACTCACCGAGTTTGACTGGTTGATTGTCTCGTGATCCTGCGTCCAGGCACATTCCTCTATCAGGCCTGAGGCACTCGAAACAGCCCAAAGGAAGCTTAATCATTCAGTCGACCGACGACGCTCCCACACCCACACCTGTTCGGTCTGGCCTATTCGCCATCCAACCTGGACCATGTCGGCGACAGATCCCATATCTCCCCCAGGGGACCCTGCGCCAGAGGTCCTTGATGGTCGCATCTGGGTCGACGGCTGCTGGGATTTCTTCCACCACGGCCATGCCGGCGCCATGCTGCAGGCCCGCCAGCTCGGCGACGAGCTGTATGTCGGCGTTCATTCGGACGAATCCATCCTGGAGAACAAGGGTCCTACAGTCATGAACCTCCAAGAGAGGTGAGACAACCCATCTTGAGACTCTTCTGTTCCTCTGAATTTTTTTCTGACACCTACACAGGCTCGCTGCCGTGGATGCCTGCCGCTGGGTGACCCGCTCAGTCTCTCACGCCCCCTATGTCACCCAGCTCGACTGGATCACCCACTACGGTTGCCGTTACGTCGTGCACGGCGATGACATCACCTCTGACAGCAGCGGTGAGGACTGCTACCGCTTTGTGAAGGAGGCTGGCCGCTTCAAGGTCGTCAAGCGCACACCCTCTATTTCCACCACCGACCTCGTCGGCCGCATGCTGCTTTGCACCCGCACCCACTTCATCAAGTCTTTGCGGCGAACGCTGGCGGGCAGTGATGGCTATGGGAGTGATTCAGAGCGCAAGGCCGAGGGTGCGGCCATGACGGAGCGAATGAGACAGTATGCCACCGATGAGACGGCTCTGAAGCCCGGCGCAAGCGTATGGTTCTGGGAGACGAGCTCGCTGCATGCCAAAACTGGGCACGACGACATCGACGACAAGGGGACCTTCACGCAGCTGTTTGAAGGACCGACACCGAAGCCTGGCCAGAGGGTAGTGTACGTCGATGGCGGTTTTGACCTGTTCTCGAGTGGCCACATCGAGTTTCTGCGCCTGGTCGTCGAGGTGGAGGAGAAGAAGGCTGCGGAGAAGGGGTGGGATAAGGACTATTCGCCTGTATACGTCGTTGCGGGCGTGCACGACGACGAGGTCATCAACCACTGGAAGGGGGTCAACTATCCCATCATGAACATCTACGAGAGAGGCCTTTGTGTGCTCCAATGCCGGTACGTCAATTGCGTCATCTTCGGGGCCCCGTTCACGCCCACAAAGAACTACCTCACATCCTGGTCCTGGGGCGCCCCAGATGCCGTCTACCACGGTCCCACCTCCTTTATGCCTCTCACCTACGACCCCTACTCGGAAGCAAAGGCCCTCGGTATCTACCAGGAGATCGGGCAGCATAGCTTCCAGGATGTCAACGCAGGCAACATCGTAGACCGTATCATGAAGAGTCGGAAACAGTACGAGGAGAGGCAGAGGAGGAAGGGCGAGAAGGCCGATGTCGAGGCAGCTGCTAAGCTGAGGGAACAATTGGAGGAGGAGCAGAGGAAGAAAGAAGCACAAAGCTCAGCATAGCTGGGTTCTCTCTGGCCATAATTGACCACAGACTAGCAAGATATCATCTGGGAAAACGTCTCATCGGCAGCTCCTAGGTCTACCTTAACTTCTCTGCTTTACCCATCTATGGAAACCAGGTGGTATTATGTCCAAGCTACGAATCTTTGGATGGCCTCGGCGAATTACGGGGCCCCCCGAGAGCCTTGAAGATGCTGGTTTCATCACATCATAGAGCGTGGCACGATCTTCAACAGAATCTTGACGGAACCTAGCAGCGATTCATAAAATGGTGAAAAGTCATTGCTTCTTATAAATCCCCTGAAGCTCATTTCAAGGCCCCGGTCATATACGAGCAGTTCTTCGTGGTAGACCTGTCGTTCATGCACGGGCATGATGGTTGGGCTTCAGGCTGAAGGTGGTGTCTGAGATAACTATTACTGATAATTAATAATCCATGAGCACACTGTTGCCCTATTTTACATTCCTGGGATGGCCCCGTAGGAGAAGGTAATGCCTGGTAAACACACAAAATTGTGCTGTTGAGACCTTGGGTGACCCATAATTTGGTAGCAGGTGGCTGTGTTTTAATCCCACCTTGCAATGCCCTTGGACCCAAGTATCGTTGAGAACAAATACTGTTGCTCTGACGATGAATTCCTGTGGATCAGATCATGGCCGCCCAGCCTCCCATACGAACCTGACCTGATGAGTTGAACAAGTCGAAGCCGCTCGCCCTGAGGTGCCCTCCCATATTAGCTGGCCAGTGCGAGGGTGTCGTACCACTCAGTAGTACACGAGTGAATTTTCGGCAAAAAGTCAACTCACGAGAGGAACGGTATGCAGAAAGCAGGCCTGTTGATGGTCTATTTGGTATCACATAGGCAGCTAGAAGGATGGCCATCCCTTGTTGCCTTGAAAAAACGCCTTGGTCTACTCGGTTCTCGATGTTTAGTACTCCCCAGAGACACTCTCAAAGATACAGCGTTTAGGAATGCCATCGAACATGTTTGATTGTGCAAAAATGGATAGACAATTGCATCGTACAGACAAACAAACGGACCCCGATCACCAATCAAAAACTTGACCACCAGATGGAATTGAACCTCAACTTTTGTATCAACACCCTCAGCCTCGCCGGTACAGTGTGGCCTCCCTGCGAAACTATAAGGACAGCCAGCTTCAGCTGCAACGCAACCCAGCGGGCGCTTGCCCAGAGCTCTTTGCTTGCTTGACCTTCTATATCTTTACCCGCAATTAGCCCTCTACATCTATTGATAACATTGATCACAGTGGTAGTGAGGACGGCGACAGGAATACTTGAAGTGGAACAGAAGGCGTAGGCGCGGTGGGCAGGTATCATTCGGATAATATTTTGTACGCATATCAATCGCGCAGAAACCTGCCGAATTTGAATGATACTGCAAGATCAAATTTTCTTAACGTTGATGATTATTTTTTGCTCCTGGACCAGTTGTTCATTGATGCTCTATTTTCGCGTATGGTCGAGGTCCTCAGCCATCAGTCTCTTAATCGAGCACACCAATCTTGCCCAACTTGACCATGCCGACAGGCCTGGCGAGTACAACGGTGGCAAGAGCAGAGGAAGAAACCCTTTTTGGACTAACCGAATCGAAGACTTAGTACAGCCAAATTCTTCCTCTCACTTCTAGATGATTGTTCATTTTTTTTCTATGTGCTTATTGCATTGGATCTGTATCCGATACGAGGGTGGTGTAGTACAAAGGGGCAACATTAAGTCATAGACAATGCATACTCGTGTATCACAGCACAGAGCTAATCTTTCTGTCAAGCCAATACGCAATTACCATGGTTCTTCCAATTTCCCGGCACCTTCCTGAGATCTTGCCAAGCTACGACCATCACAACGGGGCGCTGAGTCCTTGTTTACAGGATTTCTTCACCGCCGGCATATCTGACCTTTTTTTCCTGGTGCCTCAGTGAGTCTGTGACGCAAACGTCTTGAATTATAAACAGGCATCAGTCACCAGCGCCCAAACTTCGAGTTCGTCATGCCAAAAAGCAAACTTATGAGCCTTCATTGTCTGCTGATATCCATAAATGGCGGACGTACTTACTGTCAAACTAATGCTACCGCAATATATTGATAATCACATTAATTTGTACACAAGCAACGAATGCCCGTATCTGCCATGGTCCTTCCTCTTTCAGGGTAACTGTCGTGTTAGTTGCCAAATGTGGAGTAGGCAGACCCTCCAAATTGCATACTGTCTACACTGAACAAGATCAAGTGCTGTTTCTGTATTTTGTACGCATGAGAGGATTGAGCTGAAGCTTGGCATACGTGCAGCCCACGAAATTCTGTCTTCCGATCACGGCAATGCATATCCACAAAATGGGCACAAGAAGGGCGTTGTGATGTGCGGGTGATGACAATAGCAGAGACGGGGCACGCAAGCCACGCAAGAAAAGTGCCCCGTGATAAGAAATAAATCCAAGGGCCGTCGGCAATTGGCGTCTACCAGCGGTTAAATGCGGCATCACATCTCAATTTCCCACCTCACTAGTCCGATTTCCAAGATCTTTCGCCTCGCGACGACATGACGCCCTCTGATATTCTGCCGCAGGAAAATCTCAAACAAAATCCGGTTCGAACACGGTCTGACCGAGCGAAAAGATCCATATTTCCACTGATAAGCTTTCGCAGGGCCGCGGTGCAGCCGTAGTGCAGGCCGACACGTGTCGCCGCAGTGCTCTGATATCGACGCGCGGTAGGTGGGCGGCCGAAGGGACGGGACATGATGCCTATACGCAGGAGGACTGACTCTCGATATGCATAAGTCACTTGTCAGACGAGCACAATACCTAAGTTTATCGGAAAGCTTAGAAGACGATCAAACCGTATCTGGCTTTAAATCATATCGAAATCTGACTTAAGTCGAACCGAATCTGACTCAAATGCCTTGAAATGCGGATTATTCTCCGGGCGCGATGGCCGCTGGCAACTCGTGTCTGGATATCAGAGAACGACAACCGGAGCTGCAGATAGCCGGACGTCTTCAACGCCCAGACGCCCAGCGCTTTGGGATGTTGAGAAGCATGGCAGGGCGATGCAAGGTCCTAACAAAGAGACAGCGGCAAACTTGTCAAGATGAGGAAGGCGGTAGGAAAGGGGAGAGATTAGACTAAGCACGCCTAGATCCGGCATACAACGTCCATCGCAGCACAAGAGCGAGAGGCCGAGTCTAAAGGTCTCAGCGGCACTGCATTGAGCAACCCCCCCGACTCCCTCCATGCGCACATGCGCAGGGGCAACGACCGGTCCGGAACACGGAGCCTGTTAGTATGGATGTTTGCATTATCAAACTAATACACCGTCTGTTGTCCATCATGAATCAAGCAGCCATTGGCCAATGAGTCACTTGCCCCCTGGATCGGGACGAACTTGTTGGTCCACCTGGGTTCCAAGGTCACTTTCTCGAAGCCAACGTCTTCTTATAAGAGCAATTGAAACCTCGCTAGAAGTTTTCTAGACTGGTCCTTTGTCTCTAACCTACCCGCTCTTTCCTGTGGTAAACCTTGAGAGTCCTGTAAATTTCCATCCAACCTTTCTTTGTGTGTTGCCCTTGACCAGACCAGTCCCCATCGTTGACCCCTTGATACCCCAACCACACGCCTCTTTTCACTGGGGCACGTAGTCGCCCACAATATCCACCATGGCTCCCGGCTTGATCACTCCCACCACCTCCGCATCGGATGTGGACCTCACCTCCAAGGCCATCGAACACAAACTGGAGAAGATCAATGGCACCAGCACGGACGCACCCTCCAAGCTGGCCGAGTTGGACGCCTCCAAGCTCACATACACCCTCACCAAGAACCCACGCCCCGTCCCGGACGAGGTAACAGCCACCAGTGGCAACGAGACGATATGCTCAGACCACATGATCACCGTGGGGTGGTCCGCCTCCCACGGCTGGGCCGCCCCTGAGCTCAAGCCCTACGGGCCCCTAAGCCTGATGCCCACGGCCTCGGTCCTGCACTACGCCACCGAGTGCTTCGAGGGCCTCAAGGCGTACCGGGGCTTCGACGGCAAGCTGAGGCTGTTCCGGCCGGACTGCAACGCCAAGCGCCTCCTCATGTCCAGCCTCCGCATCAGCCTCCCGGGCTTCGCGCCCGCCGAGCTCGAGCGCCTCGTCGTGGCGCTGATGGAGGTCGACGGGCCCAAGTGGCTGCCCCGCGACCGCCCCGGCAGCTTCCTTTACATCCGCCCCGCCCTGATCGGCACGCACCAGCAGCTGGGCGTGCAGGCGCCCAGGGAGGCCCTGCTGTTCATCACCGTGTCCTTCATGCCCCGCATGGACGCGCCGCAGGGCGGCATGAAGCTGCACACCAGCCCGGAGGATATGGTGCGCGCCTGGGTCGGCGGGTTCGGATACGCAAAGGTGGGCGCCAACTATGGGCCCAGCCTGCTTGCCACCCAGGAGGCACGAAACAGAGGTTTCGGACAGATCCTCTGGTTGTATGGCCCCGAGGGCTACTGTACCGAGGCGGGCGCGTCGAACTTCTTCGTCGTGTGGAAGTGCAAGGAGACCGGCAGGACGCAGCTTGTCACGGCGCCGCTGGACGACAGACTCATCCTCGACGGCGTCACCAGGAGGAGCATCGTGCAGCTTGTACGGGAGAGGTTGGGCGATGAGGTGGACGTCGTGGAGAGGAAGTACACAATCGATGAGGTTCTTGAGGCTGAAAGGGAAGGGCGAATGGTCGAGTCATTCGCGGCTGGCACGGCTGTAAGTCTCCTTGCCCCTTGCTTTCAACTCCGCCATCTGTAACTTTGCTAATCGTTCCAACCTCTAGTTCTTCGTCTGCCCTGTTTCTATGATTCACCACAGAGGAAAGGAAGTTACTTTCGACATGGGCAACGGCGAGGGAGCAAAGTATACCCAGATCATTAAGAAGTGGATGAAAGATATCATGTATGGCGGTGATGACCACGCATGGGGCGTCGTTGTGCAAGAGCAGGCATAAGCGTCTGAACCTTGGTGGTTTTCTTTTTGTCAGTAAAGCATCGCAGGTAGGCGTTACGGTCTTTGGGGCTAGGGGGCGTTTGTATTTCTGATAGAGACGACTGTCAAAGACGAGTAGTCTACGAAATTTCGAGCTGAATTGAGCAATGTCGGCTAGAAACACCTTGTGCACATGGAATCTCAAATTTCCTTAGAAACAGCCCCCGTCTTCCTTCAACCCACATCTTGAAATCCCAGATCTTGGTCTGTTGGGGACAGCAGGAAGAAGCATGCCCCATATGAGCTCAGCAAGAGAAAGCAGCACGCACCAACCATGCCGCTTCGGAGGCTAGATAGAAGGAGCTACCACTGGAGGAGTCTCCATTGACGATGGGAAGAATGAGGTTTTGGAACGTCCTCGACCTTTCCTCAGTCTTCCAACAGAAACTGTTGCAGTAGAGCAGACATGGCACCATGGATCTTCCTGCCGAATTCCTGTAGATAGTGTGAGCATTCATCAAGAAATTTCAGGGTCTCAGGTCGAAGCTTACCTTCTCACATGTCCGAGCTTCCTCGTGCGAGTCTTCGATGATGCCTTCTGCTTCTGCGTCAAAAGCCTTCATTTCTCGCGCGAGTGACTCTCGCACGTCTTTGATGCAGTCACTCTGGCTCATTTGAAGATGAGTACTGCCGGTCATTTCCGCGATTTTGGTTTGGACATCCCGGTCAGCAGCCTCCCAATCATCCCACAGGCGCTTCACTTGCGATTCAAGAATCTTTAGACAGTCACCCAGCGACGCAACTTCCTGACCAATGTGAACTTCGCGGCGAGTTATGTTGCCGTCGTCATGGGTGAAGGTTTCGTTGATAGTCGTCTCAGAGGGTGATCCGGCCATTCTCTTGTGATTAGATTCCACAAGAGCGAGAACACGATCATCTTCGGCATCCGTGTCGGTCATGATTCCCTTTAAGGCTTCATGAAGGTCTTTGAGCTGAGTGAGACCATTGCTGTAGAGATTGTTGGACTCAGCCGCAATGTTGCCTGCTCAGAAATAGGGCGTCAGTCCGTATGGCATGGTTCAGGGTACGCAAGAATGAAAAAACAGAAGTGCAGTCGCACCTGCGAGCTCGTCTCTCAAGTCTTTGGCCTCTGCCAGCCCAATAGTAGCATATTTATGCTGGGTCTCGCGATGTTGTACATCTTGGTTGCGCGGCTGTGGGCGATTCTGCTGTTGCAGTGGACGAGGTGGAGGCCCCATCTGGCCCTTGGAATGCTGCGCAGGGCGTCTCTGTTTGCCGAAGAAAGCGGCTGTTATATCGACGTACTGAGGTTCTTTAGGAGATATAGATGTGTGCGCGGTCGAGACCTCTCCGTCGTCTGACTTGAGACGTTCGAGCAAGCTGTTATGACTGCCGTTCTGTTGGAGGGAAGAGTTCACGGGTTCCAGACGGACTCGCTTGACGCCATTTCGGCCCCAGTCAGTGTTGCTAGCATACATGTTGTACCAATAATCTATTGATACGCTTGAATCGCGGGCGAAGGTTTCTGATGGCTCATGCCTTGTGTTGTCGACCAAGGTGATGCCCGAACCAGTCGCAAGGGTCCAACGCCCCAAAGAGTGGAACAGGGGCTTGTGTATGACGAGATGCTTGCGACTGCTGATGGTTCAAACAAACAGTGACCAGGGTATTATGTGTGTCGAAGGGTGACGAACTACAGAAGTGACCACTGCCAGCCAGATACAGAGCGCTGGTGGTCTGTCGGTTGAGGAAGGCACGCTGGTCCAAGGGCTGCGGTTGCCCAAGTGTGCAACAACCCAATGTTCGTTCTGGCACTCGCCGACTGCGAGGACATTCAACACGAGCGTCCAATGGTATGGCTTTCTCATCTCAAGCCTGCATAGATTATTTGCAGACGCCTGATGCTCAGCATGTCTTGATTTAGCAAGTCCTACATATTCCATTGAAGTTGGGAAGGAGGCCCTCCCGAAGTGCGCAGCTGCTCCCACCCCAATCAAGGGTTTCGCAGTAGGACAAGATTATCCGCAGAGACCCGTGTGAGAAATGGTGCAACACCCGTTATCGAGAAATGGGAATTGGTGGGAAGAGGTATGGGGAAAACGAACATTTCTATAGCTGGGAACGAGTCCTACATCGTTGTCTCAGTGCCGCAGGGTCAATCAACCACGCTTGCTGTCTCACGTCAGACCTTTGACGACCCTTATGTCTCAATTCTCAGCTGAGGAGGTGCCTAAGACCATGCCTTGCGGCGCGATGCGTCTGTGGTTTTGCTCGAGACGTTGTCCACCCAAATTCTGTCATCAAGACATGTTGCTGCCAACCTGGTTGCTTACCGCCGGCACATCTCCCCCTATCATTTCTGGAACGACACAACGGCATACCGAAAGCTGCCATTGGCATATCCCCTTCGCATAGCACGGAACGCCTGCAGGAAAGCGATTCCATCCCTGCCCTGGCTGAGCGCGAAGGCCCACAGGGACGGGTTCTGGACCAATGACCACGAGATGTCCCTGAGGCGCAGCCCCTTGTTAGCATGGGCCCTATTAAACGTTGCTTGAGAGGTTCCGTTCAGGAGTGACCTACCAGGTCGCCTTGACATCATTCGATATGTCCTTTGGCCCCCCAAAGACACTCAGACCAGCCTCCTTTGCGTAATTGACGTAGTCAGCCTGTGCGCACAATGGCGGCAGAAGCATTCCATCTATGGTCATGTTAACATTGTTGAGTGTTTGCCTCGGGATCCTCTAACTGGGGCTAAGCAAACAAAGATGGTCGGCGACTTCATCTGGGATCGACGCACCTTCAATGGGTTTTATATCATCGGTGAATTCCTTGTCGCCCAGGCCCTCCGCTTTGAACCAGTCGGCCAGGGCGAGCTTGCCGCCCTTCTTCAAAGACTTGTGGGCATTCTGGAAGAACAGGGATTTATTCGGGAAATGGCTCAATGCCTCGCAGATCCAGACGGCGTCAAACGACTCGGACTGTGCGGCGAAGACGTCTCCCATCTTCTCGGCGTCGAGCTCTATGAACTTGACCTTGCCCTTGCCGATCTTGAGGAAACCCTCCTGGTCTGCCTCCTGGTCTGACAGGCTGGCGTCTTCCTTGGCGGCCTCAGATTTGGTAAGGCGTGTCGCCATCTCGACCTGCTTTGTAGAGATGGTGATGCCGGTCACCGTGCAGCCCAGCTGTGAGGCAAGGTATCGCGAAGTGCCACCGATCCCGCATCCCACGTCCAGGACCTTGCTCCCTTCGCTTATTTGCGAGGTCTCCAGCAGCAGGCGGATGAGATTAATCTGTGCTTGCTCCTTGGTCTCACTAGCCTTTGACTCTGGCGTGGGCCAGTAGCCGTGGTGGATGTGGGTGCCCCTGTGGAGAGGAGCGCATCGTTAGCAAGCGCGGTGCCATGGTCGTTCAAAGCACAAAGTCGTGGGAGCCGAGATAGGCCTCTCTTGACCGTTAATGGAACAGAAGAGCCTGGACAGTGGCATCTCGAGTATCCACGTCATTGACGTACCACAGGCTCAAGTAATACTCGCTGGCCAGATCATAATGTGTTTTGATCCTATCCTTGAGAGCTTGCATGGTGTCATGCGCGAGGCCAAGTGGGGTCTCATATTGTTTGCTAAGCGCAGTGTTGTCTTCTACCGTGGTCGCGGCCATTGTGAATCAGATTAGGTTGAGTTTGCGAGTACAACTGTGTCGATTATGAGTGCACGTAGACGCAGTGAGGGAGCTGTGTTTTGTCAATCATTCAAGCTTCTACTTAGAATTACCATTTTGGAGCGTTGGTTGAGCTCATTCCCGCAGACGTTCATGCCTGCCTCATCTGAAGTTTGAAGCTGAATTGGGGGTCGTGATTGGCCCGCCCAGGGGCTTGAAGCACGAAGCTCGGCTTGCTTTGGCCGGACAGCCGCTTCCTTGCTTGTGACAGGTGAGGGACCAGAGCTCTGGAGCTCGTTTCCCCACCTTGTTTGTCTCAGGCTCTCAGCAGTCTCAGCAGTGGCCTCAACAGCTCTGAGTTTGCGAGTCTACGGGCAAGGGCACCGCCACAAAGACGAAGCTGGCAGCGGCAGGAAGAAGCAGGGTGCTTGCTTGCCCAACAGCTCTGTGGCTTGAAACTTTGGTGGGGCGTCACGGCGTTCGTCGACGAAACTTTGCCAGTCTGCATGACAGCTCCGACCTGATCGGATGTGCCCGACTGCACAGCTGCACCCAGGTCGGCCCTTGGCAACTCTCGTCAACCGTCGACCGTCGAGATATTCCGTCCAGAGCATATGCCTCCGTCTCGTGGGGCTGCGACAACAGTCGGCAGTGATGCCGACAGCGATACTATACAGCGGGGAGTTCGGGATGACAAACTTCGCGTGCGTTCAACAAACCTGAGACAGCTGGCACTGATGCGCAGGGTCCGACTGCCGTGTCCTCTATACTGTGTGCATAGGACCCAGCCCGACGCACGCGTCTCGTTCCTTGGCTGGTCTTGTCGCAAGGTCTTATCTTGAGGCAGATTGCAAGAGAGCATTCCACGACAACAAACCACGACGAGGCCGGCAGCTGACCGGGACAAAATGCTTGGGTACAGATACAGATTTGGTCAGACGTGTGAGCGGTCTGGCCTGGCCTGTCAAGAGGCCCATGGATCAGTCCAGATCAAAACTATTGAGTTCCTTGGTTCCCTCCACGCTGGCCCGCTTACAGGTGGTCGTCAGGACTGGGGCCGGGCTAAAGTGCAGCGTAAGTCCGCATATCCCAACACCTCGTGGCTCTCTCTCCACAGTGACAGTTTCGTCTTGGCGGAAACAGGGCGAGCCGGTGAGGAAAAAAGGCAGAAAGGGCAGTGCAAGGCACTAGTTGTCCTGGACCAATTGCGTCACTGCAGCCCATTCATCCCATGGAACCATCCATCCGAAAGTCACCTGGCTCCAATCCGCCCCGAGGCGGCGCGCGAATCGCCCGCCTAAAGCGTCGCTGCACGACGGGGGCATGCGAGAAGCAAGAGCACATATTGGACAGGAGTGCCGGTGTACATTGCTGCCAATATGTATCCCATGTAACAACACTCAGCGCTGATAAGAATGGTTGCCCCGCGTACTGTACTGCTGCACGGCATCTCGGCTCCCACAGCGCAGGTGGCTGGCCTCTGCAGGTCTCGAAGTGGCCGATTATCCCAGAAATACCCTCCCACCCCTCCCTCGCCTTTGCCACTGCCGTCAGACCTGGGCAAGTCAGATGCTGGGGGCCAGAGGTTGACGCAACAATTGCTGTGGTGCACAGGCACTGCGGTAATTCTTGGCCAGAGGAAACAAGAAACGCATTGAATCAAGCTCACACACTTTCTCTTGCTCTGCCTGATTTGCTAGAAGGGGTCAAGCTTGCAAACTGGACACTCACGGGCGAACTCCATCCACGTTGGCTTGTTTGACTTCATAAGCAAGTCAAGAGCCACCTGCCATCACCCCGTTGCTGACCGACTGTCTTGGGTTGCCCTTTTACCCCTCTGGCAGCTGCAACTACATTCCGGTCGTGTCTTGATTTATTAGTCCCCCAAGGTCCCCTCAACCTTGCAAGAGGCTGCATACTCTCTTCCGCTCCAGCCTATGAGCTTTCCCCGGATCGCAGCCATCCTTCCCAAGCTTCCTCCTACTTTTGGGTTGCCTTAGATCGCCCTAAGCCCGCGTGCCGACTCGACACCTTGGTTCTTATAAGACTGCCTGACCGCCGGACCTGTGCCTGATCTTCAACATTTCCCAGGCTTCTCAAACTTGACCTCACAAAAGACGAGTCAGCGCTAGGTAACATCTCGACTTTTTTGCTCATCGTGCCGGACCAGCCGTCTGGCCACACCACGTAACCCGATTCTCGACCAAGAAGACAACCAGTCATTGCAGACGTCTTGACCGACAAAAAGTCCATATCCTCTCTGTTACAGGCCAGAAACAGTCCGGGTGGGTCAAGACCCAGGTCGACGTGTGCGAAGCCGGTTCCAGAGACCAGACAGACCACCCAAGACACACCAAGAGACATCCGTGCCGTTCAGCCGTTGCACCGTCTGCCAAGCCCCGAAGTGGCCCCAGTTAAACGGCCTCCACGCCACTCGCTGTTCATATCCCCAGCGGCTCCACCATTGAATTGTCGCTATACCATTTTAGGTGAGCCTCAGCCTTCCGACACTTCCTGGCCTCTTCTCTACACCACTCGTTTCCCCTGCGGCGCAGACCTCTGGAGACGCGCCCTCCCACCCAAGCGGATGGCTCCAAAGGCCTGTGACGGCCACACAAGCAGGCCTGTAACTCAACTCTGCTTCCCTAGTGCACTGGGCACTATGCAGGCGGCGCCTGAGGGTGGGAATTGAGGCCCAGTCGGCCGATGCTCGCCTCTCAAATTTCACCATGGGTGCTCGAAATTGTTTGGCATGGGTCCCAACAATGAGATCGGCTCACGGCTACACGGCTCACGGCAGCCTCAACGGCAGCCTCTCTGATAATAGGGCCTCTTGTCCCACTGAGCTTCCTTCCTCGTAAGACTGGACAAGTGTTCCAGAAACTTCGGGCCTCTGACAACATCACCGTCCTGTCTCATATTTGTTCGGTGGCACTTACAGCCTTTCTCACTTGTTGGTGGCATAAGTCCTCCATTTGCTCACCTCCTTGTGTTGCCGAGTGGTGGTGAAATGAGAATACCCACCCTATCCTTTCTTTAGCTGCCTTCGCATTTCTAAGAACAACTCTATTTATTACCCTGCTCTTCAAGTGCGCAGGTCGCAATTGCAATCAACAGTCAGGGGACAATAAGAGCCGAGTGGTACCTCTTTCCGGTCTTCCGTCGAAAACATATCACGGACCCGACCTCTCGTGGCGAAGGGACACGCATTACTGCTTACTCGCTTTCGTGTCTTGCTTCTAAAAAACTGCAGCCTGGGCATCAAGCTGAACAATATGGTTTCCGTCCGCAGACCTCGTCGATCTCCTCGCTACTCCAGCTGGAGTACCTTGGAGACCAGCAGCATGACTTCGATGCCCCACAGCGACACATCCTCACGGCCTCGGAGCCGAGAGACGGGCTTCCCTGAGCCTTTCTGCGGCAGTAAGTCTCGGTCCCCCACGGTATGGTCTTTGAGCAATTGTATTGACCTTGTCATAGGTCGCAACACCACTCTGCCGCATCCCGATGCAGACACATCACCAAACGCCTGCATCTCGCAAGATGACATCTCCCTCAGCCGCGTCGAGTCCCGACAACGACGCTCATTCCGCGCCAAGCACAAGCGAACTATCAGCCACGGTCTCATCACGCCCGAGATGGAGCAGATGTACAGTGAACTGGTTGCTGTAACCAGTGATTCGGATTCCTCACCCACAAGGGAGGACTTGGAAAGGCTGCCTACCATCCCGGGCACGCCAGCCGTGGGACACATGGCGAGGCCGCCCTCCAAGGACGGCGGCGTTAGTCTCGCATCCACCTCGACGGGCGACAACCGAAAGTCGATGGAACACGATCAAAGCAAGTTCCGTTCACGATTGTCGAGTGACGGCTCCTCGGCCAAGTCGAGGAAGAAGGGTTTCATGCAGAGGCTGGGCATCTCACACCACAAATCATAGTGCAGCGGCAGTACTTGCGATGCCACCGCCCGCTCACGCACAGTTGGAGAATGAGAGGTGGAAAACAAGAAGCTCTTCTTACAGAACATTTGGCCATCACCGCCATTAGACCGAGGACTCGGCAAATTGATACTTCCTATAGCGATAGCACGGAGTTTGGTATTTGAAATTCTGGAAATGGGACTGGTCAGGAAAGGATCGGATTGGGTTTGGTTGGGTTGGACGAGGAAGTTGACGATGTTCCTTTGTCGGTTGGGATAAACAGAACCTCGTACACACAAAACAAAATACGGAACATCGTGGAGGAAAGAGGAAAAATAGGCAAAGGGCGAAGTCAGAGACCTACCCCTAAGCCAAGAGACAACCACATACAGATGTCTACACAGCACTACCTAGCTATTCTTCACACTCGCTGCATAGCCTAGCTTTTATTTGTTAATTAGGACCAAGACAACCAAAAGCCAACGCTGGTATTGATTGTATGTACGTGGCTGTATGCTGGCCTCGTCTGATGCTATTACCCCAGTGTGAAGTAGAGGAGTGTGACTGCTATGCTATGGACCACGATGCCTCCTCTCTGGTGGTTCCCGACTTGAGCCCACGCTATTCTGCCACGCACCCACACCCGGTCCCCACCCCCCTTTGCGAACCCCTCCCCACAAAGCCCCCAATCAGCTCCCACGGTAGGTGCTGTAGCTGAAGGGGGCCAGCAGCAGGGGCACGTGGTAGTGCTGGCCCTCCTTGACCTCGAAGACGACGGTGACCTCGGGAAAGAAGGTGTCCTTGCCCTGGGCGGCGAAGTAGCCCTCGGTGTCGAAGCGCAGGGTCCAGCGGCTGGGGCCCCGGATGTCGCCCAGCACGTCCTCGAGGCTGTACACGGGCACCTCGCCGGGCGTGTCCGGGCTGCTGTAGGGCAGCCAGGTGCGCACGCGGCCGTCGTCGTCGGTCGACGACTCGAAGACGATGGGCAGGCCCGACGGGTGCTTGTTGGCGACCCCCGCGCCGTTGCTGTTGCTGGGCGAGGCGGTGGTCGTGTCCGAGGTCAGCTGCAGCCGCACGCCCACGTTCCGGGCTGGGGCGCCGACTGTTGTGTCGAGGATGTGGCAGGTGATTGGGGCTTTGGTGGCCGACGCCATTGTGGAATTCTCGTATGTGTAGACGATAAAGCTTCAGAGTTGAGGGGGGGGGCTTCTGTCGTTTGGTGATGGTGGTTGGAGGCCCTCGTGAACTTAGGTGTAAGTGGGATGGATAGGGGCGGTCGAAGGATTCAGCTCCAGCGGGGTAGAGGGCAGAGAGCAGAGAGCAGAGTAGAGAAGGCCGGCTTGGTTGTTTGCTGATGCTTGGATTGCAAGTGTTCCAAATTCGGGCTGGGGTTTGCCGGTAAGGCTTGGGCCTTGATATTGATGTGCCGGGCGAGTGAATCACGGGGCCTGTTTGAAGTCGAGATGAATTGACTGGTGTGGTGGTGGGCTATGTGCTTCGACTCTGATCTATACTCATTGGCACCAACTACGGAGCAGATCTACCGACTGTCGACTTTGTACCAGGCTTGCGCCGCTGTCCGCCGATCGCCAGAAGGAACCTGCCGGCCATCCGTGGTGAAGGCGACTCTGTCAACAAAAGCAGTGTATGCTGCCTACGGTATATACACTAGACTAACTGATGGATTCTCATGTAGACGAGCTTCTTCTTGGATGGGTTGGATATTTTATTTCTAACCTTAGTTGCCCCAAAATGATCGAACATGTGCCAATTCAGCGTCACCATGTCTCGGAGCCGAAGCGGCCTCATCCCGCCACCCCACCATCCACGACACGCCGCCGGTGACGTTGCCAAGGGTCTCCTTCCAGCTCATCTCACGCACTGAACAAGGTTCTTTCCCAGTCCAGAAGCCACGAGAAGGCACCACAGCTCCAACTAGGCCTCCTGCTCTACCTCTCCCAACCACCGTCGACTCACCCGAAGCTCCCCACTATTGCAGCGACAACTGTCCCATTACCAGATACGAGAGAGACCTGTCATTCAGAGACCCCACTGTCCAGGCGGTCAAACGTCAACAGAAACGCACCCCTTCGCCCACCCCACGAGCCACGCGCTACACAGCTCGACATGTCGTCCACCGCCCTGATTGACGTCGACGACGACGCGTTGGAGCCCACCCTCCAGTCCATCCTGGACCAGCGCTCCCTCCGCTGGATCTTTGTTGGCGGGAAGGGAGGTGTGGGAAAGACCACCACGTCGTGCTCCCTCGCCATCCAGCTCGCAAAAGTGCGCCGTAGCGTCCTGCTCATCTCGACCGACCCAGCCCACAACTTGTCCGATGCCTTCTCGCAAAAGTTCGGCAAGGAGGCCCGCCTGATCGACGGCTTCACGAACCTGTCAGCCATGGAGATCGACCCCAACGGCAGCATCCAGGATCTCCTGGCGGGGCAGGGCGAAGGCGACACAAATCAAGATGCGATGGGCGGCATGGGCGGCATGATGCAGGACCTGGCCTTCGCCATCCCGGGCATCGACGAGGCCATGAGCTTCGCCGAGGTGCTCAAGCAGGTCAAGAGCCTCTCGTACGAGACCATCATCTTCGACACGGCGCCGACGGGCCACACGCTGCGCTTCCTGCAGTTCCCCTCGGTGCTGGAGAAGGCCCTGGCCAAGGTGTCGCAGCTGTCGTCGCAGTACGGCCCACTGCTCAACGGCTTCCTGGGCTCGCAAGGCGGTGCCCTGCCCAACGGCCAGAACCTGGGCGAGATGATGGAGAAGCTCGAGTCGCTGCGCGCCACCATCTCCGAGGTCAACACCCAGTTCAAGGACGAGGCCCTCACCACCTTCGTGTGCGTCTGCATCCCCGAGTTCCTCTCGCTCTACGAGACGGAGCGCATGATCCAGGAGCTCGCCTCGTACGGCATCGACACCCACTCCATCGTCGTCAACCAGCTGCTCTTCCCACGCCCTGGCAGCGAGTGCGAGCAGTGCAACGCCCGCCGCAAGATGCAGAAGAAGTACCTCGACCAGATCGAGGAGCTTTACGACGAGTTCAACGTCGTCAAGATGCCCCTCCTGGTCGAGGAGGTCAGGGGTAAGGAGAAGCTAGAGCGCTTCTCCGAGATGCTTGTCAAGCCGTATGTGCCGCCCTCATAAGGTGGTGTTCGTGGGTGGATGGGTGCTGTTCGGCCTGTGGGATGTATTATAGACGGCCAACTGGGCGTAGCATAGGTAGAACACGAGCGCTCGACAGCTGTATTAATGAGCGTTGACAACCAAAAAAACAATTCCTTTGTTGTGGTGACATGCCTCAGTTCCTTCAGACACTTGGGTGTAATACATACTAGCATTGCGTAATCAGACGAGGATGACTTTGACAGAATCACAGTGATGGTAGCCAGTAACTAGCAGCATGTAGGAAGAGAGAAATAAGAAACAAAAAACACATCAACCGAAACAAACAAGTCACTTGAGGAGCATAACCAGCTTTGTGGAACCGTCATTGCATTCATGAAGCCTAACACAAGTCGAGCGTACTCGTCTATCTGAATAGCCTGGGTTCTCTTATTCTTCCATTTACCCTGCCCTGACGATCATGATCGAGGGAGTCCTGTCCAATGCCAGCTCGCCATTCTGATGACAAGCCGTGACGTTCCTAAAAGTCCGTGTCGTAAAAAGTCAAATCAGTGGGCGGGCATTAGCCCTTTTCTTCCTTTCCTTCCGCAAAGATGCACGTGAAGTGCTCCTGCTGAGACCGAAACGCCAACGCCACTCCGAATGCAAGTCGTTTTAGTTTGGAGGTTATGTTGTCCTCCCTCCCGCATGATGAATGTAGCACGCCTGTCATGCTACACACCTAATCAACGCCGTAGCCGTTCCGTTATGACGAGCCAGAGAAATGCATGCCTCAGTCGCGAACATGATTAATTGAGATGCTGTGCAGCCGGTCGTGGTTGTCGTGACGTCCTAACGTGGTTGGTAACCCCGGAATGGAGGTGTGGCCTTCACGCCGCCCGCCTAGAGCTCGCGGTAGTCACTAGGCCTAACCCGGCGCTGACGATTCTGATGACGATGAGGGTTCACCGGCTTGCGAAAATACGCGTCTTCGTCATTGTTGTTGTTGTTGTTATTGGGCACCTGAGAGAAATTCGGCTGTCTAGGCCCGGTGGGTGGAACGCGACTAAATCCGGGGCCGCCACCATTCATTGGGCCACCGCCGCCGTTCATGGGGCCGTTGAAGTTGTTGGCACCGTTCATAGCACTAGGTCCAGTAGGAAAGCCGCCGCCGTTCATACCGGGACCATTGTTGTTGTTGAAGCCACCATTCATCATCATTGGATTCATCATGGGGTTCATCATGGGATTGAAGTTGTTCATATTGAACCCGCCGTTCATCATCATCGGGTTCATCATCGGGTTCATCATGCCCATAGGCATACCCATAGGCGGGAAGCCGTTCATTCCATTCATTCCCATGAAATCGGGCATCATGCCATTCATCTGCTGTTGTGGTTGAATCTGGGTTTGCTTCTGCATCATAGCCTTTGGGCCCTTGGGAATTTTGATGTCCGGCTGGTTCTCGGCGGGCTCATCCGCTGGCCGCTTCTTTGAGTTCGGTAGGTTGCCATTGACAGCGGGCGAATCCTCCTTCTTGACTGGTATTGACTTGGAGGATGCGTCCGCCCCTGGTGACTTGACGGAGGGAGGGGGCGTCGGTGACTTTGTCTTTTCAGCCTTTATCGCGCCGTCTGTGCCATCGACGGGCTCTTCAGACTTCTTGATCTCTTGGGGCTCGGCAACAGGTGACTTGGCTGCCTCGGGAGTCTTGGACCGCTCTTTCTTGGCCAACTCCTTTTCCTTGAGGTACTCTTCAATCTTAGCTGTCGCCTCCTCGTCAGGCTTCAGATCGTCGATAAGAACGCCTTCCGTCTGACATGATGGGCAAACCAGGTCGCCCTCGATGAGCGCATTAGTAATGCAGTCATTGCAATACGTCTTCGCACAACAGGGTGTCTTCATTGGGTCTATGAACATTTTGTTGTCGATGTCGCATTCCAAGCCCCTCTCCTGTAGCTCTTTCTCACCCTGGGCAGCAATCTTCTTTGCCTCGGCAGAGCCCTGCGCTTTGGCCTGAAACTTTTGCCACGATGCCTTATCGGGCTCCGCGATCACGAACTCTCCATCCGCATTCACCATGATCCCAGCAGGCGTCTTGGATTCGTCACCGTCCGCCCCTTGAGCAAGGACGGTTGCCTTATCCACGGTCTTCAGGAATGACTTGGGAATGCCAGTAGTTCGCTTGACGCGGGGACGGTTGTCATACTCGGGGTTGTCATTGGTCGGGCACTGCTGAATCCAATGACCCTTCTCGCCGCATCGATGGCAGACGTAACCATTAGGAGGCTCGTGATCGGGGACGTTGGCAGGTTTCTTGGAGCCTGGCTTGTAGACAGGTGTCTGGTGGGACATCTCTTCCTGTTGAGCAGTCCATTCCGCTCCCTGCGCTGCAAACATGGCCATCATCTTCTCCTCTTCGGTCATAGCGGAGGCCATCTTGGCGATGGCATCGGATTGGGACTTGGCTGCTGCTGCTGCTTTGGTAGCCTGCTCTCGCCTAGAAGCATTCTTCGCATTCGCGGGCATTTTTCCAGAGACATAGCGTGCTGCCCGTCCAGCGCCAGGCCGCATGGCAGGGAGACGCCTGGCAAGGACTGTGGTCGAACGGGGAATGACAGAAGTGTCATCATCGTATTCTACGTACGTCAGTTAAGGTTGTTCATGTCAATAGCCTACCACTGTACTCACCTTCAGTTCCGTCTTCGTTGTAAAGGGCAAGGTCGAAATCAGTTCCGCTCCTGTCGAGGCCATTCTTGACAATAATGTCGCGCTTCAGCTCAAAAACAGATATGCCGGTGCCATCGAATTCTATTCGCCGCGGCTCCTTCTGCGACATAAACTTGACGAAGACTGAGGACGTCATCTTGGCCTGTGATTACTTTTTCAGATAAGGGAGGGTCGTTTGAAAAGTTCCCGAGGGGGATTGGCGGTATTGAACAACAGTGTGTGCGGGTCCACAGGGGAGCGACAACAGCGCAGGAGACGCAAGGTCACTGGAGGTTAGATGCTGTGTAGACTAGCGTTGTCGGTTGAGAGTCTTGATGATGGTCGCACGACAAGGGAGAACTTAGTAAAGGTAGTTGAAGTGTGTTCTTGATCTTGTTTCTTTTTTTCTGATCTCTTTTTTCAAGACGACAGGCTTCTCAAAATCGCTTCTTTTTGCTTCAACTTGACCAGACTTGCAAAGCGGGGAAAATATCAATTCTGATTGTACTCGAAAGGACAATACTTGTTGAATGGGGAGCCCAGCGGATAACGAGTAGAAAAATTATTACAATCTGCCAGCAGGCCGCCTATTCGCCCAGATCTTCGAATCAATGGAAACGAAGTGGCTGAATAGCAAAACCCTCCCTCAACAGTCGCCCAAAGTGTCAAGTTCCTCGAAGGCCAAGCCCTCCCGTTTGCCAGAATGCCCCAGGCGAAATCTCTAGCAGCAAAAGGATCCTCTCATGCGAGGCGGGCGCAGGAACGGAGCTGGACTGGACCGTCTTGTCTTGTCTCGTCTTGTCACGGGTGCAGAAGGCTGTGGGTAAGTGAGTCGAATTGAGCAGGGCGTGAGTGCAAACGCGCGCAGGTCGTGATGTCAGGTAGATGCCCTAGTTCAACGTCAAATGAGCGATCGCAATCAAAGAATTACGGCCACTCGATAGTGGGCGTGGGCTGTGATGGCCGTTGTGATGAAAGAAGGTGGTCAAAGGATGTGGTGATTGACGGGGGAGGTGGAGTGTCAGAGGAAGAAGGTTTGAAAGAGCGAACGAGGGCGAGAGGGAGAGGCAGGTGCAGGGTGCAGCAAGAGCCCAGGCTGATAAATTGGGGCCTTCCAGATTCTAGGCTGGCTGCTTATATCAGCAGATTTCGGTCAATTTTCATTCTACCGTTCCTTTGCCTCTGGCCCGTTCCCGTGGTCACTGCTGCCCGTGCGAGCAGTCTACCAACAGGTGATGCCTTTTCCAGATGAGATAAGCATATCGGATACCTAGGCCAGGGTTAGATATACGATGTATTGTGAGTCGAGCTTCCACGACTTGTGAGAAGACACCGTCACAAGCGAGCTAGGTATTCCACTGTGTGACCGTGGGCAAACGCTGGGCAAACGCTGGGCAAACGCTGTGAGTCTGCAGGTCTGTTAGCCAAGCAGCTGCAGTACAGCTGTCACTCTAGACCATGGCACTAGCGCGCTAACAGATGATCAATCCCGCCGTTCCGATCTGCTGCCAGTCGGATCAGCTATGGCAAGCTCCGACGGCTCCTCTGGCAGTCGGCCGACTCGTGTGACAATTCGCCTCTTTTGATTTGGCTGGCAGCCTGAGCGATCCCCTGCCGCACGGCAAAACAACGCCCAAGCTCCCGCTACCCCAGATTGTCAGATTGTCAGTGCATCGTTCGATGCCATACCATCTCCGCAACTTTGCCTCCCCTCCTCGACTGACCTGACCTCATCACCACCTCACAACCACATTCGTCTCCCAAGCCCTCGCGTCTCGTCCTGAAACCTTATCTGCATTGGCCGACATCTAAACGCTTCGGCTCCGAATGGAGCGAGCAACCTCCATCTGAATTGGCACAGGAAACAAAAAAGCCCAATCCTTCTCCTCCCCACCTTCGAGCTCCTCCCTGTCCAGCTTCACGTGCCTCACGACCTCACGATTCCACGACGACTGGGTGCGAACCAAACATCTTGAGGACGCTCATCATTCCTCAAAATTCCGATTGACCTCGGCACCGGATTTTCACCACCACGTTCTACCCCTCCCAATTCCTAAAGCTCCGATCCATCCGCCAAAATGGTCCTCACCCACACCCAGAATCACACCTATGCTCACCCCTTCCCAACCGTCACCCTCGCCTACTTCCTTCGATACTGCTCTCCGCAAATCAACCCCTTTGCTGCCCACGTTCTCAGCACCGATACCATCTCCAGCCACATTGACCCGGCCACGGGTCGGCTGCACACCACCCGCATCCACTTGAAAAAGTCCCGTATCCCCTCCGCAATCGTCAAGCTACTTCCTGCTTCTATCACTGGAGGAGGCGGGGACAAGAAGTCATATATTCTTGAGACGAGCGTTGTCGACATCAAGGATGGATGGATGAAGACTGAAAGCCGCAACCTGGACTTCGTGGGCGTGCTGTCCGTGGTGGAGAAGCAGGAGTACACGGCGCCCACTCTACCGGCGGCCAATACTACCAGCACTGATGTCGCCACAACGACCATTTTCCGGTCGAGAGTGGGCGAACGAATCCGGGAACGTATTGGACAAAAGTCCGAGGAGGCCAGCGCTCAAGGAGGCTGGCTGGCCAAGACGATCATCCAACGCAGCATCGAGAACATTGCGAGCCGGAAGACACAGGATCAACTAGGCAAGAGTCGCGAGGGTATGCGAGTTGTCTTGGAGCGCCTTCGCAACAACGGAGTTAAAGGCATCATGGACCTGACCCGCAGAACGAGGGAAGAAGGCCTGTAAGCCGACCCACCCCGACTCTGGAAATTTGACGGGAGACGACAGGACGTCGCTCCGTTGAGACACGTCTGGCATTTTCTGTATACCATCACCAATCATTTCAAAGCATGGCGTTCTATTTGGGTTGACTCGGGACCATCGGAGTCTCGGCCGCGGGAAATTTGTCTTTTTGAGACACAATCTGGGAAGCTGGCTACTGTTGGAGGGAACACTCTCGCTCGAGGCTACGCTGGCGTTTCGTTTTCAATGCTTCCCCTCTCCTTGTACAACAAAGGTCAAAATGGATAGGTAGCGCAGAGGGGGGGGGGGGGGAACAAGGCTGCGCAAAATATGAAGGCCTGAAGGCGAGAAGACGAAGCCTCCACGAATGAATATGGATAGTTTTAAAATGTATATTTTATTCATTTTTATCCATGTCGAAGCATTTTGGAATGCTAATGAGCTCCTTGTGGCACTGGAAATCTTGGCCACCTTGCTTCAACTTCCGTGAGGATCACTGGCACATCCAGTCTTTTCCAACCTTAAGGCGCAGGTCTTACAAAGCTCGATGCTTTGCGAAGTAGTCATCGGGCTCATACCATTGGATTATCAGCTTTACTCGACTGATCCACTGACCTGCATATCACCTCTATGATGGTACTGTCCGAACTACCTCTATTATCCATAGTCAAAGGAGGTGGGGGCGACCAGCTTTCGCACGCACGCACTCGCACTCACACACTCGCCCACACACATACAGCGATCAGTTTCTTACTCCATGGGTCTCTACGAATCATCCGTGTTGAGTGTCTGTCCATTATATCTCCTCACATAATTGTCTTGCGTATCTGCTATCTCGGAGTCTGCCAATATGACAAGCAAGAAGGAATTTTTCAGACCAGTCCTCTTCAAAGACAACGATTATTTCCTCCCAAAGAATTAAGAGACTGAGAAAGATCAAGATAGACAAGAAATCTGATGAAAGACTTAAGGGAAGTTACCGCCCTCAGCCGCCAATTCCGAAGCAGTCACCTGCGTGACGTTGGCGTCTGTGGTGAATGGGTCTACGGAGCTCAAGCTGCTCACGCGGCCCAGCAAGACCTCGAGTTGCCTGTACGCCGCTGTCGGCTGATATTGGGGGACCATGTGGCCCGACAGGACAATGCCGACGTAGGTCAGCCCGCGCTCCGTATGCGTTGTGCCCATGACGCCAGATGCGGCGATAGTGCTCAAGGATGGCTCGTCGTGGTTCGGCACGTAGAAGGGGTCCTTGGGGGCGGTCTGGAAGCCTTGAGCTCCGCCCCAGGTCATGTTCTGGATGGACAGCAGGGTTCCGTTTGCGATCCTTTGAAAAATTGAGTCAGCTATTGATCGCGTAAAAGAGTAAGAGTGCACAGGGTTTGGGGCAAGAAAGCGACTTACAGGACCATGTCCAGAGCTCCGTGGCCAACGATCACGTTCTGCGTGCGCTCGATGACGCCAGGGAGGACAGTCACCGAGGAAGGCAGCGAAGAGTCACCTCCACCGACGAAGACGTCCCCGCTAGCGCATTCTTCCCACTCAATCTTCGGGGCGTTGATGGCCGCCTGCACATCCGTGCGGTTGAAGTAGATCGAAGCGCCCTCCGGCTGATATCCGAAAGACCCGGGGACTGTAAATCTATCAGCACAATTTATTCCAGCCAACAAGAGGGTAACGAGGTCTCCAAGCTGTCTAGCTCGAGACAAGTGTGGACTCACATCCTAGAACATCCCACAGCAATGGACATGTCGTTGCGACAGCATAAATGTCGAAGCAAGGGTTCACGGCCATCACAGCATCGTAGATATCCCAGTACAGATTCTGGCATGAATCATTGTTCACACTTGGGAGATCATCGGGCCCGGGAAGAAGGCTAGGCGGCGGGAAGGACAGGAATTTGTCGCGGAAGTCAGCGTAGCCGCAGGCGGCATCGCGGGCTCGAATGTCGGCCCAGAAGGTGTCGTTGAAGGGGAAGACGGCAGCGTTAGACTCGACGAAAGGCAGGACAGTGACCGCGCTCTGCAGGTAGTCATAAGCGATGCTGGGATCGTAGATCATGATTCCTGAGACGTTGTAGTAGGTCGTGTCGTTGGCATCCAGCATGGCGCTGGCAATGTAAGGCACGTATTGGCCAGCGTACGACTCGCCCGTGATGTAGACGCTGTAGCCCTGCATGCCGAACGCGTCCACGAAGTTCTTGAACCAACTCATGAACTGCTTGGCGACATCCTCCTCCGAGGTCGCCGTAGGAATGCCTTGAGAGAAGCCGGTGCCGACAGGCTGCTCTACCCAGACAACGTTCGTGAGCTTGTGCCAGCTGTAAGGGTTGGCAACCGGCTTGTAAGTGCCATATTGCCACAGAAACGGGCCGTTTTCTTGCAGGAAGCCTTCAAGGGATGAACATCCAGGCTATTCTCGCGTTAGCATCTTTTCAAGCTGGATCATGAATTATCGTGGGTACTGTTTCTTACCCCTCCGTTGAGCCAGATGAGGATTTCCTTATTAGCTGCCGGGTTCTCCGAGGGAAAGAACCAGAAATACAGCTCGCTGTCGCTGCTATTGGCGCCAGTGTCCAGGGGGATCAAGCCAGCATACGACTCACCGACGTCGAAGTCGACGTCAGGTATGGCGGTACCGTTTACAACGAATTCTGTATAAGAGGATCCGTTCAGCAAGGTTGTGAAGCTAAGAAAGGTCAAGCTTTCCAGTGGGTTTGCTTACTTGAGGTTGTATTGGTGAGGAACTGAGATGCCGCAGTAGCGCGCTTGGCGGACGCTTGGAAATCGCGCGGCATCAGAGGCAGGTCCGCTGCAATGTTTCGTCCCGAGTTTTGCAGCCTGTCTGCGAATCCACCGACATGACGGGTAGATCGTCCGGCCGCGGCAACGCCGCCGAGCGCAAGGGCCGAGAGCAGCTGCGTCAAGTACATTTTGGAGGCTGACGTGCAGAGAATCGACGTTTGACAGTGGCACTCTGGAGACAAGAACCAGAAGCAGCCCGGAGGAGAAGAGGAGGGCGATCTTCAGGTTATATCACTACCTTACCCCTGCGGGACTGGGATAGAACAGTAGACCCCGAGTGAATGAACATTACTTTGTCGCTACTTGTAACTACCTCGTAATGTAATAAACCAATGGAAGGTGACGATAAGCAGCGAATCACAGCTTATCATCCAGGCTATCTGATGATGGATGGAATGGCTTGCTTCTGCCCCTGGAGAAATGGAGATGTGGATATGTAGCTCGGTAGCTCGGCCGGTCCAAGGCGCACCCGCTTCTCGTGGAAAAGTGAACTTGTGGTCACTGAGGGGAATATCTAAGTTGAACATTCAGACGACATGCTACCAACTCATACAGCCAGCTACCACCTGCTGGCCAAGAGGGGTGGTTAGCAAGGAGCCAGTTGTCATTGTGTGTTGCTGTGATCAGGAGCACCTGCGATCAGTACTTGTCATGTCGGTGATGAACGAGTCGGCCATGATGCTCAAAGAGGAGACAACGCCCCACCGAGTGCAACGGTGTACAGTAGCGATGCAATCGTGCATGAGCGACGGCGGGATCCACAAATGACCTTGGCCCGATCCGGAAGGTAAATCAGGAACGCGAGGCGACGGACATGGATATGCTTGACAAATTCGTCATCGCAAGGAAGAGTGATCTGATGTCCAGGTCCAGTGGGAAAAAAAAAGATTCCATGAGAGTACCTTTGACTCTCTAGCACGTGCCCAGGAACAGAGCAAGTGTAGGCGTAGGTTAAATGTCCGCCTGAGACCGCACGGAAATATTTTGATATTGTTCCACCCAAGCTGTCATACCCGAAGAGCACATTGGAGATCCTGCGTTACGGTAAGGTACTGCAGGCAAGAGGAAGTGACTGAAGATGAGGTTTGTGAAATTATTATTGTAATTGAATGCTCGTGGTATGTCTTGGAGAAGCTGTGGTGTTCAGTAGAAACGCAACATCAGATGATGTTGATCAATGACATGGGTGCAACAGAAAATGTTTCCGCAGTTCAATTGGCTCACGTTGACAAAGTCAAAGCTCCCGTCAGCAAACCTTCACTCTCAAGATCGTCCATAATATCTAAAACAGCAACTCTGCCGGAACGCCCAGCTAAGCGCTCATGATTTAGTAACGATCACCTAGGGATATTCAGTGATCTTGAAGGTATACACATATTGCCCTAGGTACCTGAACAACGATCCTTTGCAATCCAGCTTTAAGAATTCCCGATATTCTCTCCTCCCTCTCTTCATGTGAGGGCAAGATGTAATTCTGTGAGGCATTGCCTCTCATGGACCTGACTAAAATGTATTAGTTTTCGTATGTCGTTACTATGCAATATGCATCACCCCTGATTTGTTACCATCCAGACGGGAACCGCCAAGCACCATGCACCTCCGCTAAGATCCCGAAGGTTAACTGCCCCTGAACATTTTCCGTCGGCAGTTTTAGACCCACCAGGTTGCATTCTGTCTGGTACGGCGGTCGAATTGACTTTCGGTAGGAAAGTCAACAAATAGTGTTTGGGATCCATGTGAAGATGTAGATCTGCGGATCTCGAGTCACGACGACGCAGGTCGGCAAACCCAGACCGATCGACCCGTCGCCTTTGGCTCATCGATCTTACTCTCATGTACATTGCTATAGGGCTGAGATGAATGAAACGGAACACCTTTGCCTCAGACATTCGCTGACACGGAGGACCGAAGTCAACATGCTCGAACGGAGCGTGGATCAATTTGAGCCTGCTGAGCACCGTGTCTTTAACCCCTTGATAGATATTGACAGAATAATTGACGCCAATCTCGTGTTACTTACGGCAGCACGATCAATTTTAATTGCATTGTCTCTCAAGTTGGCGTGTGAAGAGGTGACCAGGATTCTGTAAAGTATTCCAGCTAAATGGACTGGGGAAATCTTCGGAAAACTTCTCACGACTCTATGCATAGAACAAGGCAGAGGTGGCCTTTGATTAAGTGTTGGGAACAGTACCAGCCCATCAGAATTTCACGAGGACACTAGTGCACAAATCAAAATGCACATGTGACCACGTGTTGTATTTAAACGTGTGTCTTCCGCACGGTTGCCGAACTCTTCCACCAGGCCCGACCATTGTCGAATGGCCGATATTCAGACTAGACTAGGCGCGATGTTGCAAAGGCTGATTATGGATGTGAGCTTCCTGGAGTAGTTGAGCTCCCCATCTGCGAGGTCGTCCTGAGCCCAAACAGCATGCAATAACAGCGTGATGTGGTTGAACGATCGCGACGAGATTTTATTCTCCGTCCTCGAGATAAGCCCCATGATGGTCGCTCGTTGGTCATCAGTTCGGGCCTCGCAACCTAGGATGAAAATGGGAAATTGTCGCTCGCACGAGGTCAGTTGAGAAAAGAGCGCGAACGCCTGGTCGATATATCTCTGGATTCTGGCTGCCTGGTCGAGAAGGTTTTCACTGACTCGGTTTATATAGACGAGAATAGCCAGCCGATACAGTTCTATGATGGTCGCCATCTCCGGGTTCTCGTCGGGTTCAAGAAAGACTGGAACTGTCCTGGTCCTCCAGTCAAGAACCCTCAAGAAACCTTTGTGGTCCTCAAAACCTTCTTTGGTTGCTATTTCTGACGAGGGTCCCGGCAATGCCTCACAGAATTCCGATAGCAACTCCGGAAGAGCTGAAGCAGAAGATGGTTGATGGGAAATGCAACTTCGTCTCAAAGATAATGCTGGGGGTTGTAGAATGTACACTTCTCTCCACAGGGTCGAAGGGCTCGGAATGACGTCCCCGTGCCAGTGTCTTAGAGTAAACCGGGTCATCACGTCGTGGTAGTAAAGCCAATCCATCAAGGCAGCAAAGTCATCATTTTCGTGAGGTCTTTCGAGGGAGCATACGCTGAGCAACTTCTTGACACCAGCAATGTAATATGCCCATTGGCCTGAAGTACAAGAAGACTGATGGACCTAACGGAATACTTCATTAGCGAATGATAAATACGTGGTCGCTGATTCAGATCCTGACCTCGAAAGAACACAGCAACATGCCGGCAGCGATATGTTGAATCACTTCAGACGAACTGAGGCTACTCTTCGAACAAGATGCTTGAGCCAATGCTTCCAGGCTTAATATCTTCAACTCAATTGCCTGCGACTGAACACCATATCGATGAAGCGAGGACAAGGCAAGGAGAGACCGGAGCACGGCAGTCGCGGAACTTGAATTGTTTGTGAGAGCCACGCGCATGAGAACATTTCCCAAATCAGAAGGCTTGCGGCCGAAACTGGTCAGAGACTTAGAAGCGCTGTGCTGGACTTTGCTTGGTCAGTCTAATCATTACAGAAGGCAAAAGAATATAGACTCACAATACTGCAAAAGATCCTTGTCACTATCAGATAAAACAGACGGATTCCATCGCATGGGCACGCGAAGGATTAGCTGGGCGCGCTCTGCAGAGGCGTGTCAGCAACTCATTATATTATTGTGATTGCCCCAGGGGTAAATCTATGGGGCCTTGCCTCTTGTGGATGAAGCTGTCAACTGATAGTGCATCTCAATGTCCCAGGAAGAAGTGTGGACAAGGCTCGCGCCAGATATCTGGCGATTCGGCTTCCGGAATGAGGTTTTCACAACTTTAGCACGTCTCTCATCTCCCTCTTTTGGCCATGACAAGCGCAAATCATATCCCTGGCATGAACGTCTTGATCGAGAGCACTGTAAGCATGTCGGAGTAGCACGATCACAGTGAATCCGACGCTCTTTGGCCAATTTCTTCAGTCTCGTCTTCATAAATTTGATACGACTCTGACATACCTCTGCATGTTTTGCAGCTTCGTTTCGCAATCGGCATTTCTTAGCTTTGGTCTACAGCGAATCAGGGAGTTGGAGGTTCGGCAGTCGCCTTCAGGTTTGATGTATCCGAGATCGCCAGCGCGTTTGTGCTGTTGAGGACTCGGCCAGAAATTGGGGGTACTCGGTCGACAGAGATATTGTACAGTACTCGCATTCGCGAAAAGTTGCCCAACTTTTCCATTAATTTAGGATTCCATTTCAGACAGTAAGCGGATCGAACTTCGTCTTGTCTCCAGGATTGATTGATAATCCACATCATAACGCTCCGTTCCGTGACTAGGGTGTTCTGAATCCGCCGCTACTTTGGCACTGTGACACCGTAAGATGTAGGGTCCAATTCATGCTTACCAAGCCATAAGATGCACGAACCAGACGGACGTAACACGCAAGTAAGCTTGGAAAGCGAGAAACTGGCAACTTTGCGCATCCCTTTTCAATGTAACCTGACTAGCACCCATCCAAATTCGTGCTCAGGGATGGACTCCTGCATGTCAGGCCAAGACCCAAATGTTTGGCAACTATGGGCGAATCACCTGGTAGTCGATCTTAACATGTCCACTGCCGAAATATAGTTCGCGGGGTGATATCTTAGAAATACCAATGGCGAGAGACTTATAATCGCTCGCAACTCACACCTTTCAGCTTGTTGGACATGAGAGGCTTACACGTATATAAAGTCGCTCAATGTCCGCCATGCCCAGGTGCTTTAAGACCAAGCAATCCGAGCCTTCATAAGTAACTATCTACAGCCATATATAATTCCGAGACTTTTTGAACGATTCAAATCACTTGAGAAATTTTCTTGCCCTATCTAAAATGGCTACATACGTTATTACTGGTGTTTCAAGGGGCCTTGGTGTAAGTATTGTCCTGAGAACACCATTGGGCCCGAGTATTGTCTAATTATGCCAAATAGTGGGAGTTCCTGAATCAAATGTCCAGCAATCCTGCCAACACTGTTGTCGGACTTGTTCGAGACAAGCCAAGAACGGACAAGAGAGTGGCTGAAGAACTGAGTGGACGGTCTAATGTCACCGTTTTGGAAGCTGACGTTACCGATTACGACGCCGTGAAGGTATTAGCCCGCACGAAATGCTCGTGTGACGATCTTGAAGAAAACACACAAGTCGCTAACATTAACTGCAGAAAGCCGCCGAAAGCTCTGTGGCGGTCACCGGTGGCAAAGTCGACTATCTCATCGCGAATGCGGGCTTCGTATCGACATGGGACTCATTTGGTGGATTCGATGTCTTGTGAGTATAGCAACTACGCCCTCTTCGACACGCACGTTAATTATTCGAGAAATATATGCTTACGTCGGATGTAATTCAGGGACCAGAACCCTATGGAGCTTGATGAGTATTTCATCAAGTATTTGCGTACAAATGCTCTTGCCAACATCCACCTGTTCAACCTGTTCATGCCCCAGATCCTCAAGGGCCAGGTGAAAAAGGTGGTAACTATCTCAAGCGGCATGGGCGATATGGACTTCACAAAGGATTACGACGTCTTAGAAGCCCCCTTGTACTCCACAAGTAAAGCGGCTATGAATATGATCTCTGCCAAGTTCAGTGCCCAGTACAAGGAGCAAGGCGTCCTCTTCCTCGCAATTTGCCCTGGCATGGTTGAGGTTGGGCACTTTGATAACAGTAAGAGTTATTCCTTTGTTTGTTTGAGCGCTCGAACCCACCTAGCTGACCTTGCATTCTTCACAGTAACCCCAGATAAGCAGGAAGGGTTGCAAAAGTTCGTGGAAAAGTTCAAGAGGTACTCACCAACTTTTAAGGGAGCAGACTCTCCTCCAGAGTCGATTAAGGCTGTCATGTCGGTTGTCAACAACTCCTCCATTGAGAATGGAGCAGCTGGTGCTTATCTCTCCCACTTTGGCAACAAGAGATGGGTGTGAGCCGTTCAAAACGTCCGCTTATGACCCCGGGTGATGAATGTGTGGCTAGCTTCTGGAGCGAGGTGTTCAGTCGGGTCTATGGCACGAGGTGAGATGGTTGAGATCTAGCTGAACATAGAAACAATTCTTCTATTTTTGACAATCACACCGTTGTTGCTATCCATTGTTCAAAGAACAATTTCTTTCGTAGCGAACTGCTTTTTGCTCTTGTATGCTGAGCAGTCGGGTTTCAAGGATCCAGTACATGAAATGATTACACAAAATCGCCACTGCTCGATATTTGACCCAGTAAGAGAATAATAAACTACCAGCACAAAAGTGTCTCTTGTCTTGAGGCTTGCTACATTCTATCTTGTCGGTAGACTCCAATTACGACGCCTGTATATGCCTATTTGTAGCAAACTGATAATCAATACCTATAGGTCTTGTTTTCTAGCCTCGATTTCAGCCAATCAACAGATCTCACAATTACTGGTGGGAGAGGATAGATTTTGCAGCAAATATTGAATTTATCACACCAGGTTAGTCGGAGTTCATGATCACAGGCAGAATAGATCCGTCTCGGCCTTGCTAGCTGGGAACGTCGACGTACTTGCATTTGATATATCTCATTTCGTCTCAAAGTTTTATACGCATTTTGTCCCCAGTCAAGATTACAGAGAAGAACAACAACCAAGTGAGTTTCTCACACAACATAATTAAAGCTGAGATATAGGAACTACTAGAGTACGTGCTACCTCACCTATGGCTATTGGGTGCAACCAGTTGACAATCCAGATATCTACGGATTACATCATGATAATTGAGTTTTTTTATGGACTGCCTTCAAAGACCCGGCAGCTATAACAATTTCATTGGTGGATGCAATTGGGAGGTGCAGCCCGAATCTGCTCAAATGGAATTCACCATGCCACTTCTGAATCTTGATTCTGTTTCGTTCTCCCAACCATTCTACATACATCGATGCAATATGAGGTGCGTCTTGGTTGATGCTCTTAATGCGATAACGCACTGCGAGGGGGCTCTTGTTCTAAAGCAAGGACTCCGGACACTTGAGGAAGTGGTGTTTTGAATTTCTAGGGCCCCGAAAGGGTTGAGGTATCATCTATGTGTTGAAGATCAGTATAGTACAGCATTATAAACAGCTCTATTTCTTTTTGGCCGCTTTCTTCGCGTCTGAAGCGACAGCAGCCTCCTCTTCCTCGATGACAGCTTCGATGTCCTTGCCCAAACGCCACTCCTTGACACTATCCAGGACCCTGTCAAGGGTCCTGCCACCCTCGAGCACATCTGGGAGGTTGTTGACATCAAGCCCACTCCTGTGGTCCGAGCATCGATCCTGACTGTAGTTGTACGTCCGTATCTTGTCACCACGCGTGATCTTGTCTTTGGACAGGACGCTGTCCCTCAAGCTCTTCGCCTCTTCCTCCCTGGCCTCACGGCGAGCGATAGCTATTCTTGACCGCAAAATCTTCCAAGCCGCGTCCCTATTGGCCTGTTGCGACCGCTGATCCTGCATGCTGACCGTGATGCCGGTTGGAGTGTGCGTCAAACGGATAGCTGACTCCGTCTTGTTGACGTGCTGGCCACCTGCTCCTCTCGCCCTCATAGTCTCAGTCCTGACCTCGGTCGAATCGATGTAGAAATCGCTTTCCGGGTTGTTGTAATCGCCTGCACCGGCACCATTCTCGGGGAAAGATGGCAAGACCCACACGGCCACCGCGCTGGTGTGCGTTCGGCCCTTGTTCTCCGTCACGGGCACACGCTGCACCCGATGTATTCCTGCTTCAGCACGGAAGATATCGTAGGCGCCCATGTCCTGGACCTCCAACACCGCCTCTTGTAGGGGTAACTCCCCATCAGAGCCTTTCATATCCCCCGCGCCTTCTGCTGTCTCGTACTTGACGACCTTTGTACGGAAACCCTTGCGCTGGCAATACAGCTGGTACATTTTGAACAGAGTATCTGTGAAGAATCGCCCTTCTACACCGCCAGGGCCAGGCCGGAACTCGAGAATGCAGGGCAAGTCTGCGTAGGGGTCCTTGGGTGTCAGGCTCGCTGAGAGCTTGTGGCCAAGAGTGCCCAGATGCTCGTGAGTCGCCTGGAGCTCTTCTTGTGCCATTTCACGCATCTCAGCGTCTTTGGACTGCAGAAGGCCGCTCAGCTCAGACAAGGAGGACTGTGCCGCCTCCCATTCTCTCAGGGCCGTTGCGACGCCAGCTATCTCGCCAGCGCGCTTTGAGATTTTGGAGTCGAAAGAATCGGCAAGCTGCTGACTTAGTTGGCCATGTTCGACTGCGAGCTTGCGGGCGCGCTCGAGAAGGACGGTCGGAAGATTGTACGGAGAGTCTGCGCGTGCAGCTGGTTAGATGCTGGCGAAAATCAAGGCCTCAGAGAGTGGCGATCTGCTGCAGCGTACCTGTACTAGCCCTCCTCAGGAATTGACGCGATATCGAGGGCGTTTGCGACCTCAGACAGCGCAGAGACACCCATGATGCTGCCAACATAGTCTCACATCAGTAAGGATGTTGAGAATAGACGGGATACTTCCAGCCAAAATTCGGGATCAATTGGGAGGGCTATGTCGATCATAAAAGTATTGCCTGCCGACGAGATGATCGTCGCTGTGGCATGACACCCCTGCCCCATGGGGTACCGGCTTAGAGTCACTCAATTGAAGGCATTTGACGGCTTCCCACCAATGAAAGAGATGCACCAAGATGAAAAGAGTCATATTTTCTAGATGCAATTGGCTCAGAGGGTACCTAGGCAGTGCATAGCTAAATGCCGTTGCGAGAGTGTTGTTGACTCACAATAAAGTGAAAGGACACTCAAGGCGGACTGCCCCGCCAACCGCTGTCGATATTGACCCCTCCAAACTTTACTGTCATTGAAGTTTCCCAAATCCACCACCCCCTCGAAGCCCGTCAATTCCGGTGAACATTCAACTCCTCGACGCTCTTTCCTGCAGCATTTTCTGCTCCTACAGATCTTGTCGAGGACCTGCGGCATTCTACTTTAGTTCCTTCCTGCTGCTTCCCGACCTCCTCTCGTCCTCGCACCAGCATGAGCGTCAATAACGCCGAGGCTCTCTCTGAGTCTCCTATCCCAGCCCACACAGGCAAGCAGTCTGTGGATCCGTACAATGTCAAAGGAGAAATTGATGAGCATGGCAATGTCAAGGCTATTGACTACAACAAGTTGACCGAGGAGTTCGGGACCAAGCTCATCGACCAGGCGCTCCTCGACCGGTTCGAGCGGGCCACGGGCCAGAAACCACATCGCTTCATGCGCCGAGGCATCGTATTCAGCCACCGAGACCTCGAGGTTATCCTTGACCGCTATGAGAAGGGCGAGCCGTTCTTCCTGTACACTGGCCGCGGGCCAAGTTCCGACAGCATGCACATCGGCCACACGATCCCCTTCGCCTTCACAAAGTGGCTGTCCGACGTATTCGATGTCCCGCTGGTCATCATGTTGACCGATGACGAGAAGTTCCTATTCAGCGAGAAGAGAACGATCAAGGAGGTGAAAGAGTACGCCCAGCAGAACGCGAAAGATATCATTGCATGCGGGTTTGACCCCAAGAAGACATTCATCTTCTCCGACTACAAATACATGGGCGGCGCCTTCTGGGAGAACGTCACACAAGTGGCCAAACTGATCACCTGGAACCAAAGCAAGGCCATATTCGGTGGTGATGGCAGCACGAATGTCGGCAGGGCTTTCTTCGGTGCTATTCAGGGCTCGACGGCTTTCGCATCTACATTCCCTCACATTTTTGGCACAGACGACAAACTCACCAACCAGATCCCCTGCCTCATCCCGTGCGCCATCGACCAGGACCCATACTTCCGTATGACCAGAGATGTTGCGGCTCGTCTTCACTGGGCCAAGCCTTGCATGATCCACGCGCGATTCCTGGACGCCTTGCAGGGTCCGGGCTCCAAGATGTCAGCATCCATAGACTCCTCCGCTATCTTCATGAAGGACACGCCCAACCAAATCAAGAACAAGATCAACAAGTACGCCTTCAGCGGCGGCAGGGAGACCGTGGAGGAGCACCGAGAGAAGGGCGGTCAGCCCGACATCGATGTCAGCTACCAGTACCTGAAGTACTTTATGGAGGATGACGAGGAGCTGCAGAAGGTCTACGACTCGTACAAGAAGGGCGAGATGCTGACGGGCGAGCTCAAGGCGCTGTGTATCAAGTACCTGCAAGAATACGTCAAGGAGTTCCAAGACACCCGGGCGAAGGTAACAGACGAGGTTCGAGATGAATTCATGGCTATCCGGCCACTCGAGGCCAAGGGCAACCCCAAGGCCCCGGTTGAGCTGCCTCTCAGAACAAAGGTAGTCGCTAGTGGGGAAGGGGCCGGCGAGGAGAATGCTGGGGATGGGAAGTTGACCAAGAACCAGCTGAAGAAGCTTGAGAAGCAGAAGCAGATCGAGGCCAAGAAGGCGGCCAAGGCGCAAGAGAAGGAGGGCAAGACGAAAGAGTAGTCGAAAAAGACTAAGCCGTTTGTCAGGCATGCTCCCGTCACGCCAGACAGCTTAGGTTTGCTCCAAGGACCTGTCGCATCACGATATCACAGGAAAAGGAGCTCCATTTTGAACCCAGATACCAAGAATATCACCTCAAAGCTTGCTTTGATATTGGCTGCCCTGCGTTTGTTGCAGTCTCGTCATGGCGGGGGGATGCCGGATCGTCTCGTGAACTAGTCCCTCTGTAATGCCATGATACTCACGAACCCTTTCTACCTCCCTGCGCACTTCTCCTCAGAAAGTGATGCGAATATCAGCCAACGCTAGGCACCAGTTAACTTTGGTCCCATCTTTGTCTCTCGTCCCATGTTGCGCACCGCCCAATCGACAATGCAGATGGCTACCCGAATTGACCCCAGGCCCCAACTATGAGAGACTAGACGAAACCCGCCCATTTGGCCAATCGTAACCCGGGTGAGCGGCCCCGGCTGCATGGTTGCCGGTTCGGGCTGCCGGTGCTCCACACCGTTTTTGTTTCTGAGGTTCCCTCCGAGCGAAACCCGGCCGATGTAGCTCTCTCCCTCCCTGTCCCCATCCGATGGGATGCTTGGCTAGTCCTGACTCCTGGCTGGGGAGGGGTTGATGAGCCATACTATCTTAGCAGCCGTTGAATGACTAGGAGGGCGAGGAGGAGCCCACTAGGGGCGTGTAAAATAGGGAGGTTAGCTTTAATCGGAGGCGAATACAAAGCCCGCGCACCCTCCCGAGGTGCTTGGTCTTGGACATGACCGACCATACATGCATGACGTCTACTTGTCTTCTCGGTCTCTCCCACCGTTGATTGAGTCGCTTTGCCTCTAGTGCGACAGTTTGTGTTGTCCTTTTTGTGAGACTCTACCTTTTGAGCCTCAGAGTTACCTACAGTAGAGCCACTTGCACTAATATATCCATTAGTGACGCTGTCGAGAATAGACACATTATAGCTTCCGTTGCTCCCCGACAGTTGTACAATTGTACATTTTCCAGTCCGCCTTGAAGACGAGTGGCCAGCAGAAAGTCTCTCAAGATGCCCCTCCCAACGAAGGACCTCTTCCCTGAAGGAAAACTCTCATTCGCCAAGTTCAACAGCAGGCGAAGCGTCGTGCACAGCACCAAGGGCATCGTCTCTTGCACCCAGCCATTGGCAGCGAAATGCGGCATCGAGATCCTCGACGCCGGCGGGAACGCAGCTGTGAGTCCCAAGCCTCTGTGCCCGGCGCGCAGTCTTGAACCCCAAGTCTGACGAGCCCCGTCCCCCTTTCTAGGACGCTGCGGTCGCAGTCGCGGCCGGTATGAACATGACGGAGCCCTGCTCGACTGGTATCGGTGGTGACATGTTCTGCCTGTTCTACGACGCCAGGACCTCCAAGGTCAGCGCGCTCAACGGCTCCGGGCGGTCGGGCGGTAAGTGCACCTTGGACCAGCTCCGCCACGACCTGGGCCCCGACGCCGGATCCATCCCCGCTCGCAGCGTGCATGCCGTGACGGTGCCCGGCGCCGCGGCCGGGTGGGTGGACACTGTCGAGCGGTTCGGCTCCGGCAGGTTCACCCTGGAGCAGATCCTCGCGCCGGCCATCAGGCTGGGCGAGGCCGGCTTCCCCGTGAGCGAGCTGACGGCTGAGTCCTGGGGCAACGCGGAGAACATGATCAAGACGGCCAGTCCCAATGGAAAGGAGATGCTGAAGGCAGACCCGGAAAGCGAGGGGTTTTTCCGGGCGCCGAAGGCAGGCGAGATCATGAAAAACCCGACGCTGGCAAGGACTTTCCGGGCGATCGCCACGGAGGGGAAGAAGGGTTTCTACACGGGACGCATTGCAGAGGCGTTCGTGAAGGTTGTGCAGGACCTCGGCGGCTACCTGGATCTGGAAGACCTAGCCGACCACCTTGATCGAGGCAGCGAGCCTGTGGAGCCCATCTCGCTCAAGTTCAGGGGCCAGGGCCTGCAGAGGGGCAAGAAACGGCAGGCAAACGGCGAAGTCAAGGACAGCGACGTGGACGACGGCGACAAGGGCCTCGAGCTCTGGGAGCACCCTCCCAACGGCCAGGGCATCGTCGCGCTCATGGCGCTGGGCATCATGCAGGAGCTTGAGAACCAGGGCAAGATCCCGACCTTCACGGCGGCGCAGCACAACTCGACGCCCTACTTGCATGCCATCATCGAGTCGCTGCGCATCGCCTTCGCCGACGCCAACTGGTTCGTCGCCGACCCCAATGTCGTCCAGGTCCCCAGCGCTGGGCTCATCTCCCCAGCCTACCTCGCCAAGCGCGCGAGCCTGTTTGACCCGAACAAGGCCTCGAATGGCGTTATCGCCCACGGTTCGCCAGCGTTGCGCAGCAGCGACACGGTCTACTTTGCCGTGTCGGACGCGGAGGGCAACGCTATCTCTTTCATCAACTCCAACTACGAAGGGTTCGGGACATGCATCATCCCCAAGGGCTGCGGCTTCACCCTGCAGAACCGCGGGGCCAACTTCGACCTGCGGCCGGCCGACCACCCCAACCTCTACGCGCCGCGCAAGAGGCCCTACCATACCATCATCCCGGGCCTAGTGACCAATGTGAGCGACAACTCGCTGCACAGCGTGTTCGGTGTCATGGGCGGATTCATGCAGCCGCAGGGCCACCTGCAGGTGCTCCTGGGGCAGGTCGTCGCCAAGCTGAGCCCGCAGCAGGCGCTGGACGCCCCGAGGATATGCATTGGTCCGAATACCGATGGCACCGGCATGACTGTCAGTGTTGAAGATGGCATGCCGGAGGACACGATCCAAGGGCTGAAAGAATTGGGTCACGATGTCCAGATCCTGCGCGGAACTAAAAGAGTGCATTTCGGGAAGGGGCAAATCATCAGATGGACGGTCGATCCGGTGGAGGGGAGTGGGGTTTGGTCTGCTGGCAGTGATCAAAGGGGTGATGGAGCCGCCTACCCTGCGTAAGATGATATTTCGCATGACTGTGCAGGTTGGATTTGGCGGTTGCGCATTTATATTCCGGGGCTGGCTGTTCAACACGACCCGTGAAGGCTGGTTTGATCGTGGGAAGCATTGACTGTACTTGTTGTAGATACGTTTCGTCAGTAGTAATGTACAACATGGCTCTCACCTGAGAGCCTGAAATCCGGTACAATCGCGCTCTAGCATACACCAACAATTCCCTTGCCATCTATGCGGTGAGCCTGCGCCAAGTGACAGAAGTCGCCACGACGCCTCTTCTACTTCTCCTCGCCCTCGGTGGCTTCGGGTGCTGCCAAGACCGTCTTGTCCTCGAGCAGCTTCGCAAGCTCGCCGTTCTGGTGCATCGAGATTAGAATGTCGCAGCCGCCGACGAACTCCTTGTCGACGTATAGCTGGGGGATGGTCGGCCAGTCCGAGTACTCCTTGATGCCTGCCACCCATCTCGTGTTAGCCCCACGCCACTAGCCAGGACAGCCAGTCAATCACATGTGGTTCACCCACCTGCGCGCAGCTCAGAATCCTCCAGGACGTTGAAGGCGGCGAACTTGTTGGGGTCGACGCCCTGCAGCCCCAGGATCTGGATGCTTGCCCTCGAGAATCCGCATTGTGGGGTCTCTGGCGTGCCCTTCATGAAGAGCACGACCGGTGCGGAGGCGACAGCCTTGTCGATCGCTTGTCTTGTGGCATCGGAGAGGAGGCGTTGTTGTGCGAGTGACAGCATGGGCGATCGCAGGAAGGCGGGCGCCCGTCTTGAGCTTTGCGCCGCGAGGGACGAGGCCGCGGGTCGGGCAGCTTGCCGGAGCAACTATTAGAGAAGGTCGTCAGCAAATGGTGTTTTCTTAGCTTGAGAGAGACACATAGAACTCACTGGTGTTAGTACTGGCCGCATGAACATCTTGGGCGTCTTGATGTGAGAAAGACGAAAAGGTTGAACAAGAGGCGAAGTGAGAGAGAGCAATTGCATCGGCCCCAAGATCTGATGGCGTCAGTCGTTGGTAGGTGGGCCTAGAAAGTTTGACCAATGCCTAGGCCCGATAGGTAATCCTGGGTACGCAGGTACTTGGGGGACGGTGATCAACAGACAACCTCACTTTCGTCGCCACCACTTACAGAGAGCTGTGTAGTCTTCAACCAAAGCTAGTGTAGATCCTATCAGACGTAGGATTGAGGTCGTAATTCATCATATAATTTGACACAATGGCTTGACGGCTCTATGCCTTCCTCGAGCCCAACCATCCCAGTCCCAACTCAAGTCTGATCCTGAACCGACTTCGGCACCGTCTCCCTGTTTTGTAAGCGCCTTGATTTCTCATCCGCATACGATAATCTTCGTGGAAATACAAGACATAGACACTGCGGATCATGGATGTTATTCACAACCTAAACAGCACATTCGTAGAACAAACCAAGCACCTGTGCCCAAGCAGGTAGGTCTTTTCTTGGCCAGTTTCGCTCTTAATGTATTCTTGAGTCCCCCTTCGATCCGTTGGCATGCTCGCGAGGTATAGACCAGCAGGATACTAAGTGTTAATAGCCATCCATCTTGTTAAACCCAAATAATACCGGATTCTCACAAACTCCTCGCTCTCTACCAAACCCGGGGCCTCATCTACAGCTTCAAGACTCCCGAAAGCTGCAGTCTCATCTCATCCTGTCGTTCTCTCAGCCATGGCAAACACCACGACAACCAATGCCCTGGCCGAGCTCGTGGCCTCGCGGAACGACGGCAAGGCCCACCTGCTCCTCGCAGCATCCGGCTCCGTGGCAACCATCAAGATCCCAAACATCATCACCGCGCTGACCCGTGCCCACCCGCCATCCACCCTCTCCATCCGGCTGATCCTCACCTCGTCGGCCTCCAACTTCCTCGCCGGCCAGTCCGCCGAGCAGCCGCCCCTGGAGTCCCTGCTCGCCATCCCGGGGCTGGACGGCATCTACCACGACGGCGACGAGTGGGGCCGCGGGCCGTCCGTCGGCCCCGAGGAGGGCGTGTGGCGCCGCGGCGCGCCCATCCTGCACATCGAGCTGCGCCGCTGGGCCGACGTCCTCGCCGTGGTGCCCCTGAGCGCAAACACCCTGGCCAAGGTCGTGGGCGGCATCTGCGACAACCTCCTGACGAGCGTCGTGCGGGCGTGGGACGCGGACGGGCGTGTCGACGGCCGGAGGAAGAGGATCCTGGTGGCCCCGGCCATGAATGTGAGTGGTTCCAGATACTCTCCCGCCTGGGGCCTCATTGGTGGAGATTGACCTCTCACTCAAAGAAGCTTGACTGACCCGGAGACTAGACGGCCATGTGGCTCCACCCCATTACAGCAAAGCAGATCCGCGTGCTCACCGAGGACTGGGGTGTAATCGAGGCCGCAGACGGGACGATAGAGTCGGGCTGGTTCGAGGTCTTACGGCCACAGGAGAAGAGTCTTGCCTGTGGGGACGTTGGGGATGGTGCCATGAAGGAGTGGACTGAGGTTGTTGGGATAATAGAGGCGAGGCTGGGTTTGGGATCGAATCAATGACCATGGCAGTGTGCGAATGCCTCATAAAAGGGGCCGGATTTAGTACGTCGGACTTGCAAGCATATATCACTTTTTCAACCGCATCGAGCGCATTCACTGGCAGGCTGTAACCCTTAAACTACAGAGAGACTCAGTATTTGTTGGGTTCTACAGCGTAATATTACATTACTAAAAAGTTATCGTCACTGGCAGAGGAGGTCTTCAGATGTGTCTCCCCGCCAATTGTTCCCTTTCTTTTTCATGCGTGCCTTTCCCTTTGGCAATACCAACCAGTTCATGCGACCCAAACGCCACAGCCAACTACATAAGGCGCCTCGAGACCCAGAATTTGATCCCACCCCTATTCTGCAGGTAGCGCTCCTGCTTAGAATCTTCCAGAAAAACGTAAAGTGCCATGGAGACAGGCAAAGGCCCACTATCAGTCCTGGTCATCACAGCTTCAAGAGAAATCGTCCAATTGATGATGCCAAAAATAAGCAGCGTTGCCGTGCTGGAGAAAAGAATAGCAAGTCAGGCCATGCCTCTTGCTAGAGCAGTGTTTTTGTAGATTCGTAAATCCCATGGGTGCCGACTTCGCTCAGCTAGTTGCTCATCGACACTGTGTCCTTTCCCGACTGGTCGTTTTGTGGTGCGCAAGGTGACGTCTATCAACGCAATCTTAATCTAGTCATGTCGGAACGTACAAGAATCACCTTTGCTGCACATTCCCTTGGCCCAGAATGTGCAAGGCTTGGTACCAATCTTATTAGGGTTGATGCCACGGGGCACACTGTTGTTAACATGTTTCCCCCCGCGGCCCTTGTCCCGGCTTTTTGAGTGATCCGCATCTCGATCTCTGTCGTAATCGCGATCGTCATCGGCCTGTTGACTGCTATTCGTTGGCTGCTGCGCCCGTTGAGATTGATCTGGCGCTTGACCTGCAGCTAGGGACATGATATATGCCATATAGTCGGGGTCGGCGGGATTGGGAGCAGGCTGCTGTACTTGTGGTGGGGCAGTCGAGGTGCCACCGAGGCTTGCGAGCAGGGCTTGAAGCTGAGTGTCTGCTGAAGCCTGAGCAGGCTGTGGATGGCTTTGGGCGGGCGTGGCGCTCAGGGCTGCAAGAACAGCTTGAAGCTGCGCATTGGATTCTCCGCCACCTTGCAATGGAGCTGCCTGCTGTTGGACTGGCGGTGCGGCCTGTTGATAAGGGTCGTAGGCCTGCGAATACGTTTGCGAAGTAGATTGAGCCTGATGAGCTTGATATTGCTGAAGCTGCGCGTAGTACGCGGCCCAAGCTGCTGCTTGTTGATCGGCGGAGCTTTGAGCAGCCGAAGGAACCTGGTGTTGCTGTGCAGCTGGAAGAGGCTGTGCAGCCCGCTGTTGTTGCGCTCGCTGCTCCACCCGTTGTCTGTCTTTATTGTAACCGTGCCACCATTCCGCTACCTTTGCAGAGTCATGTCTCATCCACTCAGGAGGTTCAGTGGGAGGCGCAGGTTTACCCTTCAGCGTCTCTGCTACATCCTCAATCAAGTCGGCCGCTGGTTGAGTCCCAGGGTCCGTGTAGTCGTACCGACGGCGCGTTCGGGGGTTTGCTGGATCGTAGGGATCAGGATCCCTCCAATTCCTGACGCGTTCGGAGGTGAGGAGCGAGAAGACCTGATCTTCTTTGGACATGTTATGGAGGCTGGTCGGGGTCGGATCAATAGCTGCTGAGGCGTTGGAGTGCATACTGAGTTGACTCGTGGCACCAGACAGCGAAGCCTGTCCCTTCTGTGCTCTGCGCAACGCGTTCAATCGCGCCCAAGACAGGCCACGCGAGGTCGCTTCGTTCCAACGGAGATGGATCTCAGCCAGCTGTGGTTCGTCTTGTGGCAAGGATGCGACAGTGCCTGACTGCATGTCTGTGTCCTCTTGGGATTGCGTGTGCGGTGACTTAGGCGTGGGAGGGATGTCGGATGGATCGGTGTAGATAACCATTAATTCCTTGCTTTCACGTTCCGCAATGGCTTTTTGTTGTTCGGTTTCGAAATTCACCAGACCACCGCGAGTGACGAATTGTTTGTCCCTCCGATCCTGGGCAATCAGGGCAAAGTCAATGCCCGGGGGCTGGAACCACGGTCGATAAGGCAGCTCGTCTTCTTCGTCTTCATCTTCGGGGTGCGTGCCGCCCTGCAATCCCTGCTTGAGCACCATGCCTTCAGATCTGTCATCACGTGCGTCGCGTATCATGTTGCTGGCCCTGCCCTCATCCTCGAGACTCTCTCTATGGAAGACTCTGACCTCTGTGAGTGCGTCGTCTTCCTTCCAAGTCACCCTCAGATGTCGCCGCTTTTCCTTCCGTAAGCGCCGGGCTTTCTCCTCGGGGGTTTCATCCTTCTTAACTTTGGACTCCTTTTCAGGCGTTGTGCGACCGGCTGGCTTCGGTTTCGAAATCTCATCAAGTAAAGAACCAATACCACCAAACTTGGAAGTAACTGGTGCATCGTCTTTGGCTGACTCTGTCTTTCTTGCCTTTGAAACTTCTGACCTTGGCAATCCAGCCTCCTTCTTAACCTCCGTCTTACTCACACCACTTTCCGGCTTCACTGGCGTGGCTTTCGTTACGGCTTTTGAGACAAGTTTGGCCTTCGCCCCCAGCATACCACTCCCAGAGAACAGCTTGGACTGAGAAGCGGTAGTATTGGGAGCAGGGACCGCTACCTTGGACGGTGCAGCCTTGTGGCCGGGAAGATTTGCTGGTGCGGTGGACGGCTCAGCCGCGACCCTCTTCACAGACTTGGTGTCGCTTTCCTCATCACGAGGCCGTTTCGCAGATGACACAGTTGGCGCTGCCTTCGCCATCGCCGTGCTCGTTGTCTTCTTTTTGGAGGCGTCGGCAGTGGCAGAGGTGGACGCAGGCACGCCCTTTGGAGGTGCGTTAGGAGGGTCTGGGGTCGAAGTGCCTTCTACACCTTCCAGCTGGCCATCCTTCAAGACCTCCTCCCTGGTCTTCAAATTCTCTTTGATTTTCTTCACCAGCTCCTTCACATCTGCGTCACCTTTGGACTCAAACTTTTTGCTGATCTTGGAAAATTGGAGGTTTGTCATGAGAAATTCCTTTTCCATGGTTGTCACTTCGGACATCAGCCGCAGCACGGCTTTTGCAGCTTTACCATTGTGGTCAGCGGAATTGTTGGCGTGGATCAGGCATGTCACGAAGTCGCTGATGAGCTTCTGATTACCACCCAAATTTGCCAAAACCTGATGATCGCCCCACTTGTTCGCTCCTTCCACTGCCCGACAGATGATCTCTAGCCTGCGCGCAACCTTGTCTTTCAAGGCGGCAGCATCCGCCTCTTTTGCTGTCTTGAGTTTTTGCTTCGTCGTCTGGAACTCGCCAGTGAGCCCACGAATCAGCTTACCGTACGCAGCCACTGCGGCCCCAATTTCTGCCCCCGAAGGATTTGACTTCGTCAGATAGACCACGCCAATCGAGTCCCATTCAGCCGCGTCGGCCTCGTCTGCCGGTCGAGTCTTGCTTCGTTTGGGGCCTGGCTTGCGAGAGGCTTTCTCCTTTGCAGCTACAGTCTCTTTCAGCGTATCTGCATAGTAGTTGGGCACGAAGCCTCCAAAATGCTGCTTGAGACGCTGCTCCTGATCATTCTGTCCAGCGCTGTCGTCTTTGTCGATCGCCTTAGACCATTCTTGTAAGATTGAAGACGCAAGAGGGCGGAAAAGATTGTTCTGTGCTGGAAAACGATAATCAAGTGGTCCACCGGTGATCTCATCTGGGTCTCTGAGGTCACCGATAGGTGCTTCTTGTTCCGTGCTATCCTCGAGTTCTGCCGGAGGCACGAGTGAAAACCCGACATATCGCGACCCAACGCTTGGTATTGCGTTGTCATCCCGTCTCGTTACGCGGGGCGGTGCAAGACCACCTACCGTAGTTTGTTGAAAGGAAGCTGATGATTGAGTCGACAAATTGGCTCTTGGTTGTAGGACTGGCTGTGCGTTCGGTTGAGCATTTGACTGGGTGTTCGGTTGGGTATTTGGCTGGACGTTCGGCTGGGCGTTCGGCTGGACAGGATGGACATATTGCTGGATAGTTTGTTGAGTCTTTGGTTTTATGCTCTGCAATGCAGTCGTGTTGCTCATGGATACTGGGCTAGCAGTCGGCCGAGGCGCAGGCACAGTCTGCGAGGGCATAACCTGGGGGGGCATACCCTGTTGGGGCATGAATCGACTCTGCGTCGTGGGGGGGTTCGATAGATTTTGCTGCGCCTTTGCGGTATTCATCTGCTGAGGAGCCGAGAACGGCACTGCTGGACTACCACGACCATTTTGAATTCCAAATTGTACCTGTTGCACAGGGACGGGAGGTACCTGGTGACCATTGAATGGAGACTGGCGAAGCTGCGGGCTTGCACCAAGCGACTGAGGCGTGCCTACTCTAGGTACCTGCTGTTGAAAGGTCATCGTCTGAGGCTGAGTTTGCTGCGAACTTCCGTTTTGCAACTGGTTGACCTGCTGGTGTTGATTTATTGCAGGTTGTTGTTGTTGTTGCTGTTGCTGTTGCTGTTGCTGCTGCTGCTGCTGCTGCTGACTCATGCTGGATTGATGATATTCCATCGGATGTCTCTGATTCATCTGTTGGGCCACTGGCTGCGGCGGGTGTTGCTGCGGGCTCCTGGCATTTGATGAGACTTGTTGGGCTGGCGAGTACATACGGCCACCGGAAGGCTCTGCAAGGAATTGATGCTGCTGTGACAGCGTATTGGGCATTTCCTGCGCGAAGGTACCGGGCAAGCCATTGGCATGAGAGGCATGTTGCAGGCCACTTCCATACGACATGTTCGTCAAGGGGTTTGACTCGAAGGCAAAATCATAATCCCATGTCAATTCTTGCTGGCCATCCAGTGTTATAGGGGCCGGATGTGAGTACGTTTGAGGATGCTGATGACTTTGAATATGAGAGTTTGGCCCAGAGAAACCTTGAACTTGGTATGCTTGGCCTTGATCCTGGGTCTGGGACTGGTGCTGGTGTTGATGCTGATTCTGATGCTGGGGCTGATGCTGGGGTTGATGTTGGGAATGGTGCTGGGATTGGTATGAGGGATAGCCATTCTCCTGCAGGAAATGGCTGTCATGTGGTTGCCATTGGTGAGCATGAGCAACAGAAAAGGGGTTGTCGTCCATGCCACCGCCAGCAGGAGCACCAAAGGTTGAGTTCACAAAGGTGCCCTGGCCCGGCTCAGGGCCATTCTGATTAAAGTGGGAGAAGCCCCATGCCTGATGGTTATCACCACTGGCCATGGTAACTATCTCCCTTTCCCACCTGCCAGCTGATGATGGGCCTTGGCCGCGGTCTGCACTCTGCAAGCCGGTGGAAGGGTTGTCACGTGCGAACCGTGATGAAATATTTAGAGTATCGGGGTGCTGAAGGAGCGTGCGGATGGCGGCATGCAATTAACGGAGAAATGAGCGTTTCGGGAGAGGTGGACCGACGGGTGGCCAGAGACGGTTGATGAACAAGGATCTGAGATCTGCACTAGTCCCAGAAAGGCAAGGTGGGGTAAGATTTGGGGCCTAAGACCAGTTGAGAGTTAGCGGCAGGGAACACACCAAGGGAATGAGAGTGTGTGTGCATATGACGATCCCGAAAGTGCTGGAAAACAGGAGGAGAAAAGCCTGACGAGACAGGGAACGGGCAGCACTGATGCGTCCGTGGTAGCTGGCAACCGCCACTTGGGGCAAGCAATCAAGCAGACAGCACTCATCGGGTTCGCATCCCGGACAGCAGAGAGCACAGCAGACAGTTTGACAGGCAGTCGGGCGGGTTTGCAGCGGCTGGTCGGAGCTTAAGCCTTGGCGAGGATGAGGACCCCAGGTTCTGGTTCTGTACTGTTCAGCTCAGCAAAGCCAGTCTTCACGACCCCATTCTGGTTGAGCTGGCCTTGATTGATAGTGTTCTGGGCAGGTGTGTGACCATCAGACACAACTATACCCGCCCTTGTCCATGGACGAGGCTGTGGGTGGAATCGGAGGCTGCTCGGGATGGGTGCAGAAAATCCTGGTATCGGGGCGATGAGAGATCGTGGGGTGCAGGCTTGCCCGGCCGGGCTGCTTAACAGCAAACACCAACATTCACCATTCTCTCTGTCCGGCTCCCACTAAATCCGTATCCTGTTTCCAGGTTCGTCGTAGAGACGAAGCAGTCAAACAAAGAATGACGGGCAGTACGTGCAGCCTTAAGAGATGAAGCCGCTCAGTCAAGGCAGGCTGCTCTCACCTCAGGCCCCTGCCCGGATTTTTAGAAGTGCCAATTGCCAATTCTGACTATCGCTGTCGTTTCGCTGCTGGGCGTGTGTGTATGTGTGTGCCTGTCTGTCTGTCTGTCTCTCTGTCTGCCCGACGCGTGGCCGGATCTGCATGAATCAAGGCCAGAAGCTGATTGATGAGCTTTTTTTTTTCTGCGCCTGCTGCTGCAGCACCTCCGATCCCTAGCTCGGACGAGGAGCACCTGGAACCCAGAGGTACACGCACTCATTATTTTAAAAACAAGAGCCTTGCAACAGCCTCTGACGCTCGCAGTGTCTGTGTCGCAAGCTCGCCGCACTTGAGTCGTGTTGCAGTTGCATCTCCCTCAGGATGGAGGTGGGCAATTTCTTAGTCGTTACCATCTGGAAGTGTGCTGCTGTTCACAGAATTTCCCTGGTAGTCCCATGCACCCCTGAGGATCCAGCACGCATTTAAACGCTGCAGCTGGACCTCGACAGGCACGCGAAACAACATTCAAGTATAGATGATAATAACATACGATAGTGCTGTGGTCTGAGTATGTGGTGATTGACTGTGATGGGGGGAAGATGTAGTAAGGGGCTTGGAGAGTGTAGATTGCATACCCTGCGTCCGTCCGTCGGCTTGCTTTGGTTGTTTTCAGAGGTCCAAAGCCAGCCCAGAGATCCTTCCTACGCCGCTTGATCGCGCCTTGGAGGCTCTATCCTCCATCAAGACAAGCTGAGGCACGTTACAACATCGCTCTCCCTCTCTGATAACCTGAGAGACGGCGAGGCGCGTTCTGTCTATCTGAAAGGATTGACTTGGCTTGGCTTAAACTTGACCGCAGTGAAAGAACAGCTGAATCAACGACTTTTTAAAGTAAAGGTGGAGCGCCAGAGCCACGGATGTTAATGAGTTCCGAGATCTATCAACAGGGGAGGGCGCGATCCCGCTCCAGATGATGGACTTTGATAGTCTCTACGTGGAAGACGGATGTCGTCGCGGTTGTGTTGATGGTTGAGAGAAAGAGAGAGGTTGGGAGGGAAAAGAGACGGTGGATGGGACACCGCAGGGAAAAGGGAAAAGGGCTAGCTGGTCATTGTTTCATCAGCACCCAGCGCCCAGCTGCCCAAAAATGGAGGTCGCCTGGCCAGCTCAGTCAAATCGGCTAGCGGCCGTGCCAGCCACAGCAGGTTAAGGTACAAGCTTAGTGTACCTGGTAGGTGCAGGGGACGAAATCAAGCAAACGCACTAGAGGTGCACGGTCACAACTTCCAGGGCCAGAGAGTGCGAAGCCCAGCAGAGGCCAGCCCCAAGGGAGACCTGACCTGGCAGTACCTGGGTGGGAGAAGCCCCTCGGCTAGGTGTGGTCCATCCTATGACATTGGAGCAGGTCCCGAGTGGCCGGCTTGCCCAAATTATGTCAGCCTTCAGAACGGCAGGCAGGAAGACAGACTTACAGCTACGTATTGTGTAAGTCGCAACAGCTCCAGACATCCCCAGGATACTGCTGGAGGCCAGCTATTCGGTCATTCTTGACATTCCACAGAGGACAGCTGTCGACAAAAGCGCAACCTGTGCCAGTAACAGTCGTCAGCCCGGCTGGTGTTATTGAAAGCCCATTTGTCCACTTACTGGGCACTTCTTATCGACTCAGTCGCCGCCTGGAAACGTGTCTCTGCGCCGCCAAACCGCCCATGCCGAGCTCCCACCTCGAAGAACACCATCACCCTCACAGCAGTCAATAGCTGCTCCAAAACGCCAAGATGGCAGCGCGAGGATCTTCGTTGCGCGACAAGCAGGTCGCGTCGCTGAAGAAGATCCTGAACCTGAACGAAGACGTCGAAGCCGGTGATAACGACGACTCACAGGCCAATGGCCTCGCAACTTCGCCAATCGCCTGGAAGGTGCTTGTCTTCGACGATCTCGGACAAGAGTACGGACCTTGATCTTCCCCAAGATAGTGAGAGCTCTGTGTGCTGATGCTCGGGAACTACAGTGTCATCAGCTCCGTTTTGAGGGTCAGCGATCTCCGCAGCCTGGGGGTTACGATACATCTGTGAGATATGCGCGTGTTCTTGCCAATGTTGAGGGGGTCGGAGCTGATCTGGGAGACGGGCAGGAAAATCACAGCTCAGCGCGCACCAATACCCGACGTGCCAGTCGTCTACTTGCTGGAGCCGAATGCACAGAACCTCCAAAGAATCACCGATGACCTTCAGAAAGGACTATACACCCCCGCATACATAAATTTCCTGTCCTCGATCCCTCGGCCACTGCTCGAAGATTTTGCGACAATGACCGCCACGGCAGAGACGTCTGAGCAGATTGCGCACGTCTATGACCAATACCTGAACTTCATCGTTGCTGAGCCAGATCTATTCTCCTTGGGCATGGAGAAGGACCACGTGTATTGGGCATTGAACAGCGCAAAAACCAAAGACGAAGAGCTTGACCACGTCGTTGACAAGATCGTCAGTGGGCTGTTCTCTGTCATTGTCACCATGGGGGTCATACCAATCATACGCGCCAGTCGTGGTGCGGCTGCCGAGATGATAGCACAGAAGCTTGACCGGAAACTTCGAGATCACATCCTGAACTCTGGCTCCAAGGACGGTCTTTTCTCAAACCGACCAAGTTCATCGGCTGGAACCCCAACATCTCGGCCTGTCCTCGTCCTCCTGGACCGAAACGTTGATCTCACACCGATGCTTTCACATGGCTGGACATACCAACATCTGGTACATGACGTTCTCAATATGAAGCTGAATCGCATCACGATTGAGACGCCTGTCGACGAGTCTAAGCCCGAGAAGGGTGTTACGAAGAAAGCGTATGACCTGACGGCCAACGATTTCTTTTGGTCCAAGAACTCGGGTCTGCCTTTTCAGGAAGTGGCAGAAGACATCGATGCTGAATTAAATCGTTACAAAGAGGAGTCAGCCGCTATCACGAAAAAGACCGGCATATCAGACCTCGAAAATCTGGAGATGGACACAAGTGCCAGTGCGCAACATTTGAAGGCTGCGCTCACAGTACTTCCGGAGCTCAGGGAGCGGAAAGCAGTCTTGGACATGCACATGAACATCCTGGCAGCCATCTTGAGCGCAATTCAAAAACGAGCTTTGAATGTAAGTAGTCCTTGGCCGGCGGAGGATCGATGTTGGCGGCTAACATGGCACCAGGAATACTACTCAATAGAGTCGAATGTGATGAAACAAACAAAAGCGCAGGTACTGGACCTGATCAAGGACAAGGAAAAGGGAGACACAGCGTTGGATAAACTGCGTCTCTTCGTCGTCTGGTTCCTCAGCACAGAAACAGATATCGGCAGAGCAGAGTGGCAGCAGTTTGAGGAAGCTCTTACAACGGCGGGGGTCGACGGGACCTGTCTGCCGTATATAAGACAGTGAGGATAGCCTTCTTCACTCAGCCTGACCAAAAAACATATACTAATTTTGAGACGCAGAGTCCGTGCTACGACGAAGATGACACAACTCACAACCATGGATTCCTCGACAGCCCAACAGCAGCCATCTGCATCCTCAGATCTCTTTAACCGCTTCTCAAATATATCCTCGAGGCTCACAGACCGTCTCAAGGAGACTGGCGTTCCAACAGGCGCTCTTTCAGCCAACTTCGACTCTATCGTCGGCGGACTCAAGAATTTCCTTCCCGCCAACCAAGATCTTACCATCACCAAAATCGTCGAGTCCATCATGGACCCGTCGAGTGCCGCCTCATCGGCCATCGCTAAGACAGAGAACTATCTGTATTTCGATCCGCGAAGTGACCGCGCAAGGGGCACTTTGCCGCCGCCTTCAACGTTGCGTGCCGGAGGTGCTGCACCAGGTGCGATGCCGGGCAGCACAAACCTCGGACCAGGATCAGGGGCATCTTTCGGGCAGAGGAGACAAGGATTCTCGGAGGCGGTTGTATTCACAGTGGGCGGTGGAAGTATGGATGAGTATGGCAACTTGCAAGAATGGATAAAGCGCACGGCAGGCAGTGGAGACCGAACGAAGCGAAGAATCGTCTATGGCAGCACGGAGCTCGTCAATGCTGCCGACTTCATCAAGGAGGAGTTGGAGAGGCTAGGCCGCGAGGTACAGTAGACTGGCAGCTCGCCCCGGGCGATGGAGGTTTGGTCGCGGGCGACGCTCAGATGTCGGGGCCATATCTTCTCACAGAAATTGAACATAATTTGAAGCCATTTCATTTGTCCAGTCATCCCCAACGCTACTGTCAGAATTTTCACCATGAGCCGCAGCTCCTGACATTCGAACGAGTCCACACCTGAGGGATAAGGTAGCGATCTGTTCACATACACATTAGATCGCGCTTGGCCTCGAGTGTATTGCTAATTTGCTGCACCAAAACTGCTTCTGCGCCAATGATGTGTCCTGAGTGGATTCGAAATAGACTTCAGTTTTGTCGGCAGTGAGGCAAGTACAGATTGGTCGTGATCCCCCCCCCCCCTCTCTCGGCCCCTTTTCCTTTACGTCGCGGAGCCGAAGTGCGGGAAGCTCCGAGGTTTTGTTGGGCGCCGACCGGGCCGTCATTGGGGAATTATAGTCATTTCGTCGCATCCATCAGGCCTCTATTTTAGGGAATTTGTGCGGTGCGCAATCTACATACTAACGCGTCAACAAGATATGTATGTCAACCAAACCTGTATTAGTCCTGAACCGGGCGTCCAGAGCCCCGAGATGATATATATATAAAAAGCAACGCCTCAACTTCGAGTCATGACTAATAAGCCTCTTCCTCGCATGGCTACCCCGGCCTTGAGGAATGAATGGCAGGAAACGGTGCTCCACGGGCCGAGCCCCTTGTCGCGTGGTCAGTCAGGTTCACGTCGCCGTGAGGAGAGCTTGACAAAAGCATCGTGGTTTCTTTTTTCCTCGATGATCTCGCCCCGCTTATTTACCCTCGCAGACCCAGGGTCCATGGTCTTGGCCGGGCGATCACGATTGAGTCGGGCTTAGCATTCGGTTGTTTGGGTGAAACCCCCGCCTGCCGTAATGAAGGAGCCCGCAACCCACATCGATGGTGAGATGCTGATATCACGGGAACTTCCCTTCGTCACATACTAGCCGCGGCAGCGCCTGCATGTGCGCCACAAACTCGGCTACAGCCCTGCCGGGGCCCAGAACGCTGCAGAGGATGGATACGGGGACGGCCGGTGGGTAAGAACAGGGTATCGCACTTTTTTTCTGGGAAAATCATCGCTCGGAACAAAGTATGTACAGGAAAGCAAGATCTGGCCCTCAGAGGGCTGAACCGATCTGCACCACGCGCTCGTCGCCGTTGCTGAAGGTGGACCTCGACTCCCTCTGTGCCGAGGCTTCCTCGGTGCTCAACTTTTCGAGATCCTTCAGCTCGAAGTGCTCCACCGTCCTGACCCCCAGGCCCGCCTCGCCCCCGTCGTTGTCGTGCGCCGATGCGGTGCTGCTCCTCCTGCTCCCGGCGTCGCTCACACTCACGTCCGACAGCGAGTGCGGGTTGTTGGCGGCCGCCCACGCCCGGCTGTTCCTCGCGGTTTTGTTTGTGCCCGTGCCCACGGTGGCGATCTGGGGAGCCGTCTCGTTCAGCTTCGTCGACATGAGCGAGATCTGCAGGTCCTGGACAAGGAGGCGAATCACCGGCAGCGTCTGCACGATGATGGTGCCCGCCACTTCGGCCTGATACCAGATTTCTGTATGTCCTTGTCTCCAGACATACCACGAGTCATACGTGTTGAGATTCGGGTCCAGCATGTACCACGTACGCACGCTTGTGAAAATGGCAATTCTAAGGTCGTTCGAGTCAGCAGGCAGCCAGGAGATTACCATTGACGTAGGCTCAGGAGATGCTCACATTGTGCCCAAGCTCATGGCCACGCAGAGGCCGACCTTCTCGTATCTCTCGATCCTCAGCTTCCATGTGACCAGCCATGGGAAGAGAGATAGGACAAAGTCTATGATGATGTTGTACACTGTGCACAAAAACATGTCAGCGCCAGATCAATAACCAAGTTTCATCGCGGTACCACGCCGTGTCGGGACTCACCATTTTGCCCGATTTTGATCTGGAAGATCGTTTCGTACGGGGCGCACACGGTTGGCATTTTCCACCAATACGCCTTCTGTCCACAATAGTTGACCCAGTTGAGGAAGAGCAGGATGACGAGGTAAAGGTTCAGTGTCACGATGATGAACCATAATGTCCATCTCTGCCACGACTCGGTGATTCTCAACAGAGTCACGGCGAATGCTGTTTTTGATAGGGTCTGGCCGACGGTGATGAGGCATGACGATATCGAAACGAGGATGAGCATGCGATCGTCCCAAGTTGAGGAAACATAGCCCGTGGCGAGCTCGATAGTTATGAAGATGTTGGTCACCAGGAGCACGATCTGGTACAGTAATCAGCATCGCCGAGTGGGACGTTGGAAAGACGGCGTGATGATATCTTACCCAAGAGGCCACCAGTACGTGATCATCCCACCACAGCCCATGGCGGCGATGTATCTTGCTCCATATCCGAAGCGTCAGGAATGCTGTGGCGCCAACGAAGAGTGTCCATATCCCCCAATTGACCTCTTTCTCCGGATTCACGAACTTCATGTCGGGCCCAGCCCGGATATTTCCAACACTGGCGGAGCCGGAGGTGGTCGCAGAGCCGGTACTCACAGGCTCGTCCCTGGGGAGGAAGTTCATAATATAATAACAATAACAATAGGAAAAGAACGTGAGGGCGGAGGCAAGGCCGTGCTGCTATCTACCGTTAAACGAGAGGAAGGTAGGTAAGATTCCGGAGAAAAGAAAGGCTAGCCGCACATGTAACGGGATGGCGGCATGATCGTGATGTGATGATCGGATCGGAGTAGGAAATGACAGGCCGGGGATGGAAAAGCCAGAAGCCTCTCTCTCTCTCGTGGCGCACCCGAGTGCTGGGTCCGCGTGGGATTCTTATTTATTCCTTCCCCCCCTACCGGGCTGAGGGTCGGTCGGTGATGATACGAACGGGAAATGATCTACCGCTGCGGGTCCAGTCTCGCCAGGGCGAACCTCGGGGGCTGTGACAATGGAGACTCCACAACTTCAATTTATCTGGCGCCTCAAGGCCCCTAAGTACTCCCGCCCTGTTGCACGTTTTCTCCTGGCCGCGGAACCGGATGTTGACAAAAAAACTTCTTGGAAACCCACCTGTCGTGAGTGCCCGACTGCTTCTATTCGGAGAATTTCCATCGTCCAGATGGCTAGCAGTGAGATTGGCATCGGGACCCGTTGAGCCTCGTCAGGGGGCCGGCACTCATCATGTCTGACTTGACTGTGTAATGACCAGCCCACCTAAGGACGCTGTCGTGAAGTTCCCCGGAGTGTTAGCCTCGGGTTTCCGCGTGGGCCGGTTGAGTGCCGTTCGTCAACCGGGGCCGTACATGGGACCAAGAGATCCACAAGCCATACGCCTATGACAATGTCCATCCCCCACGAAACACTCAACCCACTGCTCCATGTAATCTGTATGAGATGGACCGGCCATGAAGAGTTTTCCGAGGTCGTGAATGCTGGCATCAATCAGGACGAGAGGTCTCTGCAGGCTATAGCGTAGAGGTACGGAAAATACCACAGCCATTCGAGTTGGCAGAAGGATCAACTATCGCACCAACCAAAAAGACCCGGTTGGTGACTCGAGGGGGACCCGCATTCCTATCACGCACCGCGCATCACGCAAAGCAAAGCCGACGCAGCACAGCGCACCGTGATGAGGAGTGATTCACGGGCGCCTAAATTGGCAGCCAGGATCGCTGCCTTGCACGTCGCGAGAGGGATCCATTTCACCTTCCTGATCGGTACTTGTCGATGCCAGAAGAAAGTAAAAAGCCCGAGGAACCCCCCTCCCCTCCTCTGATGCGGGAAGACAGACAAACTTGGGTTCATGCTCCACCCAGCACACAGCGCCTGCCCCACCGCACATCACCTGTGCGAAACGAAACACCAAAAGCAGTCATGTGGCGCCCCCTCCCTCCCTCCCCCATCCGAAAGCGAGCTTACAAAAGGTGATCACCTGGAGAAAGAGGCAGCAAAGGGCCAAAAAAAGGACCACAAGTCAGCCCAGCCATCAATCCGTGCGCACCTCCTGGCCACGAGGTGAACGATGGCCACGAGGTGATGGACAGCCAGGATGGCCGCGTCCGTGTCCGTGTTTGTGTCCGTGTGGCTGGGCCCATGGCCTCAAACTGATCGCGACGCCGGGTGCCCGTAAGGCGCCGCCTGCCGAACAGTGCTTTCATTGCTCATCTGCATCGTGAAACAGAGGCGTGGTGGAGATTCGCTTGTGCCGTGCACAACCTCGCATAGGAGGGAAGGATTCGCCCAGCCGCGACGGTCCGCAAGCGCCAGTACACGTAAAGGCCGTAGCGGTGAGCGGGTCCACCTAGGGATTTCTCTATGCTGGCCGGCCAGACCTCAGATTTGAGGTTCGTCGGAGATGAATGGCAACAACCACTGGCACACCTTCGACGCCGTCGTTGTCGCTGTCGCAGCCGCCGCCGCGGGGGCGTCAGAAGGTCCCAAGCCGGAGGACCACACAATCCATCAAAAACGGAAACTTCAGTGAGAATGAGATTGGCTCTTCGGCGGATCGGCAGGCCCCTAGGGCCCCCTCAATCGGACACCGTAGGTACCACCACCCTGTAGCTTGGCAGGCCGAGCACTGCAGATGTGCGTACGTGGTCGTCTCAGCCAGGCCTGGCACATCAGCTCATAGGCACAGTGGATATGCCCCTCTGAGGCGCCCCAGTGGCACCAGCTCGGAAATATTTTGCCTATTTTTTTTACCCATGCTGCTGCTGCTGTCCGCGGAAGTCCAGGCTTCAGGTGAGCAAGCCAGGTGGCCAGGGGTTTTTCGGCCGAGGAAAGAGGGGGCCAGCTATAATTCCTCTCGATATCACTGAGCGAGGCTCACCTTTCTTTTTTCCTTCAAGGAGGGAAGAATCCACTCATCTCACACATTCATCACCAACGTTGTCGAAACCTCGCTACCCAAATGGCCCCATGGCTCACACCGCCGAGGTAGTCAACGAATCGTGGTACCGACCAACGGAGCTCATGGACCGTCGTGGCCGGGAAGGGTTGGTTTTGGAAGGTGCTTAGGCGAGCTTGCAGCCGAGGTGATTCGGGCCTTAGTCTTCACCTTAACCCTGCCAACACGCGATGGACTGGGGAGGATGTCCGTGCCGGGATCGAACTGCACCAGGAGAACAGACGTGCCAGTCTCCTGGGTCGTTGATTGATAAAAATGTCCGTTCAAAGGACCATGTTCTCACGTGGTGAGGTCGCCTCCCGCTCTGCAACCCTCCCATTAGTCTCTCGCAATTCGTTTCGCGGCCGGAATCTAGGTCATCCATGCATGTGCTTGCTGATGGGCGCAACGAGAAAGCATAGTTCTCGGTCATTCGTGAAATCTACTGGAATCCCCATTTGTCTCAACATAGGTTCCATGGGAGAAGGTATTTGTTGAACTTCACCTGGACGGGGCTTCCTAATACAGCGCACGATTGATACTAGCCGCAGGTAATTTAACAATCCTCTAATCATTTATCTGAGGGATCTTATGTACTGCGCCATCCCTGAAATTAGGCGGACTTCAAGTCCTTTCCTTCACTGGCTCTCATATCCGTGCCGGGTTCTCAGGCCAATGCCAGACTGTGCCCGCAATGGCCATGAAAGTCCGATGGTATTTTGAATTCAAGCAACTCCCCCAAGAGAGTACCTCGACCAAGAGAATAAGTCCAGCCAAGTACACACACAGTAAAACACTTGAACAAGTCCTGGTTATTGAATCATTGAAATGGCATGCAAAAACATCGATCCAGTCGGTGTAGGATAAACAAGGCAGCGAGAAGAAACACGAAATTGACCATGAGGGTAAGGCCAAAAGAAATTGTGAAGTTTTCCAATGACATGAAACGCATCGTAACGCATTTTTGAGAGAGCCTTGTAATTCGTTCACCGTGCGAAATTCATTCCAAAGTAAGAAAAACATGGGTATGTAACGTAAAGCACGCCAGAAGGGCCCCAGAAGACCACGCAGCAGTAAAAATGCAACGCGTGAAATGATAAAAGGAGAACATGAAATGTAAAAGAAAACCAAGAAGCTGTTCATCAAAGTCGTCGCTCCTCTTTTCGTCATCAGACACCCCTAAACATCCTGACCACGAGGAACCACATTGCGCCGAGGAATTTGAAACCCGAGAGCACAGCCACGGAATAAAGCACCACGGCCATGTAGATGGTCGTCCTAGTCGTTTCTGCCTTGTCCGCCGCATCTGAGTCTTGAGTGGTACTTGCTGACGTCCCGATCTTTTCCAAACCAGCAGCACTCAATACGACCGCGACCAGCGCAAAGTTGGAAATCATCCATGCCAGGACGACCACTGTACGAACACCACGGTAGTAGTCCTGTTGCTTTTCGTCGAGCTGAGCAGCCGTGGGGGGTTTGGAATCCTTAACAGGCTTACGACTGAAGACCTGCAGTTCGCGGTCATACTGGGCGTTCAGATCGCCCTCATCGGGAAGATCCGTCTTGCCTTGGCCGTCCTTGAGATCGATTGACGGCAGCTTTTCCGGTTTGTCATCACCTTTAGTTCCCCACGAAATATCATGGGTATTGCAGAAGGCGTAAACGTTGAGAATGTTGGTGAAGGTCGGGGTCAGCAGCATGTACTGCACAAGAGACGTAATCATGTGCCAAGGGTCGAACATGAGAAGCGAGGCAATCAGCCAGATTCCGTAGGTCGACATAACCGAGACAATCAACGTGTAGAAGACTTGGTTCTTGAAGAGATCGGTAACATTGAAACCGTCGGCGTCGTTGATGTCCGTCTGGATGGCTACCACAGAGATGTAAATGGCCGCAAACATCAGGTAGCTAGATCACAGCTTGGTCAGCACATATTCACAAGCTCAGATAGGATTAGACTTACATAAAGATGATTGCCCAGAAGACGACCATTGCCATGTAGTATGGCCCCGAACCAGCTGGTCGATTACCCATTGAGAGAACAAAACAAGTCATGAGCGAGATGCCATATAGCCATTCAAATACGACGCCGAGAATACTGCCAGCGGTGCCCAGGAGTGTGTCGTCGCCCAGACTGGTTGTCAATATCTTGAAGACCAGGAAGAAGTTGCCAATAGCGAACCACGCGAAGATCATGTTGATAGTGTTGAACGTGAACTCAGCAAAGAAGGCCAGCTTCCGCATCAGGGAGTGATCCGAGCGGAAAAACTGGTAGAAGTGTGCAATAGCATAGATGGCAGCGAAGAAAGACCCGTTCAGCCACCGACGTCGTTGCAGAATGAGCTCGGTAACGGTATCGGGAACATCAGTCTCACCAGTGGCCGACTTGACGTACTGGAGGATCCAATGGCAATTCCGCTTAGTGACAAGCTCGAAGCACAGAATACGGTCTTCAGCGAGATACATGTTCGCAGTGAAGATACCCGCACCAGCACCCTCGAGCTTCTCGCCGGCGAAGTACTTCTCCAGAGGACCCAGACCATTCTTGTCATTTTGGAGAGCAACATATCGATATGCTGAGAAGGCACCCGGCAACACCGATATGAAGCCGAACGCGGACTCAAGTGGCTTGTCGAGGATGTTGCTCATCTTGTACTCGAAATTCTGGGCAGCAACCAGTGGGTTGACAAGGTTCTTGCCACCAGTACCCAACATAGCCTTAATCTCTCCACAAGCACCAGCACACATTGGTTCTAGGTCAAAAGCCTTCCAAAGGTGGTAAATTGAGTTACCGCCAGGCTTTGTTCCTGCGTCAATCAGAACGCAAATGTTGGGGTCCAGAACACGACCGAAAGCGTTGAAGAACCATCGGTGGGAGTTGATCTTCTTCTGGTTCTTTTCCTTCAAACAAAACAGCAATTGGACCGGCTGCTGCTTCGGCACCAACTGGACGACATCGTTCTTGATCTGCATGCCAACCTGTGACGTGTATTCGTAGATATGAGCCGTCACATCTTTCTTGTTGACCTGTTGCTTGGCAATGCCCTCCTGGTACACGCCCATACCAGCGAGGAGGGCCCTCGTCCTGGGGTTGATCTTGGCACGACCGTCACTGACAATGCAAACCACGATCTTCTTCCAAGCGTCCTTGCCCCAGGTCTTGCTCTCGGTTCGCTTGCACATGTACTCCACGTTCTTGAGCACACCGATCATGGTCCTGGCGAAAAGGATCTCATCTTCGTTGTACATTGTGACGACAATGAATAATTCCGTGTGTCTGGTCTTGCTGAACAGCTTCTGTCGCAAGGTGAAGTTCTCGTCGTAGAAATTGTTTGGATCGCAAGTTGCTGCTGTGTATCGCATGTGGGTGAACTCGTCTCGGTCGCCGTGGGGGACCTGATTCAGCAGCCTCGGCGGAACAGGGCAGTCCAACACCAAGTTGCCTCGATATAACAACACTTCTTTCACGGTCTTCCAGCGCTTGAGCCCTCCTCCCTGTTGTTGCTGCTGAGGCTGGTCGCTGTAGGCTGCGCTAATACTAGAATCTTGGTGTTGCAGCATTGGTCGTCTATCATCATACTCGAAACCTTGCTCAAAGCCCGGTTGCGCTGCCTGCGGCTGGGGTTCGTAAGGTTGGTTGTAGTAGCCGTCGTGGTGGGCCTCGGGGTTAACAGCATAGTCTTGGTATCCAACGTGCTGGTCGTAGTTACGGCCCCCGATGTTCTCCATTGATTGCTGCCTCACAGATTAGTGGGAATCACAGTATGCAGCTCTACAGGCGTACTCACAGCTGTTTGCATGTGTAGGGAATCTGCAGGGGTGTACGTCCTGCCAGTACCGGGCGGACCCAAGGGCATTTGAAGGTGCGACGAGGATGGGTTCTGGCCATAGGGATTGTCGTCGAGTTGGTAGCCATGCTGGAGCGGGTGGCCCGGCGAAGGCGTCCTGTGGGCATGAGGGTCCATCGTGTGATGGTCGTAGTAGTCGTCGTCTATGTGGTTCTTGCGATTAGATACTTGTCTCGGCTACGAAGTAAAGTGCGAGGCAGGCAATATAGAGTCGCCGCCGGAGAATCTGAATAGTCCCTCAGAGCAGTGGCTTGCAGCTGGACCAAGGGAGCTGCGCCACGGTCTGTACGTCGTTGTGGACAAAGGTGCAAGCTCCTGGCTTTGTGCTTTGAGAGGAGGTCGCGCGGGGCGGGTAGGCAAGATATGTCACACCGCGAATGGAGGTATGGAGTAAGGTAGGGCAGGGTGAAGAGAAGTGTGGGTTTTCAGGGAGAGGGGAGGAATGTCTTGATCTACCTATGACGCGAAGCGAGGGGACGGGAGTGGGCAAGAGAGTAGTAGGGGAGGAGGGGGGCAGGTAGGATACTTGCCTAATCGATTATACGACATGGTTGTTGTGTTCTGGCAATGCGCAGCAGAGGATGGTTATTGGAGTCGTTCCGTCACTCGTCCAGGGGTCACAACCTGGGACGTATATTGGGCCACGAACCAAGTTGGTAGCCCACAGTTGTCGTGAAGTGATGACCTGTGTCAGAGGTTGTCTTTGGTCACTGCCCCCGATAGTACCCCTTGGGAATGTGCCAAGGGTGTGTAGTGGAGCAAGAGTACTGTGGGAGAGACTGAAGTCGATGGGCACTGACGGCGGTTTCGAAAAAGGTGCTGCGGCGGGCTGTGGTGGTTTGAACCCCTATTCCGTGCGGTACCTTTCTGCACCTGGGGTCATGCGAGAGGGCGCGATGCTTGCTCTGCTTGCTTCGCTTGAACTTTGAGAGTTCTGGCAGAATGCAAATAGAGACGGGGCAGTTGTGGATGCGACGCTGGTTCGGACGACGACTGGCTGGAACTCGGTGCGGCAATCTGGCAAGAGGAAAAGACAGAGTTCCGGGCAAATCTCGCAACGGTGATGTCGAGTTGGTTGGCTACGACGCCCAAGAGCTTCGAGGGCTTAGGCCGAGGCTTGGAGGTTGGGAGTCCGTTGTCTGGCTGTGTGGCCGTCCTGCCGTCTGGATGATGAAGGGGGCGCTTGAGATCAACGCGGGCACGGCACTGGCTGGGGAGAAGGAGTCGTTTCAGGCTCACAGGGGAGGCGCAGTAAGCTACCCGTGACGTCGCCTTGGAGGGAATTAGCCCGGGGTCACCCAGGCCCGCTGGGGCGCCTCATTGGCCTGTGCAGAGGCCTTGTGGGGGTGGTGCAGGGGTTGCAATGGGCCTGGGGGGCCTTGGGAGGTGACGATCGATGGGTGGTAATAAATTCCCTACCTGCTTAGTATACCACTGCGACCGTTGCGAACAGCTGCGAGACTGGGAGTACGCACGTCACAATCTCCAGTTGCCCGTGGTTCAGCGTGCGTGTGCTGATTGCACTGATTATCCTGATACCGTGCCGACAGCACCCCCAGGCTGTCCCAAGCTGTCTTGGGTGATTGAATCGCTGCTACCCTGTTTCGTCACTCTCATGCGAGCGGCCTCCTAATTTATTTTCCTGTCGGCCTCTGACGTAGTACCCACCCGATCCCGAATACGCAATTCGCAGCAACAAATTAGTTCCTCTGCTGTGTTGTGTATCGAGTCACCATAGGCGGAGAGCGCTGTCACGATGGAGTCACTCGGAAGGAGAAAAAAAACCAACTGTTGACGGGCGGTTGGGTGAGCAACCAAGGATTACAAGGTGGAGACCGCCACAAGCCAGGGCTGTGAGTGACCAACTGCGTCTCACACAGACATCGGAATTAAACCGATTCCCAGATTTCGGCTGTGCTCAATATCGCAGACTCCACAAGCCCACTCGCCCACTTCGCAGAACGCCCACAGGATGCAGGCGCCTGAGCAGCAGTGGCGCTCCCCACAGTGGGTTGGGTAGGCACGGCATCAGCTTGTCGAGGATGCTGGGATGGTGCCGCTGGCTGGCTGTGGCGCGGTCGTCGGTGCTTCATCGCCCTGCAAGAGGGAGCTCATACTAGCCACCTGCCACCTGCACGGGCACCCATCCAACAGACTGACAGACCGGACCAGCTCGGAAAAGTGCATCATCGCCCCTGGCAACATGTTCCAATCCGGCCGAACTAAAAGCAGATCCCGCCACGGCTCTCCGAGTGTCACAGGCAAAAGAACGTCAGCTACCAAAATAGCAACACCAACTCGCCACACCATCAATGCCGGCAGAGCAGAGCTGCAAGAAGCTCGCCGCCACCTTCGGCACCTCCAGGATTCCGGCCCCAGGGGTCCGGGATCCAGAGCAGATGCCAATCCACTCAACAAGCTTGCCGCGTCGTCGTCACAGAATGCACCCCACAATATATTCACTGTGCCTCACTTGCTTCCCACATTTGCCAGCTTAACGGCAACCACTTGCATATCTACTACGCCATGCGCTGTCGGCAAACATGCCGTGATTCTCCGTCTCGCTGGGTTCCCTCTTGGACAAACCCATGGCCTCACTCGGTTTGTTGAGATCGGACTACCATCAGTCCGACGAGGTTGGCCCCAAGTCAATGCTTACAGGCGTGCCCTTTCGACTCGGCCCCCAGCCTGCTTGGTCTCTCCGGGTGCGCAGGAACAGTTTGAATTGTCGCAGGGCCGCCGGATCCCTTGGAACGAGTGTTCAACAAGGCTCATATAGTCTCAGGTCGGCTGTAAAAGGCTCTTGCAGGAATTGTCTTCTTATGTCTCGGCGGCGATCTGTAATTCTCAGGCAGTGCATTAGCTTCCGTTCCCTCTTTCTCATCTACTCCGTTCTGCGTAACATAGGTGACATGTTCAACCTATGTTATCCTCATAGGAGTTTACAGCACTGTGGCTGGCCTTAAAGAGCGAATTGCTAGCCAGTATTTGCCGTGGCGGCCAATTGGCCCATAAAGGTAAGCGAGCAGAGGCCGGTCTTAGTTCCGTGGCCTCGGCCACCTGGCTTAAAACATGTTTATATCTGTGGCCTTTCAAGAGGGCTGGTGGCCATCTCCTTGGTCGAGGCCCGTCGGCTTACTCGTGACTTAGCGTGGCCTAGACGCAACCTGGAGCTTGTTGGAGCTTCAATTGAAGTCCTTCAACAATCGCTAGATACTCTAGCAACTATTTTTACCTGTCTTGCTTGATCCGCATGTCCCACTGTCTCTTTGTGGAATTTGCAACAGTACCAGTGTACCCGCGCAAAGGATCACCATTTGCAAGAATAACTTAGGCTGCTTTTGGCCGTGAGTGCGGTTTGCCGAGCAGTTGTCTGTCGACTTCCTGGCTGTGGTGATGCTAGACTTGACAGTCTTGTGATGATACCATAAGCGCGAATGGCCCTTTCAATTATTGTCTGTTTAAGGAGTCTCCCTTCGTTGCTATCTTCTTTGAAAAATTTGACTTGCAGGAGGCTCTCCTGCACACTGAATTTTGAACAGCCTGTGTAGATAAAAGCTGAAGGCCAGCAGAGTGTAAGGTTTTATCCACACATTCTTCAAAAGCCCTGCAACGTTGGGAGTCCAGCGTGTTGCCAGATTGTTCTGCAGTGGCCATCTTGAAGGTTTATAGGCATTTGTTCCTACATTTTATAGCACCTGGAGACTTCCGTGTGACGTCCGGTGTTACCATAGCCATATAGTTGCCCAATGGCTACTATCGCAACTCTGTACCGACTGCGTAGTCGGGCTCACCCTCATGCAACCTTGGGCACTTTAGTACATGTCCATGGCTTGGACCACCGGGACCCCTGTCCGTACCTGCAGCTACCCCAGACCCACCTACACGTCGCCGAAACGGCACCGACAATTTTCTATCAAAGCGGACTGCCTGCAAACGAGCTGTAGACTCACTGCAATTGAAAGATTGGGCAATACCTACCTCGGTAGTACAGAGAATTTTCAGAGTTCTCAATGGGTACCTGCAGAATTAGTTCCATGGCCATTGGATAGAAAGAAAAATTGGCCAGGCGCGCAAGGCCGCTCTCTGCCCTGGTCGACATGAGCCCTGTCTGCCTTCAGCCTGCTCCGTTTGCCTTTCCAATTCGTAACTTTCAGAGACTGGCATTTCGATTTTGGACTTTGTCCCAGCTTCGTAAAGTGGACAGTCCAAGACCAGTGTCACTCGCATAACTGAGTCTGTCATCTTGCACATCAGTGGACAAAATCGCACCACATCTCTGCCCTCACCTCTCCACCTGGTCAAGATGCCTCCTCCACCGTCCTTCGACTACTATGCTGAGCTCCAGGTTGAGCAAACAGCTTCCCCAGCCGAGATCACCTCAGCATATCGACGACTTGCCCGCATTCATCATCCTGACAAGAACCCCGACAATCAGGAAGAAGCCACGACAATCTTCCAACGACTGCAGCTGGCCCACGAAACTCTTTCCGATCCTGCCAAACGCGCGCGATATGACAATCCTCCGCAATCCTCGATCTTGAATCAAGATGACAACGACTACTGGGAGGTTGATGAAGATGATGTCTTCGTTTTCAGGTTCCCCTTTGTTTTCTTCTTCTCGTCTCGCTCTTCACCTCGTCGTGGTTCCTCGCAAAGCAAGTCAGCCTACGAGGATGCGAAATCAGCAAATGAGCGCCGAGCTCGGGAGAGCAAGCTGCGAGAGGAAGCCAGAGAACTGCGCGAGAAGGAGCAACGCCTGCGCCGAGAAGCCGAGGAAGCTCGCAGAAAGGAAGCGGAAGTAAGCAAGGCTTTGGCCCGGCGTCGCTTACAAGATGCGGAGAGGGAGAAACAAGAGAAGCGATGGAAAGACAACGGCACCGTTTCGAATGACGAGAGACTCCGTACTTGCCTTCACTCAGACCTGTGTGACAAGGTCCAGCACACCAAGAAGTTCAAGTGTACCGCTTGTTCGGCGAGGCGCGGCATGACCGCTTTTGAATGTCCCTGTTGCTCGGCTCTTCTTTGCCAGTTGTGTCTCACCAAGTCATCTAACAGGCGCAAGAAAATGGAGATGCAAGAGCAGATGGAGGCTTCTGGTGTGCCTCAGACCCAGAGTGAGAAGCTCACCGTCGACAAGTCTAATGCAAGCAAGTCCAACACCGGAAATACCAGAACCAAGAAACTCAAGACCAAGAAAGGCGCGACAGCGAGTTCCACCAAACAGGCATCGAATGAGTCCATCTCTGGCAAGAGCGGTAACACGAACAAGGCCAGCGTGGAGTGTGACTCTGACTACTGCAGTGAAACGGATGAAGACAAGGGAGCACATCCTTCGGGAGGAAAGTTCGCTTCTAATAACCCGTACGACATTCTTGCGGGTAACGAGGAGGCCACCACTCCTAAGCCCGAGAAGTCTGGACTAGATGCTAGCACACTTGCTTCGAGCACCGCTCCCCTCTCTCCCGCCCACCCAGATGGTGTCAATAGTGCCAATGAAGAGCCAACTTCTGCCAAGGCTGTTCAGTCAAAGAAGAGGAAGAACAAGAAAGTTGCCAACAAGGAGAGCGAAAAGGAGAATGTCAAACCAGCCGACAAGGACAAATGTGCTACTGATGTTATTGCTGCTGTCAAGACAAAAACGGCCAACGCAGCATCTAACACTCAACAAATGACGACACACCCGAGCTTGCGGGATTCATCTTCTCAGAACTTGTCTACCGTGGGCATGTTCAACAAGACCACGAAGGATGCGACTGTCAAGCCGGAGAATTCAACGTCTCGCACCGGCCCAACTCGTCAACAGGATCCCTCAGGACGAGTTCGCAGACCTACGCCAGGCACAACTAGCGGTTACATTCGATCCTCAAACCAAAGGGCAACAATGAGTATGCTCCGTCAGGCTATGGAGAAATTTGGAGCCGTGAGGTCTTTGAGATTCATAAACAAAAAGAGCGGCACCGCTCATGTCGACTTCGCAACCCATGACGGTCTATATGGAGCCATGGCGGCCTCTCCTGTGCGCGTCAGTGAGCAAATCACCGTTCGCGTGGTTGAGCTGAAGTCTTGCGGCTTCTGTGGGAAGACTGGCCATGTTGCTGAGAATTGCAGCGATGCAAACAGAAAGTCGCAGAGTTGAGTTCAACAGGCTCCGGGGGGTCGGGATTCGGAGCTATTGTAACACAGCGCAATATTTCCTCCTTTGTGCAGCCTTGCCTTCAATAGGCAAGGAGACCCGCGCATGACGACTCAATGTTTCTGGCGACTCCCTGTCTTTCGAGGAGGACGATGCAATTAGCCGCTTGCAGGACGATGGAAGTCATGCCATACCTTACAAACTGTGCATGGAGACATTCATGAGAAGTTGGACGATAAAATGGAGGAGTAGGTGTGGGAGTCTCGGGACGATGGCGTTATTGCGAGATTACAAGCAGGCAACACGACTTCTGCATCATTGAGGCTATTGCTGATGGAAGGAAATCACACTCACTCAGCCAAATCATTGACGAGATTGGATGGGTTTGGAGATGAATAGACCAGAAACTCACAAAAATAGTCATTTGCTATGAAAAATGCAGCTGTGTGATGAGCCCAAGTAGCCAACAAGCTGCCGTGAATGAGAAATTACGTTTTAGTCATCCCCAAAAACTGCTCAAATCGGCATGTTTCCTGTCTTGCGAATTTACTAGTTCCAACAATCGCTTTTGGAAATCCGTCTTAGTCTAGTAAAATTTCTTGTTTAGGTCTCAAGATCCAAGTGATTGGGCCGTTTGCGGGATGAGATTCACTCCAATTGACCGTTAAGGGCAAAGTGTTGGTCGAAGGACATTCCAGTCTTAATGCTCTCATCGTGACTCCCACCGGTCTATTCTGATATCTCGATGTTGAGAGATATCTGGAACAAATTAGCTGACCGATTTGTGACTAGCTAACGGCGTCCAACGCCGGACACTCGCATCTCCGTCTTCCGTGCTTGTGAAAATTAGAGCTGGCAACCTGTCCAGATATCCAGCCATGTTTCTGAGGGTTTTGGATGTAATTTTGGTATTATCAAGTTGCCCACGGCCTCGGTCCGCTTCTCATATATATAGAAAAACGGTCTCGTACTCAACAATTCATTTATCTTCTTCGGCGTACCACAGCATAACCACACTGCAGATAGTCCTCAACCGTAGGGATGGCCGGGTCTTTCAGGAATTGCACACGCCTAGGCCTAACAATGCTTTTGTCTCTCCTAAACACGTGGCTCGGAGTCCTGCATCTACCACAGCCACCACAGCCATCTCCGAAATTCAGAACTTGGTTGGGTCCGGCTGTCTTGCCCATCCTACCATAACCGTTATCAAACGCCAATACCAGGATGGCAGGAACCACGGAGTGGGACGATATTCCCTTGCCTGTCAAGGCCTGGGTTGAAAGGGCTCTGCCTACCCCCTTTACCAGACGTCCCGGACTCGGCAATCCGGGCAGACGCATCCAGGGAGCCAATTTGAATGGTTGGAACCAGTTTGACGGTGGTGCAGACTCTGTGAACGAAGCCGAATTTCGGGAGGGAGTCAAGAATTTTGAGCATTTACTGAAAAAATGGGATCTAGACAAAATATAGAAGAGAAACAAATTGGATCAATCACTGCTTTACACCCATCATTAGCCGCTCGGTGACAACTGGCTCGGATGCTCGGATCAACCTCGAGTGACACTTTGGTGATGTGAGCGCGTGGATCAGGACGACGCCATTACTCCTATTGAGCAGCAGTCCGTCACACTGAACAGTCATCGCCTGGCCGTCCGACGTGCATCACCACCACCATTCAGCCATCGTTTAGACAGGCATAATAACCGCAGCCACCCTAGTGTGCACACTACCAGCCCTAGTCGTTATGTCCCTGCGAGTGTTTCTTCGCATCAAGATCGTCCAGAAATTCGGGTTGGACGTACTTTGACCTCCCCCGTTTAACCCATTGATCCCGTGAAAAAGAAGTCTGACGCGAAGTTCTTTCAGAATGTACCTATGTGCCTGGCTATTCTCTCGTCCGAGCGCCACCCCCCCCCCCTTCATGGAATAACACGTCATGCTGGAGATGTTCTCCTCGCGAGGTAACCGAAGGGCATGATGATGAACGTGATTTCGGGGCCGATATACGTTTTCGCTATCGCAACCGTGAGAGTCTTTGTTGGGCTGGCTTTGCTGAGGATCGGGAGACACACTGCGTACAAATGCCTTATCGCGACTGCAATGGTTGTCATTACGGGCCTGGGCTTTTTGCAGTATCTTTGTGAGCTGACAGACCGCTTGATCCATGGTGCCACCAAGGTTCCGGGGGTGATAGAGCACTCGATATCAGGGCGATATCCACCAAGGTGTCTGAGTAGTCTGCCAGACCGCAGTTCTTCAACGACGGCCAGCAAGATGGCTACCGCAGTCATCAACCAAACCCACTTCTTCCTTTTTGTGACACCGTGGGGTTCTAGTGAGAAATCTTTGATGCTGACTTTCTTCTCGCACCTGACCGTCATATTCCAATGCAGCAATCCGGCTATGCGGTGAGACAGTAGTATTAAGGGCACTTAATGGACTCAGAGTTGCATTCGAGGCTTGAGATATACCACCGTGGTACTGGAAATTGCCATGGCCGTCTTATCCGCGGTGAGAAATCCCAACTCCTATCTTTTGGAATCTGAACGTGAACCGCCGGACACGCATATCGCTCATCGCGGTGCTTAGTTTGGGAGTCTTCGGGTCCATCGCGTTCAGAATCAAGACGGTCTTTTTGTACAATCTCGGAAGTTCTTTCGACTGGCTGTGGGATTCACTCGATATCTCGGTATGGCATGCTATCAAGCTCAACACAAGGATCGTCGCCGGGAGCCTTCCTACCATGCAGCCTCTTTCCAGACGGGTACTTGGGGCAGCAGCTGGGATTAAAACGCCTATTCGAGAAGTAGTCAGCTTGGCATCACTATTTCTCGCATGAGAAAATGATCTGGTCCAAGATGCCGACGCAACGTGGCTGGTTTGGCACCACGGTTGAGACGGCCTGCAAGCGTGCGCTCAACGCAAGTGGTAAAGAGCAAAACGACAGAGCAAGAACCCTGCAGCAGCTGAGGGATCTCGGGACTCGGCGCAGCGTCATAAGCACGAGCGTTGGAACGAGCGATAACAACACGCGTGCAGGAGTCATCGACGACCGGGCCCCTATGCTAGCAAAACGAGGAATCAGAAAGACGTCAACGACAATGGTAGCTTTGAAGGACGTAGAATCTGCGAAAGTAGCAAAGTAACTGCATGCGCGGGTTGTCTCCTCGTAAGATTCAATGCATGGAACCAAATCAATTTTCAAGTGTCTCAGATATTTTGTCGATGAAGAGGTACTGTTCTCACAAAAGCGGTCGCAAAATAGCCTGTATTGAAACTAGGTAGGAAAAGACTTGTGGAGACGTTGTACCTCCACAGAAAGCGATGGAGACAATACAACAACACAGATGTCGCCTCTTCGGGTTTTATCGCGTTTCGCGGAAGAATACCGCTAGTGCATAGATGTCTTCAGACGCCAAGCTGTCAAACTGCAGTTGTGTTCAGACGGAAGCAAAGCTGTATAAGCCAGGCGAATTAGACAGTAGACATTGGCTAGGCTCTCGGCATACTCCGGTGGCACGGTACTTGAAGACTTTGGCTGCGGGAAGACTAGGAGCGACTAATCGCCAGATGGTCGGCAAATGCAGGAAAACTTGTTAGGGGTATGGACATTGAGGGTCCGCTTCCAGGGCGATACCCTGGCCAACAAGCAAGCACGTTTTGACAAGCAAAGCCCGAAATAGGAGTGAGTGCATTGTTCATTACTGTAGCATTACCGAAATGCATAAGCATGGCCAGCTTGTCCCGAGGACGCGGTACTGGAGCGACAGAGGCTGTGCGTTAGGCTGTTTTGGGCCATGCGAACCTCTGGGGAAGGCTCCATCGCTCTCGATTGGCCCTGCTGGCTCTCGGCGGGGCCCGATCAGCCCATGATGAACGTCTGGTCACTCCATTTCCGCCTGTGGTCTGGCCATTTCATCCTTCTATTTTCTATGCTGCGCCGACCCCGTCCACGCCCGTCATTTCGACCAGCAATAGCCAGCAATGGCCAGCACCGACCGGCGCTGCCCCTGCCCCTTTAGGCCGTCATCTGCCTGCGCATCTGCTCATTCACTTGTCGGAATGGCATGATGGCCTCGCGCCGAATTTGGGCCTGGTCCTCACCTGCCCTGCCAAACACTGCTAAATCCGTCTCTGCGGGGATGGCCACGATAAATCTTCGCCGGGCAATCTGGCCATCTGCCCATACGAGAACGCCTTCCTGGGGAAATTTTTGATAGATCGGAAAGGTAAGGCTCGTCCGGCTGAGTACAGCTATGGAGGTCATGGGTTTATAAGGCCCGGACGGGAAACCACTGTAACAATGCTTTTGTGCTCCCTCATCATCATCATCACCAGTCCACAACATCTAAGGCTCAAGCCCTAAAGAGAAACATCTCCAATCAACCTCTTTTTACCTAGTGTATCAACACCTGAGACCAATCTCCACACAAACCTAGTTTGGGAACACAAGCTCTCCTCTCCACACGAATCACACCGTACCTGCAGCAACCAAACTTCGCACACTCGCACAGCTCGCACGACTCTCTCTCCACTCATCGAATCAGAGACACGCCAGTGACACCACTGTGGTTCAAGTCGCACACAGACTCAACTCACAAATCATACAAGGACACTCCCTGTCTTTAACAAAAGCAATCACCAATCAATATGTCTCCCATCGTCGCCCGCGCCGCCATCCGTGCCTCCACCCAGGCCCAGGCAACCAGGCAATTCTCCGTGATGCGCACAATGCGCAACATGGCACGGTCCTTTGAGCCTCACCCCTTCCAGCGCCTGCCCATCAACAGCTCAACACAGGGTGCCAGCTGGGGAAAGCAGGTCAAGCGGGTCGGATCCCAGGCTGTCATGTAAGTACTTAACCTTAAACTTCCTTACATTCACAGAGGGAAGCATTTGTACTAACGTTTCCTCTCCAGTTACACCACTGGCTTCGGTATCATCCTGGGCTGGCCATACGCCGCCGCTCAGGTTCTGGACGGCCGTATCGGCGCCCTTTAGATGGTGTCTTGGCTTCCACTGAGAGGAAATTTCACATGGAGTAATGGACGTGACGGGGACCAAAGCATTATATCTGCATAGCGCTCTGCCCATCGCGGATCTTGCATAGTTTTCGGCGTTCTGGTATATGTGGTCAATTTTGGGTTGGGATTAGAATACCACAATAGTTTCAAGTACTCTATCGAGTATAATTTACTTTGTTCGAAATGAATGTCTCGTTTTATGTTCTAGGTGCTCTGATGTGTGTCCGAAGTGAGGGCAAAGTAGATTCGTCCCACTACATGAAATCACATGGCTTATTTTTGGTCACGATATTGAATAATTGATAGGGGATTAGTGAGTCGACGTGATGGTTTTCATTGAACATGCATAGTTTCAAGACAGAGTGTATTTGTCATGTCGGAGGACCATGATATATATTGATGCACTGCGGATTACAATCTAAGCCATGCGGAAATACTCTCAGAATCCACATTATTTACGGAATTCTGGATAATATTTGATGCTGCTGTTGAGATCACTTAAAAAAAAGAGTCTAGACGGACACAACTACAACTACCTTGGAGAATGAACTAGATCGGACACATACATTTAGGGTTCAGCTCCGGCTATGCAGTCAGCTTCCGGTCCTGAGGCTCTAAATGCGGTAGTCAATTTTTAACGACCAAGTATTTGGCAAGTTCCGTTCTCCAATTGCTTTTCTACTTTTTGTCGTTTCTTCTTCTTTCGGCTATGTAGAGGTGAAGGAATGCGAGGCAAGCTTGACAGCTGAAACATGGGGCAGCATGTGGTCCACGCTTCCGCGGAAGCCAATCCAGTCACGCTAGCTAAGGGACCCCTGTTGATCTGTTTGGCGGAACGTTGTTTGAATCGCGTCCTCTGCGGCTCGTGCCAGTTGACGTTCTGCCACCCAAAGAAGAGGCCCATAGCGACCACCACAGCGACACCACCAGGACGGCTCGACCTCGGAGCGCGACCCACCTTGACGAAAAGCTCCAGAACTCATTGAAACGCGTCATGACGAGAGGCCCGAGGTGATTCGCCCCAAGAGAGAGCCGCCAAACGACGCGATAGAGCCGGCCCCCTAGGCAAAGCGGTGACCAGCCTGCGCCCCCCACGCACGCCCACACCGGGGCAAGGTGTATCTACGATTGCTAGCTATCCTCCATATCGTGAAACTGGGAGGGGAAGACGGTTGAAGCGGGTATAACATGGCAGACTCCCTGCACAACGCGCCCATAGTGCTGGACAATGGGTCCGGCACGATACGAGCCGGCTTCGCTGGCGACGACCTGCCAAAATGCTATTTCCCTTCCTTCGTGGGACGGCCCAAGCACCTCAGAGTCCTCGCAGGCGCGCTGGAGGGCGAGGTGTTTATTGGGCAGAAGGCGGCAACAGAGCTCAGGGGCCTGCTGAAGATTAGGTACCCCCTGGAGCACGGCATTGTCACGGACTGGGACGACATGGAGAAGATCTGGGGATATGTCTACGACGAGGGGTTGAAGACGCTGAGTGAGGAGGTGAGATTGCACACATACACACCCTGTCTTGCCTCGGCAGGAGGCTTCGTTCCCGGGGGACCCAAGCTGATCACGAGGACCTTGCCATAGCACCCCGTGCTCCTGACAGAACCGCCGCTCAACCCGCGGAGCAACCGCGACACGGCGGCGCAGATCCTGTTCGAGACGTTCAACGTGCCCGCGCTCTACACATCCATACAAGCCGTGCTGTCGCTGTACGCGTCGGGGCGGACGACGGGCATCGTGCTTGACGCGGGCGACGGCGTGTCGCACGCGGTGCCCGTGTACGAGGGCTTCGCCATCACCAACAGCATCCAGCGCATCGACGTCGCCGGCCGCGACATCACCGAGTACCTGCAGACGCTGCTGCGGAAGAGCGGCTACGTGTTCCACACCAGCGCCGAGAAGGAGGTCGTCAGGCACATCAAGGAGGCGGTCACGTATGTGGCGCACGACCCCAGGAAGGAGGAGAAGGACTGGGCGCAGATAAAGCTGGACCAGAACAAGGTGGTCGAGTACACGCTGCCCGACGGGAACAAGATGAAGGTGCGTCCATGGAACGGAGGTCCCCTCACCTGCGCTACCCATTGCAACCACACGAGGGGAACTAGCTGGCCTATTAACACGTGCTACAGATTGGCGCTGAACGGTTCCGAGCACCGGAGATCCTGTTCGACCCGGAGATCATCGGTCTCGAGTACCCGGGCGTGCACCAGATCGTGGTTGACTCGATTAACAGGACGGACCTGGACCTGCGGAAGGCGTTGTACTCCAACATTGTGCTGTCCGGCGGCAGCACGCTCACAAAGGGCTTTGGCGACCGCCTGCTGACCGAGGTGCAGAGGCTGGCCGTCAAGGACATGCGGATAAAGATCTTTGCGCCGCCCGAGAGGAAGTACTCCACCTGGATCGGTGGCAGTATCTTGGCTGGCCTCAGCACATTTAGAAAGGTGAGTCGAGAATCCCGTGGGGGGGACTTTCACTTCTGCAATGACTGACTGATGTGGTGAATAGATGTGGGTCAGCATTGACGACTGGCACGAGAACCCTGACATAATCCACACCAAGTTCACATAAGCCAGGGCAGATTATATGTTGCTGGAAGGACAGATTAAATTCCATACAGGAAGGTTCTACAATGTGAGGAATGAAGTGAACACCAACGAAAGAGCGAGCGAGCGCGTACTCATGTTGCCTGGTGGCGGGGGTGGTCCTTGGACCGTGCGAGTAGTAGTTGATGGGTAGCGACTCAACTAGAGGCAATCATTGCTGCTGTATCCGGAGTTGCGATCTCATATAGATGGAGAAATGATACCCACGGATGACGAAGAAGCCATGCCACTTGATTGAGAGGTTCTGAGTACATCTTGCTGCTCAATTATTTCGCATTAGTGCTATTTCTGGCACTATCTTAATTTGGGTTAGATCCCGATGGTAACCTAGCAGCCTGGCTAGTTCCCTTTGAAACTTTGGAGTATGGCGAGGCGTTGTTGTTCTAGCCGCGAAACGACCTCCCCACAGCGGCTCATCTTCACGACATGGCATGAACTGCCACACAGCCCAGGCAAACCTGTAAGATTTGCGATGTCACCCACTCGAACTATGTCGCAACTTCCATCTTCACTTTCGAACATTGAACTTCATAGCAAGCACCGGCCACTGGAGTCTGAATTACTGATATTTTCATCGAACGCATTTTCTCATGACAATTCATGTTGGAATAGATATGGCAAGTGCAATACATGCTGTACGTTGCGGAAATGTCTCGCAAAAAACACAAATCGCTTTGAGGGGTATATGATACACCAGAATGGTTTCTGTTTCACCAGAACAAACGCCGCCCGCAATGATTCCCTTTCCCGCCCTGGAGTCTGCCAGCCAAGGGGTGATCGAGTTCTCCTGTCGAACCAGATCCAGGTCCATCTCTCTTTTGAGCTTCCTGTCTGCACTGAGGCCCCCGAAATTCGCAATTGCCCAAAACATAACAATAATCGCTAATTCCTCAACCGAACTTTTTTAGGGTAACCGTTTTAACGCCGAAACATGAGTGGGTATGTTGTGTGTGTGCATGTGTGAATGCGAGAATGACCGTAACCCAGATCACTAATTAGGACCTGTTTCCCGCAAGTCGTGACCGATGGGAAGACAACCATTGCCCACGGAGTCGACACAGATTCACAAGGGTCTCAGGAACCTATTGTCTGTTCGACAGCGATGCACTCAGCCTGCCCATGAAGCCCGACCGCGTGCTGCTGCCGCTCTTGGTGGAGGCGTTGCTGATGGTGGACGCGTCGCTGCCCTTGCGGGACTGCTTGCTGGAGGCGGACTTGAAGTTGCCGGCGCCGCCACGGCCGGTGAAGGCGGGCCTCGTGACCGACTCGGTGCGCTCCTTGCGCTCGTACTCGGCCTCGAAGGACATGACGGGCCGCTCGATGCTGGAGTGGGCGTTGCCGGCGCCACCACGGCCAGAGTGGAACTTGTTCGTGGCCGTGGTCGAGTTGCTGATGGTCTGTGTGATGGGGGTGGGCACGCCTGAGGGCGATGTCACCGCCTTGGGAGCCTTGAAGAAGTTGCCGGCGCCTCTGTTGCTCGGGTTAGTGAAAGGTCCGTGTGGAATCTGGTGAGCGGGGAAGAACATACCCACGACCGGCATGGCACCAGGTCGATGCTGCCACTGTTGGGTGGGGCTCGGTGATCGAGTAGTTGGGCATGTTGATATGTATATGTGTGTGTTTGTGTATGTGTCTGTATATGTTTGTAGGTGTATGTGTATGTGCGTAGAGACAGCTTGCAGACAATATTCGAACTGAGGCTTCAGGAGCTTTGACAGCAATGTAATGGGTAGTAGAGTATGTATCACTTGATTAGACTTTCAAGAGAGGGGCCCACGATGTGTGGTCTGAGGGCGTGGTGAGGAGGGGGGACTTGATATAAGAGAGGTGGGACTCATATGGGAGAGGGAGTACATAGTACCTCTTGGGGGCAGAAATTTACACAGAGCCGGGGATTCCACTAGAACCCCCGTGGCAACCAACCGTGTGACCATGGGCATGGGCATGGGCATGACAATAATAGCGGCTTAATTGCTCATCAAGCTATGACAGTTGTGAAGAAAATTTCACCAGAGAGGATGGTGTGTCACGACCAAGGAATGAGGAAACGTGCCAGGTTTGCTTTGGGAACGGATGAGCAGGCGACTGGGGCCGTGGGCTATGGCCCTACCCTATGGGGGAGAGCGGCAAAAATGGCATTACTGTGTGGTAGAGGGTGGAAAAGTCTTTGCAACGCCATCTCGCTTGGCAGTGAGAGGCCGCTGAAAGGACTGCAAAAACACATGGGCAGACAATGGACCTGGCCGCTGGCAGCCGTGAGGACTCAGGCCTGGCCGCGCTGGCGCTTAGCAGTTAACGGCAGTTACTCGCAGGGCCTTCAGGGGGTGCCCAGGGGTGGCCAGGGGCGGCACAGGTGGCTCGTGATGCCGGATGACCATTCAGTTACGAAATGGCGTCTCGACTCTTGTCACAAGACCTGGCGGCCTGGCTTTCGATGGGGTAACCATTACCCCATCGATTCCTCCCTGCGACACTTTTTAGTCATGCCCTGCCTCGGCCCCCTTTGTACCTCGCCCGCCGTCTTTGGCGCGCCACGGTACTTCTGTCTCTCTTCTGTCTCCATCTCCCTTCGGTCACTCCTTCAGTCACCCCCTCGCCAGACCACGAAGCTGGCATGAAAATCATCTCTAATTACCCTTCCACCATCTTGTTTCGCTTGTTTTGGTCTCCCGTCCCACACAAGCCCGCAGTGGTCACGGTACATAGGGTCACTGAGATCCGGGGTTCGCCAAGCGGCTGCGAACCGTTGGCTCGAGTCGACAACAAGACGATGCCCATGCACTGCCTCGCGAGATTGTGATTCGACCGCGGGTTCCTTCGTCCCTCCGTGACGATACATTTGCAATTTGTGGACAAGATTGCGTTCAACGCGGGAAGGCGAGCAGGCGAGCAGCAGAGCAGCACCAGAAGCTCTTGCTTGAGCTGCGAGCTGTCGCAATCGACTGTCGCAATCGCCCACCTCCAAAAGCTGTCCCTGCTCCGTAGCTTCATGAAACCCGTTGCGGTGGCTCACCAGTTTGACTATATGGCAGTACTGTGTGCCGCTGTGTGTATTTTTACAGGCATTCCCAACTGCTTAGAGGAGGTTTTCCTCTTGTCAACTACGGTAGTCGAGCTCCCACCTTTCTCCAAGGACTGTGGGTGGGCCAATCTATGTGACGAACGTGTCCAAATTTACATACCACGCATGGTGGTAGTATTTACCTCCCTCCCAGGCATGTACCCCTGAAGTCGGTGAAGGGAGGAGGCTCCCCAACCCCGGATTTTAGGGCTGGCGTGGATTGGTGAAGATGCCAGGGGGAACTGATCGCTGCAGATCTCACGTCCAACCAGGCAGCTGCATGCGACACCACAGCAACACCACCTCCCCAAGCTACCACACTATGCGCAGCACTTACGTGTTGAAAAAGCCTGGAGAGGGCCCACCGTTGCGGTGTTGTCAGCCAAGCTCGAGAGCCAACGCGAGGAGAGCAAGCTCCTTGAATCGTGTGAGCTCCTCATGTCTGCCTTACAGCCAGTCTGTGCCAGCTCGACACTCCACTGATGACGCAAAGTCGCGCAGCCCGTGGTGTCATGACAATTCATTTCTGGAGCTCCAGGCCCAGGAGGCCGGTAGGGGAGCTGCGGTTTTGACAGCGCACTAGCAGACATCGCCCCAGGAGGGTCACCTCGCCCGGCAGATTTTTTTCTGTTTTGTTTTTAGCACGACTTCATCATTCATTCCCTACAGTGGGGCCTCGGCTGTTCGCGGTCCAAGTGGATCTTTCCAGGGCTGATGATCTCGGTCCGGAATCTGGGGAAGCGCGAAATGGCCGGTTTTGGCCCCGGGTGCCCCCTGGGAATGCCTTGGAACATGGTGTGAAAAAATGATTTTTTTTCTGTTTTTTTTTCCTTCTTGTTTGCCTCTACCTTCCATGACTCACTCTCCACCACGGCACGTCATTCATTATCCTCCAAGGACTTACCGACTGGCTACAGGTCTACTGCCTTCGTAATTTTTGACATGAGCGTTGGGCATCGAATTTCGAGACGGACCGCGGAGATGCTACACTTAACTAGTGGCTCTGTGCGAGGCTTCACGCGCTTTGCAGCTTCCGGGTAACACCAGTTCAACATGGACCAGACTATCACAAATGTTCGGCCGAGACACCACAACTGCCATTCGCCGGGAAATCTAAGACCGGCTCATGTACTTGGGGCCATTTCTAGGGAGCTTAGAACAGCCCTAGACTAATGCCAATCTCAGAAGATGGGGAAGACTAGTCCTTGATTCGATGACTTCAAACTAAGTACACTCGCCACATACCACGCGACGCACAGAGACACGCCCGGCCCTCCAGGCCCTCACACAGCATGCTAGCCACGTAGCTTGAGCGTGCTACCTGACTACTGCGGAGAACGAGCTTTCGAGAAGTCGATAGCCATAGTTGGTCTCATGCAGAGTCCTCCCTCGCAACGGCCGTCAGTACACTCAGACCAACAACGTCCTAGTCAAATTTACGGTACTTTCCATCGACAAATGTGACATAATAAGGCAGGTCTTCTTTTCCCTCTACCATGCTGAGGAAAATCGAAGAGTGCCCTGCACCATCTGGAGTTTTGCCAACAGGGGCCCCGTCCTTGGTTCGCTCGTCGGCAAAGAAGAATCTAGCGTGCTCTATGATCAGCAAGTGCTGGGGAAAACTAGTGCCGCTGTGCTAGCCTGTGCGATTCGGGCAGGTGAACACGTGAAGAACAGTTGGTGGCCGAGGAGAACATCATGGGCAGAGGAAATGCGTATTCCCTACGCTGCGCGGCGGCTTGTGACAACCCAACGTGACAGACCAAGAAAGACTAGACAACAGCACAAAGGGAAGGAAGAGAACATACCGGATTCCCTTGTTCTTAAGCACACCATCGGCTATGCCCACCCAAAAATTCGCACCGGACTTCCCGATCCCGAGCGATGTATACAATGCAACAGGGGGAATCTGCTTCGGAAGCAAGTTCCCTGTCATTATAAATGTGCCCTTCCTCCCGTCCTTTCCGCTCTGGCCCTGCCACACCTTGACCGCTGCCCTGGCGGCGGCGTAGGGCGACTTGATCATGACGCTTATGTCCTTGTCCAGGTCCGCATCCGCGAGAGACAGCGGGTTCTCCGGCTCTGGTGGTGGGGTGAGGGATGCTGCATTCCAGACCACAACAGACGGGAAGTCCAGCCCGGCCGACTTGACCTTGTCGAACACGCCGGTGACGGCCGCCGGGTCGGAGAGGTCCGCCTGGATGTGATACGGGTTGGAGGAGGAGTCGGCCGACGACGGGCTGGAGCGCGAGACGGTCGCCACGCGGTACCCGGCGTCGACAAAGCCCTTTGCAACCGCCGTGCCGATATTGGAGCCGACGCCGAAAATGATAGCTACTTCCGAGGTCCCCATTTTGGTTTCTAATTGGTAGGTCTAGGATGACGAGGCTCTCTTTCTGTCAGGACTTTCTTGGTATTGTTGCTGCCTTTGTGATGAGAAGAAGACCGACTTCTTCAAGGTAGCCTGTATCACAAGACATGCTCCTCCCTTTTATCCTTTGTCGTGGGCCACTGGAAGCCAAGGCATCGAGACCGATGTGCTACAATACGCAACAACAGCCCCCTCGCTTCCACGCAAGCAAACGCGAACCGGCCATTACTAATGCCCTCGCGCCGCGCAGCACTTGATTTGGAAGCACCGGACAGTCGGACAAGTCGGGGCGCCATCGCAGCCCGCATGCTGGCGTTCATGTCGCACACGGACGGGCAGCCCAACCCGATCAGGGAGCAGAGCTTAGTGAGAACCCTCCCGTCGTACCGCGCGGTTGGTCCCGCCAGCCAATGGTCGTAGCCGGCAATGCGGGGAGGACTATCTACGAGCGAGAGCTCTCGCGTTTGCCTGGCTGCCTGCTATTAAGATTTCGGCCGAACAGCATGCCTTCGATCCCTATTCCGATTTTCACGGTGATGTGCTTTCGGTCAGCAATGTCGTACTCGCGGCAATCGCTGTTGACACCAGGGCACTAGTTGGCATACTTATTTGTTAGGCAAAGGGCTATTTTATACACATTGCGCTATGTCTCCATATGTTCACGCACTTGTTCTACAAAAGCCCACAAGCTATGCTGGAATAGAAGCATGCATTAAAACAGTTTCCAAGGGTATCTAACATGATGTTCAACATATGCTTAACCGAGGCCGAATTTGAGTGAGAAGACGAGACGTGACGTGTCCCCCTTCCTTCGAACGCTTCTCGTTCAAGCCCTTGTTCATCGTCACCGTCGCCAGCTTGGCCCGCTGAATTCAAGAAGTCAACACGCTGCTCCTCTCGTTTCTTCAGCCTGCTGCCGCCATAACCCCAATGATGGTCATGTCCTCGTAATTGTGCAATTGCCATCTTCCCTCAACCTCGACACGCCATTCGTCTATCAACGCAGCAAGCTTCCCCCGAAATGCCGTTTTTTTCATGCCTTTTTCTTTTCAAAATATGTGTCGAAACGAATTCTATAAACGCACGCTGATACGGCGGTATGCCTCTGATGTGATCAAACGAGGCCACATGCAGAGGATGTCTGGAGCCATTCCCCGATCCAAAGGGGACGAAAAGAATTATTAATTTCTGGTTTGTCCGGGCGAGCGGTAAGAGTCCAGTGCGTTGATGTACCGGGCAGGCCAGCCAGCCCGGACTCTCACACGGCGGCGCGTTTTGCGCAGAATAGGAGCTCCGGAAACACATGCCCGTCGTTTCTACCGGCCGAGGCCATTGTGGACAGCACGCAGCCAGCCGTCATAAGGAGAGCCCTTCCTCTAAAAGGTGTCTGACTCCTGCGATACGACAGAACCGAATGTATCTGTGTCAATTGATCGCTGTCAGCCACTCCGCATTTATCTCGAGAATATTTAGCTACGCAGAAAATCACATACCTCTCTTCCTCCTCCTCTCCTCATCCGCAGTCGGAGCGGGGCTCTTTGTGCCCATTGCACGAGGTCCACTGGGCCTCCGGGCAGGCGCACCAAGGACATTCTGCAGGTTGCGATTCTCTGGCTTGGGGCTGCCAGCAGGCTTGTATGCCAGGGCTGAGATCCGACTCCTGGTGGGCGTCGTAGTTCGCGGGCCAGGCTCTTCCAAGGGCTCCTTTGGAGGTCGTGGTGGACCTGACTGGGCAGGTGAATCGCCCGTCCATGTATACTGGCCCTGCTCACCAGTTGCGGAGCCGTTGCTGTATCTTGGCTGGTGCCCTGCGTAACGGCCCAGGCTAGTGACCGAGCCAAAGTCTGCAGACTTTGGTGACATGGGAGTGTCGAAATCCTGGGCGGAGTTCTCGAGGGCGTTGCGGAACTGCTCAGTCTGGCCCGGACGTGGTTGGGGGTGCTGCAAGTTCAGTGAGTTGCGGTGAGCCTTGTATTTGGGATCCTCTGGTGTTGCGTAGTTCATAGGGAAATGTTGTAGGGCCTGAGGCGGCGCAGGGCTCTGAGAAGTTGGGACCGGAGTACGACTCACACCGGCCATGGTGAATTGCATATCGGGCTCGATCTGGTTGGGGTCGTGGCGTTGAGATCCATTGAGATTGTCTTCCGAGAAACCAGAAGGGAGGTGATCCTCACCATAGGGGTCCGTCACTGGGTAGTTCTCGTATATTGCAAAGTCAGAACCTGACCGAGAAGGGCCTCCGCGCAATGAACCAGCTTCCGTGTCCTTGGACTTCCTGAAAGCCTTGCCAACGCTCGACGCAGTGGTCTCAGACCAACGTGAGATTTTGGGGAACCAGCTTGAGGAACCGCTGGACTTGTGCTTCTTCTGATAATTAGTGCGAGGAGTGTTCTCGTTGCTTAAGGATGCTTGAGCACCTTGAGGCAATTGTGGCGGGGTACCCAGAGGAACAGAGCTGCCACGCTCAGGCTCTTGATCTGGACTGAGCATGTCTGTGTTGCTGTGATTGTGAATTAGAACATTCGAGTCCTCGTTGAAATTATCCTCGTCTCCCTCCGGGACGGTACTAATCCGGTGGCCTGAGACTTTCCGCTCGTAGCCGTAGGAGGCATTTCGGGGAATAGAAAGATGACCGGATTGACTACCGTAGCTCGCAGTCGAAGTGCCTGCATGGCCCTCAGGCTCATAGCCACGGTCCTGCTCATACTGAACTGCTGGCTGGATGTTGTCAAGGGAAGGTCCACTGTCTTGGGGGATGCCTCCGGGAGCAGTCTGCGATTTCAAAACATCAACCTCCCCGAGGAGCTGCATCAGCATGTCCTCGATTCTAGTCAGGTCGTTCGTACCTTTGGCGCCGAGTCCCTTAAGTGCTCTTCGCCAAAGATTTCGCGTCTTTTTCTCATTATCCGTGCCAGCTTGCGAGCCTTGGACCGACCGCGCTGCGCTGCCCGGGAACGGCCGCGGACCGCCAAGATGGCGCTGTACAGTCTTGTCGGTGTTGTCCTTGACCTCTGTAATGATGACGTCTTCCGTGTCCGCGAGCATCTTCTTAATGTCGTCAAACGAGTTCCGCATCTCAGCAGCAGTGCGAACCAGAGTGACCAAAATCTCAGTGTCACGTGCACTGCGTTGAGCATCACGAACCATGAGGTGTTGCATGAGTGCAATGATGTCGTTGGACTCGATGCGGTCGATGCCCGCACCTGTGGCAGCATCATACAAGGGAGATCCCATACCTTGGGAGAGACCGCTCATGTGTTTCGAGTCCTGTGGGTTGTAAAATGGATCCATCGTTCCAGGCATAGGCGGATGCTCGTCGTAGTCGATGCCTTTGCCCTTGCCTTGGAAGTCGGGCGTCCTATTAGGACCCTGTGAGATGTAGCCTTCATCGATCTTTGGTCCGAACGGGCTTCGGGCACCATAGCCCGTGACATACCCATCTGGGTCAAAGCGAGGCGCTTGACCAAGATCAATGTCGAGTCCAGGCGCATTGGCGAGAGGACTCGTGCCCTCATAGGGGTTTGTGACGATAGTATCTCGCTTGCGGTCCTCAGACGTGCGATGCCACTCGTCGTCAATGTCTTGACTCGTCTGTCGGCTGTGCGAGTGTGCCATGGCAGCCGCGGTTGCGACCGCAGCCGCACCGGCGGCCTCGTCGAGGGTCAAAGAATGTCCACTGACAGATTCATGAAGTCCCCGGTGTCCGTTTACACTTTCTTGCGTGGGCGTCATTGGTTCTTGGTCGTCCTCCCAATGGTCGTGTCTGGCTTCGTGAGTGGCGCTGAATCTATCACTCATACGTGACGGATTGGTCCTCGAATCGTCGTCAGGGCCAAAGTAGCCTATCTCCGGCAATGGGTCGTTGAGGTCTGGTAAACCGCTGTGGCCGACGGTGGGCTTCTCGTATTCACCTACCAGGCGGTCGACACTATGCGTAGGAGTGCTGGCTGGCAGGTACCCTTCATTAGTTCGGTCCTTGAACGACTTGTTTCGCTGGACGCCTTCGCCGGCAAAGATGCGCTCAAACTCGTCGTATCCAGCATCCTGTCTGCCCTTGCCCTTAGCAGCAGCCCTGAGGGCAGCCGCCGCAGCACCTACAGCAGCACCAGTGATGGCAGCCTCTGAGGCCGTTGGAGAGTGTCGGTATTTTGTTTTCGGAACCTTGCGACCATACTCATCAAGTTCGTACTCGAATTCATGTGGTCGGTCAGAATCCTGTGATGCAGCCTCCTCCTCAGCTGTGCGACGACTCTCGAGGGAGTGCTTGTGACGAAATGCTGTTTGATCTGTGACATCTTCCTCGCTAATCACGTCGGAGTCACGAGCATCGTATTGGCGGCCACTGCGGCCTGATTCACCCGTGAGCACAGACTCGTCCAGAGCTGAGCCCTCGACCAAAGATGCAACATGAGACTGGACTCCGGTGGGCGAATTCACCAGGTCTGGGTTGGCACCAACCGCACGTACAGCTTGACCCGACGTGATACGGTCAAGTTCGCTATCATCGGTATACGCAGTGTTTCTGTAACCCAATCTTGAGCTCTGCACACTACGATCGTCCTGATACGATCCTCGACTCAAGACACTGGGAGATTCTGCTCCGTGATGAAGCGACTTGTCGGGGGATGAAAATGATCCAGATGTCCTATGAGTGAGCCGTGAATCCCGATTGTGGATTTCGCTTCCACCCTCCGTGTAGCCCGAGACACTGGGGATAGGACTGAGACCACGGCGTTCAGGCTGATATGGCACGTACTTCAGAGGTGGAGGCACGTCCTGGGTGTTGTAATAGTCGTTGTAAGCGCCATCATCGTACTCGTCCTCGTCTTCGTCATAGGCCTCTACCTGGCTGATTGGAGCCCGTCGACCGTACTGTCGCTCTTCGTAATCATCCTCTTCCTCCAACACCCCTGTTCTCTTTTGAGACAGAGTCTTCAGATCCCCGTGAGATATATTGGCATGCTGGGCTCCAAGAGCTTGGAGGGAAATAGGAGTCCTGGTTGGTGTAGGACTATCAGTCACGGTAGACCTGGAATCAATAGATGGGGTTCCTCTGGCAACTTGCTGCACTGGTGTGAGCTCCTCGCTGGCCGAGTGCGGCCGCTCTGTATCGGCAGATAAAATTGATGTCCTTGTCAGCTCTGATGGGTTGAGTTCGCTCATCAATGGCATCGGCGCAGCGGGCTCACTGAGCCTCTCCTGCTCTTCATCGTATATCTCGGCCGCGCGGCTCTTGGCTTCCGCTCTGCGGCGACGGCGCTGCTCCCTGGCAATAGCCGGCGACTTCTCGTTCAATGCGGCTGCAGCCATAGCAGCAGCAACGGCTCCTCCAGCAGTACCTTTCAGCTTGTCGTTGCTGCGCGACACCTCCGAGATCTCGTGAAGTGACTCGTCGACAGAGTCGTGGTCCACACTTGGAGCGGGGCTCTCGACCAAGTCATGACGAGCTTCTCTACCTCTCCGGTCCTTGCCTCTGGCGAGGTTCTCTCTGGACTTGCTCGAGTATCCTGACTGACGGCGTTCACTACCAAGATCGTCTCGCGAAATCGTTGTCCCGCTGGATGCAGAGCTTCGACGAGCTTCCCGTTTGCTCTGTTCCCTCTTGATAGCCGTGAGCTCAGGCAAAATCAGCCGCCGGATAGCATCTTCAACAGTCTCTAGAAGCTTGGGGTTATTGATCGAGGACCTTGAAGCACCAGAACGCATAGAGCTGTGCGAAATGGCTGAGGACACCACACTAGAGTCCGCGCCAGATAAAATTGACTCCTCGTTCGGCTTGCTAGATCTCTTCCGCGACGACTTGCCAGACTCGGATTTGTGTTCACCACTGCTCTTGCGGCTCTTGGACTTGTGTCTCCGCTCGGACCCATCCCGGTCCTTGGACTTAGACAGGGTCGACCTCTCCTTCTCACTGAGCTCGGAGCGGCTCTTGCTGCGCATCTTGTCGGCGACGGCGGCAGCAGCAAGTCCCGCAGCTGCACCACCTATGACCTCTCTTGCCCGCGAAGGGCTCTTGCTGCGCTTCTCGGTAAGCCTCGTTGAGGGGCCTGAGCCGTCCAGAAAGCTGTCAGTGGGGATAGCCGAAATATCGGACATGTTTCCCGGCTGGTAGGAGGCCTTGCTGTCGACGCTTGGTATTAATGGACTTGCTGGCCGGCGTCGACGATGACCACTGCGGTCGATCTCGACCTCTATGGGGTTGCGAGACACATTAGACTCCTCGGTGGCAGACGTGTACGAATGCATGCTCTTTGCGTCTTCCTGGTCCCCGCTGACAGCGGACAGCGCCTCGTTGGACTTGAGGGCGGTCGGAGTCAGAGGAGCAGCTCGCTCCTGGCGACGAGTCAGTGAGGCCTTGCGGCCGCTAGACGACTTTGTTTCTGTGATTTGGATGCGATCGGTCTTCCGATTCTTTGATGGGGTGAGGCGAACCCGCACGCTCGGTTTGCGGTCGGTGGTCTTGCTCGGCGAGGAGGGCTTGCCAGCCTCGAAGTACTCAATGAGCAAGGAAGTCTGAGAGCGATTAGGCATGTGGCCGCGGGTCTTGATGGTGACGGGAGTGCCGTCCTCTGGAAGGGAGTAAGAAGACTTGTCGTCGCCTGGCTTGGAGACGTCAGAGGGCGCGAGCTCTGTCTGGGTCACAGTCGACTCGGACTCTTCTGTGGGGGCTGGGAGTGGAGGTGCCTTCTTCGAATCGATACCCATGGCGTGCAGCGATCCCACTGGGCGTGGGCTTGTTGGACTTGCAGGATGAGGTAATGTGCCACTCGAGAGCCGTGCTGGAAACCCGCTCTATTCCCAGTCCTGGCCAAGTCCCCGGGTGCAGGACCACTGCACCATGCAGGCGGGGAGGGACAATTGAGATGGGGCCAGAGCAGAGGCGGCGGTGGGCTTGTGGCAAGGCGAGCCTCGGACTTGGGGCTGCTTTGTTTTTGGTCAAGACATGAGGTGCAGGAAATAGGAACCGGGGTGTGCTGCTGAAGGCAGAGTGAGCGGTCGGGAGCCTTGTTTATGGAGCTCTGACAGACAGATGCAGGTCGCACTTACAGCAAGAGGAAAAGTGCAACCGAAACAGTCTCGGGCGAAGTACGACGGTCGGACGACCGAGGACAGGTGGGAGGGAGGGAAAGAGGGAGATTGACTATGCCGCAGCGCAGGAAGATTACTGCACGCTGGGAGAATCCTGAGAGGCGCTGGGAAGAAAGGTAGGCAAAAGGTAGGCAGGTTGCAATGGTCAAGACGAAGTTGGTGGCGGCGGTGGAGGAGCTTTGGGCCAGTCCAGGTTCAGCTGTTTCTCCCAGCCTTCGTAATAACTGCCCCCGGCCGCGAAAGTGGGCAAGGTCCCAATGAGAAGCGAATCGATGTGAAGCGACGCGCTTGGATCGCAACGGCCTGCAGTTAAGCGAGCAGGCTGCCTATTTAAGGTAATGAGCCGACGTTCTTTTTTTCTTCTTCTTTTACACAGGGCGATTAAAAGTAGCGAAAAAGGGCGATGCGAGTCGAGGAGTGAGGTTGGTTTGGAGTGGGCAGAGTGGTGGGGGGTGGGACGGGCGAAGTTGAGTGAAGGGCAGTGTCGAGGCCAGACCAGACCAGCTCTGTTCCGCTCTCCTCTGCGCTGCAGCTGCAGGTACGTATCTCCCGCAGCTGTGCCCAGAACTCAAAAAAAAAGGTCTCTCGGACGGGAGGCCCTCCTCTCCGACCTCGTCTGTCTACTGTACAGTGGACTACCTAGTCTAGATACAGTACTTGGGTATTTAGATACAGTGTGTCCCATGAGCGCACATGAGCGCACAGCCTGTCACGCCAGGATTAGAATGAGGATTACCACAGCACCATGCTCTCTCTGTCGTGTTCCTCCGTTCGGATGCCCAGGTCAGGTCGCAGCAGATAGGACAGGATGGACAGGATGGACAGGGAAGATGCGAGGGCGGGAGGGCAGGAGGGCAAGTTGGGCAGACTGGGCTGGGATGGCTGGATGGGATGCCGGTGGTAAAGGGTGGCTTGATGAGCTGGCAGGGCCGGCCGTGCTTCTTGGGCCGACCAATTGGTCTTGGAGCACCGTCTCCCGCGCAACGAGTGGGTGCGGCTTGCTGCAAGGACAAGGGGCGCAGGCACACTCTCTGCGCACCTCCAAGTCCAGTCCCGACAACCTAAATCGGTGATCTTTGTTACCCACTTGTTACAGCATGCACCGAGTCGCTTGCGTATACAGTCGACAGTATACAGTACCGGCTCGACATTCCTACTGCCGTGCGAGGTAGGGAAATGGAGAGACAGAGAAAAAAAAGCTTTCCTCCCGTCCTTGAGTAGCATCGCTCGCAAAGTCTCTGGCCGGCGAACACCGCCTTTGCCTTTCACTGACTCTTGAGGCCGTTTCAAAAGCTCGCCCTGTAAACAAACAACTCGACCAGTCGTCATCCTGGGGAAGAGCAGGCCCACCTCCCCGCCCCAGGCCCGCACCGCAAAGCCTCCTCACGGCTCGAGCACACCTTGCAATCTCGACTTCTGACCCGGCGACCGTCGGCTCCCGACATGGAGCCCCCAGTCCGCCCCGTCCGCCTAAACCTGACAACCGTCACCCACCAGCTCCAACAGCTCGGAATGGGCAAACAGAGACGGGTCATCTGGGCCTGCGGCAGACGGCCAGACCTGACATGTCGAGTCCGACTGGTCGGTACCAAATGGCTCTCACCCTGACAAGCCTCAGAAGATCACCGCACAGCACCATAAGACCATCCAGTTAAGGATAACCCAGGTATATCACATCTGTCAAGCGGGCCTTCTCCAGATCCGCTGCCTCACCTCGAGAGCTAAATACAAACCGCTACTGTGTACATGGGCCAGCAGACTACTTCGAGTAGAGCCCAACGCCATACCAACTACTCGCTCTGTCCCAAGCTGCCAAGCTAACGTCCCAACAGATAGGCGGTACAGGCAGACGGACGATCTAGACTACAGAGCACACCAGTGGCAAAATGGTGGTTGTCACTTGCGTGGTGCAAGACGGTCGTACCGGCCAGCAGATTGTCACTGAGCGGTAGAGACATATGGTCTGCCGGCTCTGGACATTTTTCCTGGGGTCCCACATCCCACGCGGCGCCCGCCCGCTGCAGGGCCTTTCCCTTCATCCACCCTCGGTTGGCCTCTCGGATCGCCCCGTTCGGGCACACGGGGGCACCACTCGACCAAAAAGAAGTTTCAAGCAGGTGGTAAGGAAGATAGATCCAGTTTCGCCTCCGTCCGGGCACTCCAGTGGACCGTCCCGTGACTCCCGTCTTGTGAGACCGGGTCTGTCTAGACGTCCATAAATGAGATTTGCAATTCTTCCCTGTCTGTAAGTCAGGAAGCACCGCCTCGGTCTAGAGCCTCCAGCACTCGAGAAGATATTCCCTAACTAGCGGATTTCCTTCTTTCCCACCTGCCCTCTCCTCCCGCCGACCCGTCTTTCCCCTCTTGCGAGAAAGACTTCGTGTGACTTGAAATGTCGGCAACCTGCAGCGTGCTTCCGCAACATGGGCAATTGAGGATGATGGGCAGGCAGATGTCTCGAATCGGCACGCAACTGTCGTAAGGAGAAACCTGCAGCGCCATGGACCTCGGAGAGGCGCCTTCGCCCTCTTGCTGCATGCATTTGCTGGGGCAGTGAGAGAGACCTCCCCACATACCGCCAATTCGAGTCACACAGCCAGCGCATTCACTACGAGAGAACCAATAAAAGTATAGTCAAAACGGTTGATTGCCGATGCGTGTATATCTACCTCATGCAAAAATCACTGCTAGGAAATTTTAATCTAGGGCAGCGTGGCCCTGTTGTCGTGTTTTTCCCGCCAATAATTACCCTCCTCTAGCACAGCGCTGTCGCCCTTCTGACTCCTTGGATATCAATTTTCCACACAACGCCTGAAAGATAATGCATATTAGGGAAAATGCAGCTCATGTTGCCGCGGTCACTGTAGTCCTCACCCACTGATCAGATCATCTCCTGCACAATCTCGTTCTTGGCGAGATGAGTAGGGAAGCCTCCAGCCAGGACGGTTCTCAGAAAGTCGACCTTGGCCGACAGCGCCCAGCTGTCGATTGTCAGCTTGTCCTTGCCGACGCTGATGGTCTGCCTGTATCCAAACTCGGTAACGTCACCGCCATGCGAACTGACGACGGCGTTGCCGCCCGTGTGCGGGTTCGACGCAGCCCATCCAGCGGTCGAGTAGCCTGGTCCCTTGCCTCGTTCGAGCCCGGTCGCGATGCTGTTGAAGTCCGACTTGAGGTGCCGTCTGTCGCGCTTGGACATGGATTTTGAGCCTCTCGAGGCCTCCCGCATCTGCTGTGCCAGTCTCTTGGGGTCGTATTTGAAGTTCATTTTCTCTCCTGAGGACTCCTCGAACTCGTTCGCGCTCTCGAATAGCAGTGCGATGTTGTTGCCGGCGCTGGTCTGCACGTAGGCGTCTGTGCTGTCAAGCTGCTCCACGAATGCGTCCATGGCTTGCTCACTCTGATCGGACAGGTCCTCGAGGTGCGCGGCCATGAAGCCCCAGCTCCGAAGAGCGGCGACAACCACGTCTGCGGCGTCGGGTGCACCCACGGTGTGCCCATCGCTCTCGATGATTTCGATCATGTACTGCATCATGTCCTCCGCGGCCTCTGTCGAACCGTCGCCGTACATGGCCGCTACGGCAAGGGCATAGAGCGCAGCCGTCTTGACTTCTTCGGCATCATCCTCCTCGCAAGCAGACTTGAGGCTTGTGACATACTGGTCGAGGACTGTGTTGGTAGGGTTCGTGAGGATCGTCACCGCGAGAGCCTTGAGCGCAAGCGTGCGTTCGGTGGCGCTGACGCCCGACTTGACCGCTCTGACAAGGCCAAGAACCAGGTCTTTCATAGGCGCCTCTATCTCTGACCGGGTGTAGTAATGTCGCGCCAGATGCAGATACGACTTCAGCATATCCTCCCTCTCTTGGTTGCTTATTTTCTTGCGCTCGCCAGAGCGGCCACCAAGGGCAATTTGCGACACTCGCGCATTCACGCGGTCAACCCAGGCACGGCCGGTGCCGTCGTCGTCGCCATGGTCGGAAGCCCCTGAGGTGGTGCTCATGGTCATCATGTCGTCGAAGTCAGAGTCGCTAGACCCTTCGTCCTCGGAGGCGTAGCGGCTAGGTGCGCGTGAGCCGGCGGGGGAGTGTCCAGGGGACGTGATTGGCGTCGCGGACTTTGAATCGGGACGTGAGCGCGCTTTGCGGGACATGGTCTTGCCACTCTCAAGGAGGGCCTTCTTTCGGAGGTCGTGCATGTTGGCAGCGGTGAACCGTGTATTGTGGTCTTAAATACTCTTGCGATGATACAAAAGCGGACGAAAGGGTGGCTCGTGGGGTCAGCTATGTGCTGTTGTTGTCCTCAAACAAAGTAGAGGCGGCACGGTACGGTGTGTGCTAAGTATGGGAACGATCAAATGCTCTGTGGTGTTGCGATGCAAAGACGGAAGCGGAAACAAGGTTTGTAGGTAGAATGGTGCTCAGAACAAAATCCATGGGTGTTGATTGCGGGTGTTATGGTTTTAAAAAGCTGCGAAGCTACTGTAGAGACTATGCGCCTGTTTAGTATGGGAAAGGGGGAAAATATATCTCGAGAGTGAAATGAGCGGGGGGATTTTGAGAAGCGCACATTTTGGGTGGTGACGGAAGAAAACCTGGTTACCTCCGCAGCGTTGGGCCACTCAGATCCGCGCCGAAAGCGATCAAATCTGCACAGTTGTGGTAAGGCTACTGTGACATACGGTGTGACCCGTGTCTGCCGCTTCAGTCCGACAGGACCAAGTCACCTGCCCGCCTCAGACTCATAAGGTCTAGTACAGTCAGGATGCCTAGTGTTTCGCATGATTGTTAGTTTCTCGGTCTCTTGATTTGCCAGAAAGACTGCTCCTGTCCGACTCATCTTCGCAGCAGTGGCAATAATCTCTGTTTATAAAGCGTCTCCTAGTGACGACATCCAGTCAGGCTTTCATCAGTCACTGCCCCCCACCTTTTCTGTCGGCCCACCTCCTGGACAGCACTGTGGGTCACTGATATACAGTACTATGGCGGGGCAGCCGTGTTCCCGTGTAGGGAGCTGGCCAGTGCAACAACAGGGGTCTTAAGTGATTGCAGAGGCGCTAAGCTGGAAATCGACTCGTTTGGCTTGTGCCCGTCCGAGGTGGACACTGTTTCGTCCTGCTCTTTGGACCGCAGTCACCGCCTCCGTAATGTCGAGGATGAGTGAACAGGTAGAATTCGAGGCACGAGGATAATTAACAGCTATGTCGAGATTATCCGGCCCCCAAGGCTTTAAGTTGGTGGCGTATCCCAGGAGGTATTTGCAGCCCAGCTCACAGTACAAATGATAAGCACGTTTGCCCATCCGTGAACTTAGTTATCGTATGACTCCACCAAATCCGCGGGCAAATGTGATAGCTGCCTAGGCACAGTATTTGGGAGCTCTTGAAACGACCCCGCTTGCCAGCACCCGGTGGTATAACGTAGATTGGTGAACTGAGCATCAGCCACCCCTCATACTCTTGACTGCGGCAAGTCGACCAACCCACGCAAACAGGGCGAGAGTGCTCGTGGCAACAACAAGGGAGTGATCGATTGTTAGTGAACTGTGAAATCAGCATCTCCCCACTCTGCCAACTCCAAGACATCTTCCGCCTTTTGAGAGCCTCAGCGCGGGGGAGATCCGCAGCACATGAGCAGCTGACGTGCTGAAGGACGAGTTGCCCGCCTGCGCCCCTAGGTATCTAGGTATACTGTATAGCTGGACGGGCCTTCTCCTCTTATCAGGCCGTCCGCAGTCGCTGCCTGCCTAGCCGTGCACGACCGCTCTTTCAAGCACTCAGCCAACAACAGCACGGCACTGCACACGAGGAAGGCAGCTTGAGTGGATCCGTCACCTCCCTGCCCCACCTTCCACCCGCACCTCTCTACTTGACCACCTCCATCTCCAAACCACCGCCGCCGTCCTCCTGCCTGGCCTTACCTCGACTTCGACCTTGTTGACGCCGTCAATCTCCTCGACTCCTAGCTCGTCATCGTCTCTCTTCTCCATCACTGCAGTCGAGTGTCACCTCCGCTACTGCTCTTTTTGGAGGTGACCGTCTCCAAGTCTTCGAGTCCATGACCTCGCCAACCTCGGGCCTCCTTATCTAGCCTGACAAACCGCTTGTGTTAGACCCGACAAACAACTTCACCGGAGCCTTGTTAGACTATCCTTCGGGCCATTACCATTGCCTTCTTCCTTGCACCTCACTCATCACCGCAACTTTACTACATAATCCCACATACAATGGCCGTGAACGTCGGGGACGAGGAATCTGGTAAGTCCAACATCTTTGTTTCCTCTTTCTACCCCTTCCCGCTGTCACCCACTGCATCGTCCTTTGGCAACAAAGCCTATGTCGGGCTGTATTCTCTAGAGACACGTTCTAAATGTTGCAATGTGGACAGTCCTCATCATTCTGTCAACCAGAACCCCCTCAAGTGTGACGCACCCAGAGCGCCGAGTCGTCCTCACCCAGTCTCGACCAGTACTGAAGATCGGACGCTCAAGCAATCGTTCTTCCTTGGGCCTGACCCCAATGCTCAACAACGGATACTTCGACTCCCCCGTCATGAGTCGAGACCACGCCGAAATCATAGCAGACATTCCCGCTCATGTTGGTAACATATTCCTGGAGAGGTTGCCTGCCAAGTAGCTAACCAGTCCCAGGTCATCAGAATTCGTGACGCAGGCTCTATGCATGGGACATATCTCAACAACGAACCACTCGAGTCCGAGGATGGCCGGCCTCTTGTTGCCGGTGATAAGGTCACCTTTGGCGTGCCGGTCTACCGAAACCAGAAGACCTTCCAGCCTGCTATCGTGACAGTTGGCATGGAATTCCAAAATGCGTGAGTCCTCCTCGCTATATAAATCCAAGCAAGAAAATTGCTAATGTTGCGTTGTAGTGGGCAAGCGGATCACTCCCCAAGCCGAGTCTTCACCGTTCCGGACGACTGCTCGACTGACGAGAATGAGCCTTTGGATGATAACGCACCTCAGAAAATCCCTACCTACATTTCTGAGCAGGAGATTAATCCTTGGCGGGAAGAGATGGACGAAGATCATCCAGAGGTGCGCCAAGTTGATGGTGTCATCGAAATTGATTCTGAGTCCGAGTCCGATGCTCCTCTACATGACTGCATCTCCATTACCTCAAGCGATGATGATCACTTCACTGCGGATGTCGCGGACCTGACAATGGGATATCAGGACGATGACGAGTCAATAAGCTTGACGGATGATGAGCAAGGAAGCACTGCACCGGCCAGTCTCATGGACTCTATCGATCTTGACAGCCCTGGTCCACCGATGAAAAAGATACCTCGCTCGCCATCCTGGAATAGTGTGTCCACGGATTCATATAGTGAACATGCGGAAGAGCCACCTCAATCAGACCATAATTCCGAAGATGAGCAAGGCGTCTTCCTATATGACTCGGAGTCCGAGGAGATGGATGAAGTTGATCCCATCGATGTTGACTTCGATTCTTGCTCGGAACCAGCCAACAATCAAGGCCAGTTTGTGCCATCACATCCAATTCATCTGTCGCACCCAGGTCCTTCAGGTCATCCCGTCCTACCATCAATCTCCACAGCGGTCTTCTCTTTGCCGTACATCCCGGAGACGCCGTTTGGTTATCAACTCGCCCCAGTAATGCAGCAAGCGCCGCGTCACCCAAGCCCGTCGGATGCCGTTCTGCCGGTCAGCCGTCGTCACCACGGGTCCGAGGACGATTGTGGCGTCACGGTGGAGAGCTCGGGACGCAAGAGCGAAAAAGCTGATGTCTTCGAAGCCCGGGAAGAAAACAAAATCAGCATGGCTCGTTCTAGCGCGTTACTCGCTACGGAACCTAACTCGGTTGTAGAAGCATCCTCAAAGACGGCTATTGAGGAGAGCACATTCCGTCCTCTGACCGAGAATCTATGCCCTTGCCCTGCATCTTCATCCACAGAGGTTGGAAAGCCATCTGATTCTGCACCATTCAAGGATGCTTTCCCAACAGCAAGCCCACAGCCTGCAGCTTATCTTGCTTCCGTATCACATATTTCTAAGGGACCCGAGGAGAGTCAAGGCAGCCGAGGATCAGAAGATTTGAGGAGTCCCTACGGCCACGCTTTACTGAATTCCGGTGAGGCCTTCTTGAACGCACCTCTCGAGGAGACTTTCGAGGTGAACCTCAAATCTCCGGAAGCCGTCGATCTTGGATGGACAGCAGCTTCTGCCGAGGAATTGTTCCAAATGAAGCAGTTGGCCCAGATTCGACCAGACAAGGCGTCGGGGTCTTCGAATCCTCAGGATGCACCTGTCATTACCGAACGCACAAAGGAGGCAAGTGGGTATATCAACAAGCGCAAACGCAGGGCTGTCGACATTTCGGAGGCGACTGACCAGGAACTATTGTGGCATGAGCAATCGCCTGCCACCCATGAGCTCGCGCCTAGAACCCCTTCCATCGCGGAGCCAGAGATCGAGACCGACTTGTCGAAACTCTCGTTCCACGCCACACCAGAGCAGGAACCCACTGCGGCAAGGCCAACAAAGATGAGGAAAATTGCTGAGAGGATGGGGTACGCTGCCCTTGGTGGCGCCACTGTCGGTGCGATGGTTCTGACGTCGTTAATCTACACTGCGCCGAACTTTGCCTGAGCGAATGTTGGCATGCGCATCCATTCCCTTCCGCCTTGTTGAAACGTCTGCTTTCATGGTCGTTGATCAGGTTGAGAGAGGGATTATTTCTTTTTTCTTTGTTTTTGTGTTTGAGGATAAGCAGGAATGGCGTTGACTGACTAAACACTTTTCCCCCTAATGGTTGACTTTGTGGTAGCTTCGATTGGCTCTGGGCTCGAGCAAGGCCGCGTGATATTCTTCCGTTCTCAGGATTGTCTCCAGAAGAAAGGACAAGGTTTCCTATGAGTGGGTGGGGCGAATTTTCCGGCCTCTATTCCGACCGCAACAGATGATTATGAACAACTTTGTCTGTTTTCTTTCCAGGTGTTAGGGAGATAGCTTTCAAGCTCAATGCCACGATGCTCATCATGAACCGATTGCCACTTGCTGAGTTTGATGATTTGCTTGCCGCCATTCTATTCACAGCTCCCGGGAAGCTGTATAAATACCGGCTTGCCACAAAATTATATTAAGAAAATGCATCTTCGCACCAGCATGCCAAGGCCGAAGATGCCCCTAGGATGCATTCATCACATAGCTATGCTCAGTCAGACCAGCGGGCTTATTAAGGCACGAACACAGTTTCGGAGCCATTTGATCAGCCCCTGAGTGCATTCAACCGATGCGCGGGACTGAGACAGAGATACTTGCAGCTATTGATGGATCATGCACCGTCCATTGAGAAGTCAACATAAATATCCATAAGAATAAAATCACGGTTGTAAAATATTCAGAAACTTGAATGGTTGAAGCTTCATAAGGTTGCATGATCCCTCATGGCAGACTGAAGTACAGTACTGTTCTATGGGCCACTAAGCGTTTTGGAGTGTTTTCTCTTTTTTGTTGGGGGGGGGGGTGCGGCAGAGACTATACCCAACTTTCCTTCAACGTATTTGTCTTCCAGTTCCGGATGATACGAGACGACTTTTTATGTTTCAGCGGACCTAGGCATTCACAATAAGATGGACATAATAAATAACATGACCCGATGGAGGAAAATTGTTGTGTCGCAGAAGCCGTGTTGATGCGGAAAATAAAAAATCTTGGCAGGTCAAGCATCCGCAGAAAGTAAATCGGAACCTAAATAGCTTCGCCCCTCATCACTCACAACGTCCTTTGAATGTAGGACGATGTTCCTAACTGAGTTGGTCCCATTGAGTTCATACTACATGGTAGACTGCAAAGTATTTGTCTTGATATCAAGAAAGGTAAGTTGCCAGCCGGCTTTGACAGCAAACCAGGCTCCGAGGTCTAATTGCTACCATAATCCACGCAGATGAGGGGCATCACATACACTATTGGAACAACACCGCCACGTTCTCAGAATTCACGACACATCATTGCGGGAACCCCTGTGACTTGCTAACTTCCCTGTATAGAAGGTCATACAACCGAAAAGCACCATACAAGAGGTTATCCCAAGGAAGGTTATCCTAAGAGAGGCTATTTCATAAAAGGTTATTCTACAGCTGGCTATTCGCCAGCTCTCCATTTTTCTTTAACTTATTAATTCTGAAATGAAAAGAGATACTGTGGCTGCGAAGCGGACACCCGAGCTTAGGCTCACTGATATGTATCACTTTACAAACTGTGCTTAAGTACTGAGTTCTATGTTGAGATCTTGCGATGCTTGCAAAGCTAGGGAGCTGAGCCCTAACGACCTCGGTAGGTAAGCAGCGCTGTCAGAATACATTGATGCTCAACTTGAATGTATTGCGCCTATTGATGCACTACAGAATGGTTCCCCTCTCTAGCATGAAAAGTCACGGAGAATGCGTGGGCTGTTAACTATGAATATGCCTGGAGCCCTGGATCTAGTTGCCGCTCAACCGCCTAGTTAATCATTACCAGTTGGCGCCCCTCCACATTGTGATGGTTAATATCCCAGCTCTCGCTCGAAGCCACTTTAGTGCTGAGCACCGAGAACCGCCAGAGATTCCACCAAGCAACTGCTCTACAAGTCTTTCAGTCGACTGAAAAGAAGTAAAAGTCTCAAACTCACCGCGAGTGCTTTCTCAATTCTGACGCAAGACGGATTCTTCGCAAGGGTAGGCCAGATGCTGACTATAGATGTGCTAGTGATTGGTCAAAACCCCTGCTCGGGTATCTGGGGTGCAGACGGGAACCGGCTCCGCACTCGGCGGCCCCAGGGTTCGCTCGCCATTTTTTGGGGCCAATTTTTTTCCTCTTGAGAAAACGCAGAAGAGTCATTCTCGACACAACCACATGTATTCCCGGTCACAATGAGGTCAATTGAAGTCGCCAGACGCTCAGGAGCGTTGGCGAGGGTAAGCCATGCCCACGAGACCCTGAATAGCAGCCCGAGACTGACAATTCTTGACAGGGCGTCCTCCAACGACAACAACTCCGTTGCGCCCCAACTTACACGCCGACTCGCCGCCTTCTTTCGACTGGTCCTGCCCTGCCTCCTGCGTACGAGACGCTCTACACTAAATATGCCGAAGTCAGGCGAGTGCTGGGCTCACAGAGGCTCACGCTGGCTGAGAAGATCCTCTACAGCCATCTCAACAATGTCGAAGAGAACCTAATGACCAACACCAACAATGGCCGTGACATCCGAGGGAAAGCGAACCTGCCGCTCAAGCCCGACCGGGTGAACATGCAGGACGCTTCCGCACAGATGGCTCTGCTGCAGTTCATGGCGTGCAACCTCCCCCAGACCGCGATCCCTGCGAGCATTCACTGCGACCACTTGATTGTTGGCGAGAAGGGCGCCGACAAGGACCTGTCTGCCGGCCTAAGCGCAAACCAAGAGGTTTTTGACTTCCTCGAGTCTGCGGGAAAGAAGTTTGGAATCGATTTCTGGCCACCTGGAGCCGGTATCATACACCAGACTGTGCTGGAGAACTATGCTCGACCGGGACTGATGATGCTGGGCACTGACAGCCACACTCCCAATGCCGGTGGTCTCTGTACCATTGCTATCGGTGTTGGCGGTGCCGATGCCGTCGAGGCCCTTGTTGGAGCACCTTGGGAGCTCAAGGCCCCCAAGATCCTGGGCGTACGCCTGACGGGCAAACTCAACGAATGGGTCTCTCCCAAGGACATTATTCTGCATCTGGCTGGCAAGTTGACCGTCCGTGGTGGAACTGGTTTCATTGTGGAATATTTTGGTCCCGGAGTCGAGACCCTCAGCTTAACTGGAATGGCTACAGTGACTAATATGGGGTGAGTACAAGGTTCACCGTTACTCTGAGTCGTGTCTAGGTTATTAACATGTTCTAGTGCTGAGGTCGGCGCAACAACTTCGGTATTCCCCTTTACAGAGGCTTCCGCGAGGTATCTCGAAGCCACCAGGAGAGGTGATTTGGCCAGTGCGGCAAAGATCTTCCAGAGCTTCCCTGGGGTCGGCAACTCGGAAGACGCGTACTTCAAATTCAAGGCCGACGAGGGTGCGGAATACGACCAGCTTATTGAGATCAACCTTTCGGAGCTGGAGCCGCACATCAATGGACCGCACACACCAGACCTGTCAACGCCTCTGTCCCAATTCAAGAAGACAGTGCAAGAGGAGCAGTGGCCTGAAAAGGTCTCCGCAGGTCTCATTGGCAGCTGCACAAACAGCTCGTATGAGGACATGACCAGGGTGGAGAGCATAGTCAAGGCTGCCGAGGAAGCTGGGCTGAAGCCTGCGACAGATTTCTACGTTACGCCCGGTAGTGAGCAGATTCGAGCAACTCTAGAGCGCGACGGCGTTTTGGAATCCTTTACGGGCGCGGGCGGTATCGTACTGTCAAATGCATGCGGGCCTTGCATTGGACAATGGAAGCGACGTGACGGTGTTGAGAAGGGCACGCCAAACGCGATATTTACGTCCTACAACCGGAACTTCCGAGGCCGCAATGACGGCAATCTCGACACCATGAACTTCCTCGCCTCCCCTGAAATAGTCACTGCAATGGCGTTTGCCGGCTCTACCACCTTCAACCCCATGACAGATACGCTGAAGACGCCAGACGGCAAGGATTTCCGCTTCCCAGCACCAAAGGGAATGGAAGACCCCAAAACGCCCTTTGAGTTCGGCAACGAGACATTCAAGGTTGCGTCACAAGCGCCGGACCCGAACGTCCCAGTCGCCATCTCTCCCACCTCAGAGCGTCTTGCCCTTCTCGACCCGTTCGAGCCATTCCCTAACCACGACCTCACCGGTCTGCAGGTCCTCGTCAAGGTCAAGGGGAAATGCACGACCGACACCATCTCTGCAGCAGGCCCGTGGCTCAAGTACAAGGGCCACCTGCCCAACATCTCCACCAACACCCTCAACACAGCCGTGAACGCGGCCACTGACGAAGTGAACGCGGCGTACGATTTCGACGGCAGCAAGCACACCATTCCAGACCTTATGAAGAAGTGGAAGGAGGAGAAGCGAGAGTGGCTCGTCGTCGCAGAGCACAACTACGGCGAAGGGTCCGCAAGAGAACACGCGGCCCTGCAGCCGAGGTACCTGGGCGCCAGGATAATCGTCTGCAAGAGCTTCGCGCGCATCCACGAGACGAACCTGAAGAAGCAGGGCGTCGTGCCGCTGACGTTCGAGAACGAGGCGGACTACGACAGGATCGACGCGTGCGACGAGGTCGCGACGGTGGGGCTGTACGAGATGCTGCAGAACCAGGGCCGCGGCGACGTGCAGCTCAAGGTGACGAAGAGGGACAGCGGCGAGGAGTTCCTGGTCCCCGTCAGGCACGCGGTCAGCAAGGACCAGGCGGGCTTCATACTGGCGGGAAGTGCTTTGAACCTCCTCTCAAAGGGAATCTGAGTAAGCCTCTTTGGATGGGGTGGTGAGAAACAAAAAGCGTACCAAAAGAGATTCGGTCAGGATACCAGGGAAGGCTTGTGTGCTTTGCGAAACATCGAAATGTGTATATGAAATGGCGCATGTATCTGACAGCTTGGGCGTTGCTGGCTTTTAACAATGGAAAAAGATTCTAGTGGTTTTGAGGCCTGCCTGTCGGAACGCGATCCAAGCGATTTGAATTGGTGACGTCTCGCTGCGACATTGTTTGTGTGATTGAAATAAACGGCTTGCCACTGTGACATCGATGGCATAGGTCCCTGACAAAAACATCGATTGTAAATTTCGTATTCATCGCAGATATTGGGTGCAGATGTGCTATTTGCCAGGCATTTGTTTGTGGACAATTCTTCATGGTAGATCGCGCCGTGTACACAGATTGTTTTAAGATCTAGAGCCTCACGCCAGGCCTGACCATGAGCCACGAAAGGTATTATTCAGCGGTAAAAGTACAATATTCGGACGAAAGCATTCCAAAGGGCCGAGTGATGGTGGGATATCCTGGTCCCGATGTGAGCAGGTGTAGAAATCGAGACACCACTGTTTGTTTCCTGTGATGGTTTGTCCGCCTGGCTTAACAGCCTCGCGACTTAGATAGTCGCGCTCTGTGCCTCCTCGCACCTATTAGCCAGCCCGCAGGAACAGGGTTAGGAGTGGTACATGCGCGTGTATATGAGTAGGCAGCCAGCCTCACCAGCAGAATCTGCTTTGAGAAATCTCGATTAGTCTATAATATGCTAGACTAATTTCTGCTTCATTGTGTATGTTCTGATTGAATGCTATGCTGGAGGAGACCGAGCTTGCGCCTTTGAGAGACATCGGCTGGGCCCGCTCTCATTAATTCAATTGCAGCCTTCCAGCCTTCCAAAGCTGCGCGAATTTGATTGCTGCTCTTTCAGCCCACGCAACCACAATCCTCCCTTTTCAAGCTCTGCGTCGTGCAAATGGCAGGGATTTCTTCTTTAGATCGCGCTATCGTTTGCCATCTTTATGGTGGTCACGACAGCCTTGAGGTCAAGAGGAACAGCCCGAGGTCATCGTAAATGAGCTTCCCCTCATGCACAACTATAATGTTCACCCCACCACAGCCTAGCGCCAGATTAATGTACATCATGTTCCTTGAAAGGAAACAAACATCCTCACCCCGAATGTTTGTAGCAATTGCAGTCGAGCTCATCTCATATGGAAGGTTCTGTATACCTCTTCAACAACCTGTGGTTGCCATTCAAGCCTGCCACAGGCTGCACTCCCGGCGCAACATTGGGAATTTCCGAGTTCGTGCGGGCTGCCGCGCCAGACGGTTCTGGCACCACTTGTGCCGTACCCTGGTTTCGTCTCCTATACGGCCTCTTCTTTCTGACAGGCGATGGTTGTTCACTGGCCTGGGGGGTTTCATTAGGCCGGGCACCGTAGTTTCGGCTGTGATGATATCGCATCGCGCTGAGCCAAGCCTCATCGTTGCGGACGCGTTCTGGCAAGCTCTCTTCCCATTCATCGGGACTCTCCTTCAGTCTCTGCTCTCTCATTCGTTGCGCTGCTTTTCCAAGATTGGCTTTGCGTCCTCCGCGAGCTTTGATCTCCTCATCCTTCCTCTCATACCATGCATCTGAGTGAGGCCGCGTCCAGTGTGTCCGCGGGTCTATATGTCCGTAGAAGACGTATTCTCGCTTCCCTGGCTCCTGCTCCACTGGCGCCGCAACTCCTGGAGGTGGCTGAGAAGACCCCTCCTGTCCATAAATGAATCTGTCTAAAGCCGAAATGTCATGGACCTCCGTCAGGCGCTGCCGCTGCTTCTCGAGCGGCGGAGTTCGTATGACCGACTTCAGCCCTCCATAGGCAGATTTGGAGATCTTTTGGCTCTTCTTCGCCTTGACGGGGGCGGGTCCGCGGCCCTGTCTCTCAGGGGCTATGCTGTTGCGTGCGCTTGGAGAGCGCCAGTCAGTATGGCTCAGGATAGTCGGCTCCGCGTGCGAGCCCCCAAATGAAGCTTTTCGCGTATCGTTGCTACTGCCGTTTCTAAGTGGGTTTATAGTAGGTTCGAAATTGAAGCCAATACCATTAAGTTGGCTTTGATTCTGGTTCGCATCGAATCGAGGAGCATGCCCTGCTATCTTCCCTTTGTCCCTGTCTGAGTACAGGAAACCGGTGCTGCCATTTGGCAAGGGCGAGCCGAAGTTCCGCGCAGGTAGATTGCCGTACGAAGGACTCCGATCTCTTGATGGTAAATCAAAATTCCGCTGCGAGACTCTTGGACTAGACTCGTCATTTCCTGGTGAGGATATGCGCTGTCTCTTCCTTGAAGGGGTCTCTGGCGACTTTGGAGGCTCTGGACGTATCTGTCGCAGAAGAGATGACTTTGGTGAGATATGAGAGCCGTTGGCAGTTACTCGACTGGCTGCAGACTGGCTGCTACCATTGGTTCTTATGCCGTTCGTTTTCGAAGCAGTAAGCAGGAAGGCTGGCTTAGATGCAATGGACTTCCTCGCGGTGACCTTCGCGTCCAATTGCTTCCGATTGTGCAAATTTGGTTCTGGGAGGCGCCCAACTATTTGCGATAGACTTGGCCAATGCTGCTTCTCGATGCTTTTGGACACTTTGGGGGAGACAGGACGCATGTGAAAGGGACATGCTGGGTAGCCATTTGGAACGAATTCTTGGCAGCCCGGAGCAGTGCACCTTGATCTTGTCACCGGTGGGCTGTCTTCAGCCGTCGGCAAGAACGGATTGCTGGGAAAACCGAACATAGTTGCGGTCGATCTGTTAGGTGGGAAAGACGGTGTTCTACTCTGGGCTTCTGAGGGACGCCTTGCCTGAATCCCATTGTTCCTATGGAGACAACGCGCACAGGTGAAGCTGTGGGAGGTTCATTAGCTTTTCGTTCCCAGTCGATCTACTGGGTCGTTTGCTAGGATTGTGGTAGGAATGATGCTGCGGAGTCAAGTAGGCAGGTGCAACTATCGATAGATTGCAAAGTAGAAACGAGGGGCTGAACAGATGAGTCCATGCCCATCCCATTCAGATAATAGGGCGGTCAGGCATGGCCTTTTCCCCCCCTGACGCACTGGCGCACTGTTTAGTGATGCTGCCCGCCGTAGCTGAGACTTGACCAGGGGGATAAGAAATGATATGCGATTTTCTGTCTCCCTCTCATGGCAGGAGCATTGTGTAATGATCGCTGGTTTGGAAGCACATGACTAGAGCGAGGTAGTGATCGAGATGTGTGATGAGGGGTATGTTTTGGCGCCAAACCACACAGGCACAAGGCCAAGCCAAATGCGTGTACTTGCTCACAAGAAGGGCTCCGGGGTGGCAACTCACCATGAAGGATCCTGCGGAAATGGACGAAGACACGCAAAATGATAGTGTCGCCTGCATTCGATGCATCGAACAGTAGTCTTGTCGACCTGCTCAGGACCGCCGCAGATCGGGCATCGGGACCCTGAGGTCGGGTCGGGATGGACGCGACGGCTAGCCATGACCTCAATTAGCGAAAGAATCCATGGGTTGAGATTGAACAGGGTTGAGATGCCAGTCCAGGCAGGCAGGCGTCTCAGATCTTTTCAGTCTTGAAGTAGTCGTCACCCTGCGTGCGGCGACGGTTTCGTGGAGTTGCCCGAGTCAAAGGAAGTGAGGTGGGTGAAGGAGTAGAGTGTAGTGTGGTGGCGGGCAGATTGTTTACGCGCAGCCTTTGGCCCGGCCTCATGGAAGCAGTGGAAGGCTGGGCTCCGATAAGCGGTAGAGAGTGTGTTGATGTACATCCAACCTGACACCAGCAAAGCGGGTATCTGGGGCTCTGCAGGATGACGATGACCTCTTGCAGACAGGCAGAAAAATGCACTGGGAGCACGAGGACAACGTGAGGGACAGGATTTAAAAAACGGGTAGGGCTGAAGCAACCGACGAAACCAGAAGAGCATTGCAGTCCGACCTTTTACCATTGCGCATCATTGACAAGGCCCGCAGGGACTCCAAAAAACAGGTGGGGAATAACAAAGTGCATTAGACTTTAGGAGATGCTCAGTACATACCGTGTGAGTGTGCGTGTTTGTGTGTTTGTATGAGTGGGAAAGGTAGAAGGATGGAATGTGATGGGATGGATAGACTAGTATGTTGGTTGTATGTATGTATGCAAAGTTGCAGGTTTGTGTGAGATAATTGAGGGTGAGCAGCCGTGACTCGAGTCAGGAAGCGAGCGAGTCTGTCGAATCAACCTGGGTTTGATACAGCAGGACTAGTATAAATCCCAGAGCCCAGAGCCGGGGAGGCAGGGTAAGGAGATCTGTACGGATCAAGTGCGAATATACTCAAGACGCCTCGATGGCTGGTATCATCGAGTCCAACTCACACAAACGTGGACACGGCCGCCTGAGAAGCCTCCAGCACAGCTGCTTGCTTTGAGGTCTCAACCTGAGTTAATTCGGGTCTGGCAACCGATGTCGCATCCGCGAGGAAGGGGAGGGCAGACCTGGAGTGAAGAGAGAAGACGTGAATGTTTGAGAAAGCCAATGCTTGCCTATTAAATTGTCAGCCCTGCGCGCGCGCGAGAGAAGAGCCAGGTGGACCCGCGGGCATTGATCACCTTGACTAGCCTTCTGCCCCTCACCACCGCCCAGGCCCTGCCCCCATTGGGTCTAGCGCTTCGAGCCCGTCGCGCCAATTGCTGGCCGTAAATGGGCGCGACCTTGTCCTCAACCCTGAGCTTGGAGGAACGTAAGGACCCCAAAGAGACACACATCTGCTATCCAAGTTGCTATTGTGTCCTCTGCTTCCAGAATATCTTTACATCCCTACCTCTGCGAACTTGCCTTTCTCTCACGCATCCTTCTTCTATGGGTAGCCAGCCAGCACACCTGTCCAAGCAGGGTGCCTTGCCACCATGGATTTCCTAAAGTCCGCCGTCGCATCTGCAATTGCCAAGGGCCCTGCCTTCCCCTACTCGTTCGGCGACATCGTCGATGTCGACCAGTCCATATGGACCCTGCACAATGGCACGAAACGTGTACGCACACAAGGTAGACTATCTAGGCACGAGCTGAACAAGCGCCTGACAAGTACTACAGGAGGACGGATCAAACTGCAGCATTTTCTCCTTCGACATCACCGCAAACAGGTCCCGACTACCGCTTGCGAAGAATGCGCTGAAGAAGCTCCGCACCTTGCGGCACCCCGGTGTGATCAAGGTTTTGGATACAGTCGAGGTACATCTCCATACCGCCTATCGGTAGACACTCGCGACTGATCGACCGGCTGTTAGACCGACACGTACATCTACATTGCGACAGAGCGCTTGGTTCCTTTGCGCTGGCACGTCAAACGGAAGAGCCTCAGCCCCGAGACCATGAAATGGGGCATATATAGCGTAGCGGTATGGCAAGACATTTTTCGCCGTGGATCCACAGGCCCATCAGCTGACAACTTCCCAGCGGACGCTCAAATTCATCAACGATGAAGCCTCTTCGATCCACGGAAACCTGAGAGTCGGGTCCATATACACCTCAGAAAGCGGAGAGTGGAAAGTCGGAGGCTTCGAGGTCTTGAGCAATGTTAAAGGCGATGATGCCATCATATATGTGCGTGCTCTCGAGGAATTATCTCTCATGCCACCAATACTGACCGTTACCACGATAGACTTATGGAAGCATGGTACCCGATTCGGCGAGGTATGCGCCTCCAGAGCTACAATCCGGCTGGGATGCCATTAAAAAGGCTCCTCATTCCGCCGTTGATTCTTTCAATTTGGGCACATTGATTTTTGAGGCATTCAATGGTGACTATTCCGGCGGGAGTCAGGCTGGCCAAACCAAGAACATACCTCCCAGCATGCATGCGAGCTACAAGCGGCTTGTCAACAACAACCCGAAAGCTAGACTCAGCATCGGCCATTTCATCGAACAGGGCCTTCGTCGCGGTGCATTCTTCGACACAGCGCTCATCAAGTTAACTGACGGAGTCGACAACCTGGGCGTCAAATCTGCCGAAGAGCGAGAAGCATTCCTCAAGTGCGTCATTTCAATTCTTTATCTTTAAGCGTGCTTTATATTGACAGAGTTACAGTGATCTCGACCAACTTACAGACGACTTTCCCGAAGACTTCTTCAAAATGAAAGTCCTGCCTGAACTGCTCAAATCAGTCGAATTTGGCGGCGGAGGGCCAAAAGCCTTCAGCCTCGTAATGAAAATTGCGACGAAACTTTCAAGTGACGACTTCGACTCGAGAGTAACGCCTGTAATAATACGGCTCTTTCAAAACCCGGACAGAGCCATTCGAGTATGCTTGCTGGACAATCTGCCTCTGATGATCGATAGACTATCGCAAAAGATAGTAAACGACAAAATATTTCCGAACCTGGTATCAGGGTTTTCGGATTTAGCACCAGTTGTCAGAGAACAAACATTAAAGTCTGTTCTCACCATCATCGGCAAGCTCTCTGATCGCACTATAAATGGGGAGCTGCTGAAGTGTCTTGCCAAGACTGCGAATGACGAGCAGCCTGGTATTCGCACAAATACGACTATTTGCTTGGGGAAGATTGCTAAAAACTTGGGAACTTCATCGAGGAGCAAGGTCTTGATTGCAGCATTCACGCGCTCTCTCAGAGACCCTTTTGTTCACGGAAGGAATGCCGCACTTATGGCACTTGCTGTCACAGGAGACTGTTTCTCTGACGAAGACATCGCGCTGAAAATTCTCCCTGCCATCTGCCCTTCTCTGATTGACAAGGAGAAGATCGTTCGGGACCAGGCAACGAAGACCATGGATATTTACGTGCAGAAGATAAAGAAGGCCGCTGAAAACATGCCTGACACCGTTCTTCCCCCTCAACAGACTGGTGAGCACGCAGGAGCACCGCGCATGGGTACTCCGCAACCAACGGAGTCTGCCGCAGCTTCATGGGCTGGTTGGGCTATTTCATCATTCACCAACAAGATATCCACAGCTGCGGGTGAAATTGAGCCATCTGCGTCAAACGGCTCAACCCCAGTCGCAGAGGTGAAGCGTCCTGTGCTAGGAACCACCTCGTCAGCGTCAACATTACACCGGCAGGCTATGAAGTCGCCGCAACCTGCCTCGTCGACCATCGCAAAAGCTCCGGCGAGCAACTCCGGCGCTGAGTCCTTCTTTGCAGATGTCGAGACGGCAGAGGACGAAGGAGATGCTTGGGGCGACATGGGCGACATGGACGACGACGATAATCTCGCAGATGGATCAACAGCTGCAAATGATTCCATGGCCTCATCGGCCACCTTTCCTGCAGCAAAGAAAGAATCAACAAGAAATATCAGCAGCAGTGGCAGCGGGAGCGCACAACCATTCGGCGAGGATGCGGAGCCGGACTTTGCCGGGTGGCTAGCCGCACAACAGAAGTCCAAGGGTAGCAGCAAGCCGTTGCCAAAGGGGCTCAACAAAGCAAGCCCGGCGAACGGCAAGTCAGCGACAAGCAAGAAACCAATATCCAAACCTGCCGCGAAGCCGGCGCCGGCCAAGAAGATTGATCTGAAGCCGAAACAAACAGATGACGATGAGGACGGATGGGGGGATGGGTGGTAAACATAGATGGTAATGTATATTTATTGTTGGCCCGGTTTGTATACGGGTGGACTAGCGTTCTTTTCGGCATACGTGTAGTAAGGAGTTCAGGACGCTGGTTTGGGAAGCAGTGCCGCGGGCTTTAGAATTGGACTAGCTGTCCCGCACTGGATATAGGATGGATAGGAATAGCACCGTTTACACGCAATTAAGTGACCGAAAAAGTGAATTGGTGCACACTATACGAATGGGCCCCAACAACGAAAATACCTTGGCCAAATATGCCCATTACCAACGCCGTCCTAACCGTCCCATGCGATGGTTCAACCCGAACCTTGCACATAGCACCAAACCTCCAAGCTCAGAGAGTGAGCTTCGGCTCACAGGTCCTCTAGATGGGCCCTTCCATTTAACGGGGCCATTGATCAACCTGCGCTTCCTTTCAAGACGTACTGCACCCATTCAGTTGACTCCGAAAACCCTCCTACCTCGCCTCCGAATAATCATTCAGAGCCACACATACCGCACCCCGGTGATGTCCGTTATACTGCCGGATGATCTGCTGGCTGTGCAGCTCCCACAGGCGCGCGTAGTGGTCGGAGCAGGCCGTCACCAGGTAGGCCGAGTCGGCGCTGAAGGCGCAGTCCCAGACCCACCTCTGGTGGCCGGTCAGGGTGGCCTCGAGGGGGAAGGCGCGCGGGAAGCCGCTCTCGTCCGGGCGGGCGGCCTCGTCGATGTCGACCTCCCAGATCTTGGCGGTGTGGTCGGCGGAGCAGGTCGCCAGCTTCTTGACGTCGGGCGACAGCAGGATGCGCGTGATGTACTCCTTGTGCGCCGAGAACTGCGTGATGGGCTGCAGCTCGGTTCGGTCGAAGGTCTGGATCAGGGACCAGACGAAGACGTTGCCCTGAAGTCCGAGGTTAGCAAGTAAAAATCTAGAGAGCTCGGTTGTCGAGAAAAGGTGGCGGGTGGGGTACGACATACATTGTTGTTGGCGGCGCACAGCAGGGTGCCGTCGGTCGCGACCGTGACGCTCGACACGGACACGTCCTCCTCGGGTATCAGCTGGTGGGAGCAGCTGTTCTCGGCGAGGTCCCAGACCCTGACGCTGCCGGACCTGTCGCAGCTGATGATCTCGCCCTGGTTGGGGTGTATGACGACGTCGTTGGCCGGGCTGCCGTGGTTGTAGCTGCGCTGGATGGTGCCGCTGCGCGTCTCCCAGATCTTGACGGTGCCGTCCTCAGAGCTAGTGACCATCCATTTGCCCTCGCAGTGGAAGGCGACGCCGGTGATGTTGCCTGTGTGGCCCTCGAAGGTGAGCAACGGGTTCGGGTTGGTCGACTTGATGTCGAAGAGCTTGACCGTGTGGTGGCCGGCGGCGGCGAGGAAGCGCTTGTCGGGCGAGATGCACAGGCGGTTGACCTGCGAGTCGGGGTGCTGGATCGTGCGCGAACAGATGCCTGAGAGGGCCTCCCAGAACCTAAAGGGATCAGTCGCAACAGTCAGCCAGCGCTCCGGTGCCGAGGCGGAGAGAGAGGCGGGCGTGAAGTCGGTGGTGGGCTTACCGTATGGTATGGTCGTAGCCAGCTAGAAAGGCGGCAGGTCAGCCTAACGGTCGCGCCATTGAGTGAGAGGCGGAAGCCCAAGCGGGGCGCAGGAATTGCTTACCAGTGCAGAGAATGACCGACATGTTGTCTCAAGGACACTGTCTGTCCATCATGGGCTCGAGACAACCTCGGCGAAGGGACTGTTAAATGTGCCTGCAGCTTGTCGGAGCTTCAGGTCGGATGAAGCCTTAGTGGGGCAATGTCGTTTGTGAGGCTCAACCCCAGGTCGGCCCCTAGTGACGTTTCAGCGGGGACCGTCCCACCAGCTGGGCTCAGCTACAGCTCTTACAATTCTGGGCAAGTCTACTTTGTATTGTGCGCACAGGTAGTTTAAGTCCATTGATAGTATTCACCTCAGCCTAACGTCTTCGTCTTGACCATAGCTTCGGATCTAGATCTCTTTAGGGATTTGTATGCTACCAATTGAACAAGTTACTGCTATGTACCTACTCCTACTCTGATTGTTACTTGCGTATGTTCAAATTGGCTATAGTGACTCGAATTGTAACTCCTCAATCGCTCAAGCCTTACATTGATAGAAGCAGCATTCGAATTTCAAACGAGCCAGCATCCTGGCGCTTGATCTGGACCCTTAGCACAAGAAGTATCAACATCTTACATTTTTACTCGGAAACTTATAATTTGTACAGCCAAAGGGTCACGGCTCGGTCGAGTCACTGCTTTCGTGACCCAGAGAATTAAAGCTTTTGGAATCTTTGCACGCTTACGTACGGAGGTATTGCCATGCATTGTAGTCACTTGAACTGATCTGTTGGCACATTTATCCATCTTTGGCGCTTGATTTGACCTCAGAGACCGACTCAATACATCTTAGTATTTTCTTTGATGTATGCGTCGGCTGAGACGGGATTGCTTGCTTGTACTCTTTGCGTCAATAGCGCATTTGTCGCGTTTGTAAAGGACTCTGTGCCATGTGCTCAACGTTGGAGATGATCTTCCTAGCTGGATCCTTCAGGACTTCTGGTTTCTACCCGAGATTGCGTCAACTAATGTTTTGCGAGTTTGCGCAAGGAAGATAGCGGCGGCTAAATTCTTGGTACATTTCATGGAATGAGCCTCGACAGGCGACAATAGGCTTACTGTATTCCTGAACGATGACCATTCTCCCGAATTTGGTTGACCACGCTGTAGCGCCATTGCGCAAATCGCGTTTCCCCGACAAGAATTGCAGTACACGTATGCAAGTCATTATGTGGAGCTGTCACGCTGAGTGGCTCTGCCTTCGCTACTCCATCTGCTCGAATATGACGGCTTCAGACTAAACCGACCTTGTGCCCTCTGTAGCTTCTGTCTGAACTATGCCATTAGGCCCCTTCCAGAGTTTCTCTCTTATTTGGTTTCCTTTTCTGCCTTTCGCGCCCTACCCTCTGATTAATGCAACTGCATTGGCAATAGTCAGAGTTCAGTGCGGGCCTGCTGCTGATCTTCCGCAAAAGATGCTTGTGACTTCACATGTACTATGAAGGGCGGCAGGACGGGACTTGTTTGTCACACAACGCAGTGATTGACAGCAGTGCATGACCATTCTTCCGACATCCCCGTGAAGGAGGGTGCGTTGCGCTCGTATTCTGCATGCGTCTCCATCCAAAAATGGTCCGCAAATGCTCGAGAATGTGGTCACTTTGGCAAGGGAGGAATGGGTAATTGCATGGGATCCAGTCTGCTGGTAAAATCTATGCATACGTCGGCACAACACGATGCAGCCCACAGCACAAGTGCACATCTAGACGCATACCATTCGTAATCAGCCGGTTGGCACTGGTCCTGCAGAACCAGGTGACCTGAATTATCTAGGAAGTGTGTGTCGGCGAGCAATTAACGGCGCCCAGTTCGGCGACCATGTTCTATTCTAACTCAGAATACTCAAAAGATCGGCAGTCGTTGTCTCGATCGAAAATCTTTCATGGCCTTCGCTTCACGAATACAAAGACTTGCATTGTTCCAGTACATTCGTAGCTCACGGGACCGTATAGATATCTAAGATCTTCTTCTGTTCATTTCACAAGAATCCTCCACGAAACTTGAATACATGGGACCTCGGGTGCTTAGTGCAGACAGGAATCCGCTTCACAAAACATGGCGATGAAGGAGAGGGGTGAGACCACGCTTCCAACCAACTGTTCTCGAAGCGAGTCCTCGAAGCGAGCAACCACGTAGCACTGTGGCGTGGGCTGAAAGATTCACGGGTGCGAAAGAGGAAACTCGGATGTCACATCGCATCCGTCTCACATGTATCGCTTGTAGACAACACAGCCATTTCCACCCTGGAACTTGACGTTCTGACTGCTCGTCCACCTCATCAGAGACATCTTCCTCTGCTTGGATGTTTCTATTCCCGACGCGAAGCCGTATGGTGTTCCCTCGACGGCCTTGTCGATGAGCTACTGCCAGACGTTGGCTGTCCGCGGTAGGCTCTCGAAGAGGTGGTGACAGTGCCGACCTGGGCACATCCGTTTGGGCATCTGACCCACTGCAATGCCTCAAATTAACTGCAACTCCCTCTGATCAGGGCCATCAACAGGCGAAAGGCTATGCGGTGTTGTTTCGAAAGGCTATGACCAGCGGTTCGGCCTTTGAAATAGTCCAAAAGAGCTCATGTGCCTAGGACTCTTGCTTACTTGTGTGCCACTCCCATTACAGGTAGGACACGGTCTAGGACGACCTCAACGTTAGACGAGCAGCTATGAAAAGGATTATAAGCAGCAACCTACTTTCCGCCCAATTTCCCGTATGTCCAAACACTTCCCCGGCAATTCGAGCACTCCACAGGATGATTTCCACCAACGCATCCGCAGGTGTAATCTCCGGTGGATGGAAGCTTTGGGGCGTTGCCAGCAAAATATTCGTCGGACATTCTCGGCAGGCCAGGGAGTAAGATGTTGTTGTTTTCAATACAAATGAGCAGGAACAGCTCTTATATGGGATTCGGCGTAGCTGGACTTTTCGATCTTCAAGGAGAGTCTGCGAGGATCTCGTCTACCTGGGGTAATATGAGGAATTTGGTCCGTTTAAATAGAAGTGTCAAGTCACACTCGATTACCGAGAAGCCCAGACGGCTACTTGCTGATTACAAAAGCAAGGGATTGATTTTTATAAGGAGCAGCTCCTTAAATAAACATCTTCATTGTGCCCCATCTAGCTGGTGATTTGTCACAACCTCACACAGCTACCCACCATACAAGGGCCAAGGTGGTACCATAAATTGTTCAAGTGACCGCATATCCGAGTCAATTGCACTTGGGCTGAGGCTGCCTCACACGGCAGGTTATCAGGCGGCGACAAAATGAGGCACACTTTATGGATGCCCTCCGCGTCGAATTATAAGTATGAAGAAGGTCTTCTGGCATCAAGTCTGTGGGACACAATGTGCAGATGTCATGATATGCGGGAGATGAAGAGCAATAAATCTCATCAGATCTTAATAGACCTTCAATCTAGGCTGCCCGGGTCGGAATGTTGAGCAGCACCTCAAACACCACAAATCTCGAGACGTGTCAACGCTATCCAAGATGCCTTCCGAGATGTCTCGGATGCCTTGTTTCTACTCGAGCTCACCCACGTGATGGCTACGTCCCAGACTGTCCCCAGCGATGGCCCGCTCGGGCAGGCCCATGCACTCCAGTCTAGTAGAAGTGCGCATGCCTCTATCTCGCAGCATCGAAAAGTCGATCAGGTGCAGCGCGCTACCTGGGGGTTCCTGCAGCTATCCGCGCCGAGGCACAAGCCGCATGTTGGAAGCACCCGCCGAAGCCAACGGAAGGGCTCGAAACTCTGACACGTCGAAACAGAGCCCCGCCCGCCAACTTCCAAGTTCTGTCTGCCAATTTGACTATCGGTAAGAGAATACGTGGGTGCTTGCATGCGCACCACGCATTCTTTAGCTCTGTGAATATGCTGTGGAACAGTTTGCCCTAAAGCGGTGTAAATCACAGTGGTACCGCGGGACTCGGTTGTCTACCGTCTCCTGGTTCGAGGCAAGAGGTCAGCCTGTCATTGAAAATGATGGCGTAGAACAGTCCACACGGGAGAAAGTCAAGACTCCCTTCGCTGAGGCAGGGGTTTGACGGAAAGGATGAGTATAAACGGCACTGAGAACAACAGATCCTGGACGCCTGTGTCCCCAATGGATTCGGATAAGACGAGCGGAACCGGCCCTGTTCAACGATGCCTTCAATGTGCCGGCCCGGCTCGCTTGAATTGTGTATCCTTCAATGTTGGTCGAAGCGAGCATCCCAGACGCGTGAGTTAAGCGTCCCACCATCCTTGCTCCTCCCGGCGGGTCGATTCACCGCGGCTTGTTCTTGTTCTAGAATGTCACTGCCGAAGGATCCTCGGTACAAGAGGTTGCCGTTTCACACCACACTTTCGTGCAATCGCCTTCTTTGAAGCACCCACCGGGAGCAGGGAATGCTTCTCCGATCACCCGTCCGGTAAGCCTCGCGACCTTGCTTTTGCACACGCTCGCGGCTTCTGCAGATGCAGTGCAACCATCTATATGTCCCACACCAGCCCTTCTGCTTAATGCAGAGGTAGCATTCCTTTTCGTTTGCTACACGACTTTCACTCTAGCTGACGCCCGTCGGCTGCTTGGTCATGTGCAACGCTGGCAACGAAGGGTTCAACCGTGGACAGCATTAGCTAGTCGTCATGTGCTATGCCCCGTGATGATATAATTATTGTGGTTGGAATCTGCTCACGCCGAGATTGAGGGTAGCCAAGGAAGTCGTTCGAAGACAGCTGTATAACAGGTCTTCAAGAGGATGTGTTGACGTCGTGCTTTCCTGATCGGCGAAAAAGAGGTCGCTTGATTGATTGTGTGACTTAAGCGAGCTGAGGGACGGAGCAAAAGTTGCGAGGGAGATGCTTGGCGTCAAGGCTCTCCTGCGGTGATCTTGCAGGGAACAGATGAATAGACTGAAGGGACAGGTTGCCGAAGCTGGCCCAGAACCTCATGCATGTCTCGGCTGGCAGTCAGCATGGCGTGCGCGCATAACCGATAAGAAGCAAGTTGATATCGGAATCATCCTCGAATAGTCGCCCGAACCGAAAGGGGAAAATCTACGAGTGAAAGACTACTTTGCGTGAGCAATTGTGTGATGTGTGCTACGTAGTGATGCGGTAAGTCGCCCATTCCCCGACATGAGGACAAGAAACGCGGGATGATTGGTATTGTAAATCCTGGGAGTCAACTGATCTATTGAACTTCAGTCATCTGTTCATTTTCTTATTAGAGTGTCCTCTCTACACATCACCAATACCGAGGATCATGTTGATGCCACGGCCCTCTTTCTGGCAGCATCTTCGACCTCTATGTGAGGGAAAATGAAAGGCTGTATACTGAGCTCCTAAGGGACCTATAGATCTACATCCTTGAGGAACCGGAAGCCACAGCTGAGAATGGACACTCCCAATAGCTGACTGTAGTGTAACTAAATCTACCGAAACACTCTGTCAACCTTTTGCTCGCTCTGATTAACAGCTCTAACTCTGTTTTATAACTGTTCTTCGTCCCCGGCCCCCCCAACGCAAACAAATTTAAGAATTGTGCACATGCGAGTGGCTCAAAACCTTCAATAATGACCACGAGCTTAATCTCGGGTGTCCGTTTTACAACCAAAATATTCATACAGAATAAGGTGAATCAAAGGAGTGCGTTATTAAAAAAAAGTCTCTTAGGGGATGCCAACTCTAGAAGATTCTCTTATAGCATCACCACCCGTAACGGAAGATCCCTTTGGGACAACCTCTTTTGAGATACCCTCTTCAAGGGTAACCTTCTGTAGGATGTCCTTCTGTGGGAGAAGTTTTCAGATATGTTCTAGGATACGCTCTTGGTTTATTTAGGGAGGTAGGAGCCATAGGGGAGTTCGCAATGAAGTTTTGCGATTTGTGAGAGTGTGGCGATTTTGTTCCAATAGTGTATGTGAAGAGGACTCCTCAGAATGGGCAAAAGTCCAGATTGCCAGTGACGAGGTAGGAGACTCACAATTTGAGATTCTTCGAACAGAAACAAAGACAAAAAGTCATACGCGGGTTATGACAGGTCTTGTGACTCTCAGGGTTGCGTCCCCGAGTCTGAGATGGTGACAAGCGGGGAATGAAAGCATTCCGGCGTCTCAGTGCTCCCAACACTCCATACCTCGAGCTGTACGTGTCATGTAGACCAGAGTGCATGTTCAGACTCTTTTCTCTATCATTCTTCGTTTTCCTGATTTTCACCCTGCTTTTGGGAGCGACTGTTGATCCTACATTAGATTGAATGTACTTGTGGAAACAGTTTGTTGACTTACTTCGATGTGAAAAGGTCTCGAAGCATTCAACAAATCAAGACACACAAATCAAGCCCATCCCGATCCTGGATCGCTACACACTTTATAGCAAACCGGCACAAAAAGCAGAAAAAAGAAATGTGGGAAAGCTGCGATTCGAACGCAGGCCAACTCACAAGGCCGCACCGGCCCAGCCTCAAGGACCAGACCCCCCGGGGCCTTGCAAGCCGCTCTACCCAGCTAAGCTACTTTCCCATTGCCTTAGAGCTCAATTGTTTGCAAGGCCATATAAGCTTCGGTCGTTTGTGCACACTGTTCGTTAAACAATATTTGTAGCTCTCAAGAGAAAGACCGTGTCTGCAAAGGTCTGTTGACTGTGCAATACCAGCATGATTGAAAGAAGACACACAAACCGAACAATAGCAGGCTGGTCATGGCCATGGAAAGGACCTGAGCATACACACTAAACGACCATAGCATATGTCTGCAGAGCATCACATGTTGCTCGAGTAAAGCCAACCTTGGGCGATACCCGTTACACTTCATGTATCATGTTGGGCCATGGGAATAAAGCAGGAAAACCCAAGCAGGCACTCACTACCGCCATCCTTATCATTCTTCAGACAATCTGACGAAAGGGGAGTACAGGCAACCAGGCAAGGACAGCAGTGAAGAATCAAGTCTGCAGGACAAGGGAGAGCAATATTCCTTCCACCAGCTCCACTAGCCAGCACAAAGGAGGGTATACTGTCAAGATTCAAGGATTCTAGTCTCATAGTCGTGATCCTATAAACGAGTAGCAAGCATCAAGCAGCCTGCGTCCAGTGAGCCTAACGACATTTCTCCTCGGACACTCAATTTCGTGCCGGTCCCGCTGACAAACTCCGAAGCGCCCAAATACGTGAGGTCTTCTCGTGATGCCCTGTAACATCTCTGCTCACACGGGCATTCCTTGTATTTATCAACGCCCATCAGCAAAAACACAACACAATTTTAGCCTGGCGCTCGCGATAATCAGCCAATCTTCTGCCTCTTGGGATCACCGCCAATGCCACCAACCCCTCCTCCCGCGGCAGCGACACTGGCCGTGCCATTCGTCGAAACCTCAGCCAGCGCGGGTCTCGCACCACCTCCACCGGCACCACCGTTGTTGCCCTCACCGGGCGGGGGCCTCTTGAACGTCGGCGGGCGGTACTGACCTCTGTTGCCCAAGGGACTGCCCGGGCCCAACGGAGCCCCGATGCGTCTCGTCTGGTTGAGCTGCGGGTTGACGACGTTGCCCCTCTGCGCAGGCCCGGCCCGGTTGAAGCCGTTGTTCATGCTAGGGGTAGAGGGCGGCGGGCCAGAGTCTTCGCCTCCAATAATGTTACCGTTCTCGTCACGCTGGACTGGTGGCTGGGGCTTCAAGTCTCTGCCGAGGGGCTTCGTTTGGCTGTAATCGATCCCAGGTGTCTTGAGGACATTGGGGGTTTCCGCGTGGGGATTGAAGACCTGCGCGACTGAGGGTGCGGTGGGCAGCTTTACTTCGTCGTCTTTATGACCAGCCAGTTGTTTGACCGCGCGAGCGGAAAAGAATCCCACTGCTTGCACGTTGCCTGAGCTCTCATTCGGCGCCTGTGGTGGTGTCTGAAGAGGGCCGTTATTGCTTGACTTGTTGGTTTGCACAGTGCCGCCGGCCTGAGGCCGGGGCTGGTTTTGTTGTTGTGGTCGCGGAGCATTCTGAGCAGGGTGGTTCGGCGCCGCCGGTCGTGAATGCTGTTGACCTTGGACGGGAGTTTGGGGTGGCCGTGGTGGGTTACCGGCTGATTGTGACCTTGACAGAGGTCTCGAAGGCGGCTGCATGGCTTGTGGGTTGGGTCTGTTGTTGGTCTGAGGAGTGGGCTTCGCGCTTTCTGGTAGTGAAACCTCGTCAGGATGGTCGTCATCCACCATGTTGAAATCGACCTCATCGAACTCTCCAAGAAGGTCCTCATCAAATGATTCGATAGCGGCAGATGCTAGGTAGAGTCAGTGACGGCGTTGATTTCGACGTAGATGGTTTTAAACAAACCTGCGCTACCGAGATCTCGGGCAGACGGCTCTTTCTTGATCTCAACCTTCTTGGTAAAATCTGCATGTCGATGCAGCTCACTCTCATCCCAACCCTTGCTGGGCTCGAGCTTCAGCTTTGTGACCTTCTTCAGGTAGTCCTTGTCGTAAATGCAGTTCCCCAGCACGTTGCCAAAATTCCTCAGCGCCCTCTTCAAGGCATCTGTGGTTCCCTCCTTCTTCGCCTTTTCGAAAGCCGCCGCCTTGCCTTTGCAGTTCTCGATGTGGCCGTAGCCAATGTCCTCATGGAATGTTCCATCGCGAAGCGTTACGCGGACAATGACGGACAATCCCAGGGAGATCTTGAGCGTCTGGGGGTGCTCGTCAACAAAGTCCACCTGCACTTCCTTGATCATGGATGACCAGCCATTGAATCCAAAGACCTCATTGGCGAGGGCGATGCATTTCTCGGCGGCGATGTAGTGGACCTTCTGCCCCGAAGGCCCCGTGCGTGCTGACAGGTACTCGGGCCCGAGTTGTTTCTCGAGGCGGGACTGCAGCGTCGCTATTTCCTGAGCTGTGTATTCTGAGACGCGAGGCTTGGCTTCCTCGAAAGGGTTGGCGATTATGGTGTGTTGGTCGCCTGGGCTACATGGCGAGAAGTTGGAAGCGTCAGTCAGTTGGAACTCGCGAGACCGGAGACGCGTGCGGCATGCGAGGCGCGTCGGGCAGCGCTCCGAGCTGTTGTGGTAGATGAATACTTACGCAGGCATCGTGGTGGACTTTTTGAATCAACATGCACACTGATCAAACCACTACTATCGGCTTGGTCTGGGTGGAGAATGGGATGTTTCGCGGACGGGTGACTCTCACGCCACAAGAGTTGTCTCTTGGTTGTTGACGCGCCCTCTGCCTAGAGACGTGCCTGGCTGCCTGTCCCAGTAATGGCCTGGTACCGCGTCTGCACGTGACCCGGTTTTTTCTTGTTAGACTAGACTACATCCTTAAGCCGAGGTCCCCTCTCTCTTTGCAATCGTTAAGCTACAATACGCTGCAACACGTAGTAACAAACAAAATCCTGGGCATTTTCTTTTCATAGCGATTTTCCATGGCGAACATTCTTCCACAAGACTGCTCGCCTCCTGCGTGATACATGTTCCAAACTCTCACGTGCTGATCAAACAGCAATAACCTCGCTGCCAATGATAGATCAGACTTGGTCAGCTGGCGCTGGCCGCTTGGTCAGTGATGACTTATGATCCTACGATGAAGAGAGTCGTCATCTTCAACTACATGGTAAGGTACGCGCGTAAGTGCTTATGGCCAATTATTTTCTTTCTGCAGTAGGCCGTCCTGTCTACGCAGACCATAACCACGTATTCTAATTCCAGCTTGTCTTCAGGGCATTTGTATTCAGCATGCCGACAGACGGCACTGTTCACTACCATGCCTCGTTGATTACAACAAAGGAAAAACAGTCAAATATCTTCCTCGATGATGCTTTCCACCGGATGTACAGAATCAGTCCCGTGCCGGGCAACTGAGGAAAGAAATGGATATCAAAATGACGCGGAGACCATATGAATAACGCCGCCGTGATGTGTGATCCCCGTGTCTATGCCACCCCTCTTAACGCCAAAATGAAATGATACTCCCTTCCTGCACAGTGATTACGAGCACGTACGCTGCGCCCCTCGCTCTTGTCGGATCTTTAGCCAGCCCAAGGTGCTTCTTTGGTTGCATGCTTCAGGCCCTAGTGGATCGCCCTCCGCCACTAGAAGGGTCCGACACGAACAGGAGCTCCGTAGGACCCATTCAACAGCTGGTCCAGGATCGAGTTTTGATCCGAGGGGCCCGGCTGGGCGTTCTGATTCTGAGTCGTGCCAGACCATCCGACATTGCTCGCCAGGGCGTTCACTGCTGGTTGCAATCGTCCGCCAGCCTGCTCGTTGTGCTTGGCCAGGACCTGGTCCCATCCGTCCCTATGAAGAGCGAATCCGCCACCACGCTTCGCCGCCTCGGTGATCACCAGTGCCCACGCCTTGGCTATCTCGTCGTATACGTGGTCTTTGTGATGTCTGTATGTTTGGCTGTCCCAGTTCGGCATCGAGTGTGCGACCTTGGTGACACCATCCAGGTACATGAGTGATACGTCGGCCTGGTTCTCGATTGGGGGTAGGTATTGTGGTGTGAAATCCATGATGGCACTGACGAGAGCGGCCAGTGGCTGCTTCACCCGGTAGTATGCGTAGTCGGAGCTAGAGTGGCCGTATGGCATCGACTCGGCGAGCTTTTGTTGGTAGGACTCCAGGACCTGTAGTGTGGACGCCGCAGAGGGGCGCGGAGCACCGCTGAGGACCTCCTCCTGTATGTCTGCCCGTCGCTCGCATATCCTCTGGAGAACGGTCCGCAGCTGGTTGTTGTCGAGGGTCTCGAGAAGTCGTGGTAACGGCAGAGCCCGGGAGGGAGGTTCGGGGAGTCTGCTCTTCTTGGACGGTCTTGCGAGCTGTCTCTGGTGAGGGGCAGGAGAGCTGAGAGGCGAAACGCTCATCTCATCACCGTCTTCATCAGAAGCCTTTCGCTTTCGTGATGCGGAGGCCATGTTGGCGAAGGGGGACACTAGTAAGAGCTAAATGTCAGCGCCAAGAGCGTAGTCATGTACGAGTTTGAACAGCAGTTCAGTCCTTCCGTCTCGAGGAGATGCCACTTGAGTCATGGAGACTCAAACGACTCCCACTCGAGACATAGCCGCAAGGACCGGTTTGAGCAAGTAGTGGAGGGCAACATACTAGATCGAGAAGGGGAGAGGCGGTTGTTTTCGTGTTGGTGAGGGAAGACAGGTGGCTGCGGCAACAGCACGTTCATCTTGCCGATGACGCAGGCGAGCCGCCTCTTGATGTGAATTTGTGGTGGGTAAATTTAAGTCGTGATGCCGGTTCTGCTGCAGATGAGACAAATGGCTGATCAGATGGCGAAGGTTTTGCTGGTCGATGAGAGGGAGTCGACGTCGAGGACAAGGGCGAGGACGAGGACGGGGGACGAGCGAATTCTGATGCTGAGCGGGTCCGCCGTGAAGGTTGGGACGAGGGAAAGTGGTGAAGGGCGGAAGCGGAGAAGTTTCGCTCGCAGGTCAGAGGTGGGCTCGAGGGTAAAGGCCCAATGATGGAAGTGTGGAGTGGACAGGCGGAACTTGGCTACCAGGTTACCACCTTAGGTAGGCAGGGAGCGGCGACACGCAGCTGTGAGTGGTGCCTCTTCGCTTTGTTGTTGTGGGAGGGATTATGGAGTATGCGGCTGATGGATGGACGGAGGAGAAGGCGACGGGTGAATGTGGATGGACGGATGGGGTGCATTGCCCATGCATCAAATGGCAGTTGGACGAGACACACAAGAGTCAGGTTGGGCAGTCCAGGTTTTGCAGTGCAGCTAGAGTGCAGGCAGGGGGCAAACGGTACGGGCAGCGGAGGGAGGGATACCCAGCTGCAGCATGCCGCTGGCGATGTTCCAGCTGGTCCGAGCTGGTCCAAGCACCTCCAAGCAACTCTCCCGGGTTTGGCGTGCTTTGGCGTGCCCCTCTTCCAAGTCTCGCTCCTAGAGTGTGGCGGCTCCTTGTAATTACGCCTGCCTGCCGGTCCAGGGAGCCACCCAGACGCCAGACCACTCAAGGCCTAGGGACCCAGGCAGGGAGCTGGGCCGGTACTTTCAGCGCCGGCAGCTGAGCACTGGCGCCCCAAGTCTCTCGGCCTCGACGACAAAGGCGGTCAAGGGAGACGACGACCGTCCTAGAACCCCAGTGCCTGCATTGCGTCGGCGCCGTCGTTCGAGTGGACCGGACCGCACGAACAAGCTGCAATGCCAACAAACAAACACCCAGGTAACCCACCAGCAACATGAACCATTCGCCACCCACTGAGAGAAGAGCCAACGAGATACCCCAGACGCTCGGATATTTGGATAGTATACATAGTCTAATAGCTACCGTCGCCCTGTACGTCTGTTTACAGCCGGGCCTCGGAGCTCAGAGCCATATGTCTGGCCAGGTATAGCCATCGGCTTATTCTGGGCACATGAATAGCACACACACACAGGTCCCCGTGGGAGCTGTGCCCGACCAATCAGATGCAAAGAGAGTGGTCACGACCCTCCAACTACAGTAGCAGGTATGCAGTACGCACCAGTCTAAGCACACAGACTAGTATGTATTATCGACTCCGAGTCTACCGCATGGTAGGGATGCAGTGTCGTAGTTGCGTGGCCCTTGGGTTCACTACCTAACCTCTCTGCCACTCAGGCAGACGAGTTCGACTGCGGTCGAATCCGTTAAGCCTTCCGATTTGGCCGACTACTGCTTTGGGAACCTCTCATATTCACCTTACGTGTATTGACTGGCTCTAGGCAAAGTCTCGATCAGGCGGCGGCGGCTCAAATTCCATCAGGCTGAGCCAATACTGCTCCGCTGATGAAAGCAACCAGGGGCACGTAGTGATAAATGTGCCCCGCTTGCCAATGCCTAGTGCCCAATCCTCCGAACCTACTTTCCTTCCAGTGTCTCCAAAAAGCTACTTCCGGATGACATGGCTGCCCTCGGCCGGCTCCAACAACTTCCAAGTGCACTGAATGTTTTGTGACCTGAAGCGGGATATGATGCTCTCGGCGATTTCTTCGAAGTTGTTGGTGGCCAGGGCCAGGATGGTTGGCCCTGCGCCCGACAGACACACTCCGAGCAGTCCGGGCTGCGAGCTTGGTGTCATGGACTCGACAATGTCCGTCAGCCCGGGAATCAGGGTCTGTCGGTAGGGCTGGTGTAGCTTGTCCTGCATCGCCAGGTAGATCAGGTCAGGGTCCGGAGGCGACTGGCCAAGTGCCACCGGCAGTAGGGCTATTCTTTGCAGGTTGAATGTCTAGTTTAGAAGTCAGCATCCACAGCTAGCAACACAAACTCTCTCCATCGTAGCTGTCTCAAAACTCACCACATCCGGACGGGGATACTGTGCGGGCAGCACAGCCCTCGCCTTTGCCGTAGCAACCTCGAAATCGGGGATGATGGCCACAGCCTTGATTTCCTTTGCCCAGGGGAACTTGATGTGATGCCCGATGCCCCGTGGCGGATCAGGGGGCCTGGCTCCGGTATCAACTCCGCCCGCCGGCGAAGGGAGGACCTCAGCAAGGGGAATCTCGATACGTGCCACGTCCTCTGGTGCCAGTGGCTTCAAGTAGGTCCCCACAAAGCCTCCGTACAGTGCTGCGCCCACATTGTCGGGGTGCCGCTCTGTGATTGTGAATGTCAACAAGATGTGTTCCCTGGTACGCTAGAATCTGGTCAAGACTCACCGATCATGAGACAGTAGTCAAATAGGCGGTCGTTATCGAGGTGATCTAATCCACCACACTGCTTGCCCAGCAGTACACCGGCCACGACAGCAGCGCCTGAGGACCCCAGACCACGGCCCAGAGGGATTGGGTTCTTGATGTGCACATGGGTCTCCACCGGGAAAGACCGCTGCTCGTGGCACCGCAGGACGTAGAGGGCCACTCGAGTCAACAAATTCGCATCAGGGTCGAGGCTGATCTCGCCCGAGTCTTCTCCCTGGCCCTCATAGGTGACGCGGCAGTTGAGAGGATACTCGGACTTGGACTTGGACCGGTCGATGGTGACGTGCAGCTCCAGGTACATGGACAGGGCGAGGCCTATAACGTCAAAGCCCGGGCCAATGTTCGCGGAGGAACATGGCACCTTGATGACGAAGGCTTCAGAGGCCATGGCTGCTGCAAGATGTGGTGGTACCGCAGCTCACACAAACTGAATTGGTGTCGGTGGTCGGTCAAGAGCCCAGAAGAAGAGGTGTTGAACCTCAGGAATTCGACAGGGACTACTTGATTTGATTATGCTCTCAGCAGATATTCAGACTCTGTGGGAGTTTGATTCTGCAACTTCCTGCAACTTCGGTGGGTTTTTTCCACGTATAAGTCTGCATGTATGGGCTGGTGTGACTCGACAATGAGATTCTCCTAGCTGTCCCGATGACGGACCACGCATTCTCAAGGGCCTCCTCTGCCGCAGTGGACCCTATCGTACTATTCCGCCCAAGCAGATAGCATGATTCAAGACAACTTTCAGCTCTACAATTAGACTCAACATCTAAATATTGGTGTCTGGGTGAAGGCAATCAAGATCACGAAATTGGACAGTGAGCTCGACACAGTTGTGGTACAGCTGCTATATTGCGTGCTTGAACTGTTACAGTATCGCCGTAGGCATATGCAGATGCAGGTGAGCGTCCAGGCCCGCCATCGATGATGCCCTGGCCCCTAAGCCCATTGGACCTGGGATTGCTTTGAATGAAGCGAACCCTTACGGCGGGGGATCAGCATAGCGCGGATGTCTCCACCGCCTTCCTTATCGGACTCGCTCCTCTCTTATCGCCTGGGAAAAATTTCAGATCAATTGAATTCGATCCTGACATTGGCTTCCTTACCAGCGTTTTACTTCCGGTGCACACTCGAGCATTTCTCAGTCCCGGCCCGGTTCCCATTTTCAGACCACCACCTGCAGCCATGTCAACAGAAACAGAAACCCCGCCGCGGGAAAGCCCCGAGGCCGTCAGCGAGCCCTCGAAAAAATCCAAGAAGCGCAAGAACGACGCCGACGAGATCGAAGTCGACCTCTCCCTGCCCGAGCCCCCATCCAAGAAGGCCAAGCGTCTCCTGAAGAAGGGCAAGCCCCTCCCCGTCAAGAAGGACTCGGACGACGAGGCCAGCGACAAGGAGGAGGGCGGCGACGGCGACAAGAAGGACAAGGACGGCAAGAAGAAGGAGCGGTCGCCCTACGGCGTCTGGATCGGCAACCTGCGCTTCAGCGTCACCAAGCACGACCTGCGCGACTGGCTGCTCGAGAACTCGGGCGGCAGCATCACCGCCGAGCACATCACGCGCATCAAGCTGCCCTCGTCGCGGCCCAAGGGCGGCGCCCGCCGCGCCGAGGGCGAGGCCTTCGAGAACAAGGGCTACGCCTACGTCGACTTCTCCACCTACGACGCCACCATCGCCGCCATCGCCCTGTCCGAGACCGAGTGGCACCGCCGGAGGCTCCTGATCAAGGACGCCAAGAGCTTCGAGGGCCGGCCCGCCAAGCCCAAGGCCGACGCCGACGAGGCCGGGGCCGGTGAGGCGGGCGGCAAGGCGGCGGCGGCTGCGGCCGAGGCCAGCGCCGCGCCCAAGTCCACGACCAAGAAGATCTTCGTCGGCAACCTGAGCTTCCAGACCACCGAGGACGACCTGCACGAGCTCTTCGGGACCTGCGGCGAGATCGAGTGGCTCAAGGTCGCGCAGTTCGAAGACTCGGGCAAATGCAAGGGCTACGCGTGGGTCAAGTTCAAGGAGGCCGAGGCCGCAGACTGGGCCGTGAAGGGTTTCGTCAAGATCAAGGAGGTTGAGGAGACGGAGGAGGACTTCATGGACGTTGACGACGAGGAGCAAGAAGGCGAGGAAACCAAAGAGGAAGGGGGAGAAGGGAAAGAGGAGGACGATGATGACGACGAAAGCGAGAAGAAAAAGAAGACAACAAAGAAGACAAAACCACAAAAGGAGGAGCGCAAGGTCAAGACCCGCAAGTGGTGGGTCAACACCCTGCACGGCCGGCGCTTGAAGATCGAGGCAGCAGAGGATGATCAGACGAGATACAAGAAGAGGTACGGCGGTAAGGGCGCCGCTGCCGCCGCCGGCGGTCAGAAGGAGAACTCCAAGCGTGAGGCCGGTGGCGACAGGCAACGTCCACAAACCCACAACCACAGGCACAACAATATCAAGAAGAGGCGGGACCACGATGAGGGCGGCGAGAGGAATACCGACGCCAATGCAGCTGCGCCAAAGGAGGCAGAGGTTAGCAACTTCCGACAGGACATCAGCGTGGCGAGATTGACGGGAGCTCCGGTGAAGCCTGAGGGCAAGAAGATTACTTTTGAGTGATCGAGGAGTGAACGGGGATAAAGCAGGTCGAAGTGACCTGAGGATATTCGCAGTCAAATCTAGCCCAGACAATGTTCACAGTTTGAAGATGGGGTGGGAAGTTCTACTTTATACCAATTAAGAGCTATAATCACATGCAACACAAATCAAGGCGTCTCGAAGATTCCTGTTCAAAGTTGATTTTTCATCCTAAAACCTAAGACTTGAGACCGTAGTGACATTCTGTTCTTGCTAATGATTCCGTTGAGGAGGTGGTGGTTTAGGGAGCCGCGAAGAGTAGAAGTAATCTGCCGATCGGGCTAAAATCATCGAAATCATAAGGGAAGGAAGAGAGGAAAGACCTGCGAAAAGTACCAGATACAAAACAAGGAGACAAATCGTCGACCCGGGGAAAAAAGACCTCAGCTAAACTCGTAAACAATCGCCATCCTACACGCAATGTCTTTTATAAGGGTTCATTCTTACGAATGAAACCCCAGAAGATCAAAGACTTTCCGCGCTCAGTTCCTCTGCGCCCTTCTCTGTTGATCGCTGAGGTACTCCTCGTCGGACGCATCAAGGATGTCGTACTCCTCATCAGTCAAGAATGCATCGTCGTCATCCTCTGCCCAGTCGTCGACATCACCGCAATCCTCAAAGTCATCCGCATCTTCGTCGACAACCTCGGCGGTCTCAGACTTGATGTCTTCGTGGGTGCTCGCCTCGGGTGACTCCTTCTCCAGCTTGGGGAAGATCATTTGGCTGCTGCTCTCCGAAACAGGCTCAACCTGCTTCTCAATAACAGTAGTGGTCTCTTTCTTCGGCTCCTCGACTGCCTTTGGTGCCTCCACAGTCACGTCGCACCACAGACGGTGGCCGAACTTGTGACCGTCACTGGTGGTCAGACGCCAGTATGAGATGACCTTGCCTTCGCGAGCCGGTGTTCGGAGGAGAACGGTGAAGGAGAATTCCTGTCCCGGTGCCAGCGTGTTGTAGCAGACAGTCGACTCAGACGCGGAAACGAGATCATGCAGGCGGGCGGGGTGGTTGGGGTCGATGTGGCCCATGTAGTCGCCACCCACAAACTTGACTGAGCATCCAGCAGGCCAGGCAACCTCACCAGCGTTACGGAGCACCCAAGTCTGCTCGAAGACATGGTTCTGAGGCAAGACGGTGCCGTCAACAACGGTGTCCCGCTCGAACACAGCAACAAGCTTCTCAACGTCGTCGCTGTTGCTTCCTTGGCTCTCCGGAGAGGGCTTGGGAGCTGGCGTGGCAGGCTTCTGAGCCTCCATTGCCTTGGCCCTCTGAGTGTCCGCAGCAGCCTTTCGGGCTCGAGCCAGCAAAAGTGCGTTCTCGCGTTGTTCGGCGTGTGTGCGCTCCCACTTCTTCAGCGTCTCCAGGTGAGAATCTGCGTCTCCGAGAGTAGGCTTCACATCAACGACGGTCTGCACAGAGCTGGCTGCAATGTTGCTGGATTGGGTGGTCTCGGTTGCCTGAGAGGTCGTAGACTTGCGGTGGCGTACCAGGCGGTCGCCCATCACAGGCATCTTCTGACCATTCTCATCCTCACCCTTCGTGGTGACCTCAACACGCCTGACAGGTGTCTTGAACTTGATGAGAGGGTGCGTCTTGTTGTGGGTGTTGGCCGGAGTGGCTTCACAGCTGGCACAGAAGTCCGTGTCGTGGCACACAGTGCACTTGTACCTCTCACCAACGATGTAAGCCTTGCGAGTGCCGTTGCAAAGGGGTCCGTCGCAGCAGATGCCATAGTGAACTGGACGAGTCGCAGTGCGCACGCGAGTGTCGACCAACTGCTCGTAGATGGGGACAAAGCGGTGGTTGGGATGAATAAATCCGGCGTTCACAACGCAGTCTGCGCAGTAGTCCCAGTCAGGGCAGTCGAGGCACTTGTGACGAATTCCGAAGATAAACTTCTCGCAGCCGTCACAGATGGCATGATGTCGCTGGTTGCGGCCAGGGGAAAGACGCTTGGAAATATCTGAAGGCAGAGGCGTGCCCTCCACGGCCGCGGTAAAGCCATGCTTGGGATGGTGGCCGTGCTGATCGCTCTTGAAGCAAGCCTTGCAGAGGTCAAAGTCCTCGCAAGAAGTGCAGTGTAGGAACTCCTTATCTGGTAGCTCCTGCACACAAGAGTTGCATGTTCTGGAAGGGAAGTGGCTGAACCTTGGCAGAGGTCGCTCATGCACAGGGACGCAGGGAGCCCACGCAGGCTCCGCTTCCTTGGCCTTTGGCTTGGGTGCGATCCTCTCGGTGGTGCTGACCAGGATCGAGTCACCCCGTACGAACCTCTTGATCAGCCAATGCTCAGCACTGTAGCAAGTGATACCTTGCTCGACACATTCCGAGCAAAGGTCGAAATCGCCGTTGTCGCACGTCGAGCAGTGATAGTGAGAATCGGGTATGGTGCGGTCACAGTTGTTACAGCAGACCGCAAAGTTGGCCGACTTGGGCGCGACGTAGACGGACGTGGCTGGCTCAGTAGGCTGGCTGGCCTGTGATTGAGTCTGAAGAGTCGGAGAAGTCTGCTCGAACTTGTCCATGCCCAACTGCAACTGGCTCATGGCCTTCTCCAGACGCTGGTCCAAAGCCTTAATCTTGTCGAGATTCGACATGTCCGAAGTTGCCAGGTCCCTCAACGTAGGGAACACGGAGGCCGGTGCCGCAGGAGACTCTGGTGCTGCCTTCGAAGGTTCGGCAGCCTCGGATGGGGCCGTGGAGATCAGAGGAGCCTCGGGCTTGCTCTGAGCAAAATCGTGGTTCTCGGTTTCAGGCTGTGGCTCGGGCTCGTCCTCGACTGTGACGGGCTTGGGGCCCTTATCCTCCTCGTCGAGGTCCCTAAGGGTTACTCGGAGCTTGAGCTTTTGCTTCGCCTTGGCCGCACGATAGAGCTGTTTCCAGACGGAGATGTTGCTGTGGTCGAGAACGACATATGAAGAAGCAGAGTCGGAGTACCGCTCAAAGGTGGCGTGGGCTCCCGGGGCGATGCATAGGCTCGCTCGGATCTAAGCAGAGCTGTCAGTATGCCGGCCGACTCGATCTTGAATAATTTGGTTGCAGAAAGTAGAGCCAAATTCCGTGTTGCTGTATCCTGTAACAATGGCCTCCCTTTGATGTCGCCCTGGGGGATGGGGATTGGGTGTGGGTACGATAAGGCGAAATCGGCAGTGCAGATGGCGAGGGCGCCGATAGATAGCATGACGTACCTTATCTTCAAGTGTGCTAGCACCGAGGTCACGAAGGGGCAGCTTAAAGCGGCGAGTGCTGCCCTGGAAGTTGACCTTCAAGGTGACAAGAGTGTCAGGGGTCGCCGGTGCAGACGAAGCCATGATGAATGAGGACCGCTGCTGTTTGTGATTTGAAGGTGTTAGCAGGTGGTAGGTTGGTAGGGAGGTGATGATGTAGGTGAAGGCGTGGTGTCCTTCTTGGGGTTTGTTCTGTTGGGGTTCTGGATCTCGGGCACGCCACTGCACAGTTGTAGCAGGTAGAACACGCGAGTAAGTCTGGAAACGGGCGGTGAAGTCTGCAGTATTTCCCTTTTGGTCCGTGGAAGGGGAAATGATGTGATGGGAGTGCAGGGTGATAGTGCTTGGGGAAGTAGGCGGCCGAGATGGGCAGTACGTACAAACCAGGTGGATCGGTCGGAGACGTCTTTGAACTGGTCAGGTCAATGGCGGGACAGGAAAGACACAAGATTTCCTAGGGCAGGAAGGCGATGATGATGGAGATAGGGGTGGTGAATCACAGACACAACGACGGGTAGGATGCCGTGCTGGTTGAGGAAGAGAAGAAAGGAGGGGAAGGAAGACGAAAAGCAAGCCGATCAGAGAGGTAAAAGGGAGGGATCCGTGGTTAGAGGCAGAGGCAGAGGCAGAGAGGGGAGTGAGTGCGTGAGTGAATGGCTCAAGCTTACCTACTGCAGCGCACACCTGACACAAGCTGGGGGAGCTGGGACCTGCGGTTGATTGGCAGCCCAAGACGTGACGGCGCTCAGCGATGAATGAATGGGCTTGCGCCGTGTTAGTGTTGGTGCGGAGGCGGGCACTGCGAGTGCTAATGTATCGCGTGCGTGTGGTGGTCTAAGTGAAGTAGAGTGGTCTGGGTGTCTGGGTACTGGCTGGCACTGCACTGCGCTGTGGCCTACTGTACGCGAGGCGAGGCGGGTGGGTACGTACCGGTTCACTTAAAGTGGCAGGCGGGTTGGGACAAACGGTCTCAATCCCACGTCGATCGGGTCGGTCGGTGTAGGTTCGGTTGGCTTACCTCGGCCGGCTTGCTCGGGCAAAATGCACTACGAAAGCAGGGCTTAAGTCCGGGGTACTACAGCATGCACAGGGAATCAAGCGAACAGCTGGAGCTGGAGCTGGAGCTGGCACGTTAAGTACTGCAGGAGGCAGCAGGCAGAGAGCGGGGACTCGCAACACCTCGCTTGTCTAGAATGTCTGGAATGCCAGCGAAGAGGGGGCGATCTTCTGATAAAGCAGCCTCGCGCAAACTTGGAAACTGGCAGAAGTTGTGACAGAGCTGGCTGGCTGGGCTGGCTGGGCACGCCGTCGCAAACGGTGGCGGCACCTCAGAGACATTCATTCGTGTTACGCTCGAGTCTGGCGCGTCCAGCACCAGCGTTAACAGAAGCCACATGCAAGGCAGCCTCTGGCATCGCAACGATGCGGCAGGCGAAGGAGGAGGGGGGAGGCCTACGTAGGCCTCGCCTGCCTGGCCTGTATTGCCTGCCTTGCCTGTCTACCTAGGTAGATTACTGCATACAGTTAGTACCCAGCTGCTCCAGACCCGTGGCCAGCGAGGCTGCAGCATGCTTGGGTATTGCTACAATTGCCCCAGGCACAACAGACTAGTCTCCTTTTCGACGTCCACAAGCATGAGCATGTCCTGCGTTTGAAACACGATCGCCATCGTCATCGCCGTCCAAGAACTCATTCCCTGTGCCGCAGCATAGAGGTCTGAAAGAGAGGTCGTGCTCGTGCAGGTGCAGGCGCAGGAGTAAGAAGCAGGAGTAGGATCAGGAGCAGGAGCAGGAGCATTTCCCTCGTCTGACCTGACTACGCATGATTCGCCTCCTTTACTTGAGACCACAAGTGCTGCGGTGGCATTCATGATACATCAGAAACACGCCCCCTTTGCCGCCGTCTCATATGGTTTATAGTTCCGTCATGTCAGTCAGTCACTCAATCACTCAGTCACTCAGTCACTCAGTCAGTCTATGGGCAAGCGCCAAGCGGTGTCCAGCCCGTTTGCCTTTGTGCCAAGGGGAGTGTCCGCTAGGTGGACAGATTGGACGGACCCTGGACCGGGCCAGTCCTATCCAGTATCTGCACAACACGCGTGCTCGTCTTCATACCGCTCTTTTCCAGCAAGACAAGATAAGTATCATCTCCTTTTCGACATGTGAGTCTCACTGCCTCTTCTCCCCTGCATCCTGTACTGCTCCTGGCTGCTCCTGTGGAGCAGCACCCCATAACCCGTCAAGCTTCCGGACCAAACTACCAGTGCGAACAAGGGATCATGGATGATGATGATGATGGGCAAAAGGCCTCGACCCAGCCCGCCAAAGCGGCCACCAACACGTACGCTCGTACGAATGCAGGTGGTGACGACAACGAATCACAAGCTGGTCCACGGCTGCACACGGCCGGGTTGGGGAGAGCTGCCTAGCATAAGCTCAGGAGCTCCGCCCTTGGCCTGAACTGTCTGCCCCTCTTGCCCGTCGCGTCGTGCCCGGACCTTATATCCGTCCGTAAGCTCAGTGATCTTCCCCCGTCATGCAAGTCATCTTCAATGATGAATGCGTTGCGCGGCTATCAACTACCGGCCGTGAGTGTGTGTCTCATGCATTGGTGGTGTCATTGTTTGCCCTGGCCAAGAGATGGTGAATGCAGTATCACAAACAAAGAAAAACCTCTTAAATTAGCACCACTAAGGCCAAAGTGCCGAGTTGTAACCGTCCCGTTGATTTATGCTTAATTTGGCCGTGGGGTTAGCAGCATTTCCATTTGGTGATGACTTCCTCCAATGGAAAAGGCGATAATAATTCTAATTAACTATCACGGTCGCGACCGCTCGCAATTCGAGTTTCAAGGAACCTCAGCATGTCAAACCCCCGTATTCTCCATGCTGTCCTTATTTAAATGTGAATAGCAAAAACCACCAGGCTCAACTCGCACTCATCCAATGATGCCCTCAAGCGCCTCGACGAGGCCTGTCTCCTCGTATCTCACAATCCTCCGCTTGCCCTCACCCTCCACCAGCCCCTTGACCTTGACACACTTGATACCGAGCCTAGCCAGCTCGTCGACGTTGACCCTCGGCATGCCAGGGGCGCCCACCTCGGCCCCCTCGAGGTAGACAATGTGCGTGACATATCTGCTGATCTCGCCCTCGCCCAGGCTACCAAAGTCCGTCTGGCTCTCCTTGGCCGCCTTCGCGACGGCCCGGGCAAAGTCCGCCGCGGTCATGGGGCTCGCCGCGGGGCCCGTCTCGCGGTCCGTCTTGCTGTTGAGGATGAGCACCTTGTTCTTGACGCCGCCGCCGGCCACGGCGGCCCCGACGCCCCGGAGGATGACGGAGGGGATGATGCTCGTGTACAGGCTGCCGATGCTGTACACGACCGTCTCGCTGTCCTCGAGCGCCTCCAGCACCTTGGGGTTGGCCACCGGCCAGATCTCGTGCCCGTACGGGTTGATGTACCACACCCGCCCGATCCGGCACGCCAGGTCCTCCTCCTCGTCCTTGGAGAAGGCGTGGTGGCCGCGCAGCACCGGCAGGGACCCGGGCAGGTTCGCGTCCTCGACGCGGTCCAGGTCGAGGTGCTTGTTCCCCGTGGGCTGGAAGGTGTCGTCCGGCACGGCGGTGGGGCCGGAGGGGTGGGAGATGGCGACCTGGCCCGCGAGCACAGACCCGTCGACGAGGCCGGCCGAGATGTGGTGAGTGAAATTAGAGTTGATAGCTGGCAGAACGGCGGTGGACTCGGGGATGGCGCAGATCAGCGAGAGGAGATATATCGCCGACTCGAAGGAGCCAGAGAAGAGTCGAGCTCTGTAGTCAGGATCAGTATGGTGTACATGTGAAAGCATTGTGTGGCCCTGTATGCCCATCTGAGAAAACCCACCCTGTCAAGAACAGATTGCCGACACTGGCCTCGGCAAAGTTGAAAACACTCGTAGGCCTGTTCCTCTTCACTATCTCAAGGTTCAAGTTGTTGAAGACTGAGCGTATAAGCTCCCTCTGCTGGCTCGGGATGAACGTCCACAAGATGTGCCGTGCCTCCACGATGTCGAGCCATTCTGATCGCGCTGTCATTGGATCCGCAGACAAACGGTATTCAAAAAGGGTCTTAAGAGCTGTCCTTTCCTCGTCGCCGTTGTGGTTCGGAATCAGACGGACGAGACGGCCTTGATTCATGGACGGGCCCCCATCAGTAATCTGTAGAAACTGGGTAGTCCTCAGGAAAGGTGCTCAAAGAACTCACTTCGCACGTCACCAACACCTACGGCAAGTCAGTAATCATGAACAATATGCAGAGAGCAGATGAGGCTGTATCTTACTAGGCCCTCCAAACACCCTGATGAGCTCAGACGAGCTGCCGCCATTGTCGCTGATGGGAATGATGTAGCGCAGGGGACACTTCTTTTTCGTGGTGATCCTGTCGAACACGTCAACTAGGAAATTCGCCGCCGTCCCGCCAGAGAAAACAGCTATGCCACCCCGTTCAGGGTGGCGACGCGTCGGCGGGTATGGGCTCGCGGGAGGAGGAGTCAGGGGCCTCGGAGTTGAGGTCGGAGGATTAAGTGAGTGTGGAGTGTTCGACATGGCCGTTAACGTTGTTCTGGGGTTGTTGATGCGCTACACGTCAATTGAATAGTGAACGTAAATCTTGAGGGCTCTGCCCACGATTATCGCGGCCCTTTGCTATCTTGGCCTCTACAGCTGCTGGGTGGTGGAATTGTTCTCAAATATTGTGAGCTGGGCTACGCTCGGTTGACGACATCCCTGGGCCATCGCGGCTGAGCCATGGCCAATTCCAGTCTGACCTAGGTGCGACAGCAACCAAAACGTGGCATCATCGTGTTCTTGATATCCCCAGACTTAAAAATATGACTCTTATTAGAAGGATTCATGGTGGATTTGTAATAACCTGACACTTCTGGGCAGTGTGTCCCGCGCATCCTACATGATCTGTCTTCTTTCGAGCACAGGGCGGGGCGTCATCTTGGGTAAGTAGCACCAAATTCCACGACAACTCTGTGTCATGTCAGCACTTTGATCTCGTGTATTATTGACGTTGGATTTGCAATTGCACCACAGGCTGCACTCAACAAGTCGCACAAATTTGTAACCAATCAAATGTTCGTAGATGGGAGTATACTGTATGCGTCTCGTTGGTAGCAAGTGGAGACGCGATGTCCAGAGGCAGCAGGCATGTGACGAACCGGGGATCTCAAGCCTACCACTCCTTTCAAATACACTCGTCATGACAGATGGCACAAGGCATTGGGCTAGAGCCGTATAACCCTACTTTTCAACAGCGAGTATTCCATACAGCTACCTAGGTACCTATAAGCCACCGCAACGTCGTCTCATCACCCTCCCAAAGCACTGCCGCAAGCAGAGACCACCATCACCACAACCAGGAAGTAATCATGTTGTGCGAGCCTTCTAGCCAAGTCTATCTCTCAAGACCGACGACCAAATAATTGTCAACGCTTCGTCCTCGGGCCGGCGCCTGTGCCACCGCTCTCCCCTCACCTCGCCTTTCTTCTTTTCACACCCCATTCCCCGGAGACGCGAAGCAATCCCTGTCCGCAATTGCAGGTGCACAGACAGGAGAGGAATGATTTTAGTAGGGGGCGCTGGAAATCTTTTCCTCCCAGGCTCAAAGGAGTGTCGTGGTCGCCATTGATCGATTATCGAAACAAGTCCTGCAACCTACCACACCAGCAGTCACCTTACAATGAGAGAGCAAAGCGATCCAACTCAGCCACGCTTGATAGACAAACCAGATGCTATATCAATCAATGAAGACATGGGCACCAAAACGCCGTTTCCGAAACCTCCGCCCTCTTTTTTTGCACGTCGAAAACATAGATCGAGAACATCCCTCGGCCGACGCCAAGCAAAGAGAAGGAAAAGCACGTTAGGAAACAGGGGCAAGAACATGACCACGAAACATAAGACTGCCGCATTACGAATCCCTTTAATTGATGAAGTGTCGCATAGTAACAGGACGGCCCTCATATCAACGCATCCAAGACGCTTTTTATGTCTTGCCGCTGTGCTTTGTCGGACGGTCGCTATCGTGGAAGTATCGCGTTTTGTTTATGTCGTAGGTTTGGTGATGCGATAGCCGATAGATCCCTGCGGGTCTCACGTCCGACGGGTTATTGTGTAGCGTGCAGAGGACTTCAAGAGTGCCTCTTCCTCCAGTATTCACGCATCAAATCATCATCCCAGCGTTTTGCCTCGAGTAGCAGCGCTTCGGCCGCACCCGGGTAATCCCCCACCCCTAAGAAATCTTTATAGAAGCAAATGGTTGCAATGACGAGCAGGCAAAGATGGAGCCTGACAGTGAGCGCAGCTGAGGAGCCTCTGATGGATTATGCGGGCTGATATCCTGAGGCGTCCCCATACAAGGTATCCAGGATCTACCCGGGATAAGGAGCCATTCCTGGAGCCGCCTGATTGTAGTAGAAGCCATCAGGTCCGGGTGACATACCCATGCCGTACCCGGGTGCTGCGTACGCCGGATAATTGGGGTATGTGGGTATTTGTGATGCGTCGTAGTAATAGACGCAGCCCCCGCTCTCTTGGGCCACCAATGCTTGCGACGCACCTGAAGGGTCGCCTTGTCCACTCTGGTTGTAGTTCACCTGTTGAGGCTGCTGCGTCCCAGGGTAGAAAGGCGGAGCTGCCGCCGAAGGCGCCATATTATTGCCGTATGGCGGAGGGTAGTAATAACCTTGCTGAGGTGGCATCATCTGATATGGCTGATTATAATAAGTAGGCTGAGGCTGAGGCTGAGGCTGCGTGAAGGCAGAGGGCTGGAACGGCGCGGCATGAATAGCCCTCTCGGGGATCTGAGACAGAGGCGTGCCCGTGGAGAACTGAGATGGGTAAGATGAATTGCGAGCGTGTGTGTCCTGAGACAAGCTGTTGGCCACCTGAGGAGGTACCTGCTGATGGAAAGCTTGCTGATATTGCTGCGGAGGGTTAATTTGCCGCGTAGGCGACTCGATGTTCTCCACTGACACGGCCTTCTGTGGCCGAGGTTGGTGCATGGGGATGGAGCCCGGACGGTTCTCTTGGAAGATGGGCTTCTGAGGGAGAGGGTGCGTTTGAGGGTGCGGCAGATCGCTGATCGAGGGCTCGTAGGCCGCGGGCTCCTCCGGCGCCGGTGCCGGTGCAGGAGCGTCCGTGACATCGCCAACCGGAAGAGGCTGGGGAAAGACTGCTGTCATTGGAGCCGGCGCAGGCACAGGCACAGGCACAGGCATTGGCATGTCTGGTCGAGCCATGGGCGGCAGCCGGACGATGGGACGCGACATGGCGGATCCGGTCGGGGAAATGAAGTCTGCTGGAGCAATGGATGACCGCCGACTCATATCAACACTTGGCGTGTAAACACTGCCACCATAATAACTTCCCCCATAGACACTCGTACGGCGCGAGTAGCCTCCCACTGAGCCCAGACCTGGGCGTGGCTTGCCGCGCATCCGCTGCTGGTTTGGTCGTAGAGCCCGAGGAATGAAGATGAAGGACCTGTCAACAGCAGGGAATATGTACCGAGGTGGGTTGTCTGGCAGCGAGATCCGGACAGGCTTGTCACGTCGCAGCGGGGGCCTGTGGTCAGGTAGTTTCGTGTACCGTTTGATCGCGATGCCAGAGAACGACTTAGGCTCCTTAAGCCCGGGGAAAAATACGCGAATCTCCACGTTGCCCAGCGTCTTCTCGGTCGATAACGTTCTGTTGATCGGAGTGTTGCTTGGGGGACAAGTGGGAATATGTCCGTCACCATTGGGAAGACCCTCGGAAGGTTGAACAGATTGCCTTGGTTGTCGAGGAGGCACAGGGTCAGCGACGGTCTCATGCATATCGTGGGACCAAGGAGCGCTCGTCGTGGGATCGAAAGGCGATTGAAACGATCTGTGGGCTTTGAGTTAGCAGCTTGTTTTGGCAAATTAGAACAACTAGGGCAGGTGAGTCCATACTGAACCGGTGCGAAGGGGCCACCAAAACCACGGCCCCTTCCTCGACCTCTGCTCAATGCTCCTCTGCCGAAAGGGCGGAAGCCATTCGCGGCAGGTCCCGCATGGCGGTGGTCATGCATGAAGAATGCTCCTCGATTCGGCACGAATGCCGGGTCCTCGTCCCTCTTCTTGCGATACTCTTCATGTTCACGTCGCCGGCGCTCGAAGGGAGGTTCCTGTGACGGCACCGATGTTGAGCTCACAACGACTGGACCGCCCGGCTTGGAGGGTGCAGCGGCAGCGTCGTCGGCATGCGCAGTCTTGGGCGAGTCCGAGATGCTCAGCTCGTGGAGACGTGATTCGGTCTCGGCGACAGCCTCAGCAGCATGGCCGTCGGCATCGGTGGCATCAGGTACGGCGGCGGCAGGGCGACGATCACCGGCTTTCGCCGACCCGCGGCCTGAGGTCTTCTTCAGAGCCGGGGATATAGGTGATGCCTCGTCAACGTTGCTGGTGTCGCTATCATCCGCATGGTTGTTCTCGTCGCTGATGACGGATCCCTCTGTCATGGAGTCATCATCGAGAGCGTCGAGGGTCTCGGGGCCACCCTCGTCATCACCATCGTCGTCGACGCGGCGCCGGTGGCCGAGGGCTCTCCTGCTGCTGCGTTTGGGATTGGCAGCCATCTTGTGTGTGGGGATCGGCGGTCGTGGGGACAGGATGGCGGGGGATTGACTGCAGCGCGAGCTGTACTTGCAGCGCTTTCAGATTGTGTCGAGGAACGACATGCGGTATCGGGCGTCGAGAGATGATTGTTGCCGGGAAATGTTTGATTGCCAGACCAGCGAGGGCAGGCTAGGACGAATAGGTGGATGGAGTTTGGAAGAAACCGCGCTGCGGCAATGCAGGGAAGCGTTGGCGTGGGAGTGACTGTTGAAACTGGAACGAGCTCTTGCAGGACACGAGGGCCCGGGACAGAAAGGCGGGCAATCAACAAAAGACGATGATGCCAGACAACGACTGTGACAGTGACAGCCGGGTGAAGGCGGCTGCAGTTGCAGTTGCAGGTGCAGGTGCAGTTGAGGCGCAGCGACTGCGGGTTTGGACCATAAGTCCGGGGAGATTGGCTTCAAGGTCGACGTGATGCGAGGCGAGGAGGCGTGGGAGCGGAGCGGTGCAGACGCAGACGCAGACGAGGGGGGTTGGGAGGGTCAAAGGCGAGTGAACGCTTTGAGGCTGATTGCATGAGACTGGCTGGTGGCAGAAAAGGGGGAACAACTAGCTGCTGCCCAAGAGTCTCGTCGGCATTCACCAACCCAGGGAGGGGACGGCGGCTTCGACGGCGGCGGTGGTGATGACGGACGGGGTTTGATAGGATGATGTTTTTTTCTGTTGTTGGGAACGACAGCAGCAACAAAGCAACAGCAACGGCGGCAGCGGCAGCAGCAGCAGCAGCAGGCGGCCGGGATGACGGAGAGCAGAGCTGGAGCTGGGCTGGAGCTGGCGGTGGAAATCTGGGTCCCCAAGCTTTGGCCTTCCCACCCTGCCACTCAAGTGGCTCGAGTGGTGGTTGCTGGCACTGGTTAGCCCAAGGGTGGTGTTGTTGTGTCGTATCGTATTTTTCCCGCGCAGGCTGGCAGGCAGGCAGGACACCCCAGGTACCCGTCCAGGGTTCAAATCCACGCATCCACGCAGCAGACGGCCTGCAACGCCCAGGAGCAGAGTAGCTTCTGGACGCGGGAGGGAGGTCAAGCCTGGGCCCTGGGGCCTGGGCCGTTGGCTGTGGAGACTCAATTGCCTGTGAAACTCACAATTGACTGACTATGAATGGTCCGTCTCAGACTGCGAGTATACCGCAGAATCAAGAGGTACTTTCCAAAGGTACCTGCCCAAGGTATCCCAGGTACTCCAAAGGTCAGCCGCAACCAAGTCCGCGGTCGGGGTCAGGTCAAGGTCCCTTCGTCCCAATGTTGGTCTGTATAGTCTAATCATCAACACCAATACCGTCGGGGATAACCTTGAACTGTCTACAGCAACCTCGACAGCGATGCCTGCCTGTCGTGCCTAATGCCTACTGCCTACTGCCTACTGCCTACGGTGTACCATACGGTGTACCAGGCTGCCTGCCCGCCCAGCCACCTCGTCGAGCAAGCAAACTGTATCTGTGGTGTGCAAGCAACCTTGGAAGGAGGGCCTTGGAAGGCCCTGGAGACAATGGAGACATGGAGAAATGGAGCCTCAGGAAGCTCCGGGTCCGTACCCAACCCCAGAACCCCCAGGGCAAATGGTAGGATAAGAAGGAGCCAAGCCACTTGGGCGTTGCTTCTGCTTGTGCTGCTGCTGCTGCTTCTGCTTCCTCAGCACGGCAGCAAGCAGGGCCTCGTCAGTGGCTGTCGGCCAATGCAGCTACGACAAGCAGCATCTACTGTACCACGCAGAAGGAGGCACCCATGCAGACAGACAGAGAGATACCAGCCAGGTGTCCCTTCTACCCAGCAGCCCAGGTACTCAGTCAGTAGCCCGCCGTCTGGTCTGTCATCCGAGTCAGCAGGCATGGTGTTGCATCCCCCATCGCGAAACACCTGAGCAATCTTAGATCTACAAGCTTGACGGCATAGATCCATCCAGAACAGTCCACTACCTCACCTCGCCTGCACGAGCCCGTCCTGCTGTGTCGTGTCGTGTCAGTGTGGCATCCACCAAAGCTTGGGACTGCGAACACGGCTCGACTCCCTCCACAGCTGCCCGCGATCCCTCGTCATGCTCAAACCATAAAACGGACTTCGGATATCGAGCGTCTTACTGCCGTCTCTCTCCAGCCCAGCTCCAGAGAGACTCGCCGTCGGAGTATTTCCCACAGCACATTCCCAATTGGCAAGGATCAGCGGTAGGTAAGAAGCTACCCCAACCTTGCCAGGATGCTGTCCCCCCCAAAATGGCTGACCAGAAGGTCCTCGATCGGCGCCGATGTGTCGGACCTTTCGTGATTACGATGCATATCCTACCTAGCTACCTTGCCTACCTGGGCATGTTGGGGAGCTCCTACAGTAGATCCACCACAAGTCGAATGGGCAGATTGTAAATGACGCGCCTCGGCCTTACAAATTCCAATATACTCCCTAGGAGAAATCGGTTGCCTTTCCCGTGAATACAACCCCGATATCAAGCTCACAGTGAAAGGCGTCATAGGCGGCTCTTGTCTCATCCTTTCTGGAGACGATCGATCTTCACATGATAACACCTACAGGACACCACTTCGTCTCTCTCTCGCCAAGCGATAGGGGGCAGGTCTGATTGGCCATCCCTATCGTTCGGTAGGGTCGGTATACTACACTACACACAATCACCTTGCAGTACAGACGCCACGCCCGCCAACCAGGCCGCCATCTGTCAGGCCGGCGCTGTGCGACCAGATCCCAACCACCAGAAAGCGGCACGGCGGCACGGCACTGGTCAGGAGGGTGCAAGGCAGAGCAAGGCGGGGAGGGCATGGCAGGGCAGGATCGTAAACCAGACGAGGCACGCCAGCCCTCGGCCCAGGTCGAGCGTAGCAAGCGAGCAAGCCTCGGGCTACTGCAAGCCGGTTCCATGTCGGCAACGTCGGGTTCGCCCTGGCGGGACCGTTACGAGAGGCAGCGTGACATAATGGACGCGGTCACCGAACTTGACGGGGGGTAACAAGTAGAGGGCGGGCATGCAGGTCGTAAGCCTCGCCAGAGCGAGCGGGCCAATCATTTTACACGGTCCGTCTGGCAGGTGTACGCTTGAACAGTATATCAGATGTATGATTGCTCTTTTTACTTCTTCATGACACTACGGGAACTCTGCTGGCTTCTCTCATGATCAAGTACAAAGTAGGAAATTGACTGGTGTCACGGCGAGATCATTTCAGGCCGCGAGGCCATGTGGTGATGCCCAGAAGGGACACCTGGGAGAGGGCGGAGGTCAGTGCATGGTCCGCTTCTGGCCTTTAACTATGCAAGCGTGCCTCAAAATGAGTATTTTTCATGACCGTGTTCGGCCGACCATCCCAGGAAATATACACTAGAGCAGCATTATTCGAAAGAAAGGCTTTGTATTGAGACTCACTAGCTACTTAATCTCCCAAGAATTTCCTCGAAGTAGTCGATGCCATTCCTTTCCCCGAACAGATCATAACTATCATCATAAACCCGTGATATGTGTTTGTTCATCCAGGCCTGCCCCAGCAAAGCAGACTCCGCGGCTCATCTACGAGCTGGTGGAAGGAGGCTCCAGGTTCTGGGTTTTCTCGATCTTCGGAACAACACCGAAGCGAGTGTTGCCCTGGTCCCAAATAGCGTAGACGCTCTTCAGGAACGTGTCACCCAGAATGTCAAAGGGGTTGTCGCCACGGGACTGGACTCCACCGTACCAGTATCCTTCCGACGCAACCGCGAAGGCAAGGTCCTCCTTCTGGATGGTGAACTCCTTGTCGCCTACCGCAACACTGAAGTCCGGCAGCTGATCAGCTGTGGTGGAAGTGGGGAACAACCAGCCCTGCTGCTGGTCATCGTACTTGGAGCCAGGGATGGCCTTGTACAAAGCCTCACAGACCTCGTCAGAGACAAGGGCAAGAGTGGTGCCAGTGTCAGCGATGGCAGTGTTGCTGGAAAGGCTGATCTTCTTGCCGGCAACCGTAGCACTCGCCGAGGGGAACATCCAGAAGCCCTGGGAGTTGTCAATGTCGACGTAGGAGATCTCGTTGCTGCCAACCAGATCCTGGTCGATGTAGCCAAAGGTGTAGAAGGACTTGGCCTGGTCGTCACGGGAGCTGTAAAAGGCGGATGTGAAGAGCTGAGCGTCCTTGGGGATGTCGCCCTGCGAGATCATGTTCGCAACAGGGGTGTTCTGTGGGGATGACTGGCCATTCTTCGTGATTGTGTTGATAGATGGCCAGGCCAGACCGAGCAGCCCATCGCCAGTTCCAGACGTAAACTGGTCCGCGGCGGTCTTGGCCAACTCGACGGCCTGGTTCTCGACGGCTAGACCGCCAATTGTGACAGTGTCGGTTCCGACATCGCCAGATGCCGAGCTGCCGTCACCATAGGAGATCTTCCACGCCTCGCCCGACGCTGCCTTCCAAGTAGACGACTTGGACGGGTCAAAGATATTGTGTCCTTTCTGGGCGCTCGCAGAGAGCTCAGTGGAGAAGACCTGAAGTCGTCAGCTATGGTCATGAGAAAAAGGCCACCCTTGGAGTCACTCACCCAGAGGTCAGACGATCCAGTATCGAAGTCAAGCTTGAGTTTCTGTGGAGGAGTGCCGATGTCGACCTCACACAGGTACATGGAGTCATTCTGCTGATCTTCGGCGGTGACATCACCAGTTTGGTCACCGGTGGCCTTGACGAACTTGTCCACACGACGAACACGTCCTCCTCTGGCGACGTTCGAGTGAGCAAGCCCACGCTGCTGGATCGTGGTGGCATGGCGGTAGGGACCAGGTTGAGTGGGCTGGAAGCCAAACTTGTTGATCAGGTAGACATAGGACTTGGTGCCATGGGCCTTGTAATTCTGGTTGGGTATGGCATGGACCTTGCGCAGTCCTAGTTTATGTCTGAGTTCGGACTGTGTCTTGAAGGCGGCCTCCATGATTGATCTGGTAGCCACGATTGCTGTGTGAAATGGACGATGAGTGGGGAAGGAGTTATTCAGTGACAAGTTGTCAGTAGTGCTTGGTGGAGTGCTGTGGAGAGTTCTTGGCGGGCAAGTGGAAGGATGAGGTATGTTTATGTCAAGAATGTGGAATGAAGAAGTGGAGGTAATTGCTGGAGCAGGAAGGTGTTCTTATATGCTGGAAGGCGTGTGCCTCGTTAGGGAGGGACGCGTTGTCACTAGAAAGCTTGATCCCGATCGATCGTGTCGGGCCCCTGATGTATTAGTCCAAGTACCCAGTCAGGTACCGAGGTGTCATAACCACAACGAGCACAACACACCGATTATCAGCTATTTTTGGATTTGATGGCTGGAGATAAACGCATTCCAGACAAATGGTGACGGTGACTCGGAGTGTGACTGTTGATCTATTGACCTGCTGACCTGCCCACCTCTAGCCATGTCTCTGATATGGCGGTGATGGTGATGCCGCCGCCATCAGCGTCATGAAAAGGGGGGGACGGCGTGCGAGACCTCTTATCAGAGGAGTCTATCTGAGGATCCACGGATTGATCCATTACGACTTGCTGGACGAGCTCATGCGCTTCGCTTGTGGTACTTTGACAGATGGCATGGTACAAAGTTGACTCCATGTGGGTACAGTCTCGCACAGGCTTCGTTGGGCAATGCTGCAGAGCAATGGATCACTTCATGCATAGGGCCACAAACCAGCAAATCAGTTTGGTGGAAGCAGCTGTACTGATCAATGTCCTGTTTGATCAGCTTGAAAACAAGGACAAGTTGCTTGTTGATGAGAACAGTGGAGGGTTCATGGGTTGCGCATGAGGCAAATGGCATTGCGAGCTTCGTCGCCGTGGTGAGGAGGTTGGCACATGTGAGGCAAGCTTGCGTCACTTGCTTCTGCTTCCTGTGGTTCTCAGCGATTTGAAACTGGCGTCATAGTTTTCAATAGCTTGTCTCTGCTGCTGCTTGAACAGGCATGGCACGTAGCGCAGGGTTGCAACGGGGACAACCAGAGCAAAGCGAATGGCATAGCCATGTCATTAATCCTGAACGGGCACCAGGAGTACGAAGCATGGAGAGATACACAGTAGGCCTCCCAAACCCCAGTCCGGCATCGATGGCAAGTGGGGGGGAACCATGCAAAGCGAGTCGCGGGGCGGCTGTGATCTCCATCCAAGTCTCCTTGGTGATTCAAACGAGAGCTGGAGAGAACGAGAACGACAACCAGTTGTCTGCTTTGTACAGCATCTACCGTGTGTTCCAGGAGGCGGCCTTTCAATGCCCAGAGATCTTGATCTGTCTTGGCCACACGGTTCCTGCATCCGGTTTTGGTTGTTGACCGTGTATCGCTGATCCCGTCTCTCGTGAATCCTCGTGCTATCACACCCCTGTAGGACAGCTTCTTGGGTCGCAGTACGCGGCTTATCGAAAGCTTGTTTTCAACGACATATGATTACCATCTTGCTGGTTGTCGGTGTCTCGCTTCCACACCACTTCGACACCACGGGTGACCATTCTGACGATTGAGCTCCGAGCCACCGTCGTAAGAGGCCGATCTTTGCCATGTTCGCTGCTTCTTCAATGGTTGCACAGCTGATCATCTCGTTTCTTTCACAGCCTTATCCTGTGACACCCGCTGCTGCTCAACTGGTCTTGTTTGCTTTACCTCATCTTGCGCGTCCAGCAGATGACAACCCTTGCTGGGGTGTTTCCATGACGCAAGAACTAAAGCAGATGTCAAGCTGTCTTATCGCAGCGACCCGCCCCAGTTGTCTGTGTTAATCCATCCGCGCCGAACGGGCCAGCCCGAGTGCCAAGCTTAGAGGTCTTTGCCCGTGTTCCAGACCACCTAAGCCTCCTCTTGCCTTATTGCCCTTCTCAATGGTTTGTCATGTATAAGTGGCGTGTAATTGGGGCAACTTCTTCCGTTTCTTCCATAGCCTACTTTTGACAAGGTACCGATGTCGACATATTGTAGACATGACAAGGCTATACTGTGTACTCTTATTATGCGGGCCTACTCCTTGAACGGGGTTGTATACTCAGCCGGCGCCTGGTAGTTAGCCCAAACGCAACAAGACGCATGGCTTATGCAACGGTCGCAGTGTTAAATACCAGGTCGATATCGGAAGTATTCCCCTGTGATACTTATGCTTACAAGGCTGGGTTTCTAACAGTTGGAGTGCATACAATGTTTCGTACAGAACATGCGACTTGCATTGTGGCGTTCTCATGATACACAATATCGCCGGCTCGTTGTTACTTGCCCTAGTCTTGGGAACTATTTCGTATTTGAAGAGTAGCCGAAATGTACAACTAACATGAGGCTTTTTGTGTGCCTGTTGTTCGGGCAGGCCAACCACTCGTGACATTCCTTGCTCCCTGAACTACAGTAAGCACCTTAACAAGACAACTTCTTTCTCTTTGAGGGACACGCGTCAGTCGCTCACTAGATAAATACGAACGTCTTCTTTAGTAATGATAAACATCATTTGGAGGTCTCACTTTTTAACCACTCTCTACCATATTTACGATCGTCACTAGGTAGTGGCTAAGCCTCTGTTCTCTGTATCCTGCCAAAGACAAAGCCCCTAACACCATTGCTAAGCCAAACGGCCTCACCATCAGCGATGTCCTCTGCCTTGACCTCTTCCTCCACAGCCAAGCCCCGCTCTAAAGCCCATCGCCTCGTCGTACCATCCTGCCCACCGCTGCCATCGTCCGTACTGAACTTCTCGGCAACAGGCGGTGTGACCCACCTCCCCCTTCGCAGAAAGTAGGGGGTCGTTAAGCTGCCCTCCATGATAGAGCCGGTTGCCTCGTTGACAATGAGCACTTCCTGAGTCGCATCAGTAGGCTTGAGGCCGGCACGCGCTCGAGCTTGGTCGTACATGTCGCGCTTCGTGGTTTTGTAATGGGTGTATTCAGAGCGGCGTGTGGGATGGTCGTCAAGGTGGATCACATACGGGGGCGACAGTCGAAGATGACCAAGCGGTGGTTCTTCACGGTCAGCAGTATTGTTGTTGTCTGGCGTGACAAGCCTTTGCGGGAAAAGATTCGCCAGGGACGTTTCCGGGACAATCGAGGACTCAAGTCCCAGCTGCCCTTCTTTTGACAGCAGAATCTTGGCTCTCCTGGGCTGGCTGCTTGGGTCTTGGCCGAGTTGGCTCTGTATGAAGGACTCCAATCTTGCCAGGCCCTCGGGCCCCTCGATAGCCGCAATTGCTTTGCTCCATCCCCAGTAAGATGCTGCCCTCAGCATGCGATCTCGGTGGTAGTCCAGCATGTAGTAAGGAGACGACTTGGTTGTATTCCAGCCACCGTCAATGGGCTGGCCTTCCCCGAGCTGAAGCAGCGTGGGGTCAAAACGTAGAGACGTAAACAACTCGAAGTGCTCACCCATTTTGTATCTTTTGTGGGATTACTTCTCAATGTAGCTTGAAAACCGCTTGTTGAAATCGAACGGACTCATGGAGAGGCCAAGAGTAAATCGGTGCAAATCAAGATGGGAATCTTATGCCATGGAGGAGTCATGCAAATGAACCCACCCAAACATGAGGTCCTGCCGGCTGACAGGAGGTTCCGACGCCGGAAGCAGGACTCGGGCGGTTCGATTCCATTCGGAAAGGCACGACTACAAGGGGCCAGAGGTGGTTTTCTCGAGCACCATAATGTGAGAGGCCAGTTCCTGACAATTTTGAAAATCTTCTTGTGCAGCACTTAGAAAAGCCGAAGCCCATCTGCACGTCTGGCAAGGCCAATGCCTAAGGGGCCTACAGATACTGAGGTGCAGTAGGACGAATAGCTGTTCGAGTTGGCAGAAATGGAGCTGCAGGTGCCCACCTGCGGGCAGCTTGTGGCCCCGTTTCCAACGTTGATGACGCTGTTCTAGTGGCCCGTGCTCCGTTATCGAGCCCGCTCACTTGCTATCTGGTGTCCATCCTTGCTTGTGCTGCTTTCCAATCCTAATGGCAGCACCTCCAATTGCGCGCGACCGATTTTTTTCGCGTCCAGCATCGAGCAGTTAGCCGACTGCACAGGAAAGACGAAGCTTTGGCCGTTTGGACTTTGGCTGCACGATTCCTCTTCACCTCGAGTCCACAGCTCTGTTGTCGTCGCCCAGACCTCGGTATCCGCCAATTGCTCCCGCCATCGGGTTTTCGATTCGATTTGATTCATCTGTGCATCGTCGTCCTGGGGCATTCGCCATAGATCCACATCCTCGAACGACATCATGTCTCAACAGCATCAACCGTCATTCCCGCCACCCTCCACAGGCATCCCGGTTCCACTGCCTGCAGAATCCTCAGTCTGGGACCGCATATCGAACTGGGTTTCTGAGAACAAGGCTGTCGTCTACACAATTGCTGGCGTCACAGTAGTCGTCGTCGCCGGCGCCGGGGTCTTCTACTACACATCAGACAACTCGGTGCGTCATCTAATCTCTGGCTTAGAGCTCCGGCGCTTCTCGTCCAGCTGTGTTTCGCAGCGCTGCAAGCTCTATCTCGACACAGATTTGCTGTGAGACATACGGTACTGACTGCTTGTGTGATTGAATCTAGAAGCCAAAAACAGATGCACCGCCAAAACTTAGCAAGAAGGAAAGAAGGAAGCGAAAGGAAGCCGAGAAGAAGGCAGAGGCCCAGAAGAATGCTGCTGCTCCGAGAGAGGCACCCGCTGCCTCACAAGCCCCCACTGTGGACAGCGCCGACGAGATTCCTGAGATAACCGAGGCTACCGTCCAGGCCATGTCAATCGACGACCGCAAACATTGGGCCGTCAAGTTGAAGGAGGCTGGCAACCACTCGTACGGCTCTAAGGACTTCAACAATGCCATCGACCTCTACTCGAAAGCGATTCTTTGCAAGCCTGAAGCCGTCTACTACTCCAACCGTGCAGCTTGTTTTAACGCCCTCGCTGACTGGGACAAGGTAGTCGAGGACACCACGGCTGCCATCACCCTGGACCCCGAGTACGTCAAGGCCATGAACCGACGGGCGAACGCCTACGACAAGCTCGGCAAGTACTCCGAGTCTCTTCTCGACTACACGGCCAGCTGCATCATCGACGGTTTCAAGAACGCTTCGAGCGCAGAGGCTGTCGAGAGACTCTTGAAGAAGTTCGCTGAATCCAAAGCCAAGGAGATCATGGCAAACAAGCCTAGCAAGCTGCCCAGCCCGACTTTTGTCAGCAACTACCTACAGAGCTTCCGATCGAAGGAGCGGCCCGAGGGTCTCGAAGACTCGGTTGAGATCCCAGCCGACACTGGCAAGGGACAGCTGCAACTTGGTCTGCGAGCAATGGAGTCCAAGACAGGCGAGGGCTACGAGGAAGCTGCGACGGCTTTTGACAAGGCTATCGAGCTTAACGATCTTGGCTCGCTCGAGGCGTTCGCGTACAACATGCGGGGAACATTCACATGTCTGCGCGGGAAGCACGAGCAGGCACTGCTTGATCTGACCAAGAGCGTCGAGCTGGACCCGTCTATGACACAAAGCTACATTAAGCGAGCTAGCATGAGTCTTGAACTCGGTAAGCTACTCATGACCTGTCAAGGAGCATTACAGAAACAGCTGACCTTCGACCGTAGGTGACCCTGAAAAGGCCGAGACAGACTTTGAGCTTGCCTTGCAGCAGAACGCCGACGATCCTGATATTTACTACCACCGAGCTCAGCTGCACTTCATCAAGGGCGAGTTTGCGGAGGCAGCCAAGGACTACCAGAAGTCCATTGACCTCGACCCGGAGTTCATTTTCTCTCATATCCAGCTCGGAGTGACACAGTACAAGATGGGATCGATTGCTTCTAGTATGGCAACCTTCCGACGATGTATGAAGAACTTTGATAAGGTGCCTGATGTGTACAACTACTACGGAGAACTACTCCTGGACCAGGGCAAGTACCAAGAAGCTATCGAGAAGTTCGAGTCGGCGATCGAGATGGAGAAGCAGGAGAAGCCCACGAGCATGAATGTGCTCCCCCTCATCAACAAGGCCCTTGCCATCTTCCAAGAAAAGTCAGACTTCGCTGAGGCCGAGAAGCTGTGCCAAAAGGCACTGATCAGTAAGTTGATCCGACCTCCCCTTGCTTCCAAACCAACGCTAACGTCCGCCAGTCGACCCCGAGTGCGACATTGCTGTCGCCACGATGGCCCAGCTTCTCCTGCAGCAGGGCAAGGTGACAGAAGCGCTCAAGTACTTTGAGCGGGCGGCCGATCTTGCACGCACTGAAGGAGAGCTGGTGAATGCGCTGTCTTACGCAGAAGCTACGAGGACGCAGATCCAGGTTCAGGAGAAATACCCTGCCCTGGCTGCGAAGCTACAGGCGGCTGGGCCCGGCCTCCGATAGAGAGCTGGAGGCCGGAACAAGCCGAGGAAGCTGGTGATGGTGCTGCTGCTGCTACTGTGGCACGCAGAGGTGTGCGCGCTGGTGTCTATGGGGATGGTGAAGGCGCGTTCGTTGTTGGTGGGTGCAGGTTGGGTGTTGGTGAGGGGGCGGTTGAAGTGCAGGTCTTTTGTTGTGGTCCATGCAGGTGCCGCGAGTGAGCGGGTGCCGTTCCAACCAAACCGGCCCGCGGCTTTGAAATTGGCGTCCCAGGCGAGACCAGTTGAACGGACCGACTCATTTCCACGGAGTCTAGCATAAGGCGATAGGCTCTGGGCTTGTACTGAATACAGAAGTAATTCTTCCCTCAACAATTCCTTACCTTAAGGTGTCGACTACATGAGCATAGTTACTACATACATATTGCCACACACTTTTGTATCCAGGCGAAGAGGTATGGAGTCTATGCCAGGCTGTTATGAGAAAATCACCTATTCCAGCCCATTGGGGGGCACAGTCTTACGCTCTATAGGTAAAGAATTGTATATTATCGCACATACTCCAGCGAGGCTATAAAGCGCCTCTTCCACCGGCCCCTCCTCTCTCTTACAACCGGATCCAATCCTTTCATCGATCTCTGCGTTAAACCCGCTGGACGGACGTAGACATATATACATGAAGGCGTGAAGAAGGCCCCTTGAGCGTCCTGGTAGAAAGCCCAGGGGCGGGGCAAAAAACATTATATAGAAGAGTAGTCCGTCCTGTTCATCAATCCTAAGGTCATTTTTTGCTGGATCCGGCCCGCCCGTTCATACATCCACCCATCCATCCTCTGCGTGCGTGCGTGCTGTCATTGCTGTTCGTATCGTTGTTTTATTTTATTCCAAAAAGGCGCCAAGTTGGCTGCGGGAAACCAGCCGGAATGCATGTGGCCAATGGAGGTAGGATCAACGAGGCAGTGTCAGCCAGTGTTGTGCCGCGCAACTTCGTCGTTCGTCAACGTCCCTCCGTTCTCTGGCTTCTCTACTGGGTCGCATTGGTTGCCGTATTCTTAGCCTTATTACTAAAGTAAACACCCAACCCGACGCCCAGCCCGATGGCCAAGCAGATGAGGAAGACAACGAGGGCGCACCACCACTTGAGCTTGCGGGTGCGGCGGGCGTGCGTAATGCCGACGTCGACCTGTTTGTTGCCCTCCTGGAGGTGCTGGTTGGCCTGCTCTGTCTGCTCCTCGGCGCGCTCCACGATGGCCTCCTGCTGTATGACGAGGGTGTCGAGATCCTGGAAAATCCCCGCGAGCTCCGTGATAGACTGCTCGATCCGCAGTAGCTCATTGTGCCGCGCGCGCACGTTGCCGAGCACCGCGGAAGCCTGGCCTGACCGGTTTGTCCTGAGCTGTGGAGAATAATGCCGTCAGTATCAAGGCAGGAATCTTGGGTGGGAGAGGGGAATTGGGAGCTGCGAGAGACTTACCGCTGTTTGGAACACACCCTCATTACCCCAGTCGGCGTCGGCGGCCTGGCGCACCTCGTCCTCGGAAGCCTCGGGGTTGACGATCCTGTACTGGCGGGCGATCTGGTCGCGGTACCTCTCGCGGTACTGCTGCTCCTCCTGCAGGTAGTTCTGGAGCTCCTTCTTGAAATCGCCGTTGAGGGCCTCGAATTGTCTCTTCTTCATGGGGGCGCTGCCGTCGGTGGTCCGCTCGACGTCGGACTTGAGGGACTTGATCTGGTCGCGAATTCCGGTGTTCTTGAGCTGAGTAGAGGCGACCAAGTCGTCGAGGCGGCGCTGGGCAGTGTCGTCTGAGCCGACCAGGGCGTCATGGTGTAGGCCGGCAATGCGCTGGACGTCCGCGGTGAGGGAGCGGATCTCATTGCGGACGTGGGAGACGCGCTGGAGGAAGTCTTGTTGCGACAGGACGTTGGCGGACTGCGGGGAGCCGTAAGGGTTCTGGCCCGGACTTATTTGCTGCAATTCATGTTGTTCCTGAGCGGCGGTGTTAGTCAAATGTATCGCATTCGAGCCACGAGCCATGAGCCACGACGGAGAGTGAGCACATACTGGAGCGCCGTAGGGATTTGAGTTCCCGTACCCTGACTCTTGCGCGGGGCCCGATTGATACGGGTTTCCGGAATACTGGGAATGCGACATGTTGGAGCAGGATGATTGACCCGGTCGGATACTGCGGGTTGCCAATGCAATTGACCGATTGACTGAGTGATGGAGTGGGTGAGAGCACAAATGAGTGAGTAGTTGGTAGTTTGACGGTCCACACGGGTTATATTGTCTAGGTGCTACAGAAGGAGATGATGATTAAGGCGGAAGAGGGTGGATTGGGGAAAAAAGGTTCGCAGGTAGGGTTCCAAGGTAGTTGTTGGCGGCGGCGGCTGTCGAGGGAAAATCAGACGAGAACCCTGCCCTTGTACGAGGGAGATGGAGCTGGGAGCTGGCAGCTGGAGCTGGGCTGGAGCGGGCTTGGGCAGGTTTGGATTGGATTGCTGATGGCAGATGGCAGATGGGCAGGTGAGCCGTCGCGCGCTGAGCCTGCTCACAGTGAGCCGGTTGAGCACACCAACACCCACACAGCCCAGCGAGTATGACGTTTAAGCTCGCACGCCAGGCAGGGGTGGCCTGCTGCTGAGTGGGGCGGGGGATGCTAAATTTGAGAAGAAGCCCGGCCGATGCTGCTGATGGATATGGCAATGATGTCTCACTTAGACCCTGGAAACTCCGGGTCACAAAAACCGTTGAATGGAGCAGCGGTGAAGGAGTAAATGACTTGCGTATAACTGAGTATTTGGAGGCTGGGCAACGGACTCTGAGCAAGATCAGATCACTCTGCAGTTCATATATACACGCAAAAAAAGAAAAAAGAAAAGCGACATCAAGTTTGTGTGTGTGTGCTCAAGGCACCAACAACTGCTTGGAAGCTCCCTGGCAGGGAAATTGTTGTAATACATCCAGACCCAACACCTGCCATATGCAACATAGTAGCCATGCGGGTACACCTCTACTCCATGAGGTATATCTAGGTACCTAAGACACCCTACAGCGGCGAACCTTGGAACCCTCACTCATCCAACAACGGCGTCAGCAGTGAGGCTTTGCCTTTGCGTGTCGCGTCAGACTCTGAACCGTTCCGTCGGATTCGGACTCCATGTACGGAGACCTATCCACCCGCGGGGCTCAGTCCTCCTTCCCGAGCAGCCGAGCACATTGTCCCGGCGCGTCCGCCGTGCACGCCTATTGTCTGCGGCCGGCCTCTGCGCCTGATGGGATAGAGACCATCGTTGCAACAGCGTAATCTTTCATGCCTACATGTTGGTCCATGTTGGAGGAGGTTGGAACATCACACTGCAGGCTGCAGGCTGCGGCTTGACGGCGTAGCCTGACCGTACTGTGTAACTCCGGCTTGAACCAGAATGTTGTTGGACGGATGCCATTGCAGCCCTCATCTCTGCGAGAGAGTCCAAAGGGACCGTCAAGGCATGACCGCCTTCGGGATTGAGATGTCCAGGAGGCGGCTGGAGCACTGGTGGATATGTCAACCCGCGCCTGCAGCAGCTGTTCAATGCTCGGGGCTGAGGTTGCTGCGTACGACTCGCTGGCCCCAGTTGTTTCTTTAAAAGGGCAAGTTCACTTGATATGCATACTATAGTGGTACGGTATGGCTTGTGCTTGATGTGGGACCAGTCCGAGGTGGAGTGGAGGAATGACTGACTATCTTCAAATCAATAAGACGACCGCCAGTAACAGCAAATACGGGATACGGATACGGTCCCATTCGCATTGTCAATACAGCCATTCCACTCCACGGCCTGAATCCGACATTGATGCTAGCACTTGTACAGAAGCCATGAGCCAACGAGCCCAGGCATCCAGATCATGTGCGAGTTCAAACTTACTAGCTGGAAACCCATTTTTACGAGTGTTCTCGGGTCCCTGCCTGAAGCGTGCAGCTCTCGCGGGTCAAGGAGTGAGGAGGACTATGTGGCAGCCTGCTTCACCTCGACCATTTGCTGCCGTCTTGGGTCACTGCTACTGAAAAGTTTAGTGGTATTTTTACTACATATGAATTTTGTGGCGATGAAATACTTATTTACCGTGGTGAGCTTGAACAGAAGGTTGTCTGGGCGATATGTTTGGTATTGTTTGGATACCTTCACCTGGTGGCATCTACTGTAAAACACTCTCAGATGTGGTACACTTGAGTACAAAAATGCACTATTCGCCATGGCAACAGAGCAGTTGCCGGGCTCAAAGATTGGCCTTGAACATATCTAGTGGTTTAGGCTCCAGGTTACGGGTGCAACAAGTCGCGCACTCCCCATCACATTTCGACGCAGGCAGCGACACATATCAACATGGAAGCTGTAGCTCATTGGAGAAGGACCGCCCCTCTAATGCTCTGAAGTGCGCATGTGATTTAGGCAGGCGGACTTTGCTACCAGAACTGATATCGTGATATCCTCCCTTAGTGCTTTCGCCAACCTTGACCGGAAAAATGCGGGACGACTGCTCGAATCTCTTCTCTTACAATAGTAGCATGTTGTGTTGGTTCCATCCAACGCCGCGCACCATGTCGGTGCTCGCGGTATTAGGTACCTCTGCGTGAAGAATGTCCTAAAACAGGCAACCTCAATGATCCTTGTTTTGGAAACCTCGCCGATCTCCTGGCATTTTCAAGCTCACGCCACAATGGTCCAAACAGCAATCACTTCCTGTACAAGTTCCGTAGACGTGTTGGGTTATTGAAGTAGCATCTACATATGCCACAACGTCCAACTTTACGTCTGAGCCGATGTGCTGGCAGCACTGTCGATAGCTTCTGGGTTCGCCTTAGGTGCGCATCTTATCGTCGTATTCCATGTTGGAGTACGACTTTCGGCTATCTCGCTCGCTGATGCGCTTGTGACGAGTCCGTTAGAGCTGCTGCTTCCGCGAGATGGTTGACTTTGTAGATCAGCTGTGTAAGCGATCCCGCCAGAGGATCTCTAGATAGACATTTCGACTAGTGAACGAGGTGTGTTTCGACTGGCTCCTGGCAGATACGTCAGGTGTGAGTTCCTCGAGGGGACCCAAGGTGGGTCGATCCTCAACCTGTTCTTCACGAAAGCGGCATGATAGCCGCTCGGTGAGTCTGATCCGCTCCCACGGTCCGGCATCGTTCGCTCAGAGAAAGTTCTTCTTCCGACTTGTGCGAGTGTATGAGTTGAGATGCCACTCAACGTCGCCATCTTTGTTTTCGAGAGAACCACCGCGGATCTCGAAGGGCCGAAGGCTCATACGCGGCCCTACCTCACTGAGTTCGCAGGAATCATAAGAAGTCCGGACAAACACGTGATGCCTGACCTCTATTATGTCATCCACATTCTTGAAAGTGACGACTCTACCACTCTTCGGTTTGCTTTCTGCCGCTGGCAGAGGGGGAAAGAGGTGCTTGAGAACCTTCACGACTCTCTGGCCAACTGGCGTGGTGAAACCCTAAATGACGAAACATCAGCAACTGTTCTTGTACAGGATAAACAAGACGTCCCACTCGAGCTCGAGTGCCGCATCGATCTTTTGCCAGGCTTCCGAAGTCCTGCGGGCTTGTGCCGTTGCGTGCGCTCAACCGTAATAGAGTGTGCATTGGCGGGACTCGCCCTTGCTGTTGACATCTTGGGAACCATATCCGAGCGAGCGAAAGTATGAGGATCGATTACCTACCTCAAAGATCAGGTGTGGGTAGCTTTCGGAGACAGTACCACGGAGACTGTTTGGGAGATCTTGTCTCAGGACAACGTTGTGCAGAGAGAACGAGACCGTCGGCCCATGAGGCAGGTGGGATACTGTCATTGCTGTCGGTGTACCTCGATGCTCATGGAGCAGGATCACGTCTGACAGGCCGCGACTGTTACAGGAACGAACCAGCTCCGGTAGAATGGTGTTGCCTCGATTTAGACGGATCGCCGTAGGCATCAGCAGGCGTATCTCCTTAGAAAAGGCGGCCAGTCGGCTAGAGGGTGATCGAGAGGTAGTCACTAGAACTCGAGGATCGACAATACCGGATAGCGCCGCATCTGTTCCCGAATGTCAGCATGGAGAGAGAAAGGATGTATTTTGCCGGTCGGGCGGGATTGGACGTACACTCGTCGTCGAGATCCAACTGGTCCTTCTGGTCGGGTCGTGCCTCGTCATATTGAAAGTCCTTCCTTAGCTGCTCGTCATTGGCGATGGATCGGTCCAAAGGCTTGCCAGTCGCAAGACTCTCCCTCAACTTGGCCCGTTTTTCGCTAATTTCGGCGTCTCGCAGCAGGAGCGCCCTGCGGTAGAGGTAGTCCCTCCGTTGTCTATTTTGTCTTCGCTATTGAACAAGAACTGTCAGTACTGCCTTTTTTCTTTGAAATCCTCAGGTACTAACTCACAATCATGGCTTCAGCTTGTGTGACTCTTGGTGAATCTTCGCCCCTGGAGTGGGAAGTGAAGCAGACAAACTTAACTTTGGCCGGCAGAAAGTGTGCAGAGCTTCGTCCCTTCAAAAAATCCTTATCGCACTTATCGCCATCCTTGTCCCAGGACGCACGAGCCATCATGCAGCCTGTACCCAGGTACCCATGCGTCCCCGCCATCAGTTCCTGGCCGGCAGGCATTTTATCACGGTGAAGTTGGGTGTGGAATTTGGACGGGGAATTTCTCGAGAAACCACCATCTGAGGCCCGACTCGACAACCCACCATACCATTTGCGAGGACAAACCACAACGCCACTCGCGATCGCCAGCCTGGGGGAGTCTAGTCTTTTGGGGGGAAGTTAGGATGTGATAATCATTCCAAGCTGTTTCTACCCATATCATTCTCATCCAAGTCGTGGCTGTGATCCTTTCATTCTACAGCTGCTGGAAAGGTGTGTGCACCATTGTCTGTGGCTCCGTCCCGTCCCCCTCCCTCGGCACATTCTGGCGCCTCTCCCACCGTTCCCCGCCGTTACGTCCACGATTCGGCGTGGTTTTCGAGGCTAACCTGGGCTCCAGTCCCTTCAACAGCAAAAGGCCGACTTTGCGACACGACAGTGCGTGTCGAGCAAGCATGGACGCTGCTTTCAACCATGTTGGCAACCACCTGATCTCCGACTCCGCTGAAGCCATCAAGGCTGGTGGCTCCGACGAGCTATCCAACATCGATCCTGATGAGAGCCTGCTCTACAGCAAGACCGGTGGGCGCAGGGGGATCGGGAACGGTCGCCGACGAACCGACGACGAAGATGGCGAAACCGAAACAATCGGCGACGACGACGATGACGAGAGCCTTGCCAGTGTTGCCGTGGGCGCTATGAAGGGCGTGAGCCTCAACGAACCTGAAGAGGAAAAGGAACTGCCGGCGCATGCTTGCGCCTACTGTGGAATCCACTCGCCTTCCTCGGTGGTCAAGTGTCTGTCGTGCAACAAGTGGTTTTGCAGCGGTCGCGGAACTGCCAACACTTCCCACATTGTGAACCATCTTGTCCGCGCCCGACACAAGGAAGTACAGTTGCACCCTCAGTCACCTATGCAAGATACTATCTTGGAATGCTACAATTGCGGCACTCGCAATGTCTTCCTGCTTGGGTTCATCCCAGCCAAGTCTGATACCGTGGTCGTCCTGCTCTGCCGTCAGCCCTGCGCCGCCAGTACATCGTCCAAGGATATGAGCTGGGACGTGTCTCGATGGCAGCCACTCATCGAAAACCGTTCCTTCTTGGACTGGCTTGTCCATCCACCCTCCGACGCCGAACAGCTCCGTGCCCGACAGCTCACGCCGCCCACGATTGCCAAGCTCGAGGAGATGTGGAAGGAAGATACCAATGCTACTGTTGCTGATCTGGAAAAGGCCGCCAATGCCGACGATGACCCGCACCCTGTACTTCTCAGATACGACGATCCCTACCACTACCAGAACATATTCGGTCCTCTCGTCAAGATGGAATCCGACTTCGATAAGAAGCTCAAGGAGGCACAGTCCGAGGATGGCTTGGTCGTGAGCTGGACCATGGGATTGAACAACAAGCACATGGCCAGCTTCGTTCTTCCGAAGATGGAGTCAGGCGATGTCAAGCTCGCTGTCGGAGATGAGATGCGCCTGAAGTACAAGGGAGAGCTTCGTCCCCCTTGGGAGGGCGTGGGCTATGTCATCAAGATCCCAAACAACCAGAACGACGAGGTCATATTGGAACTCCGTAAGACCGGAAGTGATAAGTCTGTCCCAACTGACTGCACCCACAACTTCTCTGCCGAGTACGTCTGGAAGGCCACTTCTTACGATCGCATGCAGCTCGCCATGAAGACATTTGCCCTGGATGAGAAGAGTGTTTCTGGCTTCTTGTTCCACAAGTTGCTGGGCCACGAAGTTCAAGTCGCGCCAACGAGACCGCAGATACCCAGGAAGTTCACTGCGCCCCAATTGCCTGACTTGAACAACAGCCAGATCAACGCTATCAAAGCCGTTCTTTCGCAGCCTCTTAGTCTTATTCAAGGCCCCCCAGGAACTGGCAAGACTGTTACCTCAGCTACTATCATCTACCACTTGGCGAAGATGAACAGCGGTCAGGTGCTGGTCTGCGCCCCTTCCAACGTCGCCGTAGACCAGCTTTGTGAGCGCATCCACCGCACCGGCCTCAAAGTCGTACGATTGACAGCCAAGTCTCGTGAGGACGTCGAGTCCTCCGTCAAGTTCCTTGCGCTGCACGAGCAAGTGCGCTCACTCGCATCCGACATGGGCTCCGAATTGGGCAAGCTCACGACACTCAAGAATGAATATGGTGAACTGGCCAGTCATGACGAGAAGAAATTCAAGCAGCTCACAAAGGCTGCCGAAAAGGAGATCCTAAGTCATGCTGATGTTGTGTGCTGCACCTGTGTCGGTGCTGGCGATCCCCGGCTTGCAAAGATGCAGTTCCGAAGTGTTCTCATTGACGAGTCGACTCAATCGGCGGAGCCAGAATGCATGATTCCTCTTGTCTTGGGCTGCAAACAGATTGTGCTGGTTGGTGACCACAAGCAGCTTGGTCCAGTGATCATGAACAAGAAGGCTGCCAAGGCCGGCCTCAACCAGTCTCTATTCGAGCGTCTGGTGAAGCTCAACCACGTTCCGATCCGTCTCAACGTTCAGTACCGCATGCACCCATGCCTTTCTGAGTTTCCTTCGAACATGTTCTACGAAGGTTCTCTTCAGAATGGCGTGACCATCCAGGAGCGGCTTCGCAAGGACGTCGACTTTCCCTGGCCTGTTGCTGAGACCCCCATGATGTTCTGGTCTAACCTGGGCAACGAGGAAATTTCTGCGTCAGGAACTTCATATCTCAACCGGACCGAAGCCTCAAATGTTGAGAAGGTAGTCACTCGATTCCTTAAGGCTGGTGTCAAGCCAGTCGATATCGGTGTCATCACTCCGTACGAAGGTCAGAGGAGTTATGTTGTTAGCACCCTGCAGAACACGGGAACTTTCAAGAAGGAGAGCTACAAGGAGGTGGAGGTCGCGTCAGTTGACGCCTTCCAGGGTCGTGAGAAAGACTTCATTGTTCTCTCTTGCGTTCGCTCCAACGACACCCAAGGCATTGGCTTCCTTTCGGACCCTCGGCGGCTCAACGTAGCTTTGACTCGTGCGAAATACGGTCTCGTCATCATTGGAAACCCCAAGGTCTTGTCCAAGCATGAGCTCTGGCATCATCTCCTGGTGCACTTCAAGGACCGCAAATGCCTGGTTGAGGGACCCCTCACCAACTTGCAGACATCTCTACTGCAATTTGGTCGACCCAAGACGGCTTACCGCCCGCAGCGTTTCGGGCCCGTTGGTCAGCAGCCAGCAGCAGGCTATGCGAATGGTCGATTTGGTGGGATGAATGGTTCAACACGAGACTTTGACTCTGCGTCCATGATGTCCTTTATCCCCGATGACGTCTCATCGATCCACGGTTCTGCGCTCGGTGGTGCCGGCCTAAACTCAGCCTACCCTCATATGTTCTCCAGTTTCAGCCCCGACCAGTGGCCAGGTCTTCCTGGTGTAACTCCGCCTGGTCGATCGAACGGCAAGAGCCGGGGCCGAGCAACTGAGAGCGTTGCCGGTGAGAGCGTGGCCAACTCCGAATACACGGATGCCAGCGCCAGTGTCATCGGTGGCAAGGGTATCGGCCAAGGTGGCGCCAGTCTAGGAGCCGGTCTGCATGATGCCATTGGTGCTTCTCGCCCTACCTCGTACAGCCAGAGCGATCGTCTCAGGCAGTATGTTGAGGGCATGGGCGGCAGCCGTCTGGGACCAATCAACGGCTTCGGTCGCCGTGATGATGATGAGAAGAGCATCAGTACAGCCTTTCACAGCCAGCTTGGCGGTGCAGGATTCGACGGGATTTGATCAGACCTAGAGGAATGCAGATTTACATTGACTGCAGTTACTTTGTCGTCAGAAAACATCCGCAATGGCATTCGCCTGCCTCGCAGCACGCATTCGCCCAGCCCCGTGTCGCCCGGAGTCATCGACGGGCACCCTCACGAGGTTAGACCAAGCCTCGTGTCGAATTGCCTGCAAACATCTTGTTTGTTAGGCGACGGGTCACCTCAAGCGCAGTTGCCCGGTCCCGGAAACCGGTCAAATTGTGACATCGGCCTTGATCGCTTACAAAGCATCAGCCTGAGGTAGCCACGTCCGCACGAACAAGTCTGGCAAGCCCGTTCATGGTGTCAGCGAGGAGGAAGATGTCACGATGGACAGAGTGCTGGGGATTAGATCCAAGCACACCAGAGGGACAGTCCTCTGGGCTTCCCAGTGCTGGCCAAAGAAAGATCAAATGAGTTGAATCATTGCAATTAGAATTGTCGTAGCCGGAATGAGATCAGCAAAGCTGTCAGCTTAGCCGGGCGATGCAGAGGGTGTTGCAGGGCCGTGGTCTGCTGGCAAATTCAATTGTCATTCTTCGGTGGCAGCTCTAAGGTCAATTTTTTGTTGTGGAATCATGCTCATTTGAAAGAAACGAAGTGGAGAGCAGAGAGAAGAGGGAAGAGGACACTCAGTGGTCCAGGTCATTCTTTTACCTAGTCGTTCATTCAGTCAGTTAATCACAAGTCACTCATTTGGTATGCGCATTCATCACGATCCTAGTCACGATGCTCCCGCGAACTCATGCACATAAGTGCTTCCTCGGCAAGTCTTGATTGTGAGAGACTTTTGGTCGGGCCAAAGATGCTAGCTCTTCGAGTGGTCGAGATTGACTTCATTCAATAAACTTGTGTCTTTCCTACTCGGAGAGTATTCGGAAAAGGCGAATCTTGGTCTTAAGTGCTTCTCATCGTACAGTAGCATTTTCTTTCCCTCTAAGCCTACCTAGAATGACTCAAGCACAATCTTGCTACGAAATGGAGAAGCTGCCCTAATAGCGCCGAGGTTTACATCCGTTCTAATGGCCGACGACTGAGTTCAACTCATGATAGCAAGTGTGCAGAGGGGCGACACAACCACCTTCTTCAGCCCCCTCGGAGATAATCCTCAGGCTCAAATGTTGGCCTGCAAGGAAACGCACTTCTTCGACCACGAGGGTGCAGCCGTCGAACGGGCAGAGCCGGATTACGGCGTCTATCACTGCTTGTTCGAGCCATGGGATGGTAGGCTTCGTGGCGAAGCATCCTCGGCTTACATCTACTGACTTCCAAGCCTGGCTCGTATTTGACTATACCGCCAAGACATGTGTCTCATCCTCTTTTCATGGACTCGGTCACGCGTGCCTGGTCGCACTGGAAGATGGAATACGAACGTGGCTGGGAGACGATGCCGTTCGCGCGTGCCATCCGCGAGGGCCGGCGGCGCTTCTCGCACGACGACACCAAGATGCCCGGCCACCACCGCGTCTTCAGCAACGTCGAGGACGGCTTCTACGGCAAGCAGGTGGAGTGTGCTTACAGGCCCTTCCCACGCGAGCCGATCCTACTACTCCTCTCCCAGGCGCTGAACGACGACCCGAGGCAGGTCCTCGGCCAGGTGTATCGGTTGCTGGGCGTCGAGGACACCAGTGCCCGACAGCTTCCTCGTCAGTTGAATCCAGCTAAGTCGTTTGACTACGGGCGCACGATCGATGTAGAGGACGTCCGCTACCCCCGCGCCGTCTTCCAGAAAAATTGCACATCTGTTTGGATCGTTGATCGGCCTCGACGCGAGCACTTGGACAGGCGGCACGTCTTCCGCCATTTCCTGGCCGAATTGCATCTGTGACCATTAACAGGGACGGAACTGAAGTTGGAATGTAGAAGACACAGGAGCCCAGATAAATACAGAACTCTTCGGGACCTGTATATCAGCCTTTGTGTAGAGCATCTAGTTGTAGGCACATAGCCTTTCAACAACGCCTGCATTCGCACTCGAAGTTCAAGATGCCTCAATTGTAGTCTTCTCATCTATAGGACGACTGAGCATGAAGCGTCCCGTGGTTGTTTCGAAGGCCTCTATCGCTCTGGCTACCCTTTCTGGTGCCCGGCCTGTGATCGTCCTCGTGTCCCCCTGAACCAGCATATCCCATCAGACTCGGCGAGGGCAACCGGGCACTTATCAGAACAGCCAGCACCGTTCTCGGGGCGATGGAAATGATGAATTGTTTCTGAGGCTCTGATGTTGACATTCAACTTCATACAAGTAGTCGTCTTGACTGAGCCGTTCACGCGAAGGGCTTTTGGTATGTAGTTGCAACAAGACTGCAGCATGTGCACAGAGAGAGATTTGACAGCGAGTTCTCATCATACAAGGGGATTTGATCATTGGTGTGTTCTAAGAGAGGTCACAATGTCCGGTCGTATATTCGTTTGTAATACATGCTGCCCGCCCGCTCCGATCGTGAGGCTCGCAGGCAATGGCAATTCGGCACAAGTAGTCGATAATCAACTCTCTGCCAACCCAGGGCCCACAGTTTGTTGGCCCAGAGCCCAGCAATTGATGGGTCACGGCGCATGCAGACTGGCAGAGGCCCCGGCAGACGCGCTTAGAGATCGATGGCCGGGAACGAAACAGGGCCCGGAGTTCAGATGCTCATGAAACATGGCTTTCTCTTTCAAGCTAACAACGGTGGCGAGAGTCGTCCAAGCAGGTTGAAGCGTCGCATCCACGGGCGGGACTGGGTTCCGGCGCAACAAAGGCGCACCCCCTGGGCGACCCGAATCTTGAATTGGACCCTGGACAATCGAACGCCGGTCTTGGTGCAGTTCCGCCGCTAAAGTGCTGGAGGCTACATAAATGCGTGGGGGGGAAGCAAGCTGCTGCGCGACTCCGTCTCGTCCGGGCTATGCACACTCTCACTCCATACTGCTCTTGCTCAAAGCCACCTTTGGGACTCCTCTCTCAATCTCCTTTGCTGCTAATTTTGACTTTTTCTGAGCTCTCGTAAACCTCACATGCGTCGACGTCAGTGGCCAAGCCACACTGCACGTGCCCTTTGAATTACGATTTACGGGCAGCGCATCTCCCGAGCAAATCCTCCAAACCTCGGCCAGCGCCTCCGGGATCTGATCTGAATATCAATATCTTTCTTGCCTGACTGCCTGTCTGCTTGCTTAGTCGCACCATATATACCCATAAACTTGTTTGGTTCTACTCTAAGACCTATCTAAGACATTCACACTTAATATACACATTCCAATGGCTGCCTCAAACCCCTCGACGGCTGAAGCCACCGCAGAAGCCAAGCCTAGCCAAGAACCTTCCGCACCACAGTCGCCAAACCACGTAGAGGAGAAGAACCGGGCCGCAGACGAGACTTCAACACAGACCCCGGTACCCACAGCGACGACAAACACAAAAGACTCTTCAGACAAGGCTCTCGAAGCAGGTGTGGCGGCAGACGAAGAGAAGGTCGCACCCGGGGGCAGTACATCGAAGCCACGAGAAGCCGAGATCGCCGCATCAGCAGCAGCACTAGAAGGGGCAGGGGCAGAGAAGAAGGAGACCGGGCCCTCCCCAAGGCCGAGCGTCCAGACGGACCTTGACGACGATGTGTACCAGGCGGACTTTCAGGGCGAGGTCGTGACCAACGACGAGCTCCCGTCGGCAGAGACGATCCGTAGGATCGAGAACTACATCGTGCTAGACAGGCATGGCAAGACACACACGTTCAGGAGCTTGTACACGGGGCGCAGCGTCGCGAGGCGGGTGCTGATCATATTCGTGCGCCACTTCTTCTGCGGTGTAAGTCTTGCCCAACCCCGGCGCAACCAATCCATGGGGATTTGGTATCTGAGCGGGTGAAAGCTGACTATGGGTATGTGCGCAGAACTGCCAGGAGTACCTCCGCAGCCTCTCGGCCTCGATCACGGCCGAGTCGCTCCTCCAGCTGCCAATCCCGACCTTCATCGCCGTCGTGGGCTGCGGCGACCCGCACCTAATCGACATGTACGCCTCGGAGACGGGCTGCCCGTTCCCCATCTATGCGGACCCGACGCGCAAGCTGTATCAGGAGCTGGGCATGATCAAGACGCTGGCGCTGGGTGCACGGCCCGCGTACATGAACAAGAGCCTATTCAAGTCGTCGCTGGACAGCATCGTCCAAGGCGTCAAGCAGATCAAGAAGGGGCTGGTGCTCAAGGCCGGCGACCAGAGGCAGATCGGCGGCGAGTTCCTCTTCGAGCCTGTCGACATCAAGAGCCCCGAGGTCGAGAGCCCAAAGCACGAGTTCGACCGGAAGCTGGAGCTGGACGATAAGAAGCCAGAGAAGACGGATGAGGAGCGCGTCGCTGAGGCTGAGAAGAGGAGCAGGGCGACAAGCGTGGTGACTGATAACGATAATGATGAAGAGGAGGAACCCAGCCTGGTTGAGGACAAGAAGGTGACCTGGTGCCACCGGATGAGGACAACAAGGGACCACGCCGAGATCCCAGAATTAATGGAAGTACTGGGCTTGACTGGGCACGGGAAGCCTATCAAGGACCAGAAGAGGTGGTCGAAGGCATTGGACTCGAGAAAGGGCACGGGGCTAAGCCTGGCGCACCGGATGAGCCAAATGAGCCAGCACAAAGTCGACGACGGGATATGAAGGGTGTGTAGTGGTTTTAATTCAGGTGGGCGAACTGGACGGTCTGATTCTTATGGCATGCGTCACAAAGCGATTCAATTTGGGCTTTGGGTGTTCATAATAGCACATGCGATACATATCTGGGAAATGATACCTTGTCAATACAAGCGGTCCTGGTGGCCGGGAGCAAGCACTGGCATACTGTCACGCTGGGCAATATGAATATCGGGTGGTCCGACACAGCGCGATACAATCGATGTTCGATACCTAAACGAAATACGTCTTCGTATCCTTCCATAAGAGGCCACTCGTTTCCTCACGGTCAGTGACAGTGGTCTTGGTTCAGGCAGTAACGTTTGTCATGCTTCATCCCTGTTCTTTGGGACTCGACAATGTTGACCAGCAGATGGACCAGCAGATGACAAGACAATCTGCCGAACACAGCATCTGTCATTGTGAATTTGGGCCAGAGAGAAGCCAAATTATCTGCCGTCTATCAGTCGCCAGCCGCGAGACAGCAACATGCTGCGTAACGCCAGTTCTAGGGTCACCGAGCGACGGACCTTAAACGTGGCTCGAGAAGCTGGCCTCGGCTTCACATTGCACAGGGTGGAGCTGCTGCTGGCAGTTGCGCTGGGAGTCATGACAGACGAACGAGTTTCTTCCTCCTGTGACGATGCGGCCAACGGCCAGGTTTCCGGCCTGTCTGTTTCGTTTGCGAACAGAGCTGTCTGTAATCCTTACCATGAACATGCGAATAGGCCACACTGACCTACAGCCTACCGATTATCCACGATGACAGTTTGCCAGATACATGTGGACGCTGGCAATTACGGTGTCGGGATCCGGATTGCGTTCTACCTTCAATGGTTCGGCATGATCATCACCTCGTGGTTGTTCGAGTCCGACGCTATCAATCTGCACTTTATCAACGCCGTCACCACCGCTGCGATGTCCATCGGCCTGGTTCTGAATCTGGAAAGGCTTCAGCCAGTCGAAATATACATCGTTCTGCTGCTTGCATGCGGCACACTGTACTTCACAGTACCGATTTACCTCTGGAGACTGGTGACCAGCTGCCGGCCGTGGTGGGACCCGGACAGGTGGACAAGGATCAAGACCGGATGGCTCTTCCGGGTGTTGACGTACTCGATGTATGGAGCTCTGCTCAGCCTACATGTTTGGTTTTGGTGTGTGGGCGTCCACGATCGACGGAACGTTGAGACGGACCTGAGTTCAGGCACGAAATGCGAGCAGTTTGGTTTCTTATTCTCTCAGGTCAGGCTAGACGGCCCTGGCATGGTCGCGATAAATATTATCATTCATTTCATCTTTCTTTTAGTCGGAACTTGGATCTCTGCGAGCCACATGGGAATGTGTGAGGAATGCTTTTGGAGCCGGAGCCAAAAGTGGCGCACGTGGAGGTATTGCCACGCTCCCTGCTGGTCTACTTCATCAGCGTGCTATGCTATCCAGAGAGCACTCGCTAACTGGTGTTGCCTACCCAGAATAACCAAGAACCGTATCTTGTCCCTCCAACACTTTCGAACTATCTGTGACCTCATCGTAGCCAGCATTGTCACCCTGGCCATCGAGCTCGTGATCTCTTGGAACAAAATTACAGTCGCAAACGATTTGAACTCTTCCGCGCAAATCATCCCGCCTGCGCTCACTGGTGCGTATCTCCTACGGTGCGTGTGCGTATGGATCACAGGTCCAGACGGGAATGGTGGAGACAACAACATCCAAAACAGAAGCCTTCCCCCCAGAAAGAGGAACCTTTCAGACAGGCAGAGGCGCTCTTCATACCGTCGTCGTCGCCGCTCCCGGAGAACCTCACGAACATCTGCGGATTTCATGGATGCATATCCCGATCTTTTTGGCCTTTCAGAGCTGACGGTGCCAACACCGTTGGCGTCATTTGGTGGTTTCTCTGCTCCTCCTGCTTCGGGTTATTACGGTATGCCATCAAATTATTATTATGCTTACTATGGTGACTACGTTGGCGACGAGGTGCCGCCCCTGGATGATAACCTTGGCCACATTTCACCGGAGCCACCCCCACCACCGGCGCCGACGCCGGCTTCCTCACATGGTAGGAATCAAGACTCTCCTGTCGGCGGTGAGGGTTACATGCGATTGTGAAAAATACCTTTTCACTCATTAGACATCAAAGTCTGTCGTGATCGAGTACTCAGAGAGGAGCATTGCGTTTAATGAATGAAGTGAGCATTTAGGCTACCGGGCACGCAGCGATTTTCAATATCATTACACCTCGCTAGTCTCGGCGATCATTTTCGAGTGATGTAGCATGTTCGATGGGTTCATCAGGACTATGTTATATAGAATGGGAGTGTGGGTTAAGTATCTTAGCGTGGAGGGAATGGCGGGTCAGATATGTGATGAAGGAGGGTAGAAACTGTTTGAAAGACACCTCTCTGTGGCCATTTCGCCCAGCAAGAAGTACTCATTTTCTTTTAGCAGCCTTGACGCAGTAGAATTTCGATAGTCTGTCTGGCTATACCTCTACGGTATGAGAACAGTGCCCAGAATTCAGGTCAAGACTTTCCAGAGGTCTTTGTGATAACACAGAAGAACAATGGACCCCACTGTTTCCCATCCTTATGATCCGGGACCGCGATCCTGCCATACTTTGTCTCCTCCGTGAAGTTCTCGAGAGCCTCGTCCATCGGCCCTGCCTTCTTCTTCAACTTACTGCCCAGCTCGAATGTAACGCCCCAGGACAGACCAAACTTCTTCTTGTCCTTCTCGACCGCCGCCAACATCTTCTCGATCACACCGTCGTTCTCACCAGTCTCGATCGAGCACGTAGAGTACACCACCCTGCCCCCGACCTTGACCGCCTTGAGAGCCGTCATGAGCAGCTCCGTCTGCAGCTTAGCCAGTGTCTTGGACCCTCCCCTCCTCCACCGCGCCATCTCGTCTGCTACCCTCCCGCCCGCAGCAGCCCTCACGTGCGCGTGGATGATGTGCCGCTCCGACGAGCACGGCGCATCCAACAGGACTCGGTCGTACCCGCCAGGCCTGCATGGAAGCTGGGTCACGGCCCGCGCGTCGGAGCCGTCCAGCCGTAGGACCCTGACAGCGTTGCTCTCGAAGAGCGACTCAGGGAGGTACGCACGCAGATTGGCGGTCAGGCGCTTGTTGCGGGCGTGGTCGACCTCGTTGGAGTGCAGGCAGCCCATATTTGACGGCGCAGGGGCCGTTGAGCCGGCGTGGAGGTGTGGAAATATCAGCTGGGCCAGGGCAACGGACTTACCGCCTGGCGCGGCGCAGAGGTCCAGCACGCGGTCGTTAGGTTGGACATTGAGCATGTGGGCGCAGAGCGCCGAGGCCGCGTCCAGGTTCCAATGCGACTGTAGCTCTTTGCCGGAACTTGGCTGTGTATGGATGGCCTTTGGTGGAGGGAAAAGGAAGGTGTCTTGCTGCTTGTTAGGCTTCTCGCTGGCGTCTGCCTCTCTGGATTCAGATTCTCCTGTTGCTTGCGGTGCGTCTGGTGAGATATTTTCTAGAGCCACGATACTGGGCCTTATTGTCATTTCGACCTCCTCCCCTAAGGGGAATTCTGGAAATTGTATTCGGCGCAGTTCGCCTTCTGACCCCGTCGAGAGAACCTTATCAACCTCGGACGACGGAACATATTGATTCACCAGCGCTGCGTAACGGGTTGGCTTCGCGAGCGCAGGATACAACGACTTCTGCCATCTCTCATCGCCCCAAACCGAAGCATACTGCGAGTGGAATGCTGAGACTGTTGCGTCCAAGTGCTTGCGATCAGCCTTGGTCGGCATGGTCTTGTCTGGGACTGGCTCCGACGTGAACTGTCCGGGAGATGCTCCCGATCTCAAAGGTGCTTATATGATTTCCAGGCGCTTGGGAGCTTTCTGTATCCCAGGGCACTGTGCCCTAGCCGTTGTTTATGAGATCTGGCTGACAGACTAATAGTGATATTAGCAAATAGTAGCCAGTTGATGCAGATTTGGTGGCGGACTTTTGAGTAGTGCAGGGTCTGCCAACTGTTGCCAACACGACCTTTGAAAAGCTAGAAAATAAATCGTTCCAATGAGTTCAAAATATTCAAAGTCTGCTCATATGCTGTCGCTAGATTGAATCACGTTGTTCACAGTTCTCATGCAGGTAATTGATGAAAGAGGGCAATTCGCAGATATCGGTGCCAAAATCAAAATTACATTCTCATTTTAAGGGTTTAACCCTGTGTCCGTTTACGCAGGGAGGTCTCAAACCGTCCCAAAGTCGACCAGAGCCGGCTGATGCTCCTACCTGTCGACCTACTCACAGAACTCATTGGCGTCTCGGATCTCTCGCTCTCCCTTTCTCTTTCCCTGTCTCTCTCACCTTCCTCTTCGACGGCCTTCAAGCCACCATTTCTCCTGTCGCCGAACCCCACCTCACTCCCACCCCCGCCCCAGCTACCCCTCGCCCTGAGCTTCCTGACTTTGACCTCGAATCTGTGCCTGTCCTCGGCACGCATGACACATCCGCCAATGTAAAGCCCGTTCTTCTCAAAATGTACGGCCCTTTCGCTCATGAAACTCCGATTCTTGGAGGCTTCTTTGGAGCAATATGCCCTCGCCGCCTCGTTGGCAGCCTCGGCCGAGTCTGTCCAATGCTGGGGTCAGTAACAGACGCTCGTCTCTTTTGAACCGTTGTCAAAATAATTCCAGGGACCAGACTGAGGATGGAGATGGCATTGGGATGTTGCGTACAGTAGAAACCCGCGCCGACCGGGGAGGACAGGGACCCGTTTGCATCCTGCGATGTGAGAAAATCCCGACGGAGGACGATGTAAGCTGTGGATAGATCGACGTGGAAGATGAAATCCATTACGACAACCAAGTGGTGGCAGAAACTGTTTCTGAGGTGTATTTGCGACGGAGATAAGCAGTTGCACGCAAGGCTCTCAGCCTCAGCTTCAACAGCAGGTATTTCATCGAACTCAGGAAACCTAGTCAGGGTGAAGAAGAGAAGAGGCGCTGCCTTCTTTATCAAGGTATACATGCACGTTGAGCTGTGACCAGACTGCAGAGTCTCGTGCGAGACACGCATCAAAGAAAAGACGCATGGCGGCGGCGTCAACCATTATGAACCGCGCAGAAATATTTGGTTCGCAGGTTTGACGCGTTGTAAACATATCTCCAAAATCGGCTTTGAGTGGTCACAGCTTGGTGTCCGAGCGGTACTATACTCGTCACACGATTGAGTTTGTCTCAATGTGCGGCCAAGGTTGCTAGCATCCTGGTCCACCAGACAACACCGCACTGTTCTCTCCTGCAATCGCGCAGCTACAGAATATTCGCCCTTGCTTCGGCGGATGCATCAAACTCCTTGTTGACTCCCGCTAGCACCAGGCATAAGCAAAAGTTGGAAGCTTGGCCCTTGCAGGAACAGAGCAAATAAACCTGACTGGACAACCAAGCTCGAAGTCTCGCAGGGCCTCGATTGTTTCATACAATCGCAGCCACAAGTCTTCCGTCTCCTAGGTGCCGGCTCCATCTAGCTCCCCCGCCGAACTACGTGCCTGACGACGGCAACACCGTGGCGCAACCCAATACATGCAGCCGATGCGCCGACAGATATGACCACGTCCTTTAAGGGTGGAGGGGGGCTGGAAACCTCTAGATACGTTAAGGCCAGAGAAGATGTTTGATGATTAATTGTCCATTAGGTATAGTCCGGGATCGACAGAGTCTACGTCTTCGAAAACCGTCGTCTTGAGTTTGCAGGTAGGCTGGCGTCGCACAGCACTTTCAGGGCAAGGCGATGACTCCACCACGCACCATGGCTACCTACACGGATAGTACGTTTCCCAGATGCCTAGATATTCCCCGATATCTCCCAAACCAGGCAGATGTAATACAGAGCCTTAATTGTTCAATTGTACGCCCCCTTTCTCCTCCTTCTTTGCCATGTGGCCCTAGTGTAGGCACCCCTGTCAAAACTGGGTGGAGTCTCGTAAGTTTCCTAATCGGGCAATGTACGACTTGGAAGGTGGCAGGGCTGCTCCTCCCTGACTTACACCAGACCACCTTCACTTTCGCAGGAATGCTGCTATAAGTTCCAGAGCAACCGTTTGACTCTCCCTGCCCTTTTCATTATGACATACATGGTAGGCTCGCAATTCTTCCAAACCCCTTCCAACCTTCCACTCTTCAAACTTTCAATTGCTTCCTTCATCCACATGTCCACTTCGAGCCAAGCCTCGACAGTCACCTCAAGATGGCCAACGATGAAGACCACCTTATATCCCCCGACAATGGAGCTGGCCACGACACGCATCCGACAAAATCTTCTGTCCCGGCCAGGAAACCGACCATGGCTGACTACTTCAGGGTTTTCTCGTACGCTACAAAATGGGACTTCTGCATGTACGCCATGGCATGTTTCGCATCGATAGCAGGTGGCGCTACGCTCCCATTCATGAACATCATCTTCGGACAACTTGTCAAACAGTTCACCGGATACTTTGGAGACTCCTCCGGCATAACCCCGGATACCTTTGGCAGTGTCTTGGACCGACAAGCGCTGTACATCATGGCGCTCTTCCTGGCCCGTTGGGCTCTTAATAGCATCACTAAATTCTGTTTTCAGATGATCGGTATCCGCCTCTCCTCTGAGATCCGCCTGAATTACCTCGAAGCCCTCTTCGCACAGCCCATCCAGGTCATCGACTCCATGCCCCCGGGGGCACCCGCAACCGCGATCACCGCGACATCCAATACCCTGCAAATTGGAATCTCGGACAGGCTGGGGACATTCCTGCAGTACATGAGCACAATCGTGACTGCATTCGTCGTATCCTTCATCTGGAGCTGGGATCTCACCTTGGTCATGATGTCACTCATCCTTTACACATTCGTTGTCATATCGGTGGTGCTGCCACCCATTGTTAAGGGTCAGACAGAGACGGCAGCGGCCGACACAGAGGCTAATGCCATCGCCAGTGAGGCACTCGGTGGGATCCGACTGATCATTGCAAGTGGAGCACAAGCCCATATCTTGTCCGGTTATCAGAAATGGGTAGATGAGGCCAAGAGACGAGCTATGAAGGTGGCCCCTTACATGGGTGTACAATTTGGTCTGCTCGTGAGTTTACACATAACTACCTCCTCTTTTATGACTTCCAATAGATGCCTGACAAAACATCCAGTTCTTCGGTGTCTTTGGCGCATTTGGGCTGGCATTCTGGTATGGCACCCAGCGATTTATCGCCGGCGCCGTGAGCGATGCTGGGGTGGTCATTGTTGTTCTCTTCAACGTCACACTCGTCCTCAATTCCTTGGAGCGCATTTCCACTCCGCTCATCGCTGTCACCAAGGCCATGGTCGCCGCTTGCGAATTCTTTACCGTTATCGACATGCCAAAATTCACCTCAGGATCGACGAAGCTGGATGACATGTCGCATGATATCATCCTTGACACTGTCACCTTTGCATATCCTAGTCGTCCGGATGCTACAATCCTCGATAACCTGAGTCTTCGCATTCGATCGGGCCAGAACACCGCATTGGTTGGTCCATCCGGGTCGGGAAAGAGCACCATCGTCGGCCTGTTGGAAAGGTGGTACTCCCTTCAGGACCAACATGTCATACCCGAAGTCGTGAAAGACACACAATCTTCTCAGGACAAAGCTGTGGAGCCGGAACAAGAGGATATACGCGGTCACAAGCTCAAACAGCTTAGCGAGGTTAAGGCGAAGGCCTCCGGGTCAATTTCCTTCGGCGGCCACGACCTGGGAGATCTGGACTTGAAGTGGTGGCGGTCACGAATAGGCCTAGTGCAACAAGAGCCCTTTCTCTTTAACGATACAATTTACGGAAACGTTACCCACGGCCTAATAGGAACTGAGTGGGAGGACGAGCCGGAAGAAGTAAAACGACGGCTGGTTGAGACGGCCTGCCACGAAGCCTACGCCCATGAGTTCATCAGTCGATTGCCTCAGGTAAGCATGAAAACCACCGCGCACCCCAATAGTTCCTCAGCTGTTCCGGATTCATTGCTAAAAATGTGTCTCTTTCTCTCCAGGGTTACGATACCCCCGTGGGTGATGGTGGCGCAAAGCTCTCGGGAGGCCAAAAGCAGCGCTTGGCCATTGCGAGGAGCATCATAAAGAAGCCGTCAATCATCATCCTTGACGAGGCAACCAGTGCAATTGATGCAAGGAGCGAAAGAATCGTTCAAGCTGCACTGGACAGAGCAACACAAAACCGTACAACCATCACCATTGCACATCGTCTCTCCACGATCAGAAAGGCCGATAACATAATCGTTATGCAGAAGGGCCGTGTGGTGGAAGAAGGCACGCATCAAGAGCTGCTTGCTTCCGAGTTAGGTGTTTACACAGCCTTGGTGCGTGCTCAGTCCTTAGGTCTGTCTCAGTCCCGGACCTCCGATGATGAGACACTGGTATCCGACGACAAGACACAAGATCCAGGCTTTGAGGCCGAAGAAATCATGGTGAAGCGCAAGCAGGATCCAGAGGATCCAGAGAAATTACTGCACGAAGAGGGCACAGAAAACCTGGCAAAGGGTAAAAAGTCGCGAGGTCTGATCCGCAGTTTCGGTACGCTTCTGTATAATCAGCAGGGGCAGTGGCCATACTATGTGGGAATCGTTTTGTCCTCCATGGCTGTCGCTGCCGGTACCCCGATCCAAGCCTGGCTATTCTCCAAAGTCATCAGCGTCTTCCTTCTGACGGGAGACGAGCTCAAGACGGCAAGCAGCTTTTGGGGTCTGGCATGGCTATATCTTGCCTTGGGTGTTGGCTTAGCGTACCTGGCTGTAGGTTGGATTGGCCTCACGGTTCAGTACAACATCAGCGCCGTGTACAAAGAGCAGTATTTTACCGACATGCTGTACCAGAAGCTCTCCTTCTTCGACCAGGATGCCAACTCCCACGGAACGTTAAGCGCTCGCGTTGCTAGCGATGCTAAGCAGCTGGAAGAGCTCCTGGGCTTGAATCTCGCGTTTCTCTTCTCTGGCGTCTTCACGGCCCTGGGCAGCGTCACCATTGCGATTGTCTTCGCTTGGAAGCTGGGCTTGATCGCCGCCTTCGTCACGATGCCTATTATGCTGGCGTCAGGGTACTGGAAGTTCAAACAAGAGGTGAGCTATGAGCAGTTGAACTCGGCGGTGTTCCAGGAGTCATCACAGTTTGCCACCGAAGCTATTGGGGCCATTCGAACAGTCTCCTCGCTCACAATGGAAGGGTCCATCGGGAATCGGTACCGACAACTTTTGGACAATCGCGTCAAGTCAGCACTCCGAAAAGCACGGTGGACGTCTACGCTGTACGGCTTTGCCGATAGCATTGGTATTGGATGTCAGGCTCTGGTGTTCTGGTACGGCGGCAGGCGCCTCGTGACTGGTGAATACAGCCTGGAGGCTTTCTTTGTCTGCTTTATGGCAATTATTCAAGGCGCAGAGGCAGCTGGTCAGTCTCTCGCCGTCGCTCCCAATGCGTCTCAGGCTACGGTCGCTGCAAATCGCATACTTGACGTCCACGCCTCCGCGGATACTGACCGACCTGGTGCTTCTGAGAACCTGGCGGAGGCCCCGGTCTTGGGTGACATCTGTAACGGCATGGAGATTGAGTTTCAGGATGTATCTTTCAAGTATCCCACGCGAGACATCCCCATATTCGACCATTTGAGCCTCAAAATCGAGAGGGGACAGTATGCAGCATTTGTGGGGCCATCCGGCTGCGGTAAGTCAACCATATTGTCCCTCTTGGAGAGGTTCTACGAACTCGGACCACAACAAGGCTCAGTCTTGTGCAACGGGGCCAACATCAACGACTCGAACGTCTACAAGTACCGCAAGAACATCTCGCTCGTAGCCCAAGAGCCAATTATGTTCCGTGGTACCATCCGCGACAACATCCTCCTCGGCATCGAGAACCCCAGCTCCATCTCCGAGGAGAGGATAGCAGAGGTCTGCCGTGACGCCTTCATCCACGACTTCATCATCTCCCTCCCCGAGGGATACGACACCTACGTCAGCGCCAAAGGTGTCTCATTGTCAGGCGGGCAGAAGCAACGCATCGCCGTGGCGCGGGCGCTCATCCGCAACCCCAAGGTCCTCCTGCTGGACGAGGCGACGTCAGCGCTTGACTCGGAGTCGGAGAAGATGGTCCAGGCTGCGCTGGAGAGGGCGCGCGATGGGCGAACCATGGTTGCCGTAGCGCATCGCCTGTCGACGATCCAGAATGCGGACGTCATCTTTGTGTTTGAGGAGGGAAGGGTGGTGGAGAAGGGCACTCACGAGCAGCTGGTCCAGAAGCGAGGTATCTATTGGGGAATGGTAAGTGGTTCTCTCGTCCTTAAATGAACTTTCAAAGTGCTAATCGATCCTTCTAGTGTCAAGCTCAGGCGCTGGACATGTAGGAGGCTGTGTACCCAATTCATGAGAATGATGATAGAGCACATCGTTGGTTTAGATGCCTCAAGGCAGGTTATTCGGTCATATACCGAGATTCGATACGACAGACGTAGCTTTGGCCTTTCTGTCTTTTTTTCCTCTTCTGCTTTCTATTTGATTTCTGTTTGCGTAAGCTATAGACTATCCTGTTAGCGTAGACTCTCAAATACACATATAATCAAGTGAACCCACATCGATTGCCAGCACTCAAGAGCCATTGGTACAAGTACATGTTCCAGGCTTGTCTGTCTTAAATCGCCTCTCCAAATGGAGGCGGATATCCTGTTGCACACTGGCCTGCGCTGCTCAAAACGTGACTAGACTGCCCATGAGTAGCTTGCCGTCGCCCGTCAAAGGCTGACGTTCCCAGCGAACATCGTCAGAATCTGCCCGTATCTCGGCCGCTTCCTCGACCAGCTGCCATTCCCCTGTTGACGCGTCTCGCTCCAAGTGTCGAAACACGACGCGGCCGCCGGCATCCTCGAAGACGTACTCGCGGCGCCACAGCCGCCACCACTGCTGCAACGGCGTGCCCTCCACGGAATTCGCCAGCTCGACGTCCCGGTTCCGCCTCGCCAGGGTGTAGAGGGCGCGGACATCCCACAGCCCGTCGTGGCCGGGGTAGTCTCGCAGCCTGCACAGGGCCTCGTCGCGCACCAGCGGGTCGCGGCAGAATATGGTTATGACGAACACGTTCCACGCCAGGTCGCAGTGGAAAGACAGCTGGTGCGCGGGCGGCTCATCTGATCCCCCCCTGGCCGCGCGCAGAGCCAGGTCCACGAGGGACAGGTACTCCCTGAACAGCGGCGTCCGTGCCTTCAGTGCTTCAAAGTCCAGGTATTTGGAGGGGCTCCCGAACGCGTAGGTGCCCAGGTACTGCAGGCGGAGGTGGATAGCTCGTAGGTATCTCCGGGAACCGACCTCGTCAGACATGATGATGCTGTTGAAGAGGGGCTCGAATGCGGGCGCGAGTGCCTCTATCAGCTTCGACGTGTGGTCACAGAACTGCGACAATTTCGGGCTCTCCATAAGCTCGATCCAGAACTTAAAAGTCTCGGCGTCGCTCGTCGTGTTGAGCACGCCTGAGGTCTGCACTGTTTCAACCAGCATCGCCTCCATGGCAGCTTGGCGGTGCTGGGCTGCGATCCAGTGCTCCTCGAATTCCTCGAGGCTGCTGAAGGCAGCGGGGATGTTCTCCACGGCCGCAGAACAGCGCGGTATCCGGCTGACGAGCTCCGTGAACGAATGCATGGTCTGCTTCTGGGCCCTCAGCGCCTCTGCAAAGTTTGGCAGGGGCCGACACTGGCCGATCCGGCCGTTGAGAATAGAGCGGGCCTGGGGTGCTAGATGTGTGAACACGCTGGCGACTGATTCGAGAATCGGCCTTGGGTTCGGTGCCAAGTGGTCCAGCCGTCCCCCATCGTGGTCCGTGGCGATGGCGAGGAGCAGGGCCAGGCCGTGGTTGACGTGATGTAAGGCGGCCCGCCGATCTGCCCGCAGCGTTTCGAAGGTGAGGAGGAGGACCGATAGCAAGACGGCATCCTGAAGCGACCCGCTTCGGCTCTGTAGTTTGAGAGAATGGCAGTAGTAGCCCACGCCATCAAAGTAACGCGCATCTGCTGACGCCGGCTCTGTTGTCGACCCAACGGTGGATGCCGTGGGCGGAGAGGGCGCACGAGGGTTTCTCCCGTCCAGCCTGGACTGACGATTCCAAAGAGACATTGCGCCAACGGCTATGGCGGCGTGCCGGAGCGTCTCGTTGCTGCGCGCGAGCTGCGGCAAGGTGACCTCCCACAACTCAGCCCCAGAGGCGGCGGATGCAGTCATCCATGGCCCTCGCACCAGGCTGACGAACTCGTAGAAGTAGAGCCTTGACCTGCCATCTCGGAAGTCAGGTGTCGTAGGGATCAACTTGGTCTCTTGGAGAGGCGTAGACTGGATCGGTGAGGACGGTCTTGAATCCCTTGCACCTCTGGCCGGCCGCGAATTCCAGCAGGTCTGCATAGCACCGGGAACCCGCGCCCTCTTGGCCGCCGTGGTGGCATAGCCCTCGCACTCTCTCTTGCCATTGCGGCAGTTGAGGCAATGCGGCCTGGCCTCGTCGCATTTGATGTGACGCCGCTTGCAGGTGATACAACCTGTCCGCGCCTTGTGAGTGCTCGCGCGCGTGAGCTTTGGGGCCTGATTGCTGTCACTGGGAGTCTTCCTGCCTTCCATCTCGGGCATCGCAGTCCTGGCGCCGCGGTATCACCAGCTGCGGTACGAGATGGGCATGGTTCGCCCCAGAGAGATACATCCAGGTAAAGAAGATCACGTAGTTGATGCCTTTCGACAGTCAATGTCTGTTGGGTGCGAAAATGATTAAGATGTCGGAGGCCAAGTGGTCGCGCAGTGCTGACGAACGTGCTTTCAATGCTGCGTTTATCTCAGCAGTCTCGGAAGGCTGGCGGGACGCAACCACGCAGCGTCTTGCATGGGGGACCGAGACATATGTGGATTTGAATGGGAATAGGCTAATTGAAAATCAGATCCATCGCAAGGCCTATATTTGATCCATTGCTTTTTCATATCATGAGTTTCCAGTGTGATTGAGAGTGACAACATTGGGTAAGGCGGAACGCCAAGGCATGTACAGACCACATAGGGCTACCCCAAGTTCATGACGAGGTTCCCAAGGATTGACACGTTTCGAAAAATGTAAACTTTAGGTAGGTGAATAACGAAATAGTAGAAAGTCTTCCTCTTCAAAGGAATAGTTCTAATAATAAGTACTTCTGCTCCTGGCGGCTTCGGATCGGGGCTCTGGTAGTCCACCATCCAGGTCTTAGCAGGAGCAGGTCTAAGCAGGAGTAATAAATTAATACCAGCTACTAGAATCCCTTTGACTTTTGCGTCTCGTGAGCTTAGCTACAATGATTCCGTGCAACATGGACCCGGTATCCCTGATCTCAAGCTACCGGTGCAGTGTTTTTGCTACGACACATGTTGCACATCGACAGCATACGCGGATGGAACAGGCTCTTCAGCAAAATGACCCAGACCAGACTTCAAAAGCCATCTTCCGTCTCAAGTGAGCCGAACAGCGATCCCTTCTCTGCTCTATCCGACCGGCTATCCCCGTCGAACTCCTCGATCGGATCACTACCATAATTGGGCAATTCCCTGATGTTAGCTCTCCCGTCGGTCGTCCGCCTCCGCTGCCGATGTGTCATAGTTGTGCCTCTGATTTGGGGCGCTGACAAAGCGATCTGTCGCTGTTCATCGACGTGCCCGGTCTTCTTCCCCAGAAACAGCTTTGGACGCGCGAATTTGAAGCAACCGTCTGGTTCACCATGCTTCTCAAGTTGTCTTGGATTGATGGTCAACGAGCCAGCACCTGTCTCGCGAATGGAAGAAGCCGAGTCATTGGGGAAGAGCAGTCCGCTCGTGTGGTTATCATCCGCTGACGAGGAATTGGAAGAGCCAACAGTCGCTTGGTCGGTACGTATGGCTGTTTCCAGCGACCCTGACACAGTTTCCGAACTTGCATCTGGCGAGGATGCTCCTGCAGTGGCTACGTGGCTTGCTGAGACCGTGGTCAACGCTTCGGCGTCAAGTGGGTTGGGCCTGTCGGCGAAGTCACGTCTGTCGGTTGAACCAAGACCAAGTGAAGACGTGGCAAAATCTTGTTGAGATTCATCACATGAGGAAGTGCTCGTGGATGGAAGAGATGGCCGGAGACTTCTCACAGTGTCTCTTCTCGCGTTGTTCAGAACCTGGTCGAGGTCCTCCAGTGAGTCTCCGAACACGAATTGCCTCCACATGTCATCCTCATCCTGTGTGCACTCGTTGGGCAGCTGCTTCTGTACTACAGCAGACAAGTCATCTCGGGACGCTGGGTCTTGCCCCTCGTACTGAAGCATAGCTGGCTGCGTGAATTTTGTGTCCATTCTAGTTGTGATGTCTCCTGATTGATCCGTTTGGAAAGGTGTAGCTTCACCCACCATCTCAAGTGAAGACGAAGGCTCTGTTGAGCTTGAGACCACGAGCAAAGACATTTCATCAGAGTTGCTGACCATCTTGGGCTGCTCTTCGCTTGCGCCATTATCGATTAGTTCGGGACTTTCTGAAGGAATTGGAAGGTCAGACTCGAGCCTTGAAGTGCTATCATCGTCCGCATCCGCAGTGATCTGTTCATCAGTTGACAAAGCCTCGCTGCTCCGTTGATCTGACGGATCTGACGGCAATATGCCTACAAATAGACTAGGTGGCATGTTCGGAGTCTTGTCCTCGCCGACAGTGTTGGTATACCGTGTTCCTAGGCGAACAGAAGCCGCTCTTTTGGAAGTATCATCACGATGTCTCGAAGTTCCGACTTGACTGATTCCTGGTGAAATCAGTCTCTGAGTGGCGTCTTCTTGGTGACCAGAAGTTTCCTTTTCGTCCAAGGCAGAGCTATCGTCAGGGGCCGCAACAAAAGTTCTCCACACATCGTTTTCTTCGGCTTGGGACAGAGGAACCGGCGGGAGCTCGACTCCAACCTGAGCCAAAGTGCTGGCCGCGTTGTCCGAGTCGGCTGACGGCGAGTGAATTAACTGGAGCAAAGCCGGGCGGGTGGGAACAGGATGGAACAACAATGGCGAGGTCGTCAGCAGTGGCGTTTGACTGGCAGTACTATTTGATCGATGGCTTGCATCGGAACCGGAGATGGAAAATTTGGCTCGATCTTGACGGTATTCCGTCCGATGGTCGTACCTGGGCTGGCCTAGCGGTCATTGTTCAGCCAAATCTCGAATAGTTTCCTGCGGGATCTACCTTCGCGAGACAACCTACCACAAATGCCCGTAAGCTCGCCTTGACGACCATTACTTTTGGGGCTGGCGTTGGAGCTGTCTCCTAGTGCTCTCTCATGGCTTCCAACTCGGATCTTCATCCTTCTGAGAGAGGTGGGCGAGACGGTCGCCGCGCTCCCACGGGCTTTGCTGCGTCCGCCCTCATGTGTCACTCCAAGAAGCCGGCGCAACTTTTGTTTTGAGGCTTGACGACGCGACTTCTTCAGGCTCCATGGGTTGCTTGGAGATCCTCGTGGCTTCATGAACTCCATCTCAATGGGTTTCTGCATATTAGTACCCACCCAGTCACCTTTCAGCAAGAGCCTGCGCCTTTTCTGACGCATAGCCTCCTCTTCCGATTGCTGCTCTGGGAAAGCAGCCGGTGTCGGCAATTTGACACTGGCTTCAGAGAAGTAGCGACTGGATAGAAGCCTACCGCCACTCGGGTGTGTTCTTGAGGACGACGACTTCAGGGCATCATGACGGACAGGTGACTGCGCTTGAGTTGCAAGAAAAGAAAGAAGGGGTGGGCTGATGTTGACATTGGCATCAAGACGGCCAGCGCGAGCCTTTGCGAAGTGCTCCTTCTGCCGGAGAAGGATCTCCTTGCCTTTGCGGGCACGAGAGTGGCGATTGAGGTTGCCCTCAGTCCAATTCATGATAGAGGCTGGAATCAATCGCAGATAGCAGTGGCAGGGGCGTTCAATATGCACGAGAAAGAGAACCAGTTGGACTTGAACAAGGCAGTGGTTAGAAGGAAAGAAAACACTGTGATATCGCCTCCAACAATGGAGGCGATGCCGTACAGGCAACGAGATGTGGATCCAATCACCGGAGATGATGATGCTAAGTGTGTTAGCTAGCAGAAGTGGAGGTAGCAAGATGTGGCAACACCAGTAAAGCAGTCTCCAATGTTGAGATGCCTGCTCCAGTAGCTTTGGATTTTGGAAAGTGCGTTCGTCAACTTGGACTGCTCATGAGGAAGGCGCAAGCAGTGTTGTAGAAAGGGTCCAGCGACAAGGCCAACGGTCAGGGTTCAGGGGTTCAGGAGCTACTTAGGTACCTACGGCCGTACCTGGGCACTGGGAGCCTGCCCCTCCTCAGGACGCGGGGAGCTCCTTATCGGAGCTCTAGACCTCGATGTCGACATCCGGCTCCGGCACGCTCTATAACCTCGCCCGTTAATATCACCGCTTGTTCCCCTGGCACTAAACATGCGAACAGCCTGGAGGACACTTGTCTCCATCACTCGCAGCCCAAGATCCCCCCAATCCCGTCTCATGACGATAAAGTGGCTCCAAAGAACCATGGCGACCGCGAGCCCCTCCCTGGTGCTGAAGAAGCCGGTCAAGCTGGCGTGCATTCAGCTCGCCAGCGGCGCCGACAAGAATGCGAACCTCGCACACGCTCGCGAGAAGGTCCAAGAGGCCGCCAAGACGGGCGCGAAGATCATCGTCCTTCCGGAATGCTTCAACTCGCCCTACGGCTGCGACTACTTCCCCTCGTACGCCGAGGAGCTGCTCCCGTCGCCGCCGACCAAGGAGCAGAGCCCCAGCTACCACGCACTGTCTGACATGGCCAAGGAGACCGGCACGTATCTGGTCGGAGGCTCGATACCGGAGTCGGAGCAACATGGCAAAGAGGAGAAAAAGCGCTACTACAACACGTCGCTGGTGTTCGGGCCGAGCGGGGACCTTCTGGCCACGCACCGAAAGGTGCACCTGTTTGACATCGACATCCCCGGCAAGATCAAGTTCAAAGAGTCTGACGTCCTCTCCCCGGGCAATAAGGTGACCATCGTCGATCTTCCTGAGTACGGAAAGATTGCTGTGGCAATCTGCTACGACATCCGGTTCCCCGAGCTTGGGACAATAGCCGCCCGCAAAGGCTGCTTTGCGCTGATATACCCTGGTGCTTTCAACACTACCACCGGCCCGTTGCACTGGAGTTTGCAGGGACAGGCTAGGGCTATGGACAATCAAGTATACGTCGCGCTGTGCTCACCCGCCCGAGACATGAGCGCGACGTATCATGCGTGGGGCCATAGTCTTGTAGTAGACCCGATGGCGCAAGTGCTGGTCGAGGCTGAAGAGAAAGAGACAATAGTGACCGCAGAGCTGACTGGGGAGAAGATCGAGGAGACGAGAAAAGGAATCCCGTTGAGGGACCAAAGGCGGTTCGATGTGTATCCCGACATAAGTCAGGGCAAGATACAATTTACCGACCCGGGACAGAAGTAATTGGACCAAGCATCTGAAGTTGCCAAGATTTATGGGCTCAAAAGGGTATATCAAATCTATTGGCAAGCCTTGAATGCTTGCTTTCCCTAGCAATCATGATCGCCGCCTGGTGATCGGCCCTTTTCGTAGTCCACTCCAATCATCGTGACGGATGGGCCTGGCTCTGGATCTTGAGGTCATTGCCCTGGTCTAGAGTGCTCGCAGGCTGCCCCCGTACCACGATCTCACAGCAAGCCTGATCACTGCCACTTATTGCAGGGCTTTAGCAGCAAATGTGGGCAGGATGAAAGAAGCCTTGTGGATCTCGGAGTTGTAGTATCTGCACAACTTCTCCTCCTCCTCAGGAGTCCAGGACCGAACAGGCACCTTGACGTTGCGGTTGGGGTCCTTGCAACAGACCATGAAGCCAATCTGTCCCGAAGGGTAGGTTGGGATGGTGGTGTAAGCGTACTCGGCAACAGGGAAGATCTCCTTGCAGTCCTGCTTCAGCTTGGTAATGAGAGGCAGGTGGAGCCATTGGTTCTCAGCTATTTGAGACAAGTCAGCTTTCAGGACAGTGCAAAGGGGTGTGAGCTAGACATTAATAAAACAAGGAGCACAGGCAGGCACAGAAGCTGGCTGTTTTGGATTTTCTGGGGGAGAAGGAGGGGGAGGGGGGTTGGAGCATCATTATGTCCACGAGAGATTTCAAGTGCATTCGAGGCACCAAGCAAAATGCTCGGAAAGGACCAGGCACGCTGTTCGCCTGCGTGAGCATCTTCCTAGGGCTGAAGGATAAAGGAAACGTACAACCTTGCGTAGTGATGACGCCGCCATCCCGCAGGGCATCGTGAAGCAACTTGAAGTAAGGCTTCTGGAACAGGCTTTCAGCTGGACCCTCTGGGTCAGAAGAGTCGGTGATGATGACATCGAACGAGTTCTTGTAGTCGTCCAAGAACTTGAAGCCGTCGCCGACGTGGACCTTGACCTTGGGGTGGTTGTAGCCGGCAGCCATGCCGGGAAGGTACTGCTTGGAGAGGCGAATGACGGCCTTGAACGTGGTTAGCGGAAGGGCTGTCCAGGGAGAGCAGGGGACGCATCGGAAGCTGAGAAAGGACCACTAATCACCTCATCAATGTCACACAGAACTGCCTCCTCGATGCCCTCGTGCTTGACAACTTCACGGAGGACACCGCCATCGCCGCCACCAATGACCAGGACCTTCTTGGGGTCAGGGTGGGAGTTCATGGCCAGGTGGGTGATCATCTCCTGGTAGGAGAACTCATCCCGCTCAGTGCATTGGATGACGTTGTCCAGGACCAGGACGGTGCCGTAGTCGGTAGACTCAAAGATGAGAACATCCTGGTACTTGCTCTTCTCGTGGTGCAGAACCTTCTTGACCTTCAGAGTCATGGCCTGGCCTGATTTGCTGTCCTGTCAGACGCCACCCTTCCCGTGCCCTTTTTTGGGCAGGACCTTGCCTTGACTTACCGGGCCACATGTCTGAGATCTCGCGGAACCATCCATCTAAGACAGATAATTCGTTAGCCACATGCCAGAACGGGTTGACGGTCCCGGCCGTCGCGTTGGCGGGGAAAAGGCAGGGAAGGATATGCGGGCATCGCTTAGCACCACTTGATGCTGTTTTCCTTCACATGCCACTATCCCTCAAATTGCTTCTTGCGCACGCCAAGTGCGTACAAGCACCCGTTGGATATACATTCATCTGGATGTGACAGCATGAAGGCATGAGAAGCAAAAATGGAGCTGTAGCAGGAAAGATGTCCAGAGGGCTCAAGAACAATGAGATCAGTGTTGCTTTCCATGCGGTGTGCCAACATTCTTATCAGACGCCCGCCCGTCTGAAGAATCTCGACAGGGGGCAGAAATTCATGGTGGGGTTGCGATGGAGGGGTAGAGAGACGCAGAGAGAATTGATCGAAGTACCTTTGATGGTCTGGTGGGTAATTTCAGTCATCTTGGAAAGGGAGAAGGTATGACAGAAACGTTGACAAGCAAGGGAAGACAGTGAGGCTTGAAAAGATGAGAATGTCGTTGAGTGGGTTGAAGAACAGTAGTTGAACAAGCTCTCGTTCGCAAAGCAAGTTCTTGGGGTGAAGTTGCGGAGAAGTCTCAGGCTGCTATTCCTCGATTGGGCAAAGAAAAATTTTCCCATGCCCAAAGCAAACAAATCTACCGCGAATTGCAAGCTCAAAATGTAGAATGTTGTCCAAGTAACCGGGATCTTCCTAATAGAATTGTTGTGACAGTTAAAAGTCAATGGCTACCGTCTAGCACAATATGGCAAGACAAGGCATTGAGACAGCCAGACGTTGGCTTCACCCGCCCTATCGAACCCCAATTTGCTTCTACATTGGTTGCACAAGAGCTGGCGCGCAACGGACGTTCGTGCTATGTTCTGCCGCTACTCGCCGCCTTAGCACAATCATGAGCATCCCTGGGCAAACACAGTACTGCAAACTCGCAATTCAGCAAGGTAGATGACTTTCGTGACAACAATATCGCATGCGTATCACTCTTCCGCTTATAGCATCATTGAGACCATGCTGCCGGTCTCGGTGATAGTGAGTAACGGCTGTGAAGGGAGTAGCGGCCTAAGTGTATCTCCAGGGCATCTCGATGTGCTACAACAGCTGACGGGATCGACTTAGTGGTCCACCACATTGCGACCAACTAGCCAGGGAGCGTGTTGATGGAGGCGATTTCCGATTCACAGGATGATCCTTATGATAAGCGAGGTTGAGCTTTGGCCCCAGGCAACTTGCGCTCTGAAGAGCATCCTTCTGTGAGCAATGTGAGACATAGAAACGCCTCATTTCGAGCACGTTCTGAAGGCCATCGATCTTCTCCAGCCTGTATTTTTCAAGCGTCAAGAAGTGCCCACCACCGGGCTGCGCAAATTCGATCTCGCCCGGTGAGAGGCCAAATTTTCCAGCGATGAAGGTATCCCGCAAAATCGTGGATCGTGAGCCGTGGCCCGCCGAAAATCAACATGGCAAAGGCACTTCTGCTCAGTTTGCTAAGCATTGAATGCTTAGCGTGGGGGCGAATGGGCGAAGGAATCGAAATGTCTGAGGTGCAGTCCTTGCCAGTGGTCTCTGATTACCTTAAACAACGGGACATTATTGACGATGTGGCGCTCTTGGAACACAATAGCTTCCATGAGCGTGTGCACCGCCATTGCATGGCTTAGGGGCCAAGGTCTCCAGGGGCTAGGTCCGATACTCCATTGGGAAATACCGACATAGCAACCACACGTGACTGTAACCACCTGTAAAGTGGTGGGAGAACATTCGCCCAGCAGGATGGCAGCAGTGCCGGTTGCGATGTAATGAACATCCCACCGGATGATGTTCCTGGAGGCGTTGTTCCTCGCAATTCGAAGTTGAAGCCCAACCGTCACTGAGATGCCGGGGCTACTCCACCATACGGCACGTGTTTAAGCAATTACCAGGTGGTCTGCTGGGTTGTTGTTATTAAAGTGCTGACGGCGCCCAATTGCTCAGCCTTGTGCTTCCGTTTCCGGAAAATCGCCCGGGCTGAAATTTCGTTCCTGGGCGTGGTGCTTGCGAGGCATCGAGGGAAAAGACTGTAGTTTGGGGGGTTTGGGAACCAGGAGAAGGTGCGGATCGGCAAACGATGTGACGTCCTAATTCCGGGAATATAAGTGGAAGTGCCGGACGAACAGGTGTGGGCGGATGCTGAAAGTCGCTCGCAGCCATGCTGAGCCATGTTACCCGCCAGCCCGCCCGGGGAAGTTCGCGTGCCTCTCGAGGTGGTCAGGGCAGCTGGCCGGAGAGGCTTTCCGGTCGCTGACGACATGACGATCCCGAATTCCCATGACGGATGAGGCACGACAAAGAAAGCGCACAGTCACTTGAAGTATGCCTTGGCTCCCTGTGAACCCTGAAAGGCCAAGCTACCCGACCTCGAGCCTTCAAAACGACTGCCCTAGTCGCTAGTTCGTGAGCAAACCAAGCTTCCTAGTAGTGCTAATCAAGGAGGGGGCGACGGCATGTTACCACTACTACTACGCCGATTATTTCCCCGAAAGAGGTCGGCAGGGACCAACACGGCCTCGATGCCCTTGAGCTGGCTTTGAGGTTCTCCTCACTTCAACAGCAGCCGAGGGCGAATGTCTTTGTGCTGTGCAAGCTGGACTTGCGTCCAAGAAAGAGCGGGCTGGAGCCATGTGGAAGGGTTTGGGGTGTTGGCTGTCGGTCCCGTCCAGGCACGAGAACACGCGATATGGAATAAAGCATCGCCATGGAACCCATGCAACGGCCCTGTGCTGGCCTGCTGGCCGGCCCTTTGGGTTGCCACGAGCCAACGTGCCAGCGTGCCGGGGGTGAATTCCCAAGGAGGTTTCAGGACCCGGCCATTGACTAATCACGTCTCTCCATTTGCGGCGGGCCCTGAAGGTCGAATCCCCGTCCCCGCCGGCCCATTGAGACGCTGCTTCGTACCGTGTACATTGCGGCGTGGGTTCTCCACTGTCAGGCTATTTCGGTTGCCTCATTGCCTCAAAAAGAAGACTTTTAGAGACGGAAAGGGGCGGCGGGCTCCCAGTGGCTGGCTCCTACACGCGGCGTGACAGTTTTTCCCCTTCCTTTTCTTCTCTTTTCTTTTTTTCTCCGTTGGCCGTTGTAATCTTATTAAGCGAGCAGCAGGAGAATATAGGGCAAAAAAGCAATGCAGGTAAGTCTCCCTCGCATTGCACACGTTGTTTGGGCGATTCTGTAACGTGAGATCTAGCCTGGAAGGATGCCTGCTCGCTGGGCAATATGCCGAATGTGTGGCTGACCCAGACACGGGGTCGGCGAACGATATTAGCATGACATAGCACCCGTCTCTCTTTGTTTCTCATATTTTCCAGATATACGGTACAGTGTACACCACCGGGCCCCAGCTCCCAGCTTCCCAGCTCCCAGCTCCCAGTTCCCAGCTCCCAGCTCCCAGTTCCCAGCTCCCAGGCCAAGGCCCTCTCCGAGCGCCTGTCA